TGACTATGCAAGTTGGTGATAATGTTATCTTCAAGTGTATTGATGGTCTTGTAAAGGCCACTACAACTTCTGTTGATGATATTCTCACGATGCTCTTGTCAGTCTATCTCGAAGGTACACTCACACAAGCAGACTTTCAAGCAGCAATTTCCACGGACATTCATACATGTTTCGTATATATCAATGTTCCAGGTACTACCGTTGCTAATTGTATTAACGAAATTGTCACCAATTACAATACTTCTTTAGAAAATAATTTGGTGAATATCGAGATGTCCACACAACTTTCTACAGGTAATTCAGACGCTAATCATAACTCTTGTAGTTACCTGATGTCACCTGCTATGGAAGTAGTAGGTGAATTGGCATATATGTTTATGATAGGTTTCAACGTCATTGCAGATGTTTATTTTTTATCAAGCATTTTCTTTAGAGAATTCAAGCTTTGGTGGACACTTTTGCCTCTATCTATCGCTATTGCTCTTTATGCCCTAGCTCGCTTAATTCGCAGTGGGTATATCGTTTTCTGAAATTTGATAGCAACTGATGCACAAAAAAAGGTGTGATACAATATTAGGTTCCAATAAACCTCAAATGCTCTGTTACAATGAATATTGTACGTAATTTAGAATTAAAAGTTTCTCTTTGATCTAAGAGATCAGAAGGAACTAACAGCGACCATTCTTTATGGTTTTACAATCGAATCTTAGTAGGGTGAATTTATCAGCTAGATTCTTACGTAACCTTCATGGATCAATCATAGCTTAGTTGAAGATAGTAGAAGATGAGATGTGAAGTTCAACTATAGGTTGTCTAGAATATAACTGCAAATAATGCCTTAGACGGAAGTTGGGTACCCATGAGTAAGAGTACGTGGAAATCTAGAACAAATATACAAAGCTTTGACTGGCAAGTTGTGAACAACCTACATGGTATTACATCAGCGCGCGACATACAACATGTGTATACAAATCCAATGATCACGTGATCTGCTTGGCGGCAAGTATGTTTCTTTACACCTCTTCTTTTGCAGCCAAAGGAAAGTACTATCTATCACATTTCTTAATTGAACCTGTTTCATTTTTAATAATTTGACAACAAATATATTATACAAGTCACCCTAGATTCAACTGAACAGTAAAATGTCCACGAACCCTGGCTCTGAAGGTGTCAATTCTGTCCCATTAGCAAATTTGGCAGCCACCACTTCCTCTACATTGAATCAGATTACTCCATCTGATAATGGATTGCAAGGACTAACCAGTAGTTTGACACCAGGATCTGCTGCAGGTTCATCATCTGGGCCAGCCGATACGTTGAAACCACCAAGAAGCATTTCAGATGTTAAGAAGAGCTCTCGCTCGTTAAGGTTGAGGGTCGTATTTGTTGCATTGATTGTTGCAACAGGTCTTCTCATCTTTGTAGTGGGCTTGCTTCCCTATGACACTCCGTCTGAGGAACCAAAACAACTATGGCAACAAATCTGTTACATTTTTTTCCGTGTTGTCTCTGTGATGTGTTTTTTCGTTTCTTACCTAATACATGAGGAGTGGTGGGCTTTCTGAAGCATTGCTTGGGAATGATACTTGCACCATGCTTAATGATATAGAACGCATGATTCAAAACATATTTGTTTATAATTTATAAATATGCATTAGGAAGTAGTAATATATAGTTAATACAGGTGAAGATGCCAATTACTACCAGACATTGTTGTAACTGTAGTGCGACTTAACTTTACTTTGAAGTATTGTCTGTTTCAGTTTGCCCCAAAGCCCTCAGTGTTCACTGGAAATATAGAACGAATTTGACCCGTAACGACCTTTTGCGTTTTTGTTATGCTAATGACTTGATCATCCCGATGATTTTTCGATATCTTATTTTTGCTATGCTAACGAAGATATAAAAGGCATCGATCATTCTTTGTTCGGATTATTTCCTACTTCAGAACGTTATCGCAAAGTTATTATAAAAGTCATTTTACGGCATGATTTATAATTGTTTGTTTATTGGCTTCCTTCCGATTTACCAACAAAAAATTATATTTAACAGTGACAATGCCAATGTGACTATGCAAGTTGGTGATAATGTTATCTTCAAGTGTATTGATGGTCTTGTAAAGGCCACTACAACTTCTGTTGATGATATTCTCACGATGCTCTTGTCAGTCTATCTCGAAGGTACACTCACACAAGCAGACTTTCAAGCAGCAACTTCCACGGACATTCATACATGTTTCGTATATATCAATGTTCCAGGTACCACCGTTGCTAATTGTATTAACGAAATTGTCACCAATTACAATACTTCTTTAGAAAATAATTTGGTGAATATCGAGATTTCCACACAACTTTCTACAGGTAATTCAGACGCTAATCATAACTCTTGTAGTTACCTGATGTCACCTGCTATGGAAGTAGTAGGTGAACTGGCATATATGATTATGATAACTTTCAACATCATTGCAGTTTTTGATTTTTTATTAGGCATTTTCATTCGAGAATTCAAGCTTTGGTGGTCACTTTTGCCTCTATCTATCGCTATTGCTCTTTATGCCCTAGCTCGCTTAATTCGCAGTGGGTATATCGTTTTCTGAAATTTGATAGCAAAGGATGCATATAGAAGGCATGATGCACACTATCCGTTTTACAATTATCAACTTGCTTTTGAAAGTAGAACAATATAGCTAATACATGCAATACTGCAGAACTAACACAAAAGATAGTATTAACTTTGTAGGTATACTAACTGAATACAATTTAAGAGTACCACTTTGTGTGCACAAGGTAACTTCTTGATATGATCCCAAAAGTCGAGACTCTTTCAATACTTTTGTTAACATAAACTCACGTGACTGAAAGCAGCAAATATAAAAAGTGTCACGTGACTAGAAATTCCATTGAAGTCAATTGCCACATTAAGATCCTCAATTCACATGTGTACAGTAAAGATCGCATCATTTGTCTTATCAGGTGTATCAACAAAGTTCACAACTTACTAGTTGCTTGTGCTACTCTATTTAATCTGAACCTGGACATGCGGTGTCTTTTAAACTGGAAATTGTTCTTACCATTCACAGTTCTTTTGTACCTGTATTATTACGTTGTCCAAAATACATGTCCACAATATGCCTTCAATTTGAAGACGGCTTCCATCTCATCAACGTCCCCAACGGCAGCAGTATGTCTCTGGCACGAGCAAGTAGCCGTTCCCGTCTACACGTCGTATATCTTGCCAGTACAGGAAGTGGCTGCTCAGAAATGGGTTGAAGTCGACTCCAAGTTGAAGATCTCCGAAACTGTTGGCCCCAAATTGGATCAAGCTTATCAAGTAGTCTCCAACACGTATAAGCAATACTTGGAACCTACGGTTGCTCATGTTTCAAGACAAGCGATTATTTTCTACTACGGATCAGTTCTGCCTCGTTTGCAAAAGCTTTACTTATGGTTGAATGTCAAATCTAATGACCTTAAATTGGATGCTATCACTTGGTATTACAACGTGGGTAAGCCTTTGGCAACTAGATGGGCCATTAATTTAGAAACTTATTACGCTTTGGCTGCAGTTAAGTTTAACGTCTACTACCAAATAGCGTCCGTTAAGGCCAAGGGTTACTATAAAGTGGCATCTTTCAAGGCTAGGATCTATTTTTCGACCTTGTATACCCGAGCTTCGATCTATTGTAAGATGGCAGAAAGATATCTTCTTGTAAAGTGGAATACTTTTGTTGACAAGTATGTTGCTGATGATGTTCGTGAACTCTTTGGAGTTTTGTTTGGGTATTTAGAGAAAGGATATGCTGAATTGTTACGTGCTTTCACAATTTTGAGACAAAAAACCCATGACTTCACTAAAGATCGTAAGAATGATTTTGTTAAGTCAGAATTCAATAATCTTGAGAGATTCAACAATTTCAAGAAGTCTCTCAACTCAACATTGATTGACTTCACTCAAAAATTCTTGAAGCTGGAACGTAATAATTTGCAAAATGGTACAATCAAGAAGGAAGCCGTTGACGATAGTGAGTCCGAGTATGGTGATTCAGATGAAGAACCAATTCATTCCACTATTGTTTCAACTATTATTGTTACCAAATCCAATGGCGTTGTACCCAGTGGACAACCAGGTACAGGTGTTGGACAAACCAATGAAATTGATGCAGAGGTAACTTTCTGGTCCGAAAAGATTTTCAAGACACTTCAATTAGCATCTGATAATTTAGTGGCAGATATGACTCCTAAGGCCGATTCTCACATCGACATGATTAAGGGTGAGGTACTGAAATTATTACAAAAGATTCAAGTTTCAAATCACAATCAATACAAGTTATTGAACGTGTTTATTGGCGACATTCACAAGGATTATGAAGCAATCATTGATAGTGGAAACAAAACTATTGTTGAATCTGTTTCTCGTGAAAAAGTCAGAGAAGAATTCCAAAAAACTTATAATGAAACTGAGATTAACTCCGGTAAGATTCAAAATATTTTGATTGAAGCACATGGCAAAATTTTGGAAGCTTATTATGAAACTGTTCAAAATACAATTGATATTATTCAGCTGTTTGCTGAAAATACTTTACAAGATTACCTGAACTTCCTTAACAACCTTCCAGCTGATTTGGATGAAACTTATTCGTGGGGATTATGGAAGGACTTCTATAAATCAAAAGAAAACATCTACAATTTCCGTGATGATCTTTTCAATCAATTCAATGCTTACAAGGAACAACCCAAGAAAGCAGACACGCCATTAGGCTTAGAGAAATGGGCAGAGTATTTGCGCAATATTGAGTTTACTTTGAACTATTTACTCAGAGATAATACTGAATACTTAAGATTGGCTCGTGCTAGAGCTAATTTAGCATTCCAATTACGTGAAGAACTTGTTAGTAAGATAGAACAAGAAGCAGAAAAGTTTGTTGAAGAAGTTGAAGAAGTTGATGCAGATGATGAAGCTTCTTCAGTTGAATCAGAAACTGAAGCATTTCCTGATGAAATAAGTTCTTCAGCATCAATTAACGAAGAAGGTCCACAAATTGTTGAAGAATTAACCGAAGCAGAATTTGTATCCGAAACTGCAGAATCCGAAACTGAATCAGGGGCAGTAACTGAATCAGAACTTGCGACTGAAGATTCCGCAACTGAATATATTGAATCAGAGCCTGCAACTGAAAAATCAGCTACTGAAGAAATTGAATTTGCAACTGAAGAAGTTGAATCTGCAACTGAAGAAGTTGAATCTGTAACTGAAGAAGTTGAATCTGCAACTGAAGAAGTTGAATCTGCAACTGAAGAAATCGAATCTACAACTGAAGAAGTTGAATCTGCGACCGAAGAAATTGAAACTGCGACTGAAGAATCTGCAACCGAAGACTTTAACTCGGAAGCCGATGCAATTGAAATTGCTGAACCATCACTTGAGTCTCCTGATGCGAAAGAACCTGATACCCAAGAGCCAGAACTTGAAGAAGTGCCTGAGCTTTGAACTTGTTGAATTTATAGAAGTATAGTACTCGTAATAATAATAATACACTAATAATATTAATAATACAGTAATCATACATTCATTACTATACAACTTTCTACGTATATAAACGGAAAAAAACAATGTTAGCTTAATTAACACTCTTCTTCACCTTAGCAATCAAAGGACTAGTCAATTCAGCCACCTTGTATTGCAACATCTCAATGTATTGGAACACTTCCAAGACCAATGGATGAACAAATTGATAGTACTTGGTCTTGGCGAAAGTCAACTTATCTGCCATGGCGTACTTCTTGAAAGTAGGATGAGAGTAAACATGAGCATCCAACCAAGCAAACCCAGAAGCAGTATAAGGCTTGACCCACAGTTCAAACTGGTTCAACTTACCACAAGCAGCAAATTCAAATGAATCAACTTCATTTTTGAACACAACAGGAATATCTTTGATCAGTTCCACGGATTCAGGGTGATCTCCAGCGATTTTGCTCTTGATGGCGTTCAAGGGGGAGTACAAGTTATCCAATTGTCCACATCTATATGTCCACAAGTAAATGACATAAAAGAGTAAGAACGATGATACGAAGCACTTGATCTTTGCAAATGTGGCCATGACGGTATAGGGGGTATTCAAGTCAAGTCAAGTCAATTCAAGTTGACTCAATTCAATTCAGTAGTAGTATTGTTAACAACGAATGAAAAAAAATCCTTTAGTGATTTGATCGTCACCTTTCGTTACCTTCTTTTTCCTTATATAGCAACTTCTGACATGACTGTTTCACAAGACCCCCACAATAGTTGCCATCACGTTTCCTCCGCTACCGTTGTCCTCGAATTGCCCTCGTTTTATTTAGGGCCAACAAAATTGGGATTCACGTGCTGATTCAGGAAACTTTGCAAACCTGTGCAATACGACTCGCTACAAGTATGGCATATCATTAGTCTATTTCTACCTGTTCTACTGTGTGATGTAATGTAATGTGATGCGATGTGATGTAATATTATGTGTTGTTCCTTCCCTGGCTCTCGACAACTCACCTAAAGGACGGCGTTTTAGTGGAGTTCCGATTCCCTACGTATGTCATTTCCGAGGGTGCATCTACAGAATTTCGCACATGTGTGTGTGTAAAAAATTACTCTCTGCACATGCACCTTCCTGCAGGTCTTCATGACCGAAATTGGGTGCAAAAAAGTATACATTCACTAATAATGTTTACCTTTAGTCAATATCAGGAAACAACTATACCCTCATCGAATTACAATTATAACCGTTTACAAATTTTGTTGAGACAACCATCGATTTCTATTTTTGTTTGTTCCCAATTAGGAAAGGAGATTATTAGCATTCATTTAGTTCCATTTTCAGTTAATCTTCTTTTGGATCTTGATTTAGAAAGATGCAACTCATTATCAGAAAAAACCCCCTTGTGCTGACCAGATCTCTCTCTTCACCTTATTATTGTTGTTGACATCATCATGGATAAGGAAAACCAACTGCCTTTAGAATCGTTGACCATGAGAGAAGTCACCAGTCCACGGAAACTGTTCCCGATTTTAGCTCCGGTGAATACCAATGATCCTGCCAAATTGAATGGGAAATGGCTCTCTGTCAAAGAACGGAAGGAAAGAATAATCTCTGAAACCACAGGCTTAGTGAAATTGTCATTAGCTAACGGAGAAAGACAATCTCTGGTGGTTGTTCGGAAGAAGGGCCCCCCCAATAAGAATCCAGAGACTCCAAAGAGAAATACACAGAGTGGTAGAGTTACTTCAAGTGAAAGTGATGATAGTGATGTATTTTCAGATACAAAGAATAATAATAATAATAATGCAAATATGGGACTTCCAATGTACCTCCCCATCCGACAACCATCTGCTTCCAGCACGTTAAGCAGCAGCAGCACTGACTATGAAAGCTACGCTGTGGAAACTGAGTCACAATTATTCAACAAATATTGTCAGAAACATAAGCAGTTGATTGAGATGGAAAAGAGCGTGGAGTTATTGAAGTTCGAATTGCTTGAAATATCCCACAGATTAGAAGAAGCAAAGGGTAACACCAGTGACTATAAACGCTTACCGTTCAAACAACAGTCATCATCAACGGCTGTATTAGATCCCGCTACAGTGGTTAGGTCCATCACAAAGAAAGCATCAAGTATGTTCAGTCCAGATACAGAAAATAAGGTTTCAACATTAACCAAAAAGGCCTCGTCGATATTCCAATCACAACCTCCTGATTCATCACCACTCAAGAACAAGAGATCTGTGGTGGAACTTTTCAGCAAACTTCAAGACCAATTCAATACCAATATCTCAGAGATGAAGCAAAGGAATGACGAATTGACAAACAATGCTTCCAAGTTCATGAACGGCTTAATCAACAATTTATCGCCAAAGAAGCAAGATACACCACCAATGAATCACGATGCGTCCCTCATTTTGGACGACGATACCATCTTTAACAATAGTAGTGCAATTTTCAGTGAGGATAGTCCTGATAATTCCCATATAATTCATGAAGTTGATGAAGAAGAAGAGGAAGTGAATTTCGTTGATATCGACGACTACGAACTGGAACTCGACGACTATTGAAGATACTATTAAATCATTAGACAATATTAAACTGACGCTATTAATAGTCGTCCTTCTCCTCCAACCAGCCATGAGCGCGGTCAACAGCTCTCTCCCACCGTTTCCAGTTTCTTCTTCGATCTTCATCAGACAATTTCGCTTTAAATATGGACGATTGGTTCCCACTAACTTTCAATATAACATCATCGAAATCTTTCCAGATTCTTTCATGTACATTTTTAAACGACACCCCAGCCGCAATGGCTGCTCCTAACGCCGTGCATTCATGGATAGCAGCTCTCTTAACCGTAACACAGGGTCCTAAAGTGTCGGCTTGGATTTGTAAGACTTCATTGGCATTGGATAACCCACCATCAACCATAAGTAGACTCAACGGGTTATTGTGGTCTTCAATGCTTGAATCTAGAAAGTCGTCAGACCCTCCTGCATCACTCACCATGGCCCTTAAGATACTTCTCACCTGGTAGCACACACCCTCTAAAGCGGCTCTAGCTATATGAGGTGCTCCAGTGTATTGAGTCATACCAAAGATCGTGCCTCTAGCCCCGGAATCCCAATACGGAGCATATAACCCGCTGAATGCCGGGATGAACACAACCCCACCAGAATCCGATACTTGACTGGCCAATGGTCCAATGTCTTTCGCGGTTTCAATCAACTTCAAGTTGTCTCTAAGCCATTGCACTATGGACCCAGCAACAGCTATGGAGCCTTCTAATGCAAAATGGGGTTTGGAGTCTTCACCCTCCAACGTGGGGAACCAGTAGCCCAAGGTGGTAAGCGTACCGTGGTTCAGAATCAACTTCTTTGTTCCCGTGTTGTACAAGAGGAAACATCCAGTACCATAAGTACATTTCGCGAGGCCTGGTTTGATAGCCAATTGGCCTACAAGCGAAGACGATTGGTCTCCTAAACACCCACAAATAGGTACACCTCTGAGGGTCTTGAGAACGGCATACGCTTCTTCTGTGAACTTATTATGGAACCCCAAATAGTTCAAATTAGGTGGGTTGAATTCTCCATAGTATTCAGATGACAGAACTATTTTAGGAAGTTGGATGCGGTTGGAATCAATGTCCCAAAAATCAAGTAGCTCTTGATCATAATCTAAAGTATCCAAGTTCATAAAATAAGTTCTGGAAGCATTCGTGACGTCACTAACAAAGGCCCTTTCTCTTGTTAAGTGATAAATTAACCAAGTATCAACGGTTCCAAACATTAAGTTCCCTTCACCTTTTTCGTATTCTTCTCTAATTACATCATCGTTATCTAGAAGCCATCTTAACTTAGAAGCTGAAAAATACGTAGACAACGGTAATCCCGTCATCTTCTTTAGCTTCTCCTTGACTTCATCATCGGTAGTTCTTTGTAAATGATTCACAATGTCACTTGTTCTTGTATCTGTCCAAGTAATCCCATTACTTAACGGTTTACCGGTTCTTCTATCCCAAACAATGGTTGTTTCTCTCATATTGGCAATCCCAATGGCTTTCACTCTATATTTGACGGTTGACTCGTGGTTAACCTTGGTCAACGTAAGCAAACAAGCAATTATACATTGAACTGCATTGGCTAACACATGAACTGGCATACACTCAACCCATCCAGGTTGTGGGAACCTCAAGGTGGGACCAACACTTGCATGGTTGTTCTCAATCATAACATTGTCATTAACGGTGATGACAACCCCCTCCGCAGAGAAAATAGGCTCATTGTGTCTTGCTAACGAAGATCTTCTTCTGAACTGTTCAGTGTTAGATTCACTGGACCCTTCACTTGCAGAAGTACTGTATTCTATTTGATGCTTGGCTAACTCTTGACCATGGTCGTCAAAGATAATGGCTCTGGTAGACGTGGTTCCAATGTCAATGGACAACACCACTGGACTCCAAGGGACGCTATTGGCTCTGGGCATTAGTAATCGATTTAAAAAATTGAGAAGAAAGATTGCTTTAAAGTACTATTGTTAGGTACTCCCTTTCATTCGTGTAAGGTTTTGCTTATAATTTTGGAGGCTATCAAATTCGTGCATGCAGCAACCTTCGACAATTGCTTAATTCGGCTAAAATATTGCAGTGTGGGCGTCGCATGTACTGTATGTAGCTGGGCTATTCTTAATATAGGTTTCATGCAATATATATGTATATTTAATATATGCCATACTATACACAGCCTAGTAGTAAATTATAATCTGCTTCATCAAAATCAAATAATAGTACCATCTTCAAAAGATTTACCTTCAACAACGCTCTCTAAGTTTTCACCACTATAAGATATTAATGGAGAGATTTCAACCAATCCATTGGTCGATCCACCATTTTGTTTAAGCCAGCTGGTATTAAGTTTCAACAAATCCAATCTGCATGTGGTTGGAGTATCATTAGAAGCGGTATCGGCATTCTTCAAAGGAGAAAACTCTTCTGATCTATTAACCTCAAGACATCCAAACTTTGACATATCAACAGATGGGAAAACATCAAATATAAATTGTTCCAATTTAATACCATTTGGTTCAGTTGGTTTATAATACTCCCCATTTTCATTTAGCCCAGGAATCTTCTTTTTTGCAATATGGAATGGTAAATATTCTCTTGAAGAAATCCATTTTGGAACGTATTTAACAAGCAAATCAACAGAATAATAATGATTCACAATGTTGGCAGCTCGAAGATATAATTTTGATTCATCATTAGAATCCTTTTTATTGGCTAATTCCTCAGAAATTTCAGAGTATTCAATGACACTTGGTCTTTGGGTATCTTCATCCATAACGATTAACCCAACACTTTCATTGGCACTTCTCTTTCTAACAACTTTAGTGCACAACTCCTTTTGTTGATCAATGGCGTATCCAATGAAAATAGGATCTCCAACTTTAACCAAGCAGTTATCAACGCAATACATATGAATATGTTTAATGCCGTTCTTTTGGAAGGAGTCCACAATTCCGTTGTCATAAAGAGCTTTATATAAACCCCCGTTACCATCTGGAGATTCGCAAATCTTGTCTTTCTTCTCCATTAAAATCTTCGTACCATCCAAGTTGAAACAGGGCAAAGTGCCTTGATCAAAGAAGGTGATTTGACTGGATTTTAATCCAAAGTAATTGTTAGATTGGAAAAACTCTTCAGTAGCAGGTCTGGTAGGACCAGAAGTCATAATATACCAATTTACAACCACTTTTTCCAACTCTTTATTATACGTTTCAGCAGCCAATTGTTGCAACTTGATGATTCTCTCTGCTTGTATTTGAAATAAGGATTTATGACTTGGAAGTCCAATATCATAGCATCCTTTAGGTGCAGTTGATCCTAATCTTGTACCTTGACCACCAGCCATTAAAAGAATCCCCACTTCATTATTTGCCACTGCTTGTAAACCCAATTTCCTCCATTTGTCCTTGACATCATTGGCTACTTCCAAGAGAGAAGCCGTTGATTCAGAGGGCAATTGAGCAAACTTCTTGCTTGAAACATTACTACCGGAAAACTTGATGGCATCACCGACTGTAGACACCAATTCCTTTGGGTTAGAGCCAATTTTTGACAACTGAGCTTCCAATGCCAGTTTTTGATCTTCGTTTAACTCATCGTAGTACGCGAATAAATGGTCCTGATTGGCTGCCTCGAATGCTTGCTTAACAGATACCATACCTTTTTGAATTACTGTATTATTGTTGTCTGTTGTGCTAATGAAATATGACACGTCGAATAAGAAGCTGCTTAATAAATAATTTCATAAAGTCATCTTTGCTCTTCTTTCGTTTCACTCGTGCCTAAATATAACTTATGCATAACCGAATTAGAAAGACGTACACAAGGCTGTATGCAGGGCAATGGACAATCCTATAAGGAGGTTTTCTTTACTACTGTGTTACTGTATACATTATTCATATGTGCCATAAATAATTTATCGGTTTTACATCCTCCGTCTACAGTCATAAATGTTCTAAGCCATCCGGTCTATGGTGTCCGTTCTATGTAATTCATTGTATTCTATCTGTTCTAGACGTCTTAATACAGTGTTCTTTATACAGTGTCACCTCATGGTACTGTGATTTACTGCGACAATCCAAGTATCTTGTTATCTGAGTACTGGTAGTAAACTGTTCTATACTTACATTGACTTTATCTGTACAATATTAATTCGTATCATGGAAAGACTATAAAACCCTATGAAAATAAAAGAGGTTATAAATGAAATGAAGGGTATACTAGCGAGTGAAAAGGATATATTTTGATCCTCACAATAAAAGAGTTATTATAATCAACTTAAATAAGAGCAGCCATAATACCACCCATAATCAAGGATCCAACACCAACGGAACCCTTGATGAATGCACCGTTAGAAGCCTTGGTGGAAGAAGAAGATGAAGATCCAGATGAAGATCCAGAGGTTGAAGATCCAGACTTGGAAGATGATCCAGATGTAGACTTGGAACTACCAGAGCTTGCTGAAGAAGATTGAGTAGGAGCTGAACAGTTGTAGTTGTGACCCTTGATGTCGTTGTTGTCATGCAACTGGTCGAAGGCGTCACAAGAAAAGTTATCGTTGGTACTTTCAAATGAAAAGTCACCAGCAACATTCTTTAAACCATCCATGGTAAAGTTTGAAAAGTCACCAGCAATGTTGACAGCACCTCTAATGGTGTTGATTTCATTGAAAGCATCTTCAGTGTCACTCAACTTGGAGTTGTTAACCATGTTGAATTCACCACCAATGGTGGTCAAATCTTTGAATGAAAGAGATTTCAATTCTTCATTGTTAATAATTCGAAGAGAACCACCAACGGACTTTAAGGAGTCCAATTCAAATTCATCAAACAAGTTGTAGGCAATAACAAAGGATCCGTTAACGGCAGTCAAGTTGGAAGCAGATAAAGAAGAGATATCTTGAATGGTCAAGTTAGAAGCCCAGATCAAGTTATCCAATTTAACTTCAGCTTCATCATTGTTGAAGGAAAGAATCAAAGTATCAGAAACAGTTTCCAAAGGCAAATCAAGACTAGTGATGTTTTTGTTATTGTTGATATCCAAATAATCAATGTCAGTAATACTCAATGGGAAGGCACTTAAAGCGGTATCGGAGACTTCAATGTGAGAAGCCTTGGAGATACCCTTGTTCAAGTTAAGAGTGGCCAAAGAGGGCAAAGAGATCAACTTCAACTGTTTAACTAAAGACAAACTTGTAAAGTCAATGTTAGATAATTGGGTCAAGGCAACGATATCCAAAGAACCAGTGATGTTAGCTAAAGATGAAAACACAAGGGAAGTGATGGATGAAGAATTGGTAACAGTAACATCACCCTTGATGGATTCAACGGCACCCAAGTCGACGGCACCAATGGCATCACCGTTAATCTCAATGGTACCATCTAAAGTAGGACAAGCATTTAAAGCATTCAATGAAGCTTGAGCAGTGATGGTGGTCAGGAAAGAACATGAAGCAGAACTGGAAGAAGCAGCAGAGGAAATTCCAGCCAAGGCAGTAGCCAAAACGATCAATGTAGTCTTCATATTAAGAACTTTATATGTGGTGGTGAGGAAGGAGGGAAGAAGAGAAGAATTGAAAGAAGGTATGAAAATTCTGGACGGAACTAAATCATTATAACCGAGCCCAAAAAAAGCCCAACCAAAAAAATTTTGTTAAGGACACCACCGACACAATTCCTGCAGCCGTCAAGGTGGTATGGTAGTTTGACATGGAAATGATAAGCAGACAATAAGCTTATTATTGTGTGTGCATTATTAGTGTCTGTTTGAGTTGTGTTAGTGTCTGTTAGTTACCGTGTATGTTGTTGGAATTACATTAATGTCTGTACATGTTCGTTACTACTATTAATGTACTACTGTTGGTGGTTTCTATCTCTGTTTACTGTCTGTGTGTTACTGTCTCAGTATTACTACTAGCAGGAATATGCTTGAGAACTGAAACTCTAATTCGTGTTGCATCTTTTTTGCCATACCTTGAAAAGGGGTTCAATAAACGTGAAACCAAAAGACTCCAATATCAGGCGTTCGCTTTGGGTAAACAAACAATACATAAATACACAAGACACGACAATAGCACGAAAGGTAAACACAAACAACAGAGCTTGTGTCACAAAAAACAAGGCTCAGCCACTGTGATGAGCTCGGCACCTAACAATTAACCACTCCATCAATTGTGGACTTCCAACTGATGGTTATAATATTATCATGTACATCAGGGTGGTATATTAGGTGGTGGCAGTATCAGACATACTCTAGGAGTATCAGATATACGCCCGAAAATAGTTTATTGTAGCAATGTTCATATTTCTACAGTACTAGCACCAATATACGAAGAAAACCATGTAATAAAGATTGTAACGTAAGCCAATAGCAATACTAAAAGAAAACTCTATTACCTCTATTACCTCTGCTGTTAACTCTAATTTCACTACTCAAGACTCATGAAACAATAGTAGTTAAAACTAATTCATAACTGATTGATTGAGAAGTAGAACAGATCGATCCGAATAGAGAATATTAGCGCATCAGCAAGCTAATAAACTACCAACTCCAACACTATCTATATTACTACTACTACTTTAGTACCCATTCCACTACTTTGCACACACACCTATATACAACAATTAACATCAACAATTTCATATGAGGGACACCACTTACCCAATTGGGGGATTAGCGTCAGTACGCGTCCTATCTTGGTTTTACCCAGTCACATCCCATCATTTTATCCTCTTTGGGTCTTTACATAAACAGCACCTCTTTTTGTACCCTCTCTCTTAAACATCAACACTCAACTCAAATACAGCCTCCTCCTACCCTTACATCTTCACAGAAGATCCGAAAGCCAAACCAGACCCGGAACAATACGTGATTTCGATCTCTCATGAGTGAAGATGAAGATGAGTCAATGACTCAAACAATTGACTTCTTCAGAAACGAAAATGGTAAGTAAAGTCCAAATCATAATTATAAACAAAAAAAACAACTGCAAAAAATTTGTGTACTAACTAAAATTGTTTTAGAATCTGTTGACTTACTCTTAAAGGAAATGAACCATGATCCCAATGAATATAACGCACTTTTAAACGAGACAATGTCTCTAACAAGCTCTCCAACAAAGCCTCTAAATTTCCTCAACAAGGACCACACCCAAGAATTGATCAGCTCCATTCTTTCACTGTCCAAAGAAAACAATTCCAGTTCAGACACTTATACTAGTGACACAGAAGGCGCAACCCAACAGGGCGACACTCTCAAGAAGTCCACCACAACGGCTACTGAGAATAGTAGTAACATTATTAATCCACCATCTATCTTGAAGAAGTCAACCATGAACTCTCCAAAGAAAGTTCTTTTCACAGACAACACTCCTGAAGTTCATTTATATCCTCAGGAAATATCTGCTTCTGAAGAGGACGAGGATAAAAGTATCAGTTTCGATTCAAATGGAATAACACATGAATGGAATGATCTACAGGCTCCCCAAGACACTTCACCTTCAAACCCCTCTCTGTTACAATATTCTGCTTCTGCTGCTGCTACTGAAATTTTGAAAGATACCGGAGGTGTTGTTGTAGATGATGAAGACGGAAATGAAGTGCTTGAATTAACAAAATCACAGTTAACAAAACATAGTTCTCATAGTGATTTGACCTTGACTGAAAAAATGTCTTATTTCTTGGATAATCGTAACGAAAATCATGATGATGAAGATTTGGATGTCCATTTGGGGAAATTAGAAGGTGCATTTGATAATAAAACTCACCATAATATTCTGTCATTATCAAAAGATATTCAAACTCATAGAAGTCCTGTTCAAGAATCAATGTTGGATTCTCTTGCTAAAATTGGTAACGAAGAATCTGAATTAAGATCTTCTGGTTCATCCCAATCTTCGTTAGCATCTTTGGCTCAATCAAATAGACAATTGATTTCCCAATCTTTAGGAAACTCAGTTCAAGGTATTCAAATGAAAAACGGAGTTAAAGGTGTTACCGATGATTTCATAGATCAATTGGCTCCTCAAACCGATTCTCATAAAGTTCAAGATGAATCAATACAATTACCTTTGAGTAAGGTGGTACCACCAACATCTCCAAGAATTGCCATTCTAAGTACAGAAACCTCATCTAATGATGAATTCCATGATTCTTTCGATCAGAGTTATGTACAAACAGAGCAATCCATTATGAACCTTTTAAATGCTTCTGCTAAAAATACTCCCATATCAAGCAGTGTACCCAAATTTGGTGAACAATCTAATGGACAATTGAAATATGAAACCCCTTCTCTGCTGGATTTACCACTGCCCGATATTGATGAGCCTTCAATGATTGAAGCTAACGGTCTTCATACTCAAACGGAATCTCATCATGCTCCAAAGCCATCACCACTTCAATTAAAACTAAATACACAACAGCATGGCCATATTATTAAGACTGAACCCCTTGATGGAGGAGAGTACATCATCAAGAAAGAACCTACGGATGGTTCACTTGTGTCCTACATTGATCAAACGGATGGTACATCATTTGATGGATCTGAAAATGGAGCGAAAGTCGAAAGTGTTAGTGGATATGGAAGACATTCCGATTCAAGAGATGTTAAACTTGTTAAGACCCCACCGTTAAGTCCAGGGAATCCCTCACCTAGCAATAATAATGATTCGGTGAATGATTCATCGGTTGCTGATGAATCTTCATTGAAATTCTCCATTAGATTCCAAATGGATAGCGACTGGAAATTGGAATCAAGTCATGATGGTGATAAAGAAGATAATACTGAATTTACAAACAATAATTTTTCACAAGCTAGGGCTATTAATACAGAAGAGAATTTATTAGATGATATCCAAACTGGTTCAAGAAATGAAATTGATTCCAATTCTAATTCTAATAATGATAATAATGAAAAGCAAGAAGTTAGAAAAGAAATATCTAGCCTTGAACCTCCTTTCTCCACCAATAAAAATAATACTAATAATAATGATAATAATAATGATAATAATATTAGTATTAGTGATAATACTAATGATGAAAATTCCAATGATTTACAGATTAATGCCTTGGCCAACTCATCCAATGTTGCACCTCCAGAAGATTTCACCTTACCAGATATTGAGCCTAACTTGCATACCTCATTTGATGAAATTAGCAAAAGCTTACAAGCTGATTATTATGAAGAATCTCTCTCTGCTGAGTATGATCTTGCAAATAAAAAGACTGATTTCCGTGATATCTGGCATTCCCAAAGACAAAAGAATAAACGCGAAGGTGCTGTTAAGAAGCCTTTGACGTCTATTCCTGTTTCACAATCAACATATTTCAGTTCAGTTCATTCCAGTTTACCAACTCCACTCAAATCAAACAGGAAGATTTTCAAAGAGATTAATGTCACCACGAGAAGAGTTGTTTCACCTGGATTTGAAGATTTGCAAGTTTCAGGTTTTTTACCTGAACTTTCTGAAGATTCTGGATTTGCTAGTAAGTTTCAATTTAATTCCAGTGAAGCAGCTGCTGCAACGCCTGAAGTCACTACTACTGAAGAAGTCAAACGTCCTTCACAACCCAAAAATCCTAGAATTAAGATCCATTCAATACCTACAGTCAATACTTCAAACATTCTTGACAATGTTGATGATAATCCCAATGTAGTTGAACCACCACTCCCACAAAGAAGTGGTTCAAGAGGTAATTTCAAGGTGAATTACGCTTCTGCTCCACAAGAACATCGAATAGAATCCAAAGCGTCATTACTTCAACAAAGTGCCAATAAGAAACCTTCCAGATTCAGGGTTCCTACATTTGAAATCAAAAGGACAAAATCTGCTCTTTCACCGATTGATAAATATAATAATGATATCTTTTCTGATGTTTTGGGCAAGCGAAGCTCTTCCATTCATGACAAACCTACCATAATGGGTAATGGTATGAAAACATTACCCAGTATGGATCGTGAGGATGTCAAGAGAATCTTGAGTACCAAGAGATTAATTAGTCAGGATGAATATAAAGAAATGAAACTAAATCATATGGAGAAAGATACCATTATTACCATGCAAAACGGTAAAAAATTTGATGAATTGCAACAGCATGCTTCAATTTATAATATGTCTTCAGAAGATGATCGTGGTGAAGCAGATACATTACCAACTCATATTGCCAGTGAATTATTGAAGACGCCCACAGAGCTTCAAGAGAAGGATGGTTTTTTTGGGATTGAGCATGATGCCTTTACTAGTGTTGATAATAATCCACTGCTGACTTTGGTTCCTCCTAGACCTAAAAGAACTGCTATTAAGATCAACCTTTCTCCAACAAAGAATTATGAAGGAGAACGATTCCCTGAGTTTTCTGTTGAGGAGCCTGAACCAGAAAAGGAGGTTAGTGATCCAATATTTAACGGTAATGAGATTGTTCATTCTAAGATTAGAACCAAAAGACTTAGTTCTTATAATCGTACTCCTCCTTTGGACTTGAATGAATTTGAACACAAAGATGACATCAACCAACAAAGGCAGATTAGCACTGTTTCTGTTCCAACTATTGAGAGTAAGGATACTACTCACTCTGTAGTGAACCACAATGTGACTTCACCTCGTTTGACCACCATTGCTCAAGAGTACCGAAAGAATAATGGTGTCCAACCACAAACATCAACAGTTTCTGAATCTTCTTCACAAGAAGAAGAAGAATCAGGGAGATTATTTTTCAAGGTTATAGGAATGAAAGGCATTCAATTGCCAGATATTGGTGATCATAATGGGAATGTCTCGGTTACCTTGGACAATGGGGTTCATTGTATCAAGACCCCTCAATATGGACTTCAAAGCAATAGCGTATTAATAGGAAAGGAGTTTGAATTGGTGGTTGGTCGATCGTTACAGTTTATATTGACCTTGAAGATGTCTTATCATCAACCTAAAGATAAGCTTGTTGAAGTTAAGGAAACCAAAAAGGTCAAATCCAAAAACAGATTCAGTAGAGTCTTCGGTAAGAAGGACCTTATCACGGAGACCAAAGTGGTAACCAAAAAGATTAAAGACAGTTGGCAAGATACATTTGCCCAAGATGGATCATTTGCTAGATGTTATGTTGATTTAAGTCAATATGAACACAAAATCAGTGGTAAAGCTTTATCATTTGATTTGACCTGTTTTAATGAATGGGCCACTTATGATGTCAATGGCACTAAAACCAAAAAGAAACCTTACAAGATTGGACAACTTGAAGTGAAGATGTTATTTATTCCCAAGACCCATAAGAATGAACCCATGCCAGCAAGTATTGGCCATGCTTATAGAAGCATTGAAAAGCTTCAACAAGAAGCACAGATTGAACTTGATGGGTATATGAATCAGGAAGGTGGGGACTGTGAAGTATGGAAGAGAAGATTCTTTAAATTAAGAGGAAGCTCCTTAATAGCCCATAGTGAAATCTCTCATAAATCAAGATCAAAAATTAACTTATCAAAAGTCGTTGATGTTGTTTATATGGATAAAGAGAACACCGCTTCTACGACGACGACTGGAAAGAAAAATGTTCGGAACTTTACTGATGGATTATTCTTTGAAAATGCCTTCCAAATCAAGTTTGCTAATGGTGAAGTTATAACATTTGGAGCAACCAATGAATTAGAGAAACATTCTTGGGTGAAAGCCATAGAGAAAATCATTTACGATAACCAATTCCGGAGGTTACCTTGGGTTAGACTCATGTTGGAGAGAAACCTGCCAGATATGTTTTAATTTAATGTATTATTTATTGAAATTGGTAGATATATATTACATAGACTCTTATAAGAGTCAATGATTACGTAATATCTTATGCAATATATTTAATCTTGACTTTTAATATTTCAATCAGTAGCTAACACTAACTTTAGTATTACCAAGCACTAATCATACAAAAGAGTTCTGGCATACGATGGATGACGACGAAGCGTTCCTATATGGATCTGATGACGAGTCAGGTGCTCCACCAGCGAAAAGAGCCAGAGTTTCCAACGAAGGCACAAACGAAGGCAAAGAAGCACGAGACGAAGTACAAGACAACAACGACAATGCAAAAGTTGAAGAAGAAGATGACGATGATGACGACGATGATGATGATGACTCAGATGACTCAGATGACGATATAGAGTTTATTATAGGCGAAACAGGATCAAAAGCAACAACTACAGAAGTGAAAGACAGTGGCGATGCTTCTACCAAGAAGCCTGGACTGAGCAATAGTACTGGTAATAATGATACCACCACCACTATAGTACTTAAAGATTCCGAAAGCAAAGTTGGGCTGCTTGATATTGATAAGGTAGCTGAACTCGATGGTAAACCTTTAACACAAGTTGATTTAGAGAAGCTAAAGAATAAACCTTGGAGAATCCCCGGGGCAGATATAACTGACTATTTCAATTATGGATTTGATGAGTTCTCCTGGACTGCTTATTGTCACAAGCAAGATAAGCTAAGAGGCGAGTTCAATCCTCAGAAGCTTATGGCACAGCTTTTGGGGTCTACACCCATGCCTCCCCCACCTAACAATAAGAATGGTGGTGGTGGTAACCAAATGGGAATGCCACCTATGATGCCAGGGATGCCCGGGATGCCTCCAATGATGGGAGGGATACCAGGTATGCCACCTATGATGAACATGCCCAACTTACCTCCGTTCAATCCCAACCAGCCATTTCCCCCAATGCCTAAAAAGTAGTCATTACTCTGGCCTTTCACTATGTACATTAGAGAATAATATATATATATATATATATGTATTCGTCCCGTTCTTTACATATATTTGCGTATTCCTTGTATGTAGTTGCGTATTCTTTGCATGTAGTTACATGAAGTTACATATTCTTCGCATACTTTTTGCATTCTTTACATATTACTATTTTTACTCGTCATCACTCTCTTCCTCAGCATTCTTTAACCATTCAATAAATGGCTTAGCAGCCTTTCTAACCTTCTTTGAAATATCTTTAGGAACATATTTCTTGGATACCTTAGATCCCCAATTGACAATGACTTCTTCACTAATCAAATCATTGTTATAAACTTTAACCAACACTTTAGGAACCAATGGAATCAAATCAGGCTTTTCTATACCAAAGAATCTTTCCAAACCTCCCAAAAATGCCTTTTCATAATCTTCATCTCCAACAATCAATTTGGCCAATAAACCTTGATGCTCATCAAGTTGTTCAACAATGTTTTCATCAAATAAGCATTGGGATAACACTTGGACGGTCTCAGGCTTTTGAACAATGTCCAAATCAACAATCTTCTTATAGATTTCAACATCACTTGGTAAATCTTCTTTACCTTCCTTACATTCTTCCAATAACCAGTCACCTAATTCATTGAACTTCGATAAAGTGGAGTCTGCTCCTAAAGCACCGGTGTTCAGAGCTCTGGCTCTGGCTTCAATGGCCTCTTGAGACATATCAACAGCCCATTCGTCATCCTTGATTTCAACTTGGGCCAAAGCTGCAGCTTCAGCATTGATCTTCTTGGTCAAAGCATCATCATCGTCATTTTCTTCACCTTCGTCACCGCCTAAATCACCGTCTTGGCCTTGGGCAATATCAGAAATGGATTTACCACCTCCAACAACATTGGCAGTAGCAGTGGCAGACTTCTTACCCTTTTTATCCTTAGCACCAGCTGGTGGGTTCTTCAAAATGTATGAACACAACTTATGTCTAGGATCAATGTCAGTGATATGACCACATGCCTTACAATCTCTTTGTAAATGGTCTCTACCCTTGATTTCAATTTGAGTTTCGGGATTCTTACAGTTACCACAAAGAACAAACTTATTAATGAACCCATCTAAAGAATCTTGCAATTCGTTGGCATCATGAGTACCATTGACCAAATAACGGTCTTGGTCTTCTTGAATAGCTGTCAAAGCACCCAATTCAGAACCAAAATACTTGATAACATATGCTGGAGGACGTCCCAAAGCTCTGGAAACTTCACTCAAGTTAACAATCACCGTCTTAATACCGTTACCTCTACCTTCCACTTTGGATTGGATCGGAGGCATCTTATAACGGTAAAAGGGATCCGTGTTGTCACGACAAATATTAATAAACGACATTCTTGCTTAGGGAGACCTTCTCGGGTGTATGGACATCCACGTTTGTTATGTATTGATATGTGATTTTAATTTGCCATCAAACCAATTCACACCTTTTGAAGACACTCTCAGGTTTTGTATTATCGTTTTTAAGTGCACAACTAAAATCAGTATAGGAAAAATTTTTCATGACCCTCGGAAAACCGAAACAACCCTCGGAAATAATGAGATACGAGGCAAACTACCATATAACCTTTCAATTACATTAATTATTTGATCAATGTTTTTGGAAACCCATCAACTTTTGAAAGAACAATGCATTTGTTAGTATGAGACAAATAGCCTTTGACCTTTCCATCAAATATTAAGTTGGCTAATATACATTCAATCTCAGCCAACGGAACCTCTACACCAACGACATTTGAAGTTTTGGAGGAGGATGATGCAAATGAAATAGACTTTTGAAAGGCATTGAGGGGAACAATATGACTAGAAGCAGAGTCAAGATTAAGCTCTTTCACTAACATAGCTGTCTTCTTTATTAATTTGTAGTAACACAAGGAACGTAAACCAGGCACCAAAATGTAGATATGGTTTCTTAGAAATAGCAATTGGAATTCATTGATAGATTTATCAAAGAGTTGAATATCACCAGTGCAAATAGCCTTCAATAAACGGTCTTGAAAAATATATTTAATCACTGGATAATCTTGGTATACTCTTTCAGCAGGAAGTAAACGATTATTAAGCAATGATAACGGTATAAGTAAAAGGAGGATTCTCATGGTTTGCTTATTGGAAGGTTTGGGTTTTGATTTGTAAAAGGTGATAAGATGAAAGGCTAAACTTAAATTATCTTGAGCCTTATTCAATTCATTTGCATCAAGTGCTAAAAGTGCAGTGTAGTATAAATAAATCACAGAATACTTTTTAAACTGATAATCTCTTATATTTGGAATAGGGAATCTTGTTCCATGAATAGCTCTTTCAATGGATTGTGCAAGTTCATATTTACCCAATTTGAAATAAAGTTTAATTAGACATCCCGCAAAGAAATATATATCATTTCTTTTACTTGTTTTCAAGTCGGAGTTTTTATCGGATAATGCTTGTTTGAGAGCTTTGTTTATGGTTGTTACTACCAATTCACAATTAGCAGTTATACTAGAACCTTTTACACTCTTCTTATTATTATCTCTTTGAGCCATTCTATTCCGTACACCAAGCGTCGTGACTAAAGTCTCGCATAAATGAATAACAACAGGGTTTATCCAACTATCTTCTGTTTCTGCTGCCTTAATGGTACAATCAGTTAACTTTATCAATTGAACAAATACATCTTGTAAGTTCTTCTTCTTGTGGATGGCTCTCATGACTTCAAAATGTGCTAAAGCCACTGGTCGATACTTTTCTGGCAAGTAGCCGAAATCAAACTCATTGACAACAAGATTTGCTCTTATATCTCCCGGTGGATTATTAGGGTATATACTAACACAATCAATTAGAAGTTGGGCATTATTCGAAGTAATGGCGGTTAAGAAAGTGGTTAAATAATCTTCTACTTTAAAGCCTGAGCCAGCTAGAGAAGAGCTCTTGCCGTTATAAGCCATTTCTTGTCAACTAATTGTTTCAATTAAGGATAGAAGACACATTGGTACAACATTGATGGGGGTGGATGGTATGAGAAGATTTGGTGTTTGTGTCCAATGCTTACGTAATTACGCGCCTACACTCTTAAAACTAAAACTACGGTAGTTACTCCAGACTCAAGATAAAGTTAACTATATTAAAGAGTATACTAACAATGCTTATAGTGTTACAAAAGTAATACTAATTAAAGATTAGTGCATTCATACTATGCATAGTATGCACTATAAAGGAGTTCATATATGCCTCAGAAAAAGCCATGCATGGTCGACCGACACTCACGCCTTCTCAGGTTCGGTCTGTCGGCAAGTGGCTGTGGCAACCCCATGGGCTACTACAAGGAGGAAAGAGGCACAATGTGAAGCGTTATTGGGGACATACTGGTAATTCTACAGAACTCTTATTCTAATGCTATGGTACCACCATTGATACCGCTAAGTAAGTATTTCCATGCCTTTTGTAGTACTTTCTGACTTAAATGTAGCGAATCTACAGAAAATCGTATATACATCATGGCACAACTATTTTGTGTGTTTCACACAATAATCAAGCAACTTTGTGGTCCAGACCCATTATGGAAGCAGCCCCTATTTAGTTAATGCTCTACTGAATATCGTGGTCGCAATAATAACCAGTTAGTGGCTTATGTTACCCCTTTTCTATACTTTCACCGTTTTCTGTCGACAGAGAAACTCAGGCAGAAAGAAGATATACGAACAAATATATACAAAGCATATAATACACTACACTACACCACAGACATACACGACAGATACACACTGATCGACCTTACACTCCAGTAGTATATGGTCATATACGGTCATATACAGACACATAGGCATATTAGATACGCCATACATTAGACACTACTTTACAATACTAGACCGCACCTCAGTACACGATTCAGGTAGTGCACTCGTGCCTCAAATTGCTAACTATTTGTGCCAGCAATTGGTGCTATAATTCCCGTCCATACCGTCGTTCTATATTGGAAAAACCAATCCAACCATTGATTGATTCAGCCAACAATTAACTTTAGTTCTCATTCCATAATTGTCAGATACCTTGTGTGGTTTACCTTTTAAAATATTGCAACCATCAATAAGTTCATATAGTTGGCAGCTACTGCGAGTTACCTAAAATGTCTTCATTCATGGATTCAAGTGGACACTTGGGATTCGACGATGATGATCATTCGCCACCATTGATCTCGTTAACACCTTCAAGAATAGGAGATTCCCTTGGGGCAACCACTCAGAAATCAAGAAGCAGAGCAGGAACTTTACCTTCGTCCTTCCTTTTGAATCCAACGTCAGGTAGCTCTAATGCTTCATCTTCTCCATTGCTTATCCCCAATTCAGACTCCCTTTTATCTCATCACAGTGGGAACAGTTTCCCCGGTCATAACTCGTTACTTTTAAACCCTCATGACAATAATAATAATAATAACAATAATAATAGTAATAATAATAATAATAATGCTTCTTCAGGGTCTTTTCTAGATATTGGTCCAACGTCTCGCCGTATGCGTTCAGGTTCACTTTTCTCAACCAATTCCATCTGGAACGACGAAGCTTTAGCCCATTCGCCTTCACAGTCTCACACAGGGTTGAACTTCGATAACATTAGCTTACATTCATTCGATACTATAAACTCCAATAACAACGCTCCAAATACTTGGAGTTCAAATGGTGGCCCTACCACGTCTTCCAACACAACAGTATCTTCGTCTAATAATAACAATAATAATAACTCCAATTCAAACAATTCCTCGGGTTGTGTATTCAGTCCTTTGATGTCGTCTCAAGGGGGAAGTTCCTCCGCTGCAAATCCATCGTCCACGCAAGCCTCAACCAACTTCAAGTACCAACAGTCTCGTAACAGGGCTTACACTACTGCTGGTCCCGGACCGACTAATGCTTCACTTGGGATGAACTTCTTTCCTTTGATGTCTCAACATATGCTTAATACTAATCAAGTGCACCCTGACCAAAATAGACAACAACAACAGCAGCAACAATGGTCAATGAATGGTTCAATACCTTCTATGGCGTTGCTGACTTCGCCCCAAGTTAATCCTTCTGATGCTTCTCATAATTTGACTCTGGGAATCAATAATAACAATAACTCGAATATTAATAATATTGGGAATGGCTCGGATATAAACATGCTATTGGATGGATTGCTCAATGAGAATGACTATAAAGCCATCCAACGTCATAGAGCACAAACTTACTCAGGATCAACCACCATGGTACTGGAACATTCAATTCAAGCCATGAATCAACATTATCAACAGATGCAACAACAACAACAACAATCCATGATGTTCAACAACACTGGTGCTCCCAATTTACAAGATGAATTTGACTTTAATCAACTCATAATTACGACTACTTTTGAAAATACCCAGTTGGGTCCAACCCAATACCTTTTATTTGATAACTTGCCCCAGTATTTAGATGCTGATAGCTTGTTGTCTATTTTGAACAGTGCTTCTTCAAGTACTCAAAAGGTATCAGGATTCCTACAAAAGGAAATGGCAGTTAGAAGTATTCGTATGGCCACGGTATCACCCCCTCCTCCTCCTGGCAAGAACCAGAACCAAAATAGTACCAATTCTAATCCCAAAATTGCCTTGGTCGAATGTGCAAATGTTGACATTGCCATGGCATTAAAAGCTAGATTTAATCATTTAGAAGGCGCTCCCGGGAAGATGATTTTTGTTGCCTTTGCCCAAATTATTGAAGATAAGAGTTTTGTTCCTATTCACAAACAGCAGCAACCTATGAATGACCTACAAACTAATAATATTACTAGCAATAGTTCAACAATTCATAAGCAAAATGCTAATTCCAACCTGAATAGTTTTGTTGAACCAAAGCTGGAAGATGGTAAATCAATTCAGCATACTGACATTGGTGCTATAAAGGATAGGCTAATGCATTATATTCGACTTTTGAATGATAGCAGCAACGATATTGATATGAATAAGGTTGAATCCTTTATGAACCACTGTGTGGCATATCCAAAGGATTCTTACCAGAATAATTTTGGACCATTGCCCGAGCCTATAGCTTTGAGACAATTTGACTCACCAAAGTTAAGAGAGTTAAGAAAGATTTTGGAAAACAACGAAAATGCTCTTCTGGAAGGTGGTGGTGATAATTGTGGGAATAAGTTTAATTCAAAAGACCATCAATTTCTGAAGGAACATGAAAATGAAGAAGATGAACACAATACAGAAAGAATCATGACAACTATCGAATTAGAGGAATTAGCTTTGGCTATGTTGGACGAATTACCTGAACTTTGCTATGATTACTTGGGTAATACTATTATTCAGAAATTATTTATTGTCATTGAATCACCAGTTATCAAGTTGCTAATGGTCAAAGAGATTGTTCCATATCTTACACAATTATCTATCCATAAGAATGGTACTTGGGCCATTCAAAAAATTATTCACATTGCAAGTTTAAGTTCAGAAGATGTCCAACAAAAGCAATTGATTGGTAATAGCTTGAAGCCATACGCAGTCAAATTATTTAATGATCAATTTGGTAATTATGTTTTACAAGGGTGTATTAAATTTGGACCACCATTTAATGATTTTATATTTGAAACAGTTTTGGACAATTTTTTGGAGATTAGTTTTGGAAGGTTTGGAGCTCGTTGTATCCGGACAATCTTAGAAACTGCTGATGGGAAGACCATCACTAAGGAACAAGTTAGCTTGGTTGCTGCATTGATTGTTGAATATGCCAATGACTTGGTGGTCAATAATAACGGGTCCCTTTTGATCACATGGTTCTTGGATACTTATCATGGATGTAGTACTGATGATAAACTTTTGCTTTTAACAGAGAAGTTCTTACCCCATTTGGATATGTTGTGCAGTCATAGATTAGCCAACTTGACGATCTTAAAGATCCTTAATAATCGTGCTGAGTTGAAATCAAAACTGTTAATCATGGAAGCTATATTTGGACAGTTTCATGAAAGTGAAGTTGATAATGCTAAACCACCATCCAAATTGCTTGAACTGTTATTAAAAGAGAACATCAACATCAAGGAGAACAACACCGCTAACAATAGTAATGATACGAATAATTCTGGCCCATTATTCATTTACAAGATCTTGTCTACTGCGTTATCTCTGACATACGATACGGATTCAGTCAAGAGCTTGAAATATCAACAGTATATCACACAACAGATTAGAAGGATCTTATTAGAGGTTAATGTGATCAACTATCAACCCTACAAAAAGTTAATGGATGAAGTAGGATTAGCGAGCACCCGTCTCAACAGGTCTTCGTCTATTACCAGACGGAATAAGCGCAACAACAGAAGTACTGGAGGAGCAGGAGGAGGAGGAGGAGGAGGAGGCAACAATGGAAGTCATAAGAATGGACATAAGAACAACATCAACAATATTAACAACGGATATGGTGGAGGACATAACCCCACAAACGGGAACCAACAATCAGGATATAACAATATTTACAATACTATGGGAATCATGGGAATGGGTAATAATAACAACAACACTAATAATATGATGGGACCCGTTCAATATGGATCAATGCAACAACATCAATACCCTCCACAAGGTATGTACCCCACTGGTGGTAATTATTATGGAATGGGTCCACCACCTACAGGAGAACCTCCACAAGGTCCTTATACCGCAGGAGACTATCAAGTGATGCAACAATTGGAACAATTATCGCTTAGTTCTGCTGCTTTAGGGTACGTTTCCAATCCTGGAACACCATCTGTTGCCTCCAACCAACGCAATTACTTTTAATTAATGTAGTCATGAGCATAGAGAGTATGTACAATAACGAGCATATTACTATACATAAACGTATACAGTAGTACAACAGTATGATACATACTACAGTATACTACTATAGAACACTACACAGTGTATGGTAGTTACTGCCCTTATCCACACCTGCATATAGAACGCAATGGCGTGAACGTCGCAGGGAATTTGAACTTCGTTGAGCAAAACAATAGTAACTACAAACGGAATAACAACTAAGCAAATTGAAAGGTGTCGCCTCCTTGGAATTAAGTGTCTCTGTGTGTGACAATACAGCCAGGCAATCAGAGCGTGTTATTTTGGATATTGTTTGTTCTTTGTTAATTTCAATCAATACGTCTTCGGTTGAGGGTATTCTCTTCTTTTTATGGCATTCGTTTGCGTAATCAGGCGCTGATTTGAACGTACAACTCATTCATATCAGGAATAACTATATTGGTCATAAGCATAAACAAAGTTATAAGCATAGGCACAGGACGTAATCTCAATTCCGTTACTATTTGGTGTCTAATCTGATTTTGTTGATCCGATTGATTCGATCTTAATACGGGCATCTATTACTAATATGAGTTCTCCTACAAGTATAGATGACGAACCTTCTGCGATGCAACCTGCTCCTGTGGTTCTTGAAAAGTGCTCTAGCAGAGAAGACAACTTCCCCCATCTTAAATCTTCATCTAATCCTCGTTCAGGTAGTGGGGTCAGATTCATCAAGAAATTCATGGATGATGCCGATGGAAGCGATGACTATACAGAATTGAAACATTCTTTAATAACAAAACGTCGGTTATCTGACGGCCATCGGAGTAAGATTCAACAGTTAAACTATGAGAAATCTCGTTTACTAAATCTTCCAACAGAAGTGTTACTTCAAATCTTTCATTATTTAGATCGAAAAGATCTTTATGCTTTATTAACAGTATGCCGAGAATTTGCAGATTTAATCATTGAAATTCTTTGGTTCCGTCCAAATATGCAAAATGATCATTCTTTTAAATATATCAAAGAAATCATGGAATTACCAAGAGAGAAAACCCATTGGGATTATCGGTTATTCATAAAAAGATTAAACTTATCATTCATGACAAAATTAGTTGATGATCATCTTCTATCCTTATTCACTGGTTGTCCAAAATTGGAACGATTGACTTTAGTTAATTGTAACAAATTAACCTATAAACCAATAACTCAAGTACTCCAAAATTGCGAAAGACTTCAATCAATTGATCTTACAGGAGTCGCAGATGTTAGAGATGAAATCATAGATACTTTGGCAGCCAATTGTAAACGTTTACAAGGTTTATATGCTCCAGGGTGTGGCAAAGTTAGTGAGTCTTCTATAATAAATCTTATTCGTTCATGTCCAATGTTGAAACGATTGAAATTCAATAACTCGGAGAAGATCACCGATGAAACTATTTTGGCTATGCATGAAAATTGTAAATCATTGGTGGAGATTGATTTACATAATTGTCCTAATGTAACTAATAAACACTTGAGATCAGTGTTTTCTAGTTTACTTCAATTGAGAGAATTCAGAATTAGTAATGCAGCAGGTATAACTGATCAATTATTGGAGCTTCTACCTGATGAATATTGCTTGGAGAAATTACGTATTGTTGACATTACCGGATGTAATGCTATAACAGATAAATTGGTTGAAAAATTGGTTATTTGTGCACCCAGACTTAGAAATGTTGTTTTATCCAAATGCATGCAAATTACAGATGCTTCCTTAAGAGCATTAAGTCAATTGGGTAGAAGTCTACATTATGTTCATTTAGGTCATTGTGCTTCAATTACGGATTTTGGAGTTGCATCACTTGTAAGATCATGTCACAGAATACAATACATTGATCTTGCCTGTTGCTCTCAATTAACAGATTGGACGTTAGTGGAATTGGCAAACTTACCTCGGTTACGTCGTATTGGTTTAGTCAAATGCAATTTAATATCGGATACGGGTATTATGGAATTGGTTCGTCGTCGTGGAGAACAAGATTGTCTTGAAAGAATTCACTTATCATATTGCACAAATTTATCTTTGGGACCAATACAAGTATTGTTGAACAATTGTCCTAAGTTAACTCATTTGTCTTTGACAGGCATACATGCATTTCTCAGAAGGGAGATAACTCAATATTGCCGTGACCCCCCAGCTGATTTTAGTGAACAACAAAAGAACCAATTTTGCGTTTTCTCTGGAAATGGTGTGAATCAATTACGTCAACACTTGAATATGGTACTGACTGATGGTCATTTTAACGTCCAACATGGTAATGATATGAATGCTGTTCAAGATCGTCGAAGACGATTCATGAATGGACAAAATGTCATGGCCGCAGCGGCAGCAGCAGCAGCTATAATGGGTAACGATCGTCAAGGCGTCCTTCCAGATGAAATGATGGAGGAAGATAACGATACTGCTACTACTAATAATAATGATACTACTACCAATATGGATACTGTTGAAAGTACTAATGGTAATGGCAGTGGTATTGCAAATGGTGATAGAAATCTTCGGAATTTCATGAGGCAACGGTTCAGATTAATGGCGGCTCCTGAAATGCAGCAGAACCCTGAAATGGCTGCTATAAACAGGGAAATATTTAGAGAACTAAATCAGGGTAACATGAATCCCAATGAGATGCGGGAGCATTTCAACAGACTACTTCAGGCTCAACAGGGAATTTTGGAGCAACAGACTGATACAGCAGGTCAAGCGCAAGCTCAAGGCGCAGCTCCACAACTTGGAATGATGCAAATTCAACCCAATCAACAACCAGATACACCCGTCAACATGACAGGGTTTCAGGAATATGCTCAACAATTCAATTTCATGCGAAGAATGGCTTTGAGACAAGATAATGTTCCAAATGGTGGTGGTCAACGAGACGAAGAAGGTGGTTTACGAATTACACAACGGGGTTCCAATCTTCACCCTAGAGGTACAGATCTTCAACCTAATACCCCACAAATTGACCAACCTGCGGTATTCCCTAATCAAAATGCTGCCCCCAACGTTGACCTAAATGAATTGGATAGTGGAGATGAAGATGCAGAGATGGAGCCGACATTGTTGTTCCCACCTATACAATAAATTAAATAGAGAGTTGAGCTCATAGGTGAGGGTTTGGCTCGTGGGTTTTTATAGGTATTTACTATATAATGCAACTGCTGGAAATTAATATGAAAGGTTATACGGTATACTACCACTATAGTAATATCGCTATAGAATCCAAAGTAGGGTTTAGACCTATATTAGACATTCACGTGATGACATCTATGTGACTGCGTACAGGACTATTACTTAACTACGTGTGTATACCAATAAAGACGAGAAAATTTTCAAACACTAGTCCAGCATAATAGAGGATTATGGTAGCACACACCATAAAATTCGTACTATCCCCATACAAAATCCTGCATACCTCCCATTATTGTGGGATGGAGGAAAAATCCATTCCCTTGGGAACAATTTTTCAAAAAATTTGATTCTTAAATATCTATACTGCTAAACATACTGCTCTTTTGTTTAGACCATACAGTAATATTATCTAAGAATGTATGTTGAATTAGTGTTTGATGTTGTTGTACATTGAATAGTATGCTTGAAAGAACGAGAGAATGATAACGTTACAATTAATAGTGGAGATTAACTTTTATCTGTAACTCCCATCAATCCAGAATAAAATACGATGACTTTTGGAAAGTTATAAACCCATATAATTACCTATTAACTCCATTCCTATTGCATTGAAATTATTCTATGCTAAACTAAAGCGTTATAGCATTATTTATCCAAGGCATTACTTCCTACTCGATATATTTTCATTATATGGCTTGACCAGTGGTACTTGAAATGTCAACAGTAACCCAATGACCCTGATTACTTTATACTAACAAACTTTAATAGGACTAAGAGAACTAAGAAGGTTGGTATCACCGGTAAGTTTGGTGTCAGATATGGTTCTTCCTTGAGAAGACAAACCAAGAAGATGGAAGTCCAACAACACGCCAAGTACGACTGTTCATTCTGTGGTAAGAGAACTGTCCAAAGAGGTGCTGCTGGTATCTGGTCTTGTAAGTCTTGTAAGAAGACTGTTGCTGGTGGTGCTTACACTGTTTCCACTGCTGCTGCTGCCACCGTCAGATCTACCATCAGACGTTTGAGAGATATGGCTGAAGCTTAAATTGGCTACTATAGATACATAATTGTCCTATTTAATACTTTTGGTTAATATCTGTATAATGTAAAATCTTTTATTATGGGTAAAGGGAATATGTAAGACTGTTTAGTAATGGTAAACTTTTCTCATCCAGTAGCGATAACATGGTAGCGCGCAACCAGTTTATTACAATATGAAATATGATAAGGTGTTTACTTACTTGATCAAGACTACATGTACTATAGCACCTAGTATGGCGGAACCTTTCATATTCCCCAAGATTCACTCATTCCCACCGCTTTATACCAAGCAGCCCAACTTAACGGTCCAAGAGAAACAATTGGAGTCATGGAGTGATTTGATACTCAACTACTGCCAACACTATCGAGTCACCAGTCTATCGCAAGCAGGCTTGCCTTTGACTAGTCAGAATTCACAATTGAAGTTGGACCAGTTACCGAGTATATTTGAGAATAAAAGTATTGATCGACAAGTAAATGACGAGTTCAAGAGCATTATATTCAAATATCTAGTTAATAAACTTCATAAAGCAGAGTACATCAATGTGAAGAAAAAGGATGAAGGAATATTTGTATGGTGGAAACCATTACTGGAATGGGCTTCTTGTCTTTATAACCATATGAATGATACAGGACAAACGGGGACTGTGTTCACTATATTTGAATTGACTAGTTCTAACGAATTGGGGTTACCTGAATCGTTACGGAACATTGATTCCTCAGTCATGATAAGGATACTTCGATCAATGGTCAAACAAGGAAGAACGCAGTTAATTATGGAGGATGGAGAGATTGGAGGAGTTAAATTCATATAGACAAGACCAACGCAACAATACCAATGCATGATACATTCTACTGATACTTTTGTAGATGCCCAAGACACTTTTACCAATTTGAGGTATGGTGATCAGCAATAAGCTGGGCTACAGAAATTACTATGCTAGCGAGGTACAACTTTCATTATTGAATTGTTGTGTATAGACCAGCAAACATGTGTAACAGGACAGCGTATATGCAATGTATATACGTGTAATAGTAACACTGTAATAGTGCTACTGTTGTAGCAATACTGTAGATATTATTGCGACTGCCTGTCGTGAGTAATGCTATAGTCAATTTACTCACACGCTTCCTATTTGGGAAGTCTAAATTTTTCCATCTCATCGCGACTCGCACCTATAAATGAACCTGGTGCCACTCATTTCCTTCAATGTCTTACAACTTCTTCCTTCCCGCTAAATTATATATTTAGGAGGGCATAAATTTAGTGCCTGTAGGAAATAGAAAAAAAAGAAAACACAGCTGATCAAGATGAAGTACGTCGTTGTATCTGGAGGTGTTATCTCTGGTATTGGTAAGGGAGTGTTAGCTTCATCTACTGGGTTACTCTTCAAAACCCTTGGATTAAGAGTCACCTCAATTAAAATTGACCCTTATATGAACATCGATGCTGGGACCATGTCACCTTTAGAACATGGAGAATGTTTTGTATTAAACGATGGAGGTGAAGTTGATTTGGATTTGGGTAACTACGAAAGATACTTGAACATCACCTTAACCAGAAACCATAACATCACCACAGGTAAAATTTATTCTCATGTGATTCAAAAGGAACGGAACGGTGATTATTTGGGTAAGACTGTTCAAGTGGTTCCTCATATCACCAATGCTATTCAAGATTGGATTGAGAGAGTAGCCAAGATTCCAGTTGATGATACTGGATTAGAACCGGAAGTTTGCATAATTGAATTGGGTGGTACTGTTGGAGATATTGAATCGGCACCATTTGTTGAAGCGTTAAGACAATTTCAATTTAGAGTTGGTCAAGATAACTTTGCCTTGATTCATGTTTCTTTAGTTCCAGTTATCCATGGTGAACAAAAGACTAAACCTACTCAAGCTGCTATTAAGGATTTAAGATCTTTAGGGTTAACACCAGATATGATTGCTTGTAGATGTCAAGAAGAATTAGAAGTTGCTACCATTGAAAAAATCGGGATGTTTTGTCATGTTGGACCAGAACAAGTCATTGCAGTTCATGATGTCAATTCCACTTATCATGTGCCACTTTTATTGAAAGAGCAAAGAATGATGAAATATTTAACTAAGAAATTGAACATCACAACCCCAGCTGCCGAGGAAGACGTTGCTAAGGGTGAAGCTTTATTAAGTAAATGGAAACAATTGACATCAGCTCATGATAGATCTTTTGAAACCGTTACTATTGCTTTGGTTGGGAAATATACTCATTTGAAGGATTCTTATTTATCCGTGATCAAGGCCTTGGAACATTCATCTATGAGAGTTCATAGAAGATTGAAGATTGACTGGGTTGAATCTTCAGATTTGGAAGAAGAAACAAAGGAATCCAATTTGGCCAATTATCATAAAGCATGGCATCATGTTTGTCAAGCAGACGGAATTTTAGTTCCTGGAGGATTTGGTTCAAGAGGTATTGAAGGAATGGTAGCAGCTGCCAAATTTGCTAGAGAGAATGATGTTCCATATTTGGGAGTTTGTTTAGGATTACAAATTGCAGTTATTGAATTCGTTAGAGATATTCTTGGAGTGAAGGATTCCACATCAATGGAATTTGATCCTAAAGCCAACGAAGAAACTGCTTCTGTGGTTTACATGCCTGATGTTGATCAAGTGAAATTGGGTGGCACTATGAGATTAGGTATTCATCTGACTAAATTTGTTGAAGATTCCCAATGGTCTAAATTAAGAAAGTTATACGGGGGAAGTGAATCTGTTTTAGAAAGACACAGGCACAGATATGAAGTGAACCCCAAATTGATTTCTCAAATTGAATCAAAGGGTTTGAAATTCATTGGTAAGGATGAAACAGAAACCAGAATGGAAATCATTGAATTGAAAGATCACAAGTTTTTTGTTGGTACTCAATATCATCCAGAATATTTATCCAAGGTCTTGGATCCTTCTAAGCCTTTCTTAGGGTTAGTGGCTGCTGCTTCAGGAGTATTGGAACATATTAGCGAAGCCGAAGACTTGAATTCCAAGGGAGAGTTCTAAGATATATATATATATATATTATTAACACTAGATAAAGATACATTATACACTAATAGTTTATTGCATGCATTATACACTTTGCTATATACTAATAAGTTCATGGAATGTATTATCATCGGAAATACCTTCAAGTTTTTTAATAGTTGATTCTGCCTTAATAGTCAACTGTCTACTGTGACTTATAAACTGCTCCACTTCCCTTATATGGACCCACTTGTTCAACTTAAGTATGAATGATTCATTCAGTATCAAATAAATCCCTACCCAGCTCTTTGTATGTTTAGGGAAAATCTCAATACATCTCAACCAGTTATCGCGAGCACTACTCAATACTGTAATCAACGTCACGATCTTCTCCTTCTTTGGTTGACCCTGAGACGACGACCCCCAAAGCCCTTCCATCAACTGTTTACCCCAATAGTAATTGTTCAAGCCAATCTTATAGAAACACTGATAAGCCAATGGATCTTGAAGGACAATCTCCTCAAGGCAAAATACGCTCTTATTATAAGCACCCACTTTGGAATACTCAAAAGATAATTCATCCCATGCCATCGTATCCAGAGGTTGAAGATCCAAATAAGACACAAGATTCTTAATATATCCTTCATTATTATCTGCTTTCCTGGCAAACGTAGCCATTCTTCTGGCTAATCTCATTTCATCTTTATTACCCTTAAGAGCCTCTATGGCTTCAGTCGATTGGCCAATGGCTTCCAAATAAATAGACTTCATAAGTTTGAGTCGTTGAGAGTCCTTGCTGGAGAATTGGTCCTGCAATTGATCCAAAATACTCTTGGCCTTCTTATCTTCGTTACTGATAAGTGTTAGGTAGAATTGTAGTTCCAATAAATCGTAGTATTCGAGTGGTGTAAGTTTGTCTGATGAATGGTCTCGGAGAAACACATCTAATTGTCCTGCAAGAGCACGTGTTTCCGACGGAGTAAACAGAGAATAAGCTCCTGAATGTGCCACTGCAAGTAGCTTTTCCTTGACGAGTGAAACTGACATGTTATGAAGAGTGGAGATTGTTAGAGTAGGTATACTAAGGTGAAAGGGTTACTGCATTTTGCAGTGTTGAACTTAACTCACAGTAGTGTCCAAACCACCGAAAAATTCAAAAAGTATATACAGGAACTTAATCACAACTATAATAACTTTGGATACACAACTGTAATACCCACAGAAAGTATAACTATATACATACGTATACTTGTATTATGGAGATCTCGTCATTGGAGCAACAATATGCTGATCTACATCATAAACTTCTAATCAAAATCAACCGGTTGCAGTATCTTCAATGTCGTCAACAACTTAAGCTGCAACTGGAACAACAGATTAACACAGACTATCAACATATTCAAGATACCTACTCCGATATACAAAGACAAGATGAACCCCTTGAACAGTTGATTCAAGTGCAGAACGAAGCTTTCAAGACCCAAGATCTTCTCTATCGTTATTTACACGTTGTAGTGCCGACTTTAAGAGCAGTGCATCAGAATCAATCAACCACTACAGAGACCCTGATCCACCAACATCTTCAACACATGTATGGACTAGAATCAGGTACCTTGAAACATCTCATACAAGTCAACAAAGAACTCCATCAAATCTCTTCTGAAGTCACCACCAAGAGGTTACAGGTCAACGATATGGTTAAACATCTGGTGATACCCAAGATGGAATCCTTCCATGATGATAACCAACGACTCCAAGTAGTTAAACAACGATATCGTGATTTCAAGGAACAACTGATACAACAACATCAATTGCAATATGCAGCTAAGGAAACAGATATCAAGACTATAATAAACTCATTATTAAAGAGCTGGGGTCATTTATCAATTCTCTGTCAATTATTACCTACCCTAGTCTCCAGTTTACCCATTAATTGGGCTACAGATAAGGAACTATTGGCGATAATAACCCAATGCGAAACAGTACTGATTGCTTTAGAAAGGAATCAGCAGGTTATATCCGAAACTTCAATACGAGATATGTCCTATAAAGATTTATTAATGATAGATTTTGGTGAATTATCTATGAAACTATTTACAGAAAAAGAGTAACGTCGAGGGTATGATTATGTCTAAACCTCAAAGATTCTCTTATTGATGACACTCCAATCAATGCAATCCCAAAAGTTGGTCAAGTAATCCGCTTTGCCTGTGAGACCATAATCTTTAACATATGAATGATCCCAACAACTAACACCTAAAAGAGGTAAGGTATAATCCCTTGCAGAGTTTTTAGCCAATTTCTTGATGTTGTTTAAATACTCAAAGCTACCTTCATCGACCCCTCCATTCAAATCCAAGCTTTGATTCTTACCATAGTAATATGGTGTACCATCATTATGACATCTGAGAATCTTCAATGACTTATCAGGCAATTCCACCAAAAACACCCAACCTTGGCCAAACATTGAATCTGCTGCCAACAAGAATTCATCTCTAAAACTATTTAAATCGGAGTGATCTAAAGAGGCCAATTTTTCAAAGAATAATCTCGAAGGTTGAGTTTTGGATGCTTCACTTTTATCAGCCAATTGATCGAAATAAAAGTGATTATTATGAGCTTGAGATGCAAAATGATACACGTGCTGTTCTGTAGTTTGTTTGGCAGTGTTTAAAAGAATCTGATAGGGAGTTTTCAATTCATTTTCAGTCCCATTGGTTAATAAGGTTAAATTTGTGGTTAAATACCGTTGATAATCAGTCCAACCAGTTTGAAACCCTTGGGGTGTGTATAAGCCTTCAATACCTTGTTGGGCAAACTGTTTTCCGTTCTTTAAATGAGGAACCTCATGTATGAGTCTCCTACTTGATTGGACAGTTCGTCTTGCTATGCTCTTGGACGTGTTGAACATTATCTATGGTAATAGTATGGTAAGGTAGCCTGGATGGTTGGTAGTTGGCTTGATTGAAAAATTTTAGAACCAAAATATCGGTAAGCGCACGATTTGTTTTGACCAAGACTATTAAAGCATAAATACCGTGCCATAAACTGACATACTACTACCATACTAATATACTACTGTATTATATTATACTGTTGCTATTTCTGTGGTCACCAGAATCACCAGGATATTGTTAGCCACCCAATTGGAGTCTCTAAAAAGTTTTTTAGGATCAGTTTTCCCCGTTACCAATTTCACTACTTCGCTATAGGCCATTTCTTGTAATTTATATTCTCTCAAGACTTGATTAGTTTCCAAATCAATGAAAATCCGTACGTCTCGTATTCTAAAGATGACTCCGTCTATTCTCAAGAAGAACCGACATAAGAGTAACAAACACGTGGGCATTACTCTTATTTTGGTAGAGAGGATCCCAATGCCATTATCACCTAATTCATCTTCGTATAGCACACATTCATCAAAGAATAATATGGGGTCCGGCTGTAACAAGCGATCTATAGGGATTTGTTTATCGTTAGTTGGAATGAACGCTAATGACGTGGAACCTTTATAGTTTGGAGAATAGGTCCAATCATAAGATTTCAAGACATCCAAATCCTTTTTAACTTCCTTCTTCTTCTTTCTAGCCTCTAGCCATTCTTCATGATAACTGACTTTTAAATTGGAATCTGACTCTAGCGAATCTAAAGCATCTACAGCATTGAATTCAATGTGTAACCCAGAAGGTTCATGGATAATCCTCATTAAACTGTGACCAAAAATCATCTCGGGTAAGGGGAACTCAAACCTGGTATCATTCAAGGTGTCAATCTCAACAGAATTCAATATGGGTCTCTTCACGCTGAATATACTCCAATCATTCACACTAATAGATGGCTCTTCCTTGATAGGGAACACTGCTTGTGGCGAGGGGATGATCACTTGTCCACAACAATTGCATTGGGGGTTAGTGCATGCTCCTTGATGAGATTTGGCAGGGACAGATACTGTGGGCGTGGGAGTAGTGCTAGTGGAAGTGAAGTCGGTTGAAGTGGAGACAATGGAACTGGAACCAGTGGATGTAATAGATCTCGTAGAAGTAGTACTACTTGTACTACTTGTATCAGCAGTTGTACTACTACTTGAGGTATTATGCTTCACATCTAACTTACTTCCTCTAGCAGGGAGTCTACCAATGGTATGAAGTCTACTCATTTCCCTGGCCTGGGTCACTTCAATGGCATTGATGGAACCTACCAGAAACGGCTTAGCAAATGTCTGTCGCTGTTTACGATTGTTATTGTCTTTATTTGATTCCTCCATGCTGATGAGTATCGCTCACATAAATAAGTAGTTGACTACACTGCCTGAAAGTTATTAAGTACGGAGATTCTCTACGCGCTACCAGATTCCGGGGTAGTGTATGTCGCTGACGAAACCTGCTTAGACCCACCCACAATACTACTACAGCTAGATTCGATCCATATAATCATGTATTCAACTATAGTAGTCTACATTGTAGTCTGTACTTGTCTGTAGCCTATCTAGTCTAGTGTTTGGTGTGAAGCATACTATGTATACTTCTCTGTTGTCTCTTCAGAACCAGAACTATCTTCTAACCCCTTCAATGTCAGCACATCACTTCTTAATCCATCTCTAACTGCTAATACACTATCAGCAATCACTGCATCAACTCCAGCTCTCATTTGGATCTTCACCAACTCCGGATCATTATTCTCAACCCCGTAGGTAACACAGACCAACCCCGATGACTTTACTACTTGAGTCAATCTTGGAGTACGTACAAGTGCTCCAGCAGCTGATACGATCCCTAATAAGTTCCAATTCTTTGCAAATCTAATAGCATTTTGAAGTGAACTGGCCCTAATGTCAGCCATGAACTCTGTACCTGCTTCAGTTAAAAATAATATAGGCATGCTTGGTTGTTTCAACAGTAAAAGAACACAAATATCCGGATGAAAGGAAGAAAATAAAATGTCTCTATTGGAAGTATTCTCTTCATAAATCACCTTCAAAATAGTATCAATATAATAATTCAAATCAATAGCGATTTCTCCCATGTCTTCATGTTGGGCTTCATCAAGCATTGGATATTTCAATTCAATGTTAAACCCAACATTTTGAGGTAACTTTCTAAACAATTCCTTCAAGGTAACGAAATTAGAAGCAATCGAAAACCCTCTAGCGTTCCCTTTAAATCCTTTATCTTTCCAAGTCTTTGTTAATTTCATTCTGAAATTAAATTGATCTCTAAACTCTTTATCGATTTCATCATTGCCTTCTTTGGACTCCTTAGTACTTGAAAAGAAACTGGGAGAGCTTTGATAACTCGATAAACCTCGAGCTTTGGATGGACTAGTCCCATTCCCATTCGGGTCTAATCCTGCCTCTTCAAGTGAATCACTAGTTAATGCAATTGGGGAAGAAGATTCGGAAAATATCGTAGGACTGGGAACCCTTTTGATTAATGGTTGCTTTATATCAATATGAGTATCATCAACAGTAATTCGTTTCTTTTGATGCAGATTGTTATCACTTAAATGTAAAAATTGTTCAGCCGTTAAAGCATGCATTGGAATATCAACTCCAGATTCAGCTACTGTGAAATCATGATACACAACGGGCACAAAATCTTTAGTCAATTGAACATCAAATTCAACATATGATGCTCCTAATGATGCAGCAGCAATGAACGATTCCACGGTATTCTCGCCCAATTGTAATGATTGACGATTCACTTCATTTTTTCCTAACCCTCTATGACCAATGACTCTTGTACTTACCAATTTCTTCCAATAAGTTCCTGATCTATCCGTCTTCATTAACGGATGACTAAATGGTTCAACAAATAGATACTCAAAGTTAATGGTCCCTAATACCTTGAGACTCATACTTTCAATAATGGGTAGAGTGATTTTATTATTCAATGAACGCATATGTCTCCCAATCCTGGTATAACAATCTCGTAACATGGCCACAGCTCGACCTAAAACAGGAGATGAAGCTCCATTACTGCTGTGGACAGTTGTGGTATTAACTATTTGATAAGTGGGTACCAAATCAAAAGTAACAATTATATCTTCCAATTTAATTCCTTCTTTGAATTTAAAAGTAATTGGATCTGAAGCAACCCCATGACCTTCATCAAGTGGTAAATCAATAATCACCGGAGAAACTGCCAATAATTCTCCTGTTTTCTGATGAACAGGCATTATAGATAATGATAAAGCAATATCCAATTCAATATTAAATGACTTCATGAGGTTGGTTTTGTTCAATTGAATCACCTCTGAAGTATCTCTTAAATCAGTAGTACCAAGGGTAATCAACACGACAGATTCTCCTTCATTCAAATACTTATGTCCAAAGGATTTAACAGGTTTAAGCTTCTTCCTTCTATTATTAGGGGATTTGGAACGAGATATTGAAGGCAGATTGGTATTTGATTTCAATTGCTTATAAACCTCAGCCAATGCAACCTTGGAAGTCTCAGGTAATTTATCAATTGATGATGTACTCATTGCACCTGGCAGAGCACTTGGACTTTCATTCCCACTAGAGTCTTCTTTATATGACGATGAAGCTTTCATTCTGTTCAAATTGTTCTGGGGAATATTAATATCATAAAGTAAGATATCTGAGTTTTCAGGACGTAATAAGTCTGCAATTTTCAAATGACCTCTTAAAGTAGCATGCTCTATAGGTAACCAACCCAGATCATCAGTGAATGAAAACTTTGCATCATATTGTAACAAAAGTTTCACTATGGTTTCATATCCTTCAGCTGATGCAATAAAGATAGGAGTCCATCCAAATATACTTTCCGGTACTTCAGTATCAGCATCATTCTCTAAGAGGTATTCGACCAATTCGACATAATTGTGCTTTGTTGCAATGTACAAAGCAGTTTCATAGTTATGTTCAGCATCAGTATAGTTTATCTGGATACCACCAAGATATAAAAGATCTTTTATAATATCTGTATCACAGTTTAATCTCACAGCTAAAAGTAGCAATTTGGAGCATTTACCCAACTGGTGTACTGAATTGGAATACATTATAAGAAACTTAGTTGTCACAGGATTATTGGAAATTATTGATAAATGCAAAGGAGTTAAACTTTCTTTATCGTTCCAAAATTTCAAATTATCCATTGAAGTCAATTTAATGGACCATTCATCAACAATGTAATGGAATAAAAGTCGAATGAAATCTTTGAGTCCATATTGAGAAGTATAATGAATACAAGTTTTCAAATAAAAATCCTGTGCCATTAAAGTTGCCCTTAGTTTAGGGTCTTTAATTTGACTCAAGAAATAGTTCAAACCTTTCAAAGCATTGAGAAATTTTGGATTCAAAGAATAATGGGAAGTATCTTCAACGCTATGCTTTGTAAACTGGGGGAAAACAGTATCAAAACTAAGATTTGAAGGTCCAACTACAGGGAACTCTTTCTCACCAATATCACCCAAATAGACCATTAATTTATGGAAAAATGTCCGATTATTCAAATCTAACTTATTCAGTAATGGCAGTTCAGGGAAGTTATCACATAAATACTTGAAGATGAAATCTATCGATTGAGGAGCATTTGAAATCACAGCATTCAGAAGATACGTTAAAATAAGCTTTTGAGTACATCCATTGAAAAGATCAACCGTTAATGATGTACCATCGTTTTGTTGAATTTTGTCAATCACGGAAAGATCAATATTTGATGGGATTTCTTGATTACCTAACAACTGAATGACGTTGTTAATTAATTCCAACAGTTTATCCAAATTTTGTTGATTAGCAAAGGCAAGCTCATTGAACTTTTTGGTTATATAAAGCTGTTTGTTACTATTTTGTAAGGAAATTTCCGTATCAATATCCAAATTGATTAATACCGATAATTTCTTATCCAATTTCTTTAAAATTTTTATAATAGCTTTATTATTCAAATTCCCAAACCACTTCAAATTATGAACTTTGTTCTTTAATTCCACTAAATTTGTCAAGATTTCATTCAATTCCAATTGATTATCAATAACTTCAAAAGATATAATGGAACCACCAGGTGTTTCTTTATAATTAAGAAGTTCCACTACTCTTGCAAGTCTTTTGTTATATTCAAAGAACTTGGTATTAAAGAATTGGTCAACCACTTCAATGCCTTCATTCAAGTTGACATAAAAGTTACTCAAGGTATCATTGATTAAATCCGGCACTTGGGATAATTGATTGTTTTCAATCTTATCATAATCAGTCACTCTATCTATGGGTTTGATAAGTTTCTTTAACTTCTTATAGTTGATGTAATAAACCAGCCATTGCGGGATCTGATGAGAGATCAATGTCTTACCGAACTTCATAATCGGTCACGTCCTTTATCTCGCCACCAATACCTTGGTCCTCTTGGTGACGGCCGGTACCCAAAGAAATGAATACCTTCGCCAATAGGCCTTGTTATATAGTTATTATCGATCAAACCCCCACGAGTATGTCCTTTATCGTAGATAGGTCTAAATATTACGTTTGGTATCAGCACTGATGCCACAAAGAATGCGATGGATGATACGGAGGACAGAATAAGGAAAGGTGTCACCACATGTGTCACGTAGTAGTGCAGTCAACTTGTAGTAGAGTACAACTTGTAGTAGAGTACAACTTGTAGTAGAGTACAACTTGTAGTAGAGTACAACTTGTAGTATATTACTAGTAGTAGAGTAGTATTATTGGCTGTAGTAGTACTAGATGTAGTAGTGATAGTTACACCCCAGTAGTGTTACTAGTAAAAATAGAGCCACTTTGTTTACGGCTGCAAATGTGCACGTGGATTTTTGACATAATACAGTACTAATCTGGCCGACTTAAGACGTACTGCATTATTCTTAGTACGTCTAATGTCAAACACGTAATAAATAGGAGTAGGGAACAGTAATAATAGAACTGGTATTATTTCTACTGCAATGAGGTAATAATATTACAGTTTAATAATAACACGTAGTGTATTACCATCCTTTTTGAAATATGTGATCATAATACACTAAACTATCATTGACGTCTTTCTCCACAAATAGGCTTTTGTAGTCTACTTGCCTTTAACGTTCGTCTGTGCCGAGTAAGGTATGGTTCGTACGATTCCGTTAACAGCAAGAAACAACGGCCAAACATACATAAATACATACATACATATATTGTGCTCAGGCATGCATTGTACTCATATACAAACGATGTTTTCTAATACTGATTCGGAGGAGTTCGGGATACGATAGTGAGTTCTAGTGACCTACGTACCCAGCCAATTGAACATTTTTACCTGTGATTCCATATTCCCCATACTTAAGATTTTGTGATTTCCCTATGTCTGACCCCTCCGACCGTTAAAGGCAATACACTACGACTCATTTTGCCTATCGGTGTTTTATTCCGATATATAACGTTTCGGACTCTTGAATACCAAGATCGAAGCCAAAATGGTAACCAACTGCGAGTTTTTTGGTAGCACCATGACTATAGGAAAATACTTCTTCGGTCTTGGTTGCCATTAACAGTTGTTTCACTATGGCAACCCTCAGCTTGAAACTATTATACTATTCAAATATAGGATCACTGATATTTAATATCACTATATGACTGAAATTCACAGATTAACGAAGACCACCTTCATTTAAAAGAACGGGTTTGTGTTCCGCTTGCCATTAACGGAAGCAAACATTTTGATTTATGACAAATGTATAAATAAGAAAGCTGATCGCATCCAACTTCTTAATAATTCATATTATTATTCTTCATTACTTTGCTTATCAATAATGACTACTTCATCACAATATAAATTCGTTCCTAATAAGAATGCTAGTATAATTTTGGCTCCATTCTCTGGAGGTCAACCTAAAAATGGTGTTGAACTCGGTCCCGAATACATTATGGAGGCAGGTTTCAAACAACAGGTTGAAGAACTTGGCTGGAACACTGAGGTAGTTGAACCATTAGGTAAAACCAATTACAACGATCTCCAAAGTGATATTAAGGATAAGTTTGGTGTTAAAAATGCTGAAGTTGTGAGTTCTGTTTGTCATAAGATTCATGATGCCGTTAAAGATGCCGCCCAAGATGGTCGGTTACCAGTTACTATTGGTGGTGACCACTCTATAGGTACTGCCACTGTTTCAGGAATGTTAGAACATAACCCAAACACATGTGTGCTTTGGATCGATGCACACGCTGATATCAATTCGCCAGCTACGACTGATTCCGGTAACTTACATGGTTGTCCTATGTCATTTGTAATGGGTATCCATAAAGAATCATATCCTCCATGTTTTGATTGGGTTCCACAAAACTTGAAGCCTAGTAAGATTGCATACATTGGATTGAGAGATGTGGATAAAGGTGAAAAGCAAATCTTGAAGGAATATGATATTGCTGCTTTCTCTATGTACCATGTTGATAAATATGGTATTGGAAAAGTAGTTGAAATGGCTTTAGATAAGATTAACCCTAAGCGAGATTGCCCTATTCATTTATCATATGATGTTGATGCCATTGATCCATCCTTTGTTCCTGCTACTGGTACTCGTGTTCAAGGTGGGTTAACTCTCAGAGAAGGTTTGTTTATTGCCGAAGATGTTGCTGCAACTGGTTTGTTGTCAAGTGTGGATATTGTAGAAACAAATCCTTTATTGGGAGAACATGAAAACCATGTTTTAGATACTGTTTCTGCTGCTTGTGCTATTGGTAGATGTGCTTTAGGAGAATCGTTGTTGTAATAATAAATTACGAGTATTATGGGTTAGTGGACCTTGATTTGGTTCATTTTGTATCTTAACATAATACATGTACTCAATCCTGGAAACTGATTTATACCTTATACTGCCAGGACCATCCCAATTGGGATTCTTTGTGGCTGCGGAAAGTAGTATACAAAAAGGAGATTGATTATTTGAAGCCCACAAGAATATTTTAATAGTACCTATCCTATTAATTAACCTCTGTCTGAACCATTGTACTCTTGTTAGTACAATTGAATTGCACATATTTGCATGAAGGACTATTAGGGGACCATCCTTGTCTCGCTCACGTTCATCGTTTAAGAGAACCAATAGATTATGAGTACACAGAAAGAATATCAGAAATAGTTTACAGTAGCATTCACGTCATTTTTCATTATCCCATAACTCCGTTAATACAATGTGCACGGTATTAATGCTGTCCACGAGTTTATTCTTGCTCTTAATGCTGATAAATCGGCTAATCAGACAATCCAAACAAAGTCATTCAAGCCTTTGTTACATTTATGAGGATCTTATATTAATCCGAACGAATTTAGAGAATTTTGCAACTGAAGAAACGGTTAGTGAAGATGTCCACTGCATAAGAGTCAACACCCAAGTCCAGTTTAGTGTACGCAAGGTAATAGCTTTTCTAAGACAACTGAAAGGAGCTGACGCTGAAGCTGAAGCTGAGGTTTTCCATTGTTTCAAAGAACTACTCAATTCGTTCTCTCATGTTGGTTCCTTTCATCTGGTTAACCAATTAGTGTAAACGTTGGCCCAAACTCCGAATGTGGGGCTCCACAAAGCACCATAACCAATTTTGAACAATACAAAATCCAATACGCACAAACGGGATAATTTGTCCCAACTTTCCTGTGTCCAGAAGTCCAACCTTTGAGTGTATCAGCAACTTCGGAGATCAAATCGGAAATCATTATGTTAACTATTAATTCACTAGACTTCGTTAGGTTTTGTGTACGACGAATAATTGGCCAATGAGATAAAGTTCCTAATTCTTTATCTCTTCTTAAACTCTGATTAAAATTGTTGCCTTTTATCCTTTAGATTTAGCCACTAGAAATAGAATATATATGTGGCTTCCTTAAAACTTTTATCACCACTCTTCGTACTCTGATACTACTATCTTTAATCGTACTATTAAATAGACCCCAGATTATAACAAACTTTCTTTAATTCAATCCTGTATGTAGGTGGCTATGGTTATCGGTGACTAACGAGTCATCCTCAAAACCCACCACACCATGATTGAGCCATCTCTCACCACCACTCACAAAAAACTATGGATAAAAATCTCGGAAGCAAAAACGACTAGATCAGAAGGTAGTAATGTATTCGTACTTCAATACGGTCATCTCTTGTACGAGTATATTGATTTTATCTCTTAAGTATACCTGTCTTTTCACGATTCTTCCTTAGCATCATTCTCACGTGAACATTCAATTTTGCAAACTTCCGCCTGTCCCCCCGGACATTTGAATCCGCGGCACCTCCTGAAGCACAGGATATGCACGACTTGGCAAACAAAGTCCGGGGAAAAGGGACTTTGGAATTTGTGGGGGAAGCATCCTATAAATACTCAAGGTGGCCTAGACATATTTTTCAGTTTTATCACTCTTGTTTCATCTTCGTGCAATTTGAAGTTTTTATAGTAACTGTAACAGTTCCCGGCATTGCAACTTTTATTAGTATTATTACCATCATTATCGAATCAAAATGTCTACTAAACAACTGTCAAAGGGAAGATCAGTTACCGATTTAATCGCCGGTGGTACTGCTGGTTTATTTGAAGCATTGGTATGCCACCCATTGGATACCATTAAAGTGAGAATGCAATTGTACCGTAAGTCTGGGCAAAAACCACCGGGCTTTATTAGAACCGGTATTAACATTGCTCAAAAGGAAACCTTTTTATCTTTATATAAGGGTTTAGGTGCGGTTGTTATTGGTATTGTTCCAAAGATGGCATTACGTTTCTCGTCTTATGAATTCTATAGAGATCTCTTGCGAGGTCCAGATGGTTCCATTACCTCTGGTAAAACTTTTCTTGCTGGTGTTGGTGCTGGTATCACTGAAGCTGTGATGGTGGTTAATCCTATGGAAGTTGTCAAAATTAGATTACAAGCTCAACATCACTCAATGGCAGATCCCTTGGATGTTCCAAAGTATAGAAACGCTCCTCATGCTGCTTTTCTCATTGTTAAAGAAGAAGGTTTTAAGACCTTATACCGTGGTGTATCATTAACTGCTGCCAGACAAGCAACTAACCAAGGTGTTAACTTTACTGTTTACTCTAAGTTGAGAGAAGAATTGCAAAAAAGACAAGGTACTGAAACCTTACCTGGCTGGCAAACATCTTGTATTGGTTTAATTTCTGGTGCCTTGGGACCTCTTTCTAATGCTCCTTTGGATACTATTAAGACTAGGTTGCAAAAGACTACCTTTGCTAATAACGAAAATGGTTTGGTCAGAATCATGAAAATTGGTAAGCAATTGATTAAGGAAGATGGTGTTCATGCTTTGTATAAGGGTATAACCCCAAGAATCATGAGAGTTGCTCCAGGCCAAGCTGTTACTTTCACCGTCTATGAATTCATGAAGGGTGTTTTGGCTCCTGCTCCAAAGACAGAGCAAGTTGCTGCTTCCAAGTTGAATTAGTGCGATTGATTATTATCATGATGTCAAGTAGTTGATTCTATGACTACATCAAATAATATAAAGAGTTGTTATGCAAGGGAAATTTTAACAACTCAGTAACTTAAATATTTATTACCCCTTCTATTTATTCTGTATTTATTGCTAGAACTTTAGTATTACAAAATTATTGTTTTACTACTTAACTCAACAAAATAAAAACTTCAAAATATCCTATACAAATGAACAAAAAAAATAATAGTTAGTCGTCCCTAATAATACAATACACTTGCTAAGCATCCATCCATCAATCAATCTATCACATTTGTTGTTGCTCAGTGGCATAAGCCTTCTCCTGTAATTGCTGCAACTCTTGCTTATGAACCAAGAATGTGTGTGATTGTACACTGTCTCCACGAGCAAAATACTTCCCACAAATCTTACATATAAATGGTTTCTCTCCTGTATGACTTCTCATATGGGTTGTTAACCGGTACTTTTGAGCAAAAGCAGCCTCACAAACAGTACATTTAAAAGGTTTAACTCCGGTGTGAACTCTTTGATGTCTGGTTAAATCACTAAGCTTCATAAAAGCTCGTTCACATTGTGGCCAAGTACACTTATGTTCCTTTGGTCTTTCTGCCTTCCGGTATGGTTTCTTCAAAAGTGGAATTTGATCATGAACTCTCATTCTGTGTTCTACCATATCTTTATAGCTTTTAAATGTCGTGGGACAAGCAGGAAATGTACAATGGAAAACACGAAGATTTTGCAACTTTGTATGATCTTCAGTTTCTTTATTATCCAAATTCCGATGAACATTTTGACGATGGATTTCAAGATTTTGTAATTGACTGAATGTCTTCTTACAAAGTAAGCACATGTGTCTTCTAGCACTACTATGTGTATGAGCAATATGAGTTCTATAAGTTCCCATAGAATCAAATGTAAGGTCACACCGAGTACATATATAAGGTGAGCGATATTGTCTTACCTTATTACCATGAATACTACCATCTTCGGAATCTCCCATCCCATTACCATTTGAACCATCAACTCCAAGTTGACCAACTGTTGCACCACCAAGTTGGTTTGGCGCTGCCATAAGTGGAGGTGGTACTTTGTTCCACAGCTTATCATCGATGCTACCATGATCTTCTCCAGATCCATCAAGACGACCAGCACTAACTGCTGCTAATGCTGCAGCAGTGACTTCTTCAGCAGCAGCAGCAGCTCTTGCAGCAGCTTCAGCTGCTGTTTCTACTTCAACAGAATGGATATCACTAATGCCCGCTAAACCGTGACCAGTAGTATCTGACCCTGGTCCCCCTAAGGAATGAGACATACCACCAGAACGCTTATCATGATTCAAGATCTCTGGAGCAATTTCTTCATTCAGATTAGTATGTTTCTGAAACTTACGCTCACGTTCAATATTATCGTCACGTTTCAACATAGTGATCAATTAATAATAACAGGGATAAAAAAACTTTCAAAACTCACTAGAGGTCGATACCAGTACCTCCTTGACAATAGGATTGCAATATAGAACTAACACAGTGTTGTGCTTTTCGCAGCCGAATAGTTTTCCACTAGTGTAATGAAGACCCTATTAATGGTATCGCATGTACTTCGTGCTACCGTAAAGAAAGGGTAGCGGGGTTTCCAGTTTGTTGATGTTTTGTACGGTAAATTATAAGTGCGCTGCCAAAATTGGTGGACACGACGTTTATTGGCTAGCCAATTATTAAGAAGCGAACAATACAAACCATTGGCAATCTTCTAGTTGAATCTTTAGTACTGATCATAGCAGTAATGTCGTGATAATATGAATAAAGCGATGTCTCAGTAATAATGTTTTCTGATAAGAGTATGTCGTAGTAATAACAAGCTCCTGCTTTTCAATGAGCATTAATTGGAAGTGTATTGTTTGGTTGAACTAGTTGTATAGCTTTGATTGTAATCCTGAGTAAAGGTGTTTGGTATAAATTGTAGTACGTGATACACTGACGAGTATTTCTTAAGCCTCTACTGTTATTGTTATTGCGTGTGCTTGTGCAGTTGTAACTGCTGCTGTAATTGATACTGTAACTGATACTGCAACCAACTGTTGCTTTACCATTTTCGCCTCTCCACTTCCCAAAGTTCCATGGATACTTCTTTCATCTTCCTTCATCTAAATACTGGCATTTCCTACTACTTCCATTCTTCACCGCCTTCCTTGTACCCATGCTTGCCCGTACGTTACTAAGGCCATCCTTGCGAGCTTCGCCTACTTACTCCAGATGGCTTCTGGGATCTGTCAGCTCTCTAGCTCGTAGAACAAGAGTGGCAAGAGACCTTCTGGATGAAGAGGTTAGACAATTTATGAAACAAAAAGTCAGGCAAGCAGAAGCACCATTCCCCAATGCCTATGGATCATCTAATACACAACATGAAACTTACTCACCTCCCTTTGGTAGAGGGTCAATGGGATCAATGAGCGTTCCCAACCCTAATGGTATTATCACCCCCCAAGATCCCATCTATGATATACTCAGTGAGCCTACTTTGGTTATTGAAAGACAATTGGAAGTCATGAATGTAGTTCTTGGGTTTGAACAAGCAAATAAGTATAAAATATTAAATGCTCAGGGACAACAAGTTGGATTTATGGAAGAAGTGGATTTTGGACTTTTAAAAGTATTAGGAAGACAGTTCTTCCGTACCCATCGTCCTTTTGATATCAATGTTTATAATAATTATGGAGATTTAGTTCTAGTTATAAAAAGGCCATTTTCCTTTATTAATTCACATATTAAGGCATTCCTTCCTGGGTTAGACAATTATGGTGAATTGATGTTTGAAGAAATTGGTGAATCAGTTCAGAGTTGGCATTTATGGAGAAGACGATACAATTTATTCAAGTTAGAAGATGAAAATCATCAAGATTTCAATCAATTTGGAGCCATTGATTCTCCATTTTTATCCTTTGATTTCCCGGTTTACAATGATAATGGTGCTGTTATTGGTGGTGTGGATAGAAATTGGGTGGGGTTAGGTAGAGAATTATTCACAGATACTGGTGTCTATATTGTCCGTATGGATCCTCTTTCATTTCACGGAATGGAAGGTATTTTTCCTGATATTGCTGGACCAATGACTTTAGATCAAAGAGCTATTTTATTGGGAACTGCAGTATCCATTGACTTTGATTATTTCTCAAGACATAGTCGTCCAGGTGGAGGTTTCTTATCTTTCGGATCATATGAATAACTTCTATATAGATTATGCTTTATTATTATTCATAATACCTTTCAACAACTCAACCGTAAAGAATAGATGGTTATATCTACGGAGTTCATTTTCCAAAGACCAGGCTTCTCTTTTCGATAATTCTTGTTCCAACCCTAAAACATCACCAATCGACTCGTAATATGCCAACTTATTATTGGTCATGGCTAATAAGGAGAATCTAAGTTCATTGGCATTATAATGAGCTATCCGACGGTGAATGACATTTGGTAACTTCTCCAAAAACTCTTGTTCGTTGTTGACTAAATCGTGTTTTATAGGATATTGTCTCAATCCATCCAATTCATAAATAGCTCCATTGGCATGAATAAAAGAAATAAAATGATAAACACCTTCACCTTTACTTTCATCAGCATCTTCCTTTAACAGTGGTAAATCTTCATCTGCCACTATATTAGGAACACTAAACGAATTGTGCACCTTACGAATCAATTCGTTATTACCGATGGTATCACCCACAAGCGTGGGGTCGAACCCTGTTACAAACAGCTTGAAATCAGTTAAATTCTCACCAAGTGCAATGGCGGTTTGGGGCTGATTCAAAAGTATATTAAGAACAGCTTGGGTGGCACAAGCATTCTGGATGGTTTGTTGAGCAAAAAAAACAGGGCTAGGATCTGATTTATCGTATTGACCATCGAATAACTTATTCTCTTGAGCCATTTGACGATCTAAAGATCCATATTTAAAGAGGAAAATCACTCCATAAACTGATCCTAATGCTTGAAGTGATTCAGTATCAATCAGTAAAAGCTCATCTACTTGAACATCTTGCACTCCTAGCTTTTCTACTAGCTCTGTAAACACTCCAGCATCGGAGTCAATGGTGTTCCAGCCAGACATTATTGATAAGGAAAAGATGTGATTAGTGTGGATTTATACTACGCATTAGCCAACGCACTTTATAAGTTAACATAATGTAATCATGGAACTTAAAAGGGCATAACTTCTGTAACACCTAGCTTCTTCGACTCATGCCTTCTGTAACACATGCCTTCTTTAACATATACGCTCTTTAGGACATGCCTTCCTTCTATAAGAGTACACATATAGATATGTATGTGTAAGTATTCTTGGTACTGTGCTCATTACTACTACAAACTACTTCTTTATATCATCTTACTTTACATCATGCTAAACACTTAGACTCTTCTCAATTGCATAACTGTGCCCGCCATTCTTCCAGTCATCACACCTGACGCTCAGAAGACTGTGAATATCCGTAAACTGTCAAGTAGTAGATTTTACCGGGAGGTGATAGGGCCCTACGCGCATTAGTCGCAGTCGCAGTACTTTTTCGTTGTAAAGTAAAATAAAGACAACGGTTCACATACTCTTTAGCACAACCACAAATCAACATGTCTATGGGAGCATCATACGAAGACTATAGTACTCTCTTCTACACCAGGTCAATTCCAGTGGAGCCTGCCGGACAAGCACAATCTGGTTACACTATTGCTTTGCTTCTGGTGATTGGTATGTATCAATTGAAATATGCTTGATTAATATGCATTGACGGATGACAATTATCCACAAGAATACATTGTGTACAATATATGAGCTGTAATAACTTAGAACATTGCACTACAACCAATTGAAATGGTCTTTCTGTTTATCAGCTCCAATGAGCTGACTCCTGTTCAGTTTTATACTAACTAACTTAGCCTTTGTAGCCTTATCTGCTGCCTTATTGACTGATGTTAAGAGTCAGAGTATCCGGTCATATTTCACCAATGCTCTTATTGCCAGTGCCTCTATTGGATACGGTGCAGTGGCTGTGTCCAACTATGTAGGTGTCTATGTTTAACAGTGGTATATAATGGTTGTATAATAATAGAAAAACGTTAAATGGAACTATAAACACTCGAAACAGTGCATCGTATAGACTTTTATACCAGCATGGTCTTATCTAAAGCATAAGCTCGTGTAAACTATAAACAGCGTACTTTTAATGAGGAACATACTTCATTGTAGAACGGTGGCCATATAAAATGCGATATCGCATTTGTACTAAATAACTGCATCACTCTTCTTCTTCTTCTTCATCATCATCATCATGAAGTTGCTACTGACTTTAGCTGTTGCCATTGGTGCTACCGTCGCCTATGGCCATGGCGGAGCAGCTTTCTACCCACCAGGAACAGGGGTTCAAGATATACATGGTTCTATGTTTGACAAGATAGTCAAACAATCAAACTATACTTCTATCGTTGAGTTTTATGCTCCATGGTGTGGATATTGTCAGAAACTTGCCCCCACGTACCGTAAGTTGGCCAAGTCCCTTACAAACTACGCTGTGAATGTTGTTTCTGTCAATTGCGATGATAATAGACAACTCTGTGCCAAATATCAAATAGAAGGGTACCCTACACTCATGGTGTTTAGACCTCCAAAATATGATAAGCAGTTGAAATCAGCTATGAATGAACCCGCTCTGGAAACATATCAACAGAAAAGAGATGCAAAAAGCATTCACAATTATGTAGTGGGTAGAATCAAAAACTATGTTAAAAGATTACCTGCTCCTGATACCAAGGAATTCGCTCATTGGATATCTCTGGATGATAAAGGTGATAAGCTTGTGCTTATTTCAAAGGCAAAGATCCCATCTCCAATGTTGAAAACCCTAGCAATAGATTTCCTTTCCTCGGCACTGTTTGGTCATAATCCTAGTAAGACAGATACCGTCACTATTAATGGTGAAAACTATGAATTGCCTTTATTTATTCACTACAAAAATGATTCAATTAAAATATATGATGGCGCCTTGAGTGATAGAATAGCCATAACCAAATGGATATCCACTGTCACTGGAAAATTGCCAACAGAAGGTCCCTTATCCAGAAAAAAGAATAAAAAGAATAAAAAGTCTAAGAAAGTTCATGACGAACTTTGAAAGTACAATGTGCCGCTTTTTTCATGCCTTCCCAAGGTTATCCATCATGTCCATTAATGCATCGAAATCATCCTCATCTTCCTTTTTGATATCTTCCTTTTTAGGCTCCATCGTAGCTTGTAACCAATTAGTGACTTGGTCAATATAAAGACGGGAGTTGGGTACAAAATGGCCACCTGGATGTTTAAGCAAATCAGAATGATCACTGCTATGTTTGTACATAGACATGCCTCTATCTTCTTCCACCACTGTATCTAACTCACCAATGACATGCAAAAACTTGATATCATGATCTTTATCCTTTTTGTAGTATTTATCGTAATGCTCATTCCCAGATCCTTTACCAGTATTCAACTTAAACCCACTATAAAAAATGGCAAACTTAAGCTTATCACTGGTTTCAAAGATTTCATGGAATCTATATGCTATCAAACTCCCTAAGGCAGCACCTTGACTGAACCCAATAAGTCCAATAATAGGCAAATCTTTATAGTTTTCACTATGAGCTGCTTGGTCCTTCATATCTGAATCGGGAATGATCTCTCCCTTCTGTACATAGTTCTTAATGGCATCCAATGAGTCTTCAAGCTCAATATTATCGTTGGTGGTATCCTTCTTGGTCCACCATGCACGGTTGCTATCATCGCTATCAAGTGCCAAGGAAGAGTTAAACTGTGCCAAATCTTCTCCGTTAGGTAGTTGTGCTGGAGTTAATACAACTGGAGCATTCAAGTATATTGGCAAGTAGTTGAGCTTGATAAGCTTCTTGCGTAAGGCAGATGTCTTAGCATAAAAGAGTGCTGAGCTCTGTGTATAGCCGTGTAAGAACAAGATCTTTCCTTTAAATTCTTGAGCCGGCATTATTTAATCATAGGACTTACGTAAAGAATGACTGACTGCTCCCTTGCTTATTGATTCATATAAAGGTCATCACTTTGTTATGGTAGCGCGGATAAGGTAGGATACCAATTTCTTATACGATAAGGTGTTATTCGATGAGATGTAATTATGGTATTGTATTAGACTAAGCTTTTTCTACCCTCTCTATAGCAGACCTTAATTCTAGGATATCTCTGATGATAATAATTTTAGTTGGATCGGTGCCATCTCCTGCTCCATAGTACGAAGCAAAGTCTGAAGACAATATAAGCTTCTGGTACTCTGATTCGAGTTCGACGTAATGGTAAACACGGCCAAATCCCAAATCGTGTGCTGCCTTGCAATTAATTTCACTATCATCAACAAAGGACAGGGTAGATGGTTCATGTATATTTGTAAGAGAAAGGAAATTATCGAAATAAGCTTTCATAGGCTTGCAGATGATTGGATTTTTGGAATAATCACAATACGTTAACCCATCAAACAAATCACCAAGTCCTAATAATGATATTACTCGTAATCCATGGTTTTTGTAGGCGTTTGTAACCAACCAGAAGTAATCGAAATTCTTCTTGATCTCAAGGAGCGTTGAACGTAAGTCTTGATTATATGATAACACAGATTGTAGAGCTAACAGATCATCAACTTTGGCGTTATATTCCAAAGCATCAACATGATGATTTCTTACGAGACCTTCTAAGGCCAAACCGTATGTTTTGTAGTAATTCATATGTAGTTGATGAGCTTCTTCATCTGTTAGAGCCAAATGAGTCTTGAAGTATTCATGAATCTTCACCTGCATCAAGTCATGAATCTTGGTTGACCGTTTATACAAGCAGTTATCGATATCAAAGAAAAAGATCTTCTTGTTGGCCAAATCTCGAGGCATAGGTCCAAATCCAAACTTCAAATCAACCACTGCACCGCGAGCTTCATTGGAGATCTCAGGATTGGTGTATCTTACAGGTGTGATTTCTTCTTGAGTCATAGTAGATGTTTTGTAAGCAAGTAGTAGTAGCTTCGAGAGTATAACAGATGTATTGAGTTAAAAGGAGTCAAGATATATACTCAACAAAACACTTATATGAAGGTATATTATAGTAATAAGTATATGGATGTTGTTATCAATAGTAGCTAGCTTTATGACTAACCCACGTTTCCCGTCCAGGTTTCCTTGTTATAACGTCCGTGTCTGCGCTACCAGTATCGGCTCTTATCGGCTTTAAAAATGAGCTACAGCTGGAAAGCTATACCTGGAAAGCATGATATCTGTTGTTTCATAAAATAAACCATCCGTCCGTTCAATGTAATATTAACCTGTAATTCCTATTTACTTCTACCCAAACATGTCCCGAGGAAGCAAACTTGCTTCACGAACAAGCCGATTATTCAAATTGGACAATTCTATGTGACATCGAACTAAAACTTCAACAACATTTTGTGTCTTTGAATTGACTTCTCCGAGGAAAGTTCGTTGCAATCGATGATATACATTGTCTCTAACGTTGGCAGATAATTCTACCAATGCCCTTATCTCCTTTTGCTCATATAAGCCAGTATCTAAAATCCATATAAGTGACATTATACGATGCAATATTAGGTGATGGTTATCAATTGAGATCGTATTTGCAGCTACCATTACTTTGCGAACCGTATTACTGTCTAGAGGTCCACCAAGGTAACCCTCGTTCAAGCAACATACTAGTTTTGGTGGCGTGTCGGTAGTTCCAGCATACAGCAAGTTGATAAGCCTAACAATATTGTATATTGTCCTATGTTTATATTCGTCGATTTCACTATCATCGTTGTACAGTGTGCAAACAATACGGTTGATAATTGACCAAAGCCGATTATCGTTACTATCACCATGTAGTTTTCTAAGGCATTGCAGACCAAAACGGGTAAACGTTAACATCTCACTCAAGCAATGTTGAAGATTTGCGTCGGCAACGGTAAGTATAAAACACTTTGCCATTAAATCCCAAAGCAACTCCGGGTCAATGTCCGAATTCATGAAGATAGCATAAACTATAATAAGCCGAAGAAGAATTAGCTGACTGCCGTTATTATACTGTCTGAGTTTAAACACCATTGTGATCTTATTATCTTTTGATATTTGCTGTAGCAGCCCGTCACCGCCTATGGTGTGAATGAATGCTTCAAAATCAGAAGCTGATAGTTGGGGTAATTTTATGTATTCCTCCTCAAAGCTTTTGATCATATTCATTGATATTTGTCTAGACTTTTCAACATTGGACTCTTTCGTTATGATTTCATTCACAAACGCTAGTAGTGTTTCCTTCAGCATTGAAGATAAACGATTGAAACTCCTCCATAAAGACACGTTTCTTATGTCGGTTGAACAATTGATATTAGAATGAACAACTTTTTTGTAAAAATAATAGTGTCGATATTGGGTAATGTCAAACCGATAATGTGCCTTTAATAGGAGATCAATGTACCGAGAATTATGTTTCTCTGTGAACTTCAATGAATCATCACTACTTCCATTATCATTCAATTCTACTACGATATTTCTCTTTTGTTTGGCGACTTGGTCCAATCGATGTTTCTGGTCCTCCTCGATCGTTTTAATGTCTTGTTCTATTTGTTTATCAGTGTTGAAAATACGTGAGTTCCTCTCACCTTCAACCACAAATATATCTGGAATACTGAACTCGTTCGGTTCCCGGTGATGTCTTTTAGAACGGTACCTCTCAGATGTAACACCATTACTTACATTACTATTATCACAGTCATCATCATCATCATCATCATCATCATCTTTATCTTTATCCTCCATGGTAGTATCATTTTCCAGGTCTACAATTGGATGCCGTCGCTTAACTCCAACGAGATTCAACAATTCAAACTCATCACCACTGTCGCTAATAGAGGAGTCGTCGTCACTATACATCTCGTAAGGCCTTCCCTTCAACTAATAAATAATGTCAATGTTGCCGTAACCCCGAACGGCACCATCTATATATATGTGTGTGCCATATGTTACTTACAGTATAGTGAGCGCTACCATCTTTAAAGATGTAGGGAATCTCTGAAATTAATGCCGTCCTACTTAGTTATAAAATCACCCTGAAGTCCACCACAACTCTTTCCCCTTTTTATTGTTTGACCTATTAGAATTCAACATAGGTTTATCTAGTTCAGTTTGTAAACATGTCGTACACTAAGCTTGAATTGGAACCGCTTTTCTCCAAAATTGAAGAATTGAAGCCTCAATTTATCACCAGATTGGCCAATGCAGTGGCAATTCCTTCAGTATCATCGGATGAAGATAAACGTCCCCAAGTTGTGGCAATGGCCCATTTCCTTCAAAAGGAGTTAACCAACTTGGGATTCACTGACATCCAATTAAAGGATTTGGGTACTCAACCCCCACCAACTGTCAATAAAGAATTGCAATTACCCCCAATTGTTTTGGCTAGACATGGAAACGATCCCCTGAAGAAAACTGTGTTGATATACGGACATTATGATGTTCAACCAGCATTGTTGGAAGATGGATGGAACACTGAACCTTTCAAATTGGTTCATAATGAAGCCAAGGATATTTTATATGGTAGAGGTTCCACCGATGATAAGGGTCCTGTAATGGGATGGTTAAATGTTGTTGAAGCACATAATGCCTTGGGATGGGAATTGCCAGTCAATTTAGTATGTTGTTTTGAAGGTATGGAAGAAAGTGGAAGTTTGGGTTTAGATGAATTGGTTGCTCGTGAAGCCCAACAATATTTTAAAGGCGTTGATACAGTTTGTATCAGTGACAATTACTGGTTAGGTACAAGTAAACCAGTTTTAACTTATGGTTTAAGAGGTTGTAACTATTACCAACTTACTGTTTCCGGACCTGGAGCTGATTTGCACTCTGGTATCTTTGGAGGTATTGTAGCTGAACCAATGACCGATTTGGTCAAAGTTATGTCACAATTGGTTGACTCACAAGGTAAAATATTGATTCCTGGTGTTTACGATATGGTTGCTCCATTGACAGAGAAGGAAGATGGGCTATATGACAATATTGACTTCAGTGTTGAAGAATTGGAAGCTGCTTGTGGCTCCAAGACTGGATTACATGACAATAAGAAGGATATCTTGAAGCACAGATGGAGATACCCTTCTTTGTCTTTACATGGTATTGAAGGAGCCTTTAGTGGTGCTGGTGCCAAAACCGTTATTCCTGCTAAAGTTGTAGGGAAGTTTTCTATTAGAACTGTTCCTGACATTGACTCTGGAAAATTGGACAAATTAGTGTTTGACCATGTCAATAAGCTTCTCAAGGAATTGGGTTCTCCTAACACTGGTAAAATTGAATTGATTCATGATGGTAATTATTGGTTAGCTGATCCCTTTAATGATCTGTTTGGAGCAGCTGCTAAGGCTACTGAAGATGTATGGGGTGTTAAGCCTGATTTCACTAGAGAAGGTGGTTCCATTCCAATTACGTTGACTTTTGAAAAGGAATTGAAAACAAGCGTTTTACTTTTACCTATGGGTAGAGGTGATGATGGAGCTCATTCTATTAATGAAAAGTTGGATGTTCTGAATTACATCAATGGGTGCAAAACCTTGGGTGGTTACTTACATTACTATGGAAAACAATAATCTTAAGGTTTTGATAGCAGATTCCATTTTTTGATTATAACCTTGAGAAATAGTAGTATATAGTTCACGTATTTAAAGCAGTTCAACCTTGCTGTACTTACTTAAGGTACTTTAGTAGAATTAAATTATGACCTCCATCTGTCTAAACAGCATTTGTATGTTGAATGTGCGGGTAACCCTTCCACCGATTGGAGCTTGAAAAATTTTCCAATGGGATCTGATTTGCACTAAGAAACGTTACTATGTTAACAACCAAAACCACTCATTAGAGGTTATAATTAATAGGTCAAGCAAGCAGAGTGCTTATCATTGACAATTTCTTCACTTTTCGCTTCTTTTTCCCTTTTTAGCTTAAATCGAGTAAGAAGAGGATTAAATAATATTTGTACATTTTTGCATAGCTATACTGCACTCACAAACAACAAAAAGCACTACGAAGCACTACAAGTTCAACTTAAACGATGACTGAGAACTTAAAGAGAGCTGAATCGCTCTTTAACCGGATCATGAACCAAAACAATAATTCTTCCAATAATACATCGAACTCTACATTAACATCTTCGGCATCCACTTCGTCATCATCTACAAACACATACCCCATCAATAATAAGTATTCTTACACAGCAAATGGAACATCGACCAATTCGAACTCTGGAAACAAAAAGCGTAATTCAAAGGACCACCATCATCATCATCACCACCATAATTACCACAACCCCCATCATCATCACCATTATAATCAGGTTGTCAATGTTGACCTACCACGAAGGGATCCAGTCCAGGTTGCTAAGGAGACATTGGCTCATGTCCCACAGGAGTCTCATGTCTTACCTTACTGTTGGACCATATGGCATCATTCACGGAGTAAGATGAAGGTTGAAGAACTGGAAGAGGAACTTGCATCAACCACGACTGAAGGGTCCAACGATATAACAGGAGGACAGACTGCTACATCAGCACCAACTGTTGATTCATATCTCCAAACTACAAAGGAAATTGCCTTTGTAAACATTCATTCTGGAGCTGAAGCTGAAGCTGCTCCATTAGATACCACTAGTTCATTGGGTACTGTGGAACAATTGTGGATGAGTTTAAGTACTTTGAAACCAGCATACCAATTAAGATATGGCACTGAGTTACTTATTTTTAAGAGTGGAATTAACCCTGTTTGGGAAGACCCTGTCAATGCCAAAGGTGGTAGATGGGTATTCCGGTTCAGTCGGAGAGGACAAAATTCTTCTGGAGGTAATAATTCCAATTCCAGAGGAGATGATAATGAAAGCATTATGCGTGTACGTAAACGGAGTAGTTTAATATGGGAACGGTTAGTTTTAAGGGTTTTAACTGGTTCCATCATCCCTGAAGGAGATTATCTGGAAGAAATTCAAGAGTTATTGTTAAATGATATTAGTGGATTGGTATTGTCTGTTCGTAGAGATGAAGATATTATCAGCATATGGAACAGTAACCTTAACTTTAATAAAAAGGGTTCTACAATGTCTAAAGATGGTGAAAATGGAACATCTAAAAAATTAACATTATTTCAAGCCAGAAGAATTATTTGTGACTCGATTTTAAGAGTTATTAGAGAATGTGATTTGATTAGTCAAGGAAGTGACTGTATTGAAACCATTGATTCTGGATCAAATGAAAGAGTGTTTGGAGTTTCATTTGAATATCGTTTGCATGCTGATAACAATACTCTTCCAGGTGTTAATGGCGGGGATAATGGTGCAAATGGGAATAACGGTACCTCGGGTAATGGTAAGTATGGTGGAGAAAGAAGTGGTAGAAAGTACAATAATAAACTGTACCATCATAAAAAGGAAGGACATAATAATAATACTACTAATAGTTTCTCCCAAGGTACTAGTACTACTGCTACTACTACTACTACTACTACTACTACTGTGTCAATTGTAGAATAAAACTGAACATGCCTGGTTTCAAATTACACATAATAACAATAATAATATATAGCAATTATACGTCATAAGGAATAATAATCTTATTAAGAATAATATTCATGAACCATTAAGTGCATTCATTGTATGGACAATATGCACTCTTAAATTATGGTCGATTTCCACCTTAAACCATGATTTATATGGAGAAATTATATAATTAAGAAGAATGTTACTCGTCACCCCAAAACAACATTTATATTTACGAAGGGTCTTGAAGCATCTAACTAGAATAGTGAAGGTTGCCTTTGGAAATACTTGAATATTCAGAAGGTTATTTCTAATTTATTAAGGTCTTTGTGTCTCAGCAGCTGACGTTTGTATAATTGTGTACAGAGAAATTTAGCATGCGAGCAGCCTGGCTAGCTCAATCGGTAGAGCGTTTGACTCTTAGTCTTATACAAAGAGAAGCGATCAAAAGGTTGCGGGTTCGACCCCCGCGTCGGGCTATGTTCCGAACTTCGTTCACCATATATTTTTATTTTTTACCAACGGGTAGATATCAATTAAGGTATTGATTTAAAACCACGTAGGTCGAGAGACTAAGCCGCTGGTCACCCCTGCAACAAGTATGCACCAATGGCAGGGCCATAGATACAACGTATATTTTCTGAGATAGTGAAACAGCTGAAGAATAAAGTTTTTATAATATTAAGTACTACTACAAGATGAAATCTTGCATCACAAGGTTTAATGAAAAGCTTCAGAGAAGTACAATTCGGAAGCTGGGAACCCCCACGTAGAGGTGTGACATCAGCCAACATGAAGATCCAAAGGGTAAAGCAAAAACGAAAAGTGGCAGACACAAAAGAGTGGAGTGATCCCCCGCAAACCATAACAAGATGGGTAAGAATGTATAAAATAGTGATCGAGAGATGAGATTAACAAAATATTATTCTTATTGTTTAAACAAACATCAAGACCTAATGGGTGTACTCTCCGGTACCGGTATGGAAAGAACAATAGCCGAGGTTAGAGACAGGACCGGTGCTTTTTTCGCTATTTCGCTAGATGTCTTATGTTAAAATGAGTTAGTTCCTTGTTGTTCGGTCCAGAATGTCTTAGGTTAATGAGTTTTCGCTATGGGATCAGGCAAACTAAAATAAGTACTGTTGCAGACTGTGTAACAAATATATTTATGTTGCAAGCAAGCAATTAAAAATACTCATAAGCTGCTGATGATGATTACAAAAATATCGAAGTCAAAAAAAGGGACTCAAATGCAATAACAAACACACCAGCAAAAAAGTAACTTAAAGCATAAAGTATAAGAATGCGTTTCCCTTTAACACTTTGCATGAGTCATTTAGAAGAAGGGAACCACTTCCACATTGATGCGAATCTCACAGTATAACAAGAGCAGTGTGCACCAAAGCTTAGGTAGTGTCCTTCATACACAACAAAATACAGGAACGATGATCACATATTTTACCTCCAGCCGTTGGTACCTACGGCCCCCTTCACCTTGTCCGTCATATGTAAGTGGACTTTGTTTGACTCCGGTGCCAATAACTCAATATTACTTGAACAGTTTGGTTGTCAAGTCAGGCATAATATCAATAGGCTTTAGTCGTGCAAATCTCTTTATGCAAGGTCCAAAGTAAAAATAATCATCGTAGTATTAACCCCAGAAGCATAAGTGGGTTTCTTCTCTCTCACTCTGTCTGTTTGTCTGTCTCCCTGAACTCATAAACCTATTTAGGTTTTTTTTTTCTGTGTGTGCCTATACTCTTTTCTCTGGTTTACCCCATCTAAGAATTTTATACTGTCAGTCTCTTCAGGTGAACATTATTAGTCGTTTTCTTTACAAATCAAATCATCTTATGGTCACCAAACAAAATTGGATACCCAAATTCAGCAGCAACTAAAAGCAAAGAAAACCCTTGAACAAAGTCATACCAACTTTATTGCCGCTTTTCACAGCTCATGGAATCAATAACTCCCCAAACTTCAGAAGCGTCTACTGCTACAAATTCTGTGAAAACTTTGTCATCCTCAACTTCTTCGGTTCCAACCCCGCTATCCCCAACTCCAAGCGTATTAGATCTCCTAGACAGTGCCAAAAAACTTTTACATCTTCAACCTAGGCTCGAATATCGACAACTCCGGAAAGATAACGTCAAATGCCAAATTGCAATGAGCTTGAATCTTTCTTCTTCATCTGTTGATCATGATAATGATCTTCGTTCAACGTCAAGTTCCACTGACTACAAAGTACTCAATCTTTTAAGTCCCCTTTCCATTGACGACTTCAAGGATTCAGTGCCCTTTCTATATAAGTCGTCGTCAACGTCTACGTCTACTTCAGGTAAACTGAATTCTCCAAACTCCAAAAGTAGTAGCAATATACTGCAGCAACTGCAACAACCACCACCTCCACCTTCACAACAACAACATCATAATCAACAACAGGAGGCACAGAGAAACCATCAAATTACAACTCAACTGCAGAATACTAAATTGCTATCCCAAATAATCACTCCTTTATCAATGAGCGATGACTCTCCACCTCCAATTTCTTCAGCAAACTCCTCAAATACTGGACCAAGTACCCTGCAATCAGGGACATCAGGATCATCATCCATGTCCATCAAGTTGAAAAAAGAACCCATATCTCTTGTCACTCAAGTTCAAATTAACGACTTCAATCATAATCCCCCTAAAGCCTTATCATCTGATTCACCTAACAAAAACTCAATACCACAAACCCAACCCAATAAGCAACATACATCAAACCTAACATCAAGTTTGAAAAAAGAACCAACAGCTCCTTCAAACAATACCGCAACCTCAGTATCAACTCCCAATGCCAAAGCAACAGTTTGCTTCAACTGTGGTACTCAGAAGACTCCTCTTTGGAGAAAAGATCCTCTGGGAAATACGCTTTGTAATGCCTGTGGTTTGTTCTTGAAGTTGCATGGAACAACAAGACCTTTGAGTCTCAAAACTGATGTCATTAAGAAGAGATCGAGCAGAAGATCATCAAATACTACAAAAATGACTTCATATGCTAATGGTGGGACCACTCCCAACTATTCTTTCTCGAGAACTAATTCAGCTGTTGCCCTATCGACTAGTTCCGGATTAGTTAGTGGTTCTTCATTGCCAAACTCCATACAATTTGATCCAAGATATAACCTTGGGACTACAAACAATTACTCAACGCTGAATCCCTATGGAAGTGGATCTTCTCTGTTTTCACATATAAAGCCGCTTCCTCCTAACAATAATAATACTACAACTATCCCTACTAGTGCAACATCGTCCAATGCTCCAAGTCCTGGAAACTCTAATAACAATACTAATAATTCATCTATAAGACCCAAGAATGTTCTTATTCTTCCCAAGCCTGCATCAACACCTAAGAGTGTAAATTCCCCTTCAACTTCGTTGTCAACGAATAATGGATCTTCAACGTCTCTTAAATCAATTCCTATACCACAAAGCTATCAACTGGCTTATTCACAGCCCAGCTCCCCCCTTACAACAGGTGGTCCCTCTAGTGGCCAATTCAAGCGGAAGAAGAGTGACTTGAACATTGCACATTCATACAGCAATCTTTCTTCAAGTAATAATAATAGCTCTGTTCAAGGTCAAGGAATTCCCACAAGTGCATTGACTATGGGAATCCGTAGGAATAGTTCGATACCTAATTCCTTCCAGTCTTCTTCATTACAAAGAAGGTTATCAAGTACAAGCTTATCCCAAAGGAAGAATTCATATGTTGCAGCCGCAGCAACTCCTCCCACTATGGTTTCTTCTTTCCATCGGACAAATTCAACATTCCTTAACCCAAGTATAGCCATGACAGGTGCGACAACATCCTCAGCTCCCATAGGTAACTCGTCTTCATGTCGTTCCATTAGTATTGCAGATGGGAACGCCAATTTACTTAACGACTTGGAGTTGACACCCATGGGACTGGAAAGTTCGATTACTTCGTCGAGGAATTCGTTTGTGAATCCCAATGCTGATACATTGAATTCATGGAGTCATGGTAATGGGCACAGTTTGGGTACGTCCAAGCGTGGAATGAATAACGGGATGAATAGTATGTCCCAAGGAGGATTTGCACTTGGACTTGGCTTAATTAATGAAGATTTCAACAAGTATGTTGATGAGTTGGATTCCAACTTGTTTTCTGACTACCACAGAGATGGTGTTGGCGTGGAAGGTATTTTTGACGAGCATCCCTCATTGGAGGGATCGCTTGCAGTCGACAAACGAGAAATCAAGCAAGGATTAACTAAAAGTAGTTTAACTGATGGGTTAAGAAACACAGAAGGGCGAGGAAGTGGGGTCCATGATCAACTACATAATACTAATGTAGGAGGATCTTCATCTTCAGGACAACAGAGTGAGGAAATTCCTGCGGATCTTGATTGGTTGAAGTTTGATATTTAAAAGGGCAATGTTTATGATTAAGTTTGGTTGAATACCTCAAAATTGGATCAGTACTACGGTTTTACAAAAAATAATGTTTACTTCATGACTTTCTATTCTTTTTGACTCTCTTTTAGTTCAGCTCCCACAGAGCCAAACTCTTATATATATATAGTTCTCGTCTATTGGTAATGAGTTACGATGCGAATATTACGAACTAACCTGTAGTTCTTATTAACATAGTTATATTTTGTAGATATTGTTGTTGTATCTCGTACACACAGATCATTTTGACCCATGTGCTTTTGTTATACGACACCCAACCCAATTAATGGCATCGCGTTTGAGTGCAGGTGTGCACCACAAAATTGGTGTTGAGTTTGTCCGATCGTTTACGGTATAAATTAAGCAGCCAATGGACATGAAAATTTTTGTTCGAGGAAGTTAATTTCTCCTTCTCTCCCACACAACAAAGTCCATTAACAAATTAAATTTCATCATGGCTACTCCTGCTCAAAACTACAAAGTTGCTGACATCTCATTGGCTGCCTTCGGTAGAAAGGACATTGAATTGTCTGAAAATGAAATGCCAGGTTTGATGGATATCCGTAGAAAGTACGGTCCATCTCAACCATTGAAAGGTGCTAGAATTGCTGGTTGTTTGCACATGACTGTTCAAACCGCTGTTTTGATTGAAACCTTGGTTGCTTTGGGTGCAGAGGTCACCTGGAGTTCTTGTAACATTTTCTCCACTCAAGATCATGCTGCTGCTGCTATTGCTGCTGCTGGTGTCCCAGTCTTTGCTTGGAAGGGTGAAACCGAAGAAGAATATCTTTGGTGTATCGAACAACAATTGTTTGCTTTCAAGGATGGTAAGAAGTTGAACTTGATCTTGGATGATGGTGGTGATTTGACTACTTTGGTTCACCAAAAGCACCCTGAAATGTTGGACGATTGTTTCGGTTTGTCTGAAGAAACCACCACTGGTGTTCACCACTTGTACAAGATGGTTAAGGATGCTACTTTGAAGGTTCCTGCTATCAACGTCAATGACTCTGTCACCAAATCCAAGTTTGATAACTTGTACGGTTGTAGAGAATCTTTGGTTGATGGTATCAAGAGAGCCACTGATGTCATGATTGCTGGTAAGGTTGCTGTTGTTGCTGGTTTCGGTGATGTTGGTAAGGGTTGTGCTATGGCTTTAAGATCTATGGGTGCTAGAGTCATTGTTACTGAAATTGATCCTATCAATGCTTTACAAGCTGCCGTTTCTGGTTACCAAGTTGCTCCATTAGATGAAGTTGCTTCCATGGGTCAAATCTTTGTTACCACCACTGGTTGTAGAGATATCATTACCGGTAAGCACTTTGAACAAATGCCTGAAGATGCTATTGTTTGTAACATTGGTCACTTTGACATTGAAATCGATGTTGCTTGGTTAAAGGCTAATGCTGCTTCTGTTGTTGAAATTAAGCCTCAAGTTGACAGATTCTTGATGAAGAATGGTCGTCACATCATCTTGTTGGCTGAAGGTAGATTAGTCAACTTGGGTTGTGCCACTGGCCACTCTTCATTTGTCATGTCTTGTTCCTTCTCTAACCAAGTTTTGGCTCAAATTGCTCTCTTCAAGGCTAACGATGAAGGATTCAGAGCCAAGTTCCCTGAATTCTCCAAGACTGGTCCTTTCGACATTGGTGTTCACTTGTTACCAAAGATTTTGGATGAAACTGTTGCTAGATGTCACTTGGACCACTTGGGTGCAAGATTGACCGTCTTATCTGATGTTCAAGCTGAATACTTGGGTATTCCTCAACAAGGTCCTTTCAAGAGTGATCAATACAGATACTAATCGACCGGATCTGGATTGTCATCAACTCTTTTTGACAGAATCTATCCTTCGTTTGAATAAAAGCCAAAAAACTTCACTTACTATTTTTTTATCCAGGAGAACAACTTTCCACATATTTGAATTAAGAGATTATTACACTTATTCTTCCTTCTTTACAATGAACCATTTGGTTTTTTGATACTTTTTTTTTTATTTAAAGCTGGTTACAATCTTCATTGGTTGTGTTTTTTTTATTACTGCTTTAATTGCATCAACTGCATAGTTACTAATGATTTAATGGTTTGGGTTACTTTTACATTTATTAGGGTAGATACATATATATAATAAAAACTATCCTCAACGGATTAAAAAAAAGGATAATTGTAGATTGATAGTTATAGATTACGTGCTAATTACATAATGTTGTAAGGATGGAATTGAGATCACGTGACTAAATAGCTTATATTTATTATCTTACATACTATTTATATTAAAGCTAAGTATCCGAAAGCTCGTATGGCGCAGTGGTAGCGCAGCAGATTGCAAATCTGTTGGTCCTTAGTTCGAACCTGAGTGCGAGCTCTCGTTTTTTTTTTTTTTATCTCGGTATCGGTATCACTACTGTTATTTATATAGATAAGATAAGTCAATGGAGTTAAATCTGTACAATCTCAAAAGTATAATAGCAAGCACTCAACGTGCAGGCCAATTTTTTTTTATTAAGTTTGTTTTATTTTTGCAGTATGGAATTTGAGCCTGATAGAGCTTCTAACAGTTTCATGTTTGGGACACTGGTTTCCTAAAACAGAAATGTAATTGTAATCTCATTGATGAGTAAACGGCAATTTATCAAATAGACTCAGACTTCCTACAGTTCTTTTGGTTATTAAAGTGTTTGGTAGGTAATAGAAAGCTACAGTGAAATACCGTTGACTACATTGGTTTGTATTCATAGTCCTATTTGGCGCTGTTGTTTGTTGTAGCTTGATGATGGCAAAAATTACACCGAGATTCCACCCCAAGGTTAGGCGGATACGAGATCAACTTCTAGAGCTTACGAAGGATCTTGACCAACGGTTTGTATTGTTGGACAGTGTATTGGAGAAGGTATCTAAAGAGATTCCTGAGACTGCTAGCGATGAACAAGTTATGGACTTGATAGCTGAGACTTTGGCTTCCAAAGTGATTTATCACTATGATTATACCAAATTGGCTGGTAGGATAGAAGCATTAAGAATACAAAAATTGGTTAATAGAAAGTTCAGTGATAATGTCAGGGTCATAAGATTCCATAAAAGGAATTCTAAACCCAAACCAATGGTATCTGAAGCGTTCTATAATATTGTTATGGAGAATAAAGACATTTTGGATAGTGCAATTAAGCCAGAAAGAGACTTGGAGTTTACATATTTTGGGATCAAGACTTTAATGAAGTCATATTTACTATCAATCGAAGAAATTTTGGTTGAAACTCCTCAGTTCATGTTTATGAGAGTGGCTATTGGTATTCATGGTTCCAATATTGAAGATGCTTTAACCACCTATGAATTGATGTCAAAGAAATACTTCATCCATGCGTCGCCAACTCTTTTCAGTGCTGGATCCGAAGCGCCCTTTCTATCATCTTGCTTTCTTGTTGCTATGGAAGATGATTCCATTGATGGAATATATAAAACCTTACACAAGGTAGCGTTGATTTCCAAAGCTGCCGGTGGAGTTGGGATACACACTCATAATGTTAGAGCTGCCGGGTCTCATATATCCACCACTAGTGGACTTTCCTCCGGTCTTGTTCCCATGTATCGAGTGTTTAACAATACTGCACGTTATGTGGATCAAGGAGGCAATAAAAGACCAGGAGCATTTGCAATGTATTTAGAACCATGGCATGCTGATGTATTTGAAATGCTTGATTTAAGAAAGAATTACGGTAAAGAAGAAATGAGAGCAAGAGATCTCTTTTATGCTTTATGGATACCTGATTTATTTATGAAAAGGGTTAAGGCTGATGAACAATGGTCTTTGTTCCTGCCGGACACCGCACCAGGATTAGAAGATTGTTATGGCGATGAGTTTGAAGAATTATATACCAAATATGAATCGGAAGGTCTTGCAATTAGAAAGATATCTGCTCATTCATTATGGTATAGTATTCTTCAGTCTCAAATAGAAACTGGCGGACCATTTATGCTCTATAAGGATGCATGTAACCGTAAGTCCAATCAGAAGAACTTGGGAACCATTAAATCTTCCAATTTGTGTTGTGAAGTTGTGGAGTATTCTTCACCTGAAGAAACAGCTGTTTGCAATTTGGCATCGATTGCCTTACCGTCATTTTTAACCAATTATGGTGAAGATGAAATTACGTTCAATTTTGAAAAATTACATCAAGTGACTAAAGTGGTGACCAATAACCTTAATCGAGTTATAGACGTGACATTGTACCCTGTGGAATCGGCAAGGTATTCAAATTTGAAGAATAGACCAATTGCCATTGGAGTCCAGGGTTTAGCTGATGTTTTCATGGAGTTGAGGATCTCATTTGATTCACTTGCGGCCAAAGAATTGAATATTAAAATCTTTGAAACCATATATCATGCCGCAGTAGAGACGTCGATCGAGTTAGCTGAGAAATATGGAGCTTACGAATCCTTTGCTGGATCACCAACCTCAAATGGTTTATTACAGTTTGATTTATGGAATCATAAACCTTCTGATTTCTATCAAGATTGGGATGAGCTTAAGATCAAAGTGCAAAAGGGTATAAGAAACTCACTTTTAGTAGCTCCAATGCCTACGGCTACTACATCCCAGATTTTAGGGTTTAATGAGTGTTTTGAACCGATTACATCCAACATTTATAATAGAAGAGTTCTAGCAGGAGAGTTCCAAGTGGTTAACAAATACTTACTACAAGATTTGGTTGATTTAGGGCTTTGGAATCCCCAAATGAGAAACGCCATCATCAAGAACGAAGGATCAGTGCAGAGTATACCTTCCATACCGCAGGAGATTAAAGCTCTATATAAGACAGCTTGGGAAATAACTCAAAGGAAAGTAGTGGATATGGCTGCTGATAGAGCCAAGTTTATTGACCAATCCCAAAGCTTGAACATTTATATGTGTAATCCTACTATGGGGAAACTAACCAGTTGTCATTTCTATTCGTGGTCCAAAGGATTGAAGACTGGAATGTACTATCTTCGAACACAAGCCGCATCTCAACCAATTAAGTTTACTGTTGATATGACACTGGTGGACGAAGATGAAGACAGAAACAAGGACAAAGACGACAGTATCGATGTTAAACCCAGACAGTTAAAACGAAGAAGGTATCTGGTTGGAGGAGAAACACCCAAAGGTAGTAATGGCATGGTAACTCCTGTTTTAACTGAAGGTGAAGATAAACCTGCTGATATTTATGACCAGACTCCCGTGTCATGTTCCATTTCCAAAGGTGGAGAATGCCATGCGTGTTCAGCTTAACTTGTATATAGTAGTTGTATATAGTAGTTGTATATAATTGTATATAATTTTATATAATGTATTATCTGCTGGGTATTTTTCTATTGGCATAATCAGCCACTTGATCAATACCCTTCTTTGTTACAAAAAACCGTTTCTTTATTTTATCTGACCAAAGTAAAACCCCAATATCCATGGCATATTTGTTTAGTACTTCGAATTCTTGTTGACTAACAAAATCCTTAAACAAGTACCCTTCAAAAGTTTGGATTCTATCCAATTCCAATTGCCATAACTTGATTTGATCCACTACTGTGGGTGGTAAGATTTCTAATTTATGTTGTGTGATATTTGAATCTGATTTGGTCCCAGGGGCTCCCCCCGCAGTATTGATGTTGTTATTGGTATCGAATTCAATCTTTTTGTCCAACTTTTCTTTGGCCAACACTCTCATCTGAGGATGAGCATGAGTCTCGAGGAACTTGATCAATTGTTCTGCAGTTATGCCATTTTGAAGAGCACTACGAACAGATTCTCGAGTTAATTGTCCACAAACCATATTAGCAAATCTTGTTTTCAAATGGACAAATAGATTTAGCACCGCTATTTCCAAGGGTGAATTGGTGTAGGCATAAACCTTGAAGTTGGTTTCTATGATGATGGATCCATGAGTACTTGAAGCCACTCCTCCTTGTCCCGAAGACAAGTCATTATCTGTTGACGCAGATTCAATGACTTGGTCCATGGAGGTAGAAGCAGACTTAAGGGCAGATGATTCTGATGTCAATGTAGTGGCTAATCGAGTAGGATAGAATCGACTAGAACTATCTGTACGTTGATACACCAATCCATAGTCTTTCAAGTCTGCCAACAATGAAACTTGAGTGGCACTTAGATGAGACACAGTATAACTTTTACCCAATTCCAAGGACCCCAATATGAAGATGAAATTAAGCACATCCACTGGATCCATATTCAAGTCTTTAGTAAGGTTAAGATATTGTAACAATAAAGTCCATATTTGAGTATTACTATCTTGTAATAAAAACTGAAACCCTTTATTGGTGATGGCTAAGTTCTTAGGACTATTCCCTGGCCCTTCCATTAACCCCCCCAGTTTCAATAACGAAAGCACAGAACTTGAAGGAGCTGCCACCAATTCAGTGCCCACCATGAAATGCAATATAGTTTCCCATTTCTGAGATGCAAATTTATCTAGGAAAGACACATCCACATGATGTTTATCCGGAGTAGTACATATATTCCCAAAGGCATTCACTGATTGGACCCCAGTCAAACAATCTCTAAAGTTTTTCCGGAACGTAGGATTAAGAGTTATATGGGAACCGTTATTTACGTCGAGTATTAGATGAAGAGCCTTAAGTCGTTGTAACAGTTCAATCTGTCGGTTTCTAGCATGCGGTTTACACCATTTATCCAATTGAGATAACGACACTGGTCTTTCGTAGAATACCATAGATGTGATAAAGAACTTGGCTACTGCCGGAAGTAATCTGAATATCGATAAACATGTAGCTGGGGCTTCATATAGTTTGGTTTGGATGGTTTGAGGTAGTTCTTCCAAGTGTTGGATCACAGTGGTTTTAAATAGATTGGTCGATGACATCAGTAAAAACTATACATATAATACACGTTCACAATCAACCTATGGCACATTTGTACTCCTAGCTAGCCTTGTATAGGTCCAGTATAGTCTATAGTTATATAGACTTGCTTATGCTCTACTTGGTTTTCCAGTGGTCTTCTCTGCAGGAGCGAAAAGGATGAAAAACCCATCGCAAGTATTTGATTTGTAACCATACAAATCATCACTACTACCATCATCCTTACCTTCTCTACCACCACAGCCAGTTGTAGCCGTCATTATGCCGTCTAAAAGACCACACCTGGATTCAGATATGGCATCCGACGAAGCGTTTCTGGACTTGTTGAAGCCAACTTACAAGGGTAAAGGGTTGACCGATGAGATCAAAACAGCTGAAGATAAATGGAATCTTTTACCAGCATTCTTAAAAGTCAAGGGGTTGGTTAAACAACATTTGGATTCATTCAATTACTTTGTTGATGTTGATTTGAAGAAGATCATCAAGGCCAACGAATACGTGTTGTCAGACGTGGATCCTGAGTTCTTCCTTAGGTACACTGACATTCGTGTAGGGTACAGATCAAGAGATGGTCGCAAAGTTCTTGATGGTTCACCTCATGAGTGCCGTTTACGGGACATTACTTATTCTGCTCCGATTGTGGTTGATGTGGAGTATACTCGAGGTCGGAAGATCATCAGTCATAAGAATTTGGAAATTGGGAGAATGCCCATTATGTTGAGATCAAATAAATGTATGTTGGCCAATGCCAATGAAGAACAAATGAGTGTCATGCAAGAATGTCCGTTAGATCCTGGTGGATATTTCATTGTTAACGGTACTGAAAAGGTCATTTTGGTTCAGGAACAATTATCCAAAAACAGAATTATTGTGGAAGCTGATGAAAAGAAGGGGCTTGTTCAAGCTTCAGTTACTTCTTCCACTCATGAAAGAAAATCTAAAACTTATGTCATCACCAAAAACAGTAAGATCTATTTGAAGCATAATTCCATTGCTGAAGATATACCAATTGTAATTATTTTAAAGGCTGCAGGTATTGCATCGGATTTGGAAATCTTGCAACTTGTTTGTGGTAATAATTCTCAATATCAAGATCTATTCGCAGTCAACTTTGAAGAAGCTGCCAGATTAGAGGTTTTCACCCAAGAACAAGCATTGAATTACGTGGGGAGAAGAGTTAAAACCATTAGAAGAGCAGGTGCACCCAAATTATCTCAATTACAAGAAGGTATTGAAGCTATTCTGACCACTGTAATTGCTCATATCACCGTTTCAGATCTTCAATTTAGAGAAAAGGCACTTTTCATGACTTCAATGACAAGAAGAGTGTTGATGACCATGGATAATCCAAAAATGGTCGACGATAGAGATTATGTTGGTAACAAAAGATTAGAATTAGCAGGTCAATTAATGGCTTTATTGTTTGAAGATTTGTTTAAAAACTTCAACTCTGATTTCAAGGCAAATATTGATAAAACCTTGAAGAAAAGAAGTTTAACTGCTGAGTATGATGCTCTTTTAAATATTCAAATCCATTCAAGTGGATTGACTCAAGGTATGAATAGAGCCATTTCTACAGGGAATTGGTCTTTAAAACGTTTCAAGATGGAAAGAGCTGGTGTTACCCATGTATTATCCAGATTATCATATATTTCAGCCTTAGGTATGATGACAAGAATCTCTTCACAATTTGAAAAGTCTAGAAAGGTTTCTGGACCCAGAGCATTACAACCGTCTCAATTTGGGATGTTGTGTACTTCAGATACTCCAGAAGGTGAAGCCTGTGGGTTGGTGAAGAATTTAGCATTAATGACTCACATTACAACTGATGATGAAGAAGCACCTATCAAAAGGTTATGTTTCGTTCTTGGCTGTGAAGATATCTTGAACATTGATTCAGCTACTCTTCATGAAGCTGGGAATTATAGCATTTTTCTTAATGGTACGCTAATTGGTACCACAAGATACCCTATTGAGTTTGTTCATCAATTTAGAACCTTGAGAAGAACAGGAAGAGTTTCGGAGTTTATTTCCATTTATAGCAATTCTCATCAAAGTTCAGTTAATATTGCCACTGATGGGGGTAGAATTTGTCGACCACTTATTATTGTTGATCCAGAAACAAATACTTCAAGAGTTAAGGCGGAACATTTGGTTAAACTCTTGAATAATGAATGGGTTTTCGATGACTTTTTAAAGTATGGGTTAGTTGAATACTTGGATGTCAACGAAGAAAATGACTCATTAATTGCATTATATGATAAGAACTTGGAAGACAAGTCGGAATCATATACCCATTTAGAAATTGAACCATTCACTGTCCTTGGAGCAGTTGCTGGGTTAATTCCATATCCTCATCACAACCAATCTCCTAGAAACACCTATCAATGTGCGATGGGTAAGCAAGCTATTGGTGCAATTGCATATAACCAATTCAAGAGAATTGATACTTTATTGTACTTGATGGTTTATCCTCAACAACCTATGGTTAAAACAAAAACCATTGAATTAATTGACTACGACAAATTACCTGCTGGTCAAAATGCTACAGTTGCTGTTATGTCTTATTCTGGTTACGATATTGAAGATGCCTTGGTGTTGAACAAGGCTTCCCTTGATCGTGGGTTTGGTCGTTGTCAAGTGCTAAAGAAGTCTACTGTTGTTCTCAAAAAATACCAAAACCATACCAGCGATATTCTTCAAGGGTACAGAAAGGAAAATGAATCCGGGAAGATCATCTTCCCTCATCAAGCCATTGGAGCTGATGGTCTTGGTGAAGTTGGTCTGAGAATTGAAAATGGTCAGATTTATGTTAACAAATATGTTCCAACTAATGCACATGAAACAGTGGCTGCCACAGGCCAAATGCCACAACAAGAGAGTCATAGAGAAGCTCCATCCTATTATAGGGGCCCTGAACCTTCCTATATAGACCAAGTCATGTGTACTACAAGTGACAATGATCAAACGGTTGTCAAGGTACTTTTAAGACAAACCAGAAGACCAGAATTGGGTGATAAGTTTTCTTCAAGACATGGTCAAAAGGGTGTTTGTGGTATTATTGTTAACCATCAAGACTTGCCATTTAATGACATGGGTGTTACTCCGGACATTATCATGAACCCACATGGTTTCCCATCTCGTATGACGGTTGGGAAAATGATTGAACTTATCTCCGGTAAGGCTGGTGTCTTGAATGGTTCTTTGGAATACGGGACATGTTTTGGAGGTTCAAAGTTGGAAGATATGTCCAAGATCTTGGTTGAAAAGGGTTTCAACTATAGTGGGAAGGATATGCTTTATAGTGGTATAACGGGTGAATGTTTGCAAGCGTATATCTTTTTCGGTCCTATTTACTATCAAAAATTGAAGCATATGGTTATGGATAAAATGCATGCTAGAGCTAGAGGACCTCGTGCGGTCTTAACCCGTCAACCTACAGAAGGTAGATCAAGAGATGGGGGTCTTAGATTGGGTGAAATGGAAAGAGATTGTGTTATTGCTTATGGAGCTTCGCAATTGTTATTGGAAAGATTGATGTTGAGTTCAGATGCGTTTGAAGTTGATGTTTGTAACCAATGTGGTCTTATGGGTTACCATAGTTGGTGTCCTACTTGTAAGAGTTCCGAATACGTCATTAAAATGACTATCCCATACGCTGCCAAGCTATTATTCCAAGAATTGCTTGCCATGAATATTGCACCAAGATTGAAGTTGGGTGATGTTTTTCAAATGTGATAAAATTGTTATGGAAGTTGGGTCACCATTGAAGTGACTAACGGGTTACGTTCCAAATTATCGTGTCATTATTGCAGCAATAAGGTTGTTCTTGAAATAAACCTAAGAAGATTACTAAGGTACAGTGATTATATATAATTATTAATAATAAAAATAGTACAGGATATATACTGCTATCGTAACCCTGACGTAACACAACTTAGAATCTGCTTGAGCTCCTTATAGTATCCTCTATAGAAATGATCATTACCCTATAGAGACTATCAAATTGTTGCATAGTTAAGTATGCATGATGATCCGTTAATTAATGGGCGCATTTCGTCACTTTGGGATTAGTCACCGATCCTCGGCGTCTGAATTTCTGTAAGGAGGCGCTCTCAAACAGACACCCAAGTCTTGATTTAATACCATGGCCGCCTTAGAAGCTATTGATTGAGTGATCCAAATTACTATATCGTCTCACAACCTGTATTTAAGAGGCTGCAAAATGCGCATAGGGCTAAAAAAATATGCGTTGACGGAGAACCGGCCTGCGTTTCTAACGCATCTTTCAGGGACAAAACCATGGTTCATGCCATCAAAAAGGATTGAAGATTTCCTAAACAAGACGAATGGGACGATGACTAGCTCAGTGCCATACCAGAGGCCAACGACGCAAAACCTCAAGGAGCTTCATGTGCAATATGAGGTTTTCCTAATTAAGAACCTGATACCTGTTTTTGGACAGTAACGATCTTGACGAAGCTAATAACAAAAAGGTTTGGCGTCCACCAATGGAAATGACCCAATAGAACCACAACAATGCCACAACTAAATATACCCCTTACCCCTTCGAAAGTTTATCCTTGCAATTATTATCATAACGCCCCGTCATCATAGCGTTTATAAATAGCGTTTATAAATACGTAATCTAGTTATTGGATTGAGAGAGTACTTGCATTGGATGTCATATGCAATTGGGTCGCCGCCCCCTAAAGATGGTTCAAAAACGCTTCTAAAAACAACAACAATGTCAAAATGTACGAGGACGCAACCAAAACAATAATCTGTTTGCACTAATATGGCGCACCCTGTAGGTTGATGGTCGTATAATTAGCTACAACGGCTTGTTTACACATTAGTTTAGGTGTGCCTGTTGCTTCTTTCTGCAGTCCAAGAAAAAACTCTAAACATATAATTAGACAGTTGGTGACACAAACATCAGTATCTTGTGTCTTACGTGGAACATCTTGAAGTGGGTGAAGACCGCTTAATATGCAAGGAACCGTGTGTTATTGTTTTGCAGTTTTAGCTACATCAAAGGTAATGGTGCAATATTTTAACAGTAAATGCTCTTAATAAGCTAATCAGTCTCAATCCAAATGTTAGTATGAGCGTTTATGGTATCAAAACCCAAGATAAATTAAGTATATTGTAATTCAAAGTTATGCACTGCCCAAAAATAGATTACAAAATGGAGCAGTGGTTGCAACTAATGTATAAAGTATTTTTATGAAATCTATTTTTGTGTCTTGAATCTAACAAATTTAGATTTATATATTTAGATTTCTGCTTTATCGTTAAACATTATCAACCCATTTTGCAGACTTGAAATTTAGTATATAAGGTCTAGAACGCCCTGGAACCTGTTTAGCCGTCTCATTTTTCTATTTTATTTGTTTTATACTGACAGTTGAATTGAAGATCAAACTAGTTAATGATCTTGAATGCTATTCTCAGGAAAGAAATACCTTGATATAGACTGCGTGGCAGACAGTGAAACCGAAAGGTTCAAAGGTCTTGCTCTTGAACTGGAGGAAGATGTTTCCTTTTATGAACAAGCAACATATGGGAAATATGTACTCTGGTTTGGCTGTGCACTTGAATTTATCCTTTTAATAAAAAATATGTGGTTTAAGTATCGTGATTTCAGCTATCGAAAACACGCACATGCCAACTGGCTCGATAGAACAATAAATAAAGTCTCAGCAGCTTTTAGATACATTGGATACCGTCGAATACAAATGTGGCTTTGTCATTGGTGTTCCATTCCTTCATCATTAGGTACAGTAATATTTATGACAGCAGCAACTGCTTTTATGCTTTGTTACTGTTTCATTCCACATCCATGGTATAGACCATGTCTTCGATTTGGAGCACCTCCATTGGCCACCAGAGCAGGAACTATGTCGGTGGCTTTATTCCCTTTCGTTTACTTACTTGGTGGTAAATCAAATTTCATTTCATTCTTCACAGGCATAAGTTATGAGAAGCTTAATGTATGGCATCAATTTGTTGGCTTATCCAGCTTTACACTTGCAATTATTCATACTATTCCCTGGGTCTACCAACCATTCACGGAATCAGGACTCAAATCCATTCCATCAGTTCATATTAAATTTTACATAACAGGAGCAATATTACTTGCAATGCAAGCATGGTTAGTTCTTGCGTCAAAGGTTCAATTCAGAAAGTTATGTTATGAAGCATTTGTCAAGATGCACATAATTATTGGAGTCCTTTTCATTCTTGGAATGTTTGCCCATTTCTATGTTGATACGAGAATACTATCCTACTTGATCGCAAGTGTTGGGTTCATATTTCTTCAAACATTGTACCGTATGTCATTTAAGACGTACTTAAAACCTGGGAAATATTTCTTTAAACCAAGAAGTGCTTACATCAAAGTGTTACCATGTGGAGAGGCCATGAAGGTTACTATAAGTAACACTGAAGGCTATTATTGGAAACCAGGTCAACATTGTTTTCTCAGATTCGGTAACATGAAAACCAGCAAGAAAGTTCAAAACCATCCCTTTTCCATTGCATCAGTTAAGACTAATTCTCATGAGAACGATATGTCGTTTATAATTGTTCCAGGCAAGGGCTTAACTCGTGATTTGTTTGAGGAAGTTAAAGTCAGCTCACAAATCACCAAGAAATGTTATCTTGACGGACCTTACGGAGGCACCATAAGAGATCCTCTTGCATTTGATAGAATATTTGTAATGGCTACTGGTAGTGGAGTTACAGCTACTTTACCATTTGTATCACATTTTGCCAATAGTCTTTCAAGTGGGAAACCTATGGCCACTAAATCAGTGCATTTTATATGGGTCATTAGAAAAGAAGTCACTGTGGGGTGGATCCAAAATGAATTAGCCAGATGCAAGGAATTGGCAGGAGATAAGTTGAAAATTGATATCTATTTAACCTCTCGCAACAATATCAATACAACCATTACCAAATATAAGGAAGGGATAATCACACCATTCTCTGATAACAATAAGGATCTTGATTCTGAATTGACTACCAAAAAGTCGTTTGAAACGGAAGACTTTGTATTCCAAAGTAATGCACTGGCAGAATCCATAGCGTTACCTGAGAAGTTACATACTAAAACATTCTATGATGAAGCTACATGTTATTCCATCGAACCCTATCATAAATTGGCGATCTCAAGTTTTGCCAACATCTACTATACCCGGCCATCTACAGTAGAACTAGTGGAACAATGTAAGCTTGGACCAAAAAACTTTATTGTCGTATGCGGGAACAACACCTTCAAACGAGACATTGCGAATACCATTGCATCTTTTCAGAAACAAGTTCTTGCTCGTAAGAATGGGTCTTTTGTACAAGAGATTTACCTTCATACAGAGTCCTTTGGATGGTGAATACTTTATAGCATTGCATATAAAACAAAATACGATTCATATAAGTGGAATGTAGCAGAGCACTAAGGTCATTACTATATTGTCAGCATCGTCAGCACTATACGGTCAGGCCAGCTATTTGGTACTTGAAATGATCGTGCACCCACCAAAATATGTCATGATCTTAAGGATCGTAGAGTTCTGGGGAAAGGCACTAACCTGCAGGCACCCATAACATTCCTAATTTCACACACCTATTTTATCTTACCACAAGTAGATGGTTTATGGAGCACTATCTAACAGTGAACCCCCTTCGAGTGCATGTGAAACCAACCAATAGGAGCAGTAGTCCAAAACAAACATGTTGAGTCAAGTAAGAATATTGCTTTTCCTTGCAATAGTGATGCTGGTGTGGGTGTTAAATATTAGTTGTAGTACTACTCAAGGGGTGGAGTTATGGAATAGATGGTTCCATAAGCATAATAATGATGTTAATACAGATTCACCAATTTCCGGAGTTAAAGCGAGCGACGAGTATCCTTGGAATGGGTTTATGAACACGATTTTCCCCATTAATGCTTTATTAAGGTATAATTCATCCACAGTGCCACCCATAGTAACCACTGTGGAAAGGTTGGGCAGATATGCATCCTTTAGTAATATTGTATTGAAAAATCCAGGGATTATGGGGGAATACGTTATGTTTACTCATGATTCGTGTTTTGTCAATCCTTCATTATATGATGAAGGTGAATATGAAGATAAGATAATTATGGCCATGAGAGGTGGGTGTACATTTGTGAGTAAAGTGAAGGAATTAATGAAGTTGAAACCAAAAGCTATAATTATCGGGAATAATGAACCTCATCAGGGCCTTTTAACCATGTTTTCCAATACTTTTAATCAAGATGGTTCAATTCGAATCCCCATGATCTTTATAACTATGGAAGATTATATGCTTTTCGAACAAGAACCCAATAGAAGACTTGAGATCACCACGTCTTCATTTGGAAGTTTAACAAGCGTGATTCTTTCAGCTACCATTTCTCCTCCATTGCTTGTGATTTTAATTTATTTTTGTATTAGAGGGGCACAATATTTTAAGAAAATCAACACCAGTCGTCATAATTTTAAAATGGTAAAGAAATTACCCACTTATATCTATGAAGGTGATCATTTGGTTAATGATAAAGATTTTAAAAAGTATCAGGATATAATTGAACATGAAAGAAAACTTGAGAATTTACTGAAAGATAGTCCGCTTCCACTTGAAGAAAATCATCAACCTTTATCGTCCTCCAGAACGTCGATATCAAGTTTAAGTGAATACATACCTCCAATCCCCCTCTCTTCCATACGCAAAATACATTCGTTGAATGTACTTTTTTGCACCAAAGACTATTATGCTACGTCCAAATGTTCTATTTGTCTTGATAAGTTCATTCCCCATGAATCACAACTTCTAGTACTTAAATGTAAGCATATTTACCATAAGAATTGTTTATCAAATTGGTTAATAAATTTCCGACGCAGTTGTCCTCTTTGCAACAACACTATCACTGCATCACAATTACGATTACGTCCAACGACTGAAGATGATGGCTATCTTTCATCCACTTCAAATCTGATAGATATGGGGTCGGTGGCGCCTTTATTAGAACGTCAAACCACTTCAGATGGTTCCAGATGGTATGTACTTGATGCTGATGATCAACGTGAGCTGGGAGAATTTATTGCTGATGATGATAATTCAGGGATCTTTTATACTGAGATGCTCAATATACCTTCTAGAGATTCATCATTGACTGATCCATCTACATCAACAACAACTACAACTACATCTACATCAACAATACCAAACTACAACCAAGACATGGCTCACTCAGCAACTTCCACATATTACTCGACTCATTCTAATAGAGGTCCCGTCACAGTTGCAGGTTCAACGTACGAGAATGAGAGTGTCTTTCTCACACCAATCTCAAGCCACAGACCCTTCTCACCACCTACTAAGGGAAGCATAGAAGGTTCGAGAATGGCCCATGTGTTGGAGGAAGATGAAGGAGGAGCAAGTCAAGAAGAAGAAGAAGAAGAAGAAGAATTTAAGCCCAGTTTATAGAACGTATCTAATAATAGTTGTTATGAGGTTATGCTACTAACAATGTATGGTGTTATTTCAATGAGATATATTATTTTTACCCCCACCAAAAGTGCGTGCACCACTCAATCCCTCGGACCCCACATCAGAAAACACATATCTCCGACCTGCTCATAGTGAATAACCAACTAACTGCTTACTGGTGGGCTCAAGGCAAGATGTCAGATCTGACAGATCAGACCAGTGCAAGCAATGGTACTAACGGAATGAGTAGTGGCGCGGGGGTAGCCGACGGGACACCTCGACTCTCGCTCACTGAAAGTGCTTCTTCAATACAAACTGGATACTCTCCCTCATCTTCAGGAGAAAACAACAACAACAGCAGCAGCAATAATAACAAGGATTCAGAGAGATCTATAGGGAAAAGAAGAAAGAAGAAGGTGGACATAGCCTGTGTGTATTGTCGGAGGTCTCATATGATTTGTGATGATTCTAGACCATGTCAACGATGTATAAAGAGAGGCATTGGCCATCTTTGTTACGATGAGCCATCAAATCCTAGACAGAGGAAGAAGGTTGCACAATTGAAGAAACAACCAGATACGCCTAACAACACGACAACGACAATAACCAATAACACTACTTCATCAACTACCACAACTGGTCTAACACCCTTGACGGTACAACTGTCTCTGTTACCTCTTGGGTTGCAAACACCTTCAGTTCAAACACAATCTCAAGCAGCACTTGGTTTAGGTGGAAGTAGTACTTTAGGTGGAAATCAAAACCAACAAATGATGACAAATAACATGGGAGGACCTCGTGCTAGTAGTTCTGTATTATCTCAGACAATGCAATATAACCAAGAACCATTCTTTTATTCGGAACATGCTGGTAGTGAATTTAGTTCACTTAATGATTTCTTATCGATGATCGATGATCCAGAATTAGTTAATGGCGCTCTTGGAGACAATGCTGCTTTACTTAACTTTGAAGCTGCTCGACCAAATGATATGAATGGCAGTCAGGGTAAGCCTCTTCACAATAGCATTTCCAATACAAGTCTTGCAAATATTTTGTCGTTTTCTCCCAATCCTAACAACTTTTCATCAACGTTTGGAGGTGAAAACGTCACCTTCCAACAAAATACTAATCAAGATAATCTTAGTAATAACTCCACCAATGCTAACGGACCTTCCAATAATAATAGCTTTCAAAATGGTCCAGCAATCAATACTAATGGGAATAATACAAATGGCATGCCAGGCACTAACAATAACACCAATAACTTTAACAACAATATCAATACCAATACCAACAATGACAATAATTCTAACAAGAATCCAAGTACACAGAATGCAAAAGATGAAACTCATCAACCAGTGATATCTGATTCTGCTAGAGATAAATTTTTTTTAACTGCTGCTGATCCAACCACTGAAATTTCGCCTGAAGAAAGATTGAAACAAGTGATTAAAGCCAAATTGGAGGCTGGTCTTTTACAACCATATAACTACGCTAAAGGGTATGCCAGATTACAAACCTATATGGATAATTATATGAATGCTTCAAGTAGACAAAGAATTTTGAAGCCATTATCTGAATTTAGACCTGCTTTCCGAGCTATTGCCAGGACTTTGAAAGATGTGGATTTAGTTTTAGTGGAGGAAAGTTTTGAAAGAATGCTTTTAGATTACGATAGAGTTTTCACATCAATGGCCATTCCTGCTTGTCTTTGGAGACGTACAGGAGAGATTTATCGAGGTAATAAAGAATTTGCATCATTAGTTGGAGTGATGACCGATGATTTGAAAGATGGGAAATTGGCTATTTATGAGCTTATGAGTGAAGAAAGTGCGGTTAATTTCTGGGAGAAATATGGAGCAATTGCCTTTGATAAAGGTCAAAAGGCAGTTCTCACCAGTTGTAATTTAAGAACCAAAGATGGCATAAAACGGAAGAGTTGTTGTTTTAGTTTTACTATCAGAAGAGATCGATACAACATTCCAAGTTGTATTGTTGGCAATTTCATACCCATTGATCCGTGATAGGGAGATTTTTCTTTATTTATACTGTTAATTTGTTCGGTTTAAATTGTATTATTTTATTTATATATATTCATTAGTTGATGATACTAATCTTCCATTTCTTGATCCTCTTCCTCGGATTGATCTTCTTCATCTTCGCTTTGTTGTTGTTGCTTCTTTCTTGCTTCTTCTTCAGCTTCTAAAGCTTCTTGTAAGATTCTTCTTCTCTCTTCTCTTATTTGTCTTTGAACCACAACGTATTGGCCCAATGGAGTCTTGGACCACTCAAAGTCGTTTAAGAACAAACTGGCTTCGGTCTTATTGGTTGGACCGTATTCAACATTGGACCTTCTTTGAGTTATAAAAGTGGCATTAGTATTCAATTTCTCTACCAATTGTTGTAATTGCTTATTGAATTTGGTGTTTCTTGATTTCTTCATAAACCTTCTTAACGATAACACGACAGGAGTTACCAATTCGGGAAAGGCGATACTCTTAGTGTACATGATAAAGAATTCACTGGTTAATTCAATAAATTGTTCGCATAAACCTTCTTGATATACCTTAGTACCCAAATAAGCTTGGTTTACTTTGATGTTGTTTTCGAAATCAACCGCTTGTAACTTGGAGGGTTTGGGAGCTTTGGTGATGGCAGTTGAAGTTAAGATCTCGGAGATGAGCGGATAAATTGGGATGTAAACTCCGGTCTGTTGAGATAATCTAAGTAAAGATCTTATTAAATAGAATCGTAAGGGGAAGAATTGAGCTGTTGGAATTAATCTTATGGCTCCCAATGTGACTTGTACTAATGGATAAATCAATTGTCTCATTGGTGACTCTTTAGATTTATGATTTTGTAGTTCCCGTTCTGGATTACAACTTTGAGCAATTACTCTTGACCAGAAATCTAATGAATGACAATATTGCCAGTTATAAATGGCCTTATAACTTTCGTTAGATGATCTGGTACCGTTGATACTGTTTCTTAAATGAATAGCCAATTGTCTAACGAATTCAAATCCAACTTGATAGGAAGTGGTTTCATTTATACCGTACAATTCAGCAGCTGAATTCTTACAGAAATTAAGCTGAGGCATGGTATGAACATTTGTCTTACGACAATTCTGTAAAAAGGTAGAATAACTTGATTTCAAGATCAATTCCAATAACGACTTAGGATATTCCCTGGCAGCATTATTCAAAAACGCAAACGCAGCAATTTGAATCTCCACATTGGTAGATGATGCCCAAATATTCACCACAGAATTGATGATTTGTTTCACAAGTTTCCTATGGGAAATGTAATATGGTAACAATTCTTGAAGCGAAGACAACACTAAAGCTGCGGTATCTGTGTTATTAGAATCTCCCAACAACAATAAATAGGAACCAGCATGAGACTTGAGGATATTGGATAATTGAGATACATTAGGATTATTTTGAGGAATGGTTCTAGAACCATTGGCTATTTTATACTTGACAAGTTTCTGAATGGCCTGGGGAATTTTCTTTAAACCCAATAACATAACCTTTTGGAATGCCTTGGGATCGGTAACAGCATATTTATAATCTTCTGTTGAGTTATTGATGTTGACTGCAGCTTTGAATGCTACACAAACGTTTCGAATGATCTTACGGTTAGGACTTTCTAAATTTTTACTCCATTGTTGAACCAATTGAATAGTAATTTCATTCTTATCATTCTTTACAGTGTCATCATCACTGTCGTCCCCGTCACCTTGTTCTTCTTCTTCTTCTTCTACTTCTTCATCCAGTTCTCCCATGGCTTCCAAAGGATTGACTCCTTCAAAATCCAACAATCCCTTATCATTTTCTTGTAAGTACTTGTAAAATTCAGGATCCTTGTCCTTCAAGTTATCCAAATCTGCCTTCATTTGTTCTTCGTCCTCTTCGTCAGATGAAGATTCTTCGTCCGAATCTGCTTCACTTTCAGACTCCTTCTTAGACTTGCTCTTCTTCTCCTTAGGAACCTCAAACCCACTAGCAAAAAACTCATCTACTGGCATGTCTTCAAACACTTCCTTCGCTGCCTTTCTTTCCCGTTTGGGCTCTTCTCCGTCATTGGTGGTGGTAGACTTCTTCTTTCGGTTGCCTCTAAGCTTGTTATGCTTTTGAACCTCTTTACGGTGTTCAATGGTATGCTTCAAATGCTTGTTCTGGAACTTCTTCGTGGACTTAGAAGTCTTCCCCATCTTGTATGCTGTTGCTAGTGAATGCTGAAGTAGGAACTAAAGCTCTCTAAAATTTTTCAGTGTACATTTCAATTACTAGCGAGATGACTTTTACTGGAGCACTGCACATAATCCCGATGAGCATCGCAGTATACTATATAAGCTACAGGTAGTAGTGTTAGATGTTAGTAGTGTTAAACGGTAGTACTGTAGTACTAACATACTTCATTGTTACAGCTGTTCTGCTGTACTTCTTGCTATTGCAATTTCTCACATGTAGTTCAACTATTTTATGTCTATAATGTTACATGAACCCAGAGTCAAATCGACCATTGAAAGCATCATAAAGCCAATGGATCAACTTATCATGAATAGCAATTCCAGCATTATGATAATAAATGGAATGATCGCTATCTGGAAAGTAATGGACATCATAATTCTCAACTTCTTTGGCATCAAACTTATCAAGTAGCCAAAGCAGATTCTGTAAATGCACATTATCATCAGATGTACCATGCATAATAAGGAACCGTTGAACTTTTTTGAAACTTTCAAAATCAACTATCTGTGCCAGAGATTTGTACATGGGGTTAGACTCTGGATTCCCCATATATCTTTCTGTGTAAATGGAGTCATAAAACATCCAATTGGTAACAGGAGCCACAGCCATTCCGTACTTGAAAATTGAACCTTTATCATATTCCAAAGTCTTTAACGTAACAAATCCTCCATAAGACCAACCCCATAATGCAACTCTTTCATCGTTAATATAAGCTTTGTTGGTTGATATATATTCAGAAACAACATTCACCAAATCTCGAGGTTCCCAGTACCCCAAGCGATTCCGTGCAAATGATTTGAAATGCCATGATTTCCCTCCTGTACCCCGGGGTTCAATAACAAGAACCACTGTATCCAAAGATGAACTTACAACGTCCAAAAAACCTACGTTGAAGGTTTTATCCACGGTTTGAGATCCAGGCCCTCCATAAACGTGAACAAATAACAGATGTTTCTTTGACGGGTTGAAGTTTGGAGGAAGAATCTCCAAAACATTGAGTTCGGTCCCATCGACTTTAACTGTTGAAAAAGTTCTTGTAGGGACATTCATGGAAGATAAAGCTTTCTGTATTCTATCACCACTCTTATTTATACTTGGGAACTTGTGGAATATGTCTTCAAATGAAAAAGTCCCCTCTTCGTCTTTAAGAAAGTTATGCATATCTTGTAAATTAATCAATTTCTGCCATGGAACTTCAGGTCCTCTGTATTGAAGATTAATATATTGTCCATCTTTGCTGAAATGAATTTCATACTTCCCATCAACAGTTGTGTTTGTTAAAGCCACCATTTTGTGATCATTATTCAGTAAGTCAATCCCCACCAAATGTGCATCCATGGATGACTTAATGGTGATTAGAGTATAGACATAATTCTCCATATGATCGTAGACAATTGGAGCATTGTCTACAACACCCCAGGCGTTTGAGTTAGTCAATAACTCATATTTTGAAGAAAAAACATCGGAAAACAACCCTAAATGCACCATCCCATTGGCCACAACCCTATCAATATATTTCTCTGTATTAGGAAGTGGAACAATTGGAGGGGTTTTAGCAACCCAACCGTTGTATTCTGTAGTCACATTGACGTGGGAAACATCAATTAGTTTATCCTTTTTGGAACTGAAAACACATGTTTTCAATAGAGAGCTTGTTCTATCGGTGAACTTGATCAACATATTATCCATTCCCACCCAACCAGCAGAATAGACAATATAATCATTCCCCAATTCTTTCTTGAGATTATCATCATTTATGGGTTTCAATTCATTGCTAGGTATATCGTAGATTTGAATTGAAGGTAATGGATTGTTTGAGCCAGTTTTAGGATACTTATACTTCAATCTGAGTGGATACTTGTTGATGTTATCTTCAACACTATTAGCTTGTGGTAAGCTAACAGACCCACCAATCTCGTCAACGTGTTTAATATAATAGTCCAAGGTGAAATCTTCAACGTTGGAATCATCCAACCTCAAGAATGCCAACTTGGTTTCATCAGGTGACCACCAAATTTGTCTATCGGTGCCACAAACTTCCTCTTCGTATACCCAATCTATTTTACCGTTGAAAACGTCCTTTGAGCCATCAGAAGTAATTCGGGTAGTTTTCAAAGAATTGTTTAACTCTAACAAATAGACATCATTATTGTATCCAAAGGCAATGTAGGTACCATTGGCCGAGAACTCAGCAAAGTGTAACTTGAATAATTCAGTCGACAAATCTGTAAATGGTGGTTGAATCGGCTTGCCGATATTAGTCATGGGATTATAAAGCCAATAAATACCATATTTCAGATGTCGCCATTCCATTTGAATATCTGTTACCACTATATGCCACACATCCGGATCATCAACAGGAGCATTGGGATTAAGAATGAGTTGTTGAATGTAGAAGAAGTTGTTTTCATATTCAAATTGAATAGATGATATCAATACTTGTTTCTTATTGGAGTTGATCTTCCCAATTGAATATGTTTGATGGTCTGAAGTGATATAATAACCCCCTTTAATATTATTATCCAATACTAACCTTTGGGGAATTTGGGTCTCTTCAAGCCAGAAAATGGGGACCATTTCAGGATAATACTTTTCGTTTCTTGTATCTTGCAAAGATATGTTTGATAATAAGGCGTCATAGGAGTTAATGGTGATATTTCGTCCATTGAAGGGGATTATGTTAGTGTGAGACTTGAACTTTTGGATCAAATGTTTCGGACTCAGATTGGCATACACTAGGAGTCCTAAAATCCATACACCTATTGATAAAACTACTAATAATCGACATATATTTGATTGGAATATGGTCTTAGTACCCTTATAATTGTTCAATACCTTTTGGAAAGCAGCACTATTATGGAAGGAGCTTTTGACTTCATCAGCATTACCATCAGCCAAAGTAAAGTTGTCGATCTCCTCAAAGATCATTGACGATATTGAATCTGCAGAATCTCTAGAATCACTTGATCTTACTTCGTCTTCATCATTAGGTATATCCATTAATTCATATGAGGGTTGGGCACTTTGCTGCTGTAGAAATGAGAACATGCTGATATTGTTATTGCTATATATATGGAATAAAATGACTACCAAACGTTATGGCCATACCTTTTTATAAGATAAATCTATAAGGAAGATGTAATTACCAGATTAGTACCTCAATGGGCTTAATATCAAACACGGTATATATGTAGTGCGTCCGGGTAACCCCAATATATCTTAGAAAGTATATGCAGGTCTTATCACTCAGTCAGTTGTAAGGTATCAAGCATAAACGTACGTACGCATACATACATACATATATACATGGTGTATTGATATACTGTTGGTATACTAGTGGGTGATAGTACATATATAATAGATATGTATAGTAAACAGATATATACTTTAGATTAGAGTGCACTTGAGGGTCTATGTGCTGTCTATAAATGCTGTGTTTTTTTGGTAGCACCAAGTACTATTGTCTGACAATAGGTGTATGAATGGGGCTGTACGAGAGGTTCACTATAATATAAGGTAAGTTTAGAGAAGACACGTATAGTCTGTGAATGAAGGTGTTTAGTTTCTCATCAACAAATGACGGAGTTAGATGAACAGAGAGCCATTGCGTTGTATACCCAATTCTTTACTGAAGTGGAGTCAGAGTCAGAGGAGACTAATTCAACATTATTAGCCACTGCAACCCATGATGGTGGTGGTGGGTTAAGGGCAATTGCAGATGGATATGAAATCCATGAACTAAGTAGAAGTATCTTTACTACTCCATTATCGCTAGCAGCGTTTAAGAATAAGCTTCAGCACATTTCTACCGAGCAGGGAACGGTCAATGCAAAGCGATTGTTTGGTTATGGAGTAAAGTTATTGGTTGAGGTGACACTATTTGGGGTAGCCAAAAAGCCAATAGAAGAAGTAAGAAAAAATACTACTACTGCTACTCATATAGATGACGATGAAGATGGTGACATTACGGCCCAAAGAGGAAGACCTTCAGTTGATGTTATTAGTAGAAGGAAAAGTAATAATAATATTGTTATGCATGATGATGATAGTGATGGTGATGATTTAACTACTTTAAAGGGTGCTGTAGCTGATAATGAGTTTATTTCATTGGATGATGAATTACGATTTGAATTGGTATGTAATATTCTTCGGATTCTCCAGTGTTATTTCGTTTATCTTGATGGTAGTTTTTTTGATTTCTTGATAAATGAACAAGATAGAGATCTTTTGGTAAGATTATTAAAGAATTGTGAATTCTATTTGCATAAAATGGTTGAAACCATTGAAAGCTCAGAGGAAAACTCATTTCCAAATTTAGGAGTGGTTAAAGAATTGATTTATTTGGTATATTACATCATCATCACTTATCTGTATGAATATTTACAATTTTTGAATTTAGAATCCCTATCAGAACCTCAAAGTGCCAATGACGTCGGAGATATTGTTGAGAGCTTTGGCCAAAGGCAGAATAACGATGACGAAGAAGATCAAAATGAAGGTAATTTGGAATTTTTATTTCTGTTCAATCTTTTCCCTCCTTTAATTAATAGAATCCTTTCAATTACAGATTTTAAACCTCCAAAACTTACATTACTGTTGAAAACATTAACAAAATTATATACCATTAATTTTCTTACGGATTACTTGACCAAAACGAAAAGGCATTTATTCAGAGGGTCTATTCCATATAAAAGTGACATTGAATCTCAAATTCCTTACAAGCTTATTCCCATATTACTGATGGATTTTAATTATTATTATGGATACCAACCGGATTTAATGATCCACCAATTATCTTCAAAATCGTTTTTCCATTGGTTAACAGGTAATCGTTTCAGTGGGAATGCATATTTGAAGTATCAAACTTCAAATTATATCACAAGCTTATATGAAAATTTGGATCTTAGTTTGTTTGGAGATTTCAATAAAGATTCCTTCTTAAAGGAACTACAAACTATTCAAATCCGTCGTCTGAGAAGAGATACTTTATCTGATCCCAAGGAATTGGTTTCAATATTTCTGATGATATTTTTGAATCCTGAATCATTAATTAGATCTAAAAATCTGACTGATATGCAAAATGATGAAGATCATATTGATTTTTTGGATTTATGGCTTTGCTTGTCATCATATATTGTACAGTATCAACATAAGTCTTCATTCCTTCAATTATTAACTAGGATTATACTTTCAACTTTACATAATTTGGTGAAAAACTACGAAGACGAAGTTTATAACTTAACCATTAATGAAGCCAAATGGAAATTATGCCATCAAAAGGCCCCCTTTATACCATTGAACAATGATAATCAATGGATAGTTCCATTTGGAAAATATTTATGTGATATTCTTCAGGTGATGTTACGGTTTAATTTGAATAATAAATTCAATGTTGAAAATTATAGGTTAACGTTGGATTTATTATATAAATTGATTCTGTCCGATAAGCTAGCATCATCTACTTATAACTTTGTTGAGTTGGGAAAGAGTATATTCATTGTGCTTGATTTTATTTCCAAGAAACATAATTCAGTGATACGATATGCTATTTTGGAAGATTTATTATTAAACTTGGATTTAATCTTGTGGAAGTCCAAGTTTGAAGACTCCCATTTATTATATGAGTTCTTACATAAGAAGCAAATGCTTTTTGGACTTATGACAGAGTCAGATATCAATCCTCCACACATTGAGTCATTGATCCAGTTCTTTGATGGTAACATTAAATTGGAGGATATTAAAGATGAAGCTGAAGCTGAAGATCTAATAGTGAAATTGGTTGATGGTGATAAAGAACTTTCCAAGTCACTCTTGGGGGAACTCAACTATTCGTACAAATTCAAAGATACTTGTATGTATGTTGAAGGAGAGATTGGGGCACTGGAATTAATGGTTGAGATAATGGAATACATGAATAATATGAAGAATATTGAACCGTGGTAAAATTATACATCAAAATAAAGAATATATTAGTATCTGAGTCTATTCTAAGCATTATGAATTGTTCTGAAAAAGTCCATACATTGAGTAAAGACCACCAAAAGAATACCACCACCGGGACCTAATCTCAAGACTTTAGGTAAGAACCCTTTATATAAAGCACCAAACCCTTCTTCTTTGAACACAGTTCCAATAGATGGAACAGTCCAAACATATTTAGTAGAACCAGCTTGAATTCTTGATTTAACAACATCAAATGGTGTATTTAAAATGGTACCAAAAGTTCCACCGATTGAACCACAAGTTAAGTCAATTAAGGTTTTCTCAGTAGAATTCTTTGGTTTAGGCATTAACCCTCTAACTTGATGGATAACTCCGAAATAACCGGCATTCCAAACAATATGTCTCCATAAAGTTGATTCCAAACCTTTATACAAACCCAAAACACCATCTTGTTTGATAATGTGTTTTAAAACATCAGACATCCCATTAAATTTGGAGTTTTTATCTTGCAATCTGATTTTAATCAATTCAAAAGGTACCACCACAAATGATTCAGTTGCACCAGCAGTAGCACCTGTCAACACAGCTAATGATTGAGTCATTTGAGGTACACCAAAGAATCCTTTATAGAATTTCCCCCATTCATCGTTTGCAGCAAACTTTGTAGCTCTCTTGGGGGCTTCCATCAAAATGGGCGCAGTTATACCCTTATATAATCTTGAGAATCCTTCTTCCTTGACAATCTTTTTCAAACAATTGATGGTACCATTATAAGCATTGGTGGAATCCAATTGTTGTCTGGTCTTGACAACATCCAAGGGATACATCACAAGGATTTCAGACACACCGGCAATGGCACCAGATGCAAATTGATAGATGAAGGGTAAGGGCTTTGGTTCAGACATAATGGTATGAATTGATGTTCGACTAAAGAAGAATGGTATAAACTACAATTATATTTGTACAAATTTTATTATACTATCCGCAAAAACCTCCATTTATTATCACCAAGCCATAAATACTACTATTAGACTCTGGCACAGTACACACGACCAGATAACCAACAGTCAATCAAGTGGAGATTATTAGGCTGAGGAGCCAAAATTTTTTTTTTCTGGCTTTGAGTTCCGCATTTGCATGCCGGTATCGGCGACAAGTTCAGCGGAAAAGAATAAGTGCTTACAAGTAATGAGTGAACAAATATCAAGGGTAATCATGATACTGGGTGTTATAATTATACTACGATGAAAGGCTTAACGTAACATCATGTAACGTAATGTAATATACTGTAACGTAATACAACCGGAACAAGCTTAAATATTACCGGCTTGTGAAAGGAACCTTTTTTTGGGAATAATCCCTTTTGATCCTTAAACCCGAATCAAATCAAAGAAAGACCTATTCCCCTCATTATTGTCTCCCTATTAGCTTGCTCCTTTAACTAATCGATTTGATTAGACCTGCCCCATTATCTTTTGTGTGTCTTGGTTACCGTCTCCCACTGTCCGCGCTACCACAACGTAAAACCAACATCAAGTCACGTGACATACTTGGATCTGTGGCAAATGTGAAACACCTTATAACCCTTCATAATACTAACAACGTTATAACATGGTAGTTAAATACATGGAAATAATAAGCATTATATTTTTTATCAATAGTGCCATGACTGAAGTGGTCTCCAACCCCTAAATATGCATCTTAACGCATCCCCCTGCGTAGGAACTGGTGTATGGCTGTACACTACCTGTGTTGCCGTTTGATATGAACATGCTGTTATTGTTTTCCCTAATTGATTCAGTCCAAATCAAACACTCCTCCATATAAGATGAGCGAAACCATTTGATGCGGTTTAATACACAAGTGTAATGAAATAACTCACCAGAACTTAGTATGCTGTTATTGTTGGTACTGTGCTGTAGAACTGCCTTAGAACTTGACCATGAAACGACACCGATACCCGCTAACTGTTATATACCACTATAATATCACTGTAAATGTAACTGTTATATACTACCGTACTTTTAGCTGCTATATACAACTGCGACCGAACATTATTCTTTGCAGTTTCTTTGTCTGACTTCATTCTTGACACTTGTTTTCTTTTGCTTCTAGTTGAAACCTCTGACGAGACGCATTTAAGCCTTCTTATATTCATTTAGATATACAATTTTATTCCTAACTTTCTTTAGCACCACAACCTTTACATTCGTTTAAATCGTCATCATGTTGTTTGCAACGCTTATACTATACGCGTTGCTACTATTTAGATCAGTCAATGGTGACGATGTCCAAATATCCCAACCCGATCTTGCATATTCTCAGTTTGGTGGTCGATTAGGTATATTGGGTGACTTTGATAGTTTATCCGTGTATTCATTTGTTAACGAGTCTTCTATCTTGGCTTCATCATCATCATCATCATCATCGTCAAAAGAACTAACCAAAAGAGAAAACGATAACTCAACGGTATCTACTTCAGCTCCTCAAAACTTATACTTGAGAAATACTGATGATAACACTAGTAAACTATTGGCTTCGGTTAATGGTATAATATCTTACCTTGAAAAATATACTGATGATACTATTATTGTTAATGGTAACTTCACTACATTCAAAAACCAACCCATCCAACCTCCCTTTTTGTATAACGTGACTTCTGATTCTGTTATTCAAATCTTTTACCCATCATCATCGTCATCATCATCATCATCATCTTCTTCTTCTTCAAGTCCTACCATATCTGGAGGTTCAGTCAAGGCCATACTTATAGATGATGATTTGATATATCTTGGAGGTGATTTCACCTTTAATAGTACTGTTGGAGCTGCAGTGTATAACGTCACTGCTGATTCAGTCAACACATTTCCCTTCAAGGGGTTCGGTGAAGGGGCGTCTGTCAACGCTATCGCAAGAATAATGGACCAAACTAATTCTGATAATGATGCTAACAAAGGTTCTATTATATTTGGTGGGAAGTTTGATACCTTGGGGTTCCCTGAATTGTTAATACATAACTCCACCAACTCAACAAAGAAGAATACCACCAACAGCACATATATCAGAGCTGAACAAGTTGTTTCATTGAAGAATGGGATATTCAGCAGCATAAATGGTGCAACCCAGAATACCGAAAGTTCAATCATATGTCCAGCAACTTCAAATCCTTGGTATGCACTTGATGGTATGGGTGCTCAATGGAGAGTAGCCATGCCTGATCCAATGAAGGGGATTGTCCCGACCAAAGTACGTCTTTATATTCCAGAAGGAACTGACGGTACTAAGTTATTCCGGATCTACTCTTATCCAAATGCTGGTATAATGAACTTGACTTATATCAACCCACAGACCAACAAAATGGAGATTTGTGATGCTTGGTGTCCCTTGATGACATCAAGTGACTTGAAAGCAATTGCTGAGAAGAATGCTGCTAATATTACTACTATAGCCAATTCTAGTTCGATTTTCATTGAAGAAGATGGTTCGTATACCAGTTATTACGATTCTTCCAATAACACCAAGACATTGGGTTATGGGTCTAATTATCAAGAGTTTGCACTTATAAATAACGTGGCATTTGATAGCATTGGTGTGACAATTATTGATTGGTATGGTAATAGAGGAGCACTTGGGGGATTCCAAGTGTTTCAGACTTCAATATCCACTTATGGTAATGAAACATTGAACGAACCCAATTGTGCCTCTGATTTGGATTATGTTAATAGCTCCAAAATCAACAATGGTACGTTCCAAGCCATCACCAACGTTTCGGATTCCGTTGTTAATAATGATTATTTGGTTTCTTTCGATACCAATGCCAAAATGACCTTGTACCCCAATATTTCCTATTCTGGGAACTATTCCATCATCATTTCCACTCCTGGTTGTCTACAAGATAACTCATGTGACTTCAGATCCATTGTAAATGTATCTGTTATTGATGGTAATGATAATATCTTAAAGACCAATACCATTTATCAGAATAATAATTACGATAAGTTTGATTATTTGTATCAAGGTCATTTAAATGGGTCTACTTCAAGAAATGCTAGTGATGGTTTGACCAGAATTGAAATTTCATATGATAGTGCAATCAATACCAACTCTGATCAACATTGGATGGTGGTTGATAAAATCACTGCTAGTTTGCTTGCATTGGATGATAATTTGATTCACAATTTAACCAAATCTACCAATTCTACGTATGAATTATCGTATGTTAGATTGAATGGACTCTTTGAATATTCATTGGATAATTTTACAGATTTCAACACTTCAAAAGTTGCTTACTCTAGTGATAATAATAAGACTATGATTATTAATCTGGAGAATTCTTATGTGGGTAACTCCTCAATTAATTTGTTGAGTTCTAGATTAGCAAATGGTTCTGTGATTAGTGAGTTTGTTCAACAGCTGTCTTCTTTACTTGCACAAGGTGCCTTTGAAGTTAACCAAACAGATGCTTCAGTTATGTCGTTACTGAATACCAATTTGATGACTATTAATCTCGGTCAATTTAATTCAAGTTCAAATTCTACTACTATAGAACTGATACACAAGAAGAGAGCTACTAGTGATAATGTCATTTATGGAGCTCTGTTTAATTCTCCAGTATCTCAAATCATCAAATATGAAGATGGGGTCATGATGTTAGGTGGATTCACTCTTAGCAATGATGGGAACTCTTCTATAAACTTGATAGATATGCTGACCAATAAATCAGTTTCCAATATCAATAATTTTGTCTTCTACAATGATAATATCTGGTATGGGTTTGGGAACTCCTTATTACTGGCTGAAAATTATCAATTTACCAATTTGACCTTCAATGACATTAACTACTTTGTTTTCACTCTTAACAATAATGAGTATCAAACTTGGGATAACACTAATAAGAAATGGGTAACTGATGGTGGACAAACATTTAACATATCTCTTGCCCTTTCCTTAAATAGCAACCAACAAATTTTGGGAGGCTCATCCTTGACTACCATGGAATTCTATGAAATTGACCAAGCATATTTGGATAATCTGCAAAACTTTTCCAGTTATAATTTGAACATCTCTTCTGGTGGTGGTGGACTTTTAACCTCATATTATTTAAATTCTTCCTTGAGTGTGATTGGTGGACAGTTTAATACCACTAATGCTCAGAATTTGGCATTTATAAATAATAATGGTTCTGGAATCATTCCATTGTCAAATGAGTTGAAATGGCCTTCTGATACTTCGGTTATTAGTTTATATGCTGATACTAAAAACCAGTATCTTTTTATTGGAACCAATGGGTCAGTTTCAAGCGATAATAATGAATTCTCTGGTCTATTCATTTATAATTTGACCAACAATACTTTGACCAGTTTCCAACCAGCCATGCTTTCAAGTTCCGCTAATGGTGATAATGGTAATGGCATAGCAGTTAATGCTGTTGCATTGAGTGAACAGAAGAACCAACTTTTAGTGGGCGGAGAATTTGACCAAGCTGGGTCCTTAAGTTGTAAAGGATTATGTGTTTATGATTTGGATAATACAAGATGGAATAATCCTTTCGCTAATAATGACTCATTCTCAGGTTCAGTCACCGATATCAAGTTCTTTTCCTCAAATGAAGTACTTATTTCTGGTAATTTCACCTTGAATTCAAACCAAGTGAATTTTATTCAATATAATTTTGATACCAGTCAACTTGTACTGTCAACTTCTTCATTAAACTCCTTGGGGTCCAATTATGTGGTGAACAAGTTTGTTAGCAATGATAATTCATTCGATGGAAGAATAATTGCATACGGTGATAACTTTATTTCTGGTTTTAATGGGAAGAATTGGACAAGAATCGATGATGGGATAATCTATGATGATGAAACTGAATTCACAGATATTAAATTGCTACATTTATCTAAATCTAATTCAGTATCTAAAGCCCAATTCTTTGATAAAAATAAGATTTTGGCTTTATCGGGAACATTTCAATTGAAAGATTATGGTGAAGTTAACGTTGCATTATACAATGGAACCAATTGGATTCCTTATATTTTCACTGCCAATTCCCAAAATAAATTAGGTAAAGTGAATTCTTTGCTTATTATGGATTCCTTTAGTTTCCAATCATCTTCAGATTTAACTAAAAAACTTTTATCAAGAGGTAAAGTTGTGGGGATTTCTTTAGCTTGTGCCTTGGGCTCAACAACTCTTTTGGGACTTTTGTACTTGATTCCATTCCTTTTATTACTTCGAAAGAAGGAGGACGATTCAGAAGAAAGAATTCATGAAAAGGATATGATGGACGCAGTTAATCCTGAAGATTTGATTTATGAAATGGATTTACAAAGAGGTGAAAAGGCATGATTTTTCACACTTAAACTTTATATATTGTATTATAATAGAATCAAATAGATTTGTGGGAATATAATTGTACAACATTGTAATGGACTTTATACTTTAATATGGTTACGCGCTACCAGATATTTATTCTTAAGTATTATCACAAGATGGGCTACAAGTTTTTTCTAAGGGTGATGCGGTGGCTCAATGGTAGAGCTTTCGACTCCAGATCGAAGGGTTGCAGGTTCAATTCCTGTCCGTGTCAATTCCTTTTTTTTAGAATATTACTGAATATCTTTTCATGAATTCATTTCTAGTTGACTATTATTTAATGTTTGATTAATATATTTTGCTTCTAGAATATATACGTCCAACTATGGCTTATTATCCTCTTCATCTTCTATGTTGAAAAGTCCACTGTCTGGTTGAGATGGAGTTGCTTCTTCAACAAAAATGTCAGCATCTTCAACAGCATCTTGGTCAAATTCACCACCTTCAAAATCTTCATTGAAATCACCAAATAAATCGTCTTCTTCTTCAATATTCGGCACGTGAACGTAATCTCTCCTTCCGACGTTCCGACGGAATAGTCTCTTGGTGATTCTCCCAAGTATTACTTGGCGCGCCTTAACAATAGTCTTGACACCCGCAATGACAACGGCTAAACCATAAACCCCACCTCTAACAACAGAGTTAACAACCACATCAACATTATTTTCTTCAATGGGGTGGAATCCATCTTCTCCTGCATCGTCATCCAATCGAATTTGACCCAATTGCTTGAACCCTCCATTTCGACGGATACCCTTATCATATACAAACCACACAGCAAAGAGGAATACCAGTAAGGGAACTAAAATCAAAAATCCAATCTTACCACCAGTGATTTCTCTACCATGATGTTGATTAAATTCCTTCTCCTTCCCAGGACATGCTTCAACGTCCCAACTGGCATAGTTCTTACCCCCAACGCAAGTAGAGAGTGGGATTTTTCTGTATCCTGTAGGTTTGAAATACTCAAAGGCATTGTCCTTCTCACACATTTCCTTCTTACGGTCAGCTGGAGTTAACCCCTGGACCAACTTACAGGTGTTGTCAATGTCTCTGTAATAATTGAAATCACATTCAAAGTCACGACGGGTACAAGAACAGTTTCTGACCACTTTAAAACCCTCCTTCAATGGTGCACTACCAATAAAACAATCATTATGTCCAACAGCACGACGCAAGTATTTAGCTTCATGACCAAATAAACAATTGTCGCTGGATTCAGGATGAACAGGAGTCCAGAAATCAAAATCATCATTATATGGGTTATCCAAATCAAGAGTACATTGACGAGTGTGAATACCACTGAAATCAATGGAATATGCCAAGGTGGATTTACCTTCACCGTGACGAGCAAATATCAAAAACTTACGAGATGAATCTGAAGGAACAGTTGCCAAATCAAGTATTTCAACTTTATCTTCGGTGAATTGATAATCATTCCATGTATTACCTTCATCCAATGAGTAATGAAGTACATTTGTTTCTTCATGACCATTCACCAATACTAAAATTGTACCTCTATCACCATATTCCCACATATATTCTCCCCTTTTAATTTCCTTCCAAGTAAGTCCGGCATCGGTTGAAATATAAGTATTGGCTTGATCTTTACCTTCTAATTTTGGTCCCACATTCCCAATTCCTATAAAAACCCCAACGGCTGATGAAGATCCAAAAGTATCTCTAAAATCAGCTCTTTCGGTGTATCCATGCAAATGTAAAGCACATTCACGAAGTGGTTTGCCAATACAGCTGTACTTTTTACCTTCAGAGTCAACAGAAGGAGGAGGTAAAAGTGACCATTCTGCACCATCATTATGGGAAATTAAGGTTTGTAAGTTCTTACTTTCACCACTCCGTGATTCAACAATATTAGCAAATAAAACCCCTTCCAAACTTTCAACTCGTTCATAATCAACATACCCAATACTATTCCGATTAACATTATCCAAGACCATAACATACAGGGTACCATTGGAATTTGATTTTAAAATACTCCCGACTTCATTATAAGTAGTCACATGTAAAAAAATGGATTTAGTAACAGAATCCAAAATTGTATACCCCATTTGCATGTTGGCTTGCTGATGCCGAGGGAAATCAGCATCAGCAAACGTTGAACCATCCACTGTAACTTTGGCCTTTAAAGAGTGCCTATCCTGTTCAACAAGTGCAACTACCACGTAATTACCCGTTACACCAAATCCAGTGATATAGTCATAAACGGTTTCACCATGTTCAAAATAATCAACACTGGAAACAAGTGCCTTTTTATTGGTTGACTTATTAATCCCAGTACAATACATCATATCAGGATTAGCGGGGGATTCAAAATGAGATCCAACAAACTCACAATCAAAAACGTCTTTGGCCATCTCAATAAATGTTTCACCTCCATCTTGAGTTAAATAAGCAGTGTAATCACAGTTTTGACCAAGAACATTACAATTTTCACTACCATACCAAATGAAAGTAGTGGAATTTGTGTTATGAAAACTAAGTGTTTTGATAACACTTGCAGGTTTCGTTGGTACTTGCTTTTCAACAAATGAATTCCCAGCATCGAAGGAGACGTAAATAACTGGCTTGGGTGTAACCAAGATAACCTGTCCTGGAACATAACCAATATATATGGCCATAACTTCTTCTCCAGTGTTAAGACGTTTAAATGTAGTACCACCATCATGAGAAATATGACACACATTATCATCTGTTCTTGCTATTACGTTATCGGTATTAATCCCGTCTGCTTGTTCAAGATAAAAATATTGAAGCATTTTTCCTTGTAACTTTGTTAGTACTGTTTGAATTGGAGAGTTGGAACCTCCATTATTGTTATCACCACCATTCTTGCCATTTTTATAATCAGAACAAACAAATTTTTCATTGGTAACCAATTTTTTGGCAATTGTTTCCGAGTTCTTACAAGAATCTCCAGTTATCAATCTCATATTATCGGAGGTGAAATCTTTTGCACCGGTCAGTAAGCAATATTCTTGAATTCTTGCTGGATCAGGAATACAATTCCCATCCTCACCAAGTTTAAACATTTCGGTACATTCAAAGTCTTGTCCTGTACATTCACATGCTTCTTCATTGATTTTAACATCTTCATAAAGTTTCTTAACCAAACATTGAGCGTCTTGCTTTCTTCTACTGAACTTTTCAACACGTCCATAGATACACAATGGTTTCCCATCAGGTAAGACATTTCTCACATAAACTTCTTCCATATCGTCATCTCCACATTTTTTCCCATCAAATGCTTCATTGAAATCCATACTATAGAACCCAAGCAGAAGTCCATCCCCTACTCCTAAAAGTCCTGTCATAAAAAACTTGGTCGATGTCCCATCAATGGTAGTAATCAAAGAAATTGGATACGATGGGTTTTCAAAAGTAGCAGAATGGAAGGCTTTCCCCTGGTCCAATGAATAATAAAACATATTGGTAGGTGCCATATTCTTTTGATAATATGGAACAGCAACAATAATATTCCCTTGATCACCAAAGGAGAAAATACACATGGTATCAATAGCTTTGGTCCATGAAACACCACCATCTCTGGAAATATAAGTTTGCTGTTCGCCTGAAAGTACAGATACTAAGCCTTTACCAATATTCCCAACACCCATAATTATACCCGGAGCAGGCCCAGTAACAAAAGTCCCTTCACCAGAATATTGCTGAATTGCGGATAAATGTAATGAACAATCTTTAGATCTCATACAAGATTCATCATTGATTTTTAAAGGGTCCCAATGGTACCCATCATCAAATGAAATCACACTGTGCATTAATTCCTCACCATCTGCTAAGGAATCTTTATTGACAATATTAGCAAACCAAACACCTTCGATATTTTCTACTCTTGCCAATGAGTTCATTTCCACATCATCCAAAACTTTACGGAACTTCAACCCCGTAGAATCAGAAGCATACAATGTAGCAGTAACCAAACCATAACCTACTGCGGGTCTTGTAGCGTAGTTTGCAACAGTGAGGAAGATTGACAGTTTAGAGGATTTTTGAAACATTATAACTCCAGAAACAACATTGACACTTAAGTTGGTTTCTTTATAGTTTATACCATCAACAGAAACATACAATGTGACTGAAGATTTAGCATTGAATCTGTCATTTTGAACAAGAACAGCAATAAATTGTTCTTCCACCCGTAAATCAATGATTGGTTTAACTTGGGTGTTTTTAGCACTCTTTAAACTATCAGAGACTATTTTGGAAGTTTTGAAGAAATCATCAGACCAGTGGATTTCAGATTCCATCACATGATCAAAGGAATTCTTCTTATCGACCGAACATACGATGGAAGATTCCTTACCAATGGTCGATTCTTTGTTACCTCTGGTAAACCGACAGAAAGTGGCATCTTCTAAGGGGAGCATTTGAGGATCACTCTTAAATGCATCTGTAGTAGCAAAGAAATGATGCAGACAATGCCTGCCACCACGTCCCTTGCAAACAGTTGTTTCAAAGAGGACGTACTCTGGCTTAACGGCATTACTAATAATAGAGGGATAGGCATGTATGTTATCCATATGGGGGATTTTGAAAGCTTTCCAAGATTTCCCTTGATCAAAGGTAACATATTGGCTTTCTGATTTGGTGAACACATAAGCTCTCTTCTTATCAAACTCATCCATCCGGAAATCAAGCACGACCGCATCATTGAACGCCTTTACTTCTTCAAAGGTAACCCCGTCATCTTGTGAGAACTTCAATTTACCTTCCTGAAGGATCAAGATATTGGGTGTATCATCAAAGTAGGCTATAGCGTTCTCACGGTGGCCACCTTGAGAAAAGGAGACTTTGGGAGTGAAAGCTTGCGTCAAGGACACAAGCACCACTAACCATATTGTCAAGTTTGGAAACACGTTCCACATGTTGACGTATCACAGACTTTGGCTAGAAGAAGATAGTATCAAATGCCACCGGCCTAAGTTTGACGTCAGATCTATTCGCGCTCAAAATACTACAGGAAGGACCAGCCTCGTACTGGCAAGCACTGTTTAGTATGGCAGTGTGCAGAACAGTGTACAGTAGGATCAGTAGTTCAACAGTATCAACAGTAGTAAGCAGTACCTTGTAGATGTATACGGTGTATGAATACAGTGGTACAGCAGTATACAGAGTAGCAGTAAGTAGTATTACATTCGTTGTATACAGTGGTATTATATGCTTATTATATATGCACCTTATTAAGAAATAACCCTATATCTCTGGACTTTGTCACCTGGAACGTACACATTTCATTGGTGTCACTATTATATTTGGAAAGATTGCAAGTATAGAATCTCATATGGTCAAAATAATCACCATACATAGCTGGAACCCGAATTATACATTGTTTCCCTGTAACATGAAGAATATCATAGGGCACAGATTCTCCTATTATCCCATTATATTTTCGAAGACCACCCAGAATCATTGATTGAAATATAAGATAATCAAATTTGATAGGAACTTGAAGTTCATTATCGGAAAGTCGACTAAATAGTCAGTACTTGAGCTTAGCTGGAAGTTGGTTAAAGTTGAAGTTGAGCTAAAACTCGTTTATTTCACACATACATTTCTATGAGAAAGTATTCCCATTCTGATTTGGGTAGCCAGAAAGTCTCCACATTCTTAGTTTCTTCCATTGGTATTATTTCCAACCCATCTCATATTTGATTTGAAGTTTATGTTTCTTGTAGTTACCCTTTTGATCTCTCCCCTGCACACTAGTCATCTTGTCAAATAGTGACGTTTGAAGTTAAGTCGTGCCTTTATGACAGGGGAAGAAACCAGTACCAGAATACGGATTCTCCTTGTTAGTTCTGGTAGAATCATAGACATATTTAAAAGCTGGTGGCCAAGGATGAGGATGAAGATGAGGACGAGCCGTAAAAAGAGGTAACATGTGAGACGTATTCTCAAGATTAGTACGGATATAGCCGTCCTGCCCAATGTATGTAAGTTCCCAACCAGATCCAAATCTCCAAATAGGTGGTGGACTAAATGTGCGATTGATCTGTGGATTCTCTCTCCCGATGTAGACTGCGCCTTCTGGTACTATGTCGTTATGCTTCAACTTGATCACCCTAGCTCGTGGAGGCACTGGTCTAAATGATGGTGTGCGATGTTGATAAAGAGTGGGGGCTCTTATGTTGGGACCATTGTAGCCTGTTACAATGAACGGGTTGATATACATTGGATCTAAGCAGTTTGTATCATCAAGTTGATGGCCATTATGAATCTTGTAATTGCCTTGGTGTTGAGCATTGAGTTTACCGCCAACACGAGATAAACCACTGTTTGCAGCCAAGACCCTGATCACCAGTTTTATGTTTTTGTTCGAAATGACGCGGTCTGAATTCAACGCCATGATCTCGCCTTCAGTATACACTATTTTCATTCTTGCTACTATTGTTTAAAGTGGGATTAGTGCTAATCTAATGAAGTACATAAACTATACTATTATATACGTGTGTGTGGATAGGGCACCGCAAGTCATTTTTGGTGCGACATTTTCGCATCCCAGAAATAATGTCTAAACATCCATCCGAGTGTTAGCACGGCTGGTATCAGAGTATACGCACCGGTAGTAGTAGCAGTAGTAGTAGGAGTTACTGCTTTATTATGTCTGAATGGGAAGAGGCATACGCCGAGGATGGCAGCGTATATTATTACAATGTTCGGACTCAAGAGACTTCTTGGGAGAAACCAATAGGCCAGAATAGTGCCAGTGAATGGTCTGTGTTTAAGACTGATGATGGAAGAGAATATTATTATAATGAAAAAACACAAGAAACCACATGGAGTCCACCACCTGGGATAAATTTCAGCACTGCTGTTGTGGAATCAGAGAAGGAAAAGTCTGAATCATCACCAGCATCCACAAGTATCATCAAAGAATCGAAATCCAAGAGTCAATTGGATGAACGGTTGGAATCGGAAAGAGTACTTGAAAGTAGTATAGTCAATCCACCGCAGTTTGAATCTGTTGAAGATGCTGAAGATGCATTCAAAAAGATCTTACAAGATAGTGAAGTGGATTCTACTTGGTCATTCCAGAAAGTCATGTCTACATTTATCACCAATCCAACGTATTGGGCTATCAATGATCCACTCCGAAGACAACAATTGTATGATGAATATCTCCTTTCCAGAATTCAACAAGAAGCGGAGAATCGAAACAAGGTGGTGGAAAAGTTAGAGGAAAACTTTATACAAGAGTTGAAGAAATATCAACAAGCTGGTAAACTTAATGATAAAACAAGATGGGTTACCATTAAGGATTTATTGATTAGAGATGATAATCCTATTTTTAAGCTTTCTGTTCTTTCTGATAACCAGGTAGTTAAAATCTTTATTGATTTTAGAAACAAGTTGAGATCAGAACGAAATAAAAGTATACAAGAAGATAGAAAGCAAGCATTGTTTGAATTGGAAACATATCTTATGGATATGAAACCAGCATACATTACAAATAGTAGAGATTGGAATGAATTATATGGCAGTTTAACGGAAGATCCACGTTTCCAAGCCAATAAGCATTTCAGTATACTTTCAAAAGCTGATATTCTTGAGTTATATCAAACTTGTTTATATCCCCAGGAGATCAAGAAACTCAAAGATCAAATCCACCAAATCGATAAGGCCAATAAAAGAAGAGATCGTAAGGCAAGACACCAGTTTTCTGATTTACTAAACACTTTGGATATCAAGAGTACCACAACATTTCAAGATGTGTACAGTAAAATTGAGGATCATGATTGTTTTATTGAATTGTGTGGTAGAAGGGGTTCTACTCCTATGGAACTCTTTTGGGATATTCTTGATGAGAAGGAGCAATCCATAAAGTTGAAGAAGGATTTGATAAACACGGCTATCACGGATTATTGCAAGAAGTCACCAACAGTTGACATCACCTTGCACAAGATATTTTCGTCCTATGAGATATTCCATAATACCATCCTACAAATCAAAGACGAGAGACTTTCGTCGTTTAATCTTGGGATTAACGATGAAAGTCTACATGAAGTTTTCACTGGTCTTCGTATTGAATTCTTGGCCCAACAGGAAAAGAGACTTCAATCTTTCAACAAGAAACTAGCCCACGTGATCCAGGAATGTGCTAGACAGTTAAGTTTCACATACACCAACATTGCATGCATTGCTATAGTAAATGAAGAAGGGACAGAGTCTGAGTCACAAAAGGTCTTCATCCAACGAACTGAGCCTTCTGATGGAACAACAGTTTATACACTACAAGTGGCTTCGATTGGAGATGAAGTGACCGAGGAATTGAAACAATTGAAAGAATTAAGAAGTTTGGTATCGCTAATCAATGACTTTTATTCTGATAATGAAACAAGCGAGCCAATAATTAAAGACAGTATTAATAAAGTGTTGGTGGAATTGGCAGCTGTTCTTACGTCACAAGAAAGCAAGAAACGACCAAGAGAAGAAGAAGAAATCAGCAATGAACTTAAGAAGACCAAACGTGAATTGGTTACAGGGAAGCCAGTATTAATGAATTACTAATATATATCAACTTATATTTAATAAAGAATACAAGGAAACCGTTTATATAGTCACATTCATGAACCGGATCACTCCATATAAACCATCCAAACCGCGCTACCATGGCAAGTAGTGTGCGGCTCAGGTTACTGCGGAAGTTCGGGTCTGGTGTAATGACATACCTAAATCGTTCTGGGTACCACCACCTCTAAACACTAGCACTAAAACACTAATACAATTACAGATATAAATATATATATATAATGGTATGTGGATATTATAAAATGACTACTCCATTCAGACTGACACTTTTATACTGACACAAATTGAACTAGTCTCAATCTTTAAAGCCATATTTGACAGCTGTGCGAGCTTCATTAACAGCAGCCATATGTTTAGAAGACTTCTCGTCCCAATTGGTGGAAAGACACAACATACCTGAAATCGAAGTAGACAATGGCCATAACCCTGAATTAATCTTGAATCCCATGGTAATTGCTAGAAACGAAAACGAAAAGATCTTGATTGAAGCATCCGTTAATTCAGTTAGAATATCCATTAAAATCAAACAAGCAGATGAAATCGAACAAATATTGGTCCATAAGTTTACCAGATTCTTAGAGGCAAGAGCTGAAAACTTCTTCATCTTAAGAAGAGTCCCACTTAAGGGCTACGATATTTCCTTCTTGGTAACCAATTTCCATACGGAAGAAATGTTAAAGAGTAAACTTGTGGATTTTATTATCGAGTTCATGGAAGATGTTGATAAGGAAATCAGTGAAATGAAGTTATTCTTAAATGCAAGAGCCAGAGTTATTGCCGAAGCGTATCTCATCCCATTCGATTAAGTCTATATATGAATATATCACTTAGTACAACTTATTACAACTGTTATCAACTTATATTGTTATTATTTACCATTTTGTAAAGACCGTACATCTGAATTATTATCATCATTTTGTGGAACGTTGGGCGTAGCCTGCTGAACATTAGGTGATCTAACCATAACAGGACTATTTCCTTTCGATCCATTGGACATCACAGGTCTCTGTTGTTTGATGATCTCCTTTGGTGATAGCCCTTGAGATGATTGTGGGGAATTCACAACAAATTGGCCTCCTCTGGATATAGTATTGGAATTGGGCACAAATGGTGGCACTTGGGAAAATGATGGGGATGAAAAGTTTTGTGGGGAATAAGGTGATCCAACATTCTGACCTCGACCACCTCCTTGAGTAGAATTCATTCTTCTTTGTCCGGCTTGTAATGGACGATTAGGATAGACTCCAGGACTATTCTTATTACTGCCATCATTGGCCATCATAGGTGAAGATACTGCCTTCTGTGGGTGCTGTTGTTGCTGCTGCTGCTGCTGTTGCTGTTGTTGTCGATTCAATTGCGACTGCTGTCCCTGGAGTTGCTGCAATTGAGGGTTTTGAGCTTGATTGCCTTGTGAAACACCACCACTAGATCTACCTTGAGAACGGTTTCTGTAATCAACAGTAGGAACTATTGGTAAAACCATAGGCAAATCAATACTATCATTAAGTAAACCAGGGATACGATTAAGTATTATATCCAACTCATGTAATGCTTCACCAGCATGTTCAAAGCCCTTGGATGATATTCTTAAAATCCACCTATAGTTGAATATTTGATCTTTATAAAAGTCACTTTCCTCTTTTGACGTCGATGAGATAAACAAAAGAGCTGCAAAGGTACCGATTAAAGTAAAATTAGATGCAGCTGATGAATGCCAAAATGAATGTATATGTTCAGGTTTCAAATCCTTAACAAATTCAATCGAAGCTATTAATCTTGTTCTCGCTGCTGTACGACAAACCCTTACCTTTGCCTCAAGTGGAGGATTGTTTTGTTGACTTTGTTGATAAATAACTGTTACAATTTTCCTGTGTAACGTTAGTTCAGTTGCAAAGTATGCCAATTGTAAATACCCATTAGAGCATAACTTTCGGGGTTGCATTGAGTTCATCAGAAGTTCTTCAGGTAATGTTTGATACCAATTTCGTAATCTTAATTGAAGAGGCTTTGCTATCATTAAAACTTGATCAAGATCAACAATTTCTTGCATTGCTTTCATGGAATAAAATCCATTCAAGATATCAGATAATATCGTTGTCAATTGAATCAAATTCATAAATATCTTCTTACCATTATCGATATCAGATGATCCTTCTTTAAGATCACCATCACCATGCTTCTCAGGAAAATCCTCCTCAATTAATGGCACAACTACCCAATTATTCTCATTAATATGAGATGGTCTACCATTCTTAAGTGATAGCCATTTATCCTCCATATATGCAGCCCACGCTAGCCTCTTTCTTAATCCCCGCTCCCATTTTGGCAACTTCCATTTGTTACAATCCATGCCTAACCCCAATTCCTCTGCTAATGCTAATACTTGAGCTCCTAATACCCAATCGCTATAATCTGAGTTCCCTATTGAATTGTACAGTACATTGGGAGTACTTCCAGGTAAATTTCCAAACTGTGACATATTCGCAGCGCTATCTTTAGCTTGAATAATATGCTTACATTGTAATAATAATAAGCCTGCTTGGACAGCACTTAACTTAGGACGCTTTAATATCTCAAGTAAATAATTATTCAATCCAATCTTTAGAATTAACTCAACATTAGGCTTTGGGAATCGATTTAACTGAGGATCATAATCCCACCATTGAATAGCTAAAACATAAACTGCAGCTAATAAAGGAGCACTAAATTCTCTGTGTGTTCTGGAATATTTCTCAAGGAAAACTTTCTTGTGTAAAATGGGATATGATGGATGAATTATTCGAAAGTACAAGTCTATAAGTATTTGACCATGAGGAGCAATAAACTTTTCTATTGTATCCACATCATTGGACATTGTTTGATATGATTCCGCAGATTGATCGTCTTTAAGAATAAACTGCACTCGATCACTGACCTTTCTTAAAGAAATTGTATTACTAAGATTCACTTGCTCGATCTTTGAGTTATTGCTTTGATTATTCTGCAGTTGGTATTGGGCTTCAATTATGAGATTAAGCAAGTTAATATCATACATGTAAGATGTGGGACCCACATAAAATGATGATCGCGGGAATTGTAATGAAAGCGTCTTCTTTAGTAAGGAATTGTTCATTGAGGAATAATCTTGAACTGGATGAATATCTCTTATAGGAACATTAGGAACAACTTCATTATTAATTATGTTGAAATTTGGATCTGTTAAATTTGTTAATTTACTTTCTTTGTCATTGAACTTCCCTCTTTTATTCTGTTGTGCAAAGCTCCCAGCTTCATCAATTTTACGCTTCGGAACGCCAGGTTGATCAAGAAATGTACAAGAAATGGACTTTGCTTCACATTGAACACAATTTTCCGAACTAGGAGCTAATACACATTTTATCTTTCTTCTTCTGCAATGATCACAAGGTCGCCTTTGCTTTGTCGATGTTTTGGAAACGGGTGCTTTCTTATCATCGGCCCTCTTTTGTCTTGATTTAGGATCAGCTTTTAATTGTAGCAATGTTGGGTTGGCCATTGACCCTAGCGAAGGGTTTTGTGAATTACTATTATCAAATTGCTGATGATTGGATGAAGTTTGGGGAGTTAAAGTGTTCTCGTTTAATGACAGTTTTGACTCTGTTAAATCTTGATTGCCAATAGTGGTATGGTCTAAACTTCTGGCATCGAATTGAGCCAACGCATTGGAGAAGCTGATGGGGTCAACAAGATTCAAATCTCCTGCACCACTAAAGTCCATACCATACAACAATTCATTATTAGCATCACCCACGAGTCCAGCAGTCCAAGTAGGATCAAGGTAATTTGAAGGTGAGGTGGGATTAAGATCACTATTTCGACGACCCATGGGAGGTTGTGAACCTGAGTGAGACATTCCACCACCGGCAGTACTAGTCAGCATGTTTCCGTTGTCGCCTGACCCATTATCGTTTACGTCTGCCAAGTTTTCTGATCCCATGCTCATCATCATGTTTTTATTCGAACCTTTATCCATGCTCTTCTCACGGTTACGACCATTACTATTGTTAATGTTGGCGGAGTTTTTGTATTGTTCTTCAGAGTCCATATAGTGATTGCCTGCTTTGGGAGTGGTTTGGGCCGAAGATGAATAAGAAGCTTGTTGTATTCGCAGCTGATGCAGAAGTAATTGTTGTTGCTGGTGGCGTTGTGGACTTGTCTGTTGATTTTGCTGCAGTTGTTGTTGTTGTTGTTGTTGCAACAGTTGTTGTTGTTGTTGATTCTGTTGCTGTCTAGCCATAGAATCCTGTCCCAAAGAGGAGTTGTGGCTGTTCTGGTTCATCCTCAGTTAACCCTGGTTCTAACCAGTAAGAGAATTTCCAGTTGGGATCACACTTTGTATTAGATAAGGCGATGGAGCTTTCTTTAACACTCTTCTCCTTGATTTTCCTGGGTTGGTACGCTCTGCGCGAAAGTAGTGTCGTACCCAATAATGAAAATGTCAGCAAAACAAGATGGTAGTGGAGTTTATATGAGTTCAAGGTCGATGAGGTTATACTTAGTGTGGAATAGTGCCAATGTATATGATATGATTGTAGTAGGTATAAGATGATTGAGATAACCCAGGATTATATAGAATAGTCGAAAAGGTGATGGAACAAGCAGTGGAAAGCCCTTTGTATTTGTCTATAGTGTGTTTTAGTTCCACCTTTGTTGTTGTCCACCTCAAAGAATTAAAAGGTATGATAAGAATAAAGGCACTTGGTAGACACTTATGTTTTACGTAAATGGTATAGACAAAAACAGTACTCCTACTGGATCAGACATTTAAAGGAGTGCGTTTCAAGAAGATTTAGTTCTTGATATGATCATTGTAAGTAAGCCTCGACCTTTGTCTTATACTGCAGGAATGTAACGTAACATCCGGGGTCTGGTGGGGAGACCTCTTATATGAGTATTATTTACTTTAATGAAAACCACTTACGTGATGATGACAGATAGAAGCTATATTTTATTGTTACTATTTTATTATACTTCATCCCATGTACTTTATGATGCATCTCTCATGAAAATTATTTATAAACCCTTTATCATATATGTTGATCAAATCATCTATACTTTGAACTAATTTGAGTTCTGGATGGACTTCATCTTCATGAAACAATATGTCCTCATTCTCTAAACTTATATAGACGTACTTCCCTTTATAAGTGGCCCTCTCAAGGTAAATTTTGTTCCCAAGTGAAGTGTATTTCCCCACAACTTGATATAAAAGCTTCAACTCTACCAAATACTCAATGTTACTCCATTTATCTAGTTCATTGGTCGTCACTCCAAGATATATGTACCTCATATGTAGCCCAGTGAAAAGAACCGTGATAACCCAAAATATCACACATAAAATAACAAGTATCCCTGTCAACTTATTGGTATCTGTAGTAGCCACTATCAACTGCCACCATCCATTGGAGTAATGATTTACTTCCTTCCAGTTACTTAAAGTTAAAATACACACATATCCTCCATAGAAGAAAAGTGCAATATTAGCTCCTAGAAACCCAAGAAAGTATTTGTAATTGTAATACCCAGCACAATTATTCAACCAAATACAATGATGGTCAAACAACATAAAGCACTTGTTGCACACCCCACAATGTTTTGATCTGGCAGGTTTGGTTAACTTACAGGTGGAGCATACGGCATTGGGGAAAAATATAAGTTCATTGGGTTTGAAGTGACCAACTGCTTTCACTACATTTGTTGAGTTAACGGTACCAGGATCTGAATAAATCGTTAACAACGTGATAATGTAGATCAGTGGGATTATAACAATATGAATTAATTGATGAAACCACGAATATCTGATGGATATTGGTAACTCCTTCCAAGTTAGCCTAAAATACTGCACTACGCAATAAGATACCACTGTAACATAAAGTAAGGGAACAGACCATTGACCCAACCATATTGCCACTTTAAAACCTTTGGAGTTCCTGTTCAGGTGAAATAGTTGATATATTCGTGAAAAAACAGTTAAGAGGCCCTGTCTAACTCTGGAAATAACCGTATTTTTGAAATTTGGACTTCCACCAAAAATAAATATAGCACTTAAGGCCCCAAATAGAGCAATGAATGCAAATAGAATCACCATATAGATCAAATGAATTAACTGTTTAATGAAGTTAACACTGTTCCCATGAAATCAGTGCGCCGAAATCTGCAGGCTTGGAGTCAGCCGGTTTAATGATTTTCCGGAAATAGGCCCCATACTAGGCAATTCTATGGATATGGAATATACTGAAAACATGTGTTTGGTTAAGGCAAACAACTATGGATAAATTGTCCTAAAATTTAGGGTTAATGCGTTTAAAGCCTTGGGAGAAGCTCAGAATGCAATACATTTTACATAAGAAATGGCAGCCTTAATATACTAGAGTAGCGACTTACCTAGTGCACATAACAATTTAAATTAGGTGAAGTTATATCTAGCCAAATCACTGGCCCTAATTATCAGTGACAGTAACGATCAGTGACAGTAACCACCACTGGCCTTAACGTTAAGGATACAGGATATCTGTAGTCGATAAGTTTGAGCCACTATAAGTGAGATTTTTGAGGAGATAACACGGCTAACAGTGAATCTTAAAACGTGAACGTGATTCATACTACGCCCTAATTCATTTTTCACTTACGATTATAAGCATTTTTTAACGTGATGCAATATGGTAAATGTATAAGATAACACGCGTCAAAAAATCAGTATGAATTATGTGGTCTTACGACTCTTAATTCTAGAGCTTGAAATATAATTTCCAAGACGTGTTTGTACATTCTATAGTTCACGTGTTCCGATATGAATTAAGGCGTCCGTATGCAACTTTGGGGCTTTTGCATATGATGTTTCCTGTCACAAGGCTGAATAGCGATGTCATATATCCTAGCTGGGGAGTGTCCGAAATTTGGTATGGAACGACGCAAAAATACCTGTACAACACTACCCTAGAGCAAAGAAATCAAGGTGAAGAAGCCAAAATTTATAAAAGTAAAGAATTTGGTTGCTAAGTAAACCTAAACAAAAACCTCTTGTCCATAGCATATACTATCTCAGAAACATTTAAAAGTAACTCTTCATGATCCTATAATTGTGAGAGTACTTGTTGAAAATTATTTAGTAGTTGTTACCTTCTTTCAGTTTGACATGGCTACCACATTACAGGAGTATCTTGACTTGGAAATAGATACTCTCCAAGAGCTTCTATCGTCAATACCCTTTAAACCATCTGCTGAAGATACTATTGGGACGCCTACATTGGGAGGAATTAGTTTGAATACGCAACCTTCCATTATAGATGATGACTCTTTAGGTCAACTTCCTCTGGATTCTAATGGCACAGGGAATTCTAATTCCAATAAACATGAGGAGACTATTTTCATGAATCTATATAAATTAAGAAGGGATGAGTTGGTTAATATATTAAACAATAGCGAGAATACATTAGGAATCGATAGTAATAAAATGTTGAAGTTGGGTATATCATTTGGAAACTTGATAAAGAACAGCCAAATTGACGAACGGCCGGGAACTAGGGTAATTAGTCAACCCTCAGGAATTACAGCAAATACTAGCAATGATGGAAATACATTTATGAACAGAATTCAAAGTTTGAATGACGGAAATGGTTCAGCAACAACCTTAGGTGGGGGAGAACAGGACCCAGCTCCTGAGATTGATAATCCATTCATGTCAAAGCCACCAGTTTCATCACAACCTGTACAAAATAGAAGCACGCTTCAACAGACTGTGCAACAGGTTAAGTTCCTTAGAAACTTGCTTACACTATTGAAAAACTTTGATGTTGGTTCATCTTCTCTGTACAACAAGAGAAGTAGCCACAACCCTCATAATACCAATAATAATAACCATAATAATAATAACCATAATAATAATAATCACAATGCTAATGGGTCTGCTGGCGGGCACAGGGGTGTTTCAAGTTCGAGTGTACTAAGTGGGAATTCGGCAAACAACAACACCGCCAATGGAGGTTACCGCAGAGGTAGTGATATGTACAATTATGACAGTCAGAATGAGTACAGTGGAACCTCAAGTGACTGTCATTCAGGAATTGGAGGGAATCCAATGTATAATCGAGATAGTGCGAATTATGGTGTACCAACTGGTTCAGCTAGCATCAATGGCAGTACACATACAGGTGGATTGGCAACATCTTCAGTAGTTTCGTCAAGTCCTATCAAATTGACAAGTAAGCAATTGCTAATTGAGAAGTTGGAAATTAATATAAACTTGGATTTGCTATTTATTTATCAAGTGCTATTCAAATTGATCTTAAGAATATATGAGATCATGAAACAAGGTATTCTTCAACATCAAATACCAACTCTTGGAAATCTGGAGCGAGGTACTTTGAATGGATCAGATACAGTGAAGCCACCATCATCTCTGATAAGCGATTTCAACTTTTCGATGAATATCACCATGAATCATACACTGACTACTACCAATGATTCAAGCTCTATTTTCTCATCCAATAGTGCTGCATCCAGTGATTCCAGTTCTCTATGTACCCCAGATGAATATGTTAGACTTATAAAACAAGTGACTGATAGAATATCATTCGGAATAATAGGTCCCTTTGTCAATATCATCGTGTCGGAAATTGTTGAGCCAAATATAAACCAGGGGTTCCATGATGTTATGGTTAGTTTATAAACTTATATATAAAGGCTGTATCATTAATAATTCATTATACTCTATTTATGTATACTTCTTTTCTCACGCATAAATCCATTCAGCAATATGACCCCATATTAAATGGCTCATTCTTCTCCCAAGAACTTTCCCAAGCAATGGAAATATAACAAGATTGACCAACGAAGTTATTTGCTTAACTGATTCTTCCCAGTGTTGTTGTGGGGATAGCTGGAGTTCATCTTCGGATGTCCATTCAGAATCTGTTTCGTAGTCTGAATCACTGTACTCGTAGTCTGTCATGACAAAAGAAATCAATGGTGACTTCTTCAAGTCAACCACAACTGTTATACTATCATTGTGAGGGTCTTGCTATTTTAGTTGCCCTTACTATCCCCATTCTTAACATTTATTGGAGTGTGCACGACTTTCTGTCCCTCTCAATGTAGTCTTTTGCAAACTCATTGATGTGCGATGAGATACTCATACGACACTGACGTTTGACTTTAAAACTGTTCTCTCACTATTGGCTTGAATGCTAACGTATGCTTATTCGGAAAAGTATTCGATTGAATTGCATTTTTTTTAGAGCCATGTCCAAAGTCAAACTGGAATCAAAACAAGATCTTCCTGCAAATCCATCTTTAGCTACCAATTCAGCTAATACAGTACCTCTGGAACTCCCTCCCTCTGATAGCTTAGACCTTAATGAATATAATGCCATTAGAGAAGGGAAAGCCATAGTTCTTACTCCTAAAAAGGATGAGGTGTTTTATAATCCAATTCAACAATTCAATAGAGATTTGAGTATTATGGGAATCACTGCTTGGAGTGAATTGTATCAGCATAAATACAAAGAAGGCATTAAAGAAGTTAAGAGGCGGAAAACTATTGCTGCAAATTCTAGCAATGATGAAAGTTCTTCCAACAATTCATATATTAAAATCCTTGAAGCATTAAGTGCAACTGGACTTCGTGCTATTAGATATGCTCATGAAATCCCCCAGATATCTCAAGTCGTAGCTAACGACTTGTTACCAGCTGCAGTTGAGTCAATTAACCGTAATATAGAATATAATCAAGTTGAAACCAAGGCTAAATCTAATTTGGGTGATGCTATTCAAGTGATGAATTCTCCAGAAAATAAAAGTAAGTTTCATGTGGTGGATTTAGATCCATATGGTACAGCATCTCCATTTCTTGATGGTGCTATTCAACTGATCAAAGATGATGGTCTTTTAGTGGTTACCTGTACAGATGCTGGGGTTCTTGCAGGTAATGGGTTTCCTGAGAAGTGTTTTGCCTTGTATGGTGGTCATAACTTTGGTAATAATCCAATGGGTACTGATGCCAACCATGAAGCTGGACTTAGATTGATTTTAGGTCTGGTAGCAAGATCTGCAGCCAAGTACAAGAAAAGCATTGAGCCATTACTTTCGTTGCTGATTGATTTTTACATGAGATGTTTTATTAGAATACGTACTAGCCCATTGGAAGTTAAGCAGTTAGCTAGTCAAAATATGCAAGTATTCCATTGTGTTGGATGTGGTCATAGAATCCCTCAACCTTTGGGAAGAACCGAAAAGGGAAAACACCAAGTTCCTAGGTTAGATGGTAAATTGTTGAAGAGTCTTGATAACAATGGGAATTGTAAGTACTGTTCAAGTGTAATTAATATTGCTGGACCAATGTGGGAGGGCCAATTGCACAACCATGAATTTATTGAAGAAGTTTTGAGGATACGAGATGAAGCTAGTGATAAACAATTTGGAACCAGAGAAAGAATTAAAGGGATGTTAAGTTTGGCAAAGAGTGAATTAAATGATGTTCCATTTTATATTAATTTGAACCAGTTACTGTCATATTTCAAAAGTCCACCGATATCTCTTGATACATTTTCTAAAGTAGTGGGGAATTTGGGTTATAGAGTCAGTTTAACACATGCTAAACGAAACAGTATTAAGACAGATTGTCCATGGGAAATAATATTAAAGATTTTCCAAGATTGGATGGTTCAAAGTAATAAAGAGCAATTATCTGTTTTAAAAGGTAAAGCATCATTGACTGAAAAAGATGAATTGAAATTAGCCATTTGGAAACAAGACGTTAATGTTCATCCTAATTTGAAAGAAGGTATGATTGGTTATAAAGTTTTGAAATGGTTAAATGATAATACTGAACAGTTTCAAGATACCAAAATTGATTATGATGGTGTTAACCCAGTAAGTGAAGGTATAGCTAAGTTAAGAAAATTAAAGATGACAAGGTACCAAGAGAATCCCACAAAGAACTGGGGTCCGAAATCAAGACCAACGAACCAATAGAATAATTATATGTTTAAGTATTATCATGAGAAGTAGAACCAAATGTATACTGTTTCCTTTCATAGACTAGCGTAATTTCTCATCATCACGTGACTTGGTTTCAAGTTTCTTAATCAATGCATTAAGAGATGATTTTTTTCATCTCACGAGTATGTTATTACAGTTTGAATTAATTACTTAGTAAGTAAATTAATATTAATCTATAAAAAAGCAGAATCCACTACAAACAGTGGTTCAACAAAGTCAAAAAATATAAAAACCTTAAACATACAAACTGAAACACCAAGAAAGCAGCTGTAGAGATATATTAGGCTGAATCTTGAGCTGACCAGCGGGCATGATTTTAATCCATACCCAGGCAGTAGCAACACTGTGATAAGAAAACAATAATACAAAGAAAAAACTGAATTTGTTTGGTTGGCTCTATTGGAAATTGTTAATGTAGACAAACGTCAACTAAGAGTATATTAGTTAGCCCGCTTACAAGAACAAAGCAATGGCACCAGCAGCAGCAGCACCCAACAAACCAGCAGAAGCAACTTGGACACCAGCACCAGAGTCGGCAGAGGTGGAGTTGGAGTGGTTGGAGGTGTTGTTAGCAGCAGAAACAACAGAAGCAGCAGTCAAAGCGATAGCGAAAGTCTTGAATTGCATTTTTAATATATGTGTAAATGTAAAGTTGATAATGGAAAGAAAAAAATCATAAGAAAATTCTGTTGCTATCAAGGGGGGTGGTTGAATATTTATACTATTTCAATTAAGGCATAATCCAGGGGATGGAGAGATTACGATTATGCCATAAAGGCGGGATGAGTAAGACTTGAGGCTGAAGTGCACATAACATAAAGAAAATTTTAACTTTAATGCAGTATAGCAAAAAGGGAGTACCGTAGCGTACACAAAAAGAGAATTTATACGCCTCCGGGAGATAGAAGGAAAAAGAAAGAATCTTCTATCTGCAGGACTTTTCCAGACATTCGGACATTAACAGATTAAACGTACGATTACATATCATTTTCAATCTTAGCAATAGAAAAAAGAAATCACTACTAAAATTACTACTAGTTATCATAAGCTTGATTTCAGTTGTAGATTTGCCATTTTTATTCAGCGTGTCGTCTTTCCGAAGTTGGCCAGAGGTCTTGAGACAAAAAAGCCTACTGTGAAAAGCGTATGCTATTGGCGAAAAAGAAACGAATGCTAAAATGCCGACAAAAACCGCAGAACAATACCGAAGCAAACAGAAAACACAAGACCATATTGCCGATAGAATGTCTACACGACCACAAAAATAATCTGTCGTTAGAGATAACGACGCACACAGAGAAACTGCAAACCATTCATAGTCATCACTATTACGTTGGTCACCTGTATGTAGAGTCTTTATGACAGCATAATAATTGCATTACAAATTACTTTTTCATACTTAAATCACTTCATTTTGAAACATAGCGTGTGACTGAATTGCACTGCCATCTTTCTTTCCATAAGGAACTCAAGTTGATAACGCCAGCCCCATGTTTAGAAATACACAAAAGCATTTCACAAAAGAAAAAATTAAGTTGGCTCTTATATGTCGTCTGACTGGGAGAGATTTAACGAAGAGACCCGATGTACATACTCATCAACATGGCGTGGGGGGCTTTAATGTTGTTTAAAAATTCGATACGGTGTTTTCTTGGTGGAGTTGATTACTTGAATATTGCTACGCCGCACCACCATTTAATTGATTATCGGAGATGTAATTCCATTGGTTTACGGTAGTAATGAAGTCAAAAATGAAAAAAAGAATTGCTGTGGATACTGACGCAGCAGACATCTTTCGATCGGCTGAGTTATCCTTTTCCAACCACCAAACATCTTCACTGGGGGTGTGACTCTACTATTATTCTGCCAGATAATAATTGTAGCATAAGTAATCATTTATTTCATTTATTCTTGAGTTAAACAATTAGGATGAAACCGTGCCACTGGTTTTGAGCTTTGCTATGTATTAATTGCTATAAACCGCCTTTAAACTCCCAATTTGTAACCCTTGCCTATACTACTAATTACAACGACGGGGTTCTGAATTAATTAATTTCTTCATCCCCACCCCCTAAAATTTAATAACCCCTGATTCCATTTGGTTGAGATTTGACTTTGGTAGTAGATTCTGTGCGTAATCGATTTCTACTCCCCTATTATAACGCGGTTGGGGGTATTTTTAGTCCTGGCGTTGATAATAATTTCTTAGTCATAATTTGTTGGTGGTGTAAATATTTATTCTTCGGAAAATTAGTCCGTTTCATTTTGCCTTGAAAAAGATTTTAGATGAGATTAAATTCCAATCTGTTACAAACGATTCATTGCTACCCAGGGGGAATGTTATCCACAATCTTAACCTCACTCAATTTTGAATCGATATTGCGCCCAAATTAGGACGTACATCCAGACCAGAATATTACTACTACAGGACGTTTTCTTCCACTTATCTGCTGCATTCTCGTAATAGTTGGTGAATCATATCTCCATTCGTTACTGCGCCAACATCCTAGGCATAACTTTCTTAAACCAATTTTTCGAGAATAGGTTGCATGCACACCCTAGTTTGAAAAGCCATCTATTTTTAGTTTTGCAGCTCGAGCCGCAATACGCTACGAAATTTTCCGAGTTTACGATACATACTTAGCACGTTCGTAAATTATACAAGCATAGAACATGTTACAAATTACATATTACTACAGTGTCCTTTAGCTGGGTGGGATGTTGAATCAATCTAACTGCTCACTAATGCTTCTCTCAAAATTTGAGTTAAGAGAGAAGAACATTTTGACTCCATGGCCTTTCCTAATGCGGTATAATTAGTGTGTGCAGACGTGTGTTGTTTGTATAAATTAAAAGTGGCGTGAAATTGGTTAGGTGTGTATATACTTCAAATCCCCATAACTATTTCAGACACGCACATCCGACAAAAATCAGACACCAATTTATATGGTACACGTGATAAGCCCTAACGCGTAAGTGCCATCAATTTCAAACCTAAGAAAATAAACATAGTACATACAATCAATCTTCAACCTCCATGAGTCCTTCTGATCTTGCTGCTCTAAAGTCTGTCCAATTGAAACATATAGCAGCGCTATGTGGTCTTTCAATACCACCAACTAAAGCTAAAGCTATTACACAACTTTCAAATCATTTTCAAAAGTTACATTCATCATCATCATCATTAGCACACTACCCTAAATCGGTATTAGCCATTGATGTAGGGATTAAAAACCTATCAATGGCTCATGTAAGTTTCGATACCAATAAGAATTCAAATACACTTTTAAGTTGGAATAAATATGATCTTCATAAATTATTCCCACCTTTACCTTATACAAATGATCAACTATTTGATTGTTCACCTCATATTCCATTAGCCCATATGTCCTACTCTTTTGTTCAGCAGAAAGTTATACCTAAACAGCCTTCAGTAGTGGCTGTAGAAGTTCAAAGAACACGTTCCAATGGGAATTCCTCGACCCTTCCAGCAATTTTGGTCAATTATACTTTTGAAGCAATGATTTTCGCTCATATACAAGCCGATTTAGAACAAAGAGCTCTATCTACTCAAAGTCTATTAATGTCTGTAACTTCCTCTAAAATGGCCAATTTTTGGATCAACAGATTTATAAATATATCCACAGCTAAAGCGAAGCAATATCGAATAAAACTTATATTCAATTGGATTCAAAACCATTCGTCAATGATTAATGGCCTTCAACTCATTAATAAAGTTAATGCAAAGGAACTTTTCCATTATGTCGCAACAAACTATGGAAATGATATTTCACTAATGGGACCTACTAAAATAGATGATTTGGTAGATTCTTTACTTTACGCTCTAATGATTAAACATCATTACATCAATAGCCTTGAATTCACGAAACTATGGGCATCTGGTGAAGATCTCTGGCCATTGGTAGTGGAATCCAATAAATTGCATTTAAAATGGCTACGACCAATTATAATAGAAAATGACTTGGAAGTTAGTGACACTTACAAAATCTTCTTTTAGTTAAAAGCACTTAATATTAAACCAAAATCATGGCTACTATATATTATTTTTATTTAATATTAATGCTCTTGGTCACCGTCACGACGAACAAATTATATAGCATCTTAATGGCTTTAATTAATGTCCTCCTGTTCATCTTCTTCGTCTTCATCTTCTTCGTCATCGTCATCTTCTTCTTCTTCTTCATCGTCATCGTCATCTTCATCATCGTCTTCATCGTCATCGTCATCTTCCTCCTCTTCATCTTCTTCATCAACCTTATCAGTTGACTCTCGAAGTTGTTTGATTCTTGCTCTCATGATGTCAACGATTTCACTCCATTCTCTCATACCTCCCATCCCTATATCTCCACACACCAATACCTTTTCCACCGGTTTCAAGACTTCTATTCCAAAACCTCCATCAGAGCTGCTTATAGCGAGAAGCTGTTTTGCAGTTATTGGGTGGGTATACATAAACGTATTCATGGCAGGAGCCACCAAAATGGGTTTATTTTGTTCTTCTTGAATAGTTCCTTGTGCTGGGGGGTATGCTTGTGGGTTACAAGGCCCCCACAGTCTAACGATACTTGTCAAAAGATTGTCACTTATACCATTGGCAATTTTAGCCAAAGTATTGGCAGAAAGAGGAGCAATCAACATAATATCGGCCCATTTACGTAACTCATTGTGAAGAATTAATTTGCAATTCTTAATAGCAGTGGAATGTGAAGGAGTATTATTGTTGGGTTCCTTTGCTACATCTTTAAAATTGGTCCATTCGTCTTCATCACGCCATATTTTAACATCTTGATGGATCTTCAACCCTTTAAGGAAATGACATGCATGTTTGGTAACAATTAACTGGATAGAAATACGGGAAGTGCCATAAATTTGAAACAACTTGTTTATTATCATTGGCACTTTAATGGTAGCCACAGACCCAGTACAAGCCACAAGAATATGACATTTGCCATCATCTTCGTTGCTGACATATTGTTGGAATGGAACAGCTGGACCAGCTGTTTCAACCACTTGTTTTGGCACTTTAGAAGGCTTCTTACTCATGGAAGTGTTTCTTGATATAGTAGGTTCTCGGAATTGTACTGGTTCTGAACTCGAAGAGTCACCGACATTTTGAGGTGATCGTAATAGCAGATTTGTACGCGTCCGTAATTCCTGTTGTGGAGTAGCAGTTGGAGTAATTGGAGTTGTCATTGAAAAGTTTGGGTTGATTGGAAGACCTTGAGTAGTAAGGGTTGGTAATTTATGAGTCATACTTGAAGTAGCAGTAGTAGAAGACACAGTTGGAACCTGTTTTGCTGAAGTTGTAGGCGATATGGTATTTGTGAAAGGTACAGATGAATAAGAAGATGACGGGATTGTCAGAGTATCCGGCAGATCAGATAAATAATTGACTGTTATAAAAGTTGGAGGGCTTGTTCGTTTTGAGGGAACAAACTGTAGAAAGTCCCCACCACCACTGGAACCACCATTTCCGTTTGAAGTAGAAGTATTTGGAGTCACATTATGGCTGTGGCTTGAACGTTTAACACTTGATTTTCGTGACGGAGCTGGACTTGAACTCAGACCCGAATCAGCCAAAGATGATGATGTGCCTGGTTGAGCCAGAATAGTGAAACGACGAGATCTTTCATGAGATTGTAAGTTTGAAAAGGAGACTGTGTGTTGAGCAGCAATCAGTTTATGCAGTTGAAGTGAAGCCACCGAGATGCTATTTTCACGAGAAATTGCTGGCGAATTTGAAGTGCCATTATGAGAAGCAGAAACAGAAGCAGAAGAATTGTTAAGTATAGTGGTCGTACTATTGTGTCGAGTGGATATCGAGTTTGCTCTTACTGGAGCTTGTGGATTGGATATTGGAGGTGCGGTAGTAGTAGTAGTAGTGGTAGTTGTACCTGTGAGTGGTGTACTTCTATTTGGTATACTTGTAACTGGTGTAGATGGGTGAGACGACATTGGAGAGAGGGAATCGAGATTATATGGGGGTTGTTGAGGGACTTTTGGGCTGGCAGTAGCCAACTGTTGTAGATGATCTTCTTCGGCCATAGAAACGAGCAAATGGAATCAAAATTAAAGGAGATGAAAAGAAATGAAGACCGAAAGAAAAGAAAAGTATTATAGGTTCGGGTATAAGAATAAATCCGACTTGATTGGAGACTTTTATTAAGGAGATCAAAAATGGACCCGAGTAAGGAAAAGCCAATTTTTTAACCCAATACTCAAACAATGGGTAGTATTAATAATAATACACTACACTACTAACAAAGATACAGTATGGACGTCAAAATGATAGTGGGGAATGATGTAATTAGAAAAGGGGATAGGTTAAATCAAGTTTACTGTTACATTAGGGCAACGATTACATTAAGTACTACTGTTTGTACTACGCTAACGATTACCTTGCTATTAGTGTAGTACTGCATTGTATTACTACTGTTGGCACTACTATCAGTACTGCATTGTATTACTACTGTTGGCACTACTATCAGTACTACTGTAACACCACTGTAGTACCACAGCAACACTGCGGTTATTGTTCTATTCTGTTCATATTATTACACTTACATTGTTCCAGTTAGTCTTATTACTACTTTATTCTCATTACTTTATTCATAAGACTATTATTCTTACTACTGGTTGTCTATTATTTGTTCCGCTTTCTATTTGACTCTGTGTTATGTCCCCTGTGTACGCCAATCTGATTGCGGCGGAGTATCCTATGTTTAATTTGAGGGAATAACGGATGCCAACACTACCTGGTGGGGTAAACTTGTGATTAAGGATAACACAATAAATATTACTTGACATGGTATGACTTGGTAGGTATGGCTCATATATTTACTGTTGTACATTACGTGATGTAGGCTACGAGACGCATTAAAATTCACGGAAAACTTTTATAGTTTTTACAACTTTCACAAATGGTTTTATACGGTAAGTATTAACTTGATACAGCGGCCTTATATGTCTTTGCCACGGTGTAGATGCCACCGTGGAGATGCCACTGCGATAGGTACCACTGCGATAGGTACCACTGTAATTTGTTCGAGTGCTTAAGTGTGCATGTCGCAAATACTTTTACCGCGAATATTCAGAAATGTCGCACTTCTTGGTGTTGATTTGAAAAACTAATAGCCATTAGCTACAAACAGTCTAAAACCAATCATTACTTTCAAACCCAAATAACGTTTCAAAATAACGTTGATAAACAGTTTTCATATTGCTCACCATTAGCTTTAGTCATTATTCAAATCACAATGAATCTTAGGCAGCAATTGACCCAATTCCTTACTTTGGCTTACGTGTTCTCATCAGCATTCATCGTTTGGAAGGCTGTATCCCTAGTAGCTAACTCACATTCACCCATAGTTGTGGTTCTTTCAGGTTCAATGGAACCAGCATTCCAAAGAGGTGATATTCTTTTCCTTTGGAACCGCGATGCTCGTGCCAAAGTTGGTGATGTGGTCGTATATGAAGTAAAGGGTAAATCTATTCCAATAGTTCACAGAGTTATGAGAGAACATCACAATGATAAAAAACAATTATTGCTTACAAAAGGTGACAACAATAATGTTGATGACTTAAACTTATATGCATATAAACAAAATTATTTGAATCAAAAGGAAGACTTGGTTGGAACTGTTAAAGGCTACTTACCTAAACTTGGGTACGTTACAATTTTAATTAGCGAGAACCAATATTTCAAGTTCGGTCTCTTGGGTTTGTTGGGGCTTTCTGCTTTATTTTCTTCAGAGTAAGTAGTCGAGATTATATATAATAATTAAATAAGTCACGTAATGTTCATAATATTCTCTATGTCGTGTATAGTATTGTACTCTCCAAGTGTAGGTAAAAAGTTAGATCAAAAAACAACGACAACTGCAGGATTCGAACCTGCGCGGGCAAAGCCCAAAAGATTTCTAATCTTTCTCCTTAACCACTCGGACAAGTTGCCTATTTGTGAGTGTTTTTGGAACACTCATCTTTATTAGGCTATCACAAGAATCTTCCTCCGGGTATGGTGAACCCCTAACTAAGACATTATATGGCTCCTATGTGCTTAACACTGTGAGTCTGTGAGTGAAATACAGTGGTATGTAGTGTGAAATAGACGGTTGGCAGGCTGGATTTCAGCCAAGAGTATGTCTGGGTAGTTACATTTAGAGCAGTTTATATAGTCGTCAGTGGTTTTCTCACAAATATATGGTATCCTTCAAAAAAAAGTGAATTCTTCAGGTGTCACCTACGTCATAACTACACAAATGAACAACAGAGTTCTCTAAATATATCCCTTAATGCTATCAACTATTGTGCAAGCAAAATCTGACTGCTACACCGTCATATCGCTTCTTTTGTGGGGAAGTATTGATGCAAAAATCAAGTGTGTGTACTCTTTGGGTGCAAAACAAATGATGGTGTTGAAAAGAAAACGGAAACACTAATGGACAATCTAGTGCTAATGTAGCTAACGAGTCGATATCTGCTGTTCTAAATAGCCCTGAATCAAAATCTAAGTACTCATCAAAAGAAATATCAATTTTAAATTGAATGAGTGCTTTTATAGACTTCAATAAATGGTTGCAGGTAGTCAATTTGGATTGCAAACAGTTACGTTAAAATGAATAGTGGTGACTGAAAGTGGTGAAGAAGAAGAAAGTGATGGTCAATCTCAATTTCATCTAGGTGATGAATTTCTTTATTTCAAAAGGGTAACAGATTTGATGATAGAATTATATTATAATACTTTAAAGCTAAAAAAGTACCATTTCATTGGAACTTCAAAATAAATGTACCATCATAGTATTATAGATGGTAGTATATAAATTTAAAGATAGACCTGGTTTTCCCAAGAAGATACAGTTTATTTCAATTTTGACTACACAATTAGCCACTAGAGCATTCAGTGTCTTAGTATAAGACATCATTAAGGAATAGGCTCTAATTTTGCTATATAAATGTATGTGGAAGAGTGGAAGAGGGTCATGAAGTACCGTGATGGATGGCTAATGAGAGATGAGATATTTGCCAGCTATAATAGAATCAACTCTTTAATCTCGATAGAAATCACAAAGTATAACATTTACGTTAGCAGAATATATTTTTATTAGTACAGTACCGTTCTAACTTTACCATAGTTAGGTTGTTGAATTATGCTTAAGCATACTACATATAATCTAAATTTCAGCATTTACTGTTTCCTTCACCACAGCTTTTACAACTTCAGTAATCCACCTGCGTAAGAGTACAGATGAGTACAGGTGGGTACAGATGGGTAAATACGGGGAAAGTATAAAACGAAGTGGATCTGCCTTTTTTTTATTTTTAGATTCCCTCGTTGATATGTAAACTTACGACATAATAGAATTGAATTCAATGATTAGTGAAATGACCACTGTCTCTGAGAAAGAAAATGCTTACACATACAGTGCAAAGTTCCTAATAAAAACCTAAGCTGTTTCATTTTTGGCTGGAGTAGTAATATACACACTAATTATTACAGATGCAAGCTTTTGGAGTAGCCGGAGAAACAGTGTTAAGCTACCTTTGGGCGCGGAAACAAATGATCTCAGTGAATGGATTCTGCCAACAAGTCAAAAACATAATGATGATAGCACTCAAGACGTAACTAAACCTGCTGCCCCGATGGGACTAACAAGAAAAGGTGTTAACACTAAAAAGCTGTCTTAGAATTCGACATCGTTGTCTACATTTAAACCTGCGTTTGGAAACTTCCCAGCAAACATACTCAGAAATTCCCAACTATCGAAACGACCATTGGTCCATCTCTGGAAACAGAACCTAAGGCTTTCACCACCTCGATAGAGCCACTATGTGTGGAAACTACTGAAGATGGAACTAAAGCCGTAACTAACTTTTATAAGACAAAAGCGTTAACAAAAGTGGCAGTCAGTGAGGAATACATTAATACAACATTTTACCCTGATGGAACGACAAAGGGACCAACAAGAGAGAATACTGGGAAAATTGGCGGGAATGTGTCAGGATTAAATGGCACGGACATGCCAACAAAAGAGCAGGTTATGAGGTACCTCGTGAATGAGCTTGATAGCACGGACGTGCGAAGCAATCGACTTTAGAGGTTCTTCACGAACGCGTATGGCATAAATAGCACAGACTTGCCAACAAGTGATCAAGTTCTGTGGTACCTCGGGAATGATACTTGAGAAGCGATATCGGAACGAAGACAGGAGCATCAATTGAGCATAACACTGTTGAAGATAGTATGGTGCGGTATCAGCATATGGCTTCATGTTGTATGTTGGCTTTGGTGTATCAAAAGAAATGGGGCCCCTGGGAGGGCTCCGAGATATATTTGGCCCACAAACAACTTTTTTTGTTTTTATAGCTTGTAAGCATGCTGTTAGAGAGTAGATTATAGTTCTCATGTGTGAATATCTTTCATTGAATAAAATATGTAGTAGAGCTATAGAAAGTTAGGTTAGTCAAAATTATGTACAAATGGTGCCTCATAGTTATAAAATAGTCCACTTTCTTTATCAGCTTCCTTGTTTCCAGCAAGATTAAATAATTTTCCGCAAGACCAGTTTGATTGATACCCAAGCTTAAGATCATACTATTCTCTTGGCTTCAGCGCTTCCATAATATAAATGGCAAAACAGACGGCACCAACAAAAACCAAGCCTTCGATGACAATTCTAACAAAAAAAGTTGTATGTGGGCCAAAAATATCCCGGAGCCCTGAGATCATTTGGTTCCATGTCCACAGATGATTTATGACCTGTCTCATCGGCTGCGAAATTACTAGTATCTTTAGGGAAATCATCCCGTTGTTTTCTGACGATGTTTGGGAGAGGGGCCATTGTAGGATACTTAAAAGTCAATGTAATCTTCTTTGGGTTCTTGTCTATGGTACTAAGGTATTTTAATGATGTGGTTGGTTAATTAATCAATTATCGGGAGAAGAAGAATATTGTTTTTTTTTACCCACTAGGCTAAGGAGATTCCGTAGGCAACTTTGCGAAGAATGGAACGAAAAACAGGTAGATCAAGTGCAGTGGTTTAGCTCAAGTAAAACTCAGTGATTGTGGAAGTAAAGGGAATTATTATGATAAAATCAAGCATAAGTATAAATTGAGAATCGCTAACTATACGTATTAAATAGAGCGTGTGTTAGAATCAATCAAGTAATAACTAGTAACTAACATCTACCTCTTGCGAGTAACTGACTACATACACATCGTGTTCAGCCGCAGGTTTATTGTTTGAAGTAATTTAACAATAAGTACAAGTCCACGATCTCCACTTTATGCCTTTATTTGATTATTAACGCTAGGCATTGTACGATACCGTCAATTCTTAGATGCCATCCATCTTATCATGTGCTACAGGAGTGCATCCTCCAGTTTCCAGTTGGTTGTTGCTTGAATTGGCTGCAAAAAATGACATGCCATTAAGCTTTATTTTTGTGTTCCGCGACTTGACTAACAGTGATGCACGACCTCAGTTTAGTAGCCTGAGAAGATGCTCATTATAAGCCAAACTAGTTACAAAAGACGGCAGACGTCTTGAAGCACTTTCCAAATCAAATGAAGCAACTTCAAATAATTGAGCATTCAAAGTAATGTTTTATCTTCCAATAGTGCAGTTGCAGGTACAACAAATGACTAGTGCCGGGGTGAAAGTTATGGCTTACAGAGCCCCACACACTCACCTACTGATTCCTATTAGGGTTGTAATTCATAATTCAAAGGTACTAAATATATGGGATTACGTCTAAAAAGTCTATAATTATGAATTCTAAACATAGTAACTGGTCCATAAAACCCCTTCCATGCTTTCCATCTGTTCAGGTGTGAATACCTTACTATCAATATGCCAAGTATCTTGTCTGGTCTTACGAATAGTTGAAAAGGTATTCTTCGCAGATTTACCAACAATCCCAGGCAATCCAGCACATTTAGTTGCCAATATACTCATGACCTTGGGCATCCATTGTGGAGGCGGTGAAACATATGGATACGCATTGATCAAAGCTCCTAATCCCAAAGTCACTCCATGAAGTTGATTCATTTCTTGAGATGGAATATTCTTAAAGCCTTGCTTCCTATATTTCTTTCTAATGGTATCCAACTTTTTGGTATAATCCTTTGTGCATTTAGCAATAAATTGTGCTCCTTGTTTGGGAGGTGACATATGAATAATACCTGACAATATGGCACCTGCTGCTTCTCTGATGATTGGTACATCATGATAAAGTCGTTGGTTTGTCATTTCAAAGAAACGATTTCTTTGTTCATCAGTTAATAAGAATAAATTCTTAAAAATTAGCACAACGGTGAATTCTCCAAGAATTAATGTTTGAACACTGTTCAAAGTTCCATTGAAATACTTTTCTACCATTTGAAGTATCAATTCCAATTCTGGAGGGCTAAACCGAACTTTACTCAACTTAATAACAACACGTAAAGGATCAAGGTTACCAATTTGACATACTTCCTTCATTCCAATCAAAAGATTCAATAATGGCATCACATGGGAGACTAAGAGATCACGAATTGGAGATCTAGTAAACCTCATGGCGACTTCAATCCACACAAGTAATGTCTGAGCCCCATAAAAGAATTGAGATTTCACAATCTCTTGTGGAGCGAGATGTTCGACTGATGGATACATTTCCAATACCTTATCAAATGCCTTCCTGGTAACATCAACAAGTCCTTTGGGTGCTGAACTCTTATAAAAACTCAAGTCATTTGAATTAACCGATTCAATATACTTCTCAGCATTGCCATACGTATCTCTCGGATAAGCAACAACAAGATCACACATTAAATTACCAATTCCAGTTCTCAAGTCCAAATAGTCAACACTGATATTCTCTAGGCACATTTGCAATAGTTCCTCACACTCGTTGCTTTGAGAAAAACTTTTAGACAAATACATCTCTGTCAAATAACGCAAACGAATGGTATCCCTAACAGGATAATTGGTATGTGAATCCACTCTAAATTTCAAAAAAACATCCATAACCCGTTTGATTCTCCGACAATCCATTTGAAACGTAAGCCATGTAGAAAAGGAACCCCAAATATTGGCATTTCCAGGATTTAAGTCTTGCTCCAAAACTTTGGTTAAAAACTTGACGAGGAAATCATCACGAATTGAAATATACTCCGGTTTAGTGAATGAGTCTGCAAGTAAAAGCCCTGCAATAATTTGAAACAAATTGATATGGGATGCATTATCATCCTTGACATACAACTCATCAATGCACTCAAGGATCTCCTGATATGTAAGAGACTTTATAATGTCGTTGGAAATCAAAAAAATAAGCGATCCAATTGCATCAACATCATCAGAAAAGAATGACGAAGCACTTTCGTTGTCAGCAATTCCAAGTTGAATGATATAAATTAACCACTTCTTTGTAATAAACTTGTTGAGAACTTCCATGGTCATTCTATCTTCCAGTGAAATAGTACTAGGGAAAGACCTTTCATTATGACCCACAGTCATTGACTTACCCCAAAAGAGCCACCCTTTACCTCCTTCGGCATCGATAAAGTAGTTTGGAGTTTCATTATTGAGCTCATCTCTAAATTTCTCCGAGTACAGTTTCCCATCAACCATCTCCGTGTTTACTATGGAGAAATCACGACGTAAAGAATCAAAATCCATATAATTTCTAATGTCTTTACCGTACCTTTCCTTGACTTGTATACGCAAAACTGCATTGCTAATTCCCTTCAAGCTTACCAGAGAAATAAATGCATACTCAGAGAAGGACGATTCAGCAAAGAGCTCAATAACTGAAGAATTTAAAGGAATTTCACTGGATTGTTGCAACATAGCCACTGAAGACAAACATGAGTTTAAAATCCTCCAGTGCTTATAAGATTTTGCCAAAGACACCAATTTCTCCTGAAACTGGATTAACTTTGAGACAAACAACTTTCTCTTCTTCTCCTTTGCTATTGTAACAGCTTTAATCTCTAAATCAATTTTGGAGTCAGAAGGTCTAATAGCATCAACTGCATTTTCATCTATAATACAAACTTCACTTGGTGGTGTGACATTCTCTTCGACTCCACGCAATAAAGTATCCACCAAATCATCGACTTCAATGTCATCAACACTTAGGGACTTATGTAATAATGTCACAAATTTTTCAACATTGAAACAATCATTTTGAATCCTAACATTTAATCTCTTCATCTTAAATACTCGAAGAATACTGCTTATCTTTTTGCTATCTTTATCCTCAATTGCCTTGGAAAAGAATTTGAACATTGACCTTACAATAAGACTGTAAGAACCACTTGTACGTTTCATGATATCCAGAATAGCGTTGATGGCACTTCCACTAACGGTATCATATGTGGAAGTACTCAATTTCAAAATATCTTCCAAAAGAATTCTATCCAACTTGGTTTGAGTTCTGGAAGTCGCATGGAGAGAAACTCTAAGCTGTTGATACGCTTCCAATCTTCTTGCAAAGCCAAGTCTTGTAAATGGTTTCCTTATATCATCCAAATTCAAAAGATACTTCATATGAGTAAATTTTGTTTTTGAATCAGATGCGTGAAAGACTCTACTACTACCAACGTCGATGAACCAAACTCGAAGTATAAGTAGGAAAATGCACATCAACTTATCATTGTCCATGAAATTTGCCGTAAGAAACTTATTAATAAGATGCAAACTTCTACCAATCAAATGCCTAATTTTATGCAACCGGATATACTGAGGATTGGCTCTTCTTGTTTCCAAATCATCACCAAAGAAATAATTGCTGGAGTAGAGTTTCCGTTGTCTAAATGTCATACCAGGATTTATATTGAATTCATCTTCTTCAACTTTAGATGGTGTCTCACTACGAGAGCCATCTACAGATGATGTTGAATTCAAATCTTGATCACCAAGATCTAAAGATAGTTGTGGAGTAGGAGAAAAGGCATGAGCTGTCTCGTTACCTTCTTTCAAGATTTCAGTAGATGATGATGACTTATCACTAATTTCCTCAGTTGAGCTCATCTTCACATCATAAGAGTTCGACGGAGATAAGTTATTTGCTTGATCAAGTTCAACATTTTCCAAATTAGATACAATTTGTTTGAAATTAGCTTGTAAATCTTCAATTTGCAAATCTTCAAAACTCAGTTGGCCTTCCATGTTTCTAATTTCCTGTAGAAGCACAAGCCTACTTTTCAAAGTTTGGCTTTCATGTGCAGTTAAGCTTGGAATGTTTTCTTCAAATGAAGGATCAAATAAGCTTGACATTCCAGAGATGGAAAATCCTAAGTAAAACAAATGGCCACGAATATGATTAACAATTTGCTGTTTCTTGACTGAGTTTACTGAAGCATCGTAAGAGCTAATAGTTTTGGTGAAAAACTCCAAAGCAGCTTTCACATGACTACTAAAGAAATCAATTGCAAAGGTAATATGCTTCTGTTCGGGCACAAACCAATCGAAACTCAAGTTTTCTTTTGAAAATCTGTACTCATCAAGCAGAAAGCCACCCCAACACAGCGCAGAAACGTTTTCCCGGGCAGTAAATGCTGGGGAAATTAATCTAGCTTCTTTGATTTTAATTTGGGTAAGAGCTCTAAGAACTCCAGCAGTCAAATGCGCTGCGTAAAAGGAAGTTCCATAACCTCTGATGTTCAGCATTACTTCCAATGAAAGATCTGTCAATTCTTTCCCGCAATCAAGAATATGACCATTTGCTTCTGCAGTCATATCAATGAAAATTGACATATACCAAACAAATGGTTGGTCCCTAGGTGAAACTTCAAGTACATTATGGGCATCCCCTGAAACATCGGCCAATGCTTCACGGATTTTATCCAAAAATTGAGGGCAGATTGTTTTAAAATACAGAGGCTCTCTTCGAATAACTTCCCCACATAACGATGCTACGGACGAATCCACACTGTGAATGGTATTCTCAAACACAAATTTGAATATCTGGGATCTCATTGCCCTAAAGATTTCATCGGATGATGCTTCTGTAACAAGGGAGAATAATCGAGGCAATGCATCAACAAGTTGAACATCAACTTCTGTTGCGTGCGTCATATCAGGAAGATTTTGAAGCAATATGAAATATCTTTCTAAAACCCTTTCCATAATAGTAGGAAATGCCACCGTAGAGTTTTTCAAAGCTTCTAATTCACTTTCCTCAGTGGTTTCAAACTTCACAATAGGTTTAGAAGAAGCCTTCAAATATAAGTTTGTTCTTAATGACTCCAAATGCATTTCAGTGTACATCATGGCCACGTTTATATCACCGGTACCGTTAGTTAAATCGTAAATCGGAACGAAAGCTGCAATCGTTGTAAGAAGATCAACAGTATGTCCAGTTTTCGTTAGATCATTAGAATCGATCCCTGGGACGACCATCAGCATTATTCTGGTTAAATGTACCCGATAGATTGGTGTGGTAGCAAAGTATCTTGCTAGCATTGAAATAATTCTCAAGGCAAGGAATATACGATGATTGGAGATGACTGAGTCTAAGGAATCGTAAATATCCAATAAAACATTCTCTAAAACCAATTCAGAATTCATATGAGCAAGGGAATCAAGACAAGGAATATAAAGACGGGTTGCTTGGTCGTGTTTGGAATGTAATCCAATTCTAACAATTGGAAGTACAATTTCAATGAATTGGTTTATTGTTTTATCATCAAGTTTATATTCATTTGGAATATCATAACATTTCCCATCAACTTCCCTTTCTCTGTTATATCTTTTGTGTACCCAATGTACCAAATTAGAAATCATTTCTGCAATATGAACAGACCATGAACCACTATTCGTAGGATGAACAAAAGTTTCAATTGAATTCAAAAGTGATTGGATGAAGCTAATAATAGGACTCATTTCATTATTCGAGTTCGAGTTATTTGAAGTGATGGAAAGTACAATTGCACCCACAACACTCAGAACATGATTAATTACTTGAGAACCATATTTTGATTTATTGATCAGTAATCCATTCAACAAATATGTAAACATATATCTCATTTCTGTTTCTGTGAAAAGTCCATATTCGCCCAATTTCAAGTATGAAACCGATTTGGGATTATCATTAAGCTCATTCAATGCAGCATCTGCTACCGTAGCTAAAAATCCGCTGAAATTGGAGCTGTCATCAAATTGAACCCACATATTAAAAATTGAAGGTATATAATGTCTAATGTCATTAATAGACTCTCTTCCACCTTCATCAAACTTCAAAGGCAACAATCTTAATACAATTGAAACCCATTTTGCTTGTCTAGGGGAAAAATATGATGCAATGGTAGAATAAATCTCTGGTAATTCCTCCGATGGAAAGAAAATTGAAGCACGCTCTAAAATTTTCATAACCAGATGGCTATCTAATGATTCGCTTGGTTTTTCAACTGGATGCAACATTTGATGTAAAATATGGTATATTGGCTTCCAAGGTAAAATAAGACCTTGGCTTTTGATAAGTTTTGTATCTTTAGATAACTCACGGAAAGCATTGGCATAAATTTTCAAACTCAATTTCTGACCTCTGCTTGTACATATGGCATAATATACCTTAATTAATGCAATTCTTAACGACAATGGCATATCATATTTCACTTTTAACCAGGTCATTAACTCTTGAGTCCAAATCTTCACACTAACAGTTGCTGCTGATTTGGGAGATTTTCTAATCTGACCAGCTGAATGGTCTTCAAAAGTTCCACCGGAATCCATATCGTCATCCTGTTCAACGGATTCTTCTTCACCTTCATCGTCATTTTCATAATCATTATCTGATCCACTTTCATCAACGTCATTAGCAATAAAGTATCCCTCTGATTCCATATCAAAGGAATCTTCTCTTTGAAGTTGATTGGATTCGGATAACTCAAACAAATTTGTTTCTAGTGCTAAGTCCACGTCAGATATACCTGCCAGATCTCGTATTGCAGCTAAATCTTTAGCACTAATACTAAGAGCACCTTGAAGATCCAAAGATTTCACTGCAATATATAAATGAGTCACTATATGACTTAAAAACCTAGCATATTCGGTAGGTCCTTCTATTTTATAAGGGAGTAACTTTTTTAGATCAATGGTTCTTTTACGACGTCTGGCATAAAATCTCGAGGTTGGATCCAATTGTAACGATTCAAGACGTTCAGTGTCATTAGGGTAATCTAAATTATAATGCTTCTCTCTACTCGTTTCAAGAAAAGTGTATGACAGTAAAGTTTTGCTAGAGCTTACATTTTCTATCTTTTGCCTTGTAATCGGAGTAAAGGATCGAAGATCGTATTGCCCCAAATCCTCTTCGCCGCCTTGGGAACCATTTTTGGAGTCAATATTGTTGTTGATGGTACTACTACCCAAGTCTGGCTTAGGAACTTTGAGCAATTTCGAAGATCCATCATCGGACTCCGGCTTATTGTCTTGTGACATCACGGTCCAAGACCTTTTATTTTCACTATTAGACACCACCACGATTGATAATTATCCCACCTTATAACGCAAAAAAAAGTGCTTCTATTTGAAAAAGCACAGAGATCTGAGTGTTTGAGACTACTTTTATATAGTATTTGGGGTTGACTTTTAAAGTGCTTAAAAGAAGGAGTCAAGCAGATGGCAAAAAAAATGGTAGCACTCTTCAATTTTGATGGCCATATATACAATAAGAAAAGTTAATGGTATTACCATCAATAAAAAGTAGATCACGTGACCATGAACTTATTTCTTGATTCAAGGCATGCATTAGTAGTATAATAGTAGAGTAATTTTAGGTTTCAAATATCACAATACTCAAGTAGCTATAACTCAATAATTTACAACCTAATGTATATTTAAATATGTTCATGGAAAGGTAAGTACTATTCCAAGGTTCAAGTCTTACAATTACAAGACGAGGTCCATATATTTGTGTGGTAGCGCGTAGGTGTGAGAATTTAGGGATGCCACTCCTAACAAGTGTTATACAACTACTAGTAAATGGGATACTACTATAAGTTCAGTGATATGCGTAAGCTCTGAAGTGTTTCCCAATTTAACACCTACAATCACTTTTTACATGACAATCTTCTACCAGAATTTTCAGGCATCTTCTAGAATAAGATATAAGGTCTGTCTATCACGTGATGAAGCTTAAGTGTATACTATTTTGGGCCATCTCATCGAGAAAAAGGTACCCGTCGTCGTGTGTTGTCGAAAAAAACCATTTGAAAAAATGCAATGAGGTACCGTTTAAGTGGTGAATAAAGCCCATAGAAATCATATCGTACATACGTTTCGTAAATTTTAGTATTAGCGTATCAAAAAATGTCTGTTTCTGCCTCCAAAGCTAAGAGAGAAGCTAAAAGATTAGAAAGAGAAGCCAAGAAGGCTTCTGAAGGAAAGGCCACTAAGAAGACTAAGAAGCAGGCAGCCAAGGATGCAGAAGAGAAGGAAGTCGATGATGCTGCCACTAAGATTGCCAAGTTGAAGTTACAAACAGATGACGATGGTATCAGTGACAGAGTTACCACTGGTGTCTTAGATTCTTTGGAAACTTCTCGAGATGTTAAGATGTCATCTGTTTCCTTATTATTCCATGGTAAGGTCTTGATTCAAGACTCCGATTTAGAATTAAATTATGGTAATAGATATGGTTTGTTGGGTGAAAATGGTTGTGGTAAATCTACTTTCTTAAAGGCATTGGCTGCTAGAGAATACCCTATCCCCAAAAACATTGATATCTATCTTTTGAATGAACCTGCTGACCCAACTGAATATTCTGCTTTAGAATATGTTGTTAGAGAAGCTGAAGCTGAATTGAAAGCTTTGGAAGATTTGGTTGAAGAAACCATTGTTAACGAAGGTCCAGAACATCCAACTCTTGAGCCTTTATACGAAAAGATTGATGAAATGGATCCTTCTACTTTTGAAGCTAGAGCTGCTGTCATTTTAACTGGTTTGGGTTTCAACTCTAAGACTATCTTGAAGAAGACTAAAGATATGTCTGGTGGTTGGAGAATGAGAGTTGCTTTGGCCAAAGCTTTGTTCGTTAAGCCAACCATGTTGTTGTTGGATGATCCTACTGCCCATTTGGATTTAGCTGCCTGTGTGTGGTTAGAAGCTTATTTAAGTAAGTTTGATAAGATTTTGATTTTGGTTTCCCATTCTCAAGATTTCTTAAACACTGTTTGTACCAATATGATTGATATGAGAATGAAGAAGTTGTTGATGTTTGGTGGTAATTACGACTCTTATTTGAAGACTAGAACTGAATTGGAAACCAACCAAATGAAACAATACAACAAGCAGCAAGAAGAAATTAAGGATATCAAGAAGTTTATTGCTTCTGCTGGTACATATGCTAACTTGGTTAGACAAGCAAAATCTAGACAAAAGATTTTGGATAAGATGGAAGCCGATGGTCTTATTGAACCAGTTGTCCCCGATAAGGTTTTCTCCTTTAGATTCCCTGAAGTTGAAAAGTTACCTCCACCAGTTTTGGCTTTCGATGATATGTCCTTCTCGTACAGTGGTAATCCTGAAGACAATTTGTATGAACATTTGGATATTGGTATTGATATGGATTCAAGAGTTGCCTTGGTTGGTCCTAATGGTATTGGTAAATCTACTTTATTGAAATTATTCCAAGGTATTTTGACGCCTCAACAAGGTAGAGTTATTAGACATACACATATCAAATTGGGTGTTTACTCGCAACATTCAGCTGATCAATTGGATTTGACGATGTCCCCCTTAGAATTTGTTAGACAAAAATTCTCCAACATTTCTGAGGATTATCAATACTGGAGACAGCAATTGGGTCGTTATGGTTTAACTGGTGAAGGTCAAACTGCTACTATGGCTACATTATCTGAAGGTCAAAGATCAAGAGTTGTTTTTGCTCTTTTGGCATTAGAAGCTCCTAACTTGATCTTATTAGATGAACCTACTAACGGGTTGGACTTATCTACCATTGATTCTTTGGCTGAAGCCATTAACGAATTCAATGGTGGTGTAGTAATCGTGTCACATGACTTCAGATTATTGGATAAGGTTGCTAAGGATATTTTTGTTATCGAGAACAAGACAGCTACCAGATGGGAAGGTGGTATTTTGGCTTACAAGAAGAAATTGGCTAGTGAGGTTGTGTTATAAATATAATAATTGTTCTAGTTCTTTTTTGCAGTAGTTTATAGAGTTCCGTTTAACTTATATTATTAAAGAATAAATATATATAATAAAGTCGCCGAGCGCAAATAAAATGGATGAAAGGTAGTAGTAATAGTAATGCATCAGTATAGAAGAAGATCCCTTTAAGTGTAAACAACAACAAATTAATGACTCATAAGTTAGTAACCTCTAATAAGAAATCAGCAAATGGAATGGAAGCAACACCTGTTAAACCTTCATCATATTTCTTGAATATATCAGTAACCTTTCTCAAGTACACCAATAACTCTATGAAAACATCAAACTTTAATCTACCAATATCACTAACATCTTTCGGGCAAAACTTTTGAAATACAAATAATACCAAATCAACATCTAATCTGTAGCCAATCTCCTTTACAATTTCATGGAATTCACCAAATGAAATGTCTCCCAGTTTATCTGAATCTGCTTGTAAAAATAACTTCTTGTACATCAGTAAATGTTTCCAAAGATCTACAAATTGTTCAAAGTTTAAACCTCGAAGTGATCCACTTTTAGGATTGCTCGAACCAAATAATTTTATCATTAAAATAACTGTGGATTCTTTAAATGGAGTATTGTCAAAATTTGAAAGAGCCCGAGCCAATTCTGACGGACTAATTATTCCAGTATGATTAGTATCCACTCTATCGAAAGTTGCCCTTAACTCGTTTTCTAACTTTTGTTGCTTAGCAAGCTTCTTTTGAGCAGAAGTTAAAGGTTTGGCATTCTCTGAGATATTGACTCTTTCCATGTGTTGTTGTACAGAATGAATTGTTTGCTCACCATTAGATGGTCTCTTTTGAGGTGGAGATACACGAGTAGGGATACTTTCCACTGATGTTCTTCCATGTCCATCATAATGCAGGTGAGGATATTGTTGTTCGTATGATCCATGAGCCAGAGATGTTGGGGGTCTCTGCTGTTGGTAATTGGAATATTGACCTTGAGTTTGTTGAGGAGGAGCAGCATAATGTTGTTGTTGTTGCTGTTGTTGTGGCTTTGGTTGATAGTGTTGTTGGTAATGTTGCTGAGAGTGGTTCAGCTGTTGATACAGTTGTTGAGGAGGGGACAGATACTGTTGATATTGAGAAGGAACGGCCTGTTGTTGTTGAATAGGAATAGTGGTGTACAGTTGTTGTTGTTGTTTTTGTTGTGGGTTCAGTGTAGTCAGATACAACAGAGGTTGGGATTGATTATGTCTTGAATAAGAATCATATCGTGGTTGTTGTGGAGGTGGTGGCTGTTGCACTTGAGGAGGAGGTAGTTGTTGATGTTGAATTCGCGAAGGTTGATACTGTTGAGGTTGAGGCTGATAATATTGCTGCTGTTGTGGAGGAGGTTGTGAATAGTTACCTTGTTGTTGCTGTTGTTTGGGGTTTGTAGTCTTACGCTGACCCATACCAGGCCGACCATAACCGTTATGGCGATCCACCACCCCTATGACATCCTGAGGGGTCACCATCACTGGAAGATCGTCGTTTCCCATCGTAAACTTAGAAGTTGGTCCGCAAGAGGAAATATATATATTTTGAATCAATAAAATTACCGTCTCACTTTCAAGTAGCCAATATGCAAGGGCAATCAATGTGTGTGACAGATTTTAATTATCGATTCACTGTTGAACCTCGATGGGAGTTTGAGAATGTTGTTTTGTATGAAAGGAGGCGGATCGTGAGTGAAATGACCCAAAACGAAAATAAAATGAACTGATGTCCGGGTAACCTTTTAGGTCTGGTTTAACTTAGTGACCATTTGACAGTATTTCACTGATGGAAGTTGTATACAATCGTGAATGATTGATGCAAGTAGTACAGTCGTGTTGTGACTAGTATTGAATATGAATGAGTGTATCGTAATTATGAGTAATCTTTGGCTCAAACCAAGGAGTTTCCTTGCTATATGATGAAATTATTTCTAAGCTTGCTGCGACTTGCACAGTACGGTGACTGCTAAATATACTATTGTCATGTGGTTTGAGTAAGTTATAATATGTTTCGCTTTTAGTAGATTTAAGCCCGGTGGGTATCAGTATATTCTGCCGCTAATCTTCCTTCCTTCCTTCTCAAACTATTACATTCAAATGAGAATCAATCATTTATTTGTATTATATTATACAGTTTTTGGACTAAATAAATCGTAGTGAAAAGTTGTATCAACCATTACAAAACGTACACCCACCATTCTCATGACTCCTACAAAAATACTCATAAACAAGACACGTTATAAATTGATTATGTATGTTATTATGTAGGAGTGAGGTGGAGACTTTGAGATAGTCACTATAGAGACACAGTCCATTTAATCTCTGGCTCTTCTTCTGAAACCATCAGCAGGTCTTCTTTGACCTGGTCTGGCTTGTCTTGGTCTTTCAGCTGGAGCACCCTTCAATCTGGTCAAAGGCAAAATACCTTCTGGGATGTTCAATTCAGATCTCAAGAATTCGACACCTTCGTCAGTCAAGGTGTAGTAGTAGTATTGCCATGAGAATTGAGTCTTGACGTAACCCTTGGAGGTCAAGGATTGCAAGGCCTTGATGACATACAAGTTCTTGGTATCAATTTCCTCGTGTTGAGGCAATTCAAAGTCCTTCTTGGCGACAACAACACCCTCTAAATTTGGTTGTTAGTATTTTTAATGTTTCATTTAATTAATATAACTTTTGAGCAATAGAAATAGGTTTTGGGCTTTTCATTTCATCAAATCTTTCCACTAAATGCTTACCTTGATGGATATATCATTCACGATCGAAAATAAACTTCAAAATCTCGCACGTAAACAGCAACTAAAAGATTGAAAAGATTGATTTAAGGACAACTAATAATGATTTAATTATTCATTTATTCCCGTTCACCATATTGCTCAGAAGTCAAAACTGTTTCATCATCGATCATTCTGAGAGAACAGAACTAGTAATTCGAAACAGAAGTTCGTTTTGTTTAAACATACCTTGGAAGAGGTATTGGTGGATCTTCTTTCTGTCTTCCTTAGGGATAAGCATGTTGGATACTATGACACTATATGATACCTGGAACTATTCAAAATCAAAAAAGTGCTTTCACTATAACGTTGTAATTTTTCACTTTTTTTTTCCAGTATGAATCTCCCCTAACGAAAACTTTTCCCTAAGGTGGTGATGAATGGGAGCGCGGAGTAGTGTACGGGACAACAAACTGATGTTGTATGCCAGATTTTGTAGTTGAACGCTAATACAAGAACACAAAGTTATAATACAGTATATGCTTCAGCATGGCACGTGATTGAGGATTGAATATGAGTTTTCTTTTAGGCAACAGTCATTCCACGAACCATTTATATATCACGTGCCACTTAGGGTTTTTAGACCCAGTGTGCACAAGAGTTCACCTCCTAGAAGGTCTTATTATTGGTACCTTGATTGCTATACAGGGTAAGGGGCGATTACGTTGAAATATTAAAATAAAGAATGACATTGACAGTATGAAAAGAAACATTTATCAAATCTAATAATAGTATGTAGCATGAAAGTGACACTTCGAATTAATGCATAACCATACTGCAACTGCACTACAACAGCTGACTCTTTAAATACGCTAAGCATTTCATCTTTTAAGTAAACTACGAAATTCTTCTCCTTTTAGTAGTAGAAAACTTGCTTTGAAAGCATTGGCACATAATAGTTAATACAAAAACTATAAATACGATGCAAACCTCCAACAACGATATAAAGCTCTGTATACACTTTGGGATGTAAGCATCGTCATATTATCAGCAATGAAATTCTCACATTGCCTCATCTTAGTCATGTACTCTGTTGTTCATACAGTGACGTGATCCACTAAGCACCATCCAGGAATGCCATCTATATTTATGGTTATATAATAGTATATTTACTGTTGGTCCTGTATACAATCCGTTTATGATACCAATTGTTAAGGGACCTATGTAACTCCATGAAGAGACTCGAATATAGTTCTCCTATATAAGTGTGACATTTCTCATATAGTTGTCCCCTACGGTGTTACTAGCCGCATTTGAACGAAGTGTCTTGCTGAGCCATCGTCTATTGATACGGCTGCGACACTTCAATCTGAGTCGAGTCATCATAATACTCGATAAACAAAACAGAACGAGACAATACCCCACGACTAATCCATTCACTTCCACGGCATATTCATATCGTATTATTATCAATTTTATAGCATCATAGATTTAATTGGATGAATGAGATCTTTAATTAAGTCACATAAACGGTCTTCATCTTCGGAGATAAGACCTCATTCATTTACTTCTCCATCAGCAGTTGAAGAACAGTCATCCGCTACTAATGAGGTAACTGATACTAGTCGGTCATCTAAACCAGTCATATCGCCATTATCAACTCCAAACTTACAAAAACTTAGTTATTCCCAGTTCACCCCTCCTCCACCGCCACCTCCACCAGCACCTCCTCCTCCTCTTTCATCATCAAACCACAATCAATCAAGCATAAATGGTAGTAGTACTTATGAACGAGGATCATCTGCATCTGTGAGTTCAATTTCATCTCCAAAGAAGTTATTGACTCCTATAAAGAAACTCTTTTCATCCACAAGCTATAAGCATCATTCAGTACCGGTTTCTGGAGATTCTCTTGCTCAGATAACCTCGTCATCGGGTCGTAGGTCTTCAAGGATTCGAAAAAGTGGTGGTGGTGGAGGTACAACTCCTTCCTCCTATGTTTCCCTTACAAAGCTAGCGGAACAGAGTGCAAATGTTCCAATAGTTGCAACAAAATTAGAGATGACTGATAATTCAGGTCAATCCTTAAGTACTCCTATAAAGCTTATGTCCGAGCCTCATTTGCAAGCTTCATATGATAGTGGTGATGAACTGATAACCATGTCAAGTAACGCACCATCGTTTGTTAAAGGAGAAGAACACTTCAAACGAGTGAATATAAAGGACGATAATAATAATCCCAAAACTCCTAATCTTTCTTCTGATGTTCTGAATGACGTAACTCCAATCATTGATTTATCTGTTGAAAAGTTTACAAGGTTTGAAATTAATAACAATCAACTAAAAGACAAAGATGACGATGATAATCATTTAAGATTTTATAGTTCGGATGAATCTTCTAGTTCGTCCCAATTTTCGTTTGTCAAAGACATGAAAGGTGGTAGAAATACAAGCATCAAATATTACAAGACGGGCACTCCTAGCCAAAATCTGGAGAAGATATTCTCCAATGCAACCAATGTCTTTGATACTGAGCAATTGGGTAATGATATGGATGGTATGTCTGATTATGATTATGATAATAATGGTGAAGACGAAGATTATGATGATTATGAGGATACTGGAAGATATAATAATCTTTTTGGAGATGATGATTTTGAAGATAACCATGCATATGTTGATGATCTTGAAGAGGTCAATTTGCCAAATCCAGAATTAGATGACATGCAACTAGAATCAAGATGTTTTGACGACGACGTTCAATCAGGCTCATTTTATTCTTCTAGAAATGATAATGAAAATATTACCACTCCTACACTGTTCATTATAGATTCTAGTTATTTGAACCGGATAAACAGCATTTCACTTATGAAGACACAATCTACAAGACCCTATCATAGATCTTACCATATGTCAATCAATGGCATAGACAAACTTGATTCATTAGATTCTGTTAAGGTGGAGCTGGCAGGTCCATTCCATCAGGAATTACTTAAAAGCTCTGATGATATATTAGAAAACTATTTAGAGATTCACCTGAAATCAGAGTCTCCTCCGGCATGTGATGATGAAATTCACCAAAGTGAAAGTGTTGTACTTGAAAGCAGTGATGAAACAAATACAAATAGCACCAACGATATGATTGTGAATACACCAGACATGGCCAGCGTGGATTGTTTAGGACTCTTTGATATTAGTTCTCCAATGGTTAATGGCATAACTGTGGGAGCAAATTTGCGTCATCGGTTCCCCAAAAATGATTCAGAGGATAATTTTAATCTGAATAGATCATTTATTAATAGAGAACGAATTCTGCCTGAAGGAAAGTTTGAGAAACTTGACTTTGAAATCGAAGCATCATCAAAGCATAGTCTTATTGTTCCAAGAAATGAAAGGGAAGTTCTCAAATTACGTTCTGTCAAGAGTTTCCATAGTTCTATCAGTGATACTATGGAATTGAGAATTCAAGAGAAGCTCAAAAGTTTGGAATCATATCTGTCAACCAATGAAGTTCCACCGCTGCATGCATTTCAACCTCATAATCCTGAAGTCGGGCTTGGGTTGGTATACAGTCCTCCCAGTACCTCAGTAGAGGACATTGCTGTTAAACCCTTGATGGAGTCGAACCTGCAACGCAAACTGGAAGACAACATTGAGTTAGATCCTATAAGCCAACGTGGAGAGAAAAGGAAGTCTTTGAGAGATTCAGTATTAAGCATGATGGATTTATTAGGGAACCTTGAGAAGCGATTTTCAAATCCAAATAGTGATGCTGCTGTTGGAGCTTTCAGTAATAATGATACTTCTAATGTTGCAGATACTGGTGTTTCAAGTCAGCATTTGTCTATTACTAATATGATGAACATATTAGCAGATTTGGAGAAGAACCAGAAGGAAATTGTTGAGGAGAGAGATAAAGAATTGAAAGAAGCGAAAGCAAATCGTGATTCTATACTTGGTATGATGTCTACATTAGCCAAATTGGAGTCTGACACTCCAGATATTTCCCCTGCAGAGAAGAAGAGAGATTCCATTAATAAGATGATGGCAACGTTAGCAACATTAACCGTACTGCTGACAGCAGAATCGAGACCAAGAAGGAAGAGCTCAGAGAAAAGAGATTCCAAGGCAATTAGAAGCTATCTAGCCAGCATGAAGAAAACTATGAAACCTCGATATTCATGGTTTGATAATGATGAATCAGTTCAATTCAAGTTTAAGGAAAATACTGTTGTTCCACCACCTATACCTGAAGTGTCCAAAGCTCAACGGTATTCCTTTGGAGAAAGTCTGGTTACTGAAGCTTCCAATCCCATTTTATATGATGATCTTTTAGATGAAGTTAACAAGCTTCCTGAAGATTTTGATTTTGATGAATATGAACTTTCAATTGAACGGATCAAATCTCAAAAGTTGAATCAACCAGAATTCTTTCGATCCAATTCTTATAATAAGAAACCCGTCAAGTCGCTAATAGGGCAGAACTTTGCATCCAATAAGATTGAGACTTTAAATAAAACAGTTACTTTCTACAATAAGCACGTGGGAAATAATAATTTGGAAGTAACATTAAACGAAAGTCTAAGCAGAGGACCTTCTATTAGATCAGTGAATTCATTTGCTTCAGTTAATGAAGAGGATGAAGGTGAATCATCTTTGGAATATGAATCTCAACAATCAAGTTACTATAATGATTATCCCAAGAAGAATTTGACTACTATTACTGAAAGCCCTAATATTCGTTAGCCGGATTAATAAATTTAATTACTATAGTTTTATATAATGGTTCTTCCCTTCATGAAACTTTTAAAGTCGTACTTCTCTTTGGAGGTGTAATCGAAATAGTTTGACTCCAAACTATTGGGTTGCATTTTCTTCGTCATGTTTAAAGGTTTTTTCTTTGGGGTGGATAGTGAAACTCCATCTTTTGTAAGTACTGGAGAGGTGGATATAGGACTGTGTCTGGCGGAGATATGACTATTGGCGGAGATCGGACTATTGGAGTTAAGCTTGTCGGAGATCGGACTGGGACTGACTGAGATAGGACTGCCCATTTTACTTTCCAGTAATCTATTCTCAGGTAACTTGATTCTTGAGGATTTGTAGGCCACGCTGACTCTGGAACTGTTGGAACTTGTTGTAGAAGATGAAGAAGAAGGTGCTTTCTGTAGTGTCTTTGTTTTTGATGATGTTTTAGGTTGTTGTCCGACATTTTTCAAGTTGATGGCTGTCTCTACCTTATCTTTCCGCTTAACACATAATCTCTGAGAAGAACTAACAGAGTTTGTAAATGATGCAAGTGATGATGTTTCAAAGTCTCCTTGATATTGTGATGAACCTGCTGCAAAGTTGAAGTGTCTGTATTTTGAATACAAGCTCTCCAATTCGTCCTTATTTGTTGCTGGTCCATCATCTTCATCAACAAGTACCACTTCCACAAGCTTCCCGTCCTTAGTTCTCTCGGTGACAGACTTGTATGACAAAATGGAATCGTTTCTTTGTATATGAGTGACATTGTATCTTTCCTTGGTCAAATCAATGACAACACTTTCAGCATCATCGTCTTGAGTAGTGTAAGATGATGCTGTTCCCTTGTAACTTCTACTACTCTGATAACTGGATATAGAAGTAACCCCATTGTTCAGACGGTTCCCCTCATTCAAAGAAGGTGGCTGTAAATTCTTGGTAGTTGTGATTGGTCTCTTGTGAGGTTGCTCGGTGATAAAGTTGGCATAGATTTCCATCACAGATGGACCCGAAGACATTTTATTCGAGTGGAACTCGTCACCTTCCATACTTAGCTCTTTGAAATCGACATCATATTCAACCTTTTTAGGTGGCTCGGCAACTATTATGGGCAATTCCTTTGGGGTAGATATTGTCCTTGATGGTGGACTTATTTCTTTCTCGGATTCAACACTTTTAATAGTGGTAGATTCAACATCTTTAGTGGAAGAAGGTGTACATGGTGGAGCAAGACTATCTGAAATTCCCAGCGATTCTTTGGAAATTAATTCTGCTTTAGGACTGAGATACAAATCATTAAAGTCGTTGCTAATGTTGAACACTGACCGACTCCTTTGGTGTCGAGCTGGAGACATTGATTGTCTTCTTTGAGCTGCTGAAGGTGTTAAGCTTGTAGTTAGTTGATTTAGTAATGGAGCAGATTCAGACTTTCCCATTGGTGATCTTTGATTCTTCAATTCAGCATGACAATAATCGTAATCATAATCTAATTGGGTTTGAGAATCTGAATCAGGAGCTAAATTAAGTTTGAGTTCTTTAGTGGTTTCATCGCCTTCACTTTCAGAATCTTCAATAGCCTCTTCTTCTGAATTACTCAAGGATAACTCTGCGATGTTAGGTATTTCAATTTGGCCAGTAGTTGACATAAAACTCTTTCTCAGTTTGTGCTTTGCTTCAAACCCATCAGACCTTTTCTTTACCTGCTCATCGTTTGTTGCGTTCGTCAAGTTGTTAGGAAAATAGAACGATCTTCCTACCCCTTCGTTGTCACTAATCAATGATTTGTCTATGGTGACAGCAGCTTGTTTGTTTTCCTCATTATCAGATGGTGACATTGCTGTCTTGATCAGTTTCCGTATGGTAAGAGGCTCAATGGTAGTCAGAGTACTAGGACTCTGTTCCTGATCATCGTTTATTACCTTTTCTTCAGTAGATTTGGTGGTTGGCTCATCACTGGCAATTTTCAATATCAAAGTCTCATCATTGATATCATCCAAATAGTTGCTCTGTTCCTCAGAACTTGCATCTTCCCATGATCCATAGTCGATTGAAATTTCAGATTGTCCAGATTCATTTCTAGTGATATTTATATCCTTTTGAGATAATTCTGCAATGCTAATTTCAATTGACCTTTGTAAGGAGTTCCAAGATGACGTGCTCAATGCTTCAGATCCTGAAGACATTCCGTTTGAAGACGTTGTGGTGGACGTCGACTGGCCACTTACATTCCTCGTGTTGTCTGACATCTTAATGGGCACCAGAAGCTTTTTCTTGATGTATTGTTCATATTCTTCTCTTGCTTGCTTGTCATTATCAATCTCTTGAGCATTCTTGGCCTGTTCTCTCAACTCTAATATGGTTCTATACCGGATGTACTCTTCTTGCATATCACTTAAGGTGTTATTGAGCTCTGAGACTGTTGAAGATGAAGAATTACTAATCTTTCTATCACTATTTTCAACAAATGGTGATGGTAAGAACTTTATGTATTCTAAATGTTTCAAGTCTTTGTTGGAATGCGGTATGTCCGGAGCATATGAAAGTGAGGGAGGATTATGATTATTGCTATTAGAGTTCGGATCTAAAGTATGGAATGGATTCAACAATTGACTTTTGTTATTACTATTATTATTTTCAATAGATTTTCTTTCAGTAACTGTAGCAAGTGTTAATTCTGTTGTAGTAGCCTTAACTGGTTGCGGCTGAACTAAAAGCTTTAACTTTGCAATGTCAGAGGGTATTTCTTTAGCTATATCCTTCGGAGGAACAGGTGGAGGAAAGTCTCTAATACTTGATTGACGTGAACTGCCATTAACAGATACTTCTTCTATAATGCTTAAATTATCTTTGATTGGAACATTAACTTTTGATTTTGAAATTGCAAATTTAGTTGGTCTTTTAGGTAACGGAGTTAATCTCGAACTCCTGGGTGAACAACCTGAAGAACTTTGGCAAAGTTCATCATTTGCATCTGAATCATCAAGCATCTCATATTTTTGACCAGTGTATACCAAACGAGTACGTTTTGACGTTTGGGCAGATAATGGACTTGGAGGCTCGGACGGAATTGGAGTACGAGGTCCACCTCCACCGCCTTTTGATAAGTTCTTAGGACTTAACTTTGGTGGAAGTTGTAATGTGAACGGAATTGGAATAACATATTTCTCATTTGTTGATACATGAAGTCTTTTGGAGATTGGAGATTTGGATAGCTGTTTTAATTGGTCAGCTGACAAATGTGATGTGGTTTTGGAAGATATAGAATGGATATCCAGTGAATCAACTAAACTACCATTACTTCCACCACTACCTCTTAAGGGTGTTGTATATATTTGGTGCAAGGGCATTTGTTTACGGGTTTTCACTGGAGACGTTGATCTTGCCCTCCTTTCCACGTGATATTGTTTTGAAGGAAGTACCAAGTCATCCATTGAATGATTTGGAGTTCTTAGCAGCATCACTTTTTCACAACAGTATTCTTAATTCTTGATGGTTTCACCATAAGAAAACTTTTTTTATTTTATTAGAAACGTTCCTAATTGTAGCCAACGCATAATGGGTCATTATATGGGAGGGCTCACATTTAAGCTGTGGCGCCTACAAGGCTTGAAAGAAGTGGGCATAAAGTAAATTCAAGGTGGTTTGTTTATAGTCTAACCTAATTAGGTAAGATTGATCTAGTGTACCAATTGCGTAAATTATATACAGTGTATGTTCGAATTGTTTAGGCTAGTAAACTATAACCGAACGACTTTGTACAATCACAGCACAAGTTTAAGCCCATTTCTCCATCTTAGTGCACATGTCTGCAGCAGAGGTCTGCTGTAGATGTCTTTATAATTTTTACTATAATAAGAATCATGATATTTAATACAAGTTTTGGCCCGAAGTGACACTGATCGTGCTATTACCAATTGAATAGCAAATATCATGGTACGATAAGCTACACTCTTTTCGTACAGCCTTATACTGTTATACCTGGCTAAGTACACTACTGTTGTTTGATTTCATTTTGTGTTGCACGCACGACTTGTTTGGCTGCAACCGAATGCTAGCATAAACTTTATTTCATTAGATTTATTTGTAAGCGCTTAAGACTTTCCTTGGAGTACATTTGTGTTCATTCAAGCTATCCTTAATATAAGCAATAAGTACCTATTACTCGGTTAAGCTTTACAACCTACACGCCTCCCATGTCTAAGGATATTTTTTCTTCCACGTTCACTGACGTTATTGATCATGAGGGACAATGGGAACTCAATGTTAACATCGGCAAAGAATGTATTCAAGGTGGTAATAGTTTAAACTCCCAAAGTTATGATATCAGTAGTACTTCTACGTTAGGTACTATTGAACAAGAGCCACCTGAAGATATACCCTTGCACGTCGATGGGTTGAACATGAATGGGTTTCAGATTGTTGATATGGCTGCGAATACATACAGTTCAAACTATAAAGTGGGATTGCAATATTTACCTACACAAAGGGAAGAAATGGCAAGAGTCAAAGGAGGTAAATTCAATATCATGGTTGCTGGAAGACAGGGAAGTGGTAAAACAACGTTTTTAAATTCTCTTTTCAAAACAAATTTACAATTACATACATCACCAAAACAAACATTTAACATTTGTTTAAAAAAGTATAACTTTGTTGAAGAATCTGTGAATTTGGAAGTAACTTGTATCGATACTCCAGGGTTTGGTGATTCTTTGGATAACAGATATTGTTGGATGCATTTGGTCAATTTCATCGATAATCAATTTGAATCTTACTTACACCAAATGGAGCAACCCCATCGAATGAAAGCAAACGACATAAGAGTTCACTGTTGTATCTATTTCCTTAGTAATGCCACTTTAAATTCACCATTGTCTCCATTGGATATCGAATCTATGAAAGAACTTTCTAAACGAGTCAACTTACTCCCGGTGATCTCAAAAGCCGATCTGTATACAGAAGACGAACTAAACCTTCTCAAACAGAAAGTAAGAGAGAGTATAATCAAGGAGGAAATAAGCGTTTGCGAATTTGTTGAAGACCACTTGGTGAAGAAATGCATTCTTTCAATGACACCCCATGCAATCATTGGTGCAAACCATGAAAAAAAGTTACCTGATGGTGACTCAATACTTCTTAGAAAGTATCCTTGGGGTCAAATTGAAATTGAAAATAAAAGTCATTGTGATTTTGCAGCCTTACGAGACGTTTTGATATCCCAAAATATGCTTGAATTAATCCAATCAACGGAAGCCAATTATTATTTATTCCGCGCTTCATATTTAACCAAAAGATTTGAAAGGGCGGTATCCTTACTGACAAAGTTTCTGAAGAAACATTCAGATAACGGCTTAGTTCAATTTGTGGTTTACAATCAATCTAAGCCTACAGCAATTGGGGAAACTGTTGAGGAAACCGATCTTTTCAAGGCCCAACAACTTGAACTCCAAAGAAAATTCAATTCAGACATCCAATTACAAGAAAGTCGTTTTAAAGATTGGAAACGACAATTGACAGAAAGACAATCGGTATTGAACAGCGATCTTGAAAATTGTCATTTCCAATTAATGAAACTACAACAACAGGTTAAACGTATGGAGGAGGAAAACGAGCTAGCGTACAATACACCTGTCTCTAAGGGTGCAGGACTAATATTAGCAGGTTTCTCAGAACGTCCTCCATCTTCACGTTCTCCTCAACTTTCTGTGAGCAGTGAAGATGATTATTATGATAATGAAATGAGTTGAATCAATTTTTAGTTGAGTTGATTATTTGTACGTGTGCAACACAACTTTCATCATTGGGTAAAAATTTTCGCGCATATTTAACAAGAAGAAATTTCACAAGTTGTTCTTATTCCGTTCATATCACTTCTTCTTTATTAACTTGACTCAAGTTAAGTTACCCGTTTGATATAATTGTATGTTAATACCTTATTAAAGTAGTAGTGTGGTGATTTAGATTGTGGTTTGCATGATGAATTTTTTAATCTATATGTTTTTTCTGGCATCTCTAATGTTAGGTTCAAGGGGGACCTTGATTCCAATGAATACAACCTTGACTAATTATCTGATATGCATTTCATTTCCTCAATATTGATTGACACCACGTGGCTTATGAATTCTTGTTCTTTAATACTAACTTGAGCAATAGAAAAAGGTTTATTCTGCCAGTTTTCTGCGATGTCTCGTTCTAATTCTCTGTAGTTGTAACAATACCGTAGTTATTCCACGAGGAGGGAGATTTTAAATTCTCAAAGTTTAATTTACAAAGAGGTAGGAGAGACATCTACGGTTCGACCATTTTTCCCTTGAATGTCTCTATTTGGGTGAAATTTACCTCTTTTCGAGGTAAACCATGGTCGTTGTTTAGAAAGAGAACTCGATAATCATAGACAACCCAAAAGTAGTGTCATCTAGAAATCGAATGTGTCTACGTACTGTGGTATGAGGTTGAAACTAGTTTACTGCTTCAAAGAGACCCAATTAGTCAATAAGTAGAACTTCCTTTTTTCTTTTGCACCCAAGAACATACAACGTACTCTTTATACAAATTACCAGTAACAACTTTTACACTCACACTTTAAAGCTTGGACTATAGTTTTCATACCTGATTTAAACAATATAGGATGAACTTTATATGGATGCCTAAGAACGTTTTGGTTCCATATAAAGCAAGTAGTTTGAAGCTGCTCATGATGAATTAGCCCATTGCACTTTCTGAAAATAAAATTATGCGATCTAAAAATTGTTCAGAGATAAAACCCATTACAAACTTTCCAAGAGTGGTGAATCATATCATATGATTGGAATAATGGATAGTGAACCCAATGATGTGAAACATGCAGAACAGCTCAAGGAGGCAGAATTACCTAATGATACTCTAGTACATTCCAATGATGAGTTAGTAGAGTTTGAGATGGCTAATGCAAAACCAGTTCAATCGTATCAACAACCTATTAGAATGGTCAATTTGATTCTTGACCATATGGCATTCGTACAAGGCTTGGGGAATCTAAAGAGGTGGTTTAACAAAGAATATGTGGAACAAAACATTAAGGGGTCTGAAAAGGTGGGCCTTAATATTTTTATTCCTTCTTATACATTGCATGAGTTTGATTTCATTAAGAAGGGCAATACTATGAGAGCTACCAATGCAAGACAAGCAATTAAGTTTCTTGATCAATGTTTTGAATTAGAAGAGAAGAATGCCATGAACGAAGATTTAAATGAAGAAAATGAACCTATTCATTACCATATTTCATTAGAACAAGGACGTGAATGTGGACCATCATTTCATGAATGTTTAAAGTATAAGTTGTATTCACCTAAAATTGGTGATTTCCCCAATTACAAAACCAAGTTTGATAATAATTTAATTGGACAAAAGACTTCTTCTGGATATGATGAAAAGGATTTTGATTTACGTCAGGGTTCTAATCCTAGTCAAACTAATGACATTCAGTATGAAAACTCCGCTTCATACCAAAATGCCGCTTCTAATGCTGATAAATTAGCAGAGATGCCCACTAGATTGAAATACTTAATCAGAGCTACTATTTATAAACGATTTTATGAGAAGAATAATTTCCGTTCACCTTTAGAAAATTGGAAACTTGTTACTGAAGACCCAATCACCAAGACTTGGGCTAAAAGTTTTGGCATTGATTGTTTAAATGTCAATGAAGCTGAATTACTTTTATTTCAAAACTATGATGTTAATAGTTTTTCATTGTACCAACCACAAAAGAGTTTTACCATTGATAATGAACAGTTTGATATTTCAAAGGAAATTCTACAAAATACAGTGGATACTTCAAAATACCAATACGTAAAATTGGACCTTGCAAGCAAGAACGAAACCAACATGAAACTGAAGCTTGCCTGGAAAACCAAAAGCAAACCTGGCAATAAATCAAAACCCAACAATAAACAACCTGCCAAGCCAAAGGAAAATATTAATGGAATTATTTCAGAAAATGATGTTGGAGCTAATGGTGAAATCATCAAGAGAGAAAGGTATGATGCCATCAACTACGCTCCCAGAGGTAAAGGTAAGTTATGGCATCCATAAGTACTTTCTAGTACTTACCAAAATGGCCAACTTATTATTCGTGTGTTTGAGAGATACTTTTGTAGGGGGATTTGGTACTATATATTTTACTAATTATCCCTTATGAAAGAATATCATTTACTTGACAATGCTACTCATTTTTCACATCAGAATAGTTTATTCCTGAGTGAAAGAAGACGTTTGCAACCTAGTGAGAACTCGCACACAAATACGTACTCATACAGTTCAAGCCGAGCACGTTTATATAGGTAGTCTTTGATAGCCACTAATAGTCGTAAACTCAAGCTACATACGTGCTTACTTTTCCAAGTATTGTTCTTTTTAGTGTAACTTGTTTTATACGGCCCCAAGTTCTCCTGCACACGACCAATTTACGTGGAAAAAAGTTCCCTGGTCAAAAGTCTAGAGAAAACATAATGAAAATAACAAGATTGACCGTGTCACGATTGTGGTATTTATTTTAGCAGCCGATCCATTTACGAGAACCAGTTTGGGTTATTAAGGGCTCAATTTATTAGAGCATTTACTTAGTCAGTCTACTGTATAGGATGAATAGACAATTTCAAAAGGAGGAGATACAGAAATATGTTCAGAGGTGGCAGCAGTTACGGGAGGAACATGGAGACCAAGCAGTCAATGTGCCCGAGTTTGCTCAGTTGACCAAAGTGATTAAATATATACAGTTCCAATCACAACAACAACAACAACAACAACAGCAGCAGCAGCAGCCACAACAGCAACAACAACAACGCGGTATGAACCCCAATCAAGGTGGGGGAGCCATGAGACCTGGCCAAGGTAATGGAAATCAAATGTTTAACGGTCTGCAACATGATGCCGATCAACAGATGAGAAGAGGGCCAACGAATCAGGACCAGTTCCAACAACAGATGCAACGTAAGCTTCAGCAGCAGCAGCAGCAGCAGCAACAACAACAACAACAACAACAACAATTTCAAAATAGGCCGTTCCAAGCTGATAATGGAGGTCAACAAATGAATACAATTGGAACTCCCGGTCGATCTCTTCCTCCTGGACAAGTGAATCCAAATAGACAAATGCAATTTGGAGGAGTTAATGGCATGGATTCTCAAGGTACCACGTCCAGAAACCCCATGATGACGAAGCCAAACCCCAATACCAATGGCTCAAATACACCTGTTCTTAAGGGTCCTTATTCTAATCAGACGCCCAATCAGAATTTGATGCAACAGAACCCTAGGGGCCAAACAAAGGGTGGTGAATCTCCATTTACAGATGCACAAGGTCAATTATTTAAAGCTCAACTTCAGGGACTTAAACATATATTAAACAAGGGACCAGCAACTGGAAGTGCGTTACCACAAGAAATGTCTGACTTCATTACAAATGAGCAAAGTGTATTCATTCCAAACGGTGCTTATATACCCACATTTGGCAGTCAACAACCTCCTCCACAAGTCCTGAACGCCCCACAGGTTCCAATCCAACAACAGCAACAACAACAACAACAACAACAACAACAACAACAACAACAGCAGCAGCCACCACAGCATAGACAACAACAACAACCACAACCATCATCGCAACAATTTGGTATGCAACAACAACATCCTATGCAACCAAGTCCCCAAGTTCCTAAAGTACCAACAAATATACCTATGAACCGAAATTCTTCCCAACCTTACCCACAGGGTCTTTCTCAGCAAATACAGCAAAATGAAAACAACAACTTGACTCCAATAACTGCGGTTCAACAAGCAAACCCAATTCAACAGGGCCAAATACCTGTGCAAATGTCTAATCGTTCTCTGCAACCCTCACACTCCCCTAGTGATAGACCTGCTGAAACTGTTGAAAGTACTAAGGAAGGGTTTCAACCTGTTCTCCTTCCTCCTAAACCCCCAGTTAACATTAAGGAATTGGTTCCTGAACACAGAAATGATGTCATCCTTTTGCCAGTAAACAAACCAAATGTTCATGTGGATGCATTTGAAGTTCCAACAATTTGTGACCAGGATACTCCAGAAATTCCTTACAACGCCATTTACAGCAGTGGTAATAGAATCAACTTCCCAAGTGTCCAACCAAATGGTATAGATATGGACGATGTTTACACCAACAAAGAAGTATTAATGACATTACAGATTCACCAGGAAATCCAAGCATTAGAAGAGACCATAAGGAGACTTGGTGACGAAGATCCTATTGAAAAGGAGAAGGCTACATTGAGATTAGCCAGACTCAAACTCTTGCCTTATCAAAAGGAAATTAGAGGTAAGCTACTTTCACACTTTTGGTTTGGTCGCTCTCTATTGCCAAACTCCCATCCAAATTTTTTGGCTATATTCAGCACTTTATCTCTTGACAATGTGAACGCCACTCATGAAGTCTATAAGCATCAACTTCACACCTTGATTCAAGCTCAGAACCAAAAGCACAGAATTACAATAGATCGTATATTGTCATGCAGAGATAGGAAAATATCGAAGATGAATGCAAGGTCTGACAGATTAGATAGATTGTCGTCGAAAATCAGTAGTTTCCATAACCAGACAGCTAAAGAAGAGCAGAAGAAGATTGAGAAAATGGCCAAACAACGTTTGCAAGCTTTGAAGCTGAACGATGAAGAAGCATATTTGAAATTGTTAGATCATACTAAGGATACTAGAATTACACATTTGTTGAAGCAAACAAATCAATTCTTGGACTCATTGGCTCATGCTGTTCAATCACAACAAAAGGAAACTCATACAAAGGTTGTTCAAAGTGGAAGATCAGACGGTGATGAAGAGATCACGGAGGAATCAAGAGAGAAATTGGATTACTACAGTGTTGCCCATCGTATTCAGGAAGAAGTTACGAAACAACCATCTATTTTAATTGGTGGTACTTTGAAGGAATATCAAATAAAGGGTTTGCAATGGATGGTCTCTTTGTTTAATAATCATTTGAACGGTATTTTGGCAGATGAAATGGGATTGGGGAAGACCATTCAAACGCTTTCCTTATTGACATATTTAGTGGAAGTGAAGAAAATTCCAGGTCCATTTTTGGTTATTGTCCCTTTGTCTACATTAACCAATTGGAACTTGGAATTTGAGAAATGGGCCCCCTCAGTGAAGAAGATTTCTTACAAGGGAACTCCAAATCAACGTAAAGTATTACAAGCAGACATTAGAAGTGGTAATTTCCAAATTTTGTTGACAACATATGAATACGTTATCAAAGATAAAGCACTTCTTTCAAAAATTAGATGGGTTCATATGATTATTGATGAAGGTCATCGTATGAAGAATGCGAACTCAAAGTTGTCAGAGACTTTGACTCATCATTACCATAGTGATTACAGATTGATTCTTACTGGTACACCACTTCAAAATAATTTGCCAGAATTATGGGCATTGTTGAATTTCGTGTTACCCAAAATTTTCAATTCCGTCAAGTCATTTGATGAGTGGTTTAATACCCCGTTTGCTAATACTGGTGGACAAGATAAGATTGAATTAAGTGAAGAAGAAACTTTATTGGTTATCCGAAGATTGCATAAAGTTTTGAGACCATTCTTGTTGAGAAGATTGAAGAAAGATGTGGAAAAGGACTTACCCAACAAAGTTGAAAAGGTTGTCAAATGTAAAATGTCTGCCCTTCAATCCAAGTTGTACCAACAAATGCTTAATTACAACATGTTATTTGCTGGTGACATGAAGACTGGTGGGCCTTCTCATATTAAGAATGCAAACAATCAAATCATGCAACTTCGTAAGATTTGTAATCACCCATTTGCATATGAAGAAGTGGAATCACTTATTAACCCTAACAGGGAAACAAATGATAATATCTGGAGAGTTTCTGGTAAATTGGAACTTTTGGAAAAGATTTTACCAAAGTTCAAGGCAACTGGACACAGAGTATTAATGTTCTTTCAGATGACCACAATTATGGATATTATGGAGGATTTCTTAAGATTGCGTGGCATGAAATATATGAGATTAGATGGTGGTACCAAGTCCGATGAGAGAAATGATATGTTGAAATTATTCAATGCACCCAATTCAGACATCTTCTGCTTCCTTTTGTCAACTAGAGCTGGTGGTTTGGGGTTGAATCTTCAAACTGCTGATACTGTTATTATTTTTGACACTGATTGGAATCCACATCAAGATTTACAAGCTCAGGATAGAGCACATCGTATTGGCCAAAAGAATGAGGTTAGAATTTTAAGGTTGATTACTGATGACTCTGTTGAAGAAATGATTTTAGAACGTGCTCATGCTAAGCTTGATATTGATGGTAAGGTTATCCAGGCAGGTAAATTTGACAATAAGTCCACCTCAGAAGAACAAGAAGCGATGTTGAGGGCTTTGATTGAAAAGGAAGAAGAAAGGAGACAAAAGGGTTCCAACGAAGATGATGAAGAGTTAGATGATGATGAAATGAATCAAATTATTGCTAGAAATGATGACGAAATCGTTGTTTTCAGAAAGATGGATGAAGAGAGAATAGCTGCCATGAAGAAAGCTCCATATTCCACGAGATTATTCTCTGAAGATGAATTACCCGAAGTTTACAAAAAGGACCCAGAAACGTTTATCAAAAAGGATGAAGTCAATTCTGCAGATTATGGTAGAGGTGCTAGAGAAAGGAAGGTCACTACATATGATGATAATTTATCTGAAGAACAATGGTTAAAGCAAATTGATGGATATGTTAGTGAAGATAATTTTGAGGATCCAGATGTCAAGCCCAAACGTGGTAGAGGAAGACCTCGCGGAAGACCAAAGAAGGTTTTAAATGTTGTTGCTGCTCCAGAATCAGCCCCCGATGTCAATGATACACTTGATGAAGCATCTCAACAGGTTAAACGTGCTGGTGAAGAAAGAGAAGAAGATTTGAAGAGAGCCAAATCAGCCACTCCTACTATCGGTAGTAGCGTCACACGTCGTGCAATTGTTTCTCGTACCCGTGGTAGGGCCAAAGCACCTAGAGGAGGAGGACGTGGTAAACGGGGCAGGAGTCTTTTGACTAGAACAGTCCCCTCTGTGGATCCTTTACTGCCAGAAGAACGTACGCTTTTACAGGACAAAATGAACACCATTTTCAGTTTGGTAATGGATTATGAAAATGATGAAGGGCGGAGATTGAGTGATATGTTTTTGATCAAGCCATCAAGAAAGATGTATCCCGACTATTATGTTTTAATTAAGAATCCCATTGCCTTGGATACTTTGAAGAAGAGAATAAATAACAAGAGCTACACCAGTATGAGGGATTTCTTGGAGGATTTACATTTAATGTCAAGCAATGCTAAAATCTATAACGAAGAAGGATCCATAGTTTATCGAGATGCTGCTGTTCTTGAGAGTCTTGCATTAGACAAGTTCCGGGAACTCAGTTTCGACATAGGGATTGATGAAGTGAACAAGATTCTTGATTTCCAAGAGTTTGACCAATTACATAATCTCAAGCCTTTAGCAGCAGTGGGCAACTTGGCCATTAAGAAGCCTATTGATGTTGTGGTACTGAATAATATGGAAATTGAAGGCAGTGGACCTCCAACTGTTGATACCAATATGGAAGAAGATACAGATACCTTCAAAGGAGGATCCCGGGATGAAGAATCTGGAGTCGATTTGAATGCCTTAGACTCCGGTGTTCCTGATAGTGGCATAGATACCGGAATTGAAACCGGAGTTGATTTGATTGAAAACAGTCCCTTTGACATGTACACTGGACTTGGAGACTCTGACACACCATTTGACATGAACAACACCTGATGATAGAATAAGTATGTATAATTGTAATATCATAATGACTATACTATGGAACGTATTGTGGTAACTCTTCATCAACATGTTGATTATTTATAGCGTCGTTGATGACGGTATTAAAGATCAGAACAAAGTCAAACACGCCGCCATCGTTGAACTTGATATTTCCCTCATACCAACTATTAGGTAAAAAGCCACCACTTATACCTTGGGCTGAATAAAAGAGAAACTTCCAATAGTTTGCCCCAAACCACGGAGACACCAATTCATGACTAAACTGTAATTGTGAAGCCACAGCCAAATCCATCAGGAAAGTATCGATATCTCCCTTTGATCTGGTGATGTATATGAGTCTCAAGTTAGTTAAATAGATGTACCCATCCGAAGCTGTTATGGAGATATCTCTAGAGGATTGTTTTGTCAGTTTAATCCCCAAGTTTTGTCTATCCGTTCTGGAGAAGAACTTGACGGTTTCCCCCGTTGCTAGATCAAAGGGAAGAGCGTTTGCACTTCCTAGAAGATCTTGATATTTGTTCTTGAGGTTTACTCTGTTGATGGACATTGTGGTGGTTGGTGATAATGAGCATTGATAAAGCGCATTGACATTTGAGAAAATGCGATGACTTTATATAAAAGGCAAGTACACTGGAGTGGATTATATACTATTACGCTGCTACAGCTTTTACTGTTACACCCACTATGTCTGTTAGGTCACTAAATCCAGCACTATTGAGCCATTTTAATTCATATGGTCTTGTTAAGTTCACCCAAGGATTCAAAAATGTTATGCAACCGGTGATACTTCAAAAGATCATAGATAAACTAGACCTCAAGTCCAAATACCCGGAATCTTCGTCAATGGATATAATAGACATCTTCCCCGGGTACGGGATCTTTTCAAGCATGATCAACTATGAACTCAAACCTAAACATCATCTACTTATAGAGGGCAATAAAGATAGTGCCGCTATGTGGAAAGAACGAATTAGTCATTTAGAGAATAAATCGTTCAATTCTGAACACTTTGAAGTGGTTAATAAAAGTGGGTATTCCTGGACGACTTATGATGATTTAACTAAAGAGAAAATCATAAATCCCACATTTCAATCATTTGATAAACCTCATGATCAATTGCTTATAGTGGGGAATCTCACATCTAACTTTGGTGAATCTCTTTTCACCCAATGGGTCATGTGTTCCTACTATAGGAATTGGCTTCATAAATATGGGAAAGTAAGAATGCTTGTTTTGATACCTCAAGAATCTGCTAGTAAGTTCATCACCATGTCTGGTTACTCCAAAAGGAATAAATCTGCTTGCAAGTTAGAGATCCTTACAAATACCAAGTTAATTGCCATTACAGAACATAAAGATAGATCTAAACCTCAAGGGGCGTCTTATGACCCTCGAGTGTTAATCAGAGATCAACCTCTTATCCTACCTAATAGTAGTGTTATACCAAGTGGGGGGCAAGTAGCCTTGGTGGAAGTCGTACCCAAGAACATTCCAGAGCTAGACATGGCTCTATTGGAATACATCATTCAATTGTTCATGTATAAATCAACCATGCCTGTTGACTATATGCTTGAATATATATCTCCCGGTGCTCGAGAACAATTGGGCCCCAAGCTTCCTGCTCACTTGCGAACAAAACAAGTTAAACTATTGACGGGTGAAGATTACTTGGAGATTTACAATGTCTTCAACGCCTGGCCGTTTAAACCTACATTGCAAGAAACCATGGGGATTACCCTTGAAGATACCAGAGAATTATAGAATTAAGTAGTAACAAACTCGTGTACATATATAAACTATTGATCTATATCTTTGTTGATCTAATCTATATATTTTATCGGATCTCTTGCTGCCAGGTATTCCTTCTGATCGACCTCTCGTTTTCAGGTCCTATTCGAGCAGCACCTCCCAATACAGGCGCGGATCTAACCAGTATGAAGACTTCATTATTCCCACGAGTTGGTAAAGGTCTCAGAGTTTGCACCAGGTGAGTAAGTGGTGTAGCCATAGTTCTGGATGGACTTCCCTCTGAGGAATTAGAAACAACATTTAGTGCTGTTTCCAAAATATTACACTCCAAAGAGTCTGAATATTTGCTACTCGAAGGACTGGCTACGGGGAGTACAGATAACGCCAACTTCTCCTCGTTAACTTGTTTATCCTCTTCGTCATAGACACCCCTCCCATTGACTTTGTTCCGATAGAATGTGTAAACCATTCTGGATTTCACGTAGCATAGCGTCATAACAGTTCCTCCTATTACAAGTTCCAACACACCAACGAGATATTGAAGGAGATTATATTCAATAAATACAGGCTCATTGTGTAAGGAAGCAGTGATGATAAGGGTCAATACAAAGACCATTAATGTGAAACATGAGATCAAAGTCATAGAGAAGGTTAAGTAAACCATCTTATGATGATAATGAATAACATATGAAATCATAGTAGAAATAATCAACATCCATTCACTTATTTGAATCCCTAGGAAACAAATTTTAACAATGTAAATGTATTTGGGCCAGCTCCCAAGTCCCTTCAAGGACTCTGGGATCTCTGTGGATTGCAGTAGTGAGAATATGTATTCATTGATGAATGCTGCAGCGTTGGGTTCAATGGAGGGTGCGAAATGATACATGCTTCCCTCTTCAAGGACTCGGGAAAAGGTAAAGTATTCCATTGATGAATTGGAGTGGATTAACTGTTTCAGAATGACGTTCTTCGTTGCTTCTTGGTATACGACCAGGATCTTATCAGGAGACCATTCAATTGTGGGGACAATTGTTAAAGTTAACAGAGGGAGATTCTCACGTAAGGCTTGTTCTTCGTTTAGAAAGAACAGTTCTAATTGGTTCTTCAATTTGGTGTTAAGAACCACCCGATCATCATTTTGATTAACCAATACTGGCAAAATATCAATAGAGGGGAATTCATGTTTCAAAGTATTCAAGTATCCATAGTTTGCAATTGAACTCACTAATACTAGCAATATCACGGTCAACACCTGAGACATTTGGAAATGAACAACCTCACTTAATGTTGGTGTTGGTTCAAGATCTCTTTTATCATCTGAATCAACGTCCATCATTAATGTATTTATTTATTTATTTATTTATTTATTTATTTATTCATTTAACTAATTATTTATTTAATTGACGCCCATAACCATTGTATATTTTCTATACGAATGTGAGTATTTATATGTTTATTTTTCGCAGCCAAAAAGTTCTGTTGCTGTACGGGGACGTTAATCACGATCAGGTAAATTGGAGAATAACTCAACCAATTTGGTGCTATCAAAAGTATAATCATTTTTAGAACCAAAATAAGAAGCATTGGGTAAAATACGAAGTAAATTGGTTATATTCTTTCCTATAGGGTTGTACTGTTCCACGTCATCAATATGATCATCATACGTAGTACTACCATTACCATTTGATGAGAACCCTTGGTGTCCCCCCAAATTAACGTTACTCATGATATTATTAGTATTACCACCATTTGAGCCTTTATTAGATCTTTGCTTCTTTTTAGGGCGTTTATCATCATCGTCATCTTCATATTCATCGTTCTCTCTTTCTCGTACCCCAAGGTCCATTTCTTTAATTAAGTCTCTCAGTCCAAGAAGATACCGATTAGTAAATAAATCTATGGCATCATCTTCGGGGAAAAGAGTTTCATATTTGGAAATAAGAGTTTTCGCCAAATCAAGAGAAAGATATGAAAAGGCATAATCTATATAGCACTTGAAGATTTTCCGAAGTTGAGTTTTTAAAAGTTCAATTTTCCTAGTTATTTTCCCCTTCTCATATTCATTAAGCGAAGGTTTATCTCTTTCCTCGTTAAGTAAACTGATTTCTTTCAGAATATTGGTATCTGAAGTTTGTACAAGGTTTCTGATATTATCAACATCACAATGAGAAATTAAATACTTCAAATTTTGTAATAAGAAATCTCCATTAGTACCAAAAAGTCTTAAACCAAGCTCAAAAACCTTTTGCGCGGTTCTCTTATTACCAGAATAATGTTCCAATAATGCAGATTGAACATATAATTCATGTCCAACAGTAGTATCTTGTCTAGCCTCTTTGAATATCATACGCCATTTATTTAATTCTTGTATTCTTTTGGATGCCAACATTAGCTTAATATAAACTAATGTTTTCGATTTGATGATGTCTTGAGCTTGGGTTTCTAGTTTATCAAGTTCTTGCGTTTGACTTTGAGAATATTGTGATACAGTTTGCTGTTGAGGTGTTTCTGAGTCATCAAGTGAACCAATATTGTTGTTGGTTTCTAAGGTACTCCTTGTGCCCTTGATAGTATCAATAGATTGATTCAAACGATCCAACTTTTGATTTAGACGTTGAACCAAATCTGTATATACGTTCTTTATTTCATTGAAACTATCTTCAGTTTCATTCCCACTAATTATAGTCTCCTTTTCTTTATTATTATTATTATTATTACTTGAATCACCAATATTATTCTCAAGTAATTCACCTAATTGAAATGTTAACAACAAACTCCTGGGACTTAATACTAAGCCATCTCTAATTATGTCGATACATTTACTTGAAGTTGCATCTTCATTTAAGCGAAATAAATAATTGCTATACTTAAACCACACCTCAGGAACAAATGGTAATGACATTGTACATTGTTGGTAGACATATTCTACTCGTTGAGATAATATCTTATCATCTTTGATTTCCAATTGATTCCCCTTTTCAAATTCAAGCCAACTCATCCATAAGGAAAGTTGATGTTGAACAACTTCATTATTAATATCTCCTGGGATAATTTCTCTAATTAATCGTCTTCCTGTTATGTTGTTCCATTCGGTATTCCACGATCTTGAGTTCATATAATCTGCAGAATTTTCAGATATAAATCTCCCAGCAGTAGTAGCATTGGTTTCATTTTCCCATCGAGAATATTGAGCCCATACCGTCTCAATATTCTTAGTGGGAATAGAGAAAAACTTCTTGTAAACTTTACGAATAAGGTCGGTCTTTTGTTGCTTTTCCCAGACAGTACCAGGAGTCCAACTCTTTAAGAAATCTAAATAGTCATTCCATAAATCACCAGAGTTCAAATCCATTCCAACCTCTGCAATAGATACATCAAACGCTCGAATGACAATCCCACGGGCATTTTCACCTCCAGTTATCACATCATTCACACGACGTACATAACTAACATATAATCTAAAAAGTTCAACAGTTTTGCATGTTTGTGAGCACATCAAGAATAGCTTTTCCACCTTATCAAATTGACTTCTGTTCAATTGATATTCAATCAAGTTACACCATTGTTTACCATCATACTTGAATATGGCCAAATATTTCTTGAATACTTGCTCAACTTGACTCTCCTTGTCTTTGGATACAACCAATTTGATCAACTTTTGCCATTTCGCATAGTCCAAAGGCTCCTCTTCAAGCTCTTCTTCTAGCTGTCCTATGACATCTAGTGATTTCAACTTGTCGCTAGCAGATGACGACATGAACAGATAGATGGATAGATGGATGGATGGATGGATGGATCTAGTTTAAGATGAAAAACGGATATATATTGGTGGACATATCCAAGTGATGGTTCAATTTGACTTCCATTTGGGTACCGAAAAAATCATCGCTATCACGTGACATACGAGTTCCTCACTAATTGTATAATGCGCCTGAAAAGACCTACCTAACACACCTGCTTACATTAGTATCACTAAATTGAAGCACTTCGAGCCCATGAAATTACATATATGGGGCCAGGGGATAGAGCCCTCTGTCATTAGTCCAGAATGCATTGCTTCAGCGTGGTTAATATGCCAAGTGTTGGATTCCACGGAGTTCCAGATAGTAACTTCAAATAACACTAACATTTCAGACATTGGTAAACTCCCAGTTCTTATAACAAAAGATGATGGTAAGCTCAATGGTTATGAAGATATAGCAAATTATTTACTTAAAGGTGATAACTTGAAAGGGAAAATTATAAAGGCAGAAGATCAAGTTTTAGATTTTACATTGATGCATTTTCTTCAAACACGCTTTGATGCTCTTAATAAGTATAATTTGTATGGGGATACAAAGAATTATGAAATTTATACAAGAAAACTATACCCCAAATTTTTGCCATTCCCAATGATATATAACCAACCTTCCAAACTTCATACTGAGGCGTTGGAACAAGCTCAACTTTTTGGACTTGGATCTAAGAGCCTGGGATTCTTAGGATTCTTGGGACTTGCCAAAACCTCAGATGAGATCATACCAGATACAGAGTATATTAATTCTTCGCAAGATAATGATGAAGAAGAAGAAGATTATGATCATGATGACGGAAAGGAACAGAAGCCCATAAGTTCCTTGCACGAAGCACAATTGATTCAGAAATCGAAGAAGAAGGCCTTATTAAAGGAAACAAGAACATCAATAAAATGCATGAATCTTTTAGGGAAGTACTTGGGTCAATTGACAATCTTATCCGAGAAAAATGAATTTAAATTTGGTACCTCAGAGCGTATAACCCCATCTGAGCTCCTATTCCTTGCCTATATGTATGCTCTTACATATGACGGGCTTCCAAACAGATTTCTTTTCCAATACTTGAGCACTCAAAAGAAACATATTTTGGATTCTGTTAAAGTACCAATACAAGATTTCCAAAAGAATATGGAATTTAGCACCTTTACACAACCAAGTTCCAGTGAGAGCCCTTCACTTTGGAATGAAATCCTATATCAATTCAATAAGTTAACCTATTAAGTTTATTTCCATGGCGTGTTACCCGGACACAGTTGAGAAATTATTCATTGAGCTGATTAGAAGGAAAATTTTCAGTACAATTATATTGAGTGTAATTGTTTTCTTTTATCAACCATTAATAAGTAATAAACATCATTATATAAGTCTTTTATTATTGTAGTCACATTTGTTTGTGTGGTTATTATTGGCAAATTAGCATAGTTTCATTCTATACTTGACACATGTATTTAATGATGGAATTTTTTCACTTGCCATATATGGAACTCTTGGTTCATACTTGTTGTGGCATCTTATAAGCTCCTATAGAGTTGTAAGTACTTTCCTGTCACCTTAAGCGAACCCACATATATAGTATTATACATTTATTTAATGTAGAAGCGATGTAATGGGGTCAAAATGCCAGTCACTCATTGGCTTCCCATGGGCTCTTCCTTCTTATTGTATGGCTATGTATGCAACAAATCGCGCACCACAATGAAATAAAATTGATCTCTGGAGTACATAATCAAAATTCACCGGCGTACTCCTCCCATCAAACCATAGCATCTTTTGTGTTGGGTTCATCTCGAACGAAAGGACGAACCACTGGAGTCAAGCTACTTGCATATATACAAGATGTTGTTGACGAAGTGTCTTGTGGCCATTGCGTTGGCTTTACAATCTGTTTCTGCTTCTACTGTTCTTGTAACAGAACAAAAGGAACCGACTGTAACACCCATGGCAGCAGTCAATAGTCTCGAGAAGAGAAAACAGAAGGATGTCATAATCAACAAGGAATATGCCAAACAACAAGAGGAACAGGCTAACAGAGAAGCTGGCATCTCCAATACGGAAGAAACTCCTACGCCTTGGGTTAGAACCATTTCTGAAACTATAAAAGTTGTTGTTACTCCAACGGTAATCGCGGGAGTGACTTTTGATGCTAAACCTCCTAAAACCACCAATGGATTGGAACCTTGGGTATCATTGAAAAAGGATGGTAGTCCTAAGACCATTAAACCTAAGAATAATGGTGGAGTCATTAAAAATGGGTATCCAACTTATGGAACTTATTTTGCTACTCCTACAACAATTACTCACAAGAAGGAAGACATCAAACAAGACGATTCAAATAAAGAAGAGGATTTCAGTGAGATCCAGTACATTGATGAAGATCCTACATATCATGAGTTGAATCCATTGATTAGATGTACTCCTAAGCTTTATTATAAGAAGGGTGCAGCTAAGAATGTTTTATCTGAACCCTTTTGTTTCCCTCACGATAACCAACGTTGGGTTTCTGGTAAGGAATATTTTGTTCTGTGGTATTCTAAATACTTTTCTGATGATGTTAAGAAGGTTAGACTTCATTTAAACTTTGTTAAAGAAAAGGCAAAGAATAGGGTTTTGAAAAGAGAAGATTCATTTGAGAATGACGATAATTCGGATTTTACTATTGAACTTGCAAAGCGTTCCAAGGTAATTGAACAAGGTGGTCGGATCCAAGGTGACTCGTTTTATTCTTCAGAATGGATTGATAATGTGAAGGGGTTCCATCATATTTATATTGATGAAGAATGGATGAGTAAATCTACTGATTTTTATAGAAAGGTATTGGTTTCTATCCAACCAGATAACGTTGAAGATGATGAGCATAACCATTACGAAAACTTTTTCGTTGTTCAAATGGCTAAGAAAGCACATGTTGGTAAGGGACATATGGAAGACTTAAAGGCTCTAGAAAAGAAATGGAGAGCTGAAGGTGTTGAGATTGAAGATGACGAAGATCATTTTGAAAAGTATTATGTTATGATGTTATTACCCACAATTGTTTGTGTGATAGCACTTGCCATGTATTTATTTGTTCAATTCAACAACAGAGATCTTGATCTTTCATTTTTACGGTCCAAACGGAAGAGAGCTGCTGGTTCCAAAACCACACATAAAATGCTTCATTTGAACTATCAAAAACACCCAGGTTCCAGTGCCTTACCACAATACAAATCAGATGTGGTCAAAAATGATTAACAACATAAGGAATCATAGTAAAGTATTTAGAATTATATTATCAAAAGCAACATTTTTCGCAGTAAGAATCAATATAACCATCAGGGTTTTTTGTGCACGAGGACTCGGCAAAGTTAAACCCATGAAATTTCAAATCAAATAAACTTAAGGAAAAGTTCATGTCAACACAGATAGAGCTTCTTCTTATTTGAGTGAGTGACTAAGTGATTCATACACGTTTATCTGTTGAAGGGTTTGTCAATCCATAAGTGAAAGATGATCAGTGAACTTTCGCAAGCATGGGGTCTTATCTCCTTAAACTCTATCCTTTGTATCTTGGGAACTTTGGTTCTCTTTTTAGATGATCTTTATCATCTATTGATGCCTCTGTTTATCACTAGAAGATACCCCTTTGAGATTAAGGAGAACTACAGCTTATTGAACGGGACCATGTCGTTCAGTAGTGGTTGCTTATTATTCACATCGCTTTATAAGCTACTTCCTGAAGCCATGGAATATTTCAAAATATCAAAGAATCCTACTACTCCTGATATTCAGCCAGACCAAATAAATGGAGAACAGAAAATGAACTTGTATCTTACTGCGTGTTATGCTATAGGGGTACTTATCTCTGTATCTTTCAATGCTATATTACATTTGATTACTAGTGAATCAGTAGTTCATTGTTCTCATGATGGTGGCGAAGATCCACATCAAAATTATGGTCATAGCCATAGCCATACAGCAGAAGAAAATCCAGATGTAAACGATGATAACACATTCTCCCATCGCAATTCAACTTCAAGCGAAAGCTACGATGCTATCCATCAAAAGGTTTCTGGAAAGAACGCTAACTCAAATGATTCTTCGGATAGAGCTGAAGATGCTACAGAGCAAACTCCACTTTTAGGGTCGGCGGAAAGTATTAATCGAGTTCCTCGGTCCAAAAAATCAATCATAGATATCCTTACTCATACCACTGGAGATGAAGAGCATCCTTTAGGTGAATGTAGAGGTTATTCTTCACCCGAAGTATGTTTATTGGGTAGTTGCAAAGGGAAGCTTCATTTCTGCGAGATCCCATTACTACAAGGTTCAAATCTGATTCATAATGATTCCATAATCTCTGATGAACACAATCCTCATCATCATACTTGTGTGTGTCATATATCTAGGGCTGATTCCAAGCCGCTTACAGACGGATATGATGTGGTACTGCCTGCCCCTGAACAAGAATTCATAATTCACCCGTATCATTCGCATAATTCAGATCATGTTCATCATAATCATGGTCATAATCATAATCATTTAGAGTCTGGGAGTATGGAAGCTCATGAAAATAGCCATCATCATCATACTACTTCACCCTTCTCCAAATTATTTTCTATTGGGATACAAACAGTTTTTGCTATTACTTTACATAAGTTGCCAGAAGGGTTTGTCACGTACATTACTTCGAAAACTAATCCTGAACTTGGAATTGTTATATTCTTAAGTTTAGCATTTCATAATTTTACTGAAGGGTTTGCTATGTCTATGCCACTATATTATGCCTTTGAAGCAAATAGTTCACGATTCACAGCCAAAGTTAAAGCTGCTACCATTAGTGGAGTTTTAGGAGCATTATCTCAGCCATTGGGGGCATTTATTGGCTTACTTTTCCTTAGAGCCAATAGTAGCATTGATTTCTCTAAACTTAACCTTGTTTTTGGAACTACATTAGCCATTACGAGTGGGTTCTTGACGGTTATTGCTCTTTCCATGTATGGAGCAGCAGTATCTTTTGGAGGAAATCTGGCATTTACCATGACTTGGGCTTTAGTAGGTATAATTACTATTGGTATATCCAGTGCTTTCGGTGCAGACTAAGTGTGTATGTGTGTGTAATGATCAATATATGCAAATAATAAGTGCTATCGTAGGCCGTTGGTTGTGGTGACCTTCAGTTGACATAGATCTTGGTGAATGCATATAACATCTAAAGTTGTGTATACACAAATGGAATGATCTGGTAGTAATTTTTGATGATTGCCGCAAGTCGGTTTACACACTAAGATTGTCAACAAATTATCTAATAATTTTTTTTGAGGGAACGACCCTCCATGGCAAAATTTATAGCGGTCAGAGTTAATTATCGTTAGTGATAAGACTACGATTATATAATAAAAAAGCGTTTAACAGAGGCCACCAAAGTTGAATAATAATATTACTACTCCTATATTAGTACTACTATCATTATTATAAGTACTACCATTATTATTAGTACCACCATTATTATAATTAGTACCACCATTATTATTATTATTAAGACCTCCATTATTACTGCTGTTATATGATAATATAGCATCAATATTTTATCAAACACTTTTACATAAATATCTATATTTAACTCCTATAAATGATGATGGCACATGAACTTCCTAGACCCATACATCAGACACCCAAGAAAGCAATAAAGCTGCGTCCTGTTGTCAACAAAACTGCGGAGGTTTTACCCAATGGCGAAGAACTAGTCTCTGGTAAGAAACCAAATAAGAAGATCAATAACAATTCTGAAAAGAGCTCAAGTAAAAAGAGTATTTCAAATGCAAATGCCACCCGATATTGTTTGCCTGATGGAAGTAAGCCCCAGTTCTTTAACGAGGATAAGAAGGAGAATCTTAAGAAGAAGAAGTCCGACAACACCAGTGTATTACCAAATGGTGAGAAACCAGATTTCGGTACTATAAGCAACAGGATGAAAGGGAAAAGGGAAAGGAATTTGCCTACTGCTTGCTTACCAAACGGTGAGAAACCCGATTTTGGAAATGGTTTAGAAAAGGATAAACTGTCATATAAGACAAGAAACAATAAGGATAGAGATCAACCCGAACGTTTATTACCAAATGGTACCAAAGTTGACTTTGGTAACAACTCAACAGATACTTTTATTTCTAGTAAGAAACTGTCCTCCAAAGACAAGAAGAAGTCATCGGCCCTGACATCGTTATCAGCTTCAGTTTCTGAAGAGTCATACGCTGGAGCGTCATTTCATTCTTCACCTTCAGCTTTGGCATTACCTAAACCTTCGTTTAAGACTCTGCCTAAGCAACCTACGGCCAATTCGATTAATGAATCATCTCCAGCTGGAGTTTCGACTATTCTTGCTTCTGGAGGTTCTATTCCTACCCAAGGTGGAACTGCTCCTCTAAGATACCCAGCTGCTGCTTATCCATTAGGAAGCGGGTTTCCTATGGTTCCTGTTCAAGCAGGTCGCCAACAACAACCCCAGGTGATGATGCTGGTTCATCCACCACCACCACCCCTTGCACCTTATATTCAACAAGGGTTTTCATATCAGGTTACACCTCAAGGATACATTCAATACCCTTTTATGATGGGACAACCACCTTCTGGTCCAGTCATGAACCAATCGCAGATGCAACTGCAACATGTTACCCCGGGTCAAATCCCCCCGGAACAACCAATTCCCCAACAAGTTTTTACTAGTCACTTTCAACCGGGAGTTTCTCCTCCAACAGGAGGTCGTCCTTTGCAACAGGGACATAAGATTAGCTTCAATGAGTTAATTGATTCATCAAAAAAATAAGATGACCTTTGTTATCTCATTTACTTATAGAGTTTGGTGAAGATGATTCCATTGATACACACCCTTTTTCTTTGTATTTATTATAGTTTCTATTTCTTATGATAACTACTGTGTTACAATTGTTGTTTTGCTTATTTTGTTTATTTTTTTACTTTTTGTTTTATTGTTAATTCTATGAAAGAATTACAAAGATTTGTTGATGGTTTATTTGAGATGGTAGGATATTTGTTTTTATTTCATTTAATTTGGTTGGACATTGATAATATTTGAACCAATGGGCGTTCTTAACATTTGATCTTGACTTTTGCATTAACATTTTGAGAGAAACCTTTGCTAAAGCTGAACGATTCTTTTACTAAAAAAGAATTGCTTTTATGCTATCCAGATTTATTCATACCACAAACAACAAGTCAGACTTGCTATGCAAATAACCATCCTATACGAGATGTATATTGCCTTCCAGTCAGCTTGACATTTGAGCGGTACAGTGTGCCTTTTGAATTTTCAGAATGAGCTGGAAATCATTCTATTTTCAGTGTTATTATCATAACTTTACAATGACAAACGTTGCAATGACAAACGTATACTGATCGGACCAGAAAGTCCTCTGACTAGTAATTCATCTATGCGACATGCAAAATGAATCGAACCAACTGACTCCCAACGAATTATTATGATATTATTATCATTTCTATTGTTACCATTATAAGCCATTGTTGAAGCCTACAATGTGGATAAATGACAGTAGTGCGATGACATGCGATCTCAACTGACTCTGAATGAGTTACTACTATTACTACTATTACGAAGCTCCATTATTACTATATTGAACTTTAAACATTATATGAGTATATTTACATACATATTTATACATGTATATGTATTACTCTCTACTGATATATATAGGTTATCAATTAAATCTAAAGCACTTATCTACTAGACGTAATCCATTTTCGTGTGTTGTTCCGTCCACATTGCACGACCCTAATTAATAATAACATACTAAGCCAGGATTTTAAGTACAATTTTTGCCTAACCAACATTGACGTCTAAAGAACACACCTTAGTGGTTAAAGAGCTCATCTAGTGATACCAGAAGACTCGTTTTGGTAACTGAGTTGTTGTCTCTTTTTTTCCTAACCATTTTCATAACTGGAATAAGCGCCGTTACTGTGATAAAGCGGTTTCAAACATAGTTGGGTGTTCCTTAGTGGGTGTTTGGTCTTCTAACCGTGGCGTTGAAAGAATAGTCAAACTACTTTTCATTTATCAATAAAATTTTCCAATTTTAAACAGATTTTTGGTACCTACCCTCTTAAGGTTGTAAGAAGGTTGTTAAAGTCAGGTTCATTAACAATGAGTGGGAAACAAATTCGTATTATTTCACTCTTAGTGTTGGACACGGCGTTCTTCCTCTTGGAAGCCATAGTTGGTTATAGTGTCCATTCATTGGCTTTAGTAGCTGATTCTTTCCATATGCTTAATGATATTATTTCCTTGATCATTGCTCTTTGGGCTGTTAGAGTGAAGGAAACAAGAAAGGCATGTGGAAAGTACACTTATGGATGGCAAAGAGCTGAAATCTTGGGCGCTTTAATCAATGCTGTCTTTCTTTTAGCTTTGTGTTTCACAATTATCATTGAAGCTATTCAAAGATTCTTTGAACCTCAAGTAATTTCTAACCCGAAGTTAATTCTTGCAGTTGGTTGCGCCGGTTTGGCATCTAACTTCCTTGGGTTGGTCTTATTCCATGAACACGGTCATTCTCATTCTCATGGTGGTAGTGGTTCCGGTCATTCCCATTCACATGATAACCAACACGATGAAGAATCTGCTGTGCAATCTTCTACATTCCCTAAGCCTTCATTTCCTGCTAAAAGTGGGTCTTCTTCTGATATCTCCAGTTATTTGCCTGATCGTTTCATTGAAAATTACAACGAAAGAAGCGGCTTATTGCCCAAGAGCAATGGAATTAATCAATCTCATCCACACTCTAACGAAAATGAACATTCTCCAGCCGCTCCTAAAAGGCAAAAGTCTATGAATATGGAAGGTGTCTTTTTACATGTTTTGGGTGATGCCTTGGGTAATATTGGTGTTATTTGTGCAGCTTTGTTCATTTGGAAGACTGATTACTCCTGGAGATATTATACTGATCCTATCATCTCTCTTGTGATAACTGTTATTATCTTTTCTTCTGCATTACCATTATGCAAGAAGTCTGCAAAGATTTTGTTACAAGCATCTCCACCATATTTGAATTCTGAAGCTCTTATTCAAGAAATTATCACTTTGGATTCAATCAAGTCCTTACATGATTTCCATGTGTGGAACTTGAATGAAGATATTCTTATTGCGTCTTTACATTTGGAATTAGTTTCCAACACTGATGATTGTATTAAAAAGACTGATTTCTTAAGTGCTGTGGGTCAGGTTAGAGAAATATTGCATCGTTACGGAATTCATTCAGCGACCATTCAACCTGAATTTGGTGAGCTGCAAATTGTTGAAGAAGCTGAATTCGACTCTTATGGAGCCATTACGAAGGATCATTGTCAACTTGATGAAGTTGCTAACTGCAGTGATGCTTGTTTGAGACAATAGTATAAATGAACCGCAGTGTCTCTATTATCAAACTGTTTAGATTATTTCATTAGTTAATTAATCATAAAAAATTGAAGTACATATAATAAACACTAGAAATATCAAACACCATAGCCAACCCTAACAAACATAATTATTATACCTTTCTAAAACCAAAACCCTTTTATACAATAGTGCAATCATCTTTCCCTGCTCCACTGGCTCTAGAGCTTACTTTAGTTAATACTGTTCCCAAGGACTCTCGATGTTTCTTGCCAAAGAATTTCAGCTGTCGTTTAGATGACGATGAATCAGTAGTGGTAGTGGTGGTAACAGTGTTCACTTTTGTCGCCTTCCTCTCCAGCGGTCCTCCGTTGAAGATGCTGATAAAATCAAACTCATCTTCATCTTCATCTTCAGAGCTATCCAGAGATATCACTGGATGTGACTCTGCAAACTTCTTGACCTCTTGAGATGTAAGTGGTAACTCAGTAGTCGCCGTTGCTGTGCCATTTAAATGTACAAATGGTCCATGTTGCCAATATGAGTCATCTGAAGTTTGACTAAGCGTATGTAACTCCGTATCTGAGCTAATAGTGTCGAAAGAGTCTCTTCTTTCATTGAATTCCAATATGGGATCGTATTTGTCCATGTCAAAGAGATACGATGCTATAGCAGCATAAAAGCGACAAAATACCTGCTGGCCTCTTGGTGAACGGTCAATTGGGTCTGTAAATTGTGTCCTTTCCGACATGACTGATACCGAGGAAAGTGAATATATGTCTTCATCGTCATCGTCATTTTCATCGTCGTTGTCATCTTGGTGATCATAATCGTCTTCATCGTCGCCATATGCTGTTGTGTCCATATCATTCTCACAGTAGTAGCGGTGACTATTTTTAACATTGGCATCATATTCATTCTCGTCTGGTAAGGACAGAATACTGGTTGTCTTAGTCACTGTGCTTGGTTTGCATGATGTCACGGCAGAAGTATAATTGCTTTTGAATGAAGATATTGAAATGGAATCTGCTGTGAATGCCTGACCCGTGATATCTCTTGGATTAGAATATACTGAATCAGGACTGCGAAACGAACTAGCATTGGCTAAAGAAAGGGAAACGTTACGAGACGAAGGGCTTGATGAAGGAACAGACGAAGCGGGAGCAAAATCTTTAGTCCTGGATAATGAGTGACGTTTAATCCCCAACTCAAATATACATTTGAAAAGTGCATCTCCAAGCAATCGGTAATCCGTTCTAGTTAAATTGAATACCCTTGAGTTAATTAAGGCCACTCTTCGAATCAAATCATAAGGAAGGGATTCTTTCCTATCCAAGTTATAAACAATGATGGTGAGTAATTGTATGGTAGGTATGAAAGTTCCTTCATAGCTATAAGCTTTATTGGAAGTTATTTCTTCAAAGATAGAGCTGACAATAGTCAACTCCAAAAGTTCAAAATTATCATTGATAAAATGCTCTTTATTTTCTTCTATAAGTCCTAAATTGTCCCATAGTCTTGCCAATGTATAAGCATCAAACGAAGTAATAGATAGCTTTAGAGGGGGGTATGTAGGGCCCTTGAACTCCATACCAGCGCTTCGTAGCATAAAAAGTAGTTATGGATGTATAGATTTTCTAAGGAACTATTTTAGAAATATGTATATATGTTTATATTTATTTACATGATACTTAGTGCATATATATATTTATGTACAAACGGCAATAGTAGTAACTCTGAACCCTTGAAGTTATAAACGAAGTACAAGGCACTAGTGCATACCAGATCTTACATGAAGTGGAAAGTTTTTTGATCGTCTGTCTTCAAAATAATAAGGTAATCCCACGATCAATAGGCGATTGTTTCCCTTGCATAAATTAGCTAGCCAAACATTATCCACTGAGGGGATTCCGGTAACATAATAAAGTCAGAATATGTGAAACGGGTTGTCTTAATGTTTTAGAGGGTATTTTTAAAGTCGATTACCGCCCAATATCAAGGTACAGCGTTATTTGTGCCGCAAAAGTCTCTAGTGTTTTTGCAGTATAAGGCAATAAAGTTCATATGTACACGACTAGTGGGACAAGGTGATTACGAATCTCGTAACCATTGACGACTATATAGATTGTCAACCGTTTGAACGAAACTAACTTGTAGTTAAGCTGGATGCTACTGCAATAATAAGAATAACTTATCATGGGCATTGAGACCAAACAAATATGTTTATTACATATTGAGAATTATGTCATAGTGCATTATCCTGGTGTAACATGCCTGTGAATATGTTCCAATATGAAGTAAATTCTCTAACACTGACCTTTCGTCTAAATTGTTCATGAATACCATCATCACTCCTGTGCACAATTCAAGGCAGAGAGATAGTATGTAGATGGTTCTCCGTCTAAAGCATGGGATACACGACACAGACAAACGGATGGTGAATTTAGTAACTCTGACAAACGAAGGCGCCACTATATAACGTTACTATGGTAGTCAAAGTCTGTTGTTGATACCTCTGATCCACCTATTCCTGAGGATACGCTAAGCAAGAGGGGTGTAGGCTTCGTAATTTGATAAATTGTCGCAGCATGTTATCACCTTGGCAACCTTTATTGTTCACTACATCTATTGCATGATTGACATTTTAAATTATGCGTAGCACAGGACTGTACAATAACATATATAGGAAACCTGCAGGAATGGAAATGTTCTCTCATGCGTTCTCCCATGCACCCCTGCAGCTTATCCAAATCAAGTAAAAACAAACAAATCTTGACAAACAGATTAGTGTATTACCAATACAAAAACGAATATATAAATCAATTATATATGTATTATTAGTAGTATCCTTAACCGTGATGTCAGAAAATTGGCAAATTTCTGCTAATCACCAAAAAAAGACTACTTTCCCAGCAGCCATGTTGCAAAATCCAACTCTCACATTTGAATACCCATATCCATAGCCCCATAGAAATAAAAGACTGCAATCCAGATGCAACTTTTATAAAGATGCATTGTGAAACATTAAACATGCAGTCACCAGAACTGAAACATAAACATCGTAAATGTTCAACTAGCCAGTGTATCAGGTACTTGTAGGAAACAACAAGCTGAACTCACTGACTTTAGTTAATTCCAAAACGACTTAAAACGAAAATAAATCAACGAAATTTCTTGAAAATAATAAAGTAACCGAACATAATTAAGACTCTTTACACGGCGAAGTTTAGTGTAAATGTAATGGAATGAAAACGAAAAATTCAGGGTATGGTAGGATAATAAAAGTGAAAAGACCAGCAAACTGATAATGAACCATCATATTAGTGGTTTCGGGTATAAATAAAGGCAACAGGCCTTTCAAAGAATACTATAAGGAGTGGATGTAACCATGTACTTGTTCTTCTTTGGATTTCTCTTGGTGTATCTTGCAGCAGTAACATACTGTTCATTCTTTTTCTTGTTGAAGAAAGAAAATCCAGATACAGAAGAATCGTTAGAGTTAACAGACGTGGATGACTCAGCATACTTCTTAAATGAATAAATGCTGCTTGTAGATAACTTGTAGAGCTTTCCGGAAGGATTTGGAGGTAAGGGCTTTTCGCTTGTCTTCTTCTGCTTCTCCATAGTTTTATTATTGTATTCAATATTCTGTTTGATTGTTTTGATGGATTGGTCAAGCATTGGTGATTTGTGATGGGAGCTCTTAGGAGCCTTCAAATGACTCTTGTTGCTTCCGCCAGAAAAGAGTGCAATAAAAGCAGCCTTTAATCCTTTCTCTTTGAAACCAACTTCTTCAGTAATAGGAACACATCCCATACTCTTTTGAACCGAATTTTTAGCATATTTGTTATTGATACCACAGGGAGCAAATCCACCCTTACGAGGATCCAAGTTGATCAACGATTGTGTGGGGCTGTGCTTGTCCAACAGTGAAGATTCATTGTGATTTGAACGCTTAGGGTGCGAACTACCAATGGATCTGCTTCTAGACATGTTTTCAGTTAAGTCTATACTACTCCGCGCGTGCAGTGTTAGTGATACGCTTCTGTCAGGTGAATGGAATGGGTTAGTTTGGGGCGATGAACCCACAGAACTTCCATGCTGACTTTCCATTTCCTTCTTCAAAACATAAGAGGATCTCATGAATCCTAAGGACACGCGTTTCTGGTTGGAGCCGCCGTTGGTGCCAACAATCAATGAGCTGCTTGATGCCAGTTTATTTCTGTATACCCCTTGCGACATTGCGGTTGCAACCGTGTGAGTAGAGGGACTACCAGAAATAGTATCAGCACCTGAAGTACTCGAATGAATAGAACTCATTTTGGCTGGAGCAGTTAAAGAACCAAGTGGTGCTGATTCCAAGACAGGAGAAGGTTGTTTTCTACTGCCAGCAGAAGAAAGATTATTAACTTCCATGGCTAGGCTGTAATCGCTATTGTGTAAAGAAAGTGTTGACGCCTCGGAACTTTCTTCTTCGTGGCTAGATGCAGTCCCGCTTACATCTCCACTATAATTAGACGATCTTGTACAAACTTCTTCCTCTTCGTATCTTGAACTAGCGACATCATCATCATTTTCTGTTTCTTGAATGACTGATAAACCCTTAAGTCCAAACGATGAGTGGTCCAACAGTCTTGGAGGCAGTCTAGAAGCTATTCTTGCACTTGAAATTTCCCCGGCATAAGGATCTTCCTCATCATCCACTATACGCCATTGCGAACTGGTTGGTGAGGGACTTTCGTCTGAAGAGCCAGATATAGAATTAGTTCTTCTATGTCCTCTCAGTCTGGGATCAAATCCAAACCCTCTGGGTTCCTTATCAATGAATTCAAGGTCGTCATCATTAGTAATAACGGTAGCAGGCTTTTTGAATTTGAACTTTGGTGTGGCACCACTAGATTCAGAACTAAGAGTATTCATGGTACTGGATCTCTCATTTCTATCATTATCACTATTGCTGCTTCCATTGGCAAAATTACTACTCATGTAGTCTTCTAAGTCTTCGACAGCAGTTCCGTAATTGACATCGTAGTCTGTAAATTGATCTGAAGACATGAATGGTCTTCTTCTTTCTGGAACATCGGTTTCCATTCCAGAAGTGAAAGATTCTGTCATTGAAGTTTGACGAGAGTGGTGTTTCTTATGACCTCTGGGATCAAATGGAATGTGACCGACAGAACTGATGGCTGTTCCAAATGATGCAAATGAAGCATTTGAAGGCGAAGATGCTCTGGGTGATAACATTCCGTTCAAGTCAGCTGGCTTTGTTGGCTTTTCAAATGTAGTACTGCTAGTAGGAATCTTGACTTCAAACAGACTAGTGTTAGAATCTCTTCTAAACCCTTTGTACTTGTCATTCTTTCTCAAGTCTATGTGTAAAATACCAGAACCATCAGAAGAGCTAGTCCCACTAGAAATAACTGATGGGGGTGATGAAGACCAAGTGTTCAGTCTCTTGATGTTTAATGGTTGAACATCTTCAGTTTCATTTTCAGAACTGGAAGGGGAAGGTGAGAAAGAAGCTCCACTTGGACTGGAAGCTGAAAGTTCTTCTCCAAGTACGCTTTGAGTTTCACTGGAAAGATCAGCCTCTGGGTAGTGAGTGTTGTCAGTTATGAAAACTGCAATGTACAAGTATAATTGCACCCAAGCACATTCAAGCTCAGAATCAATATTACCTATCCATTGTTTAATAGTTTGGGTTAAAGCAACTCCCATTGGTTCTAAATACTTGACCATATTAGAAATGAAATCATCATTCTTACTAATAAATTGTATCAAGTATTCATTAACCATTATTGGGGAGTGAAGATATGTAACCACAGATGACAACATTTCTCCAAATAACATTGAATGTTCTCTCATCATAGCATCGCTAGTGAAAATATACTTAAGGAAGGGACTTCCTGCAATTAAGTTTGCATATGCTCTAGCAACAAAAAGATCCTTGTGATATTTATTATTGTTTTGAATATTCGTCCATGTTTGTCTTATCTTTCTGACATCTTGGAAATCCAAGATGTAAGTAGTACGAGCAGACATGTTTGGTCGAACAAGTGAATATCCAAAGGTAATCTACATTTTCCATCTACTGGACGCAACCGTTCTTTGGAGTTTCTTATATATTACAGACATTATGAATAACTTCCCAATGCAGTTTGAACTTTTATTTCCATCTTTGGTAGTTATCATTTCTTCAAGTATTCCTTACTTCGATGATAGATACTCTGTTCGGTAATAGTAGGTACTTTCTTTATTGCACAAAGAACCTTCATTAAGTGAGAACCTGCAAGTAATAATTACCCAATGCGGAAGTCCATGTGTGAGGCACTCCAATCTTTCGCAGCAAAAGAAGGACTTGGGGAACTTCCCTAAAGGGTAATTATGTCCTTCTACAAATTGGACTGGCAGTATATCTTCAGGCATCTATATTTCTTCCAGTGTTGGAACTATAACAGATATACTGTGGGTGTAGAAATATGATAGGTATTACCTAACTTGGAAATTTTTTGATACTTTTTCTCTTTGAAGAGATGAAGACAGAGTGTGTCCCCGTCAAATAACTTCTAGTTACCCTAAAGAGCGTATCATATTACCCGTTACGAGGCTACGGCACCTGATAGAAAATGCGACAGGATATGTATATGTTTCTACTTTACATGAATAGTTACATCTATGCCCAATGTCTCAAACACCCAAAAATACTTCAATCAGTACCCAAAAATTTAGGTGAAGGTTAGATGACATGAATTGAACAGACCCCGCATTACGTACTTAACAATTTCATTATGCTATTACATGGATATGTTATGTGCGTATTCGTGCACAATCAAATATTAGCACCTTACGTAAGTCACACTGAGCCTTACAGAACCATATTACAAGTGAAGTGGTGAATCAAAGCCTTTGAAAGGTAGAGTAGGCGAAATTTTAAACTTACTTGGTCAAAAATCATAAAACCTTCATAAATTTACCTATATATTGATAAATAACAGAAAACGAATCAGTCTAAACGTTAGAAACAACTAATAGTACAATCAACTTTTAGTTGGCCTTAAACCAAAAAAATACAATAACATAATATACGACATCAACAACAACAACAACGACCAAGCAAGAATAACCAATGCAAATAAGAGAAAAAAGAGTGAGATAGGTGAAATAAAAAGTTTAGTGTTTAAATTATCACGTTCAAATTTTAAACTTCATTCAAATCCAATTTGGATCTCTTAAGACGTCTTTCTTCGTTCCCACTCTCTTCAACAGTCTCCAATGCCTCGGCTTGGAGCATGTGTTCCTTGTTTTCAAGATGTTGTTCTTCACCCGTAACCCAATCTTCAGCTTTTGCAAGTTGTTCGTTGAAAACTTTAGATAATCTTGCGATCATTTCTAATGACTCTTTGGCAACAACTAAAATGCGATCATTGGCCTGTTGAGTGCTGTTAGCATGTTGGATAGCCCTTGGAAGACTCAATACAATGTTTCTTATAGATTCCTTTAATTCTCCCATAGCATATTGAGGATCACTCAAAGCTTGAGGTGTGGCAGGGGTAGATTCCAAACGAGGATCATCAGAGGGAGAAATGGGTGAAAGCGTACTATGCACTGGTCCAGGAGTTGAAGTTGGTGATGGTACAGATGTAGAAGGAACAGTTGGCGCTGTAGTCAACAGAGAAGGTCTAAAGTTTGAAATCAATCGGAAAACTTTCCTTACAGTTGTGATGATTTCTTTCTTTGTTTCCTGTTGTTGAACAGTTGAATCTTGTACTTCGCGTTGCTCTTTAATTTCCTTTTCCTTCTCAATTACCTTCTGTTGTAAAAGATTAACTTTGGAACTGATATGTTCTGTTGCTAATCTCAATATATGAACACAGAATTGTAATCGTTTCTTCGTGTCATATGCAACATTCTGCAGTGTGGAAGATGTGACTGATAATTGAGGTGTTAATCCCCGCTCATCATCACTAAACCCATCATATTTACTATTAAGAGATTCCTTCTCATCCAATGTTGCCTCCAGTAAACTTCTCTTCTTCTTAGATTCCATTTTGATTCTATGGCGCTCATTTAACTCATCTTCTATCTTACTGACCATAGGGATTGCAGCCTTTTCAATGAAACCAGCTGCATAATTAAAACTTGCAAAGTTCCGTTTCAGCTCTTCGTAATACTTGACGGCATTAGTAACAATAGGGTGTCGTGTTACTTGGTTGACAGTTTTAACTAAAGGATGTTGTTGTGAGGGCAGTGTCAACACTATCATATTGTCCCCAGTAACACTTGGAAATGGACTAGCAGGTGGACTAGCAGTGGATTGTCTTGTGAGCTGTGTTAAGGCCTCAGCAGCAGAAACCATATCGACATCCTGTGAAGTTGAACTCGAAGCTGTCTTTTCATTAGTGTTATTGGTGTTTGTTTTAGTAGCATTCGAATCTGTACTATCATAGTCATCCGTATAACTTTCAACGGATTTGCTTCTTTTAGAGTTAGAATCTTCCGCAGCTGAGTTCTCTGCTGAATTATCCACGGCTGTCAAATCGTGAGTGTGTTCGTCTTCCATGTCGTACTCCTCTTCCATCTTATAGGTCATTCTTAGTTATTTATGATACTGTCTAAGGGTAGGAAAAGATGAAAGGAAAAATAAAGTGGATAATAATCACCTTAATTCAACTACAAGTCTTTCTGACTTGCGTGACACTCAAGGTCCCTGCTTTATATATCTGACCTTTTTATTAAGCTTGTGCAAATCATCAAAAGTGAATGTGAATTTTTGTCATACCGCGCCGTTCCTCAACAAATTATTATCTTTGTGTTATCGGTTAAACAATAACGCGGACGGGCGCTACCGTTTCTTAATTGGAATTTCTAGATTTCCCCTCAAGCCAAAAAAAATAGCTAAAGAGTCTAAGTACGGAAAACCATGTGAATATTCGAAGGTGTGGTGCGGTGGTGTCGTGTGGTTCTCCGTGAATAGTATCTAGTGTTTAGTTTACACTCACACTCAACTGGTATTAAAGATTGCTCTACATTTGACTTCTGCTACCAGCAATCAAATGAAATCTATTACTTAGTAAATCTGGTGTAGATTTCAAGTTAATATGTAAGCTCTACTTATGCTGTTGTATTTAATCTTTTCTGCTCCTTTCTCACATACGCATCAATTCCGTACTCTTCAATCTCTTGACACATTTGCTTTGAAGAAACCCAACCTCGTCCAAGAACAAGTATACGTTTGAGTGGCTTGTTATTTTGGTCTACAGTAACAACATCCCTATATTGAAGAGGAAGGACATTTTGATCTTCCAACTCTTCTTGACCTCGCCAATCTTTAAATCCTCGGTTTGACATTTGTTCTCGCATGTAAATAGACCATTCTTTCCTTCCCTCCGCTGATACAATATCAAATGAACGTTGAGTAGCACCAAATTTCTTATTTGCAGTTCCCAGAAATTGAGATGGACCAAGAATCTCTACATCTGGAGATGAGGCTGACTCGGTCCATACACCCAGATCACAAGTATCACTCTTATCAAATTGTTGCAATGACTCCTTGCTGCTGCTGGAGCTACTAATAACGAGTACCGTGGCTTCATGTTTATCATTCCGTTGGTCTACGCTACAATAACACCCGCGACCTCGTAATTCGGTAGTAGTCCAATTTTCATTGTCTCCAACATTTTTTTTAGCTCGTAAGCACTTGGTTACAAGGTCATTTTCCACCAGGCTGTGGAGCCCATCCACTTCGGATTTCCATAACTTGGAACAGAGACTTGTGCTGTTTCGTACTTCATCTACAGTGCCACTAACTTGCTCTAGTAGCTTTTTTAATTCTCCAGTAGCCTTTAAGTTCGTCCTTACAGCCATGCCTAGCAAAAAGCTGATAGTGAAGAGAGAAATCACACCCGAGAAAAACAGAGCAAATGAAGGTGGCACCTGATTGATTTGTGCCTTAACCTTTCTCCAAGCCGTACACCTAAGGGCATTCTGGGTGTAGTAATAGTAATTGTAGTAACCTTGAAGGTCGGTAACATTTTTCACATGTTGGAGATCAAAATCATATACACTGGGATCTGTATTAGACTCTGTTGAGTTGTTAAAAGCTGACCATTGATCTTGACATGTAACAAATTGCCGCTGGCTATCACTATCTTCAGCTTCAATGTCAACATTATACTCTTTTTGATAGTTGAAGATACGAACAACAACACACAGAATCAAGATAAGCTTGAAAACAAACGCTGAATCCATGTCAAATCTTGAAGTCTTCATTTTTATTGTTTTTCTAGTAGAAAAGAGTACGTTTGTTTGTTTATTTACACCCAAAGAAACTTTGGCTGCGAAAAAAGTTTATATACAAAAGAATTTCTTAGTTACCTCTATTTCCTATTTCACAAAGTATTATTATACATATGAAGACTTTTACTCTTCGTTTGTTGATTGAACAAACTCGACAGCCTTTGCCTTAACACGAGCAGCACCAGCTTCATCACCATGTTCTTCTTCATAAGCCAACCACTTGTTGAAGAAAAATTTGGCTTGTTTACGGTTAATCTTATGAGTGAATACTCTTTCGAATAAATGCTCAACCTTGGTCTTAACGTTACCACCATGCTTGATTTCCTGATCAATATAAACGTTCCACAAATCGATCTTCTTGGGTGCATCACTAACTAAACCTTCAAATAAGGATCTGGCTTGTTCGGCGTCACCCTTTGCAAACTCTAATTGAGCATACTTTCTCACGACTTCAATATGGTCTCTCTTTGGCAAAACTTGTAAAGCCTTGGCCAAGGTTTCATGTAAATCATCTCTTCTTTCGCGGTCTAACAAATAAGATCCAAACAGAACCCAGATGGAAGGAGTCTTACCAAACTTCTTCGTCATAGTCTTATATAAATCATCAGCCTTATCATACTTTTCACTTAAGGTGTAGATAGCAACCAACTTCAAATGCATAGTCATGGAATCCATATATTGACAAGCTCTCTTGAATGTACTCTCCAATGATTCATCATCACCAAATGTGTTTTCCAAGTTTAACAAGGCAATCCAAATATTCATCTTCTCTTGTTCTTCACGGTAATTTATAATCTTCAATGCACGCTCACCTATTTCACGGGCCTTGTCAATTTCACTCAATTGTAATTGGAATGACATATAGTTCATCCAAAGAATTGAAGAGTTGGGGTTACCGACTAACAAACGTTCGAAATCAGAAACGGATTGTGGAGCTCTGGTATTCAAATCAGCAGTCTTATCTTCAACATATGACAGTTTTTTGGACCTCTTTCTAGATTTGGTTTCCAGAATAAAGTCTTCTTCATCGGAAGAAGAATCATCATTTTCAGCTTGGTCCAAAATTGATGCAGTCCAGTCGAAACCACTGGTGGATAATCCGGTTAATCCTGTCTTTGAAGGGGACGTTTCCTCTTCTTCGTCATCTTCTTCGTCATCTTCTTCGTCATCTTCTTCATCTGAGGCATTTTCAAAGGCATCGGCCATAACTTCATCTTCGTCTTCATCATCTCCATCTTCTTCTTCTTCTTCTTCTTCAGCCATTTCAGCATCTTCATCCTCTGATTCAGAATTTTGTTGAGTGGTGAAGAATGAAGCCTTCATACCTAAAGATAATTGCTTGTTCTTCTCGTCAATAGCCATTATCTTAACCTTGACCCTGTCACCTTCACCAAATAATGCAGAAATGTCTGAGATCTTGTTATCACTAATTTGAGAGTGGTGACATAAACCGGTAACGTTAACAGTGTCATCCAATCTAACAAAGACACCAAAATCGGTAACTCTCTTGACAGAACCATTGAAAATATCACCAACAACCAAGTCTTCAAACTTCTTCAAAACATTCAAGTCACCCTTAACTTCACTTTTCTTCAAAGTCATCAAAACTCTTCCTTCTTCCTTACAGCTTGCAATCTTACCGACCACAAATTGATGTTGCTTGTAGTACTTCTTCCAGTCCTTCAAGTATTCGTCACTTAAATCACTGACTCTAACCAAGGCGTGAACAGATCTTCCAAGAGAAACAAATAAACCGTTGTTGGCGGTGTTTTTGACAAAGCCTCTGACAACTTGACCTCTAGTCAAGTCATCAATGGTGTCAATACATTTATCAGTAGCATCGCCGGTTCTCAAGGAAACAGCTATCTTCTTGTCGTCTTCATCAATGGCCAAAACAGTGGCAGTAGCAAAGGAGTTGACCTTGAAAACATCAGCTAACTTTTCACTGTAATCGTTTAAGGCATCGGTAATAAAGGAAGAGGCCAAAAGCTCGTTACCCAAACTGACCAACACAAAGGAATCCTTAACCTTGACGATCTTACAGGGGTATTTGTTGCCAACCTTCAAATCAGAAATACTGGAAACAGTGTTTTCTCTGGCACTCAAGGTGACAGTATGATGTTCAATATCAATATCCTTGATAGTAGCCTTGATACTAGAACCAATTGGTAATTTGTTTTCCAAATCATCGAAAAGAGTTGTGTCGTCAGTTAAGTCCATAAGAGAGATTCTTCCCTTTATAGTTGGAGTAAGAGATACCCACACAAAGGAGTTGGCGATGTTGTTAACAAATGCTAAACATTCTTCACCAGCCTTGAGATCAGATAACTTGAGACCCTCGTTATTGTTCTTAGTTGTACCAAGACTTAACTCTAAAATGGTGTGCTTGTTAGATTTCTTATGAGTAATGGGCAAGAATTTGTGTGTCTTAGCATCGTGGTAACCAATAACTTTCACGTCAATGACCTCATTCTTATGGAATTGTGAAAGAGGTTGTCTCTTGTCCTTAATTTCTTCGTATGATTTGAAACACTCAGTTATGTCTACTCTTCCTTGCAAGTTATCAGCCAATTGTACGTTCAATTGGGTCCCCTTTACTGACTTGATTTCTGCCTTGGTGATACCACCAACAACATAGTCACTGATATATTTCTTGGACGAATCAATTGGATTTTCAAGTGGAGCTTCACTTTGGGATGTGGTATTTGAATTTTGCTTTAAAGATAATAAAAATCTCTTGTTCTCTTCATCAACTCTGATCACGTGACACGAGATTGATTGGTACTTGTGGAATTTTTTACTCAAGTCATCATTGGGCTTATCGGTAGCATATTTAGCTAACACCAATCCAGTCAACTTACCAGCAAAGGAAACAAACAATCCCATGTTGGTAACAGATTTCACAAACCCGTAGAGTTTTCTGTCGCTGACTTCCACGTCTTTAAACAAGGCAGGAAGTTGGTCGCTTTTAGCAGCTTCAATTAAAGACTTCTTTGCTGAAACAATAACTGTTCTGGCCTTCAAATCCTTTTCTAAAGCAACCACTTGGATTTTATCACCAACTGGCAATCTCTTAAACAACGCTCTGTTTTGTTCGTAGTTCCCATCTGATAAGTGGCCACTGTATAAAACACCGCGTAAACTCATGCCTTCAATTTCAACGATGATGGTTTCGTTTTGCTTTTCAACAACAAATGCATCAACAACAGTTTTACCATTTTCCAACAAAGATATGGCACGATGTTGGGTGGTGGATAATTCATCGGATTGTCTCAAGGAAACAACCAACCGTTTGTCTTCCTTGTTGATGTTAACTATTCTCACGGTGATGGTTTGGTTCAACTTCAAATGGTCTCTAGCTTCATTGACAAAGGTTTCAGAGATTTCATTCTTGGGCAAAAATGCTCTAACATTACCAAAGAACGACACGATAGCACCACCATGAACAAACTTCTCAACAGTGGCTGGGGTTTTCATACCGATTGTTGCCTTGTCGAATTGTGATAAAATCACATCGTCTTCAACATTGACCAAAGATCTTTTGAATGTGACTAAAAGTTGTTTCCCGTGTATTCTCAATGTTCTTGCTTTGACCTTGGATCCGACTCTGAACTTTCTTTCAGGATAGATCAACTTAATATCAGACATGCTATTTGAGGGAACAAAGGCGTCAAAGCCAAATGCTTTGACTTTAATTCCCTTTCCTTCAGGTAAAACTTCCACAACTTCACATCCTGGAACTAATGTACCTATAGGGACTTCATCAATGGATAAATATTTGGCATTAACAATTTCTGGATCAAATGTTAATACCAACAAGTTATCTATTGGGTTGAACCCCAAAATTCTTGCCTTTGGTTTGGAACCAACATTATAGTCTTCAATTGTTTTTGACTTATCTATCTTGGATAAATGCACTTGACCTTGAAGTCCACCTCCAACGGAAACATATATGTAGCTTGAATCAATAGCTTTGATTTCGACGCCTTCGTTGAATGTGTGACTAATGGGGAAGGCTTCAAGGGCTTCCTTTGATGAATCTCCACCAAAGTTGATCACATGGGGTAATTGAGATAAGATCAACTTCTTAGTTCCTGCCTTCAATAAAACACCAAGAATACGGGTTTTGATGTTGTTTCCAACTGTGTACTTATGTTTAAGTTTCAGGAACTCATATTCAGACAAATGTGGTAAAATTATGGTACCTTCAACCAATCCAAAGACCTTAGCAACAATACCATCTTTGGTGACTTCTGAAATCAATGCATCAACATAAATACCAGGGAGAATACTATCCACAGAAGAGATGGTAGTTACGGCGGTCTTCTTGGCACCGTTGACGGGTCTTAATGTGATTGTTCTGTTCTTTGGAGAGGAAACAATAGATGTCAAAATAACACCACCTGATTTCAAGCTTTCAGGCTCAATATTGGCATTTTTCAACTCTTTATTGGATACAAACCCTGTAAGGTTAGAGCAACCAGTGTTCAAAATGGCACCATGGTCTTCGATGGATTTGATAGAAGCTTGAAGAAGAGTGTTAGGAATCAAGTCTTCATCCTCTAAACCTTTATTTGTAGCTTCAGGTTCAATGGACAATTGGATTCTCTTTTGATTCTTCTCATTGTCAGACCTCACCACAGCAGCTCTCAACCATTGGCCTACCTGGAATATGGATCTTAATTCAGGGAATTCTTCTTCTTCAACTACTTGAAGAGTTGATCTTGGTAATGATGCTTGAGTGATTTTGTCTGGATTTTCATCGTCGTTGTCGTTTTCATATTGAGCCTCTTCGTCATCGTCATCGTTTTCGTCCTTTTCTTGTTGTTGAGCTTCGTACTTCTCAATGCTCAGTGTAATTTCGGGAGAAATAGAAGTAATAGGAATATAACCAACCAAGTTGTCACCTATAGCCAAAGCCAACTCTAACTTTCCAATAGATGAAACTTGTCCAAGAACTGAAGTACCAGGAATCAAATTTTTGAAGTTAAAGTGCTCAATGGTTACAGCCTCTTCTTCGTCATCAACCCCTTCTTGTTTCTTGGATTGAGAAGTCTTTGACAGCTTTTGCTTCTTTTTAGGTTGACCTGACTTTGTGGGTGCAGCACGCTTATTGGCTTGTGCTGCAACTTCGAATAAAACATCTCTTGTAGCTTCGTTGGAAACTTCCTTTACCTCAAGAGCGGACAAGCCCCCCTTACCCCCTCTGGGGAAAGATACTTCGCTAGTGCTGAGAATCGATTTGGGAGTCGATCCTTCAACCATTGCTTAGTCTTGTTAGTCTGGTAAAGTATAAGGCTATACTTCTTGCAGTAGAATTAAACTAAAACTTTTTTTGTACAGAAATTATTGAGATGAGGCCCATCGCAGACTGCACAAGAAAGGAGCTGTAATTGGTCACGTGATAGAAATCTTTAGTAGGTAATAATGTAAAGAGCTACACTTTCATAATGAGTGGTATATAGATCTGATAAACATTGATAACATTGATAACACAATCGCTTTCTAGACTCTGCGGTCTAATATCCTATTCTCCTCCTTTCTCTCTCTAAGAATTCTGGCAGCTGAATCATTGCCATGTTTCTTAACCAACTTGGTGAAAAATAACCCACAGGCATTACAGAGACTACGGTTTCCATCTGGACCCTTTCTCCACTCCGGAGTTGACTTAATACCACAATGTAAACATACAACTTTTCTCTTGATACTAAGCTCAACATTTAAACCACCTTGTTGTTGTAGATTATATTTTTCCCAGTCTTCCACTTTAACCCGATTAACAGTTAGTGGTATAACGTCGAGCCCCGGTATATCAAGTGCAGAGTTTCTTCGATTAGGGTGATTATGTTTGGTTTTTTTCACCTTCAGCCGTATGGGGGATCGAAGTTCAATGAGAGATGAAAGCCTTCTGGCATTTTCCTTTTGTTTCGATTCCTGTTCATACTTAATTCTCTCGGACTTCAATCTGTGACACACTTTAAGTGCTTCTTGTAAGGAAGAAAGCGTATTATCAATGTTTTCCATTGTGATTTCATTAAATAAAACATTTGCAAAGCTACTTTCGTCAAATCTGGTAGTGTTGGGGTATAGATTACTGCAATCCGATTTCCCTATTACTCTTTGAACTCTCTCTTGAAATACACCAACGCCATCCAATGAAGTCATCAACTGCTTAAATGTGTCCGAATAATCATTTCTAACAAATCCTGTTCTCTTGGGAAATGTTTTTAATGAACCATCAAAATCAATAGGACCTTTAGGAGTGATTCTTATTATTTCAGAAAGCGATGAAGTATTGCAGTGAAGTGGATCAATTTCAGTACCCGAGCGCTGTTGCTGAACTGGTGTTACGGAATAATTCGGTGACAGGGAAAAGGCGGTCATGGGGAACTTACACTCCAAAGGTGTTCTACTTGCATTGACAATATCAGTCAGTGCAACCTTTTTGAAAGGTGACTTGCCATCAAAGTAAACGGAATTCAAAGAACCGATGCTCATTGTATGTGGAGCTTGAAGTGTTAAAGGTGTAGTAGATGCTGATCTACCATATAAGTTAGACTTTGTTAGCACATCTTTTCTTATGGAATGATCGGAGCTGCTGTCAGAACCACTTGAGAATGATAGAACCAAAGAGGAAAAAGAGGGTAATTTGTTCTCATAGTTAGCTTCCAAAGTTGCAATTGTGTTCTCACTCATTTTTTTAATTTATTTTAATACTTTAATCAACTCCAGTTCATTAAAGAAACAGATATTATTCTGTAGATATTAGCAATAGCATAGCATTCTGAACTAGTGTAGTCCTTTAATCTCAATTTAACTGGCTTAGTTGTAAATCGATAATAAGTATGAAAAGGCAAGTCCAAGATGTTGAAACTTCGCATCTTGCAGCAAGCTGCTTATTGTCACATACATACACACGAAATCGATTTTCACAGGCTTTAAAAGCATTGTGATTCATAAATGAATTTTATCTTTATTTAGTCTTTTGCTTTGTCTTCTTTTGCGACTTTGTGGGCTGATTGATAACGATAGTTCCATCTCGAACATCCTCTGGCTGATCTTTGAATTTGTCTCTACTTTCAAGATAGAACATCAAATCCGTAACCTGTTCATTTAATGAGGCGTTCTCTTCCTTCAAGCTCAGTATTTGATTCTTTAATTCCCCATTACTTGCGGTGAGGTAATCTATTTTCTTTCCAAGGGCATCATTAACAGTATTGGCCACACTCAATTCTTTACTTAGTGATTTGACTTTATCCTCTTTCATCGCTAGCTTCTGCTTTAAAGATGGTACTGAGCTTTTTATTCCATCCAATTGTTCTTTCAATGTCAGCATCTGTTCATTTAATGAGTTTAACTGGTCTTGTGAACTCTTTTCCAATTTACCTTCTATATTATTCTTATTACTCTTGGAACTTCCCCCGATTATCTGTTTTTCCTCTAGAAGCTTCTCGTAATAATCTCTTTGACTATCAAGCTGACTTATCAATAACTGGGAATATTCAAACCCGACTTGATCCAATTTATCTGGACTCAAAATACTTTGTTTCTCTTCTGAACCGTCACTTTTCATCTTTTCCGGAAGTTCTACTAGTTTTCCATCTGCCTCATTGGCAATAAGCCTATGAACATAGTTATCACCCGCGTAATCCCAAACTCTTGAGGTGGATAATTCCATAGCAAAGCAATGACCCGTATCAACAAAATGCTTTAATGAATGCTGTCCCGCAGCATATCTATCACATCCAATGTTCCCGCATACAAGACATATCCACAAATTTGTTTCGATATTACATTGGTTACAATGCTCATTGTCACCGGTTTCCGTATCACTCGACAGTAAAGGTATTGGGGTCACGACGCTATTACTCCGAGAGTTGGAGTTTGTCCGAGACAACCGAAACAGATTGAGTTGCAGGAGTCTCCGAGATGGTCTTCTTAATCGTGGCTTCGAAACAGAATTTGAATATCGACAAATTGGACAAGAATCATCCTTCCATTTAGAAAGACACTCACAATGGAAAGTATGTTGGCATGGAATGGTTAATAGTCCCGAGACTGTAGAGTCTAATCTTTCGAGACATACAGGACATGAAGGCAACTCGATAAGAGTCTTTGCCTCAGGTAATACTTCTAGAGAATCACCAGATTTGGAAGTTGAAGAGTCAGCAACTGCAATTGAGTTTCCCTCCAAAGATCCTGTGAAAGGATCTAATAGAAGGAATGGGATTTGGGAGTCGCTACTACTAGACTGATCAATTTCAAGTTGGGCAGAGATATCAAGTTCTACTGCCTTGACAAAGACCACATGACAAGTCTCTGGTTCCATGGAGTTGAAGGCTTTACCATTGAACTTATACTGGAATTCTGCAGCTTTAATAACATCATCGAATTTCACAAGAGAGATGAATCGATTGGGTTTTTCACTTTTAAGGAGTCTCAAATGTGTAATATGAGAGACATATGATTCACCTAGAAACCCTAATAAATCAGTGACTGTTAAGTATGTTGGAATGGCAACAATACACACCATGGTTTCATCATCAGGATGTATTATTTGATCTTGAGGACTATTTGAAAGGATATCCTCTTCATATTCTCTGTAGATCCGTATGACTCCTTTTCCTAGAGATCTTGCTTTTAAAGGCTCGTTTTTCATGTTGGATGTAGAAGGATTATCAATTGAAATCATCGTGATATTCGAGTATCTGTAGTCTGCAATGGAGTCAATATCTGATTGACTTGGGAATTCTAGTACTATATGATAGGTATCAGTGCCTATCATTATATGTAAAGAGTTTAGTGGTATTTACTTTAACGATATGTACTTTAATTTTTAGTTCGCATATTTAAATCTATTAGTGGGGTTAGTGTTGGTCCTCGCTCATACTTAAAAGTATTTAGTAGGATCAAATTGCTCTAATGAAGTGAGGATGTCACCACCAGAAGCTAAAATCTCCTTCTCTTTACCCTTAAGTTCCCCGAGGGCTTCAACATGTGGAATCCAAATAACATGAGCTTTGGCTGCAAGACCTGAAGCAACCCCGGGAATGGCATCTTCAAAGATAAGACAATCTTCCATAGCAATAGCCGGAAGAACTCTTTCTGCTCTCTCCTTATTGATGCTATCTAAACATGCATGCCAGATATGAGGATGGGGTTTCCCCTTTCCATGGGGGATTCTAGGATCATCACCCAAGACGACGTGGCTTCTGAAACGGTCAAACTCCTTTTTGTGGTTGCCAGTCTTTGTCTCAAAGGCTCTAGCATTTGAACTGGTGCCTAGAGCCATAGGGATGTTATTTGATTCTAAATACTCTAACAATTCGAGAGCACCAGGCAAGAACTTACAATTAGGAAAGATTTCCTTTTGTATTTCATAAACCTTCTGGGCATACTCAGATACAGTTAAGGGGAGACCATATTTCTCGATTAAAATTTGGTTCAGGACCGGTCCAGGTCTTCCTTGAAGGTCAAGTTTGATATCCCAGGTCAAGGGACCCTTTCCATATTCTGCCAAAAGTCTAGAGGTGGCCTCAGTGTATAGATCCTCTGTATTCAAGAGGGTTCCATCCATATCTAGAATAAAGTTAGCTTCGTACTACGACAAAATGAGTCATTCAACAGCACATACCAAACAAACATGCTTTAAACTTCCTGGATTCTGTTAGTAAATGTCATTCCGTAAATATCACTCTGTGCTATCAACAAATTCGACACCGGTACTTACTTTCCACCAGTCATCTTGTCAAAAGTTTAGTGTTGTTGTTGGAAGGAATAAGTGAAAGGTTTACCTAAGCAGTTCACTCTGGAAAATTATGCTTGAAGTGCACTATGAATAATCAGAAAGAAAAAAAAAATAAATGTCAAAATTAATAAATATATTTATATTATACGAAATCGTTATGGATGGACAGAGACCTTATTTACTCTGTTACTAGTGGGAATGCTCACAATGGAGCATTCTTGAACAAGTAAGAAATACTCTCACCATTGTGCAATCTTCTAATAGATTCAGCTAACACGGCAGAAATATCAATGGTGTCTAATTTAGGACACAATCCTAGCTTCTCTTCAAATGGAACAGTATTAGTACAAACAACACGAGTCAACTTGGAGTTGTTGATGTTCTTTATGGCATTGCCTGAAAGAATTCCATGAGTAACAATGGCAATCACTTGCTTGGCACCATTCTCCAATAAAACTTCAGCAGCTTTAGCTAATGTCCCACAAGTATCAGCCATATCGTCAACAATAATACAAATCTTGTCTGTAACATCACCAACAAGAACCATTCTTGATACTTCATTGGCTCTGGCTCTTTCTTTATGAATCAAGGCGAAATTCAAATCTAATCTATCGGCCAAACCGGCAGCTCTTTTGGCTCCACCGGCATCTGGAGAAATGATTATAGCATCTCTGTAGTTTATCTTTTCCTTTATGTACCGCACAACTGATGGTTCAGCATACAAATTGTCGACAGGCACATCAAAGAAACCTTGGATTTGAGAAGCATGTAAGTCCATTGTGATAACATGGTCACAACCAGCAGTTGTAAGCATATCGGCCATCAATTTGGCAGTAATAGGAGCTCTTGATTTATCTTTTCTATCTTGCCTTGCATACGGAAAGTTTGGTAATATAACAGTAATTCTTCTAGCACTTGCAGTCTTACAAGCATTTATCATGATCAATAACTCCACAACCCTGTCATTGACAATACCTGAACCAATTTGGCATACAATAAAGATATCCTCATCTCTCACTGATTCTCCAATAGAAAACTGAACTTCACCATTGGAGTCTCTTTTGAATTCAGAAGGTGTAATCCGTGTACCTAATCTTCTAGCAACTAACTCAGCTAATCCTCTGTGTACATCGCTAGCTAAAAGCTTGATTGAATTGGTGGACATCTCTCTCACGTGGATCAATGATATTATATCGAATGCAGAAGACGTAAGGAAAATTAACCTATTCTGTTCACTTCAAAAGTCTAGTAATATATGATCTTTCAAATACTTCAACTCTTGTCCTAAGCAAACAAACCAATGTAGTTAAGTATATAGTAATAGGTTGGAATGAACTCACTTGAAATCCTGGGGATGACATTGACTTTTTTTCCAGATGCCCTCGGAAGTTTTGTGTTAAATTTTTTTAGGTGTGTTCCGCAGGAAGAAGTCAAACTTGTGTTTAATGATTCTACTCTGCAGATAAGCTTATATATATATATACAAATAATTCCGGGGTAACTTTACACTAATTCCGAGAGTTTATGGAATTCAAATCTTTATCTAAAATAATCCGTCGAGATCTTGATCGTCATCACCCATATTGTCATTGTCATTTTCATTGTCATCGCCTCCCATTTCGTCATCGTCATCTTCATCCTCCTCCTCCTCTTCTTCGTCTTCATCATCTTCGTTATTCACTTGTGCACCTTTCTCTTGATTGGTGAAAAGATGGGCATCTGCTTTGGCATTGGCTGCTTCCAGCTCAGATTGGATTTTAGCTAACTCTCTCTTTTTATTATCAAGTGACACTTTCAATATACCATGTTGATTCTGGAACCGTTTACGAGCAATCTTATTTGGTGCTCGTTCAATGTAATCTTTATGTTGAGCAACTGTTTTCTCCAATTCCTTGATTTCTTCCTCTAATAATTTGGTACGCTTTTTATCGTTAGCTTCATCTTCCTCCTCTTCTTCTTCATCTTCTTCATCATCATCGTCATCTTCTTCCTCTTCTTCCTCTTCTTCCTCTTCTTCTCCTTGAGCCTCTACTCCTTCTCCCCCTGCTCCTTCTCCATCGCCTTCTCCTTCTTCGTCTTCTTCGTCATCCTCCTCGTCATCTTCATCTTCATCATCATCTTCTCGCCCTTCGATCTTGACCTTGGGTGTTTCGCCACCAAGTCCTCCCTCCTCATCATCATCTTCGTCCTCTCCGACATCATCAATATCAAAGTCAAGTGCTCTTGCTAATTCTTCCTCCAAGTCAGATGCAGCCTCGTTGTCATCCATTCCATAATGGGTCTCCATAGCTTCAGATCCAGAAATATCCTGACCATTATGTGCTTCTTCCCCTGTAACTTGATGAGAAGAATTCGAATGAGTCGTAGGTAGAGGTGTTGGGGCTGCTGATGTCAGCATGCTGGTTGTGCCGAATTTCTTGTTCCGTAAATCTTCTGTCTTGACAAGTTCAAAATGACTATCAACAGCTTCGTTATCTAATTTTATGAGATCATTGACTCTTCTGTCAATATCTTCCATTATACGATGGTTTATCTTTCTTGGTCTCATTCGTCTGTATGTGTCTTCGAAACTATTCAATAAGCCGTCTCTTAAAACCATTCTGTTCGTCCTGATCTCTCCATCACCTACAATTCGGTAGAATGGATGTTTATACAAATACTCTTCGGGAACTTCGAAATCTCGTTCCATATTCAAGTTATGAGGGTTGATTACTCTTATTACCAAGAGGATCTGAGATATATCTAGGGTCTTGAACAAATTCTTTTTGTCGAGTGTTTTGAACAATTCCAGTACGGTCGGTAAATCAAGCAACCTGGCCGCATATAAAGTACCCTTCACGTTGACTACTGCTTTGTCTTTGGTGATCCACTTAACATTCAAACCGGAATAATTACCCAGATCAACTGCACTATGAACAAAGTCAAGATTGGTATCATTTAGGAAACGTATAACTATCCCTTGTTCTATTAGTGGGTCATCCTCAACATCTGGAGCTTCTGAATCATAACCTTCACCCAATGTTCTTTGAGGCTTGACTCTTACTTTTGGAGGTTTACTGCTGGAAACACTTCCGTTGGAAGATCTACTTGATTCTTCTTCTAGCTTGACTAAACTTCCATCAGCCACTCGCTGGTGGTGGTTTAATTTCAACTTAAGCTTCGTGCTCTTATCTCTCTTCTTTTTCTTCTTCTTAGTCACATTGTTGGCTATTAACTTTAGTTTAGGTAAGCCAGACAGTGTGCTTACCACGTCATGTTTTCGTGCTTCAGGTCGTTTAGCTCCGTCGCTTTTGGACGGTAAGTTGATCTTAAGCTTAAGAGACATAGCGTCCAGTATAGAAAAGAGAATTAATATATAAGTTATAGACTTCGGTATACCTGACGGTTCTTATGTGAGGTTTGGTCTCAGAAGAGCATCGGTATTTTTCGTTCGATAGGAGAAAAACAAAACTACAAAAAGTGAAAGCCACTTATCACCACCATAGTTAAGCTTTTGTTCTGTTCGTGCACCCCGCTGGTATTGTTTATCAATGGGAAGACAATCGGGTAGAGAGTCTTCCGAAAGAAGACGATCTTCGCTAAGCAGACGGTCATCAAGTCTTAGTAGATGGAGATCACGATCTGACTCGTTAAGTTCTGTAGGGTCCACTGGTAGTCAGTTTCTTGATGACAATACCAATGAGATTTATTCAGGTGCTGGGTCTGAAATAATCCCAAGTTCAATCACATCGTTCCATTATCCTCACCATTTTGGTCGTAGTAGCCATAGGAAAAGTGTTGTTAGTGGTATATCAGATTTTGGTCGCTCCCCTCCTGTGCACAGTCATAATGATAATGAAGATGATGAAGCAATTGATGGAGTCTCTGTAAGATCAGGCAGTGGCCAAAGCTTAAGATCTGATGAAATCCAAATGAATAATTTCAAATTCTTTAGCCCGGATGAAATTGAAATGGCTCCTGGTGGTTCTACTTTGGAAAACCCTGAAAACCCAGTGGACTTTGATACCGCCTGGGATTATTCAGTGGATAAATATATCGTTGAAGAGGAACCTCTTCAAGATCATCGTAGGAAATCAGATAGCAGTAGTGTCACGCCAGATTATGATTATGGTTCTATCATATATGAAGGGGGAAGAAATAGGCGTGATTCTGATTCTTCTTCTTCCAAACATGTGCTTCTCGAAGAAAATGAAAATGAATTGCTTAGATTCTACGAACAATATCCTGCTACAAGTGAATATCAGAGATATTATCTTGCTGAGGAAGATTTGGTCATTGGTATTGCAGGGTATAAGAGTTCATGGCCAAGGACTACACTCTATTACTTATTCTGCATATTTACCTGTGGATTAGGTTATTTGGCTATGAGATGGTTCCCAAAATTTAGAGTTAACATGAAAGGTAATAAGTCTCCTTTGGGGAAAGCTGATTGGGCAATTATTGAGAATGAATATGGTGAATTAGTAATTGTTAACATTGATAAAACTGCCTTTAACGAAAGACTTTCTGACTTCTTAACTTCGTCCCCTCAAGAGGGTGAAGATTTGACTTCCAGAAAACTTGAAAACGATCCTGTTGTACCTTATTTGCAAACTTTTAACTACAGATACGTTAAGTTTTTTTATAATCCGGTGGAAGATCTCTTCAAGACAAATTCGAATTGGTATGACCCTCGTTGGTTGTATGCTAGAAATATGAAGGACGGAATCCCTCAAAGCGTTCAAGAAGAAAGGCTTGAAATCTTTGGTCAAAATAATATTATCATTGAAGAGAAAAGTGTGGTTCAAATCTTAGCAGATGAAGTCTTACATCCCTTTTACGTATTTCAGATCTTTTCTATTTTCTTGTGGATGGCTGATGATTATTACTATTACGCTGGTTGTATCTTTGTTATCTCCCTTATTTCCGTGTTGAACTCATTAATCGAAACAAAGCAAACCATTCACAGGTTGCAAGAGATCTCAAAATTGTCCTGTGAAATTAGAGTGTGGCGTCATGGGTTTTGGAAACAAATTGACTCCCATGATTTAGTTCCGGGTGATGTTTTCGAAGTTGATCCAACATTGGCTGTCTTACCATGTGATGCCATCTTAATTAACGGTGAATGTGTGGTTAATGAGTCGATGTTAACAGGTGAAAGTGTCCCAGTTTCTAAAGTTCAAGCAACTCAGGAAACAGCAGTAGCTTTGCCGGAAAGTTTTACTTCTCCCCTCTTAGCAAAATCATTCCTTTATAACGGTACAAAGTTATTGAAAACTAAATCTTCCAATGATGAACCGGTATGTGCTATGTGTTTTAAAACTGGATTCAACACCACTAAAGGTTCTTTGGTTCGGTCAATGTTGTTTCCTAAACCTATTGGTTTCAAGTTCTATCAAGATTCGTTCAAGTATATTGGTTTCATGGGTCTTATTGCTTGTATCGGCTTCACTTATTCTACATACAACTTTATTAAAGTTGGTTTGGATACTAGAACTATGATATTGAGAGCTTTGGATATCATCACCATTGTTGTTCCACCTGCTTTACCTGCTACCTTGACTATTGGTACAACGTTTGCGTTATCTCGTCTCAAAAAGCTACAAATATTCTGTATCTCCCCGACAAGAGTTAACGTTGGGGGTAAACTTGATGTGGTTTGTTTCGATAAGACTGGAACATTGACTGAAGATGGTTTGGATGTGTTGGGTGTTCATTTGGCTATTAACGCAAAGGGTAGAAAGGAAATCGTTTTTGACGAATTGGTATCAGACATTGGACATTTGGATGTCGGAGAAACCAAGTCATCTTCTCATGAGTTGAAGAATGGGAAATATTTATTAGGGGGCATGGCAAGTTGTCATTCATTGCGTTTAATTGACAATGAAGTATTAGGGGATCCATTGGATGTAAGAATGTTTGAGTTTACCAAATGGCAGTTATCTGAAACTACCACTAATGTAATTGTCCACTCACCAACTTTCACTGACGACAGTTATGCTATTGCTCGAGAGTTTGATTTCGCTGCTGCTTTACGGAGAATGTCTGTAGTTGTCGATTCAGAAAGTCGACGGTTTGTGTTTACCAAGGGTGCTCCAGAGATAATGTACAATGTTTGTAATAACGAGACTTTACCTACAAACTTTGAGGACTTGTTGCATCATTATACGCATAGCGGATTCAGAGTCATAGCATGTGCTTATAAGGAAATTTCTCAGGAGGTTAATATTAGTGACTTTGATAGAGAAGAAATAGAGTCTGATTTGACTTTCACCGGGTTCATTGTGTTTGAAAATAAGTTGAAGCCAGCTACAAAAGCAACCCTTCAGGAATTAGAAAGAGCTAAGATTCGTACAGTAATGTGTACTGGTGATAACATCTTGACTGCTATTAGTGTTGGTCGGGAATGTGAGTTGATTAGTCCTGATATCAACGACGTTTATGTTCCTACTTTACATGAGAATGAGTTTGGTATGGATTTAATTTGGGAAGAAGTTATCAATCCTGGAAAGATCCTTGATCCAAACACTCTTCAGCCTTCAATCAAAGGGGAAAAGTTCACCTTAGCAATAACTGGTGATGTTTTCCGGTATATGTTAACAGAAATGAAAGACGAAGTCGACCAGGTTAATACTTTGCTTTTGAAAGGTAGTATCTTTGCTCGTATGTCTCCTGATGAGAAGCATGAATTAGTTGAACGTTTGCAAGCGTTGGACTACACTGTTGGATTTTGTGGTGATGGTGCAAATGATTGTGGAGCTTTGAAAGCTGCAGATGTTGGTATATCGCTTTCTGAAGCTGAGGCTTCTGTGGCAGCTCCCTTTACTTCACGTATATTTGAAGTATCATGTGTTGTGAATGTCATAAAGGAGGGTAGATCAAGTTTGGTGACCAGCTTTTCATGTTTCAAATATATGTCGCTATATTCGGCCATCCAATTCATCACTGTTACTTGTTTGTACAAGGAAGGAACTAATCTTGGCGATTTCCAGTTTCTTTATATTGACTTGTTTCTTATTTTACCATTGGCAATTTTCATGTCATGGTCTGGACCCTTTGGTGAGCTTGTGATCAAACGTCCGAGTGCTAATCTAGTGGCACCAAAGATCTTGATACCAATGTGCTGTCATATAATTGTCATTATGATTTTCCAAGTTACATTATGGCTTCATGTACAGAAGCAGCCTTGGTATATTAAACCAGTCGTTGGGGGTGATGATGAAGTTAAATCATCTGATAATACTGTTTTGTTTTTGTTTACTAACTTCCAGTATATTCTTATTGCTGTTTTGTTGAGTAGTGGTCCTCCATACCGTGAACCAATGACAAAGAACGTTCCGTTTATGATCAATGTTTTCCTTGCTACTTTAATTTCAATCTTGTTATTCGGAATAGATGAGAATACAAGATTGGGTGACTTTATGGATTTAACTAACTTATCCTCATTTTTCTATGCTTTGATTTTGGTTTCGGCAGTGTTAAACTTGATTGTTATGATGGCTGGTGACAAATTCTTGTACAGTAAGATCACTTGGTTTTACAAGAAAATATTCAGAAGAAGCCAGTTTGGCGTAAGCAAAAAGAAATACAAGAACTTGCTTCGGGAAATGGGGTCAACGGCATTTGTATAAATCCTCTTATAGAACTTATAATTAGACACTTTCATTCTTCATTAGTAGGAAATTAACATACTATGATATTAAGTTTGTCTCACCAAAGCTAAAAAAAATGATTTCGCCCAGGATCGAACTGGGGACGTTCTGCGTGTTAAGCAGATGCCATGACCAACTAGACCACGAAACCACTTATGTGGAAGAATTGTATAGGTTTTGTTACTGGCTGCAGTCAGGTGATACCCCTTAACATCAGCGTCATATGCAAGTTACGAATCTACTATATTCTTAGTGTATAAAGAGAGTGTAAAATGTTTACTCACAAACGGGATAGATAATGTACTCCTATTGCAGTATTATCTGGGGAGGTCTCGACACTGCTTTTCAGCTCAAAGTATCAATTTTCTTATAAATGTAGCGTGATTTGAAAGGAAAAGGCTTGGACCAATTTTGTGCTCAATATTTTAACAACTTACGCTTAAACCAAAAAACTTTGCAATTGATCTAACATATTCACCATTGATGCTGACTGCAATCGTTCGGACCATATTTGGCAGCGAACTATTAATGTTCAGTTGATTACTTGATAATTCTAAAGCAAATCTGGACCGCAACTTGCGCCTTTTATTTTTCAAAGCCACTAATTGACAAAGAAAAGATCATATATCATATAATGATGGGGCTAAAAGTCATGCATTTCAATTTTGATCACAGAAAAGAGGATCTTGACGACATTGTTGGTGTAAATTACACAATCATATTTTAAATCAACGACTCCGCCTTGCAACTGTTTTCCGGCTAAGTATATTTCTTTAAGTCCGACTACGATAATGTATTGCAAGGTTGAACTCTTGAATGTTAAACGAAATAAGGACTTATAAACTAATTGCATCTAATGCTTAAACGACATGAGTTCAAACCTAAAATTCAAGTTCCGATGTCGAACTTCAGGTTTAAGGCTTTTACGTATTAAGTTCTGCTTTTCGCTGTCACCAGTTTTGTGAGATTGGAGATGGCAAGCAAAGCATCGTAAGTTCTATTCATGGGAATGTAATTTTCAACTCGATGACGCCTTTTATTGTGTCAAAGAGAAGGAGGTAATGCATTTCTTTATCCCTCAAATTTGACCTGGTAACCATAAAAATACCTCAGTGTAGCAGTGGAACTAGAAAAAAAACTCGTACACGACAGCATAGCACAGCCCTGAAAACAGAAAAACCCCAAAGAAACCCTTGAAACCGCTTGTACCGGAACTTTGAACACAAGTTGTGTCCCAAAAATAAGGAAGTATGAGGGGACGAGCTAAACTCAGCGTAGGGCATTAGAGAAAGGTGTTGCATTTCTGCAGTGACCGGACAAAAGTCTTGATAGGTATAAGAGCAACAGTATAATAATTTGACATACTGTCAAAGATTGTATGTAAGGTTTGATATAACTCAGCCCTATGGATAATCTTAGTATTCCTAGTATACACAATAGAAATCCTTCAAAATAAAATTTTTTGACAGGCGTAAATTTCTTGGCAACGGCTCCCAAAAGTTATACCACTTTTTAAAAATAGGTTGCATGATACGCACAATGTTCTGAGATAAATAAGCTGCGTTGTCGTTGCTGTTCGGTTGCCAGAGAGGGGAAGAAAGGTTTTGAAACATATGCCGTGGACAGGTTTATGTTATGCATATCCAAAACCGAGCTAATGGTGTGACGCACGAGCTTCTAACACAACGAAAACACGATATCAGGTCAGAAAGGTAGGATTTAGGATTAGAATTGAACCAGAGGAATTGATAGAGGAAGAGATAAATATATAGCGAGAAGGAACGAGTCAGAGATTGAAAACTTGCATCCATTCCTTCGATGATCTTCTTTAGTCGGAATAATGGGGTTATTTGATCTAATCGAGTAATCAAATTTCCAATCATAATGCGTCCTGTGCTGTCATCGAGCGGCTTATCTTCAATATTTTGCAAAAATAGCTTTTGTGATGCGAATCCTGATAAGGCTCCATGTTTCTAATACAAAGGAGCGGAGAGAGCGGAGCAAAAAAGAAGTATGACAGGGTAAACCTTCTTTGGATGATGATTTACACTCATACTACAACTACAACATGAAACTAGAAAAGGGAATGAATGCATGATTTCATATTACTGCTAGAGCAATTTTAAAAAGTGAAATTTATCTGGAGGTAAACCGCTTGATAGCTTTTTTGCGAAGTCACAATCCAGTCGCACACGAATAAACAAACACAGCACAGCCTAATTTATCGCCTTGAATGCAGAACAGCTTTTGAGCGTTCACCTAATCGTTGTGTGTGATAGAACGGGAAAATCGTAAGCCAGTAATGGTATGTAGCTAATTTGGCACAGGAGGACTCCAACTAAAAACTTTGTCATATTTACGGCGTACAAAAGGACACAGTTAAAAACATTGCTTCATGTTTCCTAATTCTTTATTTGGACATCCGGCACCGAGGCGGCCCAGGGCCATGACTCAGACTGGATCCATGGAAAAATTATGTCAATCTAATACTTGAAGGGCTCTTGTAAGCCATATAAGATTTAACCCCAGATGCAAGAAAGGCATATGTAATTAATGGCCTCGTGGTATTCGCTCATTACCTGGAAATCGATCAACCTCGTGCTTCAATAATATGCCGGCATCTTCATAAAAATTACTGCCCTTCATACAGAACCCACATGGCTCGCAAACAAAATAGGCTTTTAAATTACTTTGTATTGAGTGGCTTTATTCGTATAATATTACCTCACAGGATTTATTGCTCGGATGCACTTATTCGCTTAATTTTATGTATACATCAAGATGTATATATATGTATGCATATCGCTATACACTTAATTCCCCAGCTGATGTGGGAAAGTTGAGTCATTTTAAATCGCTTACAGTGTTTTATTTTATTATTCGTGGTGGCCGAGGTTATTAACATTGGCAGCCTAAGTAAAGCCAACAACTATAAGAGAGATTCATACCATACCACACTATACTATACTTTTATAAACTAGTTTCCTTTCAGGATAGTATAGTATAATTTATCATAACTATATTATATAATATGAGGTTGAGTTTAATAATAATTGCATTACTTCCAGTAGTGCTTTCCTTGAACATCGTCGTCTCTACCACCGATTCTTGGGTGTCAAAAAATGCTAGATATCTATTCAAAATGCTTCACGAAGAAGGTCATAACGTGGTGTTGGTGGGGAATTTGTATGATTACCAAGACAAGCGCGATGAACCACAATATACAAATGAGCAACAAGGCTATTCTAAAGTGTCTGTTGAATCTTTAAAGAGTGGGGGTGCGTATGGCCATTTATTGCCAGTACACCAAACATACTTCAAGTCTATCAATCACATAGTCAGAGAACATAAAAGATGTAAAAGAAGAGGCGCTAAGGGCGTGATCTTCTTCAAGGATAACGAAAAGGCTCTTATTAATCAAGATCACCAAAGACACCAAGGTAAACACAGGCGACACAGAAAGCCAGTTATTACAAACACATTTGGCCAAGATCCATTAGAAAGAGATGCATGGTACGTTAACCATATTGGTCCTCATTCACTCATATTTGCATTAGACGTTATCTTACCCACTTACTACGATAACATGACTCCAGATTTAATTATCATGGGTCCTACTGAAGATACCACAACTGAGGAATCTGTTATTGATGCTATCCAATATGTGAAGCAAAGAGAACTGAAAGACACGAAGCCACCTACCATTTTGACTGTGACAACGTTTGAGGATAGCAAAATCTATTTCCAAGACGAAACTTATTTCAACCTTCAAGCAGAAACTTACCAAGGTTCAATCAAATCTAATATGGTTACAAAGACAATGCACTTCGTCAACAAAAAGATTGTGGAACTTTTAAACTTTGAACAATTCGGTACTCAAGACTCGGTTATTACTGTCAAGTTCCCATCTTTGAACCTGGAACATACAAGTTGCTCCACTGACGAAGATTACATTAATTTCAAGAAACAATACACTTCAGTCAATGCTGAGAAAACTTTTAAGAAACTGGACTCTGAAAGACTTCCTATTTTCAAGTTTAATACTTTGAACGACATCAGAATAAACTTGAATGCATGGAAAATGATTCAAAGTGCACGCGAGTCATGGAATCAAGTCATCAACTCCAAACAAGATGACGAAGATTTGAAAGTGGGTAGCAATTGTAAGATCTCAGTCAACTACATGAATTTTGAGTGAATCTACTTCAGGATTGTGTGTTTGACACAGAACATTGCATTAGTAGAGGAGAAGTTTTCTTCCACGAGGTCCTCCATAATTATTGGGTTGGGAACTGTATAGACATTTGTTTTGGGAAATTTAAGGTTCAGGCTAAATGGGAATTGTAGAATGAAAACATTACTAGGTACGAATATAAAATTACTAATACTTTCGGTAGTCAGATTCTTATAAATAATGTAATGCTTGTAGAATCTTGAATGCACCTTCACGTGCCAGTAAGGGATTTACTACCGTAAGTGCTTCTGTCTTAATGAGAAAGTTTATCTGCAAAAAGTGAGAGATACTGTGATTGTTTCTGAGTATTGCAAAGATTAGCACTGAGCCACTTTCTAACGCAGGTTGCATATCCTCAACATAAGATCTTAAGCCCACTGTACTTTTGAAGGTTGCATGTAGTACTATGAACACATTTTGAGGTATTAAGCACATGGTGTGTGATTTGAATAAGGGCCAGCCTTGATGCGACATTATTTATTTCCTCTAATGAGAATTTAGACTTAACCACCCTTAAGGTTACAGCACTCTGTTTTGGTCTGCTCTCGTCAGCACTGAAGTGCCCTTGTATAAGTTATTCTAAGATGTGAAAATGAGTTGAATGGTTCAAACCCTGGAACGATGCCACAAAGCTATTATAACAAAATCTTATCATCAATACAATAGTTTTATTGCGAACTCAAATTTAAGGTACAACTTTAACCGACAACAGAAAGCGGCCTTAAAGGTGCTGAGATACGTCCTGAGTTGCTAGAAACCGTTGCATGGGGCAAATCAATCACTGAAATACGCATAACTGGCACGATTTACACCATTTTCAGTCAACATAGAATAGAGCGAGTTCAGGGTCACATATTCTGAATATCATGGGATCTTTTAAGGAAGTATTATTTGGGTTGATGTTGTATCGTCAAGGACGGCAAAATGTGCGTTGAAGCTGTCTTGAACGCACTTGAGCGAACCTTGAAAGCCCCCAAACCCGCGGGTCTTTTCATATTGAAATTACACCGCGTCTTACGTAATGATTGTGCTTTCGAACATTAATCCGAATTTAAGTATTTCCGTCGATATTATTAATAGACCAGTATGTTTCACTTGCATTTTAATCATTCAAAACCGCGGATGGTGACATTTATCCGCGACCTATATCGGTAAGTAGCTTCAGGTTAGGGTGTCCATTATGTAGACACGAAACAAGAAAAGGTTTAACAAATTAATAGTAGCTACTGTGGACTCCATAAGACGATATCGAAGGTTTCAAGCATGCAAAGACATCGAAAGTCGTGTAGTGCAGTTACTGTAGAGAAAGTAGTGATCAGGTAGTCCCTACTGGGCATAAGGACAAATGGTTTGGGCTTTTGACCCAAAAATTTACAACCCAAATTTGTCAGTCACACTATTGCTGATTATTGTCTTTGACCTATTCGTTGGGAGTAATGAAGTACACACTAGATATCCAACACCAATACCAAATAATGCTGGGCTCGGAGGGTAGAAAGTTGGAAGCCCGGAGCATATTTCTTGAGGCGTCTCACTCAAGCAGTTGACTCCCCATAGGCATTCCGTCATCTTTCAGTTACATTTTTTGTTATTCAAGTGAAGGGTGTTGCACTTTCCATTGTTCTTGAAATTGTAGTTAGACAACTAAAAACAGTGCCCTAAATCCAATAAGCTAGCACTATTTTCCAGGCTTTACCTATCATTTCCGGCCTTTCAAAGACCGGGCTACGAAAATAAGTAAATTTCATCACATAATACAAAAAGTTATGCTCTCCCTACTACATAAACTTAAATCGCTATCCCTTTACTAAACATTTATCAATTTTAGATATTTTCTGAGCGTTCCAAACGCCTTGTAGTGGGTGATGTTAACATATGTCCCCCCACGCACTTAAACCTGATCCGTTCCTTTGGAAAAAGCTTCTGCAATATCTAATGTTTTTCGAATGATACGCCTTGCGCACAAGAGTAGCTCTCATTAATCACGAAACCCCACCTCCTTGTTTCTATTATTGATAACAAAGAGACTAGGTCAAAACTAATAGCAGGGCTACTTAGGCAAAACAATCTCAGCATTGGTCCCATTGTTGGACAATCAAATTCAAGCTTTTCACGGATAACATTTGCAGCCCCTGTGCTAGGGCTACAAAATTGCCGCCTACACCCAGGTTACAAGAATATAATTCGAAAGATGACGTATTTTATAATAGGCAACTGCGAAAGGTTGAAAAGGCTCACCTGTGCTTGATTTTTTTTCGCAGTCAGGCAAAAATTCGTCTAGAAACGAGTGTAAAGTACCTATACAGTAATATACCAGGAGATCGTTTACCCCAATCTGTGCGTCATCTATGGTTATAGCATACAAAAATCGGCATTTAGTGTACTTTTTTAAGGATAAATTCTGCTTTCCCCTCTTATCATGTTTGCTACTATATGACGTATGACCTTTTACTGCCCATGACGACAAGGTCAAGGTCTATCGTTAATGCAAAAAATATGCATATTGATTTTGCAGTGGAGAATCATTTCGGTCATGAATAGCGATATGACTTTAATCTGAAATGTTTGTTACACTCCTCTTGTGGCACGTTGTAGTAGTAGACAGGTACTGATTTTAAGTCTGAGAGTTGCAATTTCATGTTGAAATTACTCTTATATTGCACAAAAGCAGGAGAACAACAACAAAACACCTTCTATGCTCGGTCCCATTATGGAAAAATGTCTTGTCTAATGTTTTTACATGATTGTAACTCTGTATCTGCGTATGTGTTCACCTTCTTTCCCGTTACCAATCTGATGCAGTTGCTCTTCTTCGTAGCAATAAGTATATGTATGCTAATCTGTTTTCTCTCTTCTCTTGTTCTGTTGTCTAATGATATCGCTATGTTTTAATGCACAGATTTAAGTATTTATCACCGCTCTAACTAAAGACGTTTCAAGATCCGTTTACTGACATACATTCCGTCACGTCTACTCTATGTAGCTAAAACTACTATCCTGCACAACTAATATGCCATGTTCAAATTCTACTTTTTATTTTGCCTTTAATTAGTCATGCCCGCAAGGTACAGAATAAGACGTTTGGCATGTAAAACATTACCTATTATATAAACGTTCTTGACAGAAATATCTTATTAACAATCAAACCTGACAAAACTTACACCCCTCGCGTACCGTTGCCTAAACTTACGCTTGTGACCATCAAAATATGAAGGATCTCTGAGTCCGTGTCAAGGACAAGCGATGCAACTAAGTGACTGAAGCACAATTGAATGGTCCAAAGGTTACATTAAGGATTAGGATTGCATTGTGAAACTGAGTAAAAAGTGTCAGTAATGTCTAAATACCATTCCATTTGAAACATGTATTGGATGATCCTATTTCAATCAGTTGCATGTTTTTGTCTTACAAATGAGGGAGTTTATCCGATTATGTATTTAGGTAACACTGAATCATACGCAGCTTGCATTTGCTGCGGAATCTTTTTATTTTTTTCAGTACAACAATCCGACATTTTGCCCACATTAGTCCCCCCACCCTTTGTTGTTGTAGAATAATGTAAAAGGGGTTGAGGTTAGGTTCTATACAAAGATATGTACAAAGTGCAATTTGAAAAAATGACAATTGTTCAGTTACAATGGATTTAGAGTATGTAGCGATTTTTTCGTCGAAGTTTCCTAAGGGTGAGTGGAGGTATTTGTGACATTAGTTTAAGGGTCCAACAAAGCCAATGTTGTAGGCGCTGTAAACGGACCTCTAAAACATTACACCCCCGTTTTGCTAAGACCTTTATCTGCTTCATGTGAAAAACAATACCGAGAATGCGTGATAATCGGAGTGACCATAGAACTTATTTTGGCAGCACAAAATAATCTGGCAAACTCTAAGCAGTTATAGTAAGTCACCAAAACAAACGCCTCACGCCCAAGACATCCAAACAAATTTGATTTTGAAGCAGGTGAGATGGAAAAGGAAAAATTGATACATGCGGATAATTTTAAAATGCTGAACATGATGGGCTCACCTCATATAACATATTGACTCCACTTCTGGGCAAAGGAAAACTACATCGTCCACATCTCTCCACATCTTTAAAATATGCGATTCTATTGATTTGTGTACGGTAATATAAAATTTCAATGTTTTTCACCACTCGTAAACAAGATCCTCTGGTTACCCACTCACTCACGGCTTCCCGTTTCCGGTAAGTTCAAGGCCTTGAATCTTGGGAAAATAGTAGGATTTGACCCATCAAAGTCACATTTGATTTGCCTCAAATTCTCTTAAGTAAGTATTTAAAATATGTCATTATTATGGGCATAATTGGTTCGAATCGACTTTAACAATTGTCAAGCGAATTTGCTCAACTGGGAAAACTGCACCCAGCGAAATTGCAAAGCCACTTATGACCTTTTTAATGGCTTAGGAGAAATTCATCATCTTGCCTAAAAACTAAACACTTTTGGGAAGTCTAAATTCGTAAATAACACATCGATTGCCTTGTACTGGACAGTTGCAAGCTGCAACTAAAGGAGACACAGCTTCAGTTCCGGGACTGCAGTAGTTAAGGCATCAAAAAGTTCATTACGTTCTGTGGTCTGCTATATGAAGGAATAATAACGAACACATTAGATGTAGTAACTCACAAAGTAGTCATTCCCTGGTCTTAAAAATAAGATGAAGTGATTGCGCTAAACTGAAACAGTGAATTACAAAGATTCCGCTTTAAGGTATCAAGCTGCTGCTCGTTTAAGGTTCAAACTGATTTTAGTCGTTCTACATATTAGTGTTTCCGATCGCTACTTGGTAACTCAAAGGTCGGAGTTTATATAGTACATTCAAAACTTTTCGAAACACCGCTATTAAGAAGTTCAGGTGTTAAACCGAGACTGGCTTCTTTTCATTGAGATCCTATTCAAATACCTATTGATTGTGCAAAAATTGCCCACTCTGCATTTGTCACTGTTGTATGATCCCCCAAATTGTGCTTCTATATTATCGATTTTCCTTGTATTTGTTAGAATAAAAACAGTGCCACTCTGTCGGCCCAGCCATTTTCAGCCTGGCCCCTTGATCTTTCGTGCCCTGGACCAGTTGGAGGATGGGGGGAGGGGGGTCTTGATCAAATCGTTAGTACTGACTGGATCCCATGTGCCTTTTTTTGTGGTCTAAACCCTGGCATAGAAGTTTTGATAGGGTAGCCCTTCTCTTGTGCCCACAGCATTGTATGGCTTAACTCGTAGGTAATTCTCAAAAATTACTCTCGTGTTCGTACTGTGGGTCGCAACCTCAACTGCAGATTTACGGTAATGTTACTGAATTATCTATTGATTACAGCTTATATACCAACGGATAAATCATTTCATGATTGTAAAGTAAGAGTGGTAAACAACTTGAACGTATGTAATAATCTGCGCATCAGCGCCGACACACACTCGTTCCAAAGAAGGGTTCTTCTGTAAGGCTATGGATTCCTGTGCATAGCTGCCATCAGTAGAATATTAAATTATTTGTGTATGTTATGTGTGCATAGAGAGTTGTGTCCTGATTTTTTTGTCTGATTGTTGAGGTGCATGCGTAGGTCCACGCTAAAATCTCACCTTCTAACTTCGCTGTTGAATTGTATTTTTCTTTGGAACAGAGGGCACAACGCCAAATTGTCGACCTGCTTGTATACGCGCATTGTTTTGTCTATTGTTATTTTTCGGGTTTACACAAATCTCAGATATTCTAGTAGTATTTTCTGGTCGTATTATCTAGTTCACAAGTCAACTTGTGAGCCTAAATAATTATTATTTTACAAGCACCTACATTAATTATTTACACGTACATACAGACGTGAACATGTACGCTCGAAATGGCTATTGTGTAGAGGATTATTAAGTTAAATCCAACATAAAAATAAAAAAAAGAAACATGCCTCACTCGAGTACTTTCCAGGGTTATATATCTAAGACCTTATGGTTCTTAAATACAATTCCTTAGAACCAATTTGGAACCATCATTTCCTTGTATTTAATTAGTAATATCACGATAAATTTTTCATTACTTTTGATAAGTGCATTGTGTTGTGTTACATGATCTGGTTTCAAGACTTCAACAACTCAACTCCATTTTTTTTGAAGACCATAAAGGGCTAAGTTTTATATCAATTGCAAACGCCGTGATCTTTTCACAAATAGGACCCTGTCAAATCCAGTTCACTTTATTTGCATCCTCTTCCTGGTATTATATTTCTGTCAAAACTTTGCAACTGTTCCTTGGTGCCATTATTGAACTTCTCTGTTTGTGGGGTACTTTCCCCCAACTAAAGCTCAAGAAACTTCACATTTATTCCACCAACACCAATGACATCCGTAATGGTTGTCCCATTAGATTTCAAAAGCAAGGACAAAGTTAAAAATGTTTCCATTAACCTGATTCTAAATACTTCACGAACTCAAGTATCTTCCGATGCCTCAAAAAGTGAAGTGTCTCCTCCGGTCCCATCATATACGCCAATGACCCAGTCTCCTCCTACAGCCTCAGGGGGAACGTCAATATCATCCACCAGCATAGCATCACTTGTAAAGATACCACCCCAGGTAGTTGATACTCTGTTGCATAGAATTAATCAGGATGATAGGAGCCCTTCCCAAACTCATTTGGATTACTCACATACATTAATCAAGAGGAAGTCAGAAGATGCTACCTCAATGACATCTGCTGGTCAAAAGTCGCCAATCACTCCTCCTCCAAAATTACCTCCAATCGACAAGTCTATGTTTCCCAGAAGTTATAGTCATCCAACAGAATTAGAAAAGCAAGAGACACAATCAAGTCATCTAGTAGCCCAACAAACACTTCTTCAACCTACCCAGCAACAACACTCACAAGTGCCTCTACAGAATCTGCTAACACAGCCCTCTTTCTATTATCCAATACAAACATCAGGTACCGGAACTCTACCTTCTGAGGGAGCAGCTACATCTGATCGACCAATCATAGCCCTACAGCCTATTTCTAAAACAAATGCTTCTCATGTTTCTCTTCCAACTCAAACCGCCACTGTTCCAATTGTACGTGATTCAATCGAATATTTACAAAATTCTGGACCTTTTACTCCTGGCTATTATTACTTGCCATCCGATTCTACAACTTACTACGTCACACACCCTCTGGGTATACCAAATGGCTCCTTTAGGTATGGGGGCTTTCCCCAACTAAATGATATTCCAGTAAATGAACGTGGTATAGCGGGATCGAGCTTTCAAGGGTTTCCACCCCATGCCATGAATGCAACGACCAATCAACCATATCACTCTTCCATAACAAGCTCGTATGCATACTCACAACATGACTTCAATCCCAAGGATGTATTTAAGCACAGAACAAGAAGATTTAGAAGGAGATATAACCAAGTTGTAAGAAAGTACGCATGCTCGTTTAAAGGTTGTACAAAGTCCTACGGCTCTTTGAATCACCTCAACACCCATATAGTAACAAAGGGTCACGGGCAGAGAAAGTCAAAAGCTGATTTTACATCTAAAGAAGAGCTTTTAGGAATTAATGAGCCTATGGAAAGGGCCTCTGAAGAGATTAGTTGGAATCCAAATGATCCTTCAGGATCGCCCGATCGCATTAACAGACAAGCTCAAACAGTATTTATGGAACCCTCTGGTAATTATTGGTATGGTATTCAACCCCAATCAGTCTACTTTGACCAGAATAAGCAACCAGTGTTTGTGCAAAATCCCCATTCGGAGCCGCATCCGATCCAGATGCTGCCAGGGCAGCCAGTTACAGTTCAACAAAAACCCCAGGCGCATCAGAGCCAGATTCCTCTAATATCTCAAGCGCATTATCTTCCCATTGGACAAGTTAGTGGATTTCCTACAATATCGGTTTCCCCAGGAGAACATAATAATAGTTTAAACTCTACTTACCCCCATCAGGCACCAGCTCGTTCATCTATTTCTCAACAAGGATACGTGCTTTCTCCACCTCACTTCCTTCTTCCAGGTACTGTTGTTAAACCAGAAACACAATCCGATAGCACGACGGATACTCAGAAAAAATAGTAAAACTTTGTTTTAATTCATCACGTTGTCTGATAGGACCGGTTTCCAATCTTAAGTTTTACATAATAACATTCTAAAATTGACGAGAGAACAAATCTGCTAAAGACTGACAAACCGCTTTCCGGGTTTACTTCTGTATAGTATTTATTACATTCATTTATTTATTGTAACAATTTCACTTTGCTAGGCTTTTTTAAAGTCGGGATCGAACAGAGTTTTCTTTTCGGCGTATAATTCCGTAGTTACTTTTCAGGTCGTAATTATAATACTGATGCAAGAGATGTCTTTTACCCGCCGAATGTCAACTCGAAACCCCGAAAACAATCTATGCCGACATTTAACACTTTACGAAAATAAATCGTATAAGCACCCACGCATATGCATGAAGGTATTGATGACTGTGCCCCTAAAACCACTGTGTACCATTTGAAAATACGAATGTTTTTAATTACTTTATTAATGTATGTGGTAATCCATAAATGTGAAGTTTATAGTTAGGCGTTGTCTTGTTTTATTTGTGTATGTTTTCATTGCCGTGTACCCAATGCTCACAGGAGCATCAAATGTATTCATATGTCCGAATTGAACTAGTACTCTTCTCATATGAGTATGAGGGATCCTATTCGCAGTAAGACTTGATGCACCTGCTTGGGGAAAACAATTACCCAGCCTAAATGTACTCAAAATCCATTATGACCCCATGTTTAAGCTCCTACCAGCAAACCAAGTAATATGGTAACGCAACTAGCGTTTTCGACCTAAGGTTGTCGAATGTTGGCTGGATTCTCGAGTCGCTTGATACTAGTACCGAGGAGGAGCTTATATCTGTTTACCATTATTGAACGATACCACTAAGTAGTAGCAATGGAAGTACCCGCTATCGTGTACATTTTGACCCTGATCTTAGCAGGTACCGATTGAAAGGTTTTGATGCATCACCCTTAAGCAGATCCAAACCTTTATTTACTCTTGCTTTATTCGGTCAATGTAAATGAATATTTTGAAAGAGCTCAGTTTACCTCTATCCCTTCAAAGGAACTTCATGATTTCAACCTGGAGTTAAAAGAATACTCTCGTGCTTATGACTATGATTAGGGCAATTAACGGTGAATTCTGTAGCTGCAGCCGCCCTCATTAACTTAAGCGAGCATGTAAATACGCAGTGACGATTGGTGATTGGAATATTTCAACCTTTGATCTCTCAAATTAGCAGCCCCAACATAGAGTCTAAACTAGATCCCTCGATATCAGCTGGTCTGTTTACCAGTTTGAAAGCAAGCTTGAGTTAATATCTACAGGTAAAAAGTCTAAAATTACGAGATCCGGGGAGTTCAAAGTTAAATGGGAAGGAGTCAAATAATGTAAATTAAAAATTAAACTACCTTTCCTACAAAGCATTCCCCCTTTTCCTTTTGCAGTATAAGACCAAATTAGCTTACATATACAATGAACGATTTCAAAATGTGCCAATCGCTATTCATATGCATACTTGAATCAGGAGAAACAACAAGTTGGGTCAACTCATTGCAATTCAATAGGGCTTAACCAATTAGTATAAGCTCATGGGGGGCATTTTTTTTTTAGGTTACAGACTATACGCCTTGCTGTAAAGGTATACCGGAAAATTTGTACCAGGGCTCAGTTAAGGTTCATTAATGTGTTGAAAGCTTGATTGGGGACTATTTACGTCTAATCGGTATGACTTTGGGGCTTTTAGAGCTTAATGTAATTAGACAAATAAGAGCCTGGAGTAAATATTTTCTAAAGTCCGAACGCTTATGAGTTTAGGCTCAAGGGGTAATTACGATAAAAGAGAGATGCCGGAGTTACAATTGAATGAGAAATAACGTTATTACAAAATGAGCCGCTAGTACATGCTAAAAACCTTTTGTCAAGAAGGCTTTGTAATGCACGGTGGGTGTAGTTTGTAGCAATTTGAAATTGTAATGTGGGAGTCCTAGCAGATTTTTTTGTCGGACTATTTTCCATGTTTCTAATATGGCTTAAAACAACTTGTTGCTGATATCCGACAGATACTTTGAGGATAGTTTGCGCATATGCATACTTTATGCATGATGCACAGTTTAACGCCCTGCAAGATGATTGTCTACGAAAACTAAGCTTATGCTACCTAAATGCTCAACTACTTAGACCTTCTTGAGTTATGTTATCCAACACGGTCTTTTGGTATTTCTATTAAGTTTCCGTAAGACTTGTTACCGAGAACAAATGATTAACTCCGTGTTTGCTTAGTTTGACTCGGTTTGCATTGGTTTAGAAAAGTATACGAATGTATATTTAGTGATACAAACGGCAAGGCATCAAAACTAATAAGGATTTAAACCGAACGTTTAAAGAGAGATGTGTGCAATAAAGATCATTGTTTGTATTATACACTTAGGACTTTGTTTAAACAAAAACATTTACTGCTATTAGCAATGTTGTGTAATTCACTATGCATATCCTCCTGACCAGTGTCGTACTGGTGACGTGAAAAAAAGTTGAGATTCAAACAATGTGCTTTTGGGAATATAACTATGGTGTGCGTTCTCCAATCAAGTATTCGTTATCATGTTTAAAAGTGCTTGCAAACATACCACTTACAAAGAGATGTTGGTAATATCAATTACGAAAATCTAGGCGATTAGCCTTGCAACCTCTGTTCACAAAATCCGGCATATGGCAGGTATGGAGCTTGTGCTGGAGGAGTCCAAATAATAATCCAGTAGAAACTTAAGCGACGTCCCCCTACATTGACTTACATGGAGAAAATCGATTCCCTTGAGTGTCCGGGCAAATTTTTCTCATGAATGTGTCTGAAGAACATTAAAAAATATCATACTGAGTCACTCAAGCCACATAAAAATATTCTAAACAATTCTGTTGTTTGAATCGTGCCTCATGCGAGATGCAAATGAATAGTTTTCAAGAACAAGTGTTTTCTCGTAGGCCTTTTAAGTCACGTGATACAACCGAAACATAGCTACTGATTATTCGCGACATTTATCGCGACATTGTCTATTGATGACCGACATTGCTCTTGAGTAGCCCACATACAGCTTGATCTAACACAAGGGTGCATTGTTATAAGGCGCTGCTCTTAATATAAGGCACTTGTAATATTCCACGGTTATACCTCCAATCTTCGCCTTTAGTCACACAGCTTTAATAGTGTAGTTAGGGAAATGGGTGATGAAGAGCCAGTGTCGGTGTCAATTGACGAAGTTCAGTCACAACAAACGTATCATCAACTGCCTGAGACTGACGTAGTTGTCACAGATGAAAAGCAGACAATACCACAATTGGAAAGTGAATCGAAGTCTATAGAAGCTACCGACAAAGATAGAAAAGAAGTTCCAGACCAGACAAATGAGGATTCAGGAAAACCATCAACTGCGATTGAAACAACAGACATAATTGGGGATACTTTAGTGGCAAGTCCATCACATCCTGATGGAAGTAAGATTGACAATGTTTCTGAGACTAGTGCTAGTGCGGTTGCTCCAGTTGACCTGAACAAAGTTGACGAAGTGAAAAGTCAACCAGAAGAAGCATCTAGCACTGTAACGACAGAAATGGAGACACTAAAAGCTCCCCAAGAAACGGTGGTCGAAGAGACTCCAGAGCTGGTGAAAGATACACCTGCATTAAAGGGTAAAAGGAAGCGTCTAACATTACAAGAGAGGTTAGCATTAGCAGCCAAAGGACCCAAAGTTACTTCTAGCACAGATACAACCCCATCGATTTCAAGAGCTACCAGTCCTCAGCCAACAGAGACTGTGACCATCGTACAGGCTTCTGCCGAGGAACTAACCGAAGCGTTACAACCACTGAGTGCTGAAGTCTCAATCGAGCAACCCCAAAGAAACGACCAGAAACGTCTTAGCACCGAGATTGAGCTTGACAAATATATTTTGAAAGAGGAGCATGAAAGTGAAATACTCAAACTAAGGAAGAATGTACAAGATCTCAAAAGTAAGAACCAAGTTTTGAGTGATGCTGTAGACAGATTCCGGTCTTTGCAGGCTCAGAACAATGATGATAATGACAAATTCAAAAGCAAGTTGGCGGAGAAGGATGGTACCATTAAGCAATTGATGGACGAAGGGGAAATCTTATCTCGAAAAGAGTTAAAATTAAACGATACGATCAAGAAGCTACGATCTCAAATGAAAGAAGTTGAAGAAGCAAACAAGGGACTCTTGGAAAAGAAGGCAAAATTAGATCTGATTGATGGGATTTTGACTTCAAATGGAGTCAAAAGCGTATCGGAATTAGCTGAAAAGTGCAGTGAATATCATAGCAAAGCCCTTCAATTAGACGAATATATTGGCAGAGAAAAGGCGAATGAATTTATAATTCAAGAAAGAAACGATGCACAGAAGAAGATGAGCGAATTGAACATTCAATTGGAGCTTTTCAAGAAGCAATCAAGGTTAGAAATTGACTCGAAGGATGTTCTTATCAATCAGTTGAGACAAGAAAACAGCAAGAACAAAAGAGAAAAGAACTCTGAAATACAACGACTTGAAGAGAAGATCGAAGCATTGAGGCTCGAAGCCGAATCTTCTTCTAACGGACACAGCAGAACTGCACGTACCTCTACCACTTCGCTTTCTCTGTTGAACAACAACAATATCAACAGTACTGATGTTGATGAAGCCAGATCATCAAAACTAGTTGACTACGAAGACTACATTAAATTGTCCAATAGTCACCATTCATTGCAGGCTCAGTATTTGCAATCTCAAGAGACATGGAAATTGCTCGAATCTAATTTGTCAGGGAGAGTGGACAAGTTGAGTCAGACCGCAGAAAGCTACCGTAAGACGAACGCAAAGGTTACTAATGAATTTAAGAAGTTAGAGCATGAACTTCAAGCCAAATTATCGGAGCTTGATACCTTGAAGTTCGAAGCCAAGTCGCAATTGGATACAATAGAAAAGTTAAAGTTCAAATTACAATTGAAACAAACAGATATCGAAGAACTTGAAGCCAAGTTTGAAAATTTTAAGACTATCTACAACATAGACAGAGAGAAGCTTAGTTTAAAGATTGAAAGCTTGTCCAAGAAATTAGAAAAGAAAGAATTGGAACTTACTGAATTAGCTACGCAGACAATGACGACAGTACCTTCCAGCTTTAATGCTAGTCTGCCTAACCTTCCACTTTCCACCAGGTCTTCTCAAGCCGACATCAACGCATGGCAAGATAGTATAGGTTTAGGAGAGTCGTCCTCGTCTCCAGTAGTGGAAAGGTCGCCATCATATGAGAGAACTCCTTCCTATGGCCTTACACATATACGATCCCATGTGAGTTCTGTTCTGTTGGGCCCTGCAGACTCTATAGAGGAAGATTTTGAAGCGAAATTCTCCACAAGTGATAATGAGAACGATACAATCAATGGCAGCAACAGTTTTGTGAACGTTGTTAAACCACGACATGCTAATAGTAGCAACAATAGCATCAGCAATATACCATCCCACACGAACTTGGGGTCTCAGCACATACTTATGTTGAATAAGATGGGGTCATCGATCCGGAGGTTCGAAGTGGAATTAGCCACTTTAAAAGAAGAGAATTCCCAATTAATCAATGAAAAGGAGAACATTCAAAAGGAGCTATTGAACAAATTTAAGTTGACTGATGAGATCGACAACTTGAAGAAGGAAATCGACCTTTTACAAGGAAAGATACAAGAGAAGGATAAAAGTGAAAAGACGATGTTGGAGGTTATAGGAGAGAAGAGTGAGCAAGTGGATGAATTAACAGGAGACTTGAAAGATTTGAAAGATTTGTTAAAGGTTCAAGTTCAACAATATATTGAGTTACAGGACAAGATCACCAAAGCATAGAAGCAGTATCGAACGCTAATAATAACATTAATAGCATTAATAATAGCTATCACAGTAATTATTAATTATATAAGTTCTTACGTAAACCACCTGCATATACTCCGTGAGATGAGATGAATTGAAAAAAATCTCGAGACAAAGCTTATGGTGTATGCCATAGTATATTTAGGTTAAACCGTCTAAAGAGATCATTTCCCTGGAGTTAACATCATGAGGAGTCTTACGACTGTAATTGATAACCAGCAGCGGTATGTTGCCAATATAATCAGCAAGCACGGCAGAAACGAGATTCAGATATATCCTGTGGAACAAATTGCACAAGCCGGTGACGAAGACTTAACAAGCACCAATTTGGCAGTACGGATTGAGCTAGAAGCCGAGGAACAAATAGAGAGGGTTAGATGGGTTCAAGATATAGACAGCGTTGTTGGAAAGAAGAAGGGATCCTCTTCTAGAAAGAGAAATGCAGAAGATAAGGATATAGCAGCTCTGGAAGACTCTGAAGGGTCGCTATATTTGTTGGCCATATTACTGAATGGTAATATCATTTGCATATCTCCCAATTCCAATCAGATCCTCACAACTATTGAAAATGGCGATGAGTCTCATAAGATCCACGATTTAGTCAGTTACAACACCAGCACTGTGTGGACCATTGGTGAGAACGGGAAGCTCCGTGAAGTAGTGCTTACCTCTGGTAAGGTTAAGAAGGAGATCCAATTATCCAATTTCGACAATGATAATACAAGCCATATAGCTTCCATTAAAAAGAGTGCTAGACAAAGTATGTTGTTACTAGGCTCTTCATCTTCGTTATATCTTGTTGATCCTGCTAAGAAGAAGCCCATTGTGGATACCGAAGCCAGTCAAGAGGCATCTATCACTCAAATAGTGGAATCGATTGTGCGTCCAGACCACGTCTATGTGACTAGAGAAGACAGTAAGACAATTGAAGTATACCAAGTCACTCCTACAAACATTGCATCCATAAATACCATTACAATCGAAGGCGAGGCCGTCGCCGGTATACGACTTTTCTCCCTTCCCGAAGAAAAGAGAGAGTTATTGCTTGCTCTGAGCTCAGAGGGTGTTGAAGTGTTTTCCATAGATAACAACGAAGTTAAGACATTGAACACCATAACCACCAATGTCAGCAACCATCCATTGGTAACTTTCGTTCCTCAGAAGAACGCATCAGGGTACATGGGTCTATGGTACGATGGGAACGAGCCGCGCTTCGCCAAGTTTGACACAGACTTTACTGACGACGTTGAGATTGCAATTGTCCAAGCAACAAATGGTGATGTGGAGATGAGCACTAGTAGTAAGGATGAAACAGTGTTAGTTCCTGAATCTACCAAAGTCCTCAATCTAGACTCTGATAAGCTACTCTCGCAATTACAAGGATTTTTGCATCAAGAAGAAAGCGACCAGGTTAATGCTGAGATCATTGAGTTGTGTGAAACCAACGATGACGAAGATAGAATAAAGGAGATGGTCCAGATCTTAGGATCATCTACATTGGCTACCAAGCTCTTTGTGGTCGTTAGTAGAGCTGTTGCTTCTGATCCTGCTAAAGGGAACTCGCTTTCGTTGTGGTTAAAATGGATTTTATTGGCCAATGGAGGTCACATCGCAAAGCAACCAGAGCAATATGAAAACGTGAAGAACTTACAACATGGGTTAAGCGAAGGAATGAAGATGATACCTCGTCTTTTAGCATTACAGGGGAGATTACAGCTTTTGAAGGCTCAAGCAGACCTTAGAAGTAGAATTGGTTCCAATGACAACCTTGACCTTGAAGAGACCAATATCATCAACAATAGTAGTAATAGCAACGATGCCGATACGTTGTTGTATGCGAACGGAGAAGATGACGATGACGAATACGCCGAAGATAGCGATACTGGCATGGAAGGCAAGAAGGCTGAAGTCTTTGAAATTGAAGGTGAAGTTAGATAGATTTAGTGTACAGCATCAAACATAGATCAAATAAATACGCGGAGAAGACCGAGGTGTGTGTGTGCCTGGAACGCGATGATAAAATTCACATAGATAACTTTAATCATTGGTACCTGCTTCTTCTTATATTCTTATCGCTGATAACGTACCCACACTATGGTCGAGAAGCTTTACATTTCGTACGAACATGTACATAAACTTTGTCGTAAGGCAGCTGAAGAGATCAAGAGTAAGAAGGATCCGGTGGACTTAATCATTGCCATTGGAGGAGGAGGATTCATTCCTGCTCGTATTCTCCGGTCATTCTTAAAACAAGACGGTCAGAAGAACATTCCGATCCAGGCCATCGGTTTATCATTATACGAATTTATGGGGAATGAAGAGACCATTGGCAAAGAAGTTGTGCGTACTCAATGGTTAGACTTTGGTAATTTAAATGACCATTTCGATTCCCTTATTGGGAAGCATTTACTTATCGTGGACGAAGTAGATGATTCTAGAACCACTCTACACTACGCTTTAACCGAGTTGGAAAAAGATGTTAAGGATATTCAAGAGAAATTGGGTCGTCAAAATGAACAGACCAAAATCTCTATCTTTGTACTCCAAAATAAAGATAAGGAGAAGAGAGCTGAATTACCTCAAGAATTATTTGATTCGGGAAGATATATGTGTGGTGAGGTTGTTCCGGATAAATGGATAGCTTATCCTTGGGATGCCCTTGATATCGATGATCAAACTGAAAGAGCTCGGGCTCAAGGCTACATTTAGTAAAGGACGTAGACATACATGCAGTAGTTACTACTATAACAAACGAATATACCGCTCCTACAAGTAGTGTCGGTATAAATTATTCAGGGCGCTACCATTTAAGTCGAGTCAAATCCTGCGATGGGCAAAAAAATGCTAGTGGCCTAACGTCGTACCAACAAATCACTAGTAGAGCCTTGTAATATCATTACCTTCTGGTTAGTGAAAGAGCTTTAGGTTTAATACCATAAGGTGAAGATTGCACCAGCAAGTTTTTCCGAGGAGGTCTTCATTGTTTTTGGAGGAGCGTTTAAAAGACCCCCCCCCCCCCCATCTTAATCACGTTTAGACATTGTGATTTTGTGACGCTAAGCTTAGTTGTGCTTAGTTATTAACACTAGAAGAATACAAAGAAGGAATTTATAACAAAGGGATAGCTGGGATTAGTAGTTGAAAAGTACAATGGATGCAAATGTTTTATTAGAGGTGTTTGCAGGTACGCTTAATCCTGATCCGCAAATCTCTAAGGCATCAGAAGCTCGGTTAACGGATTTAAAGCAAACTCCTGGGTTTGTAGGAGCATGTCTTGATGTTATAGGGAATCTGGCCAATTGTCTACCTCAACAAAGAGGAGTGGTGACAGCCATGGCGATTTACTTCAAGAATATTATCATTCGGTATTGGAGCAGCAAGGAAGATGAACCTAACAACAGCATTATTGATCATGATGAGAAGCCAATTATTAGAGAGCGGATTTTACGAATTATGGTGGATGCAGATTTTATTATTAAAAGACAATTGATTCCTCTGTTACGGAAGATTATTGGCGAGACTTCAGGTTTACGAGATTGGCCACAGTTGTTAAACGAAACTGGGTATTTATTGCAACAGGTGCCCAATGAAGAGACTCTTGCTGGGCTATTAGCAGATCCCAATAATACGAATAATCATCATCGGATATGGTCACCATTATATGTGGGCCTTGTTAGTTTCAGTGAATTCTGTCGGCTATATAGATGGAAGAATAACACCGAGAGAGCTAATGAATTGGATCCTATAATCATTCAAGTGTTTCCTCATTTATTAAATGTTGGTAACCTCATTGTTGAGAACCCAGTTTTGATCACAGAGTTGACTAGTGAAATGGTCAAATTGATCTTGAAATGCTACAAATTCGTCACGTACTTTGATCTTCCAGTTGTCTTACAATCAAGAGACGCCTTATTTACTTGGGGAGAATTCCATGGGAAAATCATCAATATTCAAACCCCACCATATATTCTTAATGATGGATCCTCGTCAGAACAAAATAAGAACTTGTTGGAGTTTTCTAAATGCTTGAAATGGTCAGTTCTTAATATGCACAAATTATTTGAAAAGCATGCCAGTAAGGTTAAAAAACATGGTGAATTCCTGAAAATTTTTATGAAGGAATTTATACCTCATTTGATTCCTAATTACTTATCGGTAATTGAAGCTTGGTGTCAAGGCACTAAATGGCTTCCTAACCTGGCCCTTTTCTCCTTGCTTCAAACTTTCAGTGTTTGTGTGCTTAACAAACTGACATGGCTCATGCTACAACCTCACTACGAAACCCTTCTTCATCATTTGATCTTCCCTCTCGTATGTCCAACCGATGAAGTCTTGGAGACTTTTGAAGTGGACCCACAGGAGTATATCCGGTTGAACTATGATATTTTTGAAGATTTTGCAGCTCCTGATGAAGCAGCTTTAGGGCTTTTGGCTACTTGCATTCGTAAACGGAAGGGATGTCTTACAACCGCCATTCAATTTGTTTACGAAATATTAACTGAGCTTCAAAAGCAGCCCGAGACTTTGGAATCAGTAAAGAAAAAGGAAGGGTGTCTTCGTATAGTTGGAACCATTGCACCTGAAGTGACGTTACCAAATTCAGCATATTTGGATCAGATGGAACCATTTTTGGCCAATTTAATCTATCCAAACTTAAACTCGTCTTATCAATTCTTAAGAGCAAGAACTTTACAAGTAGCTAATAGGTTTGACGAATTAGACTACAAAGACGAAAAGTGTTTATCATTATTGTTTTCTGGAATACTTGCTCCCTTTAAGGAGAAACCCACTGTGACAGCCAACAAAGGACAAGCAGAAGCACAAGCAGAAGAGGAAGCGCCCAGCTTACCTGTGTTGTTGGAAGCAGCATTATGCGTGAAGGCATATATTCACCAAGATCAATTCCGAGAGCTTCTAGGAGGTATGATTCTAGCAGTGATGTCAAAGTTATTGGAATTGAGCAATGAAATTGATAACGATGAGGTCTCGATAGTTATGCAAGAATGCGTCAAGCAATATAGTACCCAATTGCAACCGTTTGGTATTGATTTGATGACCAAGTCCGTGGAGAACTTTATGCGACTTGTCCGTGAAATTTACGCGGCTTCATTGGCCAGCTACGATGACGATTATGACGACCAAAACATCAAGATCGTCAGTGCCATGGAGGTGTTGAACATGATAATCACCGTTTTGAAATCGTTTGAACATCTGTCCGAAGTATTGGCTAAATTAGAAGAGGTGTTCATGCCGGCCATTGAGTTTGTTTTGGTTTATGATATTGATGATTTAGTAGCTGAAGTTCTGGACTTGATTGAGAACAATATCTTCATTGCCAAAGCCGTTAGTCCCAACATGTGGACTGCCTTCCAATGGATTGTGAAGAACTTTAGAGATGGGGTTGCATTTTTGTATCTTGATGAATGGACTCCCACTATCGAAGCATATATTGCATTTGGCCAGGACCAATTTGCTTTAGGTTCTCCTGAATTGAGTCAGGGGCTACAATTCATAATAACTAGCATTTTAACTGGTGATGATCTGGATGTTGGCTACGTTGACATCATTTATGGTTACGAAATTGCACTGTACTATTTATTGGCCGTCCGTGAATCATCTCGTCGTCGTGCCGAAGTTGATGTAGCAAGTGTCTTGAGAGTAACCATGGCCAGCTATAAACAATTGGCAGAGGATAAATATCATCCTTTGAAACTGTGGTTCTTTGTTCATTTGCACAATGTAATTCTCGCTGGTCTTGTTGCAGATTTTGAATCTACTGTTGGGGTGTTGGAGGAAGCAAATTACCTTCAGCTATTTTTTGACCAATGGTTGAGTCAATGTTTGAAATTGAAACGGGTATTTGACTTAAAACTCTCCATCATGGGAATGATCACCTTATTGACTCGAGCAGAGATTCTTCTTCCCATGTTACCCAAGAATTATCTGCTGTGTCTTCCTCTGATGTTTGCGCAGTTGGTAGGGAAGGTTCCGCATGCCTTGAGCGAGTTTGAGCGCAAGCAAAAGATGCTCAATGACGTTTCCAACACTTATCAGACAGATGACGAGCTCTTATTCAACAATTATAAGTACACTGATTTCGACGAAGAAGAAGATGTTGACTTTGAAGACGAAGATACGGATCCAAAGAGTCAAAATAATAGCACTATTAACAATGATGGAGCCACAGAGTATATTGATTTCCTCAAAATTGAACAAGAAAAGCTAAAGCAATACGAAACAGATAATAATGATAATGAAGAGGATGATGATGATGATTTGGACCAGGAAACATTCTCTGTGACTCCGATTGATAATTTGGACATATTGCAGATTACAAGAGCGTACTTAGAGACCTTTCAAACGGGAAATGCCGAGGGTTATAACCAATTTCTTCAAAGCATGACGGAAGAAGAAAGCCAGCTGTTGATCGTGACATTGACAACCAATCAATAAATATATACATAGTTACAGACTCATACACACACACATAAATATTGATTTAACATGATGAATTTGATACTACTAAGCATGTTTCACGAGGTAAATCTTTCGAGTATGCGGAACTTCAGGTGTACTAGGCAATCCCACATTTACTATGATTAGACTCAAGTTTACTTCCCAAAAGTTACCCCATAAAAAGTTGCATGGTTAAACTTGAGAAGCCAAGAAACACCAAAAGGGGTGGGGCTTTATCGCCTGTTTCTGTGGGGATAGATTAACAGTCGCAGCCTACAGAAGAAAACCTGTGGGGGTGGATTATTATCGCCTCATTCATTCACTCACGTGATGCAACCGTACCATCTTGTAGCAAGGTTAGGTCCCACGAAAATCCACAAAGGTGGTGAAATGTGAGAATCTCCGGGATGGGTAAATGTGGGGCGAATTGGCAGCCACAACGTTTGTGGTAGAAGTGTTTGAACCGTAGTGGGGGATCGAAAGGCATCAAGCGTTGTTTAAGGTGACGATGGCGGTTAAAACCATGACCAATGTATAGATTGAACAGGTTTAAAACCGTGTATACCGAATACTGGCTGACATTACTTATTTGTACTATGTTGTATGGTACAGCCTAAAAGCGTAACATAACCGTAACCGTAACCCATAACCATTGGCTCAGACTTTTCTTGTATCAGGTGCAGAAACCAGAGATAAGGAAACATGTTTGGCCTTTTTGAGGTGCCTACATAGGTAAACACAAAGTGGAGAGAATGATGTGGTGGTGGGAGCCAACTAACTTAGTAATAATAACTACTTATAAAATTGGCACACTAAGCTAAGAAGTGATTCATACTGATTAGAATACTTCGTGTACTTACCGATAGGATCCACGGCGACCCCACTTGAACTCCGAATGCATTAACAACCCGATAAAGTATATACTATATACAAGACATTCTTTTTTAGAAGCCATCTCCGTAATCAACTCCGAGCTCATGCATTGTTTTAGTTTGTTTGCGGACAAGTTGATTGGCTAGAACGCCTATTCTGTTTCCGTCATGGAAAAACTGCCGCTGGTAGCAGCACGTCCGGCTTTGATTTTTCACCAAAAGTTCCTCACAGTATTCATATTAGGTATGCACTAACCTTTCTTGGTTAGCTAAGAGAAGTAGATTACTGGAACCCATAAAAGGTTGACTATTTTCTATAAGCCGTATTGGCACCACCACCACCACCAACTCAATGACTATGTTCACAGCACCGCACCACGAAGTAAGCTTTTTGTCTGCAACCCTCACCATAAACGGCAGTTATTTGTGGGGTTGCAAAATTATGAAGAAATATGTCCGCGAACACAATAGCCCCATCACCGGTGCAGGAAAAACGACCGCACGAATCGGATGGATTACCAATAACCGGGTTGGGGCAGTTACAGTTGCGAATGACTACATCAGATGGTTCCAAAATTCATACTTGTTATATATAGTAGGACCTCCAGCGAAACAATTAATTACATTTATCAAATGTTTCCTTTAGTGAGGCTATTTTATTAGTGGTGTGTGGTTGAATACTTTTTTACCCTTTATTCACTGTTTTTCCCCTTGCCTCGTACACATTTTCTCTATGTCATCTACAGATATCCAATCCAAGGAGCATACCAATGCTGACTCCGAAATCCACCCTCCTGAAATCCACAGAGTCTCTGAAGCTGGAAATGGTGGTGAGTTCGTCGTTTTAGGCAACAAACATTACTATAAACATGAATTAATGAAGGCCTTTGGTGGTAACTTGAACCCCGGATTAGCTACCCCACCAAAACACCAATTTGCCAATCCGGCTCCATTGGGGTTGTCAGCTTTTGCCTTTACTACGTTTGTACTTTCTATGTATAACGCTGGAGCTATGGGTGTTAAGCCACCTAACGTTGTTCTTGGTGCGGCTGCTTTCTACGGTGGGTTTATTCAAATGTTAGCCGGTATTTGGGAGTTGGCTGTGGGTAACACTTTTGGTGGTACCGCATTAACTTCTTATGGTGCATTCTGGTTATCTTATGTCGCCATTCTTGTTCCTGCTTTTGGCATCGAGGCCGCCTACGAAGGAACCGACCAAATGGGAAATGCCGTGGCCTTCTACTTACTTGCTTGGTCTCTCTTTACCTTTATGTTGACCATTGTAACTATGAAGTCTACTTTGTTTTTCTTTTCGTTGTTCTTTTGTTTGGCCGTTACCTTTTTGCTCTTGTCCATTGCTGACTTCACTGGTAATAGCAATGTTAAAACTGCTGGAGGTGTAATGGGTGTTATCACTGCCTTTTTGGGTTGGTACAATGCTTGGGCTGGTACTGCTAATAAAGCTAACTCATACATTACCTCATGGCCAATTCCTTTGTCTAAGCAGTAATTTTCGTTCCTACTTCGACGCTTATAATGACATCTTTAATGCGGGTTTCAATTAATATTTAATGTCTCAAGCAACTTGCTTTTTTTTACTTGATTATTTTATTGTGACAAGGGGGTTCACATTTATTTATCATCATCATCATCATCAACAACATCAACTTTTTTTACTGTATATTTATTTATCTATTTATTATCTGCTCAATAATGTGTTTATGATTAACATTTATTTAACGCTCTAGTAGTAGTGTAGAACTGTACAGGAGCGGGGCATTCCATTTAGATGGCTTAAATGACTGAAATCAGTACAAGTCAAATGTAAAACTATTATCCTATATATTGCACCCTAAAACGGAATAATACCCAACGTTAACTATATAAAATTACCTTCCTAAAAGCTTACGCAACTTTTTCTTTAGCCCCTTGTTATGGCCCAAAAAGCCTTCTTTATACCCAAACGATCGCAGTGTTGTTAGAAACTCAACTTCTTCAATTGAAATGTTACTGCCACCGCCACTACGACCCACGGTATTAGTTAGAATGTCCCATACGGCAAAATCACCTGGTTTGCTCATTAATTCTTCTGCGCCCACACTCAGGAACGAGAGTGTGTCGTGAGTGGTGAATGCTCCCCCATCAAGAAACTTACGCCATTGCCGGAAAAACTCTTGCAGATCAGGTCTCCCATACGAGATGGTATAATATTGTTCGCGCATAAAATCTGGGTCATTAAGTGGGAGTCGCGACCACAGGTGAAGGTTCCGCAAAGAACCCAGAATAGGAGTAAGAGTTCCTGATGATACCAGCATCAATTGGATCTCTTTTTCAACAAATTGACTCAATAATTTTTCGTCAGAGCGTGACCAAATACAAGCCATCAGTGCTAAGATGACACCTTGATAATTACACATAAGCGACAAATACGAGAGTAGCACTTGAAGTGTATCACAATTACGTGGCCATGAAAGCGTCGGCGATAATTCAAAGTCAAGCCGTAAACATACAGTACCGGTAATCATGGCAAACCATGCCACACAACCATGGTTGAATTTAAATCGATCGTATCTGCGACTAAGTGTAAGTGTTAAACCTGTTCTCCTTTGGCGAGAAATTAGTCCTGCAATCGGCCGCATATCATCATAAACAGACCTCATGGCTAGTAATGATTGATGTGGTAGTTTCAAGTGTTCTAAGTTAACCCAAACGTTGTTAACCAAATTTATAAAAGCTTTTAATTGTGGGTCTGCCATCACATAATCTGATCTGAGTGCCAAATATACCAATGACAGTGGGATTGCTTCTATAAATGTCCGAAATTGAATGTGCTCCACAGCTTGAACGTTCTCAGGAATATATATATTCACATCAGTGATATTTTTCAATTGAGATACGAAATCGGTATAAGTACCGGCTTCAGGCTTATCAAGGAAGACGTCTAATCGGTTGATGAACTCCAATGAGTTATATAACACTGGATTATGTGTTATGTCTGCTACTGAAGCACAAAGATACTCAAGATTGGGAATCAGATCGTTGCTGGCACCTCTAAAGGCAGGTTGGAACTCAATCAATCTTAAGCCACGCAACTTGGGGAACAAATGTGATATTGGAGTCAGGGCGACAAAGACAGTATCGGCTTCAAGACACTCAACGTAGTTATTGAACGAGATTGAGCTTCTCTTGGCTAATAAGGCACGGACTCTATCCGTCAAATAAGAAGAAGTTGTCTCGAGTTCTTCAATTGAGAGGTTGGGGGATGCCATATCCATAAATGAAAGACCAGAGGAATTATATGGACCACAGCATTCATAACGACGTACAGTACTAACATGACCAAAGAGTCGAGGTCCGAGAAGTCGACGCATAAGCTTACATGTTAATGATAAGTTGAGAAGATCTCGATATGCCAGGCGAGGATATTTTTCTGCATCGGATATCATGCAATGCTCAGGTACATTATGAGACCGATGTTCAGGGGACTCTTGAATTAGGTGAAATACTATTCGATCTAAGACCTCCGAACAGGTATCCAGGAATATTGTTGACTTCATATTTAAAGCAAATGATATAAAAGGAAAGATGATGATCAAGGAAAACCTGGCTTTATTTAAATGCACTTTGATTTTAGAAACTGAGCCATTATTAGCCACATTTCTCCTTGGTTATACTGATCCGGTAGCGCATAACAATAGAGGGTTTTTATATATGTGATCTCGTTATAGTTGCTATAAATTTGACTGAATGTAACAAAGGATATTCAATATAAAAGTTTCAGCTAAGCGAAAACCTGATACTCTCTCAGAAAAGCCACAATCTGATTTGGCGGCCACCTCACCATTATTAATCAATATGGAACCACATGTTAAACAATCAATTTCTGGTTAATTGTTGCGAAAATAAGGATATAAACCGGATAAAACGTTCACTCCTCTGAAAACCGTTTAATCTATAGCCTGCATGGAAACGAGCAAGAAAATGCTTTTGACATAAACTAACAGATTACATGAAATATACGGTAAGTGTACATATAATGGTAGCACCGTGCATTTAAATTCCCAAGTACTCGACATACATTGCCCTTTGTGGTATACATTGTCAGCCCACGTGTGCGTCATGTAAATAACAACTTATACTCATAACAACAGTGCTTTTTGTGCCAGGTTACAACCACTAGCCGTGTAGTAAATAGAAGCCATACTGCACGTGGGTGTTTGAATACTGAGAAGTCAATTACTAGTAATTAATACGATAGACATTTTGCTGGTATCGCCGTCTCCTGCTGATAAGTTAGGGACTTCCATGCACAACTATCCCAAATTCATTCATTGATACAATTCATTAATTCATCTAAAGAAATCTTTGGTGACTTTATTTTGTACATCTCACCAACAGTTGATCGTATAAAACTTATCATGTCTAATAACAAGAGAATTGCATTACCCGCTAGAGTAGAACCAAAGGTTTTCTTTGCCAATGAGAGAACATTTTTGTCATGGTTGAACTTCACTGTTATCTTGGGTTCATTAGGTGTTGGTTTGTTGAACTTTGGTGACTCTGTTGGTAGAATAAGTGCTGGTTTGTTCACATTCATTGCCATGTTAACCATGGTCTATGCTTTAGTCACTTACCATTGGAGAGCAAGAGCCATTAGATTGAGAGGGTCTGGTCCTTATGATGATAGATTTGGTCCTACCATGCTTTGTATATTCTTGTTGGTGGCTGTTGTTGTCAACTTTGTATTGAGAATCAGAGCTTAATCATATTCTACATAAGTTTCATTCCAACTTGCTTGTTATAGCTTGTTGGTTGCATATAATACATTCAATTTATGTCAAGTTGTAGTAAACTAGCCGTGATACTCTATACATGTATAAGATTTGTAATGAAGGTTAGAGTAAACTGGATATTGATACAATTGATGGTTGTTTTACTTACATTCAATGGATCTTATACTAACATTGAATGGCTCACTCAATGCAATAAATAACGTGATGGATGATTGTTTTCATTGGTTGAATGTGTTTTATGCTTGATTTATTTAGCGATAGTACCACATATTATACTTCTATCTAATCTTATCTCATCCAAACCCCATTGACCTTGTCACTATGACATCTCGTATATTGTCCTCCTTACCTATCCGTATTTTTTCTGCTGCGCTGAGGAAAATCTGCAACTCCTAAAGCAAGTTAATGCAACTGAACTGAGTAACTCTTCTCTCGTAAATTTTCTCACACACCATGGAGTCGTATATTCCCTCCAAGGTTGTATGCCTCTTTCTCGTCCAGTTCGACGTAAAGGTAGGCTACAAGTTAGTGTGGTCCAAGTCCACCAAAGAAGATTTCCTAACTGACACTACTTCGTCTAATATCGAGTACAAAGTACTTCCTTCAGGACTCCAAGAGGTCAGTAGTTCAACCATCTTAATCAGTCATGAGTACAAGGGGAAACTATACTTTGGACTCTCCCAGTTCCATCAAAACGAAGATGAATTGCAAGTCGCCACGGGAGGTGCCGGGGTTGATCGTACGCAAGTTAAAATGTTTGCACTTGGTGTCATATGTGATAATGAACAAGATTCATGGAAGCCTAATGAGTTTCTTCATGTGGGCTGGGAATATGGTCTGTTGCTTAAAGATAAGCTTTTGGCCCTTTTTGCCTCTACAGATGATGATGGTTCTGGGGCATTGAATGATGCAAACAAATCTCTTTTGGAACAATTATACCTTACTTTGACGACTACTGGGGATACTAGTGTTTCAAACAACTCATACGAATCCCAATACCATCCCTTAAAGCAGTTGCCACAATACTTTCGTATTTTGGGTCCCTTAGTCTATCAAGTGTATAAGCAAGCATTATTACGAAAGAAAATCCTTGTGGTGAATCACCATCACGAGAATATGAATTATACTATATGTGCCTTCAATTACATCATTAGTTTATGTTCCGTGATTCCCTTTGATGTCCAAGCTCAATTGAAGCAAACTATCGAGAAGTATACTAAAGGTGATCCAGCAAGTGCAAGAACAATCAATGCAGAATTCTATTCAACTCCGTTGTACAACATAGGATTACATGATATTCCATCGTTACCACATCACCCTGGCTACATAGCTCTGACCAACGACGAAATGATGATGTACCAAAGGGGTGTATTTGATATACTCGTATATTTGGACCAAGAATACCCAAAGATTATCCTGTGTGATGCAATTTCCAATATGACGTTACCAGGTGCCTCGCAGTATCTCAAAGCATCCCATCATGAGTACGAAGATTACTTGGCAGTATTTCAACATATAAACAGTGGTTCCGTGCTAGAACCCCAATTATGGTGGAGTCAGGACGCAACGCAGTCCATTGGTTGGCAAGAATACATTTGGTCTGCATTCTCGTGGTTTGCTTCTGCTGGTCAGGAGCAACCTGGAAACGAGCAGTACTGTCCCCTTATGAAAGATAGCGAGGACGGAGATGCAGTGGAAGAAAGAGAAGAAGGAGATGCAGATGCAGACGCAGACACAGAAAGCATTGATGACGACGCACAAGATGCAACCGCAACTACGGATGTACCTGAACCTGCTGAGATTAATACCGGAAGTTCTGGTTCCACTGGCACTACACTTGTTGGGGAACCAATGGAACCTCCTCATCTGATTCCCTTGAATGACCTTTCAATCGTTGATCTCATTGGACGATTCCATAAACGTACGCGTAGGTTATTTTACTATATTAATGAAATTGTGATGGAAACAATCGAGTATCAACTTCAGGGTGATGACGTGGGGAGTTACGACGCCAATAATACTCTGCATCAATTAAATTCACGGGTGGTGATTGAATTGACTTACCAAGACGTTCATGAAGCAGGATTTGATCCATATATGGCGCTGGAGCTTGAATTTCTTCGTCAATTTGTTTTACTTTACTGGGAACCGCTTGTGCTGGATGTAGAGATTGGCTTGGGAGTTCAAGGTATTTGTTGTTAAAGAAGATTTAGTGGCCTATTTAGTTATGGCTATTGTTTATTGTATAGGAAGTTACCAAACAATCGGATCTACATTATACAAAGCATAAAATCAAGCTGTCTATTGTTCCGTTGTTACTATTTTAGGAACATAGTCTTCAGAAAAAAAGGTAAAACCCTTGTGACCTTACATTAGTAGTTGTTAAGTTGAAAAACAAAAGGTGACGCTGAACATTAGTTACATTGGAACTCAAGTTTGTATAATTTCAGTCAAATTGTTTCATATTCTAGAAAGAACATGGTAATAATATTATCGGCCAATTAGATCAACACATATGCTACTTGTACATTTTCATTGATACAGTAAGCACATGAAAGAATATACTCTAAACTGTTGTACATTACATATTTATTATGATTATGCATAATAATGCAATAGAAACGTTATGTATAGCTACCTCAGTTGTTATGCAATGGAAGGGGTATTATTATGCATAGCATTGCACCACGCATAAACCTTGCTTTATGTTCTAACTACATGCTACGAATTGTCATATACAATTCATATTATCTCTATATATGAACTCATATCTGTAATTGTGCCCTACTCATACCGACATTTTATCAATCTTACCCCGACCTTTATCGGGGTTTCAAGTTTTGTGCCAGCCGTTGATTTCGGCCGTTTTTGGTGCCAAAGGGAAAACTCAAACCCAAGTGCGAAATTATCAAAAACACCAACAAAAAAAAAACACCCGTCATTTGATATCACCTGTTTGGTGCTTTTTTTAACTCCTGAAGCAGGCCAAGGTATTCAGCTTGTCCTCTAGTCCACTCCTGTGATCCCTAACACCAAAATTCATTGACAGCAACGAGCCATTGCTGTGGGATTGAGTGTTTCTTCACTTCTTTTTTTTGTACTGCTTAGTTGGTAGGTATAAAGGTATCCAATCAAGGAACCCCCTTTACCCCAATACTAAAACTTTTTTTATTTCGTGGTTCCTTCTTGATTTCTGTTCGTATACTGTTGATACACTGCATTGGTTTAGTGGACGGATATAAGGAACAGCACTTGTGAACTTTCAGAGGCAAATTATTTGATCCAATAGGCAAACGGTATTTTTCCTTTATCAAAAGTCAATTGCGTTGATTCCAGCAACAAATTGTTGTGTATTGCTTGTATAAGAGTCTTTGTTTTTGCTGTTATTGACAATCATGAAGAGTCAAACCCCAAACCACCTTAACAAGCCACCACGGTTTTCTGCTACTTCGACTACTACGAATGCTACTGGGTCCTCACCTTCCCCGTCCCCCACTCCTCCTGTTGGAAGAGGTAACGGCCACCGTAGATCAAATTCAAGATACGGTAGCAGTGGCAATACCCCTAATCCCTCCTCCAATGGAAAGTCATCCAATGGAGAAGAGAAAGTGGCTCTGGTAAAATTAACAGGCATTGTTTCAAAAGCTGTGGGTAAGAAGGTTACAGCTACCGTCTCTAGTGGTGCTCGTTATCAAGGTTTGTTGGTGAGCGCAGATACTGCAGATAATTCTGGTCTATCAGTTGCTTTATACAAACCAGTTTTGGTTCAATCAAGTCCTTTCAATGACAAATCAAATGTTGACACAGCCCTACCAGAAAAAATGATTGTAAAACTGTCTGATTTGGTTGATCTTGAAATCTTGAAGTTGGATATTCTGGATTCCACTGTTCCAGACGGTTCTACTCCAAGAAAAGCGCAAACGCAAACTGCAACTCCAGCATCCATTCCCGTTTCCAACGCTACACCCTCGTATCAGAGCCAAACTTCTACTAAGTTCAAAACAGACACCGATATTTCTAGAAGCGCATTTAAAGAACGTGAACTTCAGAGATGGGTACCTGATGACCACGATGTCCTGATGAACACAAGCCTTTCACTTGAGGACGACTTCAAATCGAACAAGAACAACTCTGGATGGGATCAATTCAAAGTTAACCAAGATAAGTTTGGTATTGATTCTTCGTTTGATGAGCATTTGTACACTACCAAAATAAATAAGCTGACTCCTGAATACCAGGAGAGATTAGCTAGAGCCTCTAAGATAGCCAACGAGATTGAATCACTGCTGACTTCTGACCGTCATATTTTAGAGGAAAGAGGAATGGTTGTCGATGATAGTGGGATGGATGAAGAAGATAAATACTCTGGTGTTGACAGAAGAGGAGATGAATTGATGGCTGCACTTAGAGGTCCATTGGGTAACAGCACTCAAAATGTATCTGGTAAGCCTGACATCACACCTCAAGACCAACAGAAGTATAATCCGCATGAAAAGAGGGCTGCAAGATTCCACAATGATCCTGCAATTGTTCTTAGTAGTGCTACAGGAGGATCATTAAAATCATCTACACCTCCAAGTCCAGCCACAGTTTCGACCGCTGTCCCAGGTCCAGCTCAACCAAAAGCTCTGGAATCATCGTCTCCAAGTGCAGCTGGTACTACTACTACTACGGCCAGCAGCACATCGGCTTTGAAGAGCAAGCCAACTTCAATTCCTCCCAAACCACCAGTAGCGCAATCTACGGAGCAATTCAGATTGAACTCCCAAAGCGAAATCAATGCTCTTAGAGAATTTAGTGCAAACTTTAAAATTCCCCACAAGTTACCTAACGACTTATTACCAATATTATCCAAGGATCAAAAGAAGCAGGAAGAGATAATCAAGAAACAGAGCGATTCGCTGCAAGCTCTGACGAAAGACTCGAAATCTGTGAAGGAAAGCAAACCCACCCCTGGTCCAAATGGTTCACCAACTAACTCACTTTCTACAACTACGTCAACTACACCTCTTTTAGCACGAAAGAAGTTAGAAAATACCAAGTCAACTTTCAATCCTAAAGCAGCTTCTTTTACCCCCGGTAATGTTGCTAAGCACCCTCTGCTGTCACCAATTGCTCAAAAATCCACATATCATAGACCTTCGAATACCAATCCATCTCCCAGGGTAAGCAATCAAAGGCCATATTCTTCAAGTCAAGGAAGTACTGGCACTTCTGGTACTGGCTCCTCATCCAAAAGGCTGCATCATATTAGTGCTGCAGATTTCTTTGGTAGCCAATCAAAAGTTCCAACGAAAGAAAGTCAAGAACAGAAGCTTAAACTTTTCAATGATCTGTTTTGCTTTTTTGCAAGCACAAGAAGAAGGTTTAGGGAAGAAAAGAAGGAAGGCCATGTGACATATGATCGTCCTTATCAAACTCCACCAACATGGAATTCTACAATCGACATGAGTCATGATCAAGTGTATCCTAACCCTGATAGCATTCCAAAGCAAGCAGTTGGTATGATGATTCCTGATTCAAGTCCATTTATGCCTAATCCTATGTTGAATGGGCCAACAGGAATGTCTGCTGCTGCGTTTGGTGGGAATTACGGTGGGCTAAACAGCAAGCTTCCACTTAATGCACACCAACAACAATTGGCTTCAATGGCTGCGTTCCATCAACTGCAACAACAACAACAATTCCAAGCTGCCATGATTTATCAGCAACAGCTAGCAGCAGCTGGTGGTGGCATACCCCCTGGTCAGTCACCTATGCCCATGTATTCCAGTACTGATCCATTTTTACCACCTGGGGCTCCCTCCGGGTTCATTGCACCGCCCGGTAACTTTATTGGATCTGGATCTGGATCTCCTGTCAACAATCATATGATTTTGAACATGGGACAAGGAGGTCCCGGAGGAGGAGGTAACCCCAATATTGGAGGAGGACCAGGATATCAAGGAGGAAATTATGGTCACCATGGAGGAAGAAGGTACAATAATAGTAATAATAATAACGCTGGAGGTAACAAGAGAAGCAACTGAGATAATTCCGAGTTTAATAATCATAAATGGCTATCAACAAGTGCTCTTGATGGGACTTTGAAAGGTTAACGGAACATATGGGCCATAACAAGTTGTACCTACCTTTGAAAATGAGTACATTGCAGTATGTATGCATGCTTTGTATCATAGTATTCTTTGCAATATTGTACGATGTACAGACAGGGCCAATCAGACCAAAAACCATTGGCATAATGATGCTAATACAAGGGAGGAGAACGTATCTAAGACTCTACTAAAGGATATGAATAGGTTAGTCAATAGATATAGTAGTTTAAGTTAATTCAATGTAGCACAGTATAAACGGACCACGCTTTTGTAAGTTTGGATTCATCGTCGTGTATATACCAATAAAATAATAGTTGATAATATAATCACAAGTACGAGCTCTACTGTTATGTTATGCCTTGTTTTGTCCTTTAATCCATTCAATTGCAATGTCTGATCCAGCATCATCAAGAATATCCAATCTCCTTAAGACCGAGGATGATTTGGCTACGCTTGACAAGTTCAGACAAGAGTTTGTAAAGGAAAAGGAGAACATAGACAAGCAGTTGTCTGCCATGACGGAGCTACAGATAAGCACCATACAACGAAGCTTCGAGAGACTCAATGAACTGATAACCAAGGCAAATGCCGTCAAGGAGAACTTAGGGTATTTGAATCAGACATTTGATTCTACTGTCAAGGGGTTACCTCATTATGATATGATGCGTCAGATTACCCATGCCAATCAGTACTTGGCTCAGGTGTCCAACATTAAGGACGACATTTACTTGTTTAAGCCCAGAATCAAGGAGTTGGACATGCTTATACAAAAGGAGTTCTCGGAGATGAGCCAGGATATAATGTATACTGCACCCAACTTACTTCATATTCATTATTGTTTAACGCAACTACGGAACTTTATGGACTATTTGGAGGCGTATCTGGGTAGGCTTTCGGATGACTTCAAGTCTATTTTGGAAAATATCATATCTCCGGGGAAGAATGTAATTCGGACATTTGATGACTTGTTGAATGAGTGCATCATCAGTTTGACAGAGGCAGTTAAAGAAGGGAATGTGGAAATTGTATATAAGGTTATTTCATTGATAGAGTTTGAGTCTCTGGAAGACTTGAAGGTTCTCATAAGAGAACAACTTATAGGGAATGATGAATACTCGCAAAGCGATACGGCCATCCTGGTTGACTACACCAAATACCGTTGGAAGAGAAGAAACTACAGGAAGTTCTTTTACGATAGACTAGAGGCATCTTTAGCAGATACTTTTAACAAGTGTGTAGATCATTTCCAACTGGACAGAATGTTGGTTTATGAAAACTTGAATTGGCTTGAAGATGAGTTGGTCTTTGTTCACGATTCTTTAGCTCCCATTTTCCCTTCAAGCTGGAACATTGCTCAATTCATTGAATCAGTGTACTACAATAAGCTACACCGTTTTACTATGGAGGTGATCAATTCTGATCCTCCGGCTGAAGATTTGATGAAAATTTTGGCATATGATTCCCATTACAGTCAGTTTGTTACTGCAATTCATGTGGAAAACAATTCCAAATCAAAAGACAAGCTAGCTTCTAATATTCAAAAGTCAATTATTGGCGAAGATCTAAAGAATGTGGTTTTGGAAGATTACTTGAAGGTTATAGTAGGGAAGATGACTGAATGGAACGACAATTTGATGAATCAAGAGACTATTACCTTTCAACTGAGAGACCAACCACCAGATTCATATTCTTACACCCAATTTTACGAAGATGAAGATGAAAATGACCAGTTGTTGACTTATGAACTTGTTGGTGAGGTATTTGTGCTCCCTGATTTCAAGGTTCCTTTGACAATGATTAAAGAGCAAGCTGACGTGGCCGTTGAGTCAGGTTATTCCAAAATCTTGGTTGGTGTATTAGAGAATTGGTCAAAAAATTATATTAGACGGACCCATAACTTCCAACGTGTGGTAGGAGAAGAACTAGAAAAATATATGTCGGTTTACACTAACCAAAAGTACTTACTGAAGGAAAGTAAACTTAAAAGATGGTTCAAAGTCAAGAAAGATGATGGAGGAGAATTTGATATTGAATTGATGACTGCAGAAGAAAAGGCAGAAGTCTCAAAACCAGGTATAATCGAATACCTTACTGCCTTAGCAAATACTTATGAGATCAACACTGATCGTTTGCAAGATAAATTTCTTCCTAACTATTTGGATAAAGTCCATTCTTCCTTTCATACTCGGATAGAAAAAGCATTCACAGACACTTTGGGTCCAAGTACGGATTTAAATGCTCAAATTATCACTTCAATTGTTACAATTGTTATCAATGATTTATATTCAACGCTTGCCAATGTATTCAGTAAAGCCTGGTATGAGGAAGATGAAATTAATGGTACCACCCTGGCACATCGGATTGTGGAGACTTTGACAGAGTACATGGCTGAGTTAAGGGGTTACGCTAGTTACGAGCTTTATCTGGTTACATGGACCATTTTGTTGGACCAATTCATTTCAAGGTACATTCAGTTTGGATATGAAAATATATTGCATGGAAATGGGAAAAAGATTGACCCGCAGGCAACAAAGAAATACAAATCTTTCAGTGTGGCAGTTACAAGAGATGTAACTATACTTTTTGTTGAATTAGAGCACCTATTCACCAGAAAAGACAAGGCTTATTTGTTGAGTAGTTTGAGAGCCATTGAGTTTTTGGGAGATCTAGGAACTTGTGAAGCTCCACTGATTACCATTCCACAAATCTGGGAGAATGAAGTGTTACCAGCTTTCCATAATTGTTCCATTGAATATATCCGAGGTGTGTGCATGTGCAGAAAAGATATGGATAAAACACAAGTTGCACTGTTAATTACCCATTTGGAAAGAATTCAAGAACGTTTCAATCAAGATGTGGAACCTTTGGAAATACCCACAATGACATTGAATGAATTCTCCTTCAGTTAATTCATATATTGTTACAGTAAACTATTTACAGGATCGGAAATTGGCAATGACAGAGATAAGCAAAGCTGTTGAAATATCAATGAGGGAAACATCAATTGTTATATCATATCCCGATTTTCCTTGTGCCAATATTTCGGCAATGGTGAAGCTGGTATTTTCTTTATTCTTTCCTATTCTTGCATCAGTGGGATGTTTCCATAATAGAAACTTATTTCCGTGAGCTTGGATTAGACCACCATCTCTGGGTAACTCTACTTCATAAATATCACCTTTAATTCTAGCAGCTACGAAGAGACTTATGGTGGCATCAGCTACCAATTTATCCGATTCCATTTCATTTGAAAATCTTCGGAATAATAACTGCGACCTTAACTTAGTCCAGCCGTGCCACTTATGTAACCACCTATTACCTGTACTTATGCTGTTATTATTCTGCATTAATCCGTCAGGGGTTTCTCCGAGCCATTCAATTCTTCCGCTTTTTCCTAGTTTAGCTAGACTGATACTTGCTATCCATTTATTCTCAACCACAGAGAACACCTTCCAGTGATTACGCCAAAGTTCATTGGTCCCATCCCCAGATGACGGTCTTCGATTCAATCTTTCTAATCTTAAAATAGTTCTTCCACTTTCATCCTTTATAATTATTTCCAGTGCAATAGATCGTATATGATACGTCTGATTACGAGGTGCATGTGCTAATGTCTCTTCGCTCGCATGGAGAAGAGGTACATTGTAGTTCTTCCGAAATCCCACATACAGCAAAAGAACCGTTCCAACCCCCACTATTCCCGAGGTTACCAATGCAGTTACTATCACCATATTGTTCTGTATCCTTAATAGAGATTGGTGTTAAGGGGTGGTTTGTTTAACAACCATCCCAAAGCTCTGCGACTTCTTCAAAACCAAAGGGTAGCGCCGTATAGTGAGACTTGCCTTTATAGTCACAGGTCATCACCACTGTAATCTTCGGATGACAGCGAGTAGCCATTGACTAATGATTGTGGGTTTTGTGTGAGGGCTGCCACTTTCTGAACCCCCATATGCCCCTTCTTAGTGATCTTGAAAGTCTTGGTACCACCAATTGGTCTAGTTGGAACAACGCTGTTTGATAAAATACGAGGTTGAGGTGGTTCGTCATAAACAATTGATTCGTTAGTAGTTTCAAATGAATTTGGAGTAGATTTCTCTTCGACCTCATGCTCATCTTGATCTTCTTCAGATTCTTTTTGATCTTGATCTTGATCTCTTTTCGAATTTCTGAATGCTTCTAAAGCCAATTGCTCATCAAGATCGCTATTATCTTCATCATCTTCTTTATCCGTAGCTTGACTTTCGCTTCCATTATGGTCAATGGTAAGTTCTATCTGATTCAACTTACTTTTCTTATTCTGGATTTCCTCCAATTCATCATACATGGCTTGTTGTCGTTGTTCTTGGTCCAATTTACGTTGTAAGTTCTCCATAACGTCACCACCTTGACTACCCACCAGCTCCAGGGGCTTCCAGAAGGGATCAAACTTCCGTTTGGACTCGGCAAGTCTATACTGCTCTTCTCGTTTCAGCTCAGCCTCTAATCTCTCAAGAATATCCTCCTCTGTTTCAACTTCTCCTTTGGATTTAGTTGCACTGGGTTCACTTTTTTCAAAGTTACGAACTGCCCCATTCTCAGGTAAATATCCAGCAGTTTGAGGACTGGTCTTAAAGGTAATGGACCCATTGCACCGAGGACACGTAATGTAGAACCGGATAATCTTGAAGTTCATATACTTCTCACCGGTGACTTCTTTCCTGGCATTGAACTTCCTTCTGGCCGCAATGTATTCATTACAGTTTGTGCATCTCATGGAGTAAGGAGCCATGAGCCGCACCTTCTGGGTCGGAGGTGCTACTCCTTTCGGAAGCTTCCGCCGGGGAACTTTAGATGGATCATAATCAGGTGGATACCACTTGTTGATGCTCTTCCTCTCTGACATATACGGACGGACAAAAGCAGATGCAGAATAAGGACAATGTTTATGTGTAGTAGGTACTGGTTTGACCTACGCCGATGAGAAGGGAAGTCTGCGCGCTACCATACTGTATATATACACACAATATGCTACTAGTAACTATGATATTCTACACTGTGTAAACCAAAGTTATTCGTTACGATTAATTATACGTTTATTGTAACATGCATCCCCTAAAGAATTTTAAATATACAAAGACAGCGACAACACCGGAAGCTACAGGATATAAGCAGCAACAAGGTGTTAGCCAGCTTAATCTTGTTGTCTCTTAGCGGCCTTCTTAGCAGCCTTCTTAGCAGTACCGAAAATCTTCTTTTCTCTGTTCTTCTTTTGCTTTCTTTGTTGTCTGGAAGCCTTTTCAACCTTGGTAGCCAAACCGTATCTGACAGATCTGTAGTTTGGTTCAAATCTCAAAGCATCAGCAGCAGATTGGTAGATCAAACCGTAACCGGTAGACTTACCACCACCGTATTGAGTTCTGAAACCAAAGACGGAGACAGCATCCTTGTCAGCCTTGTAGGTAGCAGCCAACTTTTCTCTCAATTCATCCTTGGAGACGTTAGCTCTGTTTGGGTGCAAGACATCAATGACGAATTGTCTTCTGGCCAACAAAGGGTTGGAGATAACCTTTCTGGTTCTGATGGTAACAGCGTCACTCTAAATATCGGAGTTAGTATATATTCAATCACACTCGAAATGAAATGAACACTGGAATGGAGGAAAACCTTTACTAGGACTGCTTTAAATAGCCTCACTCGTCACATATCTATCTGGCTCTGAAGCTTCACAATCTTGTCCAATAAATATATTCTGCTATGAACTTGTACTTTTCAATTGGTCGTATATGAGTTTATCGTATTGACTGTCAAAAATTTTCACTCGAGGGCTTATCTTCCATTTTTACTATTATTATTCCTTCTTCGTTCGTTCGGTTCTCATTCATCTTATTGGGTTGCTCAAACATACCATATTTGCTATAGTATATGAAAGGATCAGTGTAAGTACCTGAAAGACAAAACTGTTAAAAGTAGTTTCTACCCACTTGAGAGAAGATGTGAAAATTTTTGTTCTCGCTGGATCCCAACCCTACAGTGCACCATACACTCCCATACAAATTAGTTGTACAACTGCAGGAGAGAGAGGGAAAATGAAATACGTGTGTCGCACGGTTTTCATCGAGTCACGTGATCATTTATTAGTCTTTTGTACTGTATACAATCCACATCGGAAAAATGCTGCTTCCCTAGCGTCACACCAAATATCACTAAGCACGTGATTTAAAAGGGCGCATGCCCTAAATTAATGTTTCCCCATTTTCACATCATTATAAGTCATGGCAAGCAATACGTGTGCTGATCAATTGACTAACTCCGATCTCCACTCAGGATGCTAATCACCGAAGAGATTGCATCTACCCGTGGGTCTCGATAATAGTAGTAAAAACGAAGTTACAATGTAAGGTGATAAATATTTTTGAATACATTATTTGACATTGCCAATTGTTGTTGCATACTAAACTAAAACATCATAAATAAATATTTTCTTTCCTTCGTGAATACCGTTTCAGATCTTTTAAGTGGCCTTCTGCAAGCCAACTCTGACAGCCTTGACTTGCAAGTAGTTGTCCAAGGCTTCAGCACCCATTTCTCTACCGATACCAGATTGACCGTAACCACCGAATGGAACCATTGGATGGAAGTCATTGTAGGTGTTAACCCAAACGGTACCAGCTTGTAATCTGTTGGAAACTTCAATAGCTGTGTTGATGTTTTCAGTGTGAACACCAGCAGCCAAACCATATTCAGAGTCGTTAGCAAGGTCAATAACTTCATCAACAGTGGAGAACTTAGAGATAGTAACAACAGGACCAAAGATTTCTTCCTTAACAATTTGCATATCTTCCTTAACATCAGCGAAAATAGTTGGCTTAACAAAGAAACCCTTTTCACCGTGTCTAGCACCACCGGTAACTAAAGTAGCACCTTCATTCTTACCGATTTCAATATACTTCAAGATCTTAGACAATTGAGCGTAAGAAGCTTGAGCACCCATAAAGACATCTTCATCGAATGGGTTACCAATCTTAACGTTTTCAGCGGCAGCCTTGAATTCAGCAAGGACTTCATCGTAAATACCCTCTTGAATGTAGATACGGGAACCAGCACAACAAACTTCACCAGTGTTGTAAAGAATACCAAGAACCAAGTTTTGGACAGTTCTCTTGACATCAGCATCGTTGAAGACAATGTTAGGGGACTTACCACCCAATTCCAAAGTAACCTTCTTCAAGTTGGAGTTGGCAGCAGCTCTCATGATGTGACGACCAGTGGCAGTAGAACCAGTGAAGGCAACCTTCTTGATCTTTTGATGGGTAGCAATGGCTTCACCGGCAATCTTACCAAAACCAGAGACAATGTTAACAACACCAGCTGGAACACCCGATTCCTTGATCAAAGTAGCCAAATATAAGGCAGACAATGGAGTGGATTCAGCAGTCTTCAAGATAGTAGTACAACCGGTAGCCAAAACTGGACCAATCTTCCAAGCAGCCATCAAAAGTGGGAAGTTCCATGGGATAACTTGACCACAGACACCAATTGGTTCTCTACGAGTGTAGTTGAAATGAGAGCTACCAGTTTCGGGAAGAGAACCAGTAATCTTATCGGACCAGCCAGCACAAGAACGGAAGTAAGCAGCAGTAAGAGCAACATCACCACGAGAACATTGTAAAGACTTACCGTTATCAAGAGATTCAATGTAAGCCAAAGTTTCAGCATTAGCTTCAACCAAGTCAGCCAACTTGATCAATGCTCTGGCACGAACCAGGGGGTCGGAAGTGGACCATTCGGAAGCGAAAGCCTTAGATGCAGCATCGACAGCAACATCGATATCTTCTTCACGAGCTTCATAAACGTGAGTGATTTCTTCTTCAGTTGAAGGAGAGACAACTTCAAAGGTCTTCTTTTGCTTTGGGAGAACAAACTCGTTGTTAATGAATAAACCAGTAGGTTGTTCGTAAGTAGTACCGTTTGGCAAAGTCACTGGGACAGACAAAGGTAAAGAAGAGTAGAAACGCAACACAGCGGGAGCAATTCTCTTGGAAACACCAGTGGTGAATAAGTTTCTAGAAGCAGTAGCAGATCTCAACATTGTTAATCAATCAATCAATCAATAAACAAAAATAAATACTTGGAATAGCTGGCTCAGATGAAGATTCTACTAAGATTGGCTGGACCAAGATGATGAGAAAGAAAAGAATAATCAATCAATTTAGCGGATCAGGCCCCTTTTATATCTGCCCAAACACCAGAGGGGAACTTTGATCCTAGTCTATGTCCGGTTGACCCCGTCACGATGGGGTTGCAACGTTTTGCGTTTAGTGTATATGGAGTTTAGCAACAGCGCGGAGTCGGACACTGATTGAACTTTGCAGCAATATGCCGGACTCACTGACAGAAATTCATCCATAGTTTCAGGTGGGGGTGGTGTATAGTATGAGAAAGAAACGTTATGCAGGGATTAGTCAGCCGTAATATTAATGACGAAGACGGGCACTGAAATTAATTTTAAAATATAGCAAAGAACTACACTAAACAAACTTTTATGATCCTATTCATCTCACTTTCTACATTGAAAACGCGGTTACATTTGCTTGCCGCTTCATAATGAAGCGAATTAAAATTAAATTGTCTGCTACACTTATGTCTGCTTATAATCCACCCGAACACCTTCACATAGTTCTCGAAATGTGGAGTAACCCAACCATAGAACCCATGGAGATTAGCACACCATTGCCTTGTATGCAGTACAGCGATGGCATTGGAACATTTTATTCCCCGCTTTACTAACCAAGATTGGCGGGTAACGGTACTGGATAGAAGGGCTTTAGTTGTCTGATCAATAGTGTATTTATTGTCTGTTGGGTCTATGATAATTCAACGACTTGGTTACGGTAAGAGATTATTTTCGGAGCTAACAACAACCGTTTAAGCTCACGATTGTGGTTTATTTCTGTAAATTGAAACGCACTGCGTAAACCTTACGGTGTCTGGGTCAACTTAAGGACTAGTTTGAAAAAACGACACCAACACCGCCGTGGACCTACATCCGGCCAACAGCTGACCGATTTTTCTCATTACATGGCTGATTTTACAAGCATTGTCACCTTAGTCAACTACTACTACAGTTATATATTGGCTGTATTGGCTAGTTACTAAGCGGTAAATTCCTCGCCTATTGGACTACATCTGGTAATTGGTACTTACAATTAGTACCAAGTATTTCCTACTTTTCCAACCCCACAACACCTCGTTATAACTGATGGATATTATCGCCTGTTAACCTTTCTTTAACTCTATTGTCTTTTGTTAGCGTGTACTTACTCTCGGTCACCTCTTTTTGCATCTAGCAATTGTAGCTGACTTCCCCAGATTCCTAGTACTCCGAAACAATTGAATAATGGACCAATGTCCTGTGTATGGCAATGGCCATTAATAACTTAACTCCGGAGCACTAAAAAAGTCAAAAACCATGCGGCACTTGTCTGTGAACTCAAACAGGTATTGAAATCCAATAGTTTACGTATATGGTCTTGCCATCTGTGTAGAGTTAGTTCGTGAGTATTGACGTTTGAATCAACATTTTGGTACAACTTTCTCAGTTTACTTTGCTTTCGTGAGTCAAACCTTCAAAAATTGAGATTTCATTATTGAAATAGTTGCAATAAATCCATTGCCATTAAGCCTAACGGCATGGAAATGGAGTTGAGTGTGATCTTCTCTGGTATTGAAATTGTCACGGTCCGACTTTTCGGTGACTTGACAATTAAATATCCGTAGCTTGAAAGGTTTGTCGGTAATCAAAAAAACTCCATCGGCGTTTCGAACACTCTTCCCCTATAACAGGATTCTGATTCCATTTCTGTATCGGGAAACAGAAGTACAAAAGCTCAACGTCGACATTGAGATCCAGTTTATTATTATCAGTGTTCTAAAGTCCGTGGGTGCTCATCGCGTAGTTATCACCCGGGAGACATCGTAAGCGAGCTTTATCAAAGTCCGTTTTCAAAGTCTCGGAAAAGACACTTGAACCACACCGTTAGGAATTCCTTAACAGCGAGAAGTGATGCTTTTTTACGATATATACAAGAATGTTCATCTACAAATGGTCAGAAGCAAAAACGAGTGGGGACGGAATTACCTATTTAATTTACCTCGGTAGTACATTTCAAACATAGCGTGAGGCACGTGATTGCAAGAGACATCGCACCTCAAGTAATTGTGATGTTACTTGTGAGTCAAGGCTTCTCCTAGCATTGTCTTGACCAAGTAGATTCTAGATATTATCATGTCATCACGGACCCTTTGGGTTCGGGGTCCAATATGTGGTGTTGATAACTGTCGATCTCGGCTCTACCGTTCAACTGACGGGCATAAAGTATGTCAATATGGGCATGTTATGGATGGACAAGTCGAAATCAATGATGACCAAGATGAGGGTTTCACCGTGACAAGAAGATTAAACATCCAGTTGACCGGTGTTGGGGGTGATTTCTCCCAGAATTCTGCCAGCCAAAAAGGGCAAGGAAGTCAAACCCATGATAAACTGATAAAATTATATGGTATGGCAGGCCGTCGACATTTCTTAAAAGTGCTTCAAGTAATTCTTAAGAAACAACTAGAAATTGTGTGTTCTGAGTTGTTGAAACTCGACGTTGATTTATCTAAGCAGGTGGAATCACAGGTCAAATTATACTGGGTACGTCTTATAGATCGATTTTGGAATGTTCATGGTGATAAACCAACCCATACTCAAACCCAAACTCAAATAACCCAAGCCATGGAAGACGATAAAAGAACTGTCTCCTTATCCGATAAAGTAAATACACCAACTACTTTGGATACTATCTCAATTGTTTACTTGGTCCTTTTAGAACAGAATCACACTCCAGTTTATGTGACTGATTTCCTTCATTGGATCAAACTAAATCAGATTCCATACATTAAAACCCTTTACTTGGTTCCAACTTCACTATTGGAACCACTTCCTCAGCATTATTACAAGTTACTCCAACCTCCTACTCTTCCAATCCAGAATGAATTATTAAGCCACATATCCCAAAATGCCATAAGTTTAGTCCAATATCATCATCCAAAGACAAACCATATTACTGTGTCTGTAAATTACTACTACTTGTGGATATACAGAATGCTCGCGCAAAAGTTTATTCTTCCGTCTACTATATCAATTTTTCATATGGTGTGCCATATCTCGGATAAACTTGGTCTTGAAACCCTCACAATAGGTGAATTAAGACCCGAAACGTTCCCTGAGGTGGTGATGATGGCCCTAATACTTTTCTGTATTAAAATAAGTTTCTTGTTTAAGATGACCAAAGTCAATTTCCGTCAATGGATGAAACAATTACATCAACTTGATTTTTCATCCCCAGATTATCTTGGAGGTCTAGAACAATTGATCCATTGGTCTGATGAGAAAGTTAACCAGTATTGTGACTGGGTATACGGTAATCTTTTACCGGCTAATGTGGACAACAACAACTCCATCATGAAGAGACGACTACATCAAATATTTGAATACCCTGAACCGGATCGGGCTTCACCTTCACCTGTACCCTCGGAACTGACACCACACAATCATCTTGTATTGCTTATTGAATCTACCAAAGCACCAGCTGTACTTAGTAAAAGTGATCTATATCAGTTAGAGACCACCCTAATAACAAGAGGACTGGACTTGGTTGGGGTGAAACCCGAGGTAATGGTATTGGCATTGGATACCCTCGAAATTAATATTAACCGGTACATAATCGAGGGTAACACCTCATCAACATAACAATAACAATAACAATAGTCATAATAACATTAATGACATATATAGCAGCATCAATACTATGCTAAATGTATAGCAATGAATATGAGACGGAATACTACCAGTCCCCATAAGCGGCGTAAGATTCAGAGTAAACGACAGAGTGAACCTCAATTGTTTCTACCAGAGGATAGTAGCAGTGAGGATGGCAGTACAATTGGTAATGAGGATGAAAGCAACAAAGAAAAAGAGATTGATGTAGAAGAAGCATCTGCAACAGAGGAAGCCACAGAAGAAGCCAATTCTGCAACACAAGAAGCCACTGCTTCAACACAAGAAGTCACTATCTCAACAATTGATACACAAGTTGAAAGTACTGGTATATCAGAGAATGAAGAAGCACCTGTTACATCCGAAACCGGATCTTTCTCTATAACAAATGAAAGAACCCAAAAGAAGGTCCCTGCTAAGCTTATAGATGCGTTATGGGATCCATTGGAGACGCCATCGCTCAATGCTGTTGAGAACATTCTTTACATCAGCATGAATCGGACTCTAGAGAACCTTGAGAACACAATTAACTCAAAAGAAGTATCTGCACTGACTAGAAAGTCAACTCAGAAGAAATACCAAGATGCCAAAGTTTCATTAACTCGGAACTGGCTCGATAGCAATGATCCCAAGTCGTTTATGTCACGATTACGCATGACTAAACTTCCATCCAAAACTGTTTTAGTTGGAGGAAAAAGGTCAGAGTCAGAACTGGATCCTATGTTAATGTACGACAGATTACGTCGACAACGTCAAGTGATGGAAACGTATTTACTGGCGGAAATGAATCAATTGCATGAATTGGAACGAACCTACAAAAAACTAGAGACACTGTACCAACTGGATAGCAAATACCTAAATGACTATAAGCGGATTGTGGAGGTGGATACTAAACGGATGGCTACAGAAATAACAAATAACAGACAACAATTGGGAGTCAGTGGAATGGCAGACTCATCTAATTCTCGTTCACTTTCGAATAAGAAACTAAAGGGGAGATCAAAATCGGCCTTCAGCCCTGAAACAGATAAGGATGTTCAGGATATCTTGCATTTGTTTCAAAGCAAACTTGTGAAAGACAAGGCACCTCACTCACTGAGCGAGCTCTCACAAAAGATTGACAAGGTATTCAGCATTCTCTTCAAAGAAGGGTCATGATATGATACGATATGATATAATTTTAATCTGCATAAATCCAGTATATGGTTATATATATGATATCTTGATCTGATTCAGCATCATATTTCAAGGTGATACAACCATCTCGTTTGGATTCCCATGCCGCACCATACTGAGTTCTTATCAGCAAATCAACATCATTCTCAGACCTAACAGAGGTTGCTTGCACGATATATTTATATTTAGACAGTCTTTTCTGAAGGCTTTGAAGCACATGGTCAATGACATTATTGGTTGAAATCGAACTGTTGTTGGATAGGCTTTCTGTTACCAAACCTTTCAAGTAGATTTCATCTCCTACAGCTTCCTCGGCAATTGAACTTCCCACAATAGTCACACTCATTTCATCACATACACAAACAAACAATCAATCAATCAATCAAATTATAAAGGTGGTATTAAGAATACTTCCTTGGGTCTTATGGGCAATACTTAAGGTATCACTATTTAAGGTATCACTACCTTTACTTTGACTGTTTACCGTGCTACCGTGCACCTAATATGCGCTACCATTAACACGGAAAGCAGTTGGTTTGTACCGCGTATTCGGCTTCTTTCGTCGTGTGCAGTATGGTAACGTATACGGAACTAGCCAAACCATCCATCGGAACGTTAACGGAACAGCCTAATATGCTTAATCGTGACTAACACTTTGTTTCTGTTGGTTGTTAGTTGTTGTTACTGAAGTAGTCATGTTCCGTTGGAAACTGAAGAACGAAGACACCGACTCCATGTCTCTGCTGCAACTGTCGACTGCTGCCACAAGTATAGTTAGTGGTGGAGGTGATACCAAAGTTAAAAAAGGTCAACAAGACACCAAACTTATAAAGTGTCATAAACCCTTTGAAAGCCCCATTAACCCAATAGTTGAGCCCAAGTATGATTTGAGTGAAGAACAGCTGGCCATTTATAACGAGGTATTGGAACACTTTGAAGAGTACATTACCACTGACATACCCGTTAGTGACCGGAAGAATGAAACCCAAACGCATCCTATACTTGAAGAGGAATTAGCTTGGTTGACTAAAGAATGTTTTCTTAGATACTTGAGAGCTACAAAATGGAAGAAAGAGCATGCTATCATCCGTATAAAGGATTCTATATTATGGAGAAGAACTTTTGGTGTGGTTGTTGTTCCTGGAACCGATACTAAACCTATTACTGCTGAATCGGTTGAAGTTGAAAATGAAACTGGAAAGAACTTAATTGTTGGTTATGACAACGATAATAGACCTTGTTTATATTTAAGGAATGGGTATCAAAATACCAGTCCATCCATTAGACAAGTGCAACACTTGGTATTTATGTTGGAAAGAGTTATTCAATTTATGCCACCAGGACAAGATACATTGGCCTTACTTATTGATTTGAAGGCCGCACCTGAGCATCTTAAGCTTCTGGCTAAGTTGCCATCACTTTCTATTTCTAAGCAAGTATTACATATTCTTCAGCATCATTATCCTGAACGATTAGGTAAGGGGTTATTCACCAATTTGGGGACTTTTGGACATGTTTTCCTTAAAATGGCAGGTCCTTTCATTGATCCTTATACTCGACTGAAAACCATTTATGATCAACCTTTTGAAGAATATGTACCAAAGGAACAGTTGGATAAGGAATTCAATGGTCTTTTGGACTTTGAATATGATCATGATATCTATTGGCCAGAAATGAATAAGATGGCTGAACGGAAGCATCAAATATACATGGACAATTTTAAAAGATTAGGGGGGAAAATAGGTCATAGTGAGTTCATCTTAAGATCACCCATTAGTACATAATCATCAGTACATAATCATCATCTGTATCTCGTATCTATATATTCTATCGTTATTATACCTTGGCAACTAGAGACATTGGTGAGACTTTGGATTCAACCTCCTTATCATACTTAGTCTCTTCGTTGTATCTAAGATAAGTGTTGTAACCCCAGTTATCATTGGTGTAGAAAGTAGATCTGTCATATGGAGTCAATGGATGGCCTTCCTTGACTCTCTCTGGCAAATCAGGGTTAGAAATAAAAACTCTACCAAAACCAATAATTGTCTTTTCATCTTGAGCATCCTTCACAATGGCTTCCTTAGCATCTTCATAATAAGAATAAGCTCCACCTCTCAACAAAACACCCTTATATAAAGCTCTAACAAATTCAGCGTCGTCTTGCTTGAAATCGGTGGCGGTAATGGATGAATCAACATACGAGAGATAAGCCAATTCCTTACCTGATTTGTCAGCCCTCTTTTGCAATTGATCCAAAATGTAGCCGTATTGGACGATTGGGTGGATGGCTTCATCCTTACCCAAAGTACCTTGGAAGGTGTTGTATGGAGATAATCTAAGGGCCAACTTTTCGGCAGGGACTATGGTTAACAAATGGTCAATCAATTCCAAGAGGAATCTGGCTCTGTTTTCAATGGATCCACCATATTTATCGGTTCTCTGGTTGGAACTTGGTTGGATAAATTGTTCCAATAAGTAGCCGTTAGCAGAATGGACTTCAATGAAGTCAAAACCAGCTTCCAAGGCGTTCTTTGCGGCATTGGTGAAATCAGTGACAATGATATCTTTGATTTCTTCCTCAGTTAAAGCTCTGGTAATCATACCAGCAGCTTCGGCGTCTTTCTTAAACTCGTCACTTGGATAGGTGGCGGAGGCAGAAGTAACCTCAAGACCATGGGCTTTAGCTAAAGCATGGGGGAACACTCTCCCCAAACTCCAAAGTTGGATACTGATGAAAGAACCCTTCTCGTGAACGGCATCGGTTACCTTCTTCCATGATTCCACATGTTTGGACTCCCAGATAGCAGGAATGTTAGGATAAAATCCTGTTCTGGCCGATGTAGATGTGGCTTCAGTCACCAATAAGGTACCAGGGGTAGCAGCCCTATCGGCGTAGTACTTCAATTGCAAATCAGTGGCAGTGTGATCATCTGCAGCTCTGAATCTAGTAGTGGGCAAATGAGCAACTCTATGAGCTAAAGTGACATTACCAACTTTCAATGGCTTAAAAAGGTTGGTGTCTTTAAAGGAAGTAACAGTCATGTTATTATTATTATTATTGTCGTTGTTGTTGTTGATGTTAGCAGTGTAACTACAGGTATAAATCTACAACAGAAAGTATTTTATTGAGCTCTCTTTCGCTATTTATATAGGGTGCCATTACGTTAACTTTATGTTCCGACATAAAGCCACATCTTTAGACACTTTTCAGTCTTACAAATCAATTGTGCTTACCAACACTTAGAAATCGATCTGAATGCCTCTTCCCGGAGTTAATGCTCAAAGCAGCAACTCGAATCGGGGTATTTCTTTTTCCGGACGTCAATTTTCCTAATTAGGGTGGGATGACCCGGTTGTTTCAACTGCCTCTCCTACTGAGTTTTAAGTTAAATACTTTGTAATTATGTGGAGGTAAGAATGAACAGGGCACCCGAAGATACCTTTTATAACTCCACGCTATTTAATTTCAGTAGTAATAAGTGGCAAAGTTGTTTTGTTTGATAACTGGTGGAATCGCTTGAAAAGCATCTCAAAGTATCGTAAACTAACTGCGACATTACAGTAATAATGTTGGACCGGTAACAACAAGCTGCTACATATGTATTGGTGCTACAACCACATATCAACATTAATACTTTATTAGACTACAGTTTATCTGATAAGGTTCACACTAATGTCGTATATCAATGGCCCCTCTCTAAACCGTTGTTATGCTAACACGGCTTATGTGCACGTTCATCTCAAACGTTGCTTACGTTATCCTTTTGTATGTACATTTATTTAAGCGTGCCACGTGACATGACTCAGTCCTCAAATTGAACTACATCAGCGATGACTACGTCAACTACACCTATAGTCGTCAATATATAATCACTGCCGCTCAACATGAGTTACGTTATCACCCTCATTTCTCACCTGGAGACAGTCGCTGCTCCAGAACACGTGTCGAAAGCCAAAGACTTTATTACTGCCCAATTAGGCCTCACCATAGAGTTAGAGAAGGCACTTTCTCCCAGAGCCATAGATTTTATCGTTGGAGAACCAGCCAATTTAGAGTCTACTAAATCCAGCATAAAGTCCCACTTATTGAGCGGTGATGCTGTACCCCCCTATGACTTGATTTTCCAAAAAAATGACGACGCTAGAAAGAATAAGAAGTTGTTCATATTTGACATGGACTCCACCTTAATCTATCAGGAAGTCATTGAGCTTATTGCAGCCTATGCTGACATCGAAGATAAGGTAGCTGAGATCACCACCAGAGCCATGAATGGTGAATTGGACTTTAATCAGTCGTTGGCCGAAAGAGTCAATCTCTTAAAGGGTATTGACTCCACTTCTATCTGGGAAGAATTGAAACACAAGATCCAAATCACCAATGGTGCCATAAAATTGGCCGCATTCTTAAAGAGTAAAGGTGCCGTATTGGGTGTTCTTTCTGGTGGATTCATCCCGCTTGCAGAACATATCAAGGGCCAATTAGGTTTAGATTACGCCTACGCTAACACTTTAGGTACAAACGAAACCAATATCTTGAATGGTACTACTGTTGGTCCCATTGTCAACGCAGAACGTAAGGCTCACCTACTCTTGGAGATTGCTTCCAAACACGGAATAGACCCTGTGGATGCCGTAGCAGTAGGCGACGGAGCAAATGATTTGAAGATGATGGAAGTTGCGGGGTTTGGTGTAGCTTGGAATGCCAAACCGAAAGTCCAACAAGTCGCACCTTGTTGTTTGAACACCAAGTCATTGGCCGATATCTTGTACATATTAGGTTACAGTGATGATGAGATATAGATTATGTAATAGATATATATAATAGAGTTTATCCAACTATACGACCCCGTACAACTCCCATGATACCATTGAACAAAAGAACCTCTTGTCCAATCTTTAACTCTTTCCAGTAAATATTATCTGCATAAATGTATCGTTTACTAAGTAGCTTGTTGCGCATAACTCCGCATAGACATCCACTCTTAAGTCTGGGGGTTATCCATTTACCATCGGATTCTCTTTTAATGGCAAAGTTAGATATTGAACCTTCCAATGCCATTTTAAACGTATTCTTCAAAATCACTTCTTCCTTCCCTGGTCTTCTCCCTGGAAGCATTCTGGTTCTTGCACTGTTATAGACATTTCTATGGGTAGTTTTGAAGGAAGTAAATGGTGATATTGCTGTCTCTTGTGTATCGATATAAACATCCCAAATCTCAGACTCATCAATAGCAGTTGCTGAGGTTACATCTTGGTAATACCCATCATACAAATCAAGTCTAGATGGTGTAGGATAAAACTCTATCTTAGCATTACCATCTAACCCTAATAGGAATCTTATCTTCAAACTTTCACCAACAGGCACCTGACCCAAAGTCATACCTTCTATCAACCTTTCATATATAAAGGCTTCTGAAATATCAATCTTTGGAAGTGGATGGGTATCCTTATAAAGCGATCTCATCATCCCTAGACTATAAATAAGTCTCTCCACATGTTCTTTGAACAAGAAGAAGTTCTTCTTGGTAATATCCTCAACTGTTAACGGAGGTTTACTACTGAGTCCAGGGTCGTATCTGATTGTACTTAAGAGTTGAAAATCATTGGGCCCAACTTCGTAAATGTCTGATAGTTTTTCCTTCCTAACTGTTTCTATTAACTCCTTATAATACTGCTCTTTATCTTGGTCAGTCGTATCGACTGTTTTGCCTGACATTGTTACTAGATGGAGATAAGAGTCCAATATGTTAATGTGGTAGGTTGACTTTATTCTATACATTTACACACATTATATGCAGCGCAATTTTTTTATCAGGATCAAGATTGAAGATAAGCTTTGATTAAACAGTACAAGTCGATGTCAATATAAAGTAATTGATTGCATTTACTATCAACATGATCACATTGTAAAACGTTATGATACACAAGTCACGACTACAAAGTCACAAGTTATACAATATAGTACAAAGGAGGATTAATATATGATACATAACGTATCACTATATGAGTCAATACAGAATATACGACGGAATTATACGATGCATAGGAACATTAACACATTTATATAAGAGTTTACGGTTCATTATCAAATACGAGTCGCATAACCTTCAATTATCAACACGTATAAAAATAAATGTGCTCGGAAAATTTCACCCCACATTACTTATTCTCCGTCAGTCTTCTTTCTTTTCTTTCTTTCCTTCCAATAGTAAAATGAGCCCAGACTACTCCAAATTAGCCCAATCACATCCTGCTCCCAAATGGGACCATACTCCCGAACAAGTGATTTCAATTGCTAAGGAATTGATAGCCAAAGAGAAGTCTCTTAATGATAAAATAGCCGCAATTCAAGACCCCACTATTGAGAATGTATTCTTACCTATTGCTTATCACTCTAACGATACTGCGTTACTTGAACATCAAATAACCTTCTATCAACATGTGTCTACCAGCAAGGAGTTAAGAGATGCTCTGACGGAAGCCGAACAGTTGTTACAGGAAGCTGGAATCGAACAAAATATGAGAACAGACGTTTATCAAGTGTTTAACAAGTTGTATCAACAAGTTGTGGATTCAACGTCTCTTGATCCAGAAACCAAACGGTATTTGGATAAGATCAACATTTTCTATATCCAGAATGGGTTGCATTTACCAGAAGACAAGAGGAATGTTGTTAAGGATTTGAAGACCAAATTGAGTAACTTATCCACTGAGTTCAGTAAGAACTTGAATGAAGAGAAGGGTTCCATCTCCTTTACTGCCAACCAATTGGATGGTGTACCAAAGGATGTAATTGACCAGTTCAAGATCCAAGAAGGTGGTGAGGATGGCAAGGAGACTCTTTACCAGATGACCTTCAAGTATCCAGACATTATACCTGTTTTGAAGTACGCTAAGGACCAAGAAACAAGAAAGACTGCTTATTTAGGGGATCAGAATAAAGCCCTGGCCAATGCTGGCATTTTGGAGGAGATGATTCGTCTTAGGTTCAAATTAGCAAAGACTTTGGGGTATCTGACTTATGCCGATTATGCTCTTCAAGAGAGAATGGCCAAGAACCAAGAGAATGTATTAACATTTTTGAATGACTTAAAGAGTAAGTTGACGTCGATTGGAAGAATTGAACTCAATAAGTTAATTGAGTTCAAGAATAAGGAATTGGAATCAAGAGGGATTCCTTCACAACCAGCCATTTATAACTGGGATAACTTTTATTATAATAACTTACTCTTGGAAAAGGAGTATAATGTTGATCACCAAAAGATCTCCGAATACTTCCCTATGGAGAAGACCATTAAGAAGATGTTTGGATTCTATGAGCATTTATTTGATGCTAAGTTTGTTGAGACCACCACCAGCAGTAGTACTGTTTGGCACGAAGACGTCAAGCAATACGCTGTGTTCCAAGACATTGCAAAGGGTACCCCACAGTTCATGGGTTGGTTATTGTTGGATTTGCATCCAAGAGAAGGGAAATATGGCCATGCAGCCAACTTCACTTTGGGTCCTGGATACTTTGATGAACAAGGCAACAGAGTTACTCCGGTGACATCACTTGTTTGCAACTTCACCAAACCCTCAAGCGAGAAGCCCTCGTTGTTGAAACACAATGAGGTGACCACTTTCTTCCACGAACTTGGCCATGGAGTCCATAACTTGTTGTCGGTCACCAAGTACTCTCGTTTCCATGGTACCAGAGTTGAACGAGACTTTGTGGAGACCCCCTCGCAAATGCTTGAGTTCTGGACCTGGTCCAAGGACGAGTTGAAGAACCTCTCGTCCCACTACAAGACCAATGAGCCATTAGACGATACTACGATCGACCAATTGATCCGAAGCAAGAACGTCAACAAGGCCATCTTCAACTTGAACCAGTTATTCTATGGGTTATTCGATATGACTCTTCATACCGTCGCGACCGAAGCAGAGCTTGAGAAAGTCGACTTGACCAAATTGTGGAACGAATTACGTGAACAACTCACAGGCATACAACGTGATAACAACGATACCAAGGGGTACGCTTCCTTTGGTCACATTGCTGGGGGGTATCAAGCAGGATACTATGGATATTTATATTCCCAAGTGTTTGCCAATGACATCTACTATACCTTGTTCAAGAAGGAGCCGATGAACGTGGACAATGGTTTGAGATATAGAGATGCTATCTTGAGGAGAGGAGGGTCCAAGGACATCATGGACTGTTTGACCGAGCTCTTGGAACGTGAACCAAATTCTGATGCCTTTTTAGAAGAATTACTTGGTGCCCAATAAAATTATTACTATACAATATAATAAACATATCTATAAGTCTAATAAGGTCTGAATCTTTTCTTTTCTTTCATTAACCTGACCTTTTCTTGATCTTGTCTGAATTTCATCAACAAATCATTCATTTCATCCTTCTTCTTTTGTCTCAATTGGAATCTATAGAAATCATCCTTCTCCTTCTTCTTTAACTTATCCTTTGCCTTTTCCACTTCAACACTTGCTGCCAATTTCTGCTTACCCAATATCCCTGCCTTGGTCTTCCTATGAGTTCCCACAACCATAGTAAACCCATCTTCGTCTACCAACTGAGTTTGGTTCTGTAATTGCTCTATAGACTCAGCCTCAGCCCTGTCAAAGTCAACCACAGATTGAGCGATGGTTTGGGCCAACTCTACGGGGTCCAATATTTGTTTCTTCAAACAAGATCTGAAAAATTTGGACCCAAGATCATTCAAGGGCCATTCAGTGACATTTGCCAGGGAACTTAGAGCTTTCAATGCTGTGAATGCAAGCTGGAACGCCGCCTTATCAATGAACGTGACTATCCCACAGTTTCTAGGCAACTTGGATCCACCACCTTCATCCTTTAACCCATTCAACTCCAAATCAGACGTCAATCTAGTCATATCTAACCACACATCTTCAGGACATTCAGTGAGGATACTGGCTGTAAACAGCTCCATAGTGGCCCCAAGGGCTACTTGCTGCAAGTACTTCTTCACCACTGCTCCTGTAGTACATATGGGTAAGTTGAAGAAGAAGATTGCTCTAGAAGTGTTCTTTTGTTCTCTGGTCTCATGTTTCCTAAAGAAGATGTAATGATCGGCGGAGGACCCGGAGAATTTTACCGGTAGAATATGAAACCCTTTGATCTCCGTGCTGACCATAGTGAGAAATATGTATATGTATACAGTGATAAGGATATAGTAGCTTATAATAGGGCATAGTAATGCTCTAAGTATAACTGCCTTTATTGAGATGGGATAAGTAGTGGTTTAGTACACGACTAAGAGATTTACTTTGTTGCATTTATGGTTAGTGAACGACCATATTAAAGGGCCATTACCTACCTATTACCTACAACTAACAGTAATAATACAAGTCTCTCATATCACTAATAATATTAGCTTTCTCTTGCACGCCTTTATAACATTGTTCAATACAGCCTCTAACACCATTTCCACCTACTCTAATTAGCCCTAACATACTAAGCGTACCATACTGCTCGAGTGCGTGTCCCACCTCAAAAATTTTTCACATCTTATCACCTAACACCAACACAACCAATACAAACAATACAACCCATTAAGCTCCTACCTTTTGATACCTGCAATTTGAAGGCAAAGAATGGAGAGAGATTCATTGCTTCAAACCCTTGTGGGGGCCGTTTTGGGTCACAGCAACGAGCACAGAAAGCAATGTGAACAACAATTGAAAGAACTTGAGAAACATCAAGGGTTCACTGCTTATTTACTTGATCTCTTGAGTGAAAGTGACCCAGTGGTTAGACTTGCTGCTGCCATTGTTTTCCGGATCCGGGTCGGTAGATGCTGGGTACCACAAGGTGGCAGTGGTGGAAGAGCAGCTGCCAATGATCTGGGGGCAATTCTGGACCAAGAAAAGACACTTATTAAAACCAAATTGATTGAGTCATTATTAAAAGTTAGTAAAGATCATAAGCTCAGAGCCCAATTAACATTAGCTTTAAGTTCCATTTTAAACAATGAAAAATGGTCAGAAATTGAAGATATCATCAAAAGTTTATTATCAGATGTCAATAACACTGACCATTTATATGTTGGTTTAATGGTTTTATTTGAATACTCCAAATGTTATAGATGGAGTGATAAAATGCCCAATGAGGGGGCAAACCCAGTATTAGAAAGTATCGCTACAGAGATCTTCCCCTATGTGGAGAATATAGCCAAACAATTACTTTCTCAAGATACTTTATTAAGTGACGAAATGTTATATATGATCCTCAAGATCTATAAATATGTCACCTATTCCGACATACCATTATATTTGGTAGACAACCCAACCAATTTGGGTAATTGGTGTCAATTACATCTTAACATCATCAATGCTCCCTTACCTAAAATTGTCATAGAATTGGATCCTGCTGATCGTCCTTTACATCCCAGAATTAAAGCTATTAAACATTCCTTTGGTAACCTTGAACGAATGTTACGTTTACATGCTGCTACTGGAAGAAAGAAAGATTTCAAGTTTGCCCAAGTCTATATGAGTGCTATAGTACCTGATATTGTCAATAGTTACTATAAAGTCATTGAGCAATGGTCATCTAAACAACTTTGGCTTTCAGAAGCTTCTGTTTTCCATTTAACCAACTTCCTTGAACTGTTATTGGATAGTGAAGGTTGGACCTTGATCAAAGATCAATTGGATGCTATTCTTAGACTATTAATTATTCCAACATTATCTGCAAGTGAAACCAGCATTGAACTTTATGGAGATGATCCAGAAGATTATATTAGAAGATATTTGGATATTGGTAGATTCTGGTCAACTGCTGATATTGGAGCTGATAACTTCATTTTTAGACTTAGTTCTAAAAGATTTGATGCGAGTGTTAATTTACTCTTGGCTGCCGTAAGTGATATCTTTAACAAAAGAGCTGCCAATAGAAATGATTTAGAAGCTGCTAAACACGCTGAAGCTGCCATTAGAATTCTTTCTACTATTTCGACTAGTTTAGAAAAGAATTCATCTCCAGTTAAAGGTCAGTTGGATAAAATTGCCCATACCTTTATTGTTCCAGAATTACTGCAAGATACTATATCCAATACTCCATGGTTAACTGCTAGAGCTTGTGATTTCTTTGCATGTGCCATCATCAATTATCCAGATCAATCAGTAGTGCAAGATGTCTTTCAAGGTATAGCCTATTGTGCACAACAAGCTGATCATTTACCAATTCAAATTAAAGCCTTTGATGCTTTGGGTCAACTAGTACCTGAACCATACGTTGCAGCCCAAGTTGCACCTCAAGCTCCACAATTAATGAATACACTTTTGGAGTTATCCAAGAAGTTTGAAAGTGAAATCTTAAATGATGTTATGGACATTATAGTTGAAAACTTCCCTGCTAATTTGGAACCTTATGCCAATGAATTAAGTTCTAATTTAGTGGCTCAATTTATGAAATTGGCTGGTGAAATCCTCGAAAATAGTTCCAATTCAGGTATGAGTTATGAAATAAGTGAACCCTCTGGATCATCTGAAATCGATATTGAAAAGGAATCTCAAGCCACTGGTGTATTGGTTACTTTAAGTACATTAGTGAAATCCATGAGTCATAATCCAGAGGTTGCAACTAATTTGGCTCATAGTTTAAAGGGAGTACTTGAATTTATACTTGAAAATGCCATGGTTGAATTTTTAGCCAGTGCTATTGAACTTATGAAGATAATTGTTGACACGGGTAAAACCGTTTTACCTGTGATTTGGGAGTTATATGATATTTGCCTTGGATCATTCCAAACTTATGGATTTGATTATTTTGATGCCTTTGAAATGTTTTTTGAAGCTATAATTAATCATGGGTTCATCAAGGAGGACATTAAAATGGATTCACCAAGAGTTCAAGGACTTTTCCAAATCTGTTTGAAGATTATTGGCAATGCAGATGATTCTGTTAATACTTATGATGCTGAAATTGCCTTTTCTTTAATTGAATTAAGTATTTTGGCATTAGGTGAACGAATTAGATCATCAATTCCTGGGTTAATGTCTCAAACGTTTGATATCTTTAAAAGAATGGAGAATAATGATGTATTCGATGGTGAAATGTTGGATCATTTATTGGTGCTTCGAGTCTTTTTTGCTTGTATTTATATTGACGCTTCGGCTTCTTTACAAGTATTGGCTTCGAACCAATTTCTTCCTTCATTTTATAAATTATGGATTAAAAATAGTGAAGATTTCAGAAGTGTTCATGGTTGTAAGCTCCAGATCTTGGCTAGCGGGGCCATATTGTTTAATTCTTCAGCATTATCGTTCGTGCCAAAGGAATATGTTAGTGAAACCGTTGACCTTTTATTGGATAACCTTGAAGCCTTACCTGGAGCCATTAGGGCTCGTGACGCTTTACTCACTGATGGCAATCCAAGAGCAGCAAGTGATTACACAGAAGGAGCTTACTATGATGACTTTAATGATGATGCTGAATTAGAAGCTAGCAAAATAACTCCATTGGAAAATGTAGATGCTGGTACAACAGCAGTTCATTCCATTGTAACCTTACAATCGAATGATCCTCAACATTTCCAAGCTGTATTTGGCTACATAAGTGATAAGCAGAAGGACTTTTTACAACGTATTAGTCAACGGCAATAATTAAGTTATATAGCATAACAATAAACTATATAGTTACGAAGTCCATTATACTAGTTTGACCCAAAGTCCCAGGTTCGAGCCTCGGCTCCGTCGCTTCGCACCAATATTTGTGTTATAACCAGTGGCAATAAAACACACCAATACAAAACGTAAGTATAATCTTTATACAACCTTCTTCTTCAATTGACCCCCAACGACAATGTTCTCAAGCTTTGGATCCAGTTTCTTTGGAGGCCCACCACCCGGAGCCGCCAGCAATACCTTTGAAGATATCTTCCGGGTATATCCTATATCTATGATGCCAGATCATTCCAGGAAAGACGATGCTAACTATGGAGGCAAGATCTTCTTACCTCCACTGGCATTAAGTAAGTTGACTATGCTTCATATAAGGTACCCCATGTTGTTTTCCTTGAGCAACACTTCCCAAGGGATCACCACCCATAGTGGTGTATTGGAGTTTGTTGCTGAAGAAGGAAGAGCATACATTCCTCAATGGATGATGCAAACCCTAAAAGTATCACCAGGTCAATTGTTAAAGATTTCCAATTGTGATTTACCTCTTGGGTCTTTTGTTAAGATTGAACCACAATCTGTTGATTTCCTTGAGATTAGTGACCCCAAGGCGGTCCTTGAAAACGTCTTGAGAAAGTTTTCTACTCTTTCAGTTGATGATATCATTGAAATAAATTATAATGATTCTATTTTCGGGATTAAGGTATTGGAAGTGAAACCTGAAAGTGATCTGAAGGGAATTTGTGTTGTGGAAACGGATTTAACTACTGATTTTGCTCCTCCAGTTGGTTATGTTGAACCTGAGTATACTCCTCAAAAGAAGGCTCCTGACTCTAACCAACCAATTGATCCTTCAAAGTTCAATAAAGGTAGCAATGCAGGTACAATGGCCAAGTCCATACAATTTGCGAAACTTGTTAGTGATGGTACATCATCAAGTAATATGTATGGTGGAAGTGGTCAGAAACTTTCAGGGAAATCTGTTTCTCCAACTCCAAATAATGTCACTGCTGAAGCAGTTGGAGATTTAGACCCCAATGCTCCTCCTGTCCCATTAAACTTACCGGAGAATCAACTTTTCTTTGGATTCCCAGTGACTTTGCCTACACCAGAATTAACAGATTCTGAAACTGCTGAACAGACAAACACATCAACGTTTAATGGTTCTGGCCAATCTTTGAGACAAAGCAAAAAGAGAAAGGATAAAAATAACAATCATCCTTCATTAAAAAATCATACAAGATCACCAGAATTTATTGAAATTGATTAATGAAGTTAATTCATTGAAATTGATTAAGTTACTTCTAATAGTACACGGGGACTTATCTAAACACGGCTAGAAGGAATGAAAACATCATTATCTTGTTCCATAGCTCTTTTAGTATGGTATACAATGTCATCAGATTCCCAAGGGTATGCAATCCAAACATCAGGAACACTACGAGCAGCAAAATAGTTACCAGTTTTCATGATATCATCAGGTAAATCAGCTCTCTTTGCCTTTTGCTTATCATGTAAAACAAAGATACCGAATTTGGTATCTTCTGGATTAGCACCTTTTGCGGCAGCTTGTTCAACAACATCCTTCTTCAATTCAGAAACAGCATAATGTAAAGTAGTTCTAGTATCATCTACTTCATCGATGATTAAAATGTTCTTACCAACTAAGTTGACGCCAGCTTGTTCGTAATCTATCCATTGAGTTCTAACAACTTGAGTGCCAATGTTTTCAGCTTGAGATCCAACAGTTGCAACGTCTTCATAAAGTGACAAAATAATGGCCATAATTCTAACGTTTGGTTGACCGGGTTCCTTCAAGAATGTACGCAACATTCTGGCAGGAATGAACCCTCCTCCACCAATTGCAATAATCAAATCAGGTTTGAATTGCTTGATCTTATCAGCAGACTCTTGACACAACTGATGGATGTTGTTGTACGAAATGTACATTTTTGATGCTTCGACTTCGGTAGCGTCCATTATGGGATACGTCTAATTTTATATCTACTGTGGGAGTCTATGACTTTACAGGGGGGAATGCCAATTCCAGTAAGAGAAAAAGAATACTTGAAAGAAACTGGAATTCATTTTGTTCTTATATAATTATTTGCTGGTACTGCACCTTGCCCACGATGATCCTGTTGATGTTCGGGTGTCAAACCGAAGACAACTGATAACGCCTGATAACATACACTTCTTAAAGGTTTTATCTTCTCACGGAGAAGCCCCTGGACGACTGCGGGGGGTCTTTAACTGGAATTATGATTCTTATTTGTACAGATGAAAAGGTTATTGACACTTATCTTTAGTGAACAGATATGCGATGGATGGATTTCACGGAATTTCCGTCGGAGATGCCGTAGAAACATCCAATTAGGCATCTGCGGAAAAACCTTATTTATTAGGAATCTTACATAATGTTTGACATAATGAAAAAATCACCAAGACGCTGTATTACATAAAATATTACATAATAACCATGTCTTTCCTATTACGGCAAATAGCATCACGTGACACGCCACGGCCAATTTTTCATCCACCACGTAGCATAACTACCAGATCAAATAATGTAACCATAGTGAAGGCAAACATAAATACATACAATTGCCAGAGACGGCGTACACAATAGAGAATCAAGCATACTTCATCAATTGCAGCATGAGGTGGTTTAAACTATTCCTAGTGCTGAGTATTGTGGCTATAGTTGAAGCCGCTATCATGGGTATTGATTATGGACAACAATATAGTAAAGCCGTCTTATTAGCCCCTAACATCAACTTTGATATAGTGCTTAATAATGAAGGGAAACGAAAGGACTTATCCGGGATGTGTATTAGAGCCAGTAGTGATGGTGACGGTGGACTTGAACGGGTCTATGGATCATCCATTCTGTCGTTGTTAACCCGGTTCCCTCAATCATGTGTTAGCGATTTAAAATCATTAATGGGTAAGGAATTCGACAGTCAAGATGTCCAGCAGTATATTAGAAACCATTTCGTTCAATTGAGATCAGATTCCAATAGAAGAGATTCCGTTTTGGTTGATTTCATTGGCTCTAAAAAGAACTCTAGTTATCATTTCACTCCAGAGGAGGTCATGGCCATGGAGTTGAATCAGATTAAGGATAGAGCAAACCAGATGTTGAATTCTTTAGCTAAACATTCCAAATTAGACGACATTATCATTTCCATTGCTCCATTTGCATCACAAGAAACAAGACAGTCGTATTTGGATACTTTGAGTTTAGTAGGCATTAAGAATGTCATAGGGATTGTAGAAGATGGTACTGCTGTGGCATTGAATTATGTTTCCAATAGAAAGCTTGCTGATGTTGATTATGATGATATAAAACGGTACAGTATTGTCTACGATATGGGTGCTGGATCTACAACTGCTACCTTATTCAGTATAACCCCATTCAAAGGCAATAAGACCATTCAAGTGGAAATTGAAGCTCTTGGATTTGAAACTTCTATCAGTGGTAAAGCCTTGACAGACATGGTTTATGATGTGCTATTGGGTAAATTCATGGATCACTTCAAAGTTGATCTTGGTGATATCACTCCAAGAATAAGTAATAGATTAAGAGATTCAGCTGAAAAGACCAAAACAATCTTATCAGCCAATAGTGATTATAGAGTATCTTTGGAATCTATTTATAATGATCATGATTTCCATTGTTCTATTTCAAGAGATGAAATTGAAGAGATTGCCAATGATTTAATGCCATTGATCACCAAACCTATTTTATCAGCTTTAAAAGACGCTGATAATTTACCTATTCTGAGTTTGGAAGCAGTCATCTTGAATGGTGGTTCTACTAGAGTTCCCTTTGTCCAGAAACATTTGTCAGTTTTGTTAGGAGGCGATGGAAAGATTGCCAAAACTGTGAATACCGATGAAAGTTGTGCTTTAGGAGTCACATTTGCTGGCTATTTATCTAAGAACCCTTCTGCCTCAGTTAAACTTGTGGATAAAGTGTTTCACAATTACCAGATCAAAGTTGATAACACAGAAGATGAAACTTTGGTATTCCCTAAAGGGTCCATTGTGGAGTCCAAAAAAGACTTGAATTTGGGTATTCTTAAATCTGATGCCGTCATTGATTTATATGAAGATGATTGTTTTATCAAGAGTTATGTGTTTGAAGATTTGGTAAAGAAATCAAGTAAGCTTTCTTGCGGTTCCAAAGATGAAAAGGTTATTATTGGAACCTTTTCAATAGATCAGAATAAGATCTTTGACTTGGAAGAGTTGAATGTTAAATGTACTAAGACTGAGAAGGAAGAGAAGACCAACAATTTTTTTAAGAATTTGATGAAGAAAAAGGATGAGAATGAAGACGTTGAGGAAGTAGAAGAAGAAGAAGACAACGACGATATTGTTGCTGAAGAAATAGATCACAATGACTCCGAAACTGAACAACCCGAATTCAATGGTACTTCAACGAATTCATCATCCTCACTAAAAAAACCTACTATCAAAAGAGCTAAAATGAGGACGATCTTCATTGCTAAACCTAGACCGAAACAAGCACGGATTAACCCATTTTCCAGATCTGAAAAGAAGGAGATTGAATCCAAGTTGTTTCAATTGGATTTAAAAGACAAGGAAAGAGCTCAAGTGGAAAGCATTAAGAATGAAGTGGAAGCCAGTTGCTATGCTTTAAGGTCCAAACTCGATGATTTAGAAGACGTTCTTTTAGAGATTATGGATGAAGAAGAATTGGAAGGACATCGTGAATATGTTTCTGAGCTTTTAGAATGGTTAGACTTTGAATCTAGTGGTACCACATTCAAAGCAGTTAACAAACACTTGAAGGAAGTGACCCACAGACTTGGGTTTATCACCGATGCCGAACGAGTGAAGGAGGTGGATTTGTCACTTGAGGGAATCCACACCACTCTCTCAAAGGCATTGGAGATGGTCAACCTTAGCAAAGAGAAGACCACGGACTATGAGAAGAATGTTACTGACTTCAAGACTCTTTATACTGAGGGTGGGTTTGACTTTGAAACTGTGGAGAACAGTTTTAACCACAAGCACAGTTGTGGAGAGTTTTTTTCCAAGTTGAACAGCTACCTGAAGGCTCAAATGAAGAAGCTTCAAGCATTGCAAGCCAAACTCGAAAACACAGCTGAAGAGTTGAGTAAGAAGAAATTGTTTGAGCTTCATAATGAGTTTACTGAAATCGCAGATGGGTTGGAGAAGACATTAACCACTGCAACTGATCTTCACAACAAGAGAGTGAAGTATTTTTTTCAAAGATACGATAAATTTGTTGAACGGAAGAAGATTAAGGAGTTAAGGAAACTTAAGGAAGAATTACTTAAATCAGCATCTGAGGCTCCGGAGAAGAGTAGTTCCGATTCGGAGAAAAGTAGTTCCACTTCAGATGCTGGACATGATGAACTCTAATGATACAGTCTAGATACGTATAAACATAATATTATACAGTATATTTTATATTTGGCATGTATTTACACCGTACCTTTAACTAGAGGATACAATCATATCATAAGTCACGTGACGTATAACGTGACTTAGAAATAGTACTAGTTGAGACAATTTCAAACGCATCACCAAATAATGCAAGATACTTGTATCCCATTTATAGTAGCCATGTCATCAAGTAAGTGTCCCGGTAACAGGAGTCCTGCATTAGCCGATCCAATTACTAACCATTTAGATTATCCCGATAACACGAATCAGTATTCCAGAAGGGCCCGTAGTCCAAGCGGAGATCAGCATGGAGTAGACAGAATATCTCGAGCAAGAGAACGAGAAAAGGGCAGAGAAAGAAGTCCTCAAGGGAGACAGCAGCTGAGTTATGGACAGAATTATGGACTGCAATATCATGGACTGAGTCATGGATTGAGTCATGGACAAAATTATGAACTGAACTATAGGCAAAGACAGACTCCGAGTTATAACAGTTACAGCAACACCAATAATAATAACAGTCACAAAGGATATGGTCAATACAAACCAAGATATCCCAAGAACAATGACTCGGAGTCATCGTACAGACCTCGTAACGACAGATACCTGAATAGAAGATATGCTCATCATCCCACTGCGGTGGAATCCAGAGTCCCAGACACCGAAAGGCCCAATACTTCACAAGTGGAGGACCTCAAAGTAGAAGAAGTGATTGAAGATCCTCAAGAGGAGTTGATGAAATTAGAAGATCGATTAAAGGAATTGACTAATGTCAAAAGCTTGAAGGAATTGAAAGTATTAGATTCAAGATGGAATGTTAAACCCCAAGGGTTTGAGAATGTCAGTGCTCAAAGGGCAAAACTTTCAGGTTTATTCCCCTTACCAGGTTACCCTCGGCCAGTTGATTTCACTAAACTTGAAGGTTTAGTGAAGACAAGATTAATGGATTCCAATGATATTTTGAATGAGAATAGTAGTATCAATCCTATTGATTCTCGAAACTCCAAGGTTATCATAGTAGACAATATCGACTTTGATAAGATTAGTTATATGAAGATTGTGGAGTATTTCAATGATACCTTGAAAAAAATAGATATAGAAGAAACTTCTGTTCAGAACATATCCAAGAAATGGATTGCTCAAGATAAAAAGAAGTTAATTGTGGTATTTAATAACAGCACTTGTGCAACTATCATTTTATCCCTTAACACATATCAACTACCAGTAGCTGAGTTTATTAAAGAAAGTAATAATGAAGATGAGATGGACGATGAACAAGCTTCAAACACACTGGAAAAAACATTTAGATTGAGTCTTGGACGTCCAGGAGAATATGTGGTTCAGCTGCTTCCTAAATATACTTCAATTGAAGTTGAAGATATCTTCACCAAAGTTATTGACAGTCCCAGAAAGATAACCTTGATATTGCCACAAGATTTAACTGAAACAGAAATAGTCGATGAGTTAAAGCTAATCGCACCAATTAAATGCTTCCAATTACTACGTGAAATTGGTACCAAGACAAGTTTGGGTATAGCTTTTGTTGAATTTTTTGTGGATCCAAATCAAACTAATGATAAATCAACTGGTGACATGATTCATCTAGTTCAAGAAATGCTTGACAAGGTAAAAGATTTATCCATTATCAAGAATGCATTCTTCTCTTGTATTAATAATAATAGTTTTGAAAGAACAGCTATTCAAGATTGTCCTACTTCTTATGAAACTTTGGAACTCTTAGTTAAGAATGAACAATCAACTCCTCATCCTAAACTGAGAGTTATTCAACTACTCAATATAGTCATAGCCAGGGATCTTGTTGATGATAATGATTTCAAATTCACAGAAAATGATATCAAACGAGAGCTATCCAAATTTGGAAGAATTGTATCTATGAAAATCCCCCGTCCAGCCAATGATTATACTCCAGGGTTAATTCAATTTTCACAACCAGGATTAGGTAAAGTTTATGTTGAATTTGAAGATGAAACTTCAGCCATGAATGCCATTATTGGTACTGCTGGAAGACAATTTAATGACAGAACCGTTTTATGTGCTTATTTTGATTATTCTGATTATAAAAGTTCACTTTTATAAATGGTTCTCAATTAGGAATGCTCTTAATTCTTGAGGAACTCGAGGATCATAGCCATGCCTAACAATTAAATCATATAAAGAAGCTGGGATTTCAGGGATAAAACTTAGACTTAATTTTATAATTTCATTTTCTTCTAGATAGGGGAAACTTCGTAATATTTTCATTGGTTGAGGAGATTTTAAGATAACTGAACGATTAAGAATTAATTGGGCCACAATGAAGAAGATATTCATATGAGTACCATAAGCAAACAATAAGTCCCATAACTTCAATAAACGAGTTAATGGCGGTGTACAAGCACTTAGTGTGATGACTGAAGGGAAGGCAAAGATTTCTGTCTTTAAGAATTTTGAATCTAAATATTCACTTAATATAGGATCAATAATTTTCAATACCACATCGACCAATGATAGTCCGGTATGAACACCATCAAGATTGGGAGTCACATATAAAGGGATTTGGTTAACAATAAGACTATGAAGTATAGCAAAGGCTTGTGGTTCACTTTTATGACAAGCATAAGCAATTGGAGCCAAAAGCACATTCAAACCTTGAACGTACCCCACTCTATTATTAGTAGATAAAGCCAAACAAGATAAGATTCGTACCAAGGAGTCTTCACTTACCTTCAGATGGAATTGGGTATCATTCATAAGGGTTCGAAAGGTATCGTTCTTAATCTTATTATAAATATCCACATCGAGTTCATTGGGCACTCGAGAAAGCAAGTCAATGTAATCCTCAGTACGGAAATTGGACACCCGACTAAGAATTGACCATACATATGACCTATATGGACACATATCGTAACCTGGGGGGATTGAGAGTCCTTCTATTAGGATCATGTATCTGAGTTGAGATAAGCCATTTTCAAGAAACAATTGAGGGGTTCCAAGGAACTGTTCTATTGCGTCCTTCTTCCTTCCCTTTAAGGGGGCAGCTGGAGGTCTTTCCAACTCCATAGTTAAAGATGAAGGGTGATATAGTGGTAACTAGTACTGAGGGTTGATCTCTATTATGTAAACAAAACATATAATAATGCACACGACCTTTTAGACTTAGTCACGTGATATATGAATTAAGTGTTATAAAGTTACAGTAGAAATCAGTAAATAAAGTATTGATTAATATCTAAAGTGCTGATAATATTAACAGACAATTACTAGTACTAAGATAGCACTATTATTTGATATTCTGCGCTTTATGCTTACTTTAATTCCTAATATCTGCTGAGCAATTATTAGTCACGTGATCCACAACTAACAAACAGTATAAACTTCTCACGCGTCAAAAGCAAAGACAACCTTAACCACTTTATTAACATAACTTTATCAATATGTTTGGATTAGGGAAGTTATTCTATGTGATATTGTTTGCCATAAACGGCATTGCAGTTCTTAGTGAAGATCGGTTCTTAAATCGCATTGGCTGGGGCTCAACACCAGCTGGGTTCCAACCTCCACAGTATCAACAATATGGACAAGGTTTAGATACCAATGATAATGGATCCATGAAAAGCAGAATAATCAACTTGATAAGTGCAGTAAGAACTTTACTACGGATCCCGTTGATCCTAATCAACGTTCTTGTTATACTTTATGAGGTGGTGTTTGGATAATACAAAACGTAGTGTACACATTAATTACAAACAGATTTACATACTTCCTTCTAATATACAATCATAGCTAACAGCCGTCAATACTATTTTATTCCTCCTTAACTCCTTCAGGACCCGTGGCATTATTATGAAGACGATCTCTTGATTTCTTAAACAATTCTTCTTGTTGTCTTAATAGTTCTTCTTCACTTAGACCTGAATTTTGAAACTTATTATTCTTCTTTTCTTTGCCCTTTAATAACTCTTTATGTTCATTTAATACTTTATTGATGATCTCCAAGTAATTCTTGAAATCCAATTCTTCTAGAGCTTTAACCACATGATCTGATGCAATAGTTTTCTTAGCTTCCTTCTCTGCAATTTCATTCAGTTGACTTGAAAGTAACATGATAAATTCAATGGCACAATCAGTAATAGCATCACGTGCCTCTTTGGATATAGCGATTTCTTTCGGCATTATTTCACTAATGATCTTTTGAACTGTGGCTTTGGGTAAAGATAAATCTTCCCCACCATTGGAAGTCAGTCCATATTCCGACATTATTTGTATTGGCTTATTGGTTATTGTTATATTTGGTTCCACAGGTTTGAGATTTGTTCATTTATTTATACTAACGAGATGGTAAAGACACGACCATGGTTTTAAGATTCGCTTATTATCTACTGTATAATGTGTGTTATCTAGCATATATATTATTGTATCTATTCTTTATCTTCAATAAAAGCCACTACTGACCGCACAAACTCTTCAGGCTGATTGGCCACTATCCAATGGTTCGTATCAAAGGTGTCTACCTTCAATTGGGTGAAATAGTTTGAAAACTCTTTTAAACCCCTTTCATCAATAAAATCTGAATGTTTTGCCTTCATTATCAACACTGGCTTATGAAACTTTGGTTTTGACGGCTGACGATTTAATGGCCAATCTCCAACATTTAATGCCAAATCATTCTGTAGAAATTCTAAAACAGGTATGCGAAACCGACGTGGTATACTCGCAGTCACCTTCCCTTTTACATCAAGATTAGACATAAGAAAAAACCGTTCTCTTTCATCTTCAACATACTTACTAAGAATCAGAGTGATCCTGGGCCACATGGCACTATTGGGTGCCTTTGTGCCTTCAAGCTCACGTTCAATCTCACACATACCTTCAAGCTTGGGCCGTACGAATGCTTCTAGATCTTGTTTAATGGGAGAGTTATCAACCACTATCAACTTAGATACAAGATCTGGTCTTTGTAAGGCAATAAGCATAGCTACTTTTGCTCCCATCAGATGACCTAAAAGTATAAGTCCGTCATTCCGTTTTATGGCGTCTATATCCTCGTGTCGTTCTATATGGTGAATAACATCTCCTGCTAATGCATTATACGATAAAGGTATGGCATGAGGCGAAGACCCATGGTTCCGGAAATCAAGTCCTTTAACCTCAAGCTTAGCCAATTGACTTATCTTCCGTCCAACTGTTCGATAATTCAGCTTAGACCCAAAAAGTCCATGAAGCATCATCATTGGTGGTGATCGTTGTTGATCATAGTTCACATCTCCTCTATGCTTGTACACTTCACAACTGAGCTCTACTACGCTCTCACAAGGTAACAGAGCATCTCGAATGACACCGCGAGAAAAGTGCCTTATAACAAACGGTATTCGACCACGACACACAGAAAATAACGAAATCATTAATGGAACAAATAGATGAATTTGATAGTTATTATCAAACTCATAAATTGATTCATTAGGTGGCCCACACTGCATATAAAGATATTTACTTTATCATTACTTACTACGTGCATTAACTATTAACATAAGATTTAGCTCTCTTCATTGTTGTTGTTGTTGTTGTTGTTGTTGTTGTTACCTCTCATGAACTGGTTTGCCATGTTTTGAAGCATGGGGTTATTCATCAAGTCAGCCATGTCGGGCATACCTCCAGCACCAGCACTCGTACCAGCACCCGCGCCGGCACCGGCACCGGCACCTGCACCGGCACCTGCACCAGCTCCACCACCAAGGCCAAAGTTTTGGGCCATTTGTTGAACAGCAGGGTTGCTCATCAAATTCAGTAAAGCAGATGGGTTGGACATCATTTCTTGGGCCATTTGCATAACTTGGGGATTGTTGAGCATTGCACCCAAATCAGGCATACCTCCGGCACCACCTCCTAACAAACTAGCAAAATCAGGTAATCCACCCGCACCGGCACCGGCACCGGCACCAGCAGAAGCGGAAGCATCAGGACTTCTGGTAGCTGACGTCAGTTCCATAGATCTTTCTAAATCTTCTTCGACTCTACGTTTAGCCGTTTCATATCCTTTAGCCATAGCATCAGATTTCTTTTCACCTTCAATATCTAACCCACTCTTGTAAGCTTCCATGGCAGATTTAGCATCACCTAAAGCGTACTTAGCCAATCCTAATCTTGAATATGCCTTAGCAAACAGTGGGTTCAATTGGATGGCTTTCTCAGCATCTTCAACAGCCTTTTCATGTTGAGAAGAGGATGAATAAGCAGCAGCTCTATTGGACAAAAACACAACATTAGTACCATCCAATTCAATTGCTTCGGTATACTTTTGGATTGCCAAAGAATAATCTTTAGCAGCCATAGCCTTGTTACCTTCAACCTTTAAGGAATCAGCCAATTTCTTATCAGCATCGGAAACAGTATCAACATCATCAACAGCAGCAGGAGTAGCAGCAGTAGAGGCAGTTGCTGAGGTCTTGAATGACTTGAAAGCACTTGCCAAATCAACACCACTCTTATCACTAGCATCAACTTCAAAGGCATCAGCAATGCAGTCGATGGCAACATCCATAGACTCAGCATAGTCCTCGGAAACTTCTTTATTTTCAACAGATTTGCGCAAAAAGCCAATAATGGCCAAAGCAATGTCCTTGCTTTCAGTTGGTAACATTTGTAGTAGAAGCTAGCTAATTGGTAAGGAAGAAGTAGGGGACAACTTTTAGGTTAGCAGTGCATACTTCTTTGACCTTCCAAAATTCATATGAACAAAATATATATATTGAGCAGCGCACGACAAGTTCTTATAAGCAAGTGCAACGCGGTAATAGCCGTGAATTACCGAAGCTGTTTAAGACTTAATAAACGTTTCTGTAAAATGCATTTCCTATGCTGAACATTACCCAAGATGCTTACCACATACTTCTTAATAGCAAATTCAATAAAGGTTGACTTATACTTGAGAAAGTCTGAGATCTCTGACGCAATCAAATCATGATCGCATTTGATCTCACTATTCATTTTGATGACTTGCTTAATCAAATCAGCCTTCTGTTTAGTAAGCTTTTTATACTTTGACTTTTTGCTCTCTAAGATGGCTCCAAAATTGAATATTGAAGATGCTGATTGTTCTTCTTCATCGTCTTCAAAGTCAGCCACTTCCTCACTACTAAAAGTGCTTCTTCTTGAAAGTGGAGTACCTCTACCATTTGGGTTATTGGGAGAGTTTAATCTCATCTTCAAGTTAATGGTATCAATCATTTGCAATTCAGCCTCAATGGTTTTGATTTCCTTATAGTGCTCTTTCCACGTTTGAATTCTGCCTAAAACAATGTCAACGTTTTTTCTTAGTCGACTACAAGCATTCTCAAGTTGTGTAGTACATGCTAAGAACTCCAACATAGCATGCGATTCATTGATATGGTGATTCTGGTCCGTATCACCACTTTGAGTGGTCATTGTAGTCAGGATAAAACCTCTTAATGACCCTTCAACCAAAACATCATCTACGATTTGTATATGGTCTGAATGCTTCAATGCGGTCATGGCAGCTATTTTGTTGAATTTGGACACTAGCTTTTGATACTTGAGGATATCATTCATGGAGTAATTTAGAAAAAATTCAACGTCTTGGATATCTGTTCTGGAAAGTACTAATTCACCATATTGGTTTCTTTGGGACTCATTAAGGGACATTATATAGTTTCTTAATTCAAGGGTCAGTTTATTTAATTCATCACCCAATAAGAACCTTGCATCGTCTTGTTTCTTCTTTGACTGGAATTGAATACTTCTGAAATAGAAATTGATGTCCTCAATTAAGTAATTCATTCGAAACTTACCAAACATAGGCATGGTGTTTAGATTAGGAGGATAATTCAACCAAAATGCTTCCGGATCCGTGATAATAGATAATGGATGTAACAATTTAAATGCGTAAATGAACTTCTTAATGTCTTCTAACTTCCGATAAAATGGAAGTCTATTATCGTCTCTAAAAAAAAGGACCCAGTCTTTTAATGTTGCTTCATATTTGGCATTCAATGCATAAAGCTTTATACCTGGCAGTGATAGTGGAACAAAGTTATCAAAGATATAGTTGGTTAACAACTTATCAATTGAGTCAAATGATGATGATGAACTCAGACTACCATTTGATTTCATAGACAGAACCCCAAAATAGTCCAACACATTGTAATGATTGTTGGGATCATTCAACTTGAATATTAGTCTTCTATCTTGAAGTAATTCTTCTAAATTGTCTGCTCGACTATACTTGACATAATGTGACAACGGTGTCATATTCTTACTGTTAAATTGGTTAACATCCAATACTTGACCACAGTTCAAAAATCCCATTTCCTTTAAGTTCTTCGGGACAATATGAAGTAAAGAGTTCCCAGCTTTATCTAAATGATCATCAAAGTTAAAACATTTACTCTTTATCTTACAAACTTCCACCACACATTCAAAAGTCCTTTTAACTAACTTGACATATTCTGGGTGGTCATAACATCTGCAAATACTGAATAAAGGAGTATGAGAATTCATATCTTTCAATTCCCAATCGATATAATAACCTATTTTGTCAATCAACTGATAATTATGGAACAAATAATGTCCAACAGACCTATGAGAAACATCAACATAATTGAAGTAACCTATGCGTTCTTCGATTGAAGTATTTGCAACGATAACCTCCACGAGAGCTTCACTAATATCTTCACATTCTTCTTCAAGTGCAAGCATAAGTAATGTTTGATTTGTTTTAACGTTGACATCAAACAAAATGTCGTCAATTGAAAACCAATTGACATTGAAAGTCATTAGCAATTCAAATAAATTGAAATTACGGGCTTTAATAGCAAATGCTAAACAGCTTTCGCCTTGTATGTTCCGACTTTTCAAACAGTGTTTCTCTGGTAAATCGTCTCCATGTTTGTTATAAACAGATTCAAGTAAGTTACTGATTGAAAGTAGGTCACCTCTTTGAATGCTTAGCCAAAACTCGTAGTTTTCCTGTGAATATTGAACAAGTTCATGGGTATGGGCGTTTTCTCCTTGAGGAGAGAAATGCAATAAAACTGCTTCAAAGTTACTTAGAATGTAATTGAAATATCCATCATGTGAATAATCCACCGAATTGAAATTCTTAATGTAATATAAGTGAGCTTCCAAGTTCTCAATTTTAGAATGAAGTACAACCATTATCAAGAGCCCCAATAAGGTATCAGCATCCAATATAAATGAACTTTCCTCTTCTTTAGGATTGGTGTTCTCACTTAATAACTCTATAGTTCTTATCAATACTTTTGTTTTGCTGGACAGGTTAACCACAGTAGAATCAGATAGCTTTGAAAACTCAGCTATTGCTGCTAGAATTCGTTTCATAAGTTCATTGATTTCCCAAACAGAACATGCCGTTATTTCCAATTGGTTCAAAGATACACACGAAAGCTGTTTGTAAAGATTTGGAGTTAAAACTTTAATGGCTTCTCTTTCATACTGTTCTTTATCATCGTTTGGGAAATCAAATTGGTACACCAATTGAGACCATATTCTATCATAAAGATTTAATTCCACATATTCAAACACAAGTCTATTGAAGTCCAAACCAGGGTACAAAGCCATGATCTGGTGAATTAACGTATATGTGTCTTCTCCATTAGGTGATTCAAGCTTGACACTATTCAGAACAATGAGATAAGCCGCTTCTATAATCTTTTCAAATTCCAGTAGAATATACCCGAGCTTCTTTCTTGTGTGTGTATAAAGGGGAGCAAATTGGGCATTATTATGGTGAAATAGTCTATAGAATTTGCCCGATACCGCACGGGAGAGTAATGGGAAACTCCGGAGAAGCTTATCCAAGGTAATAGTCTCTATATTAACGGGAGACTGCTGGGAGGAAGACATACTAGTGCTTGATTCCTCTGTGGTAATAACCTTTTGTGATGAAAGACTAATGGGACTTAGACTTCCAAATAGAGTATCTTCAATATATAGAACCATGAATCGAGACCCTTTAGGGAAGTAATCACAGAAGGAATGGAAATAATCAATGGCCACAATTCGAAGTTTCAAGCTCTTTTTAAATCCTCTTCCGGTGAATACCGAATTGCCCTTTATTAATATCTGCTTGTCATTTAACGAGTTATACATCACTAGTCGAGTCTTAGACGTACGACTAGTTTGTGATTGACAGGATTTAACAATATGTGACTGAATAAAGTCCTCACTGTTATAGCAAAGCTCCTTTAGCAACACCCTTTTGGAGCTGCCCTCGGAGGATGGATCATAATACGTATTGAGTATATGTGCGGGCGGTAATAATATGGTGTAGTTGTTATGGTTAGCACTGAGTTCATGAATGGCTCGTTTGAATGGGTATTTGGTATGATGAGGATTGTTGAAAAGACAGTTCAAAAGTGGATTGTTGATTAACGGCAAGTACTTCACTTTGGAGTCCTGTGTCTGAGACATATCAACATTGTTAGGGACGAATAGTGTAGTAAGAAACAGGTAACAACACAGCTATGGGTCTAAACAAGTTAAACTCTATTTGATCCTAATTCAGAACAAGTTATTACGTAAGCAAATGACATGATTACATATTGTATCCATGTGATAGCTCTTGCTCCTATCAGGACGTACACGGAAATGAATAACTGAAGAACATTACTTATTAGATCTTTCTTCCCATCACAAAAGAGATTTAATCTATCCTTGTTTGATACTCTACCTAAATCATAATGTTGTTCTTGTACCGTAAACTTGTAGTGATAAATTGATAAACACAGTGGAAGAAAAGGGTCGACCTTAACAATGATCAGATATAGCAGCAACTTAATATTATCAACTATATTATATTTGTCTGACTAAACATGTAACTTTTCAATTCTGTTCCCTAAGGAGTCAAACTTTTCATCACTAGGTTTCTCTATGATGTTACCTAAAGCGTCATATTCTATACTTTCTTTATCACTACCTGAGTATTGGTCTTTGCTATTGTCTGCTTTCAGTATTATGTTACCCAAATTATCGTATTCATATTCATATTCTTCTTCGTTGTATTCTTCTTCTTCCAGTTCATCACCATCTTGTTCATCTTCATCGTCATCTTCGTCATCTGAACCTCGGTTGACATTGCCCTTAGCCCAAATATCATCATCATCCTTCCTCTCTTTCCTCTTCTTCTTCTCTTCATCTAATTTGTCTAACCATGCCTCTTGGGCCTTCGTAACACTTTCTGAATCAGTACAAGCTTGATACACTTCAAACAAATCCCTGTTAATGTCAATGAAAGCCGAACCCCAACTGAAATTATCCATTAACATTTCTGCCCAATCCATATGTCCCACTATAGCAAAACATGCCGCTAAAGCTTCAACACAATTTAATCTCCATGGACGACCATAATTAACAGGATTAGCAGCCACCAAATATGGTAAAAGTCTCTCATGTTTCCCACCAATCTTATTGAATGGAACTTCATCCAATCTTGCCCAAGAACATTCAACCACCGCTGCTCCATTGGTCTCCACAATCTCCAAATCATTAGGACATACTACACCTTTTCCATTAGGTGAAACAACAATCCCTTGAAACTTTTGTCCTATACGTAAGTTCTTGATGAGTCCAAGTCTCTCAAGCTTCTTCCCACTACACCGCTTGGGATCACAATGATCAAAGTCCCACATGGCTAATTTGGCAGGGAATGAAGCGGATTTACCACTCACAGGTTTAGAAGCTCCAGCTTCTTGTCGAGCCTTTCTTGTATGATGTTGTTTAGACTTGTGCCCATTAGAAGTTCTGCTGGCACTAGACCTTTCCTCTGTCGGCTTGTTTTTCCCTTTAGCCATGATGTTGGGAACTGTCTGGTGTTGAAGAGCAGTGTTGAGCGATGAGCTTGACTGCGAACTTATTAATTGTCGTTGCAGGTGCGAAGTGTAACCATACAAATATACCGTACAATTGTACATACAATTTCCTCTATACATTTACAACAGTTCAGTAAGAAAAATACATTAACGAATAAAAACCCAAATACAAGCCGATATAAAATGCCATAATTAATAGAAAATCTCTGCACAAACCAGGATTAGAAGTCTTCATCAAAGGAGAAAGCATTGGCTGCTGCCTTTGAGTCGTTACTCTTAGACATGACACCAGCCTTTTGATAATCACTAACTCTCTTTTCGAAAAAGTTAGTCTTACCAGCCAAAGAAATGTTTTCCATGAAATCAAATGGGTTTGTAACATTGTAGACCTTCTTATTACCTAAAGATACCAATAATCTGTCAGCAACAAACTCAACGTATTGGCACATCAAATCACCATTCATACCCAATAAAGACACTGGAAGGGCATCTTTGAAATATTTCTTTTCAATGGAAACGGCTTCGGTAATAATTCTTTCAACAATTTCTGGATCTGGTCTGTTCTTCAAATGAGAGAATAACAAACAGGCAAAGTCAGTATGTAAACCTTCATCCCTTGAGATCAACTCATTTGAAAAGGTTAAACCAGGCATTAACCCTCTCTTCTTTAACCAGAAAATAGAGGCAAATGAACCAGAAAAGAAAACACCTTCAACAGCAGCAAAAGCTACCAATCTTTCTCCAAACAATGCATCATCATCATTAATCCATCTAATAGCCCAATCAGCCTTTTCCTTGATACATGGAATGTTATCAATGGCATTCAAAAGGAAATCATGTTCCTTTGGATCCTTAATATAAGTATCAATCAATAAGGAGTATGTTTCACTATGAATGTTTTCCATCATAATTTGGAACCCGTAGAAGCATTTAGCTTCTGGAACTTGAACTTCAGCAGAAAAGTTTTCAACCAAGTTCTCATTAACAATACCATCAGAAGCAGCAAAAAAAGCCAAAACTCTGGAAATGAAAAATCTTTCATTGTCAGTCAATTTATTCCAGTCAGACATATCCTTAGATAAATCAATTTCTTCGGCAGTCCAGAAGGATGCTTCAGCCTTCTTATACATTTGCCAGATTTCATTATATTTAATGGGGAACAAGACAAATCTACGCTTGTTTTCAACCAATAATGGTTCATCCTTTTCTTGTTGCTTCAATTCATGACGATGAACCTTATGAGCAGCCAAGAACAATTGATGTTCAGATACTTCTTTAGATTGGGATTCAGCTTCAACCGGAGCAGGTGTGGTTTCCGATGGTGTGACAGTTGAAGGAGCAACCATAGCGTTTTTCAAAGTAGTTCTATTTTGGGCCAAATCCTTTTCTTGTGCAGCAGCAGCTAATTTATCTGTAATTGACTTCCCACTTGTAGAAGTATTCATTTCCAAGGTAGAGATCCTTCCTGTTAATCCTTTTGTTGGAGTTTCAAATGACATTATAGAAAATTTTTTTGATGCGGAACGACAGTGAAATATATATATGTGGGTAATTAAATTATATCAAAAGAATATAACAACAATGGTGGTATGATGTTTTAGTTTTAAAAGTGATAATGAGAAAAACTCCTTCTGTATTCAGTTTAAGAAGATAATGGGGGACTATTTATACGCATACAACTCTGGGTCGAGGTGTGAGGCTTTATGGTATAAACAATTTAAATTCTGCGGAAGATCGTGAGTGAGACGCGACTTTTGGGGGTTGGTGCAATACCGTGTCAGATTTTAAGTATACGCGTGGGACAATGCCCATTTCAGGTTTGGACATAGCTTACTGCATGATAGGGGGTTACACAGACGATGGTTTTTGATTAATGCAGTACATTACATCGGGTTTCGGTATTACTAAGAGATCGGTACTCCAGTTAACTACTAGTTGGAATGTAGTAGTTTACGGTTTACCTTAGTGTGTCGTAGTATATTTCAGATTGTCGTAGTATATTTCAGATTGTCGTAGTATATGTCAGTACAGAATAAAGATGTTGCTCACTTCATTACATTCAAGTTGTTCCTTTACTACAAGTGAATTGTACCTTGTAGATTGTACCTTGTATTTGGCATTGTTATCCTTTTTTGATTGGGCTTCCGGATAGAACCCCGTTATTGGATTACATTTTAGGTAAAGGTTATTATAATAATTGTTCCTTCCATCGCAAAAACGCGTTCTCAACGCGTAACTTAACAAAGCATGCTTATATATAAATGGATGGCTGGCTTATGGACGTGTTGTTTTGATTTAGAGAGAATAGAACAAAATGAACATTCAATTGCTGCCCGACAACGGATAATGCACCACTACAAAGTGTATCACAATAAAATCATTGCACACTTCGCATTAACATAACATAATTACACACCTCGCATACGATAAACTGTGAAATAAGTGAAAAGAATCATATAACTATGAAATGTAGTCTAAATAAAAAAACCAAACGAACTGGTAACGAATGAAGAATGTTTTATTCCTTGAGTGAAATAGGTGGACCCAATATCGAAGTTTCAAGTGAATGCATACCCTGTGCTTTGTCCAGAGTAGTAGTAGGTTGTGAATTAGAAGTACCAAATGTTCTTAAATCAAGCAAAGGATCATTGCTGCTAAGAGCTTGTACGGTAACTTCATCCCTACCTTCAAATATTCGAGGGCTTCGGAATGAAAACTCGTCAATGGCACTTTCCACCTCTTCCTTTATGGATACAGAATCCACAGACCTTCCTCTTGAATGACGGATCATCCGATTTGAAGATGATGACGATGTTATTGTCTTTGAGTGACTCATGTAACGAGAGTACAATCGATTGATATCGCCCTTTCCTGAATAGGGGGTCTTATCATTGGTATAATGTTTAACCAAAACCAGATCAATTTGATCTTGCCAATAGACATCATTCCAAGTGTTGATGGTGTCTATTGGTAATAAATTGTAGCAATCTTGAACCAACTTGAATACTTCTTCCAGAGAAATAAACTGATAATGAGGTAAAGAAGGTAAGCCAAAAAGCAATGATTGAGGATCCTTCTTATTACTGACAAACAGTTTAGGACGTCCATATAAATGAAACACATTAGTGATAGGAATAAAATTCCGAAGCATGGTTTCCAACCCGTCAACACCAGGATGTGTAACTGGAATCATATAAAGAAAGTTGCAAACCTGGAACTGATCAGGATTCTTGATAACGAACCCCAGTACCCAACCATCGCCCTTCTTCACGGGAGAAGTTGGTGGTACACCAGCTGAAATTGGAGACTTTGGAATCTCCAATTGAGATAACTTAGGTTTCCTAATTGATGGTGACGATGAAAAAGCAACTGGAGTAGATGTGGATGAAAGTTGCAGTGGGATATTTTTACCTGAAGCATTGGAATTACTTCTCAGTCTACCGTTAAATGGGGACAAATGTCTTAACGAAAACCCTTGTTGGGTGGGCAGATGAGGACTATTCAAATAGGAATCATCAGCTTGGGCTTGTAAAGAAGTTTCAAACGAAGTGTTTAAGTATATTTCACCTTGTATTTTCATGAGTGAATTATAATCAATCATTTCTGGAGACCCTGGGAAAATGGAATACACCATTTCGACCTTAGGAATGTATGCAATTAAAGATTTCTTGGACATCTTATCTGAGGAGTAGATCTCGATGGATCCAGATTTCTGTTTCCTCAGGTCACTGGGTATGATACACACAAAACATTTTAACCACTGATCTGATAAGTGGGGGAATCGAATGTTATGCCAATCGAAATGAGGACGGACTTTGTTGCTCAATAAGACATGGATATCGGAAAGTTTAGATCCTCTTGCAGAAAGCAACACAGCAGAATATGATTGCATTAACCTCACGTATTCGTATCGACTCAATTGAAGAGCCAGGACCCATTTTAAGGCTTCGTCGAGATTAGGACAGTAAACTTCGATGGTGGTACCCAACAGACTATGAGAAATGATTTCTACCAGAGTCCTTTCACGGTTTAATCTGACGGTACAATCTGTGATACTGAACCATTTGATGGATTGTTCATCTGTTGAAGAACCAACAACTGTCAAATCTGTACCAACCAACTTAACTGTGGCCTCAAATCTTTCCGACTGGTTGATTTGAACCAGCACAAAACCAGTGATGTACGTGCGCAAACTTTGTGCATTGATAAGAGTCACCACGGCAGACAATTCCGGTGGGAACGACTTTAGCAAACTGCCGTAGTGTAAGTAGAAGGGACGTTTCGGGTTCCCATCGTAGGCAGCAGCAGCAGTAAGATCCGTGGCAGTGGAAGTAGAAGATGCTTGGATAGATGATGCATCTAAGGAGATGGCCGAGATGATTCGCAGCTGACGAATGTGGCTCTGTTGCGGATCAAACTTGTGTTCGGTGAGGAATGAATTTAAGGAGTTTGTGGATGATGTTGTTCTTGAACGTACTCTTCGGGAGAATGTGGATGGTGGAGGAGGAGCAATCAGAGATGAGGGAAAGGTAGAGACAGAGTGTTGCTGGGGTAAATCTGTAGGGCCATTTTGAGTGATAGGGGAAGCAAGTGAGAGTGATGAGTTGGAGTTGGAGTTGGAGTTAGAATTAGAGTTGGAATTAGAATTTGAGTTGGGATTTAAATTTGGATGTGCATTTGTAGTATACCAATCTGAAGAAGGCATTTCCAGTATATCATTATGATTTGTCAATGATGCAGGGTCCAACACAGTGTCTTGATTTGATTTCGGAGAATCTGATTTCTTCCGAAATACCTTTAACGGAGATAACAACGGATTTGGCATAATAAATGCTATTATATGATGTTAAATGACACCGACCAACAAATGAAGGGAAGGAAGGAAAGAATACGTGTAGTTTAAATAATCCTGAACAAAGAGGCAAAGCAAAGTAATATAAGATAGAATTAATCCAAGAGAGCCAAGCTTCGACAGAATTGGCCCAAACCGGGTTGAGATAACGAAAATATTAATAATAAAAATTAAATGTGCTCGTACTAAAAACCGGAACGATGCGGTAACCTTCTTCAACTAGTTTTGCAGGACAGCCACTAAACGAATAATTTTAAACGAAATTCTAACACTTATACTATGCTGTACTAAACAGTGAATAGATGATTATATATATTATGGTTGTAGTTACTATGGTGTGACCAAGAGAACAATATTGAGCAAAGTTTGGTTATAGTAATGGCGGTGCTAGTGGTCGTTGTGGACAATGGTGGTGTAAACTAGTTTCAGTTGCGATAAGAAAAAGTTCGTACCAAGAAGTTTTTCTTATGGTTGTCACTAGAGGTAAAAATTCTACTCATTACTGTAGTGACTGAAATTCACCAATATATAGTCGAACTAATAAACACACACTGACAATTACATGATGGGGGATGGGATGGGATGTGCGGAAGTGCTAATTTGCGGTTACTTCTAAGCAATTTGAAAACAACTATTGGGGATCGTTTTCGATTTAGTGTCAATGCTAATGTAGAATGATGCAATTGACGTTTGTTTGCCGTGCCCCTTTGTGTTGTCCTTATTGTACTCAAATAGTGGTATTATTGTTGTTCCATTAGTGTTTGGGTAAGTCGAGTAATAGCCACATTTATTTTTAACTTATCATAACATGAACATAAACAAAACCCTTCTGTCTAATGAGTATTCATTACATCAATCTATGTCATTAGCATTAATATGATTACGGCGAAAGGTTTCAAAAGCGATTGACGTAGCTGCTCAATCAACGTGACTTTTTCTTTGCTCACATTCCTTCGGGAATCTGTATCTGGGCCTAGTGCTTCGCATGAAATACTTTCCTATACAGACTGACATTTAAAGGAACTCATCTGTAAGGAGTCTTGAAAGCAAGTCAATCGTTTAGTAACACTGTACACAAAGATCTCGTAGTTACATTTCTTGGGCTTTAGTGCTTGTGTCCCCTAATAAGTATTCTGTACAGTGAGTACATACTATTCTCATGACCACTCCAAAACTAATTGCCGAGTGTTCCATAGCCCCACCCCACATTGCATTGGGGTTCCGATACCGCGCTTTTTACTGATGATGACAGACCTGGCTTAAGATTTCAAAGCCCTTGCTTAAGGTTTAAGACCCCGGTCTTGGGTTATGATGGCAGTCGTTTTATGGTTAAGCCAGGGGTACGAAATGGCTACGATTAGTAGGATTGAGAACGGATATTACGTAACCAATTACGTAAAAGGCCGAATACGTAAGAGAATCGAGTCCCCAAGTTCTACTTAACGGCTGTATGAATGTATCACTATGTTTGATCTTGCAGAGCTTGGTGAACCAAAGAATGCCCAGGACCCGACCTTCACGTTCCTTGTAACACTGCTCTTCTCCAAATTCGATGGGACTCGTAAGGATAACTTGGGCAGGTTCCCAAGTGTTATGAGCAAGAAGATATGGATCATAGAACAATTCATTGATGATTTCAAGCTTCATATAGGCGAAGATATGTTTCCTTCTAGTAGATTGATATTTCCTTCAAAAAGTCGACGGAAGTTCTTTATCAGAGACGTAACATTGGCAAGAATTATTATCAAGGTCTTTAATATCCCAAAGAATTCTCCAGATTATCTTGAACTATATCACTGGAAACATAACTACCATGAAAAGAAGCAATATCGAAGAGACCAACGTCAGGTCCGAAACTTGCCTTCTATCATTGCCAGAATCATTTCAAATAGACGTTTAACTGTTGTTAATGATGATAATACTAGTGATGGTGTTAAACCATTACTATACCCCAAACAGAGAGAATCAGAATACACCGTAACCCAAATAAACCAATTATTGGACAACTTAGAAACTTGTTCAGGTCAAACAGAACAAATTGAAATCCTAAAACCTTATTTATATGAAATGTCAATAGAGGAAATCAGATGGTTACTCACGATTATATTGAGACAACCAATATTGCACCATTTCATCACTGCCTTCTTCAATAAATGGCACCCTCAAGCCATGCTGTTGTTTCGAATATGCAATGACCTTAAGATAACGTTCCACACCTTGTATAACTCTAGTGTGACTTTATCTACTGAAGATTTACTCCTCCATCCCATGTACCCCTTCCTTCCTCAATTGTCTCACAAGTTGACGGTCAACTATAATGCTCTATGTATCAAGATGCATAAGAACTATGATATGCCGCCCAAGCTACAGAATATCTTTGACCAACAAGGTGTAAAGGAGAAATTTTACATAGAAGAGAAAATGGACGGAGATCGCATGCTCTTACACTATAAGAATGGTCAATTCAAGTTTTACCTGAGAAGATTAAAAGACTATACTTTATTATATGGTGAGAACTACGAGATTGGATCACTAACTAAGAATTTGGTAGGATTTGTTAAGCCGAATGTTGATTCAATTGTCTTGGACGGTGAAATGGTAGCATGGGACTATAAAAGAGAAATCATATTGCCATTTGGTACGTTAAAATCGGCTGCAATACAAGAAGCAGTGAAACAATTCACCACTACTGATCAATATGATCAACAATCTTCATACCCATTCTTCCTTGCATTTGATATTCTCCATATCAATGGCCATGATTTATGTAGTAGTCCATTGTTCTATCGGAGGTACCTTTTAAACAATCTAATTGTACCCAAACCCCATAGACTAGAAATCTTGCCGGCTCATTTAGGGGGGACTCCTGATGATATACGACAAGCTATTAGAGAAGTTATCTCCAAACAGGGAGAGGGGGTTATGATAAAACACGTTCAACTGAAGTACCATATTGAAACTAGAAGTGACAATTGGATTAAAGTGAAACCAGAATACTTGGAACAGTTTGGTGAAAACTTGGACCTTGTGGTCATAGGTAAAGAACCTCAAATTAAACCAACTTATGCTTGTGGCTTATTGGATACTGAAACAGGGATCTTCAAATCCTTCTGTTCTGTTGCAAATGGGTTCACAGATAAGGAATTCAGTCTAATAGATCAACTAACCCATGGGAAATGGCATAAATTTAACAAGGACCCTCCACCTAATGATGTATTGGAGTTTGGTACTAGAAAACCCAATTTCTGGATTAATCCTAAAGAATCAATTGTTTTAGAAATTAAAGCCAGATCTATAAATCTGTCTCCTACGTCTCTGTATGCTGTGGGGACTACTTTACACAATCTTTGGTGTCGAAGTATTCGTGAAGATAAATCAATTGATGATTGTATCACTTTACAAGACTATTTGGAGGTTAAAGAACACTATTCTAAGGAGTTTTCCAAGGCTCAAACAGTCAACAGGAAAAGAAGAGGTTTAGGTGAACAGCTTTCTTTTGAAGAGAGCAGAGAAAGACGACGGAAAATTAATGTTGAATCCAAATTGTTCTCTAAGTTCTGCTTTATTGTTCTTAGTGATAAGTTTGATGAGATTACAGGAGAAAGAACAAGTGTTGGTTCGTTGTGTGACTTAATCAAAAGATTTGGAGGTCTGTTGGTTCAACTGCCTCCAACCCCGACGAAATTGTTGGAAAGACATCAACAATTGATTGTAATAACAGAAAGACTAACTCCTAATGGGTCTATTTACGTCAACAGTGGGATTGATTTAATCCTACCTAAATGGATCTTTGAATGCATATATCGGGATTCCATTATTCCATTAGAAGATGAATTTATATTTCAAAGTTGCAATAACCATGATTTTTCAGATAAAACGGATCTATGGGGAGATTCTTGGATAGTTCCATCGAATATCGAGATGCTTGAAGTACCTAAAATGGAACTAGCTGTTGAAGAAAGGGAGACCAAAGAGTTTATAAATGATTTGGCAATACAGGAATCGGATCAACCAATGGCCTTCCTCTTTCAAGGCATCAAGTTTCTCATTCTTGCTAATGATGAATATGGATTTCTTGAGGATAGAGTCAAGCGATTTGGAGGAAATATCGTAGACAATTGGCCTTCAGCATCGTATATTATTTCAGATGTACGACCTCTGGAGGTACTTGGTGAAGTCGCACATAACTTGCAATGGACCGAGAATGATCTAACATTTATTCCCAATACAGTGACCCCTGCATTTGTTGATGAATGTATCAAGTACAATTACTTGGCCGATGCAACAGACTTTAAACCAGTGGAGGCGAGATGAAGCGAAGTACCCATTGAAAACGGAAGTGGTTACAGCTTGAATAAGAGTGTATTATTATATACGAGCGTAGAGAGCAAAAATTATATACGAGGGTAAGTTTACGAGTAGCAGCATATAAAATACGAATAACCCCCCAACTTCATCAAATACAAACACTTTTTATATCAAGTTATACACTTTCTGCTGGATGATTGCATGCTACCGACTCATTAGCGCATAATATAGCTGACGGAACTGTACTTGGGAGTGCAGCAACGTCACATTTCGTTTCAAGACTACATTCAGGACTATTTCACCTTTCGGTACCTAATTTGGTGCCCCGCTAATTCCATTCCAGATTAAGGTAGTGCTATTGGCCAGTTAAGTAGAGGCCTGAAAGTCCTTCATTCGTTCGACAAACTTCATTTACCATCAATTGTCATTGCTTAGCGAATGCATTACTGTTAGATAGAACTACTTCACACTATGGTCGACTTACAATCTTGGATGAAGGAAATCGGTGATGATACCAGCATCGCCAAGTTGACAATTCCTGGGACGCATAATTCTGGTGCCTGTTACACTGCTTTACCCTCTGTTCAATGTCAAGGGGAGTATGTTACAGACCAATTGAAACATGGGGTTCGGTTCTTGGATGTGAGAGCTGGTAAGTTGTTCATGAAGGAAGGGGAGGAGGCCAAGGACTTGCAAGTTATCCATGGTAAGTTTCCCGTGAAGATTCCATTCCCCGAGAAATTGAGTAGTGTTATGAAAGAGGTTTATGAATTTCTTGAAGAAAATCCCAGTGAAACTGTTTTATTTTCCTTGAAGCAAGAAGGTATTGACGACTGGAACAACGACCAAGATGAGTTTGGTAATTGTATTTGGGATCGTTACATCGACAAGAATAAGGATAAATGGTATTTGGGTACCGATCTACCCAAATTGCGTGATTGTAGAGGTAAGGTGATTCTTTTCAGACGATTTGGTGTTTGTGATGAGAACAGAGCCAGAGAATTTGGATTCAACGCTTCTAGCTGGCATTACAACACCGTGGAAGATGATAGAGGTGACTTTGTGGTTCAAGATTTCTGTGAGATTAATGAGCCCTCAGACATTGAAAAGAAGTTGGGTTATGTTAAGGAATTGGCCAAGAAGGCTTTTGACTATAACAGAGACAATGATAACAAGTTGTATGTGAACTTTTCCAGTGGAGCCAACTTCTTCAACACTTCATGTTGGCCAGAAAAGGTTGCCGACGGCATGATTGCTGGTAACATTAGTGAATGTTTCAACAAGGCTATTGGGATTGTTGTGTTGGATTACATTGAAAAGGATAACTGGAGATTGGCTAGAGAATTAGTTGAGAAGAACTTTAACTAAGTTTGAGCTGTAAATTATTACTAGCGTAGTATATTTTGTTTGATATGTATTAATGTAAGATTAAGGTCTGTTTATCTTGAGGTATGGCAGTACACTGTACAGCATAGGTGTATGAAAGTGCACTGTATAGTATATCAAGTGGCTGTCTTGATAAATGCGAACTCTATGTGAGTACCGCATAGTAATTCCCCACACTTTCTTCCACTAGATTCAGTCCAATGATCCGAATATGGCAGTCGTTGTCCATAGGACGTTTGTGGAAGCCACTGAACGCAACTGGGGTCAAAGCTATTAGACATTATTCAGATTTCCAAATGCGAGAAGCAAAACTTCGAAATATCTTAGAAGCCACCAACTTTGGCACTAAAGCAAAGACATCTGCAACTGCGGCAGCAACAGAGTCTACAAGAAAGAAAGAAGTACAGCCAGCGCCTTTAAAATTGAGTGAGAGGACACTTGACACTTCCAAGTCGTTAGACCAAGATGAAGATGAGATTGAAGGATTACCATCTTCCAAAGAAAGTAAACGTAGTGAACTAGCCAAAAAGGTTGAAGTTTATTTAGATTCGATCCAAGATGCTATTTTCACTGCTACTCGAGCACTCAATGATGTTACTGGCTATTCATCTATTGAGAAGCTTAAGAAAAAAATAGAGTACTTGGAAGATGAACTCAAGGTCGCTAAACATAACGTCAAGGTGAACAAGCAAAAGTATCAGGATGCAATTCAAAGCCAAACACATTCACAGAGAGAGATCAATGAATTGCTTACTAGAAAACATGATTGGTCTTCTGAAGACTTGGAAAGATTCACCATGCTCTATCGTAATGATCACAAGAATGAACAGTTGGTTAATACCTGTGAAAAGAAACTAGAGGAATGCGAAACTACGGTTGATTCAGTTCAAACAAGGTTGACTCAGATGATCTTAACAAAATACCATGAAGAGCAGATCTGGTCAGACAAGATCCGTCGTTCATCTACTTGGGGGACTTGGATATTGATGGGAATCAATATCTCCTTATTTGTAGTAGCCACCCTAATTGTCGAACCATGGAAACGGAAAAGGCTTGTTGGAGCTTTCGAGGAGAAGGTGAGACAAATGTTGCTAGTTCATTCAGAAGCTGAAGGATCAAGACTAGACTCCATAATTGCTGCTGAAAAGAAACAAAGTACCACTGATAAAACTGAACCTGAACCTGAACCGGTTGATTCAATTTATGGCTTTGAAGTAATGCCAAAGCGAGATTGGAAACTGATTATAACTCAAATAGGTATCAACTATAAGGCATTGGTGTACGGGACTTTCGATAAGGTACAATTCACTCGATTTGACTTGGGGGTATTCGTATCTTCCATTGCATTCATTGGGTATTGTCTTGGTACGATCATGACGTTAATAGTTGGTTAAATGTAAATAGATTCTAGCTGTACAAAGTGTATACGGATAATTGTTGTGTTGCGCACGACCATGATTGCCACCGTCGAGATTTAAAATCAATCGCCTAACTGTGATCATAGACTATGGAGAATAGTACGAACAATCCCTATTGACCATCCACAATGGAAGAACTCGGAATTGTGGAACAACCTCAAATTAGTCCCAGCCAGACCCCCTTGCTGGCATTTACACGGGTGAAGAAAACCGGATCTACGGAAGAGAACAGTGATGCTTATTTGAAATTGAAACGCTTACAAAAGGAATTGGACTTGTTGCTCTTACAAGAAGATTATATCAAAGATGAACAACGTCATTTGAAAAGAGAATTGGTCAGAGCCCAAGAGGAAGTTAAAAGAATCAAAGCTGTTCCATTGGTGATTGGTCAGTTTTTAGAACCCATTGATGAAAATACAGGTATAGTATCTTCAACAACTGGATCCAATTATGTGGTTCGAATTTTATCTACTTTGGATAGAGAGTTGTTAAAGCCTTCTTCATCAGTGGCATTGCATCGTCATTCTAACTCATTGGTGGATATTTTACCTCCAGAAGCCGATTCCTCCATTTCCATTGTTTCTGATGAACAAAAGCCTGATGTTACTTATGCAGATGTTGGGGGGTTGGATATGCAGAAACAAGAAATAAGAGAAGCTATTGAATTACCATTATCTCAAGGTGATTTATATTCTCAAATTGGTATTGACCCCCCCAGAGGTGTATTATTATATGGACCTCCAGGTACTGGGAAGACAATGTTAGTTAAGGCTGTGGCTAATTCAACAACAGCATCATTCATAAGAGTTAATGGTTCAGAATTTGTACAAAAATATTTGGGTGAAGGTCCAAGAATGGTAAGAGAAGTATTTAGACTTGCTAGAGAGAATTCTCCAGCTATTATTTTCATTGATGAAATTGATTCTATTGCAACTAAAAGATTTGATGCTCAAACTGGTGCTGATAGAGAAGTGCAAAGAATTTTATTGGAATTATTAAATCAAATGGATGGGTTTGATCAAACTTCAACAGTTAAAGTAATTATGGCTACAAACAGAGCTGATACTTTGGATCCAGCATTATTAAGACCCGGAAGATTAGATAGAAAAATTGAATTCCCTTCATTAAAGGATAGAAGAGAAAGGCGGTTGATTTTCTCTACAATTGCTTCTAAGATGTCATTGGCTCCTGAAGTTGATTTGGATTCTTTAATTGTTAGAAATGATCCTTTATCTGGTGCTGTGATTGCTGCTATCATGCAAGAAGCTGGGTTAAGGGCTGTGAGAAAGAATAGATATATGATCTTACAAAGTGATTTGGAAGAAGCATATACTGCCCAAGTCAAAACAGGTACTGAACACGATAAGTTTGAATTCTATAAGTAAATGTATAATAATTAATAGCTATTGATGAAGGATATAATTAAATTTGTAGACATCCAAACCTGGGGTGAATGTTCTTAAGTCTGAGAAATCAAGATGATCAAGATCATAATGGTATTGATAATGGAAGTCTTCAAGTCTATGCCAATTAATGTAATCACATGACAGTGCAACTGTTGGAAATGAACCAGTAGGTAACACAATGTACACTTGCTTATTCATATAGCTTAATTGCTCGATAGATGCACATACTTTTCCAACGTCTGCACCCATAAAGTCTAGCAAGTTAGACTTGCTCCGGTCCACTTCATAAACCAGACTAGTCTCATTCATGGTGAATGCCTCTATTGAGTGTGTTGTGTCTCCTAATACCCAAGTAGGAGGAGAGTAAGTTCTCCAGAAGATAATGGCAACGTTATCTTTGCTATGTAGTTGTTCCATATGGAACTTGTTCAACACTGAAACCACACCACCTTGATGATAAACTCCCATAAGAACATTCATGGTAAGATTGAAGAAGATCCATATTCTGAGGAACAACCAACCATAGAAGGAGCGGAATTTCGTTCTATAGAAAGGATTAGAAGTAGTTGTGTCTTGACGGGTTTTGAAGAGTTCCGTGGTGGTAAAGTACGTTCCTCCAAATATATACCATATAAATGGAGCACTTGGACGATGAGCATACCACAGTGTAGTAACAAGTACAGCACTTATTACGCCCCAGAGTATACCTATGAAGGGAACAAAGGAAGATTTAATGTTTGCAGTTTCTTCCTCTTCCTCTTCTTCTTCTTCTTCATCTTCATAGTTGAGTATTGTACATGCCAAAGGAAGCATCGGAGCTAAGAAACGAAGCTCTTGGTGAGGAATAAATGATAAAAGCGCAACACCACTCACTATTGATAGAAAAGGCAAAATACTAATTCTAGACCATGGAACACCTCTTATCAATAGCATCAATAACCCCGGACCCAAGATCTGAGGAGTGTTGATCAATAGATGAGTATACCAAGGATGGATTCCATGTTGAGCCAAGTTCTCAAGCAGAGAGTTGTATATCAAGTTATTCCAAGGAGTAATGACCAATTGGAACAGACTCCAGGATTGTGCAAACGATATTGAATCAATGAGTATCAACACTAAAGCTGTTAAGCCAAACCCAAATGCAAGGGGAAAGACATTCAATTTATGGTGAACCAAATGGCGGAGAATATACCATGATGGAGCCAATAGCCAAGCTATGAATGTGACTCTATTGAAGATTCCAATGGCAAATAGTACTCCTAAACAGACAAGGTTATAATGACTGTTCAAATTCTCAATTGATGCCAATGCTAGTAGCACCATACAAGTCTCAATGGAGTTAGAAAATGTATGGGTTTGGTACACTCCATAGATATATGACGTTACGACGAAATGTAAGGCATGATGATACTGTTTCTTCAGGTAAATTAGTTTAGAAAGAGTCCATAGTATTACACCACTTGACACCAATAGATTCTGGACCCTAACAAGATAGAGTATATAAATTGGACTTAAGGCGGGGTTGGTGGTTCGTATAAGCAATAAGAGAGGTCCGTAGTATAAATATAGCACTCCATAACTTCGAGCAGGTTTATCACAAGTGTATTCCCATGGAAGTTGGGCCGTGAATCCAAGTACCTTTGAAGTTAGTGGTTCTAGACTTTGAAAGTGTTCATCTGGATGAATATACGACTGGAAAAGAACCGGTAGTAAAAACGGGAGCAGATACTCCAAAGGATATGACTTTAGAGTTGATAATAAAGTCATGTAAGTAGTAGAAGTAGTAGTAGTGTAACAGTAGAGTCAACTATAAACAGTGTTGTATATTGTATACCATACAAACAATAGTATATACTTTGGTATGGTAGCGCGCGTTGCTACATATGACTTCATTAATCTCAATGCATTTAAATCTGAGTATAATCCTGTGTATTCCTTATGGATCTAATCTATTTACGTGTACCAGTGATGTCAGCTTCCAAGTCACTATAATTCTCTTCATCACTATCGTCGTCTTCTGCTTCTTCAACATCTTCATCTTCATCGTCTTCCTCCTCATCTTCCTCATCGTCTTCCTCATCATCACTGTCTATCTCAATCTCTTGTAAGAGCTGAGCATCATCCAATTCTTCAATATATTCAACGTCACTTTCATCGTCTTGATCTTCAGGAACACTCTGTTTCAAAATCTCTTTCTGTAATTCCATCTGCTGGAAGAGCATATTGAATCTACTTTGTAATTCTAATAATCTTGGAAGACTATTTGATTTCTTGACCAAGAAGGAATGCAAACTGGATAATTTGGCACTCAAATTAGGAACAGATGATAAATATCCACCGTGAATGATAGTTATCCATTTCAACCAAACATTTAATTGGTCAAACTTGGACGTTTGTCTTTGAACTCGTTCAGAAATTCTATCAACCAAAAGTATAGCCAATGAAGGGTCCAATTTCATTATGGTATTTTGAATAACTTGAGGATCTTTATTGGAAAGAACAGTTTCAAATAATGCATGATCATTATTCTTTAATGCTTGAGACAAAACTATAGTCAAGGTCAAACTTGATGTCAGTCCTGTTAATTTCTTCTTATTTGATTTAGTTGGGTTTTGCTTTTGATTATTATTATCTGTTGATAACTTGTCCAATTTTTCTGCCAACGATTCCCCCTCCTCTCTATCTTCGTCATCTTCATCGTTATCACTATAATTAACCACATTATTGGTGGTCAACCCATCATTTATTATGGCATTACTTTCATTATAATGTTTGCTTGCTGCAATGTCATGACCTGCTTCAGTATGGCTTATAGCCTTTAAATCAGGTTTACTCTTGCTTATGGTTATTGATCTGTTGAATGTAAATATTCCTTCTTCATTTATCCATTTGGCAGAATCAATAAATGGCACATTCCCATTCTCTATCCATGAATAATAGATGGAATCTTCCATTATAGCTAGTCCGTCAATGATTAAGTTGGCATCATCAGGACACTTTATTTCCAAATCTGGTCTTGAAATTTTAATACTACCATTGGGAGTTAAAGTTTGTACTTGATTTGCTGCTTGTCTTCTTTTCTTCTTAAGTGGTTGTTTCTGAGGAGTTGAAGGATCCGTATTGGACTTGGAATTCAAGAAATCATTAAAAATTTCAACATTACCATTATCATTTATTACAGCTAAAATGGACTTGGAATCAAGTGATCCAATTTCAATGGTAGATACTGGGGACTGAGTAACAAAAACCAGACTAGTTGAGCCTTTGGATAATGAATATAGATTGATAAATCTATCACTTTCACCACTGGTTAAAAATAGATCTGAGTTAGATTCAATGGGTACAATTGCATTGACAGGTTGAATATGACCAGGGAAGGCTTTAACCACTTGTTTGGATTGTCTAATGCTAATTAATGTGATTGAGTGTTGACCAAGTAATAAATGAGGTTCATTTTCCCATTCAACCACACAAACTCTATTGATACTTTCGGCATTCTCAAGTACTTCACTAATGCTAAACGTTTGCTTTAGGGAGAAGTTCATAAAATCCCATTCACAAATATTCCCATCGATATCACAAGACCATGCGGAATTGGTCATATGAGAATAATGTAAATCTTGAATACTGGAACTACTAGTAGGTGATTGCAATTCACAAACTATATCGTTGGTCAATGGGGAATATACCAAAATGACACCTCGAGTCAAACATATAGCAACTACTTGATGCTCTTTATAAGATACCCAAGTTAATCTGGTTAACTTATCCAGCTTCCCCAAGGTGAATGATACATTAAGAGAACCCTGCGATGGAGTAACGGATTGCACCTTCACTTGATGTCTGTCAAGCGAAACATGTCCTGTAGCAAGGAAGGACCGCGAGGGATCAAACTCGGCACATACCACTGAGCTTGCCACCATATTTAATCCTTTAGTCAACGGAGTTTTGAACAGTAGCATTCAGTTAGTACTTGGGCTCTTTAGATGGCTGTAACATTTTTTTCCACGATGGATGCGATGAGATTGTGTGCAGGTGGCATGGGTAAGATAAAGTAGTCAGTGCTTGACACAGTTATATAGCACTCACTAATGATATATAATGCTTATATCCGGTTGCATAAAAGCGGCCATAGTATTTATATATGCTGTGTAGTTGTATATTATGTAATGGCTAAGTCAAATACCTTGCTATAAAGTATGCACTATATGCAGAAAATGATGATTTAACTGCTACAATGGTTTGAGTGAATACAGCGATCACTATACGATCCTATACGACCATTGGATCATTATATACCACGACTATTGTATACGAAATATGGAGAGCGATCTTGTAACTTCAATGTACCAAATATCAACCGTATCGTTTATAAGCTGTAATACGATAGCTGGTACCATATGCAGTACATTCTGTCCAAGTATTCGATACACGTCTGGGGAAACAATTAATTCAATTCACAAACTTCTTCTTCATCTTCTTTGCTATATAGCCATTGATTCCAGCCATGACCCAATTAGAAGTAGCAACTGTGTCTCGGATATTCCGCGATCTTTCCTTCCAAAACTCCGACACCAAAATTACCGAGAAGACACTCAAATTATCATCTGAGTACATTCATCTCTTCATCAATGAAGCCATTGTGAGATCCAAGGAGGAACGTTTGAACGAAATGAACGCTATCAACAATGACGATGATACGATGACGCGTTATCATGATATTACTTTGGACTCCACTGTGTTGGCTAAAGTTGCAGGTATTCTTATTCTCGACTTTTAAAGTCCTGAGGCTTCTGCTCTATATTTGAATGGTATATTCCCCAAGATCAACAAAACACCAGTATCCTACGTTGAGTGTCTCTTTTAATGATGTCAACTGCTTAATGGGCTCGGGCAATTTAGATGTCATAGTAACATAAAGCGGAAGCTTTATATGTACGGTGTTGCTTGTGTCTGAAATGGGCTGTATACTTTTAATCAAGCAAGTTATATTAAGAGGAATCAGACACCAATTGTACTGGGAGTCTAGAATGTTATCTAAGACTTCAAGTCCTTGTTCCTGCTTTCTTGTTAGACGTTCCTGATATTCAACACGTGCCTGTACTGTATTCTTAGTTAATAAAGCCGTGGGGATAGATTTGATGAGGTCTGTGGCTTCAGTATTAGGACCCACAGAGAATTTGGATATGGGAAATGATACTTGGACCTCAAACCCACTCTTATTCACATAACACTCAGGAACCACATATGTTGAAGAGATATTCAAATGAACCTTTTGGCCCATGGGGTTACGGAAATGTATCATAAACTCATTGGGCGAACCACCACAGCTGATATACAGATGAGGATATGTGAAATCAATCGCTGGAAGGAAATCTATGGCATTCCATTTAGTAATAAACTTATTCGAGTCTTTAGGTGATGGTTTATCCAAAATAGTATGACACGCAAGACATGAGTGAGACCATCGCAGTGTTAATGAAGCTGCTAGAGGATATAGCTCATTATGTGTTGGTCTGTTATAGATTGACTGGTTTAAGATATCTGCAGAATAATTTCTAGTTTGCTTTGTTGATAATTTCCTTTCATTCGCCATAGCATAATCTTGTTCCAAATCAATAGGGTATCTTTCGGTTTCACTTGAATCTTTAGTGTTTTCATGAGAAATATTAAGCTGGGAGAGTTTTTGTCTGATTTCATCCTTTTCTCTTATTTGGGAATAGCTTCCACTTTTATCGGGATCTTGTGTTAAAGTTAGTCTAAATGTATCGAACAATTTATGGTGAATCAAGTTTCTTTTCCGTTCACTATTTAAAATCCGATGCAAAGGTCTTGGGGTGGTGATCACTGAGGTCACATAAGAATAATCACAGAAACCACATTTAAAGGTGAAGCTTTTCCCCTGTACCCCGTTATTATCTAAAGTATTTGAACCATGAATCAACAAATCACTTGAACAAAGTGGACATACAAAACAGTTTTTGTCACACACAGATGTTGTTCCTGAATCAATATAGTCTGTACCACAATTGGTACACAATCGTGACTCCAAATGATGTGCACAACATTCAGGGCATTTTAAAGTTTGGCATGACGGACAGAAGAATAATGATCCCATTCGATGGTCATATTGGACCTTCTCAATAGCACTAGTGGCCCCCCCTTCACACGAGCACACTATACTTGTTGACTCGTATATCCTTGAAGCACGGGGCTTTGTCATTGTGATTCGGAAGTCAACACGTGGACCGACTCAATTAAACTAAAACCACTAAAGGTCTATATTATCTTGTGGATGCACCTGTCCCTATATATATGTAGGTAAATTAGTCTTTGAATATACAGGCGGTGGTGAGGGAAGAGGGCATTTGCAATTGTTCTTTTCGTACTTATATATACGGCTTGGGGTACCCTGTTTGGTTTGTTGTGGAGTGGTTGGCTTTACTTTTAAGGTAGTGTGTGAACTGAGATGAAGATCAAATTGAAGTGGATTGTGGTTTCGGTTTTCGTGGCCGGAACCGGAATGACCCTGCCAATAAGGGCGAACTGGAAATCGCATTTCCAATGGGTAACTAACACCGAGGGGATCTATGACGCAGATGTGGATGACTCTGAGTCTTCAACTAATGTTATTCATAAACCGTTTGAAGTAGTTCATGGAATATTTAAGCAATCAGACCCTAACACCAACCATGAAGATATTGATGTATCTGATGGATTTGGGCTTGTTTCTGGAACCAAATGGTCATCTGTAATAGAACTTTTACATGAATCAGATGGGCCCATTAAATTACTATTCCTTCAAAGACATGGTGAAGGCTACCACAATATTGCTCCCTCAAAATATAATTATAAAGACTGGGTTTGTAGGTGGCAGATGGCTGATGGAGATGACGAATATGAATGGTATGATGCGGAACTTACTTCTAGAGGATTTGACCAATTACAAGGTGTCAGAAATAGATGGGATACTGAAATATCGTTAGGATGTCCTAAGCCTGAATCCCACTATGTGTCACCATTAAGAAGAACCTTAGAAACCTATGATTTGATTTGGAATGAAAGAAATCACGTGACCAAGCCTGTTGTTTCAGAATTGATTCGTGAAACATATGGAATTAGCACAGAAAGCAAAAGACATCCCAAATCATATATTGAAGAAAGATGGCCATATGTTCACTTTGAATCGAACTTCACAGAACATGACAATAATTGGACTCCACTTTTACATGAAACCCATCAACATAGGAAATATAGAGCCAGATTATTCCTTCAGAATCTTTTCAAAAACGACAAGAACACAATCGTGCACGTGACCAGCCATTCAGGCTTTATTAGTTCCTTATTAAAGGTAGTTGGGCATAGAAATTGGGACTTGGGCACTGGACAAATGATTCCAGTACTTATTAAAGCCAATAGTCTAAAGTTACGACCACCACATTTGAATAAATCATGGCATTCACTTCCACATCAGTGTGAAAATTATGGACATAATCATGAAACTACTGAAGTATCAATTCTTAATAATTTATAATGATATGAAAGTTATTAACTGATACAAAGTAGTAAATATACAACGGAGATTAACAGCACCAGTAATCTTACATGAAATCATCATCACCAAAATCATCATAACTAGCAGACAAATCTTCAAACTCATCTTTTTTGAAGTTTGAAACATTAGTCTTAACAGCAGGCTTTGCCTTTTTCTTACCAGCACCACCAGTAGCTGTACCACCAGCCTTCAGCAATCTTGCTTGTCTTTCCGCCTTTTCCTTATCTTTGATTAAAACATTCAAAGTGGAAACCACTTTTCTAACATTCTCAAGGGACAAAGGTTTAGCCACATCTCTAATTAAATCAATAGCCAAACCTGAAGAGTAATTCAATAAGGAATCCTCAGATAACTCGGTTAAAGTGGTAGACAAAGCTTTTCTTAACTTTTCAAACTCTGCTTTATCGGTAGGTTGGAATATAGGATGAGCACTCAATGGAGTATCTTTGGTTAATTTAGGACCACTTTTACTTTGGTTAGCTTTAGCAGCAGCAGCTAATTTGGCCAATCTTTCTCTAGGATGAGCATTAATATCAAAATCATCATCACCAGCAACACCTAACCCTCCAAACAAATCAGCAGCATTATTTAAATCAGATTGTAATTCAGCTTGTTTAAGTAATTCCTTTCTAGTCTCTTCATCTAATTCGTCAATTTCCATAAGGGTACGTTCACCGGACTTCTTATGTAATTTCTTAGCCTTGGCTTCATCTTGCTTCTTTTTCAAAGCTTCCCTTTCTGCCTTCTTTTGGTCTTCAGCTTCCTTCTTCTTTCTGGCCACTTCTTCCTCATCAACGTCCCATGATTCTTCTAACAATGGTTCGTCGTCACCCTCGTCTTCCCAGGAAAGAACAGCATCCTTACCGGCACTGGGGATATCAAAGTCTTCGTCATCCCACGACATGTCTTCTTTATAACTTCTCTATAATGTATCCTGTTAAGTAAGAGCAGTGTGAAGAGAGAGAGATGGCTTCAAGGTAGTCTTGTTCCTTGTTCAAAAAAATCTAGTTTGGTAGGTCCACGACTCTTTGGGGAAAAAATTCTTTGTGCGAGAAAGCTGCAACGATACGTAGACGTGCTTACTGACTACAACCCAACAACACCTACTGCCATTATCATGACATTGTTAGCACCAGGATGTACTGTAGCGGGCGTTCCGTCGGAAGAGCTCGAAGAAAAGTGGTCTAAATTTACGTCTGAAGGTTTGCAAGTAGATGAGAGTTCATTGGGGGGAATTGGGCTCTTTTATAATTGTGCGGGACAGCAGCAATGTGAACAAGATCCAATTGTATTGAGGGTCCCTGTTGAGCAGACTTATAATTTGGCAACATGTATGGAGATTCTCGATGAATTAAAGGCAACTGGTGAAAAGGATTATAAAATAATTCTGAGTCTATTGAGTACCCTTGAACCGGAGACGGAGACTGTTATATTGATTTGTTATGTTGTTGGGTTGGTATACATTAGCAATCGTGGAGATCAAGTTTCTGAAAGTGTTAGACAGATTGTTAGCAAACACGGTACCTATTTGAAGGTTTTAAGTAATACGTTCACCATTGACTATCCTAAAGCAATGAAGGAAAGTGATGATCTGCCAGATCCTGTTATTGATTGTTTGTTCAAAAATGCTCAAAAGGTGAAACTGTTGTATGATTTAATTGAAAAGGATGCTGTTTTGGACACTGAGTATATGACCTTTGAACAGTTTTATCAACTTGTTCAAGCAGTTTCGTCAAGAGTATTGGAGGTTCCTGAAGAAGTTGAGAAAAATGGTGATGATTTTTATGTTTCTCCCACTTTGGTTCCGTTGTTAGATTTTGCCAATCATTCTTTTGCACCCAATGCTTATTTTGATCTCGATAGACAAGCCAATTGTGTTGTATTGAAGTTGGATAAAGATAAAATCCCTTCAACTGCTACTCGCTTTGAAGTGACTATCAGTTACAGTTCTGAACGTCAACTTGGTCCTTTCCTTTCGACGTATGGCTTTGTACCTACCATTGATCTTGAAGCACCTGAAGGTTTTACTGTTGATATTCCTACTTCATTTTGGCAACCAGAAGACAATTTGAAACGGAAATGGTTGGGAGTTCCCTCTAAAGTCCAGATTGTTCGAAATGGTGCTAATGGTACATATTCTATCCAATATCCGGACTTACTCATGTTGGTCTTTGACAAGGATTTACATCTTAATCCCAAATGGCCCGCATACATCACCAAACTTTTAAAGGACGACTATTTACCTGAAGACATTGAACATGTGATTGAAGACATCAAGACAGATCAGAAGCACAATGATATCATCCAAAATAATGGAAACCTCTGTGGGTTGATGTATGGAGATAATGGTGAGGTGATGACTATGGAAATGGCTTATGAGATCCACAGTAGCAAATCTGCTCAATTACAAGTCATCAGTGATAAGGAGATTCTCAATATTCTCAAGCAATACTGTTCCCAATTGAAGCACGAATTGTCCGCTAACACCGGTGGCTCGTCTCAAGACCCCAGAAGCTTCGAGTCGTTGGTACTGCAATATCGTAATGCTGTGATGACCAACTTAAACTCGATCATCAACTAGAATAAGTAAGCAACGGTATCGGAGTCTAGAACGTGAGAAAGCCACAGTTTTAATATTGTCGCCGCTAGTATGGTAGCGCTGGTGTGTATTACTGCACGGCGCACTACAAAGCACTAGCAGTTGTATTTGTCTGAGCTGATTACTTAGTGAAGACAAGATGACGTTAAATGTTCCAGAATATTCTAGTAGCCGTATCAGTGTACAATTACATAGCCGCATCACATAGTCTTATTGAATCCGACACTTCCATTCACATGACTTTAACATGGGTTGTTTTTGTCAGTATGTAGCAAGTAGTAGGTGGATTGTAATTGTAATCATTTGTCAGACGCATCCGCGAACACCTGATTCGGACACTCGGGCATTTTTCCCAACACGTATAAATACAACCAAGGATCCCACTCAAAGTTTTCATTGAATAATTTTACAGGTATCATAGACTCACAAGGTTTATTATATTTAAAGCACACACTCACGTATATATATATTTATTAAAATGGTTGCTATTGTCACAAGTGAAGCTGAATTTGCTGCTGCTTTGGAACACGACGGATTGGTTGTGGTTGATTTCTTTGCTACCTGGTGTGGTCCCTGTAAGGCCATTGCCCCAATTTTAGACAAGTTCAGCTCTGAATTCTCCAGTGCTAAGTTCGTTAAGGTTGATGTTGATGAATTGTCCAAGTTGGCTCAAGAATACGAAATCACTGCCATGCCCACTATTTTGTTCTTCAAGAACAAGAAGGTTGTTCACAAGGTTTTAGGTGCTAATCCTAATGCCATCAAGGCAGGTATCACCTCCAACCTTTAAACTTTGGGTATATAATATATAATTTTGGATATTATAATTTTATTGATAGTATAATTTTATTGGTAAACTACTATGTATTTGTAGACCATCCGTTCAGTTCAGTGTAACTGTATCAACAAATGCTTGTACGGTATGCAAAGCTGCCAAATCCAGCCATTCACTCTTCGGCACAAGACCTTCCTTAACATAAGCCCACAAGACATCGTAAACCAACGAGTATTGTCTTAAGGTCTGGACCATACTAACTCTCTGTTTCCGGAAACAGTTGACTATTTCAAAGATAGGATCATATTCGAAATCAGCATCACCTCTTTGGCTTATCAAGTTGACCACAGTGTCAATGGCGCAAAGAGTCCCCGTGCGGCCACAACCGGCAGAACAATGTACAATAACCGGGTAATCCAGCGTTTCCGGCTTGCAAATATCAACCAAATAATGCTTTAAAGTAATCAACTTAATGATATCTTCATTCAGTTCACATGTCAGCATATCTGGCCATGAAGTTAAATGAGCTTGTAAGACATACAATACTTCATTCCCTCGTTTGACTTCAAAGCTTCGTAATAAAAGTGAATCGTGATATCTTTCTTGATCCATGATCTTCACACTTATAATACTTCCATTCGTTTCATAAGCTCCAGACTTCCAAAAAGGACAACACTTGGAAACTCCATTCTCTGTCTCATCTGTTAAGGAAATAATAAGTCGACATTTTTCATTCAATACACATCTCCAGAAATCTCCGGCAGTTTCATTCAATGGTCCTTGAGTAGCAATATACTTCAAATGAGAGCCAGCTTCATCATCTTCAGTTCTTTTATTTCTGTGGGGTAATAAATCAGTAACCACCTTAGTGGTAGCATCAATATAAGATGCATTGATATAGTCGGAGATCTCTCTTCTATCGTTAAGCTTGACCCGACTATGTTCATATAAGAAGATATCCTTATATCTGTTCTTATGGCCAAACTCAATCCCACTACTGATTTTAGGAACATCGCTTTCATACCCTTCAGAATATCCCGTAAATGCCGTATTAAGTCTATCTTGTTCTAAACGTTCTAATCGATGGAAATCATTAGATATGCTGTTACTGCCCTCCAATGATGCCCGGAGCCATTTGGGAAGGCTTTGGTTATCTTTTGCATTAGATATCAATGCGGTGGCATAATTGGTTTCAAAGGGATTATCTGAAACTGCCATTGAAGTCGCCAACAACTCTTCATTATGCCGTAATTTGAACACTCTACGAGGAGACGGTAAAGTGAATTGACTAACAAGCGAGTTTTCCTCACTAATGTATCTTGTTGCTGGGGATCCAAGTGAATCTGGTCCTCCTCCAGGTCCTGCTCCTCCCACCAATTGAGATGGAGTCAAGCAAGTTGTAGATACGGGAGTTGACATTGAAAATGAAGCAGCTCCAATTGAGGAGATGGGAGAACTGGTGTTCAGTAATGACAGCTTACCTGATTCCACTAAATTATCAGGTAAATTCTTTATATCTTCTGAAAGAATAAAGATCTGGGCAGAACTATCCCATAAATCATTATTAATCCATTTTTTAATGAAGAATAGTAAATTTGGCAGTGCACCATGGGTATCCATTAATATAATTGGAGGTAATCCATTGGTACTATATGGGAATGAGAAGGTATGGTTATTCTTTATACTATCTGCTTTGAAGGCAAGATATGATTGAAGCATTGACTTCTCCATGGTTGGCAATGAATTAATACACCGATTCAAATCAAAGTTGTTTCTTCGAAGTAACGTACTTGGTAGACATATATTTATACTACCAAAAATATGCAAATGGATAAAATCGGAAAAGGGTCGAATATCTATCATTAGAACCTTTCCCAATTGACTAGTGGATGGGTATATGCTTTCACCTTCAATCAAACTCTGAAATTGGTCCAAGTTACAGTATTTGATTTGACCTGGTGATAGATTAATAATGGAGCTTTCATCTAATGGGGTTATTGGAGATGCTCCTATGGAAGAAGTAGAAGGTGACCAACCTTTCATGCTTACTGGTGATTTAAAAAATGATCCACTTGGGCCAGCCAGAGGGATTGTAAGATGTAAATCGCCAAAGTTCTTTGTAGTGGGGGTTTCAGCTTGAGGAAAGTTTATGGGCAAGGTTGCTTGCTTTTTCAACAGGGCTGCTTTAGCCGTAGTAGTTGATGACGGTAATGATGATGATGATGATGATGATGATGATGTGTTTGAAAGTGAAGTAGATGGGGTCATTTCGTTTCCGTTGCACGAGTAATCGCCACCAGTGTGGAATCTCCCCAACTTATTAAGATTGAATCTACTCTCTGTAGCACTACTAGCTTTGGGTAAAGGCGTAGATCTAGATGGACCGCTATTAGCAGTTCCTGTAGTAGGAGTACCACCACTGACACTGCTGTTGCCACCGTCTAATGATAACAGTAGATTGAGGACATTCTTGACACCACTACTGTCTTGGACAAACTCATCATTGGTCAACCCTGGCGCCACAGGTTGACCGTGGAACACCACATTCTCGTAAATGGTCAAATCGGAAGTTGTACTGGCCATACTGGAGATACTGTTATTAGCGGGTTTATGGGACTTGGAAAGAGAGATATTGGAAGAAGCACCACTGGAGGATCGAGAATGAACATGGCCATGGTGGAAACAATTTTTAGGTTCAACAAAGTAATCAGCTCCAGGGATAATGGTAGGAACAGTCGGTATAACTTTTTGAATAGGAGGGGGAGTTCGGATGGTAACCGGCGATGACTGGACCAGATGAGGTCTATTTAGATTGTTGTTATCAGTGTTGTTACGGGTCTTAAGCTGCTGTTGTTGTTCATCATGAGTTGTTGTTGTTGGGAAGACAAATGAAGCTGACGTCACTAGTGAAGGTGACGGAGGCATCCTGTAAAATGATATATATGATCGTATTGCCAAACCACACTGTTTAGGTCAGGTGTATGTTTGATTCTGCAACAGACAAGTATGGTGAAGGGAATAGTAATAGAATAGTATTAGTAAAGGAAATAGTAAAGAATAAAAATAAGGTTTGAGATTGGCCCTGGGTTGACTCCTCGTCCTTAGAATAGTACAAGTAAGTCACCATATATTCCAAGATGGACTGTTCTAGCCTCATCCACGCTGTAGGAAACGACTATTTGTTGGAGCCCAAAGGAGAAAAGACATTACGTCATACAAGGCTGAACGACAAACGTCATAGGCCGGAGGCTAGACCAGATCACCCAAAGAGTACATATACAAGAAGACAGACCGTAGCCGATCCCAATACAGACTCTGCCACGGACACATAGATACATAGACAATATTGCAATTCAATTTATTGTTTGCATACCATACAACGTAATGTGGTTATAATATAGGTTTATGGATGTATTTTAATTTCTGATGAGCATTCTGTTGTATTCCGTTTCCATAATCTTACATCCTGTCTACACCGTCACAACGAACAATAATCGCTCGCACGGTGCTACTGTATATATAGCATTAGTTTTGATACAGGGTTTATTGATGTAGAGTTTATTGTAGAGTTTATTGTTGACATTTGTTATTTTTAGCCTACATTATGATACCTCCTACGCCTGGTGGTGGTGTCATATATGTGTTCTTATACCGTGGTATATCTCTGATTCGGCTCCACCACCACCATACCACCACTATAAATACTACTGGCATCCATGTACCAGATTGCCGTGCGACGCACTGAAATTATTTCTGTGTTGCATCGTGCGCGTTGGCTGGTTGACCTGGTTGGTTGTTCACGTAAATGCACAGGCTCTAGTATCCATAATGGGCATTCTTGTTCAGGTATCCTATCGCCGAACCTGAACTATACTAGTAAATTTCGTTCGGCGGAATCGTTATGGGAAGACGCATGGGTACAATGGGTTATTTTCTCTATTGGGGTATAAAACACAACCTTGTCTACCGTACGTACTGTATTTTTCATTCCATTGTACTCAACGGTAGGTTTATGGTCTATTTCCCAATTCAATCCCCGTCAAAAAGGTGTCAATCACCTCGCCTTTTACCGAGGGAATCTTTTCATAAACATTTCGTGCCATATTCATTTTTCAAACTCCTGTAACGGCGAGCAAAAAGAACGGGCATTTGCGACAAGATGTCATGTGAGGTCATAGCACATAAATCTCCTGCTTATGTCATCCTTATATTAATCCCACCCCGACTCTTTCTTCGTTTGGCTACGACTGCTGCAATCGAATCTGTATCACTGATGCAACTATCATTGCCACCTCCTCCTCCTCCTCCACTTAGTTGCTGCCTGACATCTGCACCCCCATGCTTATTAATGCTACTACTCTCCTTGGTGTCCATAACCTTGGCCTCCCATGATGACGTCCTACTATGTTTATTATTAGTATTATGATTATTATGATTTGGTTTGGGCTGTACAGAGGGAGTAGTATTATTATTTGTGTCCTCATAAATTTCACTTTCGTCATTGAACAAATGCAGATTAATCACAGGAGTCGTTGTTTCTTGTATCAAAATCTCTCCTTCCTTTTGGTTTTTTATAACTCCCTTGGCTATCAATTGTTTCATCAACTCCTGATTCTCTTTGTACAATTGTAATCCTTCCTCTGTTATCCCTCCAGTACCTTTGACATCACCTTGTGTAATACTGCCTCCACTCTTATCCTCGACTTTTGCATACGAGCTTCCAACTTTATAATGATCTTCAAAACTAATTTCTAATACATTCAACGTAGTATTGGCATCCACTCCTCTTTGTTCCAATGCTTGCAAACTGGTAATTCCTCGTTCATCTTGTTCGATTATTGGTAAAACCTCTCCACATTTTAATGCGGCAGCATCTTGACTAATATATTCCTTCCCATGTGCTATTCTACTGTGATTTAAAAACCCTTGTGCACTTGAAAAGTTGGTTCGTTGGCAATCAGGACATGTAAGTTTAACTATGATTCCATCGCTCCTTCGATAAAGACATCCTGATGTCTGTTGGGAACATCCTTGTCCTGGGATTGGTGTATTATATGATGAAGGTCTTAAAGATGACATGGTCAGTCGAGTTCTATGAGCTGGAGGAACTTGGAAATTGTTAACAAAATTCGAATTAAACATATTTCGTTGTCCTTCTTCATCTGGAGTGTCTGGACTAGGACTATATGGTCTGCTTAATGCGCCACTCTCACCATTATCATTATTATTGTTATTATTATTAGTATTATTATTATTATTATTATTATTATTATTATTATTATTGTTGTTGTTGTTGATGTTGTGAACTTTTTTGATGTTTTTATATGTGATGGCAATGGATTTATTCAATAGATCAAAATATTTTGCGGTGAATTCATTTGGTTCTCTATCCAACTTAACGTCATTGGGTATTTCAAAGAACTTGCGTAATATAAGTAATTGTGCTTCCACTTTTGCCACTTCTTCTTGACTAAGTTTAAGTTCACGATGTTTCAATCTTATCTCTAAGTTGATTTGATTTGTTATCAAGTCTTTTAAAACTGACTCGGGGATATCATTCATTTTCTTCAAAAGTTGTTGGGTAGTTACATCTCCTTGAGCATTCGACAACTCACATGAGTCCGGTATCTCTTCAGACATTGACATCGCAAATGAGCTTTGGTCGTTATGTTTGCCATCAAGCATTACATTCTATTCCATTCCTTTCTATCATTCTTCTATTGGTGATTTCAAATTGAACATAAGTACACGACCTAGTTTGCAGCCTGTTTGAATCGGACTAATGATAAGGGATCACGACCTTGACAGCAGAGACCTAATAGTTGTGTATAAGTTAGTTTCTTTGGTCTCTTAGAGTGGTTGAAGGGAATTAGGGAATAAGAGTTAGTTAATACGTTTGTTGTCTCGCTGGAAGTACGCCTTTCCGCACCAACGGTAGATGAGACATTCGTGCTTCCACTTTCAGTGCTAGACTTCCGTGTTCTCTTTCTTGTGTTCGTGTTAGTTGTAATTTCTAATGCCTTATTGGTCGAAGTGATAGGCTCTTTAATGGCAGACATCTTTTCGGAAGTAATGCTTACGTTTTCAATGCTCACCTGGCTTTGTTTCGTATTCTCGTGTAATTGCAGTCTAATTATTAAGGAATCCATTTCAGTATTATATTCTTCTTTATCCTGTTTTTTGAGCCTAACTTTGCTTGAAACCTTTTGCGTGTTTATCGGTTTAAGTTGTAGATCAGGTAACTTTGCTTTAGGTTTATGCATGCTAATTTGGGTTTCGGTAGGATTCAAAGGTTTTCCTTTTGAAATAGCATCTTTTCTTACTCTTGACAATGGCACCCTTTTTGCCCTTAATGCAGCTTCTGATGCAGCAGACATGGAGACGTAGGCATTCTGATTGGCAAATGCCACGTTATTTGTTTTGTTAGTGATTTCTCGTAATACGGGACGACTAATGTGAGCAATAGGTGGTTTCTTACCCATTTTATCAGCACTGCAAATATTCTCTACAACAATGTCTTCTAAAGAAGATGAACCTACTGGTGTTGATGTTGCCTTAAACTCAGTCTGATATTTGCTTTTGATGTACGATGGCTGACTCTCATTGTTTGCAGCCTTTTCTTGATGGTAGAGCTTACCTAAGAAATCGTTGGCATAGGTGGAGACTTTTGATAAGAGGGCAGTGTTCTTCCCTTTCTTTAGACAACTTTTTGGGGGCAAATTCTTCAGTTTTAACTGCTTTGATTTTGCCATTGACAATGGTAAATCGCCAGACTTCTTCTGACCAGTCTTTCCAACTATGTCGCAAAAGGTTAGAAATTTGTGTCTTCATTTGGAAACAGTGTTGTCTCCAACTTGTGGTTTCGCTACATACCCTTAGTACTGAATCTGATCTTTTTAACCATTGCAGTGTATTATGGGGAGTCATTACTAATTGGTTGGCTGCAAGGGGAGGTTAAGGTGAATCATATGTCTTTTCGCAGTCCAAATGTCGCATTATTTCCTGAGAGTATCAACAAATTCCAACACACATGAAGAGAGAATTAAGTCTAAGACACAGGTAGAGACACAGATACATACACCATTAATTGTTCAAAATGTCGGAAGAAGAGATAATACTTCCGTCAATAGCATCAGGAGTCAAGAGTTTAACAGTAAATGATAGACCGATGCACGAGTTTGGGTACAATCCAAGTTTAGGACCTCACTCCAATGAAATCACGGAATCTTCACTGAATATTTTACTCAACAGGAAAACTATCAGCCTAACCCCAACATCCACTCATAGCATATATGATCGGAATATTTTGGGAACGAAGAAACATGAACTCAGTATCTCCTCGTTATCGTTTTTATTCGGGGAAGTGGTGAGTTGGTCCCACCGCAGTAGTAAAGGTATACAAGATCTTGAAAATAGATTAAACGGTTTGGGATACAAGATAGGCCAGAGGACATTAGAACTTGTTAAACTACGAGAGAGATTCAAAAACACTAAAAGAGAGATAAGATTAGTGGAAATGCTTCAATTTATTCATTCTACACTTTGGAAAGCCTTATTTGGTGAATCTGCAAACGAATTAGAAAGATCTCAAGACATAAACAATGAATATATGATTACAGACAACTGTCCTTTAATGGCCAAATTCATCAATATACCTAAGGATTATGGTAACTTAAACTGTTCCGCATTGACTGCGGGAATCATTGAGGGTGCTTTGGATTCTGCAGGGTTCTATGCTCATGTTTCAGCTCATTCTGTTCCTACAGATTACATGCCTCAACGTACGGTTTTCTTAATCAAAGTAGAAGAAGAAGTATTGATACGGGAAGACTTAAGAGGTGGCCCTATGAATTAAACAGGGAGCGTAATCCATGCCTTACCGTTGGCACACGACCCTTTTTGGTAAGTAGTGAAATTTTTTCGAATTGTAACAGGTGGATCAACTACAATGGGTATGGGTATAGTGGTTTATATAGACATATACCATATTATAGATTGACCACACAAAATGGGTATAACGATCAGGCGAGCTACCATCCATGACATTCAAGCCATGCAGAATGCCAATTTGCATAATCTTCCTGAAAACTATCAATTGAAGTACTATATGTACCATATCTTATCCTGGCCTCAAGCCAGTTATGTTGCCACCACATACGACGACATAACACCAGAAGCAGATTTATATGCCGAGGATGACGGCAAAGCGGAAGCGGAAGTCCCTGAGATCGTTACAAAAGATGTAGAAGACCCAAAAGGTGATACATCATACATAGATAAAGGAGAGAAGATTGTTGGATATGTGTTGGGAAAAATGGACGATGATCCGGATGCACAGAATAGAAAGGCTCATGGCCATATAACTTCATTGTCAGTGATGAGAACATATAGAAGAATGGGATTGGCGGAAAAATTGATGCGACAATCCCTTTATGCCATGTGTGAATGCTATGGGGCAGAATCTGTAATGCTTCATGTTAGAAAGTCCAATAGAGCTGCTTTGAATTTATATCTTGCTTTAGAATTTACCACATCTTCAGTCGAGCATTCATACTATCAGGATGGGGAGGATGCCAATTGCATGAAGTTGGAGCTCAAATTAGAAGACTTGGTACCCTCCAAATTTCAGAAAGGAGTTGAAGATGACTTCTCCCAAGATTTAATCTAATCTAGATCTATAGTACATAGTAAAGGTACACATGATTACAATTAATAAAATAAAATCGATAATATACATGCCATAATAATCAATTAGACCCAACCACGTTTTAATACCGTTCCTTCATTCTTGATGCCACTGTACGCAAGTTCCCGTACACTTTACCTGGAGGAGAACCCAAGATCAATGACACAACAGCTTCTCTTGCCATTCTAATATGGGTGAATCCTCCCAAGATATGAATTTTAGAATCTGCCAATACAATTCTTGTTCTGGTGACATTTTCAATGGCAAATTTGGTTTTACCATCCTTACCAGCAATTCTACCAATTGCTCTGCTTAAATGATCTCCTTGTAATGTCTTAACATCTTTGATCTCAAATGTTTCGATATATAAATCATCCAATCTCAATAATGCTATAGCATCATCAATATCGAATCCTAATGTAAATGCCTTGACGAAATCAGCACCTTTTTGTAAGGCACCAACATCTGTGGTGTGTTTGTTAGTCTTTAACTCAACAGTTTTCGTCTTCAAGTTCATTCTAACTTGCAATTTTAAATGTTCAACTAGTGGGGGATAGATTTTGGTCCAACTGCTTTTCAATGGTGTCATTCTATGAGGCGGAACAGGCACTTTTCTGGATTCCAACTTGACTTTCATCCCAGACTTGGATGCAGCAGAGAATTTGGGCTTTCCGCTTTCGTCCAAGACAACTTGTTGTGATTCATTTGTTGAAGTTTTTGATGATTCTTCTTGTGCTTCTTCACTTGGGGCAGAAACGTCAATCATGACTTCTTCATCGTCAACTTCTGGGACTGGAACGGGGGCCACAACGGGCGGCACTTCTGTTTTCTTTATGGCAGTGGGAGCAGCCATGGTGACGGTTATATGTATGTGTATTTGGTTGGAGCTGAGTGTATTGCAGTGATAAGAGCGTAGAGAAGATTTTTGTTTGTCAGTGAGATGCTCATCGTGACATTTAGGTCTTATATGCACCACTGACATACAAATTACACAAGCACCAAAAAGTCCCCAATCTATCTTCAAAATACAAGTATTGTGTGCAACAGAAGACATAAACACAGTCAGACATAAACACCGTCAGACAGAAGCATAGTCAAACATAAACATAGTCAAACATAAACAGAAACAGACAAAGCCATGCATGCAATTTTTTTACGAATATTTACTCTAGTCCGCCGTTTGTAGTACAATCGACTTGAAGCGCTTTTCGCGGTCGTGATTGCGATAATTTTCGATGGACCAATAGCTTTCTGTCCCCAGGTTTTATTCCTTTCTACAGCTTAAGCAACTTTCTGGGAGCAACTAGACGGAATTGCAATATAAACCGAGTTCCTAATTTATAGCATATATAAGTATAATTACTTATACCATACTATATTATTTATTTACTGTTCACTTCCCTTATTGCACCCTCAAGTATTGCTTGGTGTTTGCTTTATTAACTGAGATGAGATGGCAATGATTCTGCTGAGAGTTCTCAAATGTGCCACTCCACTATGGCGACGTACTCCTATATATCCTTCGGCGGTATCGTTCATATTAAGACCTCAAACATATGGTTGTCGTATAATAAGAAGAAACTATGGTATTAAGGGGACCCTGGATATGAATAAGGAGGATGAAGCTAAACATATGCCATCGTCCTTAGAGGCTGCACATTTGCTTCCTTCATTACCACCACCAGTACGTGAACACTTTTCTGCATTGCCTCCTGCTTCCCAAAACCACTTCACTAAGCAAACGTTATTATCACAAGCCCCCAATGCTTTGTCTCGTTTACTTGTGCGTATCCGCTGGACTTTGACTAGGAATAGACCCACCAGACCCACCGATTATCTTTCGGCATTCTTGTCGTCTGTTGTCATGGGGAACATCATTTGGATAGTATTGGGGACCACGACATTTGGATTATTTGGAATGTATCTCCTATACTATTTCGACCATATATGGAGGAAAATCGACAGCACTACAGAGTCTCTGAAGAAATCAAGAGGTGACAATTCAACTAGCAGTGGGGACATTTCTGATAGGGGGATCTTGAGTTCGTTTACAAGTGCTGTTTTGTCACATGGATTAGGATTGAAGTTTCTGTTCACCAAAGGTCACATCTTACCAGAATTTGAAGATGGAATGCTTAAATTCAAAAAGGTACATCTTTGTTCGGTTGATAATGACTTTAAAACCATGACTTTTGAAGCCAGTATCGAGTCTTTGAATTTATCTCTTTCCTTCAATAAATGGTATGAAGGTAACGGGTTGATCTACGAAGCAGAAATAAACGGGTTGAATGGGAAAATCTATGAAAAGAATGTTGAACCTTCTGCCTTGGTGCTTCGAGAATCATTGGAACGGAATCTTGAAAATACCAAAGTTGTACCTGAAGAATCCCCTTATAACTTCACTCGATTCAACGAGAACCATTATCAGTATGATGATGAATATGAGGTGAAAAATCCCAATATGCAAATCAAACTTTTTGATCCAAACTATAAGTTAGACAGCTTGAGGATTCTTGATTCATATGTTGAAGTATTTGAGCCAGGCCAACACTCAAACCCCATGAAAATTGGTATATTTAATTGTGAACTTCCCAAACTTTCAGGCGATAGATTACTCTTGGATTTCTTTGACGCTAGTAATGTTACCGGGTCGATAAACGATTCCATGTTTTCAATTCACAAGCATCAGCAATTCAATCTGGATGGAGGTAACATCGTGAGATTTAAATTGGATGGGATTAACTTGAAATCAATGGGGTATGAGAATCTGAACTTGAATTGGATAGTCCATGGAAGAGCAGACATCACTGCCGATATCAACATTCCTGAAACAACAGAAACTGAACAATTCAATTTATCCAGTGAGTATAAAAGAGTGAGCAAATTCTGTTCAAATGTCATGAAGGATTTGGGTAATTTAACTGCCGAAAGGAACGAAACAAACGAGAATACTTCTACTTCCACTAATGGGTTGGAGGGTAGCAATAACAAGAATTTACTTCGTGGGGCATTAGATGCTTTGTATGCCACATTCACAAGGGAAGAAGAACAAACAAGAGATCCTAGTGCTCAATATGTATTGGTGAATGTTAAGATGAAATTCTATGATCTTAAGGCATCATTACCAAAAACCATGCCTCGATCTAAGACTACAGACGTTCCATTCATTGACCTCCAGTCATTGAGATCTTTAATAACTTTCATCAACAGTTCTGACAGAAACCCCGTCGTCATCAACACTTTGGTGATTGAGAAAATGAGCGACTTGTACAATGTGGATAAGATTAGTGAAACAAGAATGTTTGACTTGATCATGAGTGATGTCTATCATGAATTACTCAAGATGAGCAAACAGGAAACACAACGAATTATGGAACAGAGGGCCAATATGTGGTCTCATTCATTAGCAAGTCAGTTGCTATTGTTAGGGTTAGGTGCAATTGTATAAATTCATTATGTATATATTACGGTTCATGGGATTAATAAATATTATCATTAGCATTATCATTATCATCATTAGACTGCTTTATTTCACAGTTTCCTCTTGAGCGGTATCTGGAAAGTGGCATTGGAGCCTCTTATATCTTCCATGATTTCAGTTTCAACAGGTTTAGCCCCTATGCCCAATAGCATCCCTTGTTTCCTGTGTTCTACACTGGTGCTCTTTTGGTTCGCTCCACCACCACCACCTCCTTGAATGTTCCTTTCACCCTTCCAACCCATTCCCCGTAACATAGCCGTACCAAAGTTCTCTACTGCAATAGACTCGTAATCTGAGCCTGTGGCGTCATCTCCATCGTCTTCGTTGTCCGAATTTATCCGCACCATCTCTTGATGGTTATCTGCTGATACTACAGTAATGGCTTCTTCGGATGTGATGCCTCTATTCTTATTGACACCAAAGGACAGCATGGTTATCCGTTCTGTGACTTGTGGAGTAGAAAGAGTCTTCTTAAGCTTGAGTTTGATAGAGGGAGTTTTATCCTTGTTGTTTTTAACTATTTTACCATCCAATTTGCCCCCTTTGGAATCAAACCCATTGATTTCATGTACATCATCTTCATCTCCAAGTTCTGGCTTATCTTGAAGTACATTCAGTTTCTTCACCACCGCTTTGACACCGTTATTGTTCTTGTTTTTGATTTTAAGCAGGAACCCGGCCATATTGAATAGAAGACGGTAGCTATTAGGATGTGATAGTCCTTTTGTTGGACTTGTAGATGGATAATGGTGATGCGTACTGTGCTGTGATCGAGTTCAATCGTGATTTTATTTTTCGGAGCGCGACTGCCACAAACACGACGGCAAGATCCAGTGGTCAGTGTTTGTATGTGTTTGCATCTACTGCTGTCTCCAGTAGTGTTTCTCTAGAGCCGTCAAATACAACACCTCAGGCCTCTGTGTGACGTGAGGATGTGGACAGAACAGGTGGGACCAGAATCAGAAGGAGATCTTTTTGTTGACTGCGTTACTGAAGATGATATGACATTTGATACTACCATTGCAGATGAAGACAGTGATGGTGATATAGTTAACATAGTTGATCTGGACCGTGTCAAGCTAAATGATGATTCTCAAGTATCATCGCGACATTCACTACTTTCAATTCTTAACGGGAATTTAAGACCCAAACCGTCAAAACCAGAGCCTCCCGTCATCATTGAGAAGGCAGGACTGATACAGAAGCGTGTCTCAGTTATGGATATCCTAGGGCCCCAATCCAAGTCACCACAGCGGATGTCTGACGCCGAATATATTGAATCCAAGATGTATACCACGTCCATTAGAAGAACAACGGCTAAAGATTTACTTAGTGGTCGTTTCAAAAAGTCCGTAGAAGAAATAATTAATGTGGATGATGACGTTCTTGCTCCTGATCAAGATTTAGGGCTAGACTTAGATAGCTCTAATGAGATCTTGGAGAGCAAGATCTATAAGAACACAGCAAGATCCAGTGCTAAGGATATTTTGAAAAGACAATCAACCAAGCAATACCAAGACTCTAAGTCGTTTATGGTTTGTATAAAGCTTCCCATTCGGTCTAAGATGGTGACGTTACATATCAACAAAGACAAGCTTCAAGCACTCAAGAAGGAGTCTAGAAAGAAAACTGATGCCTTTTTCCAATCTATGATGAAGGCATCCAAGAATAGTGTAGTGAAGACAGCAAGGAATAAGAGTTTGCAAGCATCATCACTTCCTATTATTACTCGAGATCAATTCCATGTGAAACCCGAAGAGGACGACAACGAAGAAGCCGAAGAAAGGGACTCTATTCATGACATTGACCTTTTGAGACGGATCCCGAAACGTCATTCATGTCTTTCATTTGAGCGAATAGTGGAACAATTGAGAGATGCCATAGAAGATCCTGCTAAACTCTTTGATTCAGAGGAGACAAGTATGGTGAAACCAGCCTATACCATGAAAAAGATCAAAAAAGACCATAACAGTATTTTAGCATTAATTGAATCAAAGATTCCCCAGTTCCAAAAGAAGCCACAGCTAAGAGCTATTTATGATAAATTCATAGCTCATGGTAGAAGACGACCCCAAAATGGTGAGCTATGGATAAATTTGTTTAGACCACAACAGAGTCTGGAAGTATTAGTATCTGATTCTTGTCGAAAGAAAGTCAACTTGTGGCTATTAAACTCCTTCTCAAAGCTAAGACTGCAAGCTCTCAAGCAACCACGGAATGTTTTGATCAAAGAGAAGAAAAGACGTCAAAGACTTCAGCAACAAAATGAGTTTGATAGCTTTATAGTAGATGATTCAGATATCAGCTACACTGATCATAATGGGGGAAATGGATCAGATACAGAAGAAGAGATATTTGTGCCGATATTGGTTCTCAAAGGGGCCACTGGTAGCTGCAAGTCATCTTCTATTTACGCATCTATGGAAGAACAAGGAGGATATGTTTTTGAAGTCAATTCAGGTCAACCCAGAAGTCGACGGGACATCTGGAATATTTTAAAAGAATTTGCAACAACTCAGATTGTACAGAAACAGAATATGTTTAAACTAGAAAATATTATTGTTCCTACAGCAGCTCCTGAATCAGAATCAGGGTTTCAAAAAGGGATCATTTTGTTTGAGGATGTTAATATTTTATTTGAACAAGATAAGACTTTTTGGCAGTTAATTCAAGAGTTGTTGAACATTAGTAGGAGACCCATTGTTTTAACTTGTAATAGTTGTGAGAATATTCCAAAATCGATACTTGACCACATAGAAGACGATTCCGTATTAACTTTAGATCAAGACGAAAGCAGCAAGCAACTAATTAGAGAATTTATTTGGCTCTGTTGTCTTAGTCAAGGCTTTAATGTGCAAGAGGAATTTTTACAGGATATCTTGAAGAGGGCCAGTGAAAACGAAGACCAACATGTTGATCTTAGAAGTTGTTTAATGGAATGCCAGTTTATCTGCCAACATTACGAAACCCTTGATGAACATGAGTTTTTGGAGATTGATAAGCTCTCTCAAGGCGGTGGTGGTTTCAGAGTGAGCGGAGTGGTGGAAGACCAATCTCTTGGTGGATTGGCTAAGAGTTTGGACATGCTATCCCATGGAGATGTTATATTTTCCAATTCACATTCTCTTGTTAACCATGATAGAATAGAGAATGAGTTTTTGGATTTACCAGTTTTGAATAGTGCTAACTGGCTCAAACAAACTACTTCCATTCATGAACTAAACATCGGAGAATATATGATGGAGAATACTCTTGATTTTGGTCCAACGAAAGCAACGAAGCAAGCGAACATCCAAGCCAAGTTTCTGGGAAATTACTTACGCCAAGTTCTTACCGACTTTCTTTCTTCTAGAAGCAAAAGAAAATATAGAATCACCAGAAGTGCAACTCCAATGGATTCAGTTTCTTCAGAGAGTGTAACATCTTCACTCCTACTACTGGAGCGAGATCGAGATCCAGAATTAGAATGTTTCATCTATAAGAGTGTACTCGACACTTTGACATTAGAATTATTACCCTATGGCAGAAGATGGTTCTACTTCCAGAAGAAGTTAAACGAAATTGATACCGACAACTCTATTAAGGCATATTTGGGCTACAGGTTATTCCATTACGAATCAACAGACTTGATGAATACATTTAGGTTTTCATGGAGCATGAGTATATAAGATCAACTTTATCCACTCTTTGATCAACTTCGTTCAAATCAATCTTGTTCTAGTTTTCAATACACCACCACCAAAAGATCTTAATGCTCTATGTTTAAAATCACTATTTTGTAATCTTCTCCAAGCCTCTTCAATGTGGTGGGGCATAATTGGTTTGGAAAACTCATCTGGTTTATCAAACAAATACTTTCTCTTTCTGATTGTTTCCTTCTGCTGTTGTTCTTGAGCAGATCTCTTGGACTGGATTATTCTTTCTTCCGAGTTCTTAATTTCCATTGCTTCCTCGGTTAAGAAACACACAATCTCAAAGGTTAAAAACCCTAAAATATCAATCACATCATCATTTGGTCTGGAATCACACAATTGAGCTATTTGTGCCCATTCTCTGAACCGTTTAGCCTTTCTAAATGTAAAAGAAGCCTGTCTACAATCTGACCAATGTTCATACTCTTGTCTAGTCATATTTCTGGTTCTATCATCAGCCATTTTCAACCTCTTCAACGATGCAATAGTGGCGGCCTTCTCTTCGTCATCAACTTGTTCATTCTCTTCAGCAGTCTCCAAATGTTGTTCCAGAAACATAAACTGCAATTCCCAAGGTAATCGTATTTTGGACTTTTTATATTTAGTCAGAGAAAGAACTTTGGAATCCCCTGCTGCTCCCGGTAAGTTGGTTCCCGTCGCTCCAACTCCTCCGGCCACACCTCCTGGGCCAGCTTCGTTCTCCATGAAAGACTCTGTGCCTCCAGCCTCCTGGTCCTTTGCATTCTTCCGCACGTCTTTCCATGATAAATAAGTTCTTAATCGATTTACTTTGGCCCTGTCGTGTCGTATGATGAAAATCACGTCTTCTGGTGCTATCGATTTGGTTCCTCGGGCATTGGCTGTTTTGGTAGATTGAAGTAGTATCTCAATCACTTGTCCACGAACAATGTCTTCAATTAATGATGTCGTCTCCACAGGAGGGTCTACAGACTCTCCCGACACAAACATCATCTGCTGGATCTCAACTCTATATTTATATTTGCTATCTGCCGACATTACTGCTCAGATATGGTATGTAGTATTGGGCAATCTTACTACATAGTAAATTCGTATACTGTTTACCATAACCAACCCTATGTCCGGGTAACCTAACATTTGTGTTTCCATGCGCGCTACCATTTACACAAGTTCAAACACTATAAATACTGGAGGTTACTTGAAAATTTTTCAAATGTTTTCTACTTCTTTTTCTTTAAGCATATTGATTGCAAAGATATATCCAGTAGCATAGCGCTAGGAATCAGATTTGATATCAAGCGAACACTTGTGTAGGTTGATTTAACTTACATTGGAGTTCGCTTGCTGTCGAATTTGAAATATCAATGTTGCCTCCATTTTTAGAAAGATGATGTTTTAGCATTAGCTTTTACTGTCCTTGGCTTTTATATGATGACACTGAGTGCATTTGGCTCGAGACTTTCTGTCGGTGTGGAAAAACCCAAGCTACCTTATTTTTTTTTGTCTGAAGTGTACTATTTAAGCAATATTAAGATTGTTTTAATGGTACCGAGATCCTGGGACTATAAGGCTTTTGTTAAACTATCTTTTGAATCTTGGCGGTGATGTGTGATTTCTTAATATGTAGTTTACGTCGTAGCTTGCTTGAAGTATAATGTAACGTTTATGTTCTGTGAGAGATGACTTTGAGGTAGGCTTGGGTACCGTTTTTGAGGTAATCACGTGACCGGAGTGCGATATTTTTATGGTGAACTGTAGACATTTTCTGACTGAAGAATGTCTGACAATTGAAATAGGTTCTGTGACTCCTGACACAGGTAAATGACATAACCCATTTTATATGTCGTTACCTATTCAACAACAAGAACCAAATAACATTATAGTGAAGTGCTAGAAGTACCCATGTGTAACATTGTGGCCTTAACTGTTGAATTTAGTAAAATATTAGGGTTCTCAGTGGAACGAAAGTAGCATAAGTAGCATAAGAGTGGCTTTGAAATTTTATGATTTGAAGAGTATGAACTTAGCATCCATAATACAAGTAAAATAAAGTATAATGGTACTTCTAAACTCAGTTGGAAGTTGGATAGACAAAGCTCACGTAAAAGATTCATAAAGCACAACTTGGACTTTTATGGTAATGGAAAGTCTTAACCATGTGCAAAACCTATGACTTAGATACTCCAGAACCGAACTATGCGACTAATAATCATGTTACAGCCGTTTAAAGTTTAGAACTATTCTTAATATTTGTTTATACACCAAGTGATCAACCCAATTCGAATCATTCTTCGTATTAACTTTTGTGCCTTTGTATCTCTATGACTAATTTAAGTAGAACACGTTATTGAACTGAATATGAACTAGAACAACGACCAAATATTGTTTTTCTATTATTGATTGCACTCAGTTCACCATATGCTTTAGCCACAGGATGGTAATGCTTTCTTAGAACACCACAAATAATTTTATACGGCAATCCAGAAGTCCATGAAATTAAATTTAGCAGAGTTTTCAACTAGTGTTGGAATGACTGACTTTTTTGACTCCTTCAACTTATTGATTCTCAAAGACTTTCCATTTACGTTGGAACTTAACTTATGCTACATCATTTTGATAACATTGGCACGATTATGATCCAAAATAATAGTGATAAAGACTCTAATACGTCGACTGAAAACATACTGTCTCACATAATTACCAGACGGGTCCAATGATAAGCTAGTCACATTCTCTGCAACCTTAAATAATAATAGTTTGCGTTGATCAGCATCTCCTTTGTCCAAACATCTCAGTGCGATGCAACATCTTTGCAATTCATTGAAGCAGTTTTAAAAATGAACTGAAGAATATGATCTCATACTTCAACGCCTGTTGATGACAACAGAACAAATGGCTTGAATCTAATGCGATATATCTTTTGAATACATCTGATCACCTAACGTTGAAGTGTCGGAGAGTAGTAGCTTCCTTCTCAGTTTAATTTTGGCTCGATTAATGCCTTAGGTTTATAAGTGAAGCACACCATGTACATATTTTTTTTTAATAGCAATCAATTCGAAGTACTAAGTGGCTAAGACGACTAGCAAGAGCATCTAAATTGATGTCTAACAATTGCATACTTAGAAGTAGTACTAACCTCCATTTCACCCCCAAATTCTATTAATGTCATGAACAATAAATATCTTAGAACGGATGAAAGCATTCTTTAGATCTTGATAATATCAATGTGCAATTAGCGTAATTCTAGAAAGCTGGTATTACATCCGAGAATATCCGATTGGAATAATAGAGAGACAAGACACTATCGATAACTCATATCATTATCAAAAGCTTTAAAACCATATCGAAAGATAAATCAACTTTTCTGTGTGTATGAATTCAGAGAAACGGCTCAATCTTTCGAACCTTTCAGGGATTGGAGTACTCTAACTCAGGATATGAATAATTGAACTCAGAGATATACTGTAACCACTTGAATGAACACTTAGCTCTTCTTATACGTTCTTAATTCCGACATCTTCAATATCTTTGTATCTTTCGTTAGATAAATATGTTCACAAAAGAATAAGAAAAAGTACTAAAGGAATACTCGAAAACAATTCATTTTAATCTCTAAATGAAAGTTTGTTCATCAGCCTTAGATACGAGACATTTCAGAGTGCATGGGATTAGAAATATTTTTTTAGAACCTTAGCTGCTAATAATATTTTGGGCAATAGTTGAGGGTTACAATACGATGGATTAAAAGGGAACTCAACGATTTAAAGAGTTATCCGACATTTCAAATGATGTAAAATTTGCAGTATTAGATGCCAGTGGTCTTTTAGCGAGAACTAGGATGGCATCTATTAAAGTTACTGAAAAAGAGATGGACTTCACTTTGCAACTTGTAATAACAAGAATCAAGGTGAATTGTGAAGTGTGTGCTGCTAGTGTATCCATGTAAGGTAGGCAACATATGGCTCAAAGAAAATGAAAAACCTAAAAATTTAGTCTGAAATGAATACAATGTGTTGTCACGGTCTTGATAGGGCCCCATTATTGTTGAAGAATTAATAATGCAGGCAAATTTACTGAACACACACTCCTCCATTATGGCACAAAGAATTAGCATAAGCTAGATGATTCTTCTTAGTAAACATCTTGTGCTACTGGGAAGAAGGTCTGACTATTGTAAATGGAAGCTTCGGTGATAACTACCTTAAATAAGGTCTCACGTCACAGTGAACAAATATATCGAGTACTCATTTTCGTAAATCATTTCAGAGTTTCAGTCCATGCTTTTTAGTAATTTACTAAGTGTATTTGCTTATAACTTACTGTTACCATGGTAGAACTACAAGTCAGACCAACACTACAAATATACAAAGTATACTGGTACTTGGCACCAGTGGGCATGAGACACCCAACATAGTTGACTTGTTAATTCGCGTATACTTTACTTGTACCAAGGGGAGTCCAAAATCAAGCTAGGCAGCAACTTAGCACGCTCAACATGAAAAAAGAACTGCCAATGTAAATCTCATATACACGCATATTACAAAGTCATTTGTTGGTTTTAATTCTATTCTTCCAAATGAAACTGCGATTGTATTATAAATTGTATAGCAGATGATGAATCCCGATGTCTCAAGGCCAAGGAGGTGCATAGGTTTGAGTTGAATCAAGCCCTGGGTCTGTGCTCATTAAGAAATAAAAGCAGCAAGCCATAAATACTTTAAGCCATGTGTGTTGTCAATAGTGACGGGTTTATTTCAGCAGCAATCATTTTGTTACCAATGAATCTACAAGTAAGTACAAAAAAATAAAGGTTACGTTCTATATTATGTCTCAATTACTACGGAATCTTAATCTGACACAATAAAGCACAATCAATGGGATTGTGACAAAGACTTCAGCAAGTAACCGTTGGTAACCCACAGCAAGTTATTCAAAAATTATTAAACCTAGATGCATTGAAGGACATAAAGTAGTAACTTGAACCGAGTTTTGTTTTAGGGTTCTGCAACGCCAGATTTCTGCCATTGCATGTTTCTGGCAGCCAAGTATGAGCCCTACTTGTAGAAAGATATATATCACACTTTAGAACGGAGCAATCATCAATGTAACTAAGACCTTTCATATAGTTCATATGTAATAAGCAATCCTTTGTCGTTCTCCAAACCACAGTTCGGGTAATCCTTTGTATAGATTATAGTTAATCATCATGAATTTTGGCCAAGGTTCATCAATACCCCGTCATGTATCAATACCATATTTTAGTAACTTTACTTTGTAGAATGTGTTAAACAATAATATTGTAATGAGGGTTATCCGATTGTGATGACGCATTATCAAACATCATAAAACGCCTAATATTATATAATAAGGTCAAATTTTTAAGAATGGGACCTTTGTACATAAGTAACCGGGATCACCAAGAACTACTCCCCCATACTTGTGGAACGCCGACAAAAATTATTTATGCACACCTCCAAAGTTCACAAAAGTTGTGTATCCTCTTTATGCCATAAAAGTCCTTACTTTGTGCCTGACAAAGACGGTTAATAAATCTCTAATCGGTTACAATATTCAATGAAAAAATTCTTCTACATGGCGTGGTAAAAGATAATACTGAAATGCTTACCAATTAGGCTCAATTTACCTCGTTTTGGACTGAACAATGCTGTTCACATACAATTCAATTTACTTTGTGCTCCTTTACAGAGATCTACGTATTAATTAGGATCTCCACAATTACCAGCAATAATTTGAATGCACACAATACAAGACGTCCTTCCCGGTGGCTTCTTTTTCTTCCACAACTGAAATATATGTACATAAAGCCATTGAGTTTTAAGCATGCTAAGCCAATATTTAAATGTATTGTGGTTTATTCTAGTACACGATATCTGTAATGTAGGCTTTTCCGCATGTTCCTACTCAATGCCAATATTGAGTCGTTGCTCCAAGTTCAACCTTTACTGAAATTTGAAAACGAACATAAAGCTACATTTACCAAGGCTGAAGTGAATAAAGATGCCAAAGTTGGTAGAATAATGACTTCAAGTACTTTTAAATTGTATTTTTTTGAACGATAATTTTGAAGTCAGCCCTTAAAAATGGGTAACAGCTATAGCGATAACAGAAAAGCCGTGCTATTAATAGCTAAAAGTTACAAATAAACAGTAAGGAACGGGGAGGGGAAACTATGAATGTTAACTAGACGTATAATACCGTTTGTTTCCCCTGAGCGTTGCACACCAAAGTAACAATGGTTTCTGAACCACGCGTTTATTTAACTCAGTAAGATGAGTGAAAGATTTATTTATCGGGGAATTGATATTTTGATTGATTTTTCACATTCATCCCTTACAAAAGTGTGCCAATGTAAGTCATCTAATGCTGATTTATATATTTGAGGCTCATGTGGGCTTTCGTGTGCTTATAACTGTCAAGTTCTGCCTACTATGGTTTAGTTACTTTAATTCTTTTACCTAATTTTTTGTCCGATTCAATAAATTGTCTGCAAAGGAAAATACGGTGTTCCTGACACAGCAAATATCGCAGATAAAACTCATAAAATAAAGAAACTAACCACAACTGAAACAAAACGGAAATTCATAACGGACTGGTGTTAAGGGACTACTAAAGCTCAACACAAAATTCGTTTTCCGCTAAATAGCATACCGTGCTGTAATGGTTCAGTCAGAGACTTTAATTCTATAATCACTCAGTAATGTCGTGCGTTTTGTAATAGTTTTCACTTATCGCCAAAGTGTCCTAAGCCTATTCGGTAAGCCTAGTATCTAATTTCAGCTACTTGTGGTACCCAAAAAGCACCTGCAGCATCCAAACTATTTTCCTTAATCAAGATAATAGTGGATTTTTTAAACCCACTAGTTGTCTTTGTTTATTCCTATCTGGCAGAGCTGCGCGCGCTCTTGCATCAGTTATTTGCAGAACATATCCTTGTGCTCCTGATCACAATAACGTGTGTGACGGTCCGATCCAAGCACCAAAGGACGTACGTTGCTGCTACTGCTTATTACAATTCTTAAAGTATAGAACAAAGACTCTTCTTTATGTACTCAGTGATCTCATTTGAGGGTGTCAATCGCATGTTAAGCATTGTTTTATTTGTTTGTTTGTTAGGTATTTATTTTTTATTTTTTATTCTCCACTACTGCCTTGGGCAAACTTGTTCCATTTTAAGAAACGGTATACCAACGCTTATATATACGGGTGATTTCAGGTTGAAATCAACCTTTGATAAATCACCTTCTCTGTTATCCTTTTTTCCTATCTTAAAGCCATCTTGTCTTGTTTAGGCTTTGAACAGGATTAGCCGTGTGTGAACTTTTTTGGTTCGTTTGTTCGTTGTGCTATTTATCGCGATTCGCTTTACTTTATACCACATTACGTTTAAACATAGTTTATCCTGTCACATTCGCCTATAATTACTACTATTATTATCATTATTAAAAGTATTCCGATTGCTTCAATTCGTTACGTCTGTCGTACTGTTTCTGGTTTCGGTAATGGCTTTTGACCCGTTTAGTCTCATATTTAATCGATAATGCAGAATGATAGTGATGTATTAACTACCATAGTTGATAGATTATTGACCTTTGAACGTCAATTACTACAATATTTCATCAAGTCAATATATTTTTTGTCATCACAGTTGTGCCATCTATTGCATTTACATGAGTCTTTTCACGTACAACTGTTTTTCAGACATCTCACTCTTTGTGCTGACTTGACAACGGCAGAGGCCTTAGCTCACGATATAGGCGTCTATTTGGCAAGTACAAAGAGCACCATTCAATCTGATGATGATCATCACCAGCAAATCATTTTGGATTACATTGCCTTTACTGAGCAATTCAAAAGAAGTATTACTTCTATCAAATTGGTCTTTGGCCTATTTGATACAATGAAGCTTAAATTCCCCCGTCAACGGTCATCTGATGCTTCCCTGCAATCTAATGCTTCATCTTCTACAACAGAAGAGCCCATTCTAACTCCCACAGTTTCATCTACTTCTCTTACTCATGACAATTTGGAGATACTCTGCATAAAAAGACTACAACAACGTCTTGGATTTCTTGAAATATACAATCAGCCAGAAGGACGACGATCAACAACCCCTTCTCCAACCGCGCCAAACCGTGGTGGTACTAATATGTCAACGATGTCATCTTCAATGTCCTCCAATTCTACATTCATATCCAGTAGGTCCATCAGTTCAGATTTGGATATTTTAGCAACTTTAGTGGACCTATTAAATGATCCCTTACCCAATTACGATACTCTTATCGATAAGTTGGTGGATAACGATCACCTATTATACCAAGGATTTAAACTATTTTTTCCTAAGGGACTGTTTCTTCAAACATCATCGTTGTTTTATCTTTTAATTCCTTATCTTCAACAACAAAATGAACAACATTATGGTTCTTTTATTGAGATACTAACAAACTTTGAAAGCTTACTTCCTCCTTATTTTGATATCGAGTTCCCTCAATTGGCAAATGAACAATTGATCTATGATATTACTCTAGATTATGCTCGAGTATTTCCTCCCTCAACAAAAGCCTTCAAACTATCCATTATCAAAGAGTTAATGTTCAATCCAGAGTCGATTTTAGACCGAGATGAATATTACGAGAATTCCATTCTTCGAGCCATTATAAGCAAAGAAAGTAATGATCGTCCTCAATCGTTTGACGAATTAAGCTTAAAAGTCATCGATATAATGGAATATTTAATGTTCTATTTGGACTCGTTAAAGGTGATATTAAAGATATTTAATAAAGTTCGGTTGACGCTATCATTCAAGAGTGAGATCCTAAGCTTAGAAGCTCATTTATATGACGATGCCCAACAGCAGTTGGCTAGTAAATTAGAACTAACCAACGAAACTTTAACACAAGAATTGGATCTAATTATTCAAGGAGGTACCAAAGGGTTGAGTCAATGGCCAGCAATACCTTATGCTATCAAAACGTTGAAACAACTCCATGGTTATATTCAAGACGTGCATGTTGGCTTCCAGTGGACTATAGATAGACTACCAAAAGAGTATCCACAGCCTGGATCGATTTTATTGAAGGATGAACATCACTTTCTAAAAGTTATTGATAACTTTATAAAGCGTTTTGGAGGTTTAATCGAATTATTGGAACGAGAAATTATAGATACCATTGATAAACTTCCAGAACAACAAGAAGATGATGAAAGTATCAATAATAACCATAAAATATTTATCATTACCAGTTTTATTGAGCTGAGGACATTTTTGGAATTGGACTCAATGCTAAAAGGTGAGTTTTTTCAACGGATTAACTTATTTTCCTTCCGATTCGTATTTGAGGATTTAATTACTAAATTATTGCATACCAATAATGAAGAATTTATTATCCAATAGAGCATTATAGTTCCTATAATTGTGTATAACTATAACAATATTTTATTCGCCATATACTCTGATTATTCCTTAAATCTACGGCCCTGGCTTAGAATTTTTTATTTTTTAAGGCGAACCTCGTGGTTACCCTAAAACCTTGAACCGTCAATAAAGACTTACCTCTCAGTTGCTTTCTAAATATACGAAAAAAATAAAACTTCCGCTATGAATTACATGAAACAAAAGACGAGAGACGATACCAGAAACACCTTCAGTGCAGATGGACCTACAGACAGACAAAATTTACCCTTATGAACTGCACATATATTGTAGACAGTCATAACGAAATTATGGTTACAGGGACTATTGTGAGCTCCTTTGATTGTCATCGTTAATACTAGGTAATGTCACTGATAAGGCAAGGGGTTAAGAATATAATTAACCAGACTTGGTCCGAGGGGTTTCGATGCGTATTTGGGGCAATTCTATGCATTTGAAAGCCCCCTTGAGGCATCCAGCTCAAAAGATCAAGCATATGTTGGCACGTACATAGCTTTGTACATAAATATATTCATACATACATACATACATACATACATACATACATACATGCATGTGAATGCATTCAAACATGAGTTTGTACATTCATACATAATATATACTACTTAAATTGGTAACACCAGGACAAACATGATGCATCATTTTTTATGCATAATTTTTGCAAACAATTGTCGTGTTCATCAACTTCATACAAAAAAAAAATACACCTTTGTCACATCGTCACGTCTGACAGAGTCATTATCTATAGAAAATTAGACCTTGAAGTTTATAGACAATTGCTGTCAACTTTAACGGAACCTGCATCGATTCTTCAGCTCTGTGGTCAATTTTTTGCAACTATCTGGAACCTGTGCCCCTGATTGCTAACGTGCAGCTATGCCAAAACATCCTCGTTATAAGTTGCACTTTTTATGAGCTTGGTGATGTTGTGTAAAATGTCAGGATCTTTAGGATTTGTGTGCAAGTGTAGGCGAAATAAATAGTGTCGGTGCTCATTTTGTACTAACATCAGAATTTAAATGTCGCAATGTTATCTCACGTGATTCATTAACTACATAAGTACAGTTATCTCAAACCATTAATTTGCATTAAACTACTATCAACATCAATAAAAGTATGACCAAAGCTACAACCAATAGTATAATGCAAATGTCACTAAACCATTCCTTATTCTTTTCTATGACAATCTCAATTCGTTTCATTCCTCTTTGAAGTCGATTACCAGTGAGATCAAGATCTCCATCAAGATCATCAAGCATTTGGCCCTGATCTTCCAACTCATCACCCATGATCATAGCTTGTTGGTTCAAACTCATCATTGTCTGATGTATTGAATCAAGTTGTAGGTCTTGTTCCTGCATTACTTGTTGTGACTGGAAAGAGTCCATAGCTTCGGCTGCTTTACCTTCATGGAATCTATTAGAATCGTCAAAAGGATTCTCTCCTACAGCGTAACCCTCTTGACTTATTCGATTTGACATGGTAGTGACTTCACGAAGCTTTCTGTTGCCTAGTAAGGCATTTCCAGCCGGTTGCTGTTGGGTATGTTGTCTGGAGTTTGACTGTTGGTTTAAGCTCTGCCATTTATTTTTTATCTCCAAAGTTCTCTCTTGAATACTCAGAACTTCCTGTTTCCTCCTATTTATCTCATTCATACTGATTCCATACCGGCTGGGATCATGTTCAATCGACAGAAGGGCTTGTGAAAGATCATCACATATCTCCTGTAGTTCCAGAAAGTTATTCTCGTATTCTTGTTCTATCTCTTCGGTGATATCATTACTGGCTCGTAGTAAAATCTTCTCTATTCTATCAATGGTGTGTTTGGCATCGTCTCTGACGTCATTGAAGGGGTCCATGGTTGGCTGTAAAAGAAGAAGTGGTATTGTTGACTTTGTAAATTGTCTACTTGACATAAACCAACTGGGTTGATGATATATGCAGGATTTTTGGACAAACCATAAGCACATAAAAGAATCTTGGCTCCTCCATGGCACCTGTGAAGTGCTGAGTAGAATACAAGTACTGGTTACGCTTATTGTTAGTTGATTATTGTCACCGTACTCATTTGTATTAGCATTCAGGAGAAACCCTTTAAATGGAAGGTGAAGAAGTTGTTCGTAATCCCGGCCCTGAGGCCGTTGATATAAAGACCGAAAGTACTATTGAATTCAGTCCCGTTATTGAGTCAAATGGAGTAGACATGGAATCAGAAACGAATATGGAACAACCTCCATTGAAGAAACCGAAACTGGAAGGAGAGTCCGGAATCAAATCTTCAGAACCTATATACGAGATGGTAGGAGGCTCGACATTACGACAGTATTTGAATAAACACCTTACGGAACATTTACTTGAGGGTATAAGGATAATTAGTAAGGAGAAACCTGTCAATCCACTTAAACGACTTGGAGAATATTTGATAGAAGTTTCTGAAAAGCAGTAGAATAAGTCTGATACGGAGTAGGATGGCCACAACATTACAGAATAAGATCAAGTCTGTTTTTTAGAGCAGTTATAGAGTATCTGGGATCGGTAATTGTATAATGATCATTGTATATACGATGCATTTGACGCATAGGAGGGACCTGAATTATATGTTTATTCTATAAAAAAAAATAACATACCAAATGCTTACGCTTATATATACATGTACATATCAATTCTTCCATACGTCTACATGTACTTATACATATACATATACTTAAATCTGTATGTGCATCGTTCACTTACTTATTTTTTAATGTATACATCCGCTTACGTACATATTCTTTACATAAACGTTTATTTCCTTGAGGGCGAAAAGCAAACAAACAAAAGCTTCACACTTTTAAACTCACCCCATATATCTCAAATTATACTCTCCCCATCCAGAACTGTACACGTTAATTGTCTAGTGTCTGTCTGATATCGAAGCATGTCAGGCTCAAATCTCAACTTACGACCATATTACGATCACGACACTTTTGATGCAGGGTATTCTGTGATCTTCAAGCCCGGGGTGGGCTTGATCAACATGCAAGATGGAAAGCCCATCACCACCACAGTAATAAACCTGACCTCGGCCATTGGTCTCAAAGGTTTAGGGGCATTGGAGGGAAGACTGCTAGCTGGAGATAAGAATTACGCCTATGATCTTGAGCTTCAAGAATATTTCGATACCAACAACTTGACTGAGTTGTTCAAGAATTTGATCTACAGTTTCATAAGAAACTACTGCAAGTTCCTCTTCATTCAGCCTTTGGAGATCACCAGGTTGGTGTTACAAGTTGGTAAGTTTGAAGGCTTAAAGAAGAAGCAAGTAAGTGTCAAACCAAGACTTCTTTCCCGTTTAGATTCCGGCACTGACTCTGATTTTGACCATAATGATGATGCCCTTGACGACGATAATGATGATACCGAAGAGATCAACTATTTCCAATCAACAACCAACGAATGGAACGATCCAACCATAAACAGCAATAGCAATTCTATACAACCTATAAAGTCACCTATGAAAAGAAAGAGCACCAACAAGACACCCAGAGATGTCATTCAACCGGTTTCCAAACATACAGTTGATGTTTTAACGGCCTTAGTAACTAAAGATGGTCCTTTGGCTTTGTTTAGAGCCATAAATGCCAATTTTCTTTACCAAACATTGAATCATACTATTGAAGCTTGGATCACTGGGTTTATATCTCCGTTCTTGGGTATTCCTGACCCATTTTTCCTTGATTTAACTCATTCAAATGATCCCTTTAAGTCCCTTTGCTTAAGTGTCGCTGGTTGTGTGATGACAGGGTTGGTGTTGATGCCATTAGATTTGATCAGAGTCAAGTTGATGCTTACACAATTCAACACTCCTCATTCACTTTCAGCTTCAACTTCGACTCCATCTTCAACTTCAACCACAACTTCTTCAGAAACAACTTCCGTTTCTACTTCTGTATCTTCTTCAGTCATCGAACATCATCAAGATGCACCACCACAAAAGGTTAATACAAGATCCATTCGTGAATGTATTCGCCATTTCCCAGCAGAATACCTTCTCAAACCTCCAGCTGGTGTAACCATTTTGACAGTATTATATCTGTTATCTTCCACTTTGTTTAGAAAGATGACCCCCTATGTGTTGTACATAAAGTTTAATGTCGATTCTTATTCTTCTCCAAATGTTTATACTGTTGTCAACTTTCTATCATTAATATTAGAGTTCTTCATCAAATTGCCATTGGAGAACCTCTTAAGAAAAGAGCAAGTGAGATTCTTATTGGCAAATAAACCAACCGATAAGGAAAAGGTCATTTCCATAAAGAAAGTCCAGATGATTGTTGATTTTAATGATGTTTGGAAGACCAACGATGACACCGATGCCTTGAGTTCAGATTCAACTTTACTCTCAAAAATCAAATGTCTTGGGTTATTCAATGGTTGGAGAGTAGGTGTATTGAACGTTATTGGGTTCTATGGTTATAACATCTTGAAAAGTAACGGAGCTGATTTCAGAGAGGAAAGGTTGTAACCACTATATTGTCGTTATAATACTTCCGTATCTTTATTTTGGAGTGTTCTGTCCTCTCGATCTTGCTTTCATCTTTTCTATTCTGGCTTTCAATTGGTTCGTAACTTCGGCTGCTCTCTTCCAACTATCTTCTGTGGCTCCAATCTTGAATGGAGACTTTTGAACTGGAGGTTCTTCCTGATGAGATGGCATCGAGAAATTTGATAACCTATCAGGGGTTTTATTAGTAGCAAAATTGTTAGTATTACCTTTTGATATTATTTTATCCCCATCAATTGAAAGCCGATTAACACGTGAGCTCAATTCTTGTGAGCTAAGTGAAGGTTCTCTAATTGGAGAAACATATGAATTTTGTAAATTCTGGATATCCTGATCAAGTTGTTGTTGTTCTTGTTTCCGTTGTTGTACAACTTCTTGTTGCTTCTGAGTTTGTAATATGGAACTTCGTTTGTACTCATCCTGATACCGTTGACGATTAACTTGTAATTCTAAAAATTGTTTATCCTTTTCCAAATCCTTAACTCGAAGTTTTGCATTCTCCAACTCAAGAGTCAAACGCAGAATAGTATTATCTTTCTCTGAGTCAATAGATGAAAATTCACGTTGTAATTGTTCACATTTCTCCCTCCATTGACTAGCTTCCTCCTTTAGAAAAGATCTTTGTTGCTCAAAGCCATTCAGTAACTGGAGGTATTCTTGACGTTCCTTAAGCCATTGTTGTTTCTCTTCACGTAACTTAATAAGCTCTTCCCGTTCTTGGTTTGTAAAAGATGTTGAGTCCGCACCATTAGACCCAGTTCCATTATTCCCTATTCTATTTGTTCTAATTGAATTGGAATAAACATTATTAGAAGAGCCTTTGCCTATTGCTGAAGGTGGTCTAGTTCCAAGACTTCTTCCCGTTAAACCACGTCCAAATGAACTCACTTTATTGTTTTCATCCTCCCTCTTAACAGGTGAAGTTGCAGCTCTTTTAACAGGCATTGATGAAGGTGTAAGTGATTGTCTTGGCTTTATGCTTGATAATGATGAAGCACCAGCTGCTGCTGCTGCTGCTGATTGTGACGTTCTCTTTTGATTGCTGTCAACTGGATTATATTTCACCTGGACTGACTCAAAGAATTTATCTATTTTAGCCTTTCTGTTGTCATCGACCTTCTCTAGAAACATATTAATTTCTCTGGGTCCCACAATTTTCTTCAAAGTCCCAATCATTTCCGTGGATGCTTGTCTAATAGGCTCTTGGGCATCACTTAAAAGCTTAACACCAATTGTCATTATTGCATCAATTTCCGAACTTGTTGGAGCCTTAGTAGTTTTAGCAAGACACCTTTGTAAATACGCTGCCGATGCTATCTTAACTTGTGGTGTTTTATTTTGTAATCCAGATATTGAATCATCTAATATGCATGTTAACGAAGTAGCATTAAATATTGAGTCAAGAGCATCATTTAATGCAGTGGCCACCGATGCTTTCTTTTCTTTCGTTCTTTCAATAATTGGTAAAAGAACAATGGAATAATATTTTTGAAAAGAATCTCTCAAGCCTTTAATAATATATTCAATACTGTTAGCAGCCAATTGAACAACTTGAATATTTGCATCTTTCATACACCTGGCAAATATTCGAAGTATATTGGAATAATCAGCATGGGAATCTAACTTAATGGCTTTGGACAAAATTGCTACAACTTCTTCAAGAACTTCCTTTCTTTCCTTCCAAACTGAGGAGGTAATTCGACTTTCAAAATCTCCAGGAAGTTTCGACAAAACATCAACCGGGTCTTGCATATCATAGGCCGAGAATTGATTTTCCATAGGCCCATCAATTTCCATCAAATGTTCATTTGAACCTGATTCCATTAACTCTTCTGGTCCACTGGCACTTGCTGCGGCTACAGCGGCTTCAGCAGCTGCTTGTCTTTCTGCTTCCAATCTTTGGGCTTCTAATTGACTTCTGGTGAATCGCTTCTGTTGTGGTGTTTCATTTTTAGCAGCTTCAAATGCCTTTAGTAAGTCTTTTTGTTGAATTGGTTTAAGATCATCAAATAATAATGTTTCCAAGGACTTCCCCATCCATTTATGGAGCTCAACAACTAGTTTAGTAGCCTCAGCTCTAACATTCCGATCTGCATGGGCAAACAACTTTGCTAAATGAGGTATGATAGGCTTGGGACTTACGATAGGACAACCAAATTCTTCAATCACTCTACTCACTGAGTTTACCGAGCCTGCCACTAATTTGGGCAATCGATGTTTAAATAATGGAAGAAGATCTTCAACCACTTGGTCTGGAGATTCTGAATTTTGAACTAGCAACAATATGCACTCAATTGCTGAATCTTTGGTATTCTTTCTGGAAGAAGCTAATGTCTTTTCTCCTAAAACTGTCACAAGTCCCACGCTCTTAAATTGCTGGCTAACACTTGGTGTGCCTCCAAGCTCCAAATACTTCTCAACCAATTTAACAGCCAATTCCTGAGCCACAACGTTCGAATCGGAAAGGAATGTCTTTAGAAGTTCAGGTGATCTTTTATATGGCGTAAAACATGAATCATTCTCATTTCTAGAAGTTTCAAATCCTCCAATTGTTTCAGCGTATGCTCCTTGTCTTACTTTCCACACCTTATGAGTAAGTCTCTCTTCCAACGGAAGCTTCGAGTAGTCTTCTTCATCGGCCATAGTAACTGATTTCGGTGTAGCCTTGTTTATGTGAGTGATAGTGTAGTGTTTTGATTTTGTATTTGTATTTTGTTTATAATACTATTAGATCACGTGATCTTTGTATGCAGGTGTTTCAAAAGTATATGAACGATTAATATGTGGCTACGGTGTTTGTCTTTCTACACTGTTGATTATTTAAGTCTGTAAATTTAATATCAGAGAGATAGTCCAACTATTGTTCAAGTTGAATAAATATATTTGTATATATAAACATGGTCCAGTAAAAATCGAAGTAATATTGAATATTGAATCATAGTTGAAAAACAATTCACATAGAAGATTTGAACCGATTAGCTAAACGTTAGCTGTATTATACATTGTGATGATGTGATTATTATACGTGTTTTTATACGCATAATTAATCAAAGGACTTTTCATATTTTGCTTTGATTTCTTCAAAAGGTTTCAAGTCAAAGCCCCAAGCTTCTTCACCAGGTCTTGTTTCATAATATTTCTTAATGTTCACTCCATGATAAGGATGGTAAGACCAGTTAAACCATGGAAGAATAGCCAAAGATGCAAAGGAATATTGAGAGTTTCTATTTGCAATATCCTTCATTCTATCATCTAAAGCAGATTCATTTTCATGATATGGTAACTTTTCTCTTGCCAATAAACTCTTAATTTCGTATCTATCCTTTTCAACTTCACGAGCATTTTCACTCCAACCTAAAAATCTCTTTGATGATCTTGTGTAAGCTAAAAGGAATCCTCCAACAGTACCCAACAATACAGATCCTCTCAATGCAGCACCAGGAAGTTTGATAGGAGCCTTAAATGCACCAGCACTGGATTCTAACTTCTCCCATAATTGCAAACTAAGTGGAAAAGCAGCTGCTGTTCCTAATATCACTCCATAATCAGATGGTCTAAAGTAAGAGATAACTCTGAAAAAGTGGGGGTCAATGTCAATCAACTCATAGTCAGATTGAGGGGCGGCCGATCTCACAGGCTGGTTGTCTTTGGTATATGACATTTTGAGTTTTGTCTATGCAATGTCCAGTTGTTAACTAAACTGTAGTGTGTGCTTAGTGTTTGCGTTGACCTTACAATAATAGAATTTTCAAATTGTAACATTTTGATTGGAAGCAGATGATTGGTGGGTCGTGTGCAGTACAACTATTAATACTAGGTACCTATCAAAGAGGTATACCACTGGATTTAACTCATATTGACATTGCTGTAAGCGATTATGTTAGTTGGTCTAAGATGGTAGAACGGAAGTCTTCTGGTAACAAAATTGTGGCTTTTAATTAATATATATAAAAGTGTTTATGATTATTTGATTCCTTTGCTTACGTAACATTGACTTATCATTATGTAGTCATTCAGAGGTATAGATTACGTTAGTATCTACGTTTGCATATGCGTAAACATGCATATATGTATAGGTTTATGCATGTGTGTAAACATGTATGTAAACATGTACGTATATGACTATAGACTCATGTTCCTAGTACTGAGGTAGTCACGTGAGCAAATGACTAAATAATAATGTTATCAAGAATCTACTCAATTTTGTGGCTCAAGTATACTCCACTACTCCTATCAAGAAGTATATAGAACTTCAATAATGCCCATTGCTCTTCCGGAGAATGATGATGACAGACTTGAGCAAGGATTAGGACCTCAATATGAACGAACAACAACAGAAACCAATCATGAACACTCTGTGTTTCTGAGACTCTTGAATTGCCTCCGCATATATAACATACCTATGATCAACTTTGTTATCATGATGGTCCTTGGATTCTTCCTATTCAAGCTTACAACCAAGTATACCGGGTTATATATGAAGAGTTCGCTTGTGACCATTATAGTTACCAACTTGGTATTGTATGGCGTATCTGAAACATTAGCTCAGTCCATTCTTTCCTATAAGCCAGATCAGCCATTGATTGGGTTCCGGTTATTTGATGATCAAGTAGTATCCACGTTTTCTCCCAGACTTCCTAGGTTTCTTTTCATGGGTAATAGTCAATATGGCCCCGAAAATACCCGTATTTATAATGACGATGGCAATAATGACGATGAAGTTGAAGATGATGATGAAGGTATAGATAGATTTTTGGATTACCTTAGGGGGGATAACGATGAAATACGACGGGATTACAATGCGTCGCCATTAAGTCCAGTAATTGAATTATCATTCTATCTGTTTAGTCGATTGGCTGGGTTTATGTGTTGGGGGTTTGTGATGTCATTTGCTCAGTGTTGGTGGTATAAGTTCTTACAAATCTATTCCAGAGATCCAAAGTTTATTGAAGTTCTTCGTAAGGTGATGACAGACCAATTTTGTTTCTCTCCTATATCTCTTTGCTGTTTCTTTACATATGGGACCATTGTGCTTGAAGGGGGGACAATTGAAGATGTGAAGGAGAAGTTAAAACGTATATATCTCAAGACTTTATTGCTCAATTATACTGTATGGTTCCCAGTACAGTTTATGAACTTCTTGGTGGTTCCTCGAGACTTTCAAGTCCCATTTAGTTCATCTGTGTCACTCTTATGGAATTGTTTCTTGTCAATTAGAAACAGTAAAGGCTAGTAAAATCACAAATACATACCATAGTCATCATTAGCCATCAGTTTTCTTAATCTGGTTGAAAGGTTTTTAGCATAATGAGCTTGTAAATTCTCGTTATCATCGTAAGCAAAACTTCCAATGATCTTTGCTGCTTCAAGTTGAATAGAGTTGGTGACCTTTTCAAACCCAGGTTGACCCTCGGCATTAAGTGCAATGGAAATCAATGGACACTCAGTAACCAACGAGTTAATTGCTGCAGATATACCGGTGAAACAATGTGGAGGGCCCAAGTTGGGAATCAGTGCCACTGTCTTTGGCAAACCGCCATCGTAAGAGGCCAAGTTGAGTGATAGTTTACTACAACTTATTAAGTTCTCAAGGGCACAGGGAGCAAGCGTAATCCATATGGATGTACTAAGGGTGTTCGTCAACTGTTGAGCAAGAACATTATTCACAATGATATGACTGAAATGGGGCACCACTATAGCCAATGTTCCTGGGACTAATTCTTGTATAGGAATTTCTGTAGTAGGATATTTCTGCTTATAGTTCATTGCTCCATATAACTGTTCATCTTCATCAAACTCTTGGTTTTGCTGGGAGGAGGACTCTTTATGTTGGTCAGGGTACGATATTAAAATCGTACCTACGGTCTTCTTGAAAGGAAACTGTTGGATCACAGCCGCTAATACCTCTGGAACAACAATAATCTTTGCAATTGATTGGATATCAGATACTTTAACATCTACCAAAGGTAATGGTTCTGGTACCATTGCTTCTTCAAACTCATCTTGGAGTGTGTGGCGAGGTATAGGAATCTCGTTAGGTTTAAACTATGGGAGCAAAGTTAGTAGTTGGTTTCACGGACAGACAAAAGCTTGACTATACTTACTAGCATTATTGGGTTGGCGTAGAGTGTACTGTAATCTACGGTGAATGTCTACCATGGAACATGGGACCTTGATTCATACCTTATACAATATAATATTGGTGGTTGCACTACTAAAATCGTACCATGGAGTAAACCCAAGTTAACTTACAACACTCTTCAAGGTACTTCTTCTCTTCTTCTATACAGCAGTTATGTTAGGCAGAATAGGCATTGCTAGAAGATCCGCGTATCGGTTCTACCACTCGGTAGACCACACTGTATCTAGAAAGTCCAGTATTGACCATGTCATTCTTGACAAGGCCCTCACTTATATTCCTCGGTTCGGCTTCCATGAACAGTGTATAACTCAAGCCATTAGAGATATGTCGTATCCTGATTCGTTAAGTGGGGTCTTTTCTAGTGGGAACAATAAAGACTTTGAAGTTGTATTACATTGGTTGAAGTTCAACAGAAACAAACTCCATGGTGATATTTTGGACCCCACGGATCAATTCCATGCTATTAAAAACGAATATGATAGAGTCACTTATTTGATTAATAAACGACTTGAAAGTAATATTGCCATTAAACCTTATTTACATCAAGCCTTAGCTCAATTGGTTGTTCCCTATAACATTCCCTCATCTTTAGAGGAATTACATCAATTGAGTGATGATATAGCTTTCTATGCTGGAGATAACTCAAATGATTTCGCATGGTATCTGAAAAGAATGGGGTTGAGTACTGTATACGTTAGCTCAGAGCTTTATATGTTACAAGATACTAGTGAAAACTTTAGAGACACTAAAGAGTTTGTCAAGGAGAAAGTTGATTCATTGCGTAGTTTAGGAACTGGATACACCAATATTGAACAATGGGCGGCATTCAATGGGATTAGTTTGATTAATTTGATCAAGTCTCAATTATTACGTGGATAGAGCATATATACATGTACATATATGTGCTTATGATTATGCATGTGCGTATGGTTATACATATTTTTATACATATACATATTTTCTTTACATTTACATATTTCTATACATGTCAATTTGTTTATACATGTGCATATTACATATATCTGATTTATTGACCCATTTTCATTCTGATTTGAAGTAATTGATCTCTGGTTGTTTCCATCTTTTGTTCTGTCTCGTTGATCTTGGATTCCACCCTTTTAATCTCACCCTCTATAAACTCAATACGCTTAGTAACATTGGTCTTAGCTTCGCTATAATCTTGAGGCATCAAAATGGGCCCTGTCAACTTATATATCTTGGAATCTTCATTGAGCTTATCAAATTCGCTGGCCACAATCTTATTCTCTTGGAACTGAGTCTCTAACTTGGATCTACCATTTATTAACTCATTCAAGCTGTTTTGTAATGTGGTGAACTCTAACGATATCTTCTCAAACTCTTCTTTAACGTCAGCCATCTTGATGATAATGGGACAAAGAGTGGTAGTCGATTACAGTGGTTAGTCTGACTTTTTCACCCACTCATCATGGACTGCACATATACAAAGCATACTGGCATACTACTAACTGGCATACTATTACTATCATTGATCTATACATTTTTGATTATATCAAGTCGGATATATCATGGTATCCTTTTCATCTAAAATGATATCTGTGACCTTCACTCGATATATGGAATTGTTTGTGCTGTCTTCATATTCATCTGAATCCTCTGAACTGCTCCCCATGGCATGTTCATGTTCATTGTCTTGTCCATGAGCTTGATCATTGTCTTGCTGCTCTGCATCAACATCCATGGCATCTGTTTGACCCTTCAAAAACGTGGGTCGAGTCTCGTTGTATGAAGTGTGTCTTCGTCTGGTACATACGCTAGAGCTCTCCACAGAAGAAGGTGATCGAGACTTGTGGTGGTACTTCTTCTCCGTTTGAAGTGACCGAGACTGCTGATACGGTGAAGCAAACAAGTCTTGGTTAAACACAAACCCTTGAGATTCCCGAAGACTAATCACATTATATTTGGTATATCCGTTGCTTGTAAACACACTATGAGATTCATACACTGAATAGTTTTCATCCAGTAACATATCTCTACTTAGAAACGAGTTTCGTCTGGCCCACGGTCCCAGTGGTGATGAAATGGAGGATTGTCGCCGTTTAGTCGATTCCGTAATGGGTTCTGGTCTCGTGCCACTCAGTGACATAGCTCGACGTTTCTCTTGGAATAGAACTTGTAGCCCCATGGTAATGAATAAGTGACTGGAACAAAGTACTTAACTTGATCTGAATGGGGTGCTGTATTATAGTGTAACTGCTGGGGTTATTTATACTGTTTGACTACAGTATTATAATCGCTATTGTGTTTCAAATGGATAGAAGTTTCTGCTTGGTCTTTGTAGGGTGTTCCTGACTGACTCCCCCCCTGATTCCAGAGGGTACCCTCGGAACTAATTCCGAGGATATATTCGAGGTAAATTCAAATGAGTCCGGCCGAGCATTCAAAGTTAGCCCATACCATTAAAGTTACACCATTAATCTGAACTACCTCTATTCTACAATATATCTTGTAACCTAATGCATTCATTGTCATATACCATAATAATAGTAATAATAAAATAATAATAATAGTAATAATAATAATAGTAACTTTAATATAAAGTCTATGTTATTAGACTTTGATTATTTTTCATCCATAGTTCTCTCTTCTCTTTAAAGGAATTCATAACATACATCATTCCCTCTCTGGAATTCTTTATGTTTTGAGTAAACTTATTGTGACTCCACTGTTCGACTTTCTGCTTTAACCCAATTAAATTAGACAGAAAGATAACTTTGGAGTTAACAGTTGTTTGACCACTATTCCCATCAACTACTCGATATTTGACGTATTCTTCAACTTTAATAAACTTTCGATGATCCATATTGGCTGTATAACTCCACATGGTTTGAGTTTCAGGGTTAATAACCGATTTTTCAATGACCCATGAACTTAAACTGTTCCCCAATATAGGCTTTATGAATTTAGGTAGCCTGCCAGTCTTCTTCATCATACGAGTGGTCCAAAGACACCCGTCACTGTCAACATGGCAATCAAGCATATCCATACATTGAACATTATTAGTATAAGGATTAGGGTACCGGTTATAATAGGCTGTGGTGGCTGTAGCAAAGTCATGATCAAACGTATGAACACTTTCAAAATGTAAAACCATGACGAAACTAATGCAGTGTTAATATATACTATTGATTATCACTTAATAATTGTTATTCAATGTTTATATTGCAGATGGTTGCCTTCATCCTGTTATATTTCACTTCATTTTAACCCGGTAATTGGAGGGATTGAAGTCGTGTGCCTACCGTCGAGCCACCTACCTAATTAGGAATGAATGCCGCCGATGAGGTTACCCGGACATGTGTCAAATCAAAACCGTATTACCCGCAACTCTAGGCCGTAGTATAAGCACCGTTACTTTCAAATGGTATGTATCACATACTGCTGTTAACACTAACAATAATCCACGTAAAATGCAATGCTGACGCGTCGTTCTCCTTATAGTCACCCCTATAAGCCGTACGCTATTCAAGTCCAGTTAATGGATGCAATATACGATACACTCCACAACAACTACAAGGTGGGGATCTTTGAGAGTCCTACAGGAACAGGCAAGACTCTCTCTATAATATGTTCTACTATGACGTGGCTTCGAGAGAATAAAAAGTTGGCAGGAACCAGTCCAGACCAAAACGGTGAAGACAATCAAGATGGTGTTGCTGAACATAGTATGACTGATAGTGACTCTGATTCTGATGATGAACCTGAATGGGTGAAACAGGCGTACCAAAAGATCAAAAGCCGTGCTAATAACGAGGTTTTAGAATATGAAAGGTATTTGGACAAGTTGGAGAAGTCTGATTATGGTAAAACAAGTGTTCATGAGTTACTTAGTCACAAAAGGAAGAAGATCAAAGTGTCTCCTAGTAGTAGTACTGGCCGTAATGCTACTGCTAGTATTAGTAGTGACGATTTCCTACCTGAAGATTATTCTAGTGACTCAGAAACTGTTACGTCCTCTAACGAAGCATTGTCTAAAGAAATATCTGACTTATTACATAAAGTTGAAGGACATAACTCCACGAACTTGGAGATCTCAGTACCTCGTACCACTCCCAAGATCTTATTCACATCCAGAACTCATTCTCAATTGAACCAATTCACTCACCAACTATCACTCACCAGCTTTGAACCTTCATTCGACGGACCAAAGGAACGCACAAAGTATATCCCATTAGGGTCCAGAAAGCAATTGTGTGTGAACAAAACAGTACTACGATTGAGCAATGATACTATGATAAATGAAAGTTGTCGAGAGTTACAGCTCAAAGATGAACCTAGTCGATGTCAATATTTATCTTCTAAAGATATCCCTGAGACTATGGCCAAGTTTAAGCACTTGAGTTTGGTTAAGATCCATGATATTGAAGAAGTAAATGAAATGGGTTCAACAATGAAGGTATGTCCTTATTATTCCCTAAGATCTGCTGTTGAACCTGCTGAGATCATTTCCTTGCCATATCAACTATTGTTTCAAGCTAATAGGAATGACATTAATAATATTGATGATGCCATTATAGTTGTGGATGAAGCACACAACTTATTGGACGTGATAAACTCAATGAATTCCACGCATGTGACCTTGAATGAGCTCAAATTGGTCTTGGGGTCATTGAAAGCTTATATCACCAAATTCTCCAAGAGATTAAACAGTGGGAATCGAGTGAACTTGATGAAATTATTGAAAATGATTCAATTATTATCCAAATTTATGGAATTAAATTCCAACAATGTTAAAGAAGGCGATGAAATAAATGTCCATACGATTTTTAAAGATTCCACTGGTGATTTACTAAACATTTTTAAACTAGAAACATTCCTTCAAAAATCAAAAATCGCCTTTAAAATTGAAAGTTATATTCAATTCACATCATCATCAGATTCATCATATAAAAAGAGTCTTTCAAATCCTTTACTTTTTAAACTTACGAAGTTCTTGAAATGCTTAACTAACCCTTCAAAGGAAGGTAAACTTTTTTGGACGATGACTCGGTCCAACGGATCTTCAATGATTGGAATCAACTACATGCTTCTAGATCCATCCCAAGTATTCAAAGACATTGTGGATCGATGTAAATGCATTCTTCTATGTGGGGGAACCATGGAACCCATGAATGACTATAAGGAATATCTTTTCCCCTATGTTCCAGCCAAAGAAATCAAAACTTTCACCTGTGATCACGTTATACCAGACGACAATTTACAAGTGTACCCTGTGGCACAATATAAAGACACCAGGTTTGAGTTTCTGTTTGAAAAACGTAATAACCGATTGATGTTGAACAAATTAGGAGAGTTTCTAGTGGAAATATGTGATAATATCCCCCATGGAGTGGTTGTATTTGTCACCAGTTATAAATATTTGGTTACCCTTTTAGAAGTCTGGAAACACAGTGGTTTACTATCAAGATTCAACAAAAAAGTGTTCCAGGAATCGTCATCATCAACTATCCCAACTTCTATTCTTGAAGAGTATACCCAATCCATTAACGACCCCACAAATAAATATGGGGCCATTCTCTTCTCTGTGGTGGGGGGAAAGCTCTCTGAAGGGATCAACTTCTCTGACCAACTTGCTCGAGCAGTTGTAATGATTGGGTTGCCGTATCCCAATGCATTTCTGGGAGAGTTAATTGCCAGAAGAAAGTTCATAGAGACCAAGACTATGGACCAAGGTGGGACCCTCAAGGAAGCTCATCAGAAACTGCAAGATTTCTATGACAATATTTGTATGAGAGCGGTGAACCAATCCATTGGAAGAAGTATACGACATATTGGAGATTATTCTTTGATTTATCTCATAGATCATCGATACCAACAGTGCAGAATCCAACTGAAACTTAGTGGGTGGGTCAGGAACCGTATAATGACGGTCAACGACGATAACGACATTATCACCAGAACAAAAGACTTCTTTTCATCAGTTAAAATACAACGTCGCTTCTAAGAACCCATTTCTCACCGGATTTAACCATTTCGGCTTCATGTTGTAAGCAATCATCACCATGTTTATGCAAAAGTGCCATTCCCTTTTTAGGATGGATGTTCAAGCCTTGCTTGCTGTTATGACGGGGATAGAAGATCGTTCCTCCACCTTCAAACTCATCGTCTCCAGTTAAATATATAAGAAGAGTCCATTTGGTCTTCCCTTTGGGCTTATCTACAGTCACTGCCTCGTCATAATGTTTCCCAAAGTGGTGGCCCTTTCTATATCTATAGACCCGTAATTGGGGGTTGAGTCCTATGGCATCTTGGAAAGTATGGGAAATGTCGTTGTCGTCGTCTTCATATTCATATTCATTACCTTGACTCAAGATACTGTTTAAGTACAACCAGAGACTTTGACTGGCACCGTACGAATTGGGAAGTGACACTCGGTCATTCACTCGAACGGCATACCCTTTGCTTTTGACCAACGGTGTGGTCTCTAGCTTTAAACCGGTCTCAAATGTCTTGATAAGCAAATCACAGACTGTTACTGGAATGAAATGGTCCACCACAATGATTTGATCTTCCACAACTGTGGTCGGCGTAGGCTTGAAGAACAGTTTCTTTAACTGCTCATTAAGATCTAGAAACTCGGCTGGGAATTTATAAGCGACATTGCCGTCGTCCTTTTGTATCTTCTGTTTACCCATGGTGAAGAGGAGTGATGAAGGTTACAAACAGTTTCAGTGCGACATTACGTGATGATGTACATATTCGTCTGCGAAAGGATGTTTACGACATTATCATGCGACATTTATGTACCTTATACGCTATAACAGAGACTCCAAGTTTATCAATAGACTGTATGTCTCTCTTGGCATCTTATACTGAACCATTCCAGCATATACCATGCAATTCCTTGCAATGGTTTTGAAGGTATTAACCTCTTCCCTTTCCTTACTTAATGGTTGGTACGCTTGTTGTAAGACATTATAATTCAATTGAGAGATCAGGGTTAACACCATAATGAGAAGGGAAGGAATCACCTTGATCAAATTAGAATCAAGCTTATTGATTTCAATCAAATCAGTCAACTCTCTAATGTCGTTAAAAGTGGCTTGTGGATTTAAGGGCAATAGCCCTAACTTGCCAATTTCCTCAATGACCTTTCTCCAATCTTTCAAAATGAAGGTCTGTCTAATTTCCACAATGGGTAACAAGATTTGATTAGTTTGCTTGACTTCAGACGTGACCTTCTCAAGAATATGACTGCTATTCATAAACACCTTTATTATATGTTGTGATAATAAAACAATGTTATTCTGAATAGTATCTTGGTTATTGTTATCTGATTCATTGTCATTACCAGAAGAATAGTTTCCTTGTTTGACCAATGGCTTGTTCAAGTCTGTGGTGGATATCAATTCACTCAATAATTTGTTGATTAATCCAACAACAGTATTATATTCTTCACATGATTGATACAAGATCAACGCATCAAAGATTCTGCCCTCTTCTTCACATCTAATAGCACATATTTCAGTAATCTTGAGGTTGAAATCATGCAAATTTTCTAATTTGATAAGCAGACGTTGCTGCTCCAATAATCCAGGAATCTTTTCTCCATTGAACTCATTTAACTCACCTAAAAGCATGGAAAACTCTCTAGTGACTAAAATCAATTGTCTCAAGAACTCATAACACTTGTTAAGTTCTTGTTCATTGGTGGTGGTCATGGCAATTAATAGTAAATATTCGGCAGCAACTTTGGGATCACTGATCTTGAATGATCTGGTATATAACTCTAATAACTTGGCAAAATCAATGTAATATGAAGGTTGAGCTTGACGGAATAATGATACCAAGATCTCATTCTTATTGTTGGATGGAGCAACCTTCAACAAACCATAATATTTAAGGGCAATTGCCAAATGCGTTGCAGAATAGTCATTAATATTCTCATAGGTATAATTGACAGCAACTTCGAATAACCCACTCAAGATTAAGGTCTTCAAATATAATGGATTATTTGAAGAAGTATTGAACACTTTGGGTCCAAGGGAAAGTACCTTTTGTTGAAAATCAACCAAATAATAATTATCAAATATTAACCCAGATTCTCTAACATTATCCTCATTTATAATGGATAAGTGGAACCAAACCCAATCTTCTATACTTAAGTTGATAGCTTGTGGTAAATATTTCTTGGATAAATCACACTTACCAATAATTTTGTATAAGGAATATTTGTAAGGGTCAAATCTTTCATCATTTTCATTCAACATTGAGAATTGTGTATTGAAATCTTGATGCAACCTTTCAGTCAAATTTAATGGCAAGTTAGCAGTCAGTTGTCCATTTTCAACATCAACAAACTTCATCAAATAAGTTGGGAAATTGGTATCAAGCATGTTGAATAATTGACGATTAGTATCAACAAAATGTAATGCGTCTTGATAAAGACCACATCTGAATAAATAGAAAACTATAGCCCAGACGGGGATCCCATTTGCTGTTAAAGTTTTTCTTGATATTTGGGGATTATTTTTAAGCACAATCTTATGAATGAAAAATGAAACCTTATTTACATTGGTGGCAGGTGAAAAGTTGTCTGGTTTGGAATCATCTCTGAGATATACTTCATCAACATAATTGAAAAACTGTTGTTCCAAGAATTTCTTACCATGTTTAACAATAGTGGAGTTAAGTTTAGGGTCATCATGAAACTTATTCTCAATGCTGATTTTAGAAAACTTTTCATTTGATAATTCAATTAAATATTTCCAAACATCTATCATTTGTTTGGATTTGAGATCGCTAGCCAATTTATTGATCTCTTCAAAGCTAAGACATAAAGGGAAAAATTCATTTTTCAATCTTGCTTCATTCATTTGGTATACAATTCTGGCATGGCTTTCAAATTTCTCTCGACTAATGTTTTTAACAGCAGACTTATAGTTTTGATCCAAAAGAGTAACTGTACCGTCAATACTTGGTTTATTCCAAGTAACAGAGTTATTTTCAGTGGTAGAAGTACCATATTTTGAACTAGATGGAAATGAGATGGCACTTGAAGGAGCAGATGCTGAAGTGGGAGCTGCTGGAGAATTACTCTTCAAGCCAATTGACAGCCTTAACTTATCCTTTCTAACCTTCCAATCGATGGAGATATTGGAATTAATAAATGCATCAAAATCATTGTTAGCTGTCTGTAGGGATTGTTCAATTGAATTTAAGATATTTTCATCTTTTCTTGAACCTAAATATGATTCCAAAGATCCACCAGTTGCAATGGTAGTAGAAGCCTCACCTGCCGACTTTTCCAACACCAAAGATCCGGCGTCAGTAGTATATTTTTGAGGTAACTCGGCCAATTCAGACTCAATGTCTTCCGTACTTATACCATTAGAGGCAAGGAAATAATGAGCACGTGTAAAGTCTTTGATTGGAGCATTCTTGTTTTGAATAAGAGTATTCAGTATTCTTTGTAATTCACTCAATGGTAAATTAAGAACTCCTAATTTTGTGTCTTGTGATTTGGGTAAGTTGGTGGCTGATTGGATCAAGTCCTTCAAGAGTCTGGATGTCTTTGTGCCGGGAGCATTGTCGTCAAGCGAAGACTTGGAAAATGACAGGGCCGTCCCCGAGTTTGTCGTTGGAATTAATGACGATGGTCTGGCATTACTAGAATTATTGACTGCTCCTAAAGAAGCAGCTATGCCTGGTCCATGGACAGTTGTGTTTGATTGTTGTTGAGTTGGACTCAGGGAAAATAACAGATTACTGGCGGATGTTTGCCCTCCTGCAGCACCAACAGTAGAAGAAGGTGTAGAAAGCTTCCCAAACATTGATTGGTTGATGAGTAGATGTTAGTCAATGTTCATTGTTTACTGTTGAGATTTAGCCTAACAAATTTTTTTTAGGTGGGTGATTTCATCTAGAGGTTACCCGGCACTTTCAAATGAAAGGAAAAAAACTATATAAGGAGATGGGACTGCTCGAAAATTTTCTTTATTGATTTAACCTTTCTTTCTTTACCTTTGTCTAAAGATATCCATCACACAGACAGTGCAAGACTATTTAGCATGGGGAATTCATTCTCGAACATAGGAATGTGATCTACGGTATATTTTCTTCCTTCAATGGGAGGTCAGTTTTTGACTTTTCGAAGTGTATGAGGTTATGTTGTGGTGACTATTTCTCGATGTGAATTGTAGCCATGTGTGTTGTTTTACTTGCGATAGCTGATGGAGAGAGTAATGTTTTGGATCCTTTAAGAACCTGTCTGGATCGTAGAATTGAAAGAGAGGTGTCAGTGGGTCCATACAAATTGTTTCATTTTTATCATTATTTTGTAAAATTATCATTAAAACATAACCATACCATATAAAAGAAAGAAAGCATTTTTTTAATTACCAGAATCTAAAATAACATCTAAAGTTCATGCAAGCAAACATCAGGGAATTCAGTCTCCTTATTGTTGTTCAACCCACCAGCGAAGTTCTCTCTACAATTCCAACCTTTAACTGGGAAGTACCAATAGGCCAAAGCCCAGACACAGTATATAACAAGCACAACACTGAAGTAGTTCATGGAGTTACCGGTGACAGGCATAAAACTTGGGAAGGAGAAGAAGATCAATGCAAAGAATGCCCAAAAGATGGTGATGATATTTGCGACTAACCCCCAATTACCTAACCAAAATGGACCATGACGAATATTATTTCTACCTCTGTAGAGCAAACAGAAGGTTGGAACCAAATAACTCAATAAAAGGAAAGTAATGCACCCAACAACCATGGAGTTGAAAGCAGCGGAGGACGCCAAGTACAAGCAACCCAATACTGCAACCCAGAAACTGGAAAACAAATGGGCGTTCAATGGGATACCTAATTTGGGATCAACAATCTTCAAATGCTTGGACAAGGGTAACCCATTGTCTCTAGCAAAAGACCAACATAATCTTGTTTGCCAAGTGTGACAAGAGATAGTACATCCACAGGCTGTCAAGAACAACAAGCTTCCTAAACAAGTAGCTCCAACTCTACTACCTAAAGCTTGATAGTAGATATCGAAAATTGGCATACCAGTGGTAGAGTTGAAGATACCCTCCAAGTTTCTAACACAGAAGAACATGGCTATTGAATAAGTGAAAGAAGTTACAAACCCAATACCCACAGTTCCCAAGATAGCCTTGGGAATATCGGTTTCTGGTTTCATTGTTTCTTCAGCCAAATGGGTAGCAGAATCTAAACAAGAGAATGACCAATTGGGGTTCACTAAACCAACAACAAATGCAATGAAAACAGAGTCCCAACCAGTGTTGTTATCGAAGTTAACAAAGACAAACTTTGGAGAGTTGTAGTTACCTCTGGAACAAACTAAAACTGTGATCATGATAACACAGTATGAGAATAATGAAGTGTATAATGCACCATCAGCCACAAAGGGTAACCATTTCCCATAGCAATTGAATAAAGCCAAAAAGGCATTGACTAATTGGTAAATAACAAACAATTGCCATCTTTTAAGTTCATACCCCGGGTGATTCATGATCCAGAACCCCATAATTTCTTGTGCCAAAGCTAAAGCCATAGAAGCACTAGTGAAAATAGCTCCGGCCCAAGCCAAAGAGCCACAAATATAGGCCATAAAAGAAGAGTATTTCTTTGGAGCCAAAACTCTAGACCAAACGTATTGACCACCAGCAGAAGGAATGGCTGAAGACAATTCAGACAAGGTGATCCCAATGTTGAAAGAAATAAATGCAATGATAAGAATACCATACACAATAAGCATGGGACCACCCGATTGAATACCAGTGATCAAAGATGCAGAAATACCTAACCAAGAATTAGTTAATCCAAAACCAATACCAAGAACAGACCAAGTTGAGAATGATCTTTTTAATACACCAACTTGTTCAGTTTGTTTCCCACAATCTTCATCAACAATGTTGACATCCATGTGCTTTTTCAATGACTCCGAGTCATTGTATGAGTTGTTGAAAGTTGTTTCTTTCTCCATGATGATACGAGAAAAAATTATTTTAATATATATGCAATAGAATCAATTACAATAATATATATGCAATAGAATTAAAGAATAAATAATACTGCTTAACGGAGGTACAGCTCGTAAAAAAATAATGTGTCAATTTAACGTATTATGAATGCGGCTGACAACTTTTATAGCAAAGGTTGTGTTCACTTGACCGTTGCGTCAGGATTTATTTACCAAATCAAGACAGTAATTTGCATGGGATTCTCATTCAATTTATAGTGAATGAATCATCATCGCCCAATCACGTGACCTTGCAAGTTTGCGCAAGCTAATTTCACATGCAAGTGGCCCAGGTCGTGTGATTATTGAAGATAGTGGCCTAAACCGGAAATTGTTGGACACGCAATCTGATTGTTGGCTGCGAAAAACACATATCATTGGTCCAAAGTTCGACAGACTAGGCTAGTAGTCTTGTGGACTAATTTTATCATTTAAAAAATACAATAGAACATAAATTAAACGCACCGCTTTTACTGACTCTGCGTTTGATTGATCATACATAGAACGGCGTTAAAGGTATGCTACGTTTCTTTTTTCAATTTTTCTGACTTGATGATCTAGCATGTAACTGATGTATTGAATCAAAAGTGAACTAAATGTATACTGAAGATACTTCTACGTGTAGGCATATGTATGCATGTGCATGTACGTTCAGAATACTTATGTACTGTAGCTTTTATGAATGGCTCTGTACTATATAAAGAAGTCTCATTTTTTTCCTTAACTCACTTGGGAACACTTTTAGTGGGAAAAATACTATGTGGTGGGTTCTCTTGCCTTAAACCCCTCTATGCACAAATACTTGTTAGTGAGAGGCAGGACTGTATTTGAATTTGAGAAATCACGAGATCACAAACCAGGTTGGACGCACTTTACGTCTACTTAAGGTCAAGTAGAAATGTGTGATAACGAATAGTTTCGATTAAAGATTTAAACTATACGAATGTCCCAGTTTTTCCGAGTTAATATATGCTGCTGATAGCAAGATAAGTGATGACCATAAACATAGAAATCCGGTGACCTTCATACTTTTCTCTGAGCGTCGAAGAAGCATATAACAAAGAACTATTTCTAACAAACAGAGCTTGCTATCATTTATGTATACGTAGAAGTGTTGTGTAGTACATTTTTGTATACATTTGGATGCCTTCGATGATAATGCATGCACTGACTTTTAATGTCGTGTATATATTGGTAAGCACACTACTTGTGTTTGGCAAATTCGATTCACGACAAAGTTCCAATGGATATCAAAAGATTGAGGTAACAAACTACGCAAATCGAATACAACAACCAACCCTTCCATCAGCCAATCATCATTGATCATCATCAGTATGGAGAACTTTTCCTCGGACGTACCCAAAATCCCCGACTACAAATTGTCAGAGAAGCAATTTTTGCTTTCCATTCCCGAAGTGGACGATCGCCACCGACAAGAAACCGTTGAGTTTCTTGTTGAAGAAATCAAGAAGGAAAAGTTGGGTCCTTATTATAAGTACTTGCATCAGGAGTACCCTTCATTGGTTACTTGGGATGAAGAATTGTATAAGAATATAGCCGCTGAGAATGAAGATACCATCAATGGATTGGAAAGTAAGATTAAATCTGCACAAGATGATGAAACTGAGTTGGATTTATATACTCAAACCATGAAATTGGCTGAGTATTATACCAGAATAATTGATCGTTCCAATGCAACCGAAACATTAAAGAAGGCATTAGAATTGACTTCAAACACCGGGTATAAGATTGATATCTTATTAACGTTAACCAGAATAGAGTTCTTTTTCAATGATTACAAGTTAGTCAAGCATTATTTGGATCAATCCAAAACATTGATTGATAAAGGTGGTGATTGGGAACGTAGGAATCGTTATAAGGCTTATAATGGGATTTATCTTTTGGCTACAAGAGATTTTGTTAATCTGTCAAGCTTATTGATTGACTCTTTAGCAACTTTCACTTCCACTGAGTTATGTAATTATGCTCAAATTGCTCAATATGCTATTATTTCCGGTGTTATGTCTTTGGATAGAGCAAATTTGAATACTAAAATCATCAATTCTCCTGAAGTGTTATCGATTAGCTCGACTGATGACTCTGAATTCTTAGAACCAGCTATCAATTTGACTAATTCCTTGTACACTTGTCAATATAATTATTTCTTCAAATACTTGTTGGAAACTCATGATACCTTGATCTTGAACAACAAGTATTTAAGACAACATGCTAATTATTTCCTTAAGGAAATGAGATGCAAAGCTTATTCCCAATTATTGGAAAGTTATAAATCATTGTCTTTAAAATCAATGGCTCATTCTTTCGATATTTCAGAAGATTTCTTGGACGAAGATTTGTGCAAATTTATTCCAAACAATAAATTGAATTGTACTATCGATAAAGTCAATGGAATCATTGAAACAAATAGACCTGATAACAAAAACAGTCAATACCATTCATTAATAAAGCAAGGTGATGGGTTGTTAACTAAATTACAGAAATATTGTGCTGCTGTTAAGTTAAGTGGTGCTGAAAGGGTATAGTTCTGTATATTGTTGTGCTAGATCTAATAATAAACTTCAAATCGGTAATGAACATAGTAGTAGAAGGGGATATGCTTATAGTTGAATTGCTTATAGATAAGACCAAAAAAATAATGAAGGGTGCGAGGTTCGAACTCGCGCGGACACCGTCCAACAGAACTTAAGTCTGCCGCCTTAGACCACTCGGCCAACCCTCCTAATGAATACCTAAATAAGATTCGTGTGAAGTTAATAACTTACAGCCACTGCGGCCCTTCTCCATTGCAGTTCCTAGTATCTACGTTGAATGTTTTAAAGGATCCATTTATTATAGAGAGAAATAAAAACAAAATATATAACTAGTTAAGGCTTTAATGTGACTTCTTGCAAGTAAGTCAGCCTGACGAAAGAAAAAAATAACGAAACAGAGCCAGGAATGGCAGCTATAATCGGGAGATGTCAAATCTCGATTGTCTGTCTGTATACTACTTAAGCAATAGTACAGAAAGTGTAGATAACACCACCTCCAAACTTGAAGATGCTGTCCTTGTTTTCATCCTTTTGCTTCTTGGAAGCAGTGGAGACGTTAACGTTTGATTGAGCAGCCATTATTAATTGTCGTAGTATTAGAAGTTGATTGTGATGATAAAGGGAAGAATTGTACCTGAGTATGAGAGTGAAATCCTTTGTATTTATAGTTCATCTTTCATCAATTATACATAGGTATGATTCACTTGGTGTGAGTGTGTGAATTACTATTGGGTGTCTTGTGACATTCAAATTGCCTAATTGGTGTAAGTCAATTAAATTATCACTTACCAAGATTAAGATTTTGTACAAAATCAAGTGAAACTTAAGTATTAACACATTTGATTATTACAGTTGCTACTTGTTACTAATTGTATTTCCGATAAAGACATCCAATCGTTTATCCAATAGATTGTATGTTTGTGAATAGAATACTTAATATGCCTAATTAATTAAGGTAAAAAAATGCTGTACAGTATTGGATAATAAAAGTATGTAGGAAGATAATAAGATGATCACGTAATGGTACGCGCAAGAGTATTAGTCAATTTGTTAATTTGATTTCGTTTTAAGTAAATAAGTATCTTTTTTCTTTATAAAAAGACTTACATGATCTTTATTTTTTGACTAAGAACAGATATAGAAGTTATTCGGTAGCAAAAATAATATCAACTAATATTAAGATAAACACGTAGATCTAATTAGAAACACTTGTTTCCTTATCAACATGAGACAAGCTAAAAGTTTAAAGTTGTGTCCACTTGATCTCATTGAGACTGCCTAAAGTAGTAATCAAATATGGTTTGACATCCACCGAATAGGTACACCAAAAAATATCTTATGTCTACGTTTGATCCAACATACAAATAGGAGTACTGTTTCAAGAATATTTCATACCCTTTTTGGTTCAGTATCTTCTAATCAATATTAGCACTATGGACCTAAAACCGTCTACAATAAAGTTTGTTATCTTCTAAAAGATAGCTTTTGTTGGTGGGAAGCCCCGTGTTAAGGGAAATTTGGAATAAACCAGAACTAGGCCACCTTATCTAAAGAGTTTATGAATTCACAAACAACTTTGGGGCACGTGGTCTAGTGGTATGATTCACCCTTAGGGTGGGTGCGGTCCCCGGTTCGATTCCGGGCTTGCCCCTTTAGTTTTTTTTTTGACTCAAATTACCTAATGGTAATGAGGTTGGATGGGTATGTTATTAGGTATGAAACAATAACTACAATCAGAAGGTTTAAGAATTCAGATGCTGGTCGATTGTCCATGGGTGTACCGAATATTTCCTCAAAACTACCGATAAGTTTGCTCCCCACCCTGATCTTCGGTTGGTCTCTCCACAATGTATCCGAAAAAACTTATCTAAAATGTTACGTAATCAGTAGTGAAGTTTGGAGTTTGGCAAGAACATTGACCTGAGGTCTTGGATAAATGTCGTATTTGTGGGGTGATGATGGTCCGATATTTTGTTTAAGATACATAATCATTATGGATAGATACTTATGAATAGATATGGGCCCAACACTTATCCATTATCAAGTGGATTGCGTACTTAGTTTCTGCACATCATCATCAGTCTTTCCGTGACCACAACATGATTATGACCTTCAGTACGAACTTGGCTAATGTCCTTGTTGTCCTTCTCGAGCAATTGGCTGACCTTTTTTTGTGCAATTTAATCGCTAGCACCAGTGGCAAAAGCAGTTGAGAAAGTCATTTTAATAATTTTAAATTAAGTTGAGTTGTGCTTTTGTTGAGTTGAATTCAGTTGAATTGATAATAAAGTAGAATAAAATAGTATGGTATTGTTTGAAAACCTATTGCCAATTGAATGAGGTACCGTTTGTCTTATATACCTTTTGGATCATAATGATGATAACTATACTCCCTAATAAGTGGTAACGAAAGTTTCTGATTTATACATGTTCCTGAATTGTGTAACAATACTATAACAGTAGGTATTGGATTTTCGCAGCCAAACGGCTGTCGGGAAAAATTCTCCGTGTAACAATCCGATTGTCATCTTTGTGACAACACTCCAACCTTAAATCGACCGGACTTACTCATGTGTTCTCCTATAATACACCAATCAATCAAGTAGAATGTTTTCAAAGCCATACCACGAAATGTGGGCATCGATAAAGAACCCTTGTCGTAGAATCAAATGGAAATACGCGTTGTTTCTCTGCCGTTAGTGACGGAGTTTAGGTAACGTAGTGGCGAAAGATTAATGGTCAATTCTTTACATGAATTTCCGCTTCGGAATATGCTGAACAATCTCATACCGAATAACTCTAGTGATAAACACTGAAGGGTTTAGTTGATTACTAGTTGCTGTAGTCAAGGAGCCAGTCAATTCCGTGACTTATCGAATGTAACCTCATCCATCGTAAAACTTTGAAAAAAATCTGGATGATTTTGACAGCCGGTCGTGGTTGAACAAGATATAGTAGAGTATTTATACCTGCTACTATATTTTCCGTTTTACCTTCCCAGTATGTCGATAACAAAATTCATATGTAGGTAGTTTAGGGGCTGCTGTAAATGGTCTAGTAAACCATGATACCGGCTCCGCAACATAAAGTAATAAATGCAATGATCATCTCTGTCAACCCAGCTGGTTCTTTAGATTTATTCACGAACAAGAGTTTTATGTATCTTCAATTTAGCTGAACCAACATAAGAAGAACACTAGCCGATAAAGAACCACGTAATCAATGCCCTTGTTGATTCTGGAGGATATGATTTATTTTAGGAAAGAAAGAAGCCAGGTAACCCATCATTGCCTCTTTTGGTAAAACAGAAGTAGCAATCGTAGTACCAAAACCTAAACCTTCAAGCATTAGATGGAGTCCATGATCGTTTTAAGTGAGGGTTCATTTAAACAGAGCCTTGAATTTAAAGCTGGACTTTAAGTCAGTGGAAATTTGAGAGGATAAATTGATGTATGAAAGCGGTTACAATCTACATTTTAGTGTAGTATAGGGGATTTAGTAGATATATTTAGCTGCGAAACTGGAACAAACAAACGAGCTTCCAGTAGGTTTCCAAGCAATGCCTATACATCGTTTAAAATAAGCTGGTGTTAACATTTATGTACAAAGGTGTTATAATCTGTACCAATGTTATGCAATCTTTAGAGTTAAGATGTACGTGGCTGAAGAGGGTGATATGAATTACTGGAGTCGCGGATTAATAGCAACTGGCAACTTCTAGACGCATATGAAATCATCATCCTAAATATTAGTGTATAAAATATCGCCTTACATTATACTGTCAAAGATATTAGACCTTATGGAATGCCCTCAAAAGAACTAGAGAATCAAGGCTATTAGAAAGTCAACAAAAGTGCCTCCACATTATACCCAAAAGCTTAAGTAAATTATTACGTAATCAGTGGTGGTGCGTGTTTGGGGTTCGGCAAAAACTTTGACCCGTGGTTTAGGATAAATGTCTTAACTGTGGGGTAATGAGCCGAAAGGTGCATAAGATCACAAATTTAAGGGAGTAGATATTCGTATATATATGCCAGACATTTATCGACTAAGTATAACATAAATCTTTAGTGTCTATACTTTATCATCATCACCATCATCATGTCAATTGAAAAAGATATTCCTGCGATTTTCTTGAGTCAACTTTCCCCAAGAGCCATTGAGACTATTGGGAAGGTTCAGCAATTTGTTGATACCAATTGCGTGCCAGCAGATCCAATTTTTCATTCTCAACTTAGTACTAATCCTGAGTTAAGATGGAAGCTGACACCTGAAATTATGGACAAGTTGAAGCTCAAGGCTCAAGAAGAGGGCTTGTGGAACTTATTTTTGAATAAGAGATACGCCGAGGGCCCAGGGTACACTAATTTAGAATATGGGCTTATGGCCTTTTATATGGGTAGGTGTTTCACTGCACCTGAAGCAACGAATTGTAATGCTCCTGATACCGGGAACATGGAACTTTTGGCAAGATTTGGTACCCCATATCAAAAGAAACAATGGTTGCAACCACTTTTGGATGGGAAGATCCGGTCAGCTTTCCTTATGACCGAAAAGGGTGTAAGTTCATCCAATGCTTTAAACATTTCAACTACAGCTATCAGAAATAGTAAGGGGAATTTTGTATTGAATGGCGTCAAATGGTTTGCTCTGGGAGCTGGTGATCCTCGATGCTCTGTTTGGTTAGTTATGTGCAAGACATCGGAAGATGCAGCTGTTAGATACAGAAATCATTCTGTATTGGTATTGGATGCTAAAAAGGCTATAGCCTCAGGTAAGGCTAAAGTCATTCGTCCATTAACTGTCTATGGATATGATGATGCTCCTCATGGTCATTGTGAGATTGAGTTCAATGATTACGTAATCGATGATGAGGAAATGGAACATTGCATACTTGCAGCCGAGTCTCGAGGGTTCGAGTTGATCCAATCTCGGTTAGGCCCGGGTAGAATCCATCATTGTATGAGATTAATTGGAGCTGCTGAATATGCTATGCTTAAAGTTGTTCAAAGAGCAAACACGAGAGAAATCTTTGGTAAATTACTTAAAGATAGAGAAAACTTCATGATGGAATTTGCTCAACATAAAATTAATATTGAAAGATGTAAATTACTTGTTCTTAATGCTGCTCACAAGATTGATATTAGTTCAACTAAGGACTCGCAAAGAGAAATCTCAATTGCAAAGATTGAAACTCCAAGAACAGTGTTGAATGTCATTGATTGGTGTCTTCAAATGTATGGGGCTGAAGGTGTTTCCCAAGACACTCCCTTATCGTACATGTGGGCTGCTAATAGAACCTTGAGAATTGCTGATGGTCCAGATGAAGCCCATTTGTTCCAATTGGCAAGAAGAGAAGCAAAGCAGTTCGCGGAAGTTGATGAATATTTCCAAAGATATGACCAAAATTACCAAAGATTATTAAAATTGTGATGATAATACTAAAATATGATATTTGTTTGTTTCAGTAGTATGTGTGGTCAGCAGTAGCAGAAGTAGTAGTATAATGATATGATATAATGCAAGAATTGAACCAATGAAATGACAGTATTGTCTAGTACAAATCAGTACTGGAAAAGTCACTAATTAGACCCTTGGCAAGCATCTGTTTTGACTTAGCTGTTTCATCTTTAATTCTTTGTTTTCTTTGTTGTTGGATCTGATTCGATGCGTCCTCAAAACTGATTTGTTGCATATCCTGTAAATGTTCGTCTTCGGTATCAATGTCCAACTCTCCAATCATAACCACATTCTCTCCTCTTATTAAAAATACTCCTCTATATGTTTCTCCAAACTTCTTGGTGGACCCTTCATCCTTTAAATAGATTCGTTCAATTGTATCCTGCAATACCAAATTGGCAAATTGATCAAATGTTCTTAATATACCGTACAAGTATCTCCCGTCTCTCAAACTAACAAAGATCTTTCTATCAACTGATCCAACTATAGCTGCCGCTGTTGTGAAGGCATATGATTCAAGATATAAATCCTCTACGTTTTGGTTCCCTGAAGATTGATTCTGGTTCTGACTTTGGCCCCGCTGCTGTTGTTGTTGTTGTTGTGCACTACCTTGGTTAACAGGAGACTGCGACATCTTCAATGTGTCTTTGCTGGTGATCCTGGCTTGTTGACTGGAACTGAGCTCAATTTGACTTTGGTGATATCCGAAAAATTTTCGAATGTTTTTGGTATGTGCACGTCCATTTGATTTAAGAGCATTTAAGATTCACTTCTGGAGTTACATGATGTTTAATTGTGGGTAATTAAAGGGTATTATTCATTAAGTGATTACTTGATTAAGTATAAAATATCATCAATTACTTTTTTTATTTTTATTATAACATAATCTGTTAATTTGAACCTTTGATAGTATATGTTTGTACCCTTTTTGCACCCAGTTAGTTATGCACTAAATACTCTTGATTTGAAGAGCTATACTCTCTCCTTATGTATGTACTTTGATAGTATAAAGGTTTGATACTAAGTGGTTTATGATTGTTACAACTGTCTGGTACATGTTTTCAACAGGGCTATATTTCGTAGTCATCACCTTCATTGAGCTATTGAGTCACGTGCCAGAATACCGAAACTGAAGTTTAAAGATGAGCAAAGAGATGAGATGATATACTTACAATCATAACATTAGAACATCCCACATTAACAATGCTGTTCTATAGGTATAAGGATGTCATTGAAGAGGGCGACATCGTTATGGTGTACATTGGTCGACAGCAAATGAAACTTGTGAACGTGACTCTTGGTGAAGTAATTAACACCAGATATGGACATTTTGAACACGATAAAATGGTGGGAAAGAAATATGGTGATCAAATGGTAGGTGCAAAAGGGTATGGGTTTATATATTTGTTACATCCTACGCCTGAGTTATGGACTGTTTCTTTACCTCATCGTACACAAATTGTTTATACACCTGATTCATCCTATGTGATTCAACGATTAAATATAGGGCCCGGATCTCGAGTCATAGAAGCAGGTACTGGATCTGCTTCTTTTACCCACTCATTTGCTAGAACATTGGGGGATCAAGGCAAGCTTTTCACATATGAATTCCATGAAGTAAGATGCAATGAAGCAAGGAAGGAATTGGAAAGACATGGTTTATTAGCAGTAAATACTACCATAACTCATAGAGATGTTTGTCAAGATGGCTTTGAAATTCAAGGTGAAGATATACGAGGGGATGCTGTTTTCCTTGATTTGCCAGCTCCTTGGACAGCCATACCTCATTTAAAGCATGTTATTTCCAAGGAAATGGCCACGGGGATCTGTTGTTTCTCTCCTTGTATCGAACAAGTTGATAAGACTGTAGCCGCGCTTCAAGAAGAAGGCTGGACAGATATTGAAATGGTTGAAGTCATGGGTAGACGGTGGGAAGCTAGAAAGGATATGGTAAGAGACATATCTGATGTGGTCAAAAGATTAAAGGATATACAAGCACGCAAGACTCAAGGGATAGAAGGTAGAAGGGTGGTTAAATTACAATCTGAAACAGCTACACCTGAGCCCAATGTCTCATATGATTCAGGTAATAAAAGACCTGCTAGCACTGAAGAAGATCAACAAAAGCAATCTGAATCTGAATCAAAGGAAGTGTCACCTTCACAACAGCCACCATCAAAGTTCCAAAACCTCGGAAAGGGTTTTAATCCGTTTGGAAAGGGTATTAGAGTAAGAGAAGGCGATGAATCGTATGCTTGGACCCAAGTCACAAAGATTGAATCTGATGTTAAGAGTCACACGTCATATTTGACATTTGCTCGTAATATTCCTACTAAGAAACAACCAGAAGAGAATGTATAGAGCTAACTATATAGCACTGTGGTACTGTTACTGTAAGTGTTTGAGGTGCTTGGTTTCGGCTTCATATAGGTAGGTAAATATCAAGTCGTGTACAACACAATTACAGCCTGGATTCAAAACGATCGTTGATTACAAGAACAAAACTTAAGAGCCGGCCCTAAATTCAAGAGGTTCCTTATCACAGCCGGAATAACTAAACAGAAAAGATTCAAAGCATACATTTACGATGGCAGATACTCCAATTGGTATGCATGAGAAGGTTTATTTATCCGAGATTATACTGCTTCCATACGGGCGTATTATCCGTGATATGATATTCAATTACAAGTAAAATACTAACTAACTAACATTGTAGTGCTTGATCAAGGAACAGGGTTCGTCAAGATAGGAAGAGCCGGAACCAATTTTCCCGACTACTCGTTCCCTTCAATTGTCGGAAGACCAATATTAAGAGCAGAAGAAAGAAGTGTATTTGTGCCAGACGATGTTGAGATTAAAGATATAATGTGTGGGGACGAAGCCAGCAAGGTAAGGTCGTTATTACAGATTAGCTATCCTATGGAGAATGGGATTATCAAGAACTGGGAAGATATGGAACACTTATGGGACTATGCCTTCTATGAGAAGATGAAATTGCAAACCCAAGGGAAGAAGATATTGTTAACTGAACCTCCAAGAAACCCATTAAAGAATAGAGAGACCATGTGTGATGTGATGTTTGAAAAATATCAATTTGGAGGTGTTTATGTTGCTATCCAAGCAGTTTTGGCTTTGTATGCTCAAGGTTTAAGTTCTGGAGTAGTTGTTGATTCAGGTGATGGTGTCACTCATGTTGTTCCAGTTTATGAATCGGTTGTTTTAAACCATTTAACAAGAAGATTGGACGTTGCAGGAAGAGATGTCACCAGGAATTTGATAAACTTATTATTCCGTAGAGGATACGCATTCAATAGAACTGCTGATTTCGAAACCGTTCGTCAAATCAAAGAAAAGTTGTGTTATGTTTCATATGATTTGGATTTCGATTCCAAATTGGCAAATGAAACAACTTCCTTGGTACAATCCTATGAACTTCCTGATGGAAGGGTAATCAAGGTTGGTTCAGAAAGATTCTTGGCTCCAGAATGTTTATTCCAACCTCATTTGGTAGATTGTGAACAAGAAGGTATGGGTGAATTGCTATTCAATACTATTCAATCGACTGACGTTGATATTAGATCTACTTTATTCAAAGCAATTGTTTTATCTGGTGGTTCTTCAATGTATCCAGGTTTGCCCTCTAGATTGGAAAAGGAATTGAAACAATTGTGGTTGACTAAAGTCTTGCATGGTGATCCTACAAGACTAGATAAATTCAAGGTTAGAATCGAAGATCCTCCAAGAAGAAAACATATGGTTTTCATAGGTGGTGCTGTGTTGGCTAACATTATGGCTGACAAAGACCATATGTGGATTTCCAAACAAGAATGGGAAGAACAAGGTCCACGGATTTTAGAAAAGTTGGGTCCTCGTTGAATGTGAAGGCTATGTCTGTTGTAGCCATGTTAGTAGTTTGCAAATCATTTTGATAAGAATAGTCAATACGACAAAAAGTATATCTAGATCTGCTTCACCTCCTAATAATTTAATTCCTCTATCTGCTTTAAAACCGTCTCCACAACTTGATCATAAACATCAGCACTTATCACTCCCCCGTTCACTCGAGAACTATGACCAAAATTAATTGACAGATGTACCAAGTCTCTAACAAAACTCTCGGTAACCACTTTGGGATGTAGAAAATCACTCTTCAAACATTGCTCTACTGTCCAACGTTCCAGTGGATCCCTTGCCAAACATTTTCTCATAAGTCTGATTGCTGTTTGAGGAACTTTGGCATCTCCTATGCCTTTGGAATGAAATTGAATCTTCACTTGAGGATTCATAATTGCCATAATACGTTGGTTTCCAGTGTAAGCCCCATACGGAGGTTTACCGTATATCATCTGATAAATAATACACCCACATGACCAAACATCAGATGGGCGGCCAACACGCCATGTGTTTTTGCTAACCTGTTTACTGGTGAGGTTAGTTTCAACAAGAGCTTCCGGTGCCATGTAATTGGGGGTTCCAATTTGAGACTCACGATATATGTTTGATGTATGATCTGGAACAGCATTAGCAATACCAAAGTCAATAATCTTGAGCATACCCTTGACAAATAAAAAGTTTGCAGGTTTCAAATCACTATGGACAATCCCATTGTCATGGACAGCAAGTACACACTTGAATATTTCAATCGCATGATACTTTACAAACTCCAAATCCAACTTCTTTAACCTATTCTGGAAAACTGTAGCTAAATCTAAATCACCACATTCCATTACCAAGTAGATTAACCCATCTCTCACATCATAATCAATAAGTTTTACAACTCTTTCAGATTCCTTCAATTTCTTCAAAAGGTCTATTTCTCCTTTAAATCCTCTGACACTGCCTTCATCAAATTGATCAAAAGTGACTTTCTTGATGGCATAATGTCTGTTATTAGGTGCTAGGACTTTATAAACTTTTGAAGTTCCCCCTCTACCAATTAATTGGAGCTTTTCATAAATTACACCATTAATAGTTAATGCCTTCTTCTTGGAATTTGAATTTTCATTTGTAGCTTGCTGCGCTGGTGGGTTCGGTGATGAAGGTGCTCTTATGTCATTATTGGCATCAGTAGTTTGGATAGGCTCAAACTGGGTCAGATTTAAAGACTTAACTGTTCCCTGTAATATTTTGCCCATATTATTATTATTGTGAGACACGGGCTTGGCCATTGTCAAAGGTACAGCATTAGGCATTGGATATTGCTGTGAAGAATGAGAGTTAAAGTTTGCAGAAAATTGCAATTGAGCTTTCGGTGGAGCATTCATTGATGCAGAAATAGGAATCTTAGATTTGGGCCTTTTGAAAACGTCATTCACCTGGTTTAACAGAGTTCCTGGTATAATACTTAAGGGTACCCTCTCGTTTGGATCTGCTGCTTTCTCACCACTACTTCCTCTTGAACTGCCATTCTTATTTTCTTGGTCAATTTGCATATCAACATGATTTTCCTTTTTAAATAATTCTTTGAGCTCGTCCATCCGTTTCCGTTCTTCTATGCGCTTTCTTAATTCGTTATGTTTCTCTTCAGAAATGGAGATTAAAGAGTTAGATCTATTCTTTTCAACAGACATCCAGAACAACGAAGATTTCTCTGAGTCATTATCTTGCAACTTAGAATTCAAATGCGTTTGAGAGTCAAGATTAACAGAGTCACGTTTATGAGATGCTTCTATACTGTGTAGATGTGGGTCTGTATTAGAATTGTTCTGCTGTAACGACGAATGAGAATTCATAAACTCTTCCTTGTTGGCATGATTTGTAGACAGATACAGAGGATATGCTGAGTGATATTGTTGATATGGATCGTCTATTGAACCATCTTTCAATTGGGCCTTATGCTCTAATTGTTGCTGTTGTTGTAAAACCAGCTCGATGCGTGAAAGTCTTTGGGGAGACCCCAAACTGTTGCGGATGATCCTTCTTCTGGCTCTCTTTATTGAGAGTGAATATGAATTACCTGAATCACCAGTTGATTGGGATTTTGAAGAAAGTTTAATTTCATTTTCAGATGTATTCGAAGAAATGGAATTGTCTCGACTTGTATTAATTATGCTTTGGTTTTTATTCGATCCAAGAAGTCCTGAATACGAATTAGAATGCAATATGTGTCCACCATCAGTAGCTGTTGTTTCTAAATCTATGTTCTTATTATTGTTGTTGTCGGATCGAATGGAGTTGGACAGAAAGTTGGATGAATAGTTGTCTGGATTTGCTCGAAACTCTAATTCTGATTCATGCAGAATACGACCCAGTGGTGGAGGGTGTTCTTGCAGTAGTAGTTGTGACTCCAATTTGTTACGTATTTGTTGCTCGAATGCCAGTTGATTATTAGAAGGGAAATCGAGATTATATATGCCTGTTATGCCGTTATTATTATTATTATTATCATTATTGTTGTTGTTGTTGTTGTTGTTGTTGTTGTTGTTGTTGTTGTTGTAATAGTAGTCGTTGTGTGATCCATTTGATTCTTCATGTTTATCAGCAAACAGAAGTCGGACGGTCGATAGCACAGGAGGAGGCATGGTTCTGTCCTCATCTTGGAACTCAGCAAATCGTCTCTTATGATCGTGAGGTAGTTTTTCGTTCATGCTATAAGTTATTGCTGTGGATCATGGAAAGGGATGGAGTTTGGAATCTAAAGAACTGAAATGCAATGCAAAATAAAAGAAATGTTGAATATGCTACCTTTAATAAGAATATGCTGTCTTTGGACTAATCAAGACCTTTATTTTGATATAGATACTTTATGCTTTTTTAATGGGGTGCAATAGCTTAAAGTAGTTTTGTTTACTACTCAACTGGTTATTGTTAGGAAACGCGACAGTTAAAAAAAAGGAGCACAAAAAGATGAAAAAAGAAAACGTGCTCCACGGCAGGTTCGAACTGTCGACCTTCAGATTGCACAACTTTAGATAAGCTATGAGACTGACGCTCTGCCAACTGAGCTAGTGAAGCCTATTTTAATTCCTCTTCACCAATTCTTTGTTAGGTCATACGTATACAAAAAATTCATTTAAAGTGCCATAGATTTAGCTTCGTCTTTGCGCTTGATACCGTAGGGGAAAAAAGTCAGATAGTTATATTATTGTAATGGGTTTTGTTTGAATTATTAATATGTCCATTAGGAAAGCTATAACCTACACTTAATGAAATTACATCCAAGTTATAGATGAACTGTGGAAGACAGCAATCATTTTAAAGAAGTGCAACACATTTAAGAATATTGTCAGTGAATATCAAAAGTTTAAACTAGAGTGGAAGAAAGAGCTATAATACAACATTTTGTGACTTACATCAATACGTTTTGGTGCTAGAATGGTCCAATAATAAAATGTAGTTTAACAGCCAAGTACACTGGGGCTACCATTAGGAAAACCACGTGATATAAACATAGACATACTATTCATGCAGAGAAGAAAAACGACAACGAGCGGCCTGGCTAGCTCAATCGGTAGAGCGTTTGACTCTTAGTCTTGTACAAGAGAAGCGATCAAAAGGTTGCGGGTTCGACCCCCGCGTCGGGCTATGTTCCGAACATTACGTTCACCACTTATTTTTTTAGTTTTTGGCAGGTTAGTCAGAATAAGCGTCCCATCTTAATTGCACAATTTTGCCCCCGCTATTTCGGGTATAAAGTATTGCTGGAAGGCAACTAGCTACGGTATAAAATTTGATGGAAGGTTCAGATTTTTAGTTGGTGCTAGTCATTTCCTTCTTAGCGCATACTACGATTTAAAAGCCACATCCAATAATGCGATGCATGGGAAATGCATGTATAATGCGTCGATCGGTGATTGGGGGCATTAAGCGCAAAAGTTTTGAAAATTTTGAATGGTGGAGATATTAACAAGAGGGTCAAAAAAATCCGGATGAGATTTGTTCCGGTATTCCGAGCCAAGGTTCCAGTACAACTGGATGACTTTTGTAAGCTCTAGTAAAAGTTTCTATAGACCATGAACGTGCTCAGCAATAAGGAACAAATACTATAACAAAGCAAAACTGAATGAATGGAAAGCATAAGATACGAGTACTGCCTCGTATTATAAATATTGTTTTGAAGTAGTAGATGCTTGGTCTTTTTGATTACTAAAAAGATTACGCGCGTTTCTTCGTCGGCTCTATAATGTTTGTTACGGTATCTCCGACAACCGAAGATGGAAGATTTGTGACACAGACCGCCAGGATCCTACAACATATAATTCCAAGCCTAGAGATTGGGAACACCAATGTACTCACAATTTACGTTTGCCTTCATTTTCCCAAAGAACAATAGAGGAAAACACCTATTGGGTCACCAAATATATGTATAATCAATAGATGGTAAGTTCCGATACGGTGTTTCGAATACCCTATATGCAGTACAATAACCGTTTCTGTCAGGAATTGCTACAAGAGAGAGTAATATAGTAGTTAGTGATTACATAGTTAAAGATTTTCTGTGATTCTTTTAGGGTTATCTCCGGTATAGGCCATAATATATATATATCTGTGTGTGGCGATATATACTTTGTTTGTATGGAAATCTTTTAGTGTGAAGAGGTGTTCATTCATTCTATTCTATTCTATTCTTATAATAATCCGCATATATTCTTATATACATATATCCATACTATGTTCACTAAGATTAGAAAGTCTCTTTCAACGGGAGCGACGCTAGAGACCAAAGAAGTGGTAAGTTCGTCTAATTCTTCAACGGGTTCTTTGTTAATAGAAAAGACTTTTGTTCCATTTGCAACACCACTGAGCGAGTCACATATTCCACCTCGGGTGGAACTTTCGGAGGAGGAAACCAAAAAGTACTTGGAAGTATTTAGGCACTTCACTAACCCTGACTTGGTCATAGACGCCTCGGAGAACGATCAAAAACACGGGAAGAAAGTCAACTGTACACCTCTCACGGATGACGAAAAGGCATGGCTTACAAGAGAATGTTTACTTAGATATTTAAGAGCAACCAAATGGATAGTTGCTGATGCGAAGGAAAGATTGGAATTGAGTATTGCCTGGAGAAGAGAGTTTGGTATAAACAGAGCATTCCCTAAAGATAACACCGTCAACTTCGAAACATGTTCCATTGAAAATGAAACCGGGAAGGAAGTGATTCTAGGCTTTGATAATGATGCTAGACCATGTCTTTATTTAAAGCCCGGAAGGCAAAACACAAAGACCTCTCAACGACAAGTAGAACATATGGTTCTTATGTTGGAGACCGTTATTGATTATATGCCTTCCGGACAAGATTCACTTGCATTACTTATTGATTTCAAGGAACATGATGTCGGGATTAAGAACTCAAAAATTCCTCCAATGGGTATTGCCAAACAAGTGTTACATATTTTACAAACACATTATCCTGAGAGACTAGGTAAGGCACTCTTAACCAATATTCCTACCCTTGCGCGAGTGTTTCTAAATCTTATTTATCCCTTCATAGATCCTTTGACCCGAGTCAAATTGGTTTACGATAGACCATTTCCTGAGTTTGTACCTGCACAACAATTGGATTATGATTTTGGTGGAGACGTCAACTTTGAATATGACCATGAAAAATATTGGCCCACAATGATAGAAATAGCTACCAAGAAGAAGACCCACTATATGTCACGGTTCGAGAAGTTTGGAAAACGCATCGGTCTTTCGGAAGTTGACTTAAGAAGCGATAATGAAGAATTGGTATATCCACCACCAGCATAAGCATCGAGATGCTAGCACTAATACATAATAATAATAGTAGTAATAATAGTAGTAATAATAGTACTAGTAGTAGTATTAAGTGTGTATTCCAATTACTCTATAAATGGCTTTGCCACCTTCCGTTGCTCAACCACACCCGTTCGGTCAACCATAGATTGCCAGTCCAAAGGAAACATCACATCTCCAGCTCCTCCCATAGATTGAGCGAAAACAACCCCAAGATCGTTTCGGGCAGTGCTCATATAATAGTTTTGGCCATCACCTAAACTGATAATCAAACATCGTACAATGTCTCCTGGTCTGAAACTGTCCACTATCTTGACCTTATCTCTGTCTGTGCTTCTAACGTCTTGAGATCTGATGATCCCTTTGAAACCCTCACCCAAGTCCATCCCCACGGCTTGAGGTCCACTGGTCTGAGACGACGCTATGGTTTGGTGCGATGTCAAGGCTTGAGACCCTCCTCCGGCTGTTACACTGCCATGTGCCAAATCGCCATTAGCACCAACACCACTATCGGGAAGAATGTTACCCAGACTTTCCACGGTTAACAATTCACAGTTGGCTTGTCTCTGACCGATTCTGGTGATCTTCACAAGTACAATATCTCCTTCGGAAGGTAGACAGCTAGACTTTGTATTATGACGATCATTAGACGTGTCTGATGACCTATAGCTATTGTTCTTAGTACTGAGTACCGATACTACGCTCTTAGTGATCTTTTCTTCTGGGGTAGCCTCAGTATGTATTTTCCCTAATATGGTGGAGCTTATTACTTTGATTACCGAATTTTCCCCACTCTTCACATCGGTCACAACGGTTCCAGGACCGGCTATAAACTGGGATATAACGTCGCCATCTCGCTTATATATCGGAGTTATGTATTGACCAGGTACAACCAAGTCGCCGTTCATTCTTTATAAGATCTTGTAAAGGTAACTGAGTCGTCTTTCGTTTGACTCGATGAGATGAAGTTCTGAATTTTTGTTATTTTTCGCACTTTTTCAAGGTAGGTACTCACGTTGACTAACACAAGCCATACCACATAAGCCAAAAGTATTCATGTTAACTATATATGAAAGAATTAAATAATAATGATAATGATAATATGATGATGATGATGATGATGATGATTATGTTAGAAGAAATGTGTATAGCATTGAGAATCTGTGTGAATCTCCATCTCTGCTTTAAAGGTATTCAACTCGTCCTTGATCTTCTGGGCCAATAATGGTGTCAATTGATTACATGTAGCCGTATCAGGATGTCTATCGTACTCCTCGGGATTGTAAGTATCATATAAGATAATCCGTGACGAGAACCGAACACTTTGACTCAGTGCATTGGCCATGGTACTCATCACCTTAGGTGCTGCCGCTCCACCACTCTTGAAGAAATTGGTGGTCTTCAGTACAAATGAACTAAGCGATTTGGGACTGGAAGTTGCAGAGTTATCTGAAAATGATGGGAACTTATTTTGACTAAATCTTCCTCCATTAACTGAAGGTGGTGCAAATGAAAATCTGCTGACTTCTTCATGCTCATCTTCATGTCTAAGTTCATGTGCAATCAGTCCCGAACCATAAGTGTAATTACTATCACGAGTTCCTCCATAACCAACAGTAGCATAACTATAATCTTCTTCCTCTTCTTCTTCGTCAGAACTTGTACCAAACCCTCCTCCGATTCCACTGCCTGAATAATCAGTGTCATCGTCCATAGACAACGTAAATGATTGATGACTGTCACTGCTACGCAAGCCCGCGTTCTCGAACTTACCTCCAAACGAAGGAGGCTTCAACCCTCTAAATGACATGGATATTGGTCGAGCAAACTTCCCTTTGCTGTCTAAAGCAGGTGATGTTCCCACTGTACGGTATGCATTTTCCAATATGGGTGATTGTTCAAGCTGTATTCCGTCGAGTTTATTCTCTTCAACATCCTTGATCTGCCCGAGATCACCAAGTAGTTCACTCTCATACCCAGAACTAGGTGTAATGTGGTCGGCACTTAAAGTATCCAGTTCCATTGTACTGGGTGAATACAAAGTGTTAGTTATAGGTGGAACAACAACTCCCTCTGATAGTGACTTTAAATATTGAACGTTGGGATCTAACATACTCGACCGCTTCTCTTCGGGGCTCTTCTCCAAAGTCGATTCTCCCAATACCAATTGGTCAGAGCTTTCGTTACCATTGTCAGAATTAAAGAGGTTTGTCTTGTCAGTGAGACTAATAGCACGAGCAATGCCATTTCCGTTTGGCAGGCTGATCTGGACGGGCGAAGTTGGATACTTCTTCATTGTTGGCTCAATATAGGTCAATTCTTCATTATCCGCTAACCGGCTCTCTTCAATGTCATTTGTCTTGAGAGGCAATGGATTCAATTTTGGTGATTCCAACATACTAAAGTTGTCTGCATCTATAAAGTCGGCAAAATCCATAAGATCACCAAAGTTCAGCATATCTTCACTACTGCCTACACCCACTAAAGCAGCTGAAGAGCCGGACTTTGAAGTTGCGCTTGTCAAGATATTTTCGTTGGAGTTGTCAATCGTGTTGTCAATGGAATTAACGTTCAAGCTTCGAGAAGAGTTTTTCAAGATGCTATTGGACCGTGTCATTGAAGTATTTCTGGAGGGAATGTTGAGACGGCCCTGATAATGAACAATATTCTCATCTCCACCGTCGTAATTGACAAAGGAGTTTCTCTTATGTGATTTGATGGACTTGATAGAACGTGATCTCTCCAAGGAAATTATACTTTCTACTTCCTGGGCGTCCAAGTGTTTGGGGAAAAGCGATTCCCCAATGAGCAGATCACTTTTCGTCTTCTTTGACTGTTCTTTTTGGCTCAGCACATCAGATAATAATGGGGACCCAAAAATGGTATCATTACTGAACCGAGAGTCCTTCTTTACATGAAGTGGTTCATCATTACTTTCATTACCTTTTCTTTCTGTTCTTTCCTGTTGCTCTTTCTCGTTCAACAGTTCAGGGATTAATTGTATTTCCTCTCCATATCCACCGCCATTCATCCTATTAATTGGTGGGTTAGAATGTAAATTATCATCGTCATATTTGATTTCTTCCAACTCTTTCCGTTCTTTGGAAGCTAATGGGAACAGGAACTCGGATGCCACCGTGGTACTCTTTCTTCTGTCTGCGCGAGGTGAATCCACAATCTCACGGATCGAATTCAATGTCACTGATTGAGGTGGGAATTGTTCAATCTGATTGTCGTGAGGAGTAAGGCTTGTCAAGTTATCTGACGATTTGTTCTTCTTGAACACATTCATAAAAGTGGAATTGGATTTACTCTTCCCAAGTTTCTTTTGACCAGATTGTGATTGTGATTCTGTCGAATTAATATTAGTAGATCTTGATGGCTGTGAAGAAGATCCCTTTGTCGTATTCGTCGTGCTGTTTGTCGTGTTCGTTGTATCATCCTTGTAATCAGCCAAGTTTGGTGTGGAATATGACTTGCTTTTGATTTCCGATGGTGGTTTGCCTTTGAATAACGCCTTAAAACTAAATCGTTTCTTCTCTTTGGAAGTCTTGTCCTTTTCCTTGTCCTTTTTGGAGGAAGAAGCAAACTTTGAAATATCGCTCAAAGTGCTCGATCTCTTATGCTTACTAGGTGTTAATGGAGGTTTTGGTTTTGAAGTATTGGTCCTTGAATTGTTCGTGCTCAGTGAACTGTTGGATGGGAACCTACTGCCTTGAACTGGTGTGCTTGGTGAGCGAGCAAGAGGATGCAAATCGGATATCGTTCTAGGACGAAATACCTGTTGTTTAGGTGTCTCTGGTTCTAATAAAGGTGTCGTCTTATGGTTGGCGGTGGTGTTGGTGAAAGAGGTGTTTTTCTGATCTATTGTTGACGACCCGAAGTTATGAATATGTGTTTTGGTAAGCGGCAATGGGTTCAACAAACCATTTGTAGGTGGGGGGTTATTATTAATATTGTTGTTCTTATCAATTTGGGGTGATTGAACATCAACAGATTTGATCAGAGCCTTGACGTCATCGCTTGATTTGATTGTTTGAAAAACCGCTGGGGCTGCCAAAACGGGTGTTTCCTCGTTTGTACTATAACCTCGTCCGTCCATTGTACTTCCAGGCGATTCATAAATTTCTCGTTCGAGAATGGCAGTAGATTTAGATAAGTCTTGATCTTTTGTCGCGTCATGGTGATCTTGTTCATGAGCTGTTGCAAACGATGTAATTGAAACGGATGATACGTTTGGGTGATTGACGCTACTGGATTGTACAGCTGAATTTAAATTTGAGGTTTGAGCGAATGCGTTGGTAGTCGGCGTGTCAGATGACGTTGCAGAGTGCAACGAAGGTGTAAGGTCCTTTTCTCCTTGGTCGACCACACTTGGAACCACTGTGGACTGTTCTGTATCTGATGCGGGTGTTTTCAAACCCAAATCCGCAGTTTCCAATGATTTATCATTCAATGAGTCAATGTCATTGTGAGGTAATCTATAGCTACTACTACTGATGGGTCGAACTTCGTCGTCTTCGTGTTCTGTCTCTTGCTCCTCAGAAATAGTGGCGAAAGAATCACCTTTGGACTTCTCGTTGAGTATACCTTCTAGCTTTTTCATCGACGGAGAATTCTTCATGTAGATAGTTCTTCTGGCTGTGGACTCCTTCTGAGGCGCAGCATCATTGGTCGAAGAGGTTGGCTCAATTGGATTTGTTGAATCTGTACCTGATGCTCCCGCTGTGGGGTCGGCTTGGGATACGAATCCGTTTATTTTAAAGTCTTTGGAGGAGTGATTTGACGACGTGCCCTTTAGAGCAGCGTTTATGGAGCGTGAGGATATAGAGTGTTTGAACTGGATTGAATCCCGGAGATTATTCAAATGCTGGTTTGAGTCGGACCCGGATGACGAGTAAAACGAATTACTGAGAAAGCTGTCGGCATTATTAGACATCGTAGCAATTGGTGGAAGGGACGTTCGACTTAAAAAAAGCACTCTATTTGAAAGAATAAGTTATAATGTAACGATAATCGTCTCAGTCCATTCACTGACAAAAGAATTTCCTACCAAAAAAAAAATAACAAGGGATCACCAAGTGTTAGTATACAACTGAGTTATATGATATAGCTATAACTGATTAAAATGTACGACTAAAAGAACCAACTTATGGTTAAACCTTATATAGGCGTATCGTGGTGGAGGGTTGGTTTCGAATCGACCGAAAAAAAAAATCTCTTCCACGTTGAAGTCAACTACTATCAGCGGGTCCCAAGTCTATGTAAGGAAGTAAAGGTGGATGGATGGATGCTTATTTTAAGACCTTGTTCCAACTGAAAATGATAACAACAATGTAACAACGTAGCTGTCGATGGTTGAATAATTAGAAAAATACCAGTGGGTAGAGAATCGCAGGCCGAGAACTAGTTAGTACGAGAAAGTGTATGGCACTGCACTTTGAGGTTTTAGAATGAAGCGAGGGCTTTTTCCAACCCGCGAATACGAATAGTCTAGTGTGGCAGTTGGTGGAGTGATAGTGAAAAATAATAGTACTAGTAATAATAGTTAGTACTAGTAGTTGGTACTAATACTAGTGATAGCAATAATAGCCTAGATGTTCAAAAAGTAGGGGTACAACTACATGTAATTATAAGTACCATTATCATTTTATTATTGGGGGTTAATGGGTGACGGAGTTAACACAATAATATATTCAAACAGTATTGTAATTTATCGCACAAATTACAACCATAAATTATCATTATGAATCTATTATTGCTAATTGCAGAATGTTTGTTGTATATCAATTATCGTTTTCGTCACTATAAGATCGGTGGTTTGGGTATTTTTGCTTCTGATCTAGGTTCGACTAAAACCTCCCCCTGAAAATGCTCCGGGTGGTTATTTATTTTCTTTTTTACCTCCTTCTACAATCCACCCCCTTTTCTCACCGCGACCTCGTTCTTTACTCCCACTTCAAATAACAGTTGACCGCCTTCGATTTTATTACTAGTAGCACTTGTCTCCACATTCACCCACTACGTCACCCTATTGAACACTCTACTCTATTATTGTTTAGGGTACCATTTAGGTTCTGCCAAGTTCCATCTAGCACTTGTCTGCCGGAACACGCATGTAAGCAATCCTAGAGAACAATTCACGCGTACCCCACGCGTAGTCCTGGAGGCACTATTCGGTTTCCTATTACGGTATATTAATGTTTTGGCATATGCACGCTTTGGTGGAAAATCTTATGTAATCTCAACTTCAATTCCACCAATGCAACAACTTCAGGATGGGCTAAAATGATCAATGATCGGATGAAACCAGTTCACATCTATCCATTGTCTGATCTCTCATCTATAAGTCTCGTGATTGCAGAGTCATGGTAGCTAACCTTTATAAAGGACTTCCAATTATATGACATTTGACAATTAAGATCTACATCAAATTTTCAGATGTAATCCACCGCCTTAACACTCAATTTCAACCCTTCTGTAGTCAGTTGCAGCTATCTCCTCATTTATGATAGCAATATATATATGTGTGTGTGTGTGCTGTGTGAACAGTAGCTTTATGTAATCGGCATAGTTTCATTACTAAACATAATCATAATCTAATTACTTATTTAACATTCATCCTTGATGATATAACAATCTTACTCCCAAGAACACTTCCTTATGTTCGAGCCCAAATAATCCCTAGTCCTGCTAATTCCCGCGATCCATTTTAATCAATCCCAGAATGTAAGTATCCTTCCTTCTCTACATGATAATACAATCTGACCGTTTATGGAACTTGCGACCAACACCATTGCTCCGAAGCTTTGATTTTAAATTCTTGGTAACGGGTTCTGGTGGAGAGGAAGAAACTCTGTTCTCACGCTTAGCATTCTGAAGTGGTTCTCCAATAAATGAAGTGGCAGAGGTAAGAACTGAATTTCTTTCCATTAGAGAAACATTAGCAATGCTATCTGAATCAGAAGGCGCAGCTGGTACGGCAGAAACACGCTCACCCTCACCCTCTTGTCCCTCAATATTATAGAACAAGTTTGTAGCTGTGGTGGCTGGTGTATTCATAGTCATATGATTGTTGTACTCTTCACCCTGATAATCTAATCTCATGACTGGATCTATTCCAAATTGCAATATAGAATCGGCCAAATAACAATATAATTTGATCCATAAAGATTCCAACTCTCTGGTGAACCGAACTCCAAATCTTTCATGGAATGTCTTGACCAATGCTTCACCCATCAACTCAAAACTATCAGCAGAAATACCCAAAATACGACTGTGCTTCTTACCTAAAACACACAAGAAGTCCTCCAAACTACTTAAGTTCTCTAATTGTGAAATGGCAAACGACAATACACCAGCAAAGGAAACAGCCTGGTGATGTAGCGAGGGGAACATCTTTATTAACTTGGGTTCCATTGATAATAAATTGTCATAAAATTGACGACAGAATAAAGAGCTAGCCATGGAGTTCAACGCGTACTTTGCATTACTGTGGTGACTGTGTCCATTACTAGCATTGGCCAGTAAACTATTGGCAAAGGTACCGGGGATTCTGGAGGAGGTGTTATTGGTTTCTTCTTCAATGTTCTCGTTGAGTAACATGACATTCCAGGTGTATCTCAACAAGTCGATATCAGACTTTGACAAGGTCAACTTTATGAGGTACTGAGATCTTGTGGAAAGATTGGAATCTATAGTTGATCTGGTGGACATCTTTTCCAATTGATAGTCGAAGGAAGCTTGGGACAGATTGCTGTGAATCCCGTAAGTGTAGGTAGTTTCATTATCTACCTTCTTTTTGTTGAAATGGGATAAGAAACTAGCAGAGCTTTGACGAGGAGTTACCGATGATGCGTTCCGCAGTCTTGGGTAGATGTCTGAATCGATTCCCAAATCCTGTACTGTTGAGGTGTACGATGACTTCGACATAGTTCTCGCGAAACCCATGCTCGACGATCTGGAGTTCCTTTGATTGTCGATTTGGCTAGGATAGTAGCTTTTCATGAAGTTGGACATTGATGAGGTAAAGGTGGAAAATGATAAGGTATGAAGAGAAAAAAAGATTGCGATCTGCAAAATTGCCTAAAGAGAAGTATAACCTTATTTATACCAAGTTACGATACGAACGATACTATCGACACTTTTGATTTATTCGACTAGTATTCTTTTATTAGGATATTTGGTTCGGTATAAAGCTCTCCCCAATTGTCTTTAAGGAATGCGATGCTTTGGTATAAATAAGCCTTTGGTATCCGTTTGCGATTCTATTGTCCGTAACAGAAATTACACTCGATCTTGCAAAATCAAACAATACCGTTTGCACAAAAAAAATGCCAGACTGCATGTGTTACAAGGTACAACAACTCTTAAGCGTGTGATTGGGGCACACAATCCAAATTGGATACACATTAATTGTCAAACTTTCCTTTGTGATCTGAATATAACGGATGGTTTCAAGGTAAGAATAGGAGACAAAGAATCTTTTCTAATGGTGAAGAAGTCTACTGGCTTAGAATAAGACTAGATCGCATAATAGATTGACAATGATTAGAGATAAAAATACAAAGCATGTAAACATTGACGAACCGTTTAAATGTTTCATAGTATTTAGCGATTAAGGCGTCACTCTTAAACTCTCGGCTCAGTTGAACGATATCATATGGTAATCCAGATATGAAATCTACTTTCGCTAGAAACTGAGCAAGATTTATTGTGCCTAGAACTAACAATTGCATCAAGTACTCATTTAAGAATCCCAAGTTATAATAAGATAATTGTTAGTAGCATTCTGTATTGTGTAGCAACAACTGTTCCAGATTTCTAAAAGTGGAAACAGAACGATCAATTAGTAGGTACTTAATACAAGTGGGGATTGTTTGGACTAATACGGATAAGACACGCCTTTTTGATACATTCTGTTCAATTGGTGATTTCATTTAATTGCATATCAAGACTCCTTGAAACACATTTAGCGAGTTAATAAGTAGTACAAAAAGTCTGACGAGACGATATCTTAACCAACAATTTGAAACAACATGACATGTAGATCACAAGTCTAATTGGGAAAAAAGTCCGGTGGTAGATTTTTATATTCTCCTTCACAGTTCTTTAATCAAGGAAGCTAGCCAATAGTAGAACCATGAGGCTACAAATAATTTTTCATTTGCCTTATCTTTATTCACGACTCCACTTGTTCACAGCAATGAAATCAGAAAGCCTAACGTAACCTTCAGGTAAAGTCAAAGTTGATAGGGGCACAGACTCATGCTCGCATTCATGGCCAAGCTCTTGCTCTCGCTTACACTTACACTTCCACTGAGAAAGATGAACTCGAGATTTTAGTACTTGGTCCTGGGTCCTGCTCAACTGTCGGGCGATTCAACAGTCCGCGGTGCTTTACTTGTACTACTGAAATCGGAAATGGTCATATTCAACTGTAACTTAGTAGCCAAATAATGCACAATAACTAGTGACTAGATAAGGCGCAATGCGCGATATTTATTACACGTCTCTTGTGGGCATCAAGTAGGTCTTACGATTATGATATTGGTAGAATAAGACCACATCAAAAGAAAGAGTTAGCCCCATTGTATCTTACATGAGCATCTTATGTCCTTGTGAAGGAGCTGTCTTGATAGCCCTGGCTCCTGCGCCAAACTAATGCAAAAGCATGCCCGTCTTGTCATGTTTAGTAGAGAAGAAGCCATAAAAGATCGCCAGTGCACGCACTGGTCACTCACATGCAATTATAAGGCTAGGATCCACTAAAGTGAGTAAATCATAATTATCTCCTTCTGATAACTCCAACTGTATACAATCTCTCCACAATTTCCTGACAGCTATTTCGTAATTACTTGCATGGTACAAGCATCTTTGTACGCCCGCAAACAAGAATTGAGCAAGAAAAATTTTACCTGTAGCAGGCTTAACCAAGCCGGCGCGGTTGACCAATTACAAAAATTTGATTTCGTAAATATCCCATTGAAGGAAAATCTTTGTCAAACAGTAACCAGTTGCTGTTAAGAACGAAAACGATAAACCCAGTTTGTAGCGATGATTAAGTTTGCGTAAAATCAAATCAATCTTTCATCGTTTTCAACATAAATGTCGCTTATTATACTTTCCCATGATGTCAACAATATTTTCACAATGAACAATGTAGCCAGTTAAGTTCCGTTGGATTTGAGTTCTCATTCAAACCCAAGTTATACCTTTGGAGACACTTGACGTCAATAGCGGAGTCCCCTTAAGAAGGAGGCATTGGGCGGGTAAAAAATTTCCTCTGTTGGGGATCAGATCTTTTCAATCTAACTAGCACATTCTCATAGTTAGGCATATAAATTTGCAGCCGTACTAACATCAGTACTTTTAGAAAGTATCGAACAATGTACTTGACCTTGACCTCCGTCTATTCTAACCTTAAATTGGTTCCTTGGACGTAAACCTTTACTATTTTGTCAACAGGTTATATTTGTTATAAAACAATAATATCTTGTCCGTACCCAAATACGTTGATGGATTCCGCTCAAGGAATACTGGAAATATATGAATGTTACACATTACTCAGGTACAGCGTCTGACATGTGAAGCTTCAGAATGAAATGGATTCAAATGCGCTTGTTTTCAATCTATGCTTGCGATTATAGGGCACTTTTATCATGAACGATATGCTGTCGTACAACAAAATTGATCCTATTTTGGGCATTAAAATAGAATTCTATATTGTGATGTAGATTTTAATCGGTTTTGTGCGGTGGCTGTAAATCAAGTAGATTATTGAACTCTTAATTTTATCAATATTAAATTTCAACTTTTCCAAAATTCTTTAAAAAATCAATCATCTACTGCGGCATGTTCTCCTACTGTTTTGCTGTACAACTAAGATTTGGTTTCTATCGTTTAAAAACCAAGCCACTTGATAGATAGCTGTTGTTAAACATACAACGTTTGCAAATATGTTGAAATCCAATTTAACTGATTTGCTAAGGGCATGTTAGGGGAATTTAACAATTGTGTCCTACTATTCGTTAGTACACTTCTTTTGAATTCAACGAAGCAGTTCCTCTGAAAGGCAATAATCAACTTTGCAGCAAATCGTTGAATTTAATCTATGTTGAGCTAGCCTGCGGGGATTGATACTTTTACTTACTCCTTAATCATCGATGTTTCCATCTCCCATTGTCTTGCTCATTTTTAAAAATATCACGACAACATTGTTGACTTCATGTATATCAGGATCGTTTTAAACCATTTTCCATAGTCAAGCCGTGCTATTTAAATGTGTTATTTATCCTTGGTAATTGCAACGCTAATAACAAACTAGAATACCATCAAAAGACTCAGGAAACTATGGTCTGTCTGACGGTAAGCAAAAGATCCTAGATTATTAGCATTTACCCAAAATTTTAGCAAAATCAATTTTTGATCGAATTCTAATTATTGATTAACACTTTTTTTGACTCATAGAGTATCTTTTAAATATCTGCCCCGTTCTAAGTGTTGCACAAGAAGCACACTACACCCATATCCAAAGTACCCAAATTCAAATTACCTTTAATAGCCCTAATGGACTCAAAAAAACATTTAGAATGTTGTAGCACTCACATTTACGATTATTCAGTATCGTCATTATTGCTAGTCATCACATTGGACTTGACAAAGGTAGTGAAGAATCAGAAAATTGAGTTGTATCATATAACTGTGGACGAGACTATAGCCAAAGAATATTGAATCCTTTAATCAAAAAAATCCAAATCGTGGAAGTAAGGGTATCGGTGGCTATTATTCCTTTCAGGCATTAAATTATATCATTCCGTGAGTTATGATAGACTTCACCCTGGACCAAAATTTAAGGGCGATATACAGTACTTGTTGATAGTGTTCCAGACTTCGAGTAGAAAGACATAAGATTATGGTACAATTCCATTTTAATTTTGAGGTAAAAGAAGTTTCTTAGTTGTGTGAAAAGTCTTATGGTAGCTATGGTGAATACAAATCACTTTAATTGCATTGAACGAGATAACAGATGCCCATTAAACGTGGCCAAGAGGTAGCTTCTTGGGTAACTTATTCGTTCATATAAAGGAAATTTCCAGTTTGTATTCGTGCCTATTTAGCTAGCATACGCCGTTTGTTGGAACGGCATAACGAAGTAGTGAAAATCAAAGTTGCTTGAAGCACACCATCTGAAGATACAGGGGTGGTACCAGCAGTGACATCATTGTCTAGTAACAATCATCATTTCACAAAACCCTCAGAATGAATCAAAAACATTGGAACTTATGCACAAGTTCTAAAACTACACTACAAACTAAGGTTTCAATGCAACGATTTCACTTAACTTTACTGGCATAATAAGACCTTGCAATAACCATTTTCTTGTATTAATCAATGGTTTAAGCTCACATTTACAAGAGTATCAAAAATATAGCTTTTTTTCATTGTGGGACAAGCGAAATGGAAGTCGATACGTATCTGCGTTACTAGATGCACACCGCGTGGAAATTTCAGTAGATCATTAGATACCTAATTGGGAATATCAAACCATGAGCCATGTTATGCTTCGTGTATCATTTCAACAGCCCCTTGCAAATCCATTTTGGGAATTCACAATGAAACCCATGCTCTACATTGTTCTTAGCAATAATAAAACCCTGGATTATATTATAATACATACGCGATTTGCGTGCTCAGAAGAAGTCTAACTATAACAAGGAGTGAAACAAAGCTCTATAATAGTGCAACCAGAATGCAATAACAGTCGTAATAACATTAAAAATAGCGTAAAGACAGAATCACTTGTTTTATTAAAAATGATTCATGGCGTCAGCTTGAGGAATTTCGGCATAATAACTCTGTAATGCTCGTCTTAAAGCAGGAACTAATTTATCCCACCTGAGAATACGTACTTCCTTGTCAAACCCACGGGGCTTTCTTGTTTCATAGCCCATAATTCTTTTAGCTAACTCCACCCTGCATTCGTGATTAGAAGGTGTACGATATGGAGGGTAGCTTGCTGCTATCTGTATTCTATTTTGCAAAGCACTCTCACCAGCGGCATGAGAATCGCTCATACGAGAACTGATAGGCTTTTTGGACCAAAAAGGAACCAAATTAGATCTAACCCTTCCTCTTTCGCGTCTTCTTTCAGCGGGATCCTTGAAATTTTGACCAATTAAAAGCTCCACGATCTCAATAACCTCAACAGAAGTGATATAATATTGGAATGCCTTTCCGCCATTGTTATCGTTATTCATTTGGCCACTGTAATACTCATCTTCACTGGAACTTGTAGCAGACTCATTTTCTGGGGCCTCTCCCTTAAACTTTGGGTACACATCACATTCTAAACATGAAACTTCAACTACCTTAGAGTTTGAATTTGAATTCTTAGAGTCAAGAGCTTCTGGATTATCCTCGGCAGAACCAAGAATATTGAAGTGGGCGATAACATTAGGACCGTTTTGAACTCTTTCAATACGGATAATTCTTCTCCGGTCACTTTTTTCAGAAGGATTCCACTTTGGTTTGCAAATATCCTCCATTGAAGCACCGTTAATGGATAATTCGACAGGCAAAAAGACAGAGTCTGATTCAAGTGATTCCTTTGGTGGCCTTGTACTGCTACCACCAGCAGAAATACCTCTTACGATCCTGTAGCTTGCCCTGGGATAGAAGGCAGTCAGTGTGTCATCATTATCTTGCTTGACTTCAACGTGCTTCAATTTACCACTTTGCCTACTCTTCGAAGGCATGCTCAAGTAGGTAGCAGAAGTGGGAGCCGAACTGTAGCTGTAGTATGGGGTAGAAGAACTTTCATAAACTGAAGGAGTTCCTGAGTAATTTGACTTTGCACCCACAGGTAATGATAAGCGTTGTGGTTGGTGAGGTGTGGGTGGAATAGATTGATCCATGCCATAACCGAAATTAGGGTTGGATGTGGAGAATGAGTCTCTTCTTGAACTACTATAACTCGATTCAGGGTAAGAATGTTGCGGATACATTTGTTGCTGCTGGTGAACAGGGATTTGATGTGGTGTATGACGAAAGTTGTCGTACTTTGAAGCAGGGGTATGATTTTGAGGAGTAGTAGCTGATGGTGGAAATTGAGTTGTCATCGAAGAGCCTGATGTGTGACTTTCGAAGATGTTATCATTTTCAATCTGTTGACCAGCAATTGGTATGCTTGAAGAAATGCCAGTGGAATCTATTTGAGGGGGAATTTCGCTGGATGGTGTGGAAAATTGTTGATAATAATTAGGGGCCACGTTGAAATCGGAATTAAAGTGGGCTTGCTGTTGAACTTGTGGTTGGTATTGAGGGAACAGTTGTTGTTGTGGTAGTAGAGGTTGTGATTGTGGTTGTATTTGTTGAGGCATATGTTGGGTAGCTTGAGAGAGATTGTTACTGTATGGTTGACCAGCATCCATAGGTAAATTGTTGGCAAAGGATTCGTCCAAGTTGTTAATAGATGACGAATTAGTTGGTGGAAAGTTGTTCGATGTTGGAACGTAGCCCTGATAAGAACTAGGCTGGTTGTAGGTGCTCTGACTTTGAGAGTCAAATTGATTGTAGGAGAAAGAGTCTGGATCATCCATTGTTGATCGGGAATTTGAATTCATATATGACTTGTTTTTGTAATAGTTGGGACCGTTAAAAGTCTGTGGGGAGTTCTCGACTTCGTCGCCAAACGGCATAGAAAATAGTTGCAAGTCTTGGTAGCCATTCGCATCATCAGAAGGGCCACTCATATCCATTGGAGAAGTTGACAATTCAAACAAGTGAATCAGCATTGGACTCTATTATGCCACAGCAATGGTTGATATGAAACCAATGATATAAAATAAACGGCGAAAGTTGCAATTCAAAGAAACTACCTAATAGTCAGCAACCAGATGTGGATCAACCCACGAAAAGAGCCAGATCTATAGGAAAAAACTTGGATTCCAAGTAAACACTCACTTTGATTCAATCTGAAATCAAGGCTGGAAAACGCGGTTATTGGTTTGCATGGACTGAGCTACGGTAGGGCAGCGATTCCAAACTCTGAAATTTCAGTTATATGTCTTATGCGTGGTACGCACTACTGAAGAGTAGATTGTATAAGGGTGTCTTGCGAGTATTGTATACAGCCACTGACACTTCTTGTACCTGACCACAAAATAGATTTTCTTACAATATACCTCAAACCTGGTGCTCTGGACACAATATGAAAACGTCTTTCAAGGCACGGGGGATGGAGATGCAGCTAGGAGCAGCTGAGGAGGTGATGACTATTTGTGTTTCGCACTATCGTGAACCTTCCCAGTTTCGTAAGTAAAATTGATACAGCACTTGAACAATTCAATCAGGAAGCACTTTATCGAGATGATGCTTTCTTCGGTTGTTGAATGGGATACACTTATTTGACACTCACGCACCGAAATTGGATTAGGGCAGCAGAGTCAAGGTTTGGGGATCAGGAAATGTGCTTGTGGAAGTACAACGATGAGCCACGAAAGAGAATCGGACACTAAGGAGAAGACTCTGATTAGTTAAGAGTTCAACCAAAAATAAACGAAGGGATTATAGGGATAATGTAAGGATGTTCCACTTGTATTAATACTCGCTGCCGATGATAACGGTAAATGTTCTTCAAGTAATGTCCACTAAGTGAGAAGTGGGAGAAATATAGCCTGTGTAAGCTGATAAAGTAATTTGAAACAAAAACAAGAAATCACACTGAAGTTAAATTCGAGAGGGATCAAAGGGTTTTAAATACACCATTGCTTGTTGTTGATGGCTCCAAGGAGATATAAATAATTTCTCGCAACCTGAAGATGCCAAAAGCCAGAAACAGAAGCGTCAATGATTAACATGGTTCAACTTTGATTAGCGGGTTTTGTAGAACAAATGAAAAAACTATCATTCATGCATAAAAAATAAAAAGAATAAGAGAAGAAGTTACAGAGAAGAAACTGTATGCATCAGAGGCTATGTGTAAATTTTGCTGTGCATAGCTGGAGTGCATCATATTCACAGGATTGCCCTGCCAAATTCCTTTTTGCGCCAGCCAGTTATGCACTGCAAATCAATACCCAAAAACACAATAAAAAAATAAAACGAACAATGCCCTTATGTCAGTCCGAGGTAGCTTTCTTAGCGCCCGAAGTAAAGTAAAAGCCAGTGGGCGCATAACGTACAGATAATATTCCTTACTACAGGCATCTTTTCTACTCACAACGGTCACCAAAGCAGTATATCGGCGTAATAATAAATCGGGCTTAATCTTTTTCTCTCCCCGGCACCCTTCCGCAGATTTGAACCGTATCTTGCTTTCCCCACCAAGGGCTTGTTTGTGTCAAGGCAATGAACACTGTATTTCTCAATTTCTCCTCAGTAAACAACCTACCGGGGTGCTGGACTGTATTGTAGAGTTCCTTCCGTCATTAATCAAAATACTGCAATCTCATGCATCGATAATTAGTACGAGCCCATATTGAGGTCTGGGTGATCAGCTAGAACGAATAGCATGGAAATCACAACGAGTGGGCAACTTGGTGAGGTACACCCCCCTCATCCTCGAAGCTTGCTTGGATTGTGACGTATGAGAAGAAACGAGACCCAAACCATCCAAGTAAGCCATACGTCGACTCGCATTGCATGACGCCCGCGTTTTCCTGTGCAGGCTAGCCTGTGGTATGTTAGGAAAGTGTGAGGAAATGCACAGAATAAGTAAAGGAAAAAAGTTAACTCAATGCAGCTTTTGTTTGTTCACAAAAACAACACTAATCAATGCTTCTGCATGCGTCGGCGCATGCATTTGCTCATCATAAAATAACACACTCAGCCCTCTCTTACACTCCTAGCCTATAACATTTTAGTTGTGGTAATACTGAGGTTTGTAGAGTGGAGAAGCGATTAGTTGTGGTGTCCGAAATGTAACGCCAGAAATCACTAAATTGGTTCTCAACTCTTAAGCTTTCTTAAATAACCGAGGTTACTACAAGTAGCATGTTTCATACAATAGCCCTTTTGAGTTGGCCGTTTACCATTGGTTACTAGCCATAATCTTATCTTGTATTATCATTCGGGAAGGTAGTACAAGATATTCGCTTACATAATGGTATAAGGAGTTTACAATAAACTGGCAGAGAATTAAGTCATTTTAGTGCAGTGCCTTATTGACGGCAAAAGATAACATACTTCTGGCTTTCTATCGGTCAGTATGAGTAAGATGATATAGTCATCAAGAGCCGTGCACTTATACCTAATCATACTAATCTATAAAAAGAAACTTGAACGAGGTCGCAACGAGTTGGGGATCTACGCACCGAACGATTCGTTTTTGCACTCATACACCCAAAAAGAAAGCCCTATCAGCGTAACCTTCCCCTCCCCTCTCTTCCCCCACTTTCGGGCATGATAGCCATCGCAAGGTTTGTACACTACTCAGAATGTGGCGACACTTGTTCGCTAGAATTGTTCATAATTCTTTTCCCATGATATTGAGATGATACTTTGCCCAAGTTTGTTCTATCCGTGGGAACATATCCACTATAGAAAGCTCTGGTGAACGATTTGTGAAAATCCAGCCACATCTTTTTAGCCCCCTCATGCCTTTTATTTTCTGTGCACCACCTTCTTCTCTAAGAAAAGTTTCACTGCATTATTGGCTAATCTCAGGGATGTTAGCGAATTATTTCAGCCTCAGCATAGATGGAGACATAACCCCGAACAAGTAATTTTAGCTACCGGTGAATGGAGTCGAACGGCAAAATTTCAAAATCAACACGTAGATTAACTGGATTGGGTTTATCAGAAAATTCAAACCGTTGAACTTCCCTTTAAAACCTGTCTCTAAAGATGTGATGCATCTCATGGTTGACAATATGTGATCCAGTTGCCTCCTTTTGTATGGGATAGAAACTATTCACGAATAAAGTTTGAGCGCAAAACGGATATCCTGCGTATGGTCAAAACATTCTTTGTAAAAGGAAGGTTTTTTTATTGTTCGGTGGCGTAGAACGCACTGATCGCCAGACGCTAACCCAAGTTCTTTCGCAGGGAATTATACTCTACGGCTTATGGCCAGTTGAATTATTTCTTTTAAAAATGTATGCATGCATACATCCAAATTGTGCATCAACGACACAAATCAAAACAATAAGACAGTTGCTAGAGAATTTACCTGTGATTCCATAACATGCTTCAAGTATATGCTACAGCCGTTTTCGTTTACTTCTACCCATAGGAATGGCCTTGCATCGAACTGATCTGTTTGAAGATGATCATCGAATTTCGATTACTCCGCCAATTATTGCATTTGCGCCAGAGATTCGTATCTGTCTGAGAAATACTTCTGCTTACCCGAATACCAACGGCTAATTGTGTTGACCATGTTAATTACTAATGAGGCAACAGCTCGGGAATATAATAGTGGGGGTCACCCAAATAGTCAAATTATATAGGCTTTTTTAACTAAAGCCTTGAGAAGATATTCGGGCTTTGGAAATGTGATTTTCTAATTAAGTATTATCCTAACTTTATTGTTTTCTATACTCAAATTGAACGGAACTATCTAAATTTGCCCGATCAAAGTATGTTTGTTTTACCATGACTTGATATGCCGGAATATTTCTTCTCTATTGTGATTGGAAAAAGAAAAACAGTGGCTTTGTTAATCACTCAAGGAATTTTCAATGCAAGCGGACCTCAACTAATTTTCCCCGAAAGGAGGAAGATGAACGTAAAAAAGCTGAACAATATAGAGTATGTCATTTATTGTTGTTCAAAGAACGGAATCTTTTCTTCAGACCTCCGATTATTCACCATATATAAGGAGTTATACGGATATAACAATCACTACCACTCGACCGTTAGTTCTTGGTGTACTTGACACTTGACGCGATTATAGGCTTGAATCCAGCAAAATAAAAAATCCATCATTATCTACGGATGGTTGAGTTGATTTATCCCTCGTTATCTCTATTATCAGTAGATACGAGTTATCAAGGTAATGGTGATTCTATGCTCATGAAATATTTTTTAATACTGATGTAATGATGCTCACTATAATTTTTCCGGCTTAATTATATGCAAATTATCACCAAGTCCCTATAGCTTATGAAGGAAAAGGCTTAAAAAGCTTACATCATCTCACATCTTTAAGCTTTGTCAACTTTGAGGTCAGGGTCCAACTGGGAAATATATCGCATCTAGTTTGATTGCGGTGTTGATCACAATTCAATAAATTACCTGGAACCTTATGGTTCCTATTTACAAGACTTTTTGGTCTAGCATTTCGCATCACTCAGAGCATTCCTTCAGACTCTACCACCATATTCTAAAAATAGGTCTTATACTGCATTGAAGATGCTATGTCAGATTCGTCTTTAGCATTTATGCTTAGGATAGTCTAAGGCCAGCCTCAGCTGCAAAAATTAGCAAGGAATGCAGGTTGACTTCAGAAAAGGGCTAAGTTTGGCTCATGCACATGTAATGTGCGTTTTGCAAGTGAATTTTGAGACATCGAAGCTTGACACTTTATATTAGAGTGGAAAATAATGCGATGCAGTTAATTTTCCTTAACTAAGGTTAAATTAGTAAAACCTATTGTCGAATCCACATATACGTCACTACCTAATAGAACTCTGTAAGTGTATGGGTAACAAAGCCATGTCATGCAATTGTAGTTACAACTTTAAAGTTCATTACTAATAGCAAGATTTATAGTCAATCAATTTGTTTGTCTTGCAGGATTACACGGCATGTCAACAGTGCAATATGATAAATGCAGCTTGTAACGAGTTTCCAACGGCAAGATTTATGCGCCAACGTTTTAAACTGTATGCAACTTGGAGCAATATTAGCATCATTGGTCACAGATTAGTTTTGTAGCATTACCGGCAATGCTACATTCGTACTGTTTGGTCTTCCTCTGTATTATTTTTAGCATCTTGCAAATCCCGATACCAAATGTCCTGTTCAAAAACGTCGGATCAAAATGTGCATTTGAGGCGACTTCGATTAAAGCCCCCGTCCCAAACGAGTCTGTGGTGCTACCGGCAAGCAACCGTATTTGGTAACACGGCACTCTGTCAAAATATTCTAGCTACAGAGCATTCTCCATGTTAATTAATACATCAACTACAGCCCACTTTCATGAACAAATGTTAAAATGTATGACCAAGCTATTTTTATTCCATCCATCGATGTTGTCGATATCGTTTTGTCAGGATTAGTCAGTCTCGTAAGAACCAATGATCTTGTACAATAGAACACTAACTTTAAATAACATGCTGTACTCGTATCCTGCCAACTAATGATTTACTACAAGTGGTTCTACAATTGATATCACTCACACGGTGTGCTTACATCCTGATATCCTGAGTTATGGCCATGTGGAGGATATTGGTGCACTGTTTCTAACACTGCTAATTGTGTCCGATAGTGGGGTTGATCTGAACGTCTCATCGCATCACCGCACCTTGAAAAAGAAATTTTCACAGAATAAAGATACGGCAAAACAGAATATGCATAAAGAAAGAAAGAAAGAGCAAAGAAAAAGAAATTTCAGGAGAGGTCCATTGCGGAATTATTTTTATTGTCGTTCATGGAACAAAAGATAGGGTATACAAGTGGTGCAAAATAATTCTATTGCGCCGATTGGATTCTTGAAGGAACAATTCATGTGGTATTATTGCATATCGGAAGTTTCGCCGACTATTTCCTGGCCCTTGGGGAACTAACCTTGAGTCCCCGGTTTTGGTTGTCAGTAAGTGGTTTTATGTTTATTTTTCCATTACTTCCCCACCTAAAGCATAATTGCTTTTGTAAGAAACCCTAGCTCGTCTTGATTTACGTCTAACGCAGCTATTATTACTTACTCCTCATTAGGGTCTTGGTCACAGCGTGATCTGACACGGGCAATGCTGGAAAATGTAGGCGATACTCAGTCTACTTTGTTAGTTTGAAAGGTTCGCTTGTGTTTATAATTTTACTGGCGCATTAGACGCTTTCAATTGCGATTTCATTACCTTCTATCGCATTAGTTATTATATACTACACACATTATGACTATAAATATGACTGTAAGCTTTATTCGATGTTACCGATAAATTGTCCTAGTTTAGGTGTTTGGGCTGGCAGTGACATGGCGCATACACATTTAGTAAACGCAGAACCTCTTATCTTTTTGTTCCTTTCTTCATGTGGACTTTACTATCTGTGGTGAGGGCTTTCAAACATGTAAAGTCATGTGCAATTGAATCATCGTTGTAGCGACGTGAGCTATTTGATTCAAGAAAAATATTTCTAGGTCACGGGCTTATGTTAAAAATTAACTTTACAAGTTGGTGTAGAGCAAGCATTCCAGTTTTCTTCCTTATCTAGTTATAATAATTAACAAAGAAAATGTTGGCTGTACGCAGTTCTGTTAAAACTATATACAACGAAAGCTGATTGTCTTTACCTTCTTCATAAGAACACAAAAATCCAGTTAAGGTTTTATATTCATGCACAACTCTATCATGTTCAAAACACCTCCCAGATACACCAATATAGGTAAAAACAATTACTCTCAAGTAATTACTATATACGCATCATGGCGGTTAAACACTTGGATGTTATAATCTTTCCTTCATTAGCTCAAGTAAATGAATAATGTGCTAAGTGAGCTAAACGTCTATTTCGATGCATGGAACAGATTAAAGAAACGGTTGGCAAAACCTTCTACATCATTTTGTTTTATCTGAAATATGTGTGTCGCATTACCCATAAAATGTTCTAAAATTTATTCAAAGTCGTCCTGTCATCATTTTAGATTCCGAAAGCTGTTGACATGATGTAACCGTGCTATCTGAGTCAACGCCAACCGAGCTACTCATTTACAACTGTGGGGATACTGATTTGCTAGTTTTGGTTTCATCGAATTTTTCCAGTTCGAATGTCTGACGCCGACGGACAAGAGGATAGAATATGGGACAATATTTGAATTTTTTCAAAGGGGCGCTTAAAGTTATGAAGTATACGTTGCGTATATGTAATTAACAATTGGAAAATACTGTATAAGGTAAACGGTTGCTTGTCATCTGCAGATGTAGGAAGAAAGTTTAAACTAGTGGTGTGCATCTTGTCCTTTTCGGGTATTACGCCGAGCGCATCACGCGGATACGTGACGAAATACATCCACTCTATTGTTTACATCCAACATCCCTACAATCTGTTCCGAATAAGGTGCACTTTTTTTGGTGAGAATAAATGGGCGAAGTGCGTCATGATCTTTCACTTCATTTAGTGTTTGGCCCGTTGTCCATCAGAAGCAAACGTTTTCAGATGCGGTCAAAATGCAATTTCCAAACTCAAATATACTGACTTCATGTCGCTATGCCATGAATTTATTCAACACATTGTGTAGTTATCTTCTATTATTAACTTACATCTTGTCAATAGAAGAAATTATCTCAATTTGGTCTGACTTTGATGTTCAGATGATTAGTTTCTATTTTGAATTCTTGTGGTCTCACGAAAGTTCTTTTACGTAAAGATTCCTTTCAATCATTAATTGTAATTTATCCTTCATCGATTTTATTACCGATGAAAACACTATTATACCATTATTGAAGTTTTATTCCCATGGCTGCCTTACAACAGTATTGTCGAAAGGCTGATTAGAAAGGGTTATATTTTATTGTTTGTCGTTTCTAGGACGAAAAGATTGTTGCAATCTTTTTTCCTTCATCCAACAGTTTTACATGTAAGGAAGGGAAACCAAAAAAAAAAGTATAGGAGTGGTATTGACATTTGTAATAGACTATTTTAATTATGAAGCAAATAAAATGGATAGACAGTGCTGGCGATAACCTCACTTGTAATGTTATAATTCTTGATTGCGTCGTCACCTCTGACAAACTCGTTTTTGTTGCATGGATTCAATCTCCGAGTTAATCTATGGTATCGAAAACCGTCGTGCATTTCTCTAAAAATGTTCACTTGCAGATACTTGCATGGGATATTTCTTCCATGCTTATTTTTAAGCACATGTGCATTGCAGAAATTTGATTTGGTAGTTGCACATAGCTGTTATACATTTATAGCAACTTTAAGATGTTAAGTTTAGGTAGGCTATGTAGCGTTTGAGAAGATGATTCTCGGATTAGTTTTTACCCAAGTGGCTTCTTTTCTTCGTTGCAACTTTATTGAGAACTTGGCAACTCTATGCTAACAAGAGACTATGACGCAACAACAATCTACAATCTTATGTCACACCCGTAATTTAACACGCAGTTGTTACTATTCTTAGGTTTTACAATTAAATTGATGTCCTGTTTTTTGAGGATGCCTCTGATAGAGTAGTTGTAGTGAGCTACAATCTGTGTGTCTCCTTCAGAGTATTAACACAAGATTTCAATGTGTTCTAGATCCATAGTATTTTTCTATTTTTTCCTCCTGTTTCCTCCTTTGACATCTACGTAATGTCTTTCACATGGTATGCAGAATCAATTATGGGAATATTCGATAGTGCTACAATAATCTGCACGAATACTGATGATATGATCATTTAATATCTACAATTTTTGCTTAGTGAACCTCTAGAACGCTTTTGCTATAACTTGGGTATGAACTGCATGCGCAACGTTGTTTTAGTGGGAAAGAAATGGTGCAATTTTTGGTGTAAGGGGCTTTACTTATATACCCCACATATTGGAGGGAGAAATCTGTACTGATAAGAGCGAGTAAACTAATTTTACTTAGCTCCGCTAGGTATAGTTTTCTTTATCGTATTCTCTCGAATGGTTAAAACATACTTATAGATTACAATACTTGGTCTAGAAACATGTTGAATTTGCGCAAAAATACCTTGAAATTTTCCAAAAAATGTTAACCAACTGCGACCAACACATAAAATAACTTCAAAAAAAAAGGCATACAAAGGGCTTATGTGAATAAAAAAGAAACCTTCCAATCAGTGACTGTTTAGTACGGAATTAATGCAGTCCCTTCCATCAAAAGCCGCTGGAGGGATACTCCGACTGATTTATATATGTGCTCATTCAGTAGTCTCTCATCACCTCAACACTTGACCAATTTGCGCAGGCGAACTAAAATCTTATGACAGTTAATGAGGACGACACTTAAGGTTGCACACGGCCAAGTTTAATGAATAGCTTAATTAAATAAGTTAAAGCATACGTATGAATATATAATGGTTGATTCAAACACCGCGGAAGAAATAGACATTGGTAACATTCTAGACGTGGTCTACCATTAGTTGGTCAGAATCAAACATGTGGGAAAACAAAATACAATAGATTGGGCATCCCAGTTCAAATGGTACCCTTCTTGTCGTAAACAGGATAGTACTTGTTGAAGAAAAACGAATCTGCTGTGATCAAACCTGTGATAATAGCAGCATGCACACCAATAACCAATTTACTTTCAGAGTGTATTCTGTGACATTCCTTAATACCAAAGTAACCCGCAATAGCAGCAGTAATACCCAACAATCCTTGTACAACCACAACTGGGTTTTGCAATTCAACCAAAGCACGATCCGCAGCTACTTGAGTTTGAGGGACGATATTGGAAGTGAAAGAATAAACCAGTTCCTTTGTTTGAGATGCAGTAAGCACAATCTGATCCCAAACCTTCTTTAAGAAACTGGCACCTTCATCTTCCCATTCCTTTGCCTTCTTAGACAATTGCTCCTTTTTCTCCTTAGCATCCTTCTTCAATTCGTTAACCTTGACCTTTGCATCCTTCTTCAACTTCTCAAACTCCTCCTCGGGGACAACCTCAACGTTGCCTTTTGGTTCTATGGTGGTTTCAACTTGAGGAGGCGAGGGGATCTTTTTGGCTCCAGCGGGTCCAGAAGATGCGGCAGCTTCAGCGTAACTCATGATAAATAATTAAGACTAAGATAAATATGCTCTGGGGATTGACGTATTGACTACAACAAGGAAGAATATGTAAAAGTTAAAAAGAAGAAGAGAAGAAGAAAAAGAAGTCGTGAAACATTGTCCACTAAATTCAAGTCAAATTAAGGAGCAAATCCCTGATACCCATGTAAAGGGAGTAGAACTATGGTGTTCCATTTTAGGCTGCCTTAGAAAATCAAATGGCCTAGCTAGATTGCTTAAAATCCTGCAGGCAGAGCCGTCAAACTTATCAGACACTGGACAGAGCTGAAGAGAGCTGACAGTAATTACATGAACACATTGTAAAATAAAAGAGTAATACAATGTCTCTAATGCCTGTGAATGTAGCAGTAGACTGTCTTGTGTCTACCCGACATTATCTACAAATAGTACAACGAGACTCGTAATTAGTGTCCTTCCGACATTTTTTAATTATGAATGACAAGCAACAAAAAATATTAAACACCGGTTCTTAAGTGCGATCCCACAGCTTGCTGAGTCCCCACAGACAGACTTAATTCTACATTCTAAGCCAAAACCAGTGGGGACCATGATGCGTGCACAAACCACTGGTTGCAACTGACAGACAAAAAGACAGACCTACTTATGATGGGGATTAAGTTCGTTTCAGACACCCGTGACTCCATAGGAAAAAAATGGTTTCATGAAACAGGAGAAAACACACCATAATTTGAAGTTTGTTGTAGTGTTGGAATCAGTGTCTGGTAATTTGCGAGTGAGTATTTTTTTCATCAGACACAAGTGGAAATCCACGGAATTCCAAACTGCCCAACTGACAATCATGTTTGCTGTGGCGTACAACTACATCTATATCATAGAAGCAATTTGAAGTGTTCCAGTTACAATTCCCCACAAAACTAGTTCCTGATAAGACACTTTTCTTTGTGATCTAACGGACACCATTGTAGTAGGGCTCTACCACGCGTAATAATATATTGTGAAGAAAAAGCACCAGATTAGCTCTGCAATAACTTACAACAACAAGCGTGAAAGTATCGGCAATGCCTACAAGATAGATCATACAAGCAATAAAGATAAAGATATTCAATCAAGTAAATCATAGCTCACACAATAACCCACACACATCACGTGATAAAAACGTGTCTTTAATACGTTACTACAAATACAGGGCTTTAACCCTAAAAAGTGCGAAGTAAAATTTTCACCAGATGTGTTACGGAAACTAATGAAAAACTTTTAGACAGAGTGAAATTAAACATCGTCTTACTTAGTTCCTCATCTAATTATCGATTGAAAACCAACACCCCGGCTTTCCGCGTAACATTCCGATAATAAGAACGTATTAATTCAGAAAATGTCTGCTCCAGCTCAACAACAAGCCCCAAAGAGAAACTTCGGTAGAAGAGGTGGCCCAAGAAGAGGTAGAAGAGAAGAAGAAAAGGGATGGACTCCAGTCACCAAGTTGGGTAGATTAGTGAAGGCCGGTAAGATCACTTCTATTGAAGAAATCTACTTGCACTCTTTGCCAGTCAAGGAATTCCAAGTCATTGACACCTTGTTGCCTGAATTGAAGGATGAAGTCATGAAGATCAGATCCGTTCAAAAGCAAACCAGAGCCGGTCAAAGAACCAGAATGAAGGCTGTTGTCGTCATTGGTGACTCTAACGGTCACGTTGGTTTAGGTATCAAGACTGCCAAGGAAGTTGCTTCTGCTATCAAGGCTGCCATTGTCATTGCTAAATTGTCCATCATCCCAATCAGAAGAGGTTACTGGGGTTCCAACTTGGGTGCTCCTCACTCTTTGCCATGTAAGGTCACTGGTAAGTGTGGTTCCGTTGCCGTCAGATTGATCCCAGCTCCAAGAGGTAAGGGTATTGTTGCTTCTCCTGCCGTCAAGAAGTTGTTGCAATTGGCTGGTGTTGAAGATGTCTATACTTCTTCTTCCGGTTCTACCAGAACCACTGAAAACACCTTGAAGGCTACTTTCGTTGCTGTTGGTAACACTTACGGTTTCTTGACTCCTAACTTGTGGGCTGAAAACAAGTTGGCTGCTTCTCCTTTGGAAGTTTACGCTGAAGAAGCTGCTGCTGGTAAGAAGAGATACTAAATGTATTGAACTCTTATGTATTTTTAATAAATCTAAAGTAGTTTTCATCTCAATTATATTGTAATATCGTATTAAAGCTTAACTATACGAGGGTATCTATTTACGAGTTACTTATCCATAATGCACATACGAGAGATTGACACATTTGAAACATTTAAATTGTATCATTGAAGTCGTAAAAAATCTATACCTATTAACCAATAATTTCTATAATCCAATCCCGTTGAATGAATAAATAAATGTGTGAATGAGTGAGTGAAGTCGGCCATCTATATCCCTAGTGACAACTTTAATGCAGACATACTTCGTTTAGTCCACTGAGTTTGATAAATGTGTATTTAGTTTTGTACTGTAATGTACTGTATTGTATTGTAGTTTATTTTATTTTATTCTATTTTCTTCATTTTTTTTTTTTTGTTTATAAAATAGCTTACAAATAATTATAATATGCAGCCATAACAAGGTTATTACTGCTGAACTTGTCCCATAATCTGATCGTCAGGAACTGCAAAAGGCCTTGAATCAGTGGAACTACCAGAGTCTCTCGACCAACTATTTGGTTGAATGACTCTACCTTCCGGATGTCTGAACATACAGTTTTTGTTCAGACATTGCATGCCAAATCGACAATCTTCATCAATAGGATGTGAGAAATAACAGTTCATACGGACACAGTTAATACCTTCACGACATGGAGTGACTGTGGTTGCATGTCTTCTGGGGCATTTGTGGTTGGTACAGTTTGGACCATATTTACATTGTTCCAAGACCTTTTGAACATTGGGAGGACCCCCAGCAGCATTACCGTTGGAAAATGACGGAAGAATAATCTTCGGTTCTTGTTGATAATTTGGTGAAGGATGTGCTAATTCACACGAAGGATCACTACATCCTTTACCAGCTTGACACCAAGCAGGTTTGAAAACTTTGGCATCTTTGTTGGCAGGTGTTGGATGACCAAATGGACAAAGTTCCTTGGAACAAATAACTCCAAACTTACACAATGTAACAGGGTTTAAGGCTGCTAACTTGTTTATTTCATGTTGAGCTTTTGATTCCTTCAACTTTTCCATCAATTCTTGATCTTGATCAGGATGTAAATAGTTACAAGTTCCTGGAGGATTTGGACAATTGGGCCAGGCAAAACATTGCTTTGTAGGATGTGAAAATTGACAATCTCTATTCTTACAACCAGGGAAATTTTTACATCTACCCAAATTTGGTTTAGGTGTAAACTTCTTAACTTGAGTTTGATTTCCTGGCATATTCAAAGCCTTCTCAAGGTTAGCGGGGTTCTTCAATGCGAATGATTTCATCTTAGGGTTGGTTTGTTGGTTCTTACCGAACTTATTGATACCACCACGAGTACTGGTACCTCTCATTCCTGGTCCATGGCCACCTCTAGTTGCGTAACGTTTAGGGCCACTGGGTAAAACAGGCATCATGTGAGAATTAGAGTCTTCATCCATCAACAGGGGGTTATGGCCTTGAGATTCACCAGGAGCCTGAACTTGGACATGAGGATGGGAATGCACCGGTTGTATTTGGACTTGTTGTTGGGTCTGTTGTTGTTGATCCGGTGGCGAAACCTGTTGTTGTACTTGTTGTTGTTGTACTTGTTGTTGCTGAACCTGCTGTTGAGGTTGAGGTTGATGTTGATGTTGTTGATGTTGATGATGATGATGATGTTGTTGTTGAGGTTGTTGTTGTTGTTGTTGTTGCTGAGGTTGCTGAGGTTGTGACTGCCGTTCCTGTTGCTGTTGAACTTGGCTACCATTAGCCAAGTTGTTCAACCGTATGATCTCTTGGTAGATCGACTGAATAAAAGACTCGTCCAAAACCATTTCCGATATATCCTTGACTTCATTGATGATTTCGGCTGGACTTTTGTTCGCCACTATCAAAACCACGATATATTCGGCGATATCTGCTGCATCATCACCAATGGCAAATTTGTTCTTCAATTCATAAGTCAAGTTCTTCTTCAACTCGAGACCAACAGGTCCATCAGGATCAAAGTGGGTAGACATTTGTGTAATGATTGATGATAAAGAAGTATATTAGAAATCCAAAGATCCTTTACTCATCACTTTTATTTCTTGAAGAAGTTGAGGACAATTTCCGTCACGTGACAAAAGGAAAGGTATCACGTGATTAAAAATACACAACCACGTGATATGAAAAATCTAGACTAATAAAGTGTCGTCCACTATTGCAGTATGATATGCTTACCTATACCAATTCAAATAACTCTTCGGAAATACCTCCATAAATGTCCTTAATGACTTTTATGATAATATCCAACTCATTGGTAATAGCATTGGTAACCAAAATATAAGAGTATAATAAAACGTAATCATCTGTAGTCAATATGGATTCCGTCATTCGTCTGATATTGTTTAACTTGACCAACATCCGGTCCAATGCATGTTCAGTAGAAGCAGGTTTATTTGGTAGAGGAAACCCTAACTTTAAAGCACTAGTAACCATGTAGAAGATCAAAAAGATCCGTTGTTGAATCTCATGTCTATCGGATTCAGTAAGGTCAAGTACATGCTCTTCCCCCGGAGATAAGTTCGGGTCGACTTGAACAATCAAATCCAAGTTCTTGAACGAACTTAAGATATTTGAAGTACTTTTAACCAATTTTTCGTATTCAGACAGTCTGAAGGGTCCCTTCCAACGGAACTCCAAGGGAGCCTGTTTAACTAAAGTTTCACATTCTCTTAGTAAGTTATTCATTTCCTTTTCGTCCCGTATTCCAACCAATTTTTTAGAGCACGGATCGTATTCAAAGGGGTCACAGTTCCAATTGACCCCCATTCTTAACCAGAGAACTGACAAGGCCAATTTCAATCTTCTCCTAGCACTATTGGGAAGAAAGAACGTCGCCATAGTCAAAGCAAATACAATCCCTATGGAAACAGATATAAATCTGTGGAATGCAATTTCTCCCACTATGGGGTTTTCCCCACCTTCTCTTCCATCTTCGGTATCCTTCTGTACCATTGAATAAGAATACAACGCCGTTAAGTTGTAGGTCAAAAGGATGAACCTCCCAAAGGGGTTGTTCTTCTTCCAGTAGATGATAATGTAGAAGGAATACAACGAGATAATAAAGCCAGATAATGCCAATGCATATGGGTTCCCATCAGTTAATGTCCAAACAGCATAAGCTAGAAATGAGCCCATGAATGTCCCTAAAAATCTCCATTTAACAGTCATATTAGTACCTCCGAGCGACTTGTTCATCATGATACAGTAAACTGTGAGTGCCCATTCGAGTCTCCACTGTATGAAGATTTCCTTTGTGGGAGGCCAGAACGCAAATGACGACATAATGAAGGCCCCTAGCCCTACTCTGATCCCAAATTGAATATCTCGTCTGGATAAAAATCGAAACATAGTGTAGGTTTTCACTCTGAACCGTTGTACAAAGTTGTCTTTGGGTAAGTTGGGTTTCTTAATTTGCTGAGACCTAATCTGCTCCTGTAGATCAAAAATCGCTGCATTTAGAGTACTCCCATAGGATGCAATCTTGGCTGCCGCTTCTCTACGTCTTGCCAATCGACCTGAAGGGTTGAACGTCTTGTTGAACCACATCTTTAACCAATCCCATGATCTTGGAGACCTTCGTTTATCGTCGTATTGCTCGGTTATCTTCAAAAAGTCCATCAACTCTCCAGCAAATGAAACCAATAAACTACTAAAGTTCCCACAGATAGCAGCCACTTCCTCTTGAGCCGTTAGGAAATTCCAGTCTTCATTGCTGCCAAAAATTTTCTGTTCGTACAAAGTGCCTAAAGCTTGGTTCTGTTTAATCTTGTATAGGTCCATGGCTTGGTTCAAGGAGTCTTGAAACTGTCCGGTTTCAATAAACTTATAAGGATCGTCATCTCTCCTCTTTTCGAACGGAACTTGGGCTAAAATACCCTTCATGGTGAAAATAAACGACTTCATTGAAGGTCCCAAATGATACACAAACATGTCAAAGAGTTCACTTGGATTAGTGGCACTCTCTGTGTTCCCATAGTCAATAGCAGTCATGTTCTCCACGCTTTGGGAAAGACTATATGAACTTGAATGGTAGCTATCAAAGCTAGCAACAGAACCATTGTCATCATTACCATTGCCACTATTGTTATTACTATTCTCGTTAAGAACTTGGACTTCCATCTCGTATGAACATTTCAACGCTGATAATATCTCCATAGATGTGACTGTGGACTCAACCAATTCTTTCAAGGTATACCATTCTTTCTCGTTCCCCACCAATAGCAATTGATATTTGGCTTCGCCCAATCGTTTACTTAAATCCGCCTGGTGTTTCTTTAGTTTGTTAAAGATGTCATTCTCCTTGGTGCCGGTGATTCTTTCCCCAACAAGAAATTTGTACGAAACCAACGATAAAACCGAGGAAATGGTGTTATAGGAATCGTTAAGTGACTTCCGGAGCTCGTGAACAGCATTCTCCGGAGCAATAAGATAACAAACCAACACCGAGGTCAAACATCCCAGCAGGACAATCCAGAAATGAGCCAAGAGTCTTTCTATGGGTATCAGGGCTGAATTTTGGCTTCCTTCCTTAACAATAGACGTCACAATTGTAATGTACGCTAAAGAACATGCAGTGTTGAAGGTTTGTAGGTTGACCTTCTGCTTCATAAATGCTATGACCCCCAACGACACAGAAGAGAAGATGAGGTCTAGAACATGACTGATTTCGTCTTGTCCCTGAAGATAGACAAAGGCGGCTATCATTCTGCACCCAAAACTAACCCCGAAACTGAATAGTAACGAGACAACAACAAAGATCAACGTCTGTATCATTGAGCCTTGAGATCTTGCAGGATGGAAATATACGGCTACAGTTGCAACCACATGTTTAGAATCAGATTTCCCTAGTAGCTCGTTGAAGGGAGTCCAATATACTGCAAATGAAGCAATGAAATATGCAACAGAACACTTGAAAACATTCCATACAATTGCAGATTTCCATGCATCAATAAACAACTTTTTGGCACGTAGTATTTGTAGTTTGCACCAATCTCTGTAACTTAGTCGAAGTAGATTAGCACCACCAACTAACGGAGTGTTCTCATCAATGGTATGAGAAAAAAACGTTGATAACGATAATGTGGTATGAATTCTTTCTCCTGTCAGTGGGATGATGACCGATTCTCTTCTATTGAAACCGGCTGGTCTTGAGAAGTTGATTTCAATTAACCCTTCCGTAGTTAATTCACTTGTCAGTCGTTTCATTTTCTGAGGAGAACCCCTACCAGGACCGCCATCTAGTATCCCTCTTACCAGGTTATCAGTAAGATCATAGCTCTTGTTGCTCATCTATGCATATAATATGCGTGTAAGGTTGTATGTGTATGCGTTCGTATTTGGAAACAGCTATGTATGATGTTTGCGCTCATGTACGCGCACATGCACTTATGTATGCTGGTATGTATGTTTGTGTATAAGTATGTAGAGAAGTCTTAGAGTAATCCTTATCAATCAATCTTATTTCAGCACTACTTCTCTTAGATAACCACTAATGGGCTCTAGCACAACTAAAACAGAATACCGCATTACGTAATAAAAGGCACAAATACAAACGGATAATGTTATCATAAGTTCTTCTATTTACAAGAAATATCATATACAAATCATTATTTAGATTTTGGTTCTTCAAAACCAATAACGTCCCTGAAAAGTTGTTCACAAGGAACACTGGCATTCAATCTGGCGCACAACAAAAATACACCACTGAGTTTCCGATGTAAGGAATAAGTTTCTTCAGGTGGTGGAGTTAACCGTTCATTTAACATTAATCCAATGTTGCCCCTAACTCTGTCTGTAATGGTTTGGTTTTTAAAATTGAATGGCTTTCCATTATTCAGTTTAGGTGAGAATGCCTCACCTAATACCATTACTGAATCAACATGAGCCTTCTTCATGGCTGGACTCTCCAACCCAGTCAAATAACCTAATTTGACCGAGAATTCTTCCACCTTGGCCTCGTCCTCTAATGCAGCAGCTCTCAATACACTGACATAATTGTTAATAAATTCATCAGGAAAATCTCTTGCAGCCCCAAAGTCTAACAATTCAATCTTCTTTGTATTTTCATTATACAAAAAGTTAGCCCAATTAGGATCAGTTTGCATAAACTTATATTTTGCAATTTCTTCCAAGCATAATCTCATGATATTTGTAGCAATCCAATCCTTTGTTTCTTGATCCCAATCTCCTTTGATGATTTCTACTCCTCTCATTCTCTCCATTGTTAACACATGTTCTCCACATAATTTATGGAATACTTGAGGAACTGTAAAAGCTGGATCATCTTTAATCATTTCTCTAAACCGGATTAAATTTTGTGCTTCTCGAATATAATCACATTCCCATTTCAATTCCACACGAGCATTGGCGATAGACTTATCCAAGAATAATCCTGGAGGTAAGATAGAAGAAGCAGTCAAAAGCATAAGAATATTATTCAAATCAGAATCAATAGAATCCTTAACCCCAGGGTATTGAACTTTAACTACCACTGGAGTCAAATCTTCAGTAACTGCATTATGAACTTGACCAATTGAAGCTGCAGCAATAGGAACATCTTCAAAAGATGCAAATAATCGTTCTCTCCACCCATCACCTAAATCTCCAACCATAACTTTTTCCAATTGTCCTTGAGGCATGTAATGGGCCAAGTTTTGTACTCTAAGAATGATTTCTTGAATCTCTTTAGGAAGCACAGACAGGTCTTGGAATGAAAGTAATTGACCAATTTTCAAAGCAGCACCTCTCATTTGACTAAATTTTGTAGCCATTCGTTCCATATTTTCAGGAGTAAAGAATAATGTTTTCATTGATGGAGTAGAGGTATTTCCCGCTGCATAATGCTTGATACCTTGTGAAGCGGCACCCAAACTCATACCTGCTGCAAGAGTTCCGTAATGGAATATTCTCGAAAGTCTACTACTGGGAACCTGACTCTGATGCAATTCAACTGGACTTTTTTCCTTTAAACCGATGGTTTTGACCTTTTCTATCGACTCAATTTGTTCATCCGATGTCGACGCCGTAGTCTTCGTGGTGTATTCTCTGGTCTGTGATTTCTGTGTAGTACCCGGAGTCTTACGACGATGTTTTGACCGAGTTTCCGCACTTCTTCGGGCTTCAACAGATTTTTGTTGAGTTTCATCCCACATAGAACTGGAACCATCAAAAGTCTTCACCATCTTGCGAGTACCGGAGAATTCATACCACCGGGACAAATCACGTTTCGCCAAACCAGCAGACTCGCACGCCACTTTGAAAGCGCTATTAGCCACTACCACAGCTTCAAACACAGACTTGGAAAAGGTCATTGTGGTTGTTGTTTAAAGAATAGCGTTGTCAATTGACAAAATGCTATTGGAATAAGTGAATTCGTTAAAGCATATTATTGTGCGACACACTACCTGATATTCAAGTATAACACTAGACGCTTGTTAGTGCTGAAAAGTACTTACAAACTTTTGCTTTTCCATTCATTGCTGATGATATAATAATGCTTGTGATGACCAGGATTTCACGTCGAGACTAGTCCTAAGGTCAGGGGAAGGCAGCTCAATAGGAACAGACACAAGAACCTTCAATCATTTAGTCAAAGTATCTTTAAGGAGGATCTTTACAGTGCTGTTGCTGACATATGCCGTATCTATCGTGAGATAACTATTGGTATACAAATAGCCGTATTCACCTAGTAGAATTTTTGTCCTGAGTACAATAAAGAAAACTATTCTAAAGACGTTAGTAGATTTACTTTATCAAATCACAGCACTCCACTGTACCACTAAACTGCGCTACACCGCGCTGCTTACAATGTACTTCATTGCACTGTACTGCTCTGCACCGCACTACTGCACCGCACTGCTCTGCACTGCACTTTCGTCTTAACCATATCTGTCGATCTTTAGCTATAGAAGGCTTTAATACAACCTTGGTTACACTAAACGGCTAAACTACTCACGTTTGATTTGCTTCAAAAAACAGCTTTGTGATCTTCCCTAACCAAGAATCGTGACGAAACCATACATTCCCGCGGCGGTGCCGATATGGTCGGCCACAGCCCAATTCGGGTACAATGCAATACCTATTGATATTCCATAAATAGACTCATGTTAACATAAACAGCTTTCGGATTAATACCACCGCTACTACTTTACACTCGGTGTGTCTTTTCTTGGTGTATCATATTACAATTATACAATTATCATTCCTTGACTTTTCTTCCACGTCCAAGTACGTTGCATGTAAAAGTAAATAATCCATTGCCTTCCTTACTGATTCCATTGATGCATAATGTCGAACCCCTATACACAGAATAAAGGTTCTCTAGGGGGTACCGTGACTCCAGATTTACAACCTACAGGCCAATTCAATCCATATACCTCATCTTCAACACCCCAACGACTGCCTCGCCAACTCCAATCTGGTTCGCCTTATGACTCGCAACTTTCTCCGGGCAAAAGATCATTAAATCCTTACGAAGAAGCAAAGAGAAAATCAATGGTGGATAAGCAACATAAAGAAATGTTTCTGGACTCAATGAAAGTTATTACCGATGCAGATACAGATTTGAATCCGGATTATCTTTTCCAGGAGGACTTGAAACGTCGGGGTGATCATCGGATGAAAATCGTGGTTGTTGGAGATGGTGGCTGTGGTAAGACTTGCCTTCTCACCACCTACACTAAAAACAAGTTCCCTGAATTGTATGTCCCCACTGTTTTTGAGAGTTATGTCATCAACGCTGCTAGTCCTCAGGGGAAAGTTGTGGAATTGGCACTTTGGGACACAGCTGGTCAAGAAGAATATGATCGGATTAGACCTTTAAGCTATCCTGATGTTGATGCACTCTTGCTATGCTTTTCCTTAAGCAATACTACTTCTTTGAACAATGTCAGAGACAAATGGATAAGTGAACTCAATTATTTTTGTCCCAACGTGCCAATTTGTCTTGTCGGCACCAAGAGTGACTTGCCTAATGAAGTTCCTCTGATAGTTGGTATAGCAGTGGCTAAGGAGATAGGGGCAATTGCATATGTTGAATGCTCCGCTAAAAATATGAAGAATGTTCGTACTTCGTTTAATATTTGCATGGACAATCATATAAGACAAATAGCCATTAAAGAGCAAATGGAAAAATCCGCTAGGAAAAGGCATTCATTATTTGGTGGGTCCCATTCCAGAAACAACAGTTCTATACATTCTAAAGGACACTTAAAGGGCAACTCTTATGATTTATCTGTGCATCTTGATGGACCATTGGTTGAAGAGAATGATGCTCTGGAACCAGTGAATCCTTATGGGAACTTTACAAACCATAGAGTTGAAGAAGACGAGTTTTCTTTCGCCAGGAGAGACCAGAAGAAGAAGAGGAGATGTGTAATTTTATAGACTTTTTGCACCTATCAATTCGATACAGAGAAAGATGGTCAGCTCGGATAAATTTTTCGTATATATAATCCGTAACTATACAATTATGCGAGAGATGCAGATAGCAGTTGAACAAGTAATGGCCACATTGCATTAAAGAATACTTTAACATGGTAAGAATATGAAAACCTTAAGCCAGTAGAATTGTACGCGTAGACCAATGTAAACAAAATCACAGCACCTAAAGAATTAATAGACATAATCTTGATAACCCTTACACAATGAACCACTTTCATTTCTTACATAATGAAGTACTTCTATTCACTACGCCATAAAATAACATGCACTACAACTGGTAGTTCACTATAGACTTTGAAGATGTTATCTGTCAACCTCCGCTACCTGTACCAGGTAAGCCTTGGGAGAAAAGTAGTGTGCTCTGCCGCGCGATCTGAAGTCTTGTTTTTATTCACAGCTATTCATAGATAAATACTCAATTCAATCACGGTAAACACCAAGTTGGAGTTTACGCAATTGAACTTGATGTCATCAGAGCGTCCACAGAGAGTTATATAGAACATATAGCATAGAGTGACAATGTCAGTGCTCACCAAAAGACGTGGTGAATACAAAGAGAGAGAAGGCAAACCAGAAGCAGAACCCAAGGAAAATCATGGTGTTAAGGATCAAACTGGGGTGCATGACGCAGGGAACAAATCTGAAGAACATTATCGGAAAAACCTTCCACCATGGAGGTTCAACCTTAGGCAAAAGTTTCTTCCTATCGTTCGTTGGGAAACAGAAGTGCTTGCTTCCATGCAAAAGAAGGTTCGTACTCCATGGCTAGATTATTACTTTGCATGGTCTGCTAACTTGGCTTCTCATACATTTTATGTACTTTGTCTTCCGATGTTTGAGTGGTTCGGATCATCTAAGATTCCAAGAGACTTGGTGTATGTGTTGGGATTAGGTATCTATGTTCTGGGTAATTTAAAGGATTGTATGTGTCTACCAAGACCTCGGTCTCCGCCCTTACATCGGATCACCATGAGTGAATACACTGCCCAAGAGTACGGATTTCCCTCCAGTCATTCAGCCAATGCTACGGCTGTTACATTGATTTGTTTATGGCGACTTTTAGAGGTGAAGGAACAACTTACCTCTTCGGTGTTAGTTTGCACTCTTGCGTTCTTAATCTTATACTATGTTTCGTTGATTTTTGGTAGACTTTATTGCGGTATGCACGGATTTATAGATGTGTTTGCCGGAACTGCTATCGGCGTCGGACTATTTTTGTTCCGCTTTCTCGTTGGTCAAAAGTTTGATCAATGGCTTCTTGTTCCACAGGACTCTTCCTGGTGGGGGCTCGTACTGACCCCTATCTTTATCATTGGAGGAAACTTACTTCTTATTCACACTCATTTTGAACCAGTTGATGATTGTCCGTGTTTTGATGATACAGTAGCCTTCGTGGGAGTTTTAATCGGTCTAGACCTTTCGCATTGGGTTGCATGTATTACGGGCGTTGTTGGACGGACTAACAATTTTGAAGACCCTATGAGAATTAATTACGACTACAACGAATTGGGATCGCTTAAGACAATTGCTAGAGTTATTGTTGGAGTGACATTAATTGTAACCTGGAAAGCTATTGCAAAACCCATTGTGTTTACTTTATTACCACCTATTTATAAGTTTGTGGGTGTTTATGTACCTCGTCGGAGTTTCAAATCTACTGCATTCACAAAGGAATCTTTAAGTCGGATTAGATCTCAATCAATATCAAATATTGACGTGCAGCAAGTGGGGGACATCAACGGATTAATTAAACTGGTAACATCTACACAAAACAGCATAGATTCCGTTGGTCCGGTTAACGACATAGATTATTACGAGATGCTAGACTATAAGAATAAGCACCCGGAAGAACCTGATTCAGCCATAGATATGGGACCTCCAACTAACAGTGTGTTTAAGCCGAGGTACGATGTGGAAACTGTTGGCCGGTTAATCATTTATGCGGGAGTAGCAACTTGTACCTTTTGGGGGTTCTTTTATGCTACCCAGTCGCTAGGTTTAGCATGTTAGTATAATATTATAATGTCAATTCACAGCAGACAGTGTCTGAAAGAGTACTGATGTCAGTGAACTCCCAGTCTGTAACTACAAGAGTGAAATTGGTGAGTACACATTTTTGCCGACACTAGTAGAACGATTGACTAACAGATTGAAGGAACGGGCCAACTCACAGACTGACTGCTTTTAATCACAACATGTAGTATACGAATGACAGAAATAATGACAGAAATAGTCTCCGTTTTACTGCTACTAGCAAGTATCCAGACACAAGACAAACCCCATTAAGTCTGCTATTTTCATTAAGTGATTCAAAGTACAGTTAGTCTGTCTGCGAATCATCAAATTGAATACAGGAAAAGTCTAATTTGCAGCCTTTCATGCGGAGGTTGTTCTCCGACTGTAGTGAACCTGCCGACATCTTCCGAGCATTTGTCCCTTTTATAAGGAAAAACTAACAAAAATGTCGCGCGACATTGAAAATTAAGGGACGCGACACAGGGGGTGGACAGAAAAAGTCAGACAGTCATCAAAGTGGGAAAAATGCAAGTAATCAAAACAACAACAACAATAATAATAATAATCTGTCGGTCTGAAAGTAAAAATTAGACAAGTCCAATTTAAGTGTTATATTAGTATTGGCTCATCTCCAAGTCTATTCCATCAAGTTGTATACGATCACCAGACACGACACAACCGACCAGATATAAGACTATTTAGAAGCAATTGAGTTGAGTCCTGTTACTGTCTGATTCCATACGACAACCTCCGACACATTATGGATAACACCTACAACAACAGTCAGACAAACCCTCTGGTATATTATAGTACCAGTGGACAGTCTATAAGCGAAGTGTATACGCAAATGGCCACTCTCCAGAAACAGTTCAATTCTTTTTCCCATTTCACATACCAAAAGCTCAGTGATCTCTCCCAAAGAATGGATGAAGTTTATCAGACACTTGGAGAGCTTAGAACGTTCCAGCAACATCAACACGAGACTCTAATGGCTAACCCGGGGCCCAATTACGCTTCTGCGTCCGACAGAGAATTGATGGAACGGTTTGTCAGATCAATGCTGACCTTTGCGCGTGAGTTCACTCAGTATTCATCCGGAGATGGACCCCAAGCTGTGACTGCTGCCAATAGTGGCAACAATGGGAAGGGGGTCACCGGTGCAGATGATGGGAATGTTGTGACGACATCCACAGATCAAGATAACAGAGGGAAATCAATGGCTATTAATGTCATGACTGATCCTTCGTATGACTTTATCAGTAGAAACAACAATACCAATACCAACAACAACTTCAGCAGAGCTTCCAATAACGCAAGATTACCCTATGGGGGTTCAGGTGCTGGTGGTGGGGGGAGTGGCACTGCTGTTGTGGGGGCCGGAAATGCTTCAGTAGCTGGCGGCGGAGATAAGGACGGAGAATTGGTGAAAAGGCGAAAGGGTAAGGATAAGAGAAACAACAACAACAATAATTCCAGTGACCCCAGTGGCAACCAATCAGGAAAGAATCTACAACAAAGTAATAATCTTCAATTGTCACCTTCCCTTCCTGCTTTGCTTCTGCCCAGCCAATTAGATCATCATAGAAGACTACCTCCTCCACAAGCAGCTCTGCGTCTGGCTCAACTGCAACTGGATCCCTTAGGTTCAAGTGGAGGTAGTTATCAGATAACTTCTGGTATTCTTAGTGGGACTGGAGCCACTTCACAGAGCCCTGTAACTGGAGGAGCTGGTGGAGGACCTGCACCAGGCACACTGTCAGCTTTCTATACCGGGAATGGAACCCCTGGCGGGGGAGTTAACGGTGGAGTTAATGGAGATAAGGACCACCCATCTAAAAGAAGAAAAGTCTCTCGCAAAGATTTGAGTGAAGTTCCTAAATATAAACTTGAAAAGTCTCTTAAACTGATCGAACATATTTGGAAAGAATATGAATACGGAGTTAACGACAAACCACCGTTAAGAGCATTGGAGGAAAAGTTTGGAGCGAAATGGAGAGACGAAACTCAACTGCGGACTTATTTGAGACGGAAGAAGATTTATGATGCCATTTTGAAAGGTAAAGATAAAGGTTATACCGAGGCTGAAGTAATAAAGGAATTGGAAGATGCTCGATATGATGGAGGTAATAAACGCAAATCATTAATGTGGTTAACTGGCAATATCCCCGACAAGTTTCAGTAACCTCAAGCCTATATTCTTATTTATCAACTGTCTGTCTGGTGAATAGGGCAATTCCAATGCTAGTTTGACACGCAACCATGCCAACAGCTATCTTGTCATGTTCAACCTTCTTTTTGTATATTGTCTTCTTTTATAGTGTAATAATGTATTATTGTGTTTCCTATTTGACATTAGTGTGTCCCCCACTTTGCACCCAAACGATGTGGGGGAAATCTCAATTATTCGGAGTTGCAGCAGACACGGATTCTTTATCTAGTCGTCGTGTCGGACCAACCACAAGTGAACTGTTGATAATCAGAAATTTTCAGACATACAGTAAGCCATCTCATCGAGACCAACAGGAGCGTGACTCAACTCAGACAGAGACAGTAACAGAAGATATGACTGAGGAAGAGGGAAAGAAGCGCACTGTTGAAGACGCAACGACAACTGTCAATGTCGTCCAAAAGAAGCAACACCAAAATAGAAAGCTGAAGAATAAAAAGTATAAATCAAAGCCAATTGATCCCACAGCACCACTTGGTGTACTTCAATATGAAATAGCCAATCTCCTCAAGGAACACGATCTCACATCAGCACAGACTGAAAATGACTTGAAGCTGATTCTAAATGACGAATCTGTGGCCCAAATATACCACCGTACAGTTACAAATGTTCCCATCTTACAGCTTAGTAGTAATGGAGATGGGTTAGCACTCATTGGTCATCCCACAAACATAGAGGGCAAGCAAGTGGTAGTGGTTCCATTTGGATTACCAGGGGATGTTGTTACCATCAAAGTATTCAAATCACATCCAACTTATGTTGAGTCTGATCTAATTAGCATAGAAAAACCTTCCAATATTCGAGATGATTCTCGAATTTCGTGTCGTTACTTTGGTTCTTGTTCTGGATGTCAGTATCAGGCAGTTGCATACCTGGAACAACTTGAGTTGAAAAGACAAACCATTATAAATGCTTATAATTATTTTGCGTCTCAATTGAAGCAACAAGACAAGTTACCAGAAGTTGACAAGACTCAAGGGTCTCCATTGGAGTTGGGTTACAGAACCAAACTTACTCCCCATTTCAACGTGCCCAATAAGAATAAAGAAATAGAGGCAGATTTCGTTCCAGCTCTTGGGTTTGGAGCCAAGGGAAGACCCACCTGGCGTAAAACCGATGGAGGCTCCTATTCCATTTTGGATATCGAAGAGTGCAATATTGGAACTCAAATCATTAACATAGGAATGAAGAACGAGAGAAGTCGGTTCAAAGAAGAATGGAAAAAGTATAAGAATGGAGCCACTATTCTCCTTCGCGAAGACACTCACGTTTTGTCTGATGACAACGACAACGATAAACCAGAAATAATTGGATCCAAAAATGCTGATGGAAATGTCAGTCTGGTTGAAATTGAAGTAGATAATGGTGACAAATTGCTTAAAACATGTGTGACTGAATCCAGACAAATCGTCAAAGAATATGTCAACGGGTACACCTTTGAGTTTAGCGCAGGGGAATTCTTCCAGAATAATAATTCCATATTACCACTTGTTACCAACTATGTTAAAGAGAACCTTTCATTGGATGGTCTTAACTCAGGTTTGGAAACCTACTTGGTTGACGCATACTGTGGATCCGGATTATTTTCCATCACTTGTTCCAAGAACGTTTCTCGGGTTATTGGTGTTGAAGTGTCTGCAGATTCAGTCAAGTTTGCTGAACGGAATGCTGCCTCCAACAAAATCCCCAATTGTAAGTTTATAGTGGGTAAAGCGGAGAAGATCTTTGAGGACATTGATATTCCTGCTTCTCAAACTGCAGTGATCTTGGATCCGCCTAGAAAGGGATGTGATGAAGTTTTCTTGAACCAATTGGCTGCATTCAATCCAGTAAAGATTGTGTACATTAGTTGTAATGTTCATTCACAAGCTAGGGATGTTGAATGGTTCATTAACAACACCACCAATGGATCTCAGTACCAAGTTGAAAGCATAAAGGGGTTTGATTTCTTCCCTCAGACACATCACATTGAGAGTGTTGCTGTGTTGAAGAGAGCTGTATAAGTTTAATAGAGTTAGTTATTACATTTAATATATTGCAGCCATTCAATATCCATGTATATATAGTTCCCGTATTTGTACCCTAGTTGAAATCACGTGCAGAAGTTTCAAAAACCCTAATGCCTTCAAGGTGACTGTGAGAAATAAAGAGCCAAGGTGTTACACAAAACCATGACACTTCCTGCGTATAGTACTGTTTTTGATGGTTAACGAAAATTTTCCATACTCCCAGTTGGCAGGAATAGTGAAGAGATATTTACTGAAAAAGATTCTTTGATAGCAACAGTTGAAAGCTCCATATACTTTATTACATATCATCAGCAAAAATGGAAAACGATAAGGGTCAATTAGTATGTACCAATGAGAACACCAATACAAGGAATGACTAAAGCAGAGAACCCGTGAAATGTTCCAATATAAATCGATGAAAATCAATGCACTATGAAGAAAGTCAAAAACGAAGAATGATAGTCGAATAGAAGAGTAAAGTAAGAGAATCAATATAATGATCTTGAAGAAGCACCCATTCAAGTCTCCAAGATGCTATTTTGAAACTACTCGATGTATACGTACCTTGTACTCAAAGTCCTTCAAACCCATGAAACATCATTATTCATTCCTGAATCCATGACGAAACGATTTGAATACTAACATTTTTTTAGGTGGAATTGTACGTCCCAAGAAAGTGTTCTGCCACCAACAGAATCATCAAGGCTAAGGACCATGCTTCTGTTCAAATCAACGTTGCTAACGTTGACGAAAACGGTAGAGCTATCCAAGGTTCCAACACCACCTACGCTTTGTCCGGTTATGTCAGAGCCAGAGGTGAAGCTGACGACTCTTTGAACAGATTGGCTCAACAAGATGGTTTGTTGAAGAACGTCTGGTCTTACTCCCGTTAAAGAGTATGGTCTTGCGCTTATGTACACTGTATATTTAATAAAATAATCTAGGTATAAGTATAATGTAGAGTGAAATGCGACTAAGTGCGAGTGCAGCATAGCTTAGTACTGGTGAACATATTTGCACTAAAGTAGTAGAGCTGTGGTTACAGTACTAAATGTATGCTGGCAGGGTACTATTTGCAGACAAGTGCCTATTACAGTGCACTATCATAAATGTCGTCGCCACTGTTTTGTCTGAAATGAGTAAAAAAGGTGTAGGAATATGGGAGATGCTTTATACTATACCAAAGACCCTGCATTATATCAACAACTTATAAATATAGTTATATCAACTTTACATTGAATTACATTATATAGAAGTAGTCCCGGTTATGCTCTTGTATCAACCATTGTTACTACATCACACATAGTATAGCCTACTGGTACTTGCTTTTCCTCTTATATGATTCTATTGTCTTACACATCTCCTTCATACAGTGCTTGTTCTGGCTCCCAACTCGGTTTAATCGCATACAAACCTACTCACCCAATTGGATATCGGATGATGCGACTACCCCACGTTATACCCTGTTAACCCCACATCTATTCTCCAGCACTTATACGGACAAGTTTCTGCCGTACTCAGCATAATATAAGGCAGTTATAAAATTCTATCATCTACTTTGTCTTTACCAATTGACCCACCAACCAACAGCCATCTGTGTAGTCTGTGTATATACTTGTTTACATTATTCCGTATAGGACTTTGACTACATCAAGGCTTTAGCATTTATTACCACACCCTATATACACTTTCTTGGTAAGCACATTGCTACCGATAAGATCCAATACTTAGTACCATCTTATTCTTTGTGGTGCAATTAGAAGGCGTGGACACATTTATATAAGGGATATACATCCATCTACTACTACTATACTATTTAATTTGTGTGTTGTACTATTGTGTCTCAGTGTTGTTAGTCAATTGGTTGCATTGTTTATACTCATTACAGTTTCCCTTTAGTTATGACCAACGCTGTGTTTACACTTTTATACCATCCCAATTACTTACCTGGTGCATTGGTCTTGGGAATAGTGCTCAAGAAACTTCTTGAAATCGACCCTATCGAGGCCACCACAGGGATTCTCATTGATAAATCTCAATTCAATGATTATCAAATACTGTTGTTAAGCCGTTACTATTCAGAATTGATTGATGTGGCTCCTACAAAGTCGGAATTGAAAGATAAATTGCACAATGATTTGGGAAGACCAGAATTGGATAAGACTTATACAAAGATCGAATTATGGAACTTACTTCATCATGATAGAATCCTTTATTTAGATTGTGACACGTTGCCTACCATTCCTAAGGATCCAATTGATCAAGGAACCATTCTTAACTTGTTGAAACTTGATTTCCCCACGGGGAAGATCATGGCTGCTCCGGATTCTGGGTATCCGGATATCTTTAACTCCGGAGTGTTTGCCTTGAAACCAAATACCGTTGATTACGAGAATTTGGTGGCTGCAAGTAAATTACCTGATGCTTCATTTGATGGTGCTGATCAAGGCTTATTGAATCAATATTTTAATAACGAAAATGATTGGATCAAAGCTCTTATTGAACTGCTGGTAGATAAAACTTCAACTGTTCAATCTACAACTACTCAATTGGCTAATTGGATTAGAATCCCATTTCTTTATAATGTCACTCCATCAACCCAGTACGAATATTTACCAGCTTATAAATATTTCACTGGTGATGAAACCATTGGAGGAGATCTTGAAAAGCCATTTGTTCCTACAAAGGATAAATTGATTAGTCCCAAATTTAAAAAACCTTCTAAGGATCAATTGGCTGAATCTACTTCCCAAACTAAAGGGAATTATGCTAAAACTGCATTTGAATATATAAATGTCACCGATAAAGTCAAATTGGTACATTTCATTGGTCCATACAAACCATGGAAAGTCAACTGTACTACTGAAGGGTTATACCAAGATTGGTGGAACTTATGGTTTGATGAATTTGGCCATCGTTCCATTGTTGAAGTTATTAATGAAGTAGCAAAAGCTGCAGCAGAAGTTGAAGGAGTTGAATTGGATCAAGAAGAAGGTGGTGTTTCATCATCTGGTCCGGTAGTAGCTGAAATTAAAGATGTTCGTATTGATCCTTACGATGTCTTAAATCCAGATAATTACCAACATATTCCAGATTTACCACGGTCAAGAGATGCTGCTTGGGATGCTACAAAGGAGGCTCCACCTGGAGCAGTTACTATCACTTGTGATAAAGCATCAACAAAAACTTCTGAGGATCAAGTTCTGCAAACCACAGATTTTTCTCAAATCAAACAGTTTGTTAATGCATGGGATGCTTCTGATGAAGTGGCTTTACATAGAGATGATTCAGCATCAGTGAATAATGCAGAAATCGCCAAAGAAAGTCCTGGAAGTGGAAGTTGGTGGTCTCATGCTGATTCCAAACCAGCAGAGCGAGTTTTCTATAATGAATTTGACTATAATCCTAGCCATATTTTGAAGCCAGTTTCCAAAGTTGAAGTTGAAGAATCAACTGAACCTTCCGAACCAAAAGGTCCAGCTGAATTGAATGATGAAATGGTCAATTTAACTGAAAAGTTAAATAAAACCGGTGTTTTTGAAGATGACAGTGGATTTGATGAAATATACCATGAGAACCAAACCCCAACTGCCTCTGATCTTGAGGAGAATAATCATCAAGAAGCAGAAGAAGAAGAAGAACAACCTCCTATTCCTAAGATCTTCCCATGGGAACATCGGAAATATAAGGCCGAAAGATCTTTCAACTAAATGATGATATTACAGGTATCATCAAGCCAATGCTTTCTCCCCAGCTTTATTTCTTTTTCAACATTTATATCGTTCATTCTATTCAATTCTATTCACTGACCATTACATTACCGAATTATAACTAACATATTACTTCACACACTGTAACTGCTTGCTTACATAAGACCACAATAATACATTAATGGTAGCGCGAGACATCATCTCATCTGCACACAACCCCCGTTACCCGCCACCAAAAAACCGTAGGCAAAAAAATTTTCCCTCTCGTTAATTTTCCACTCTATGGTGATCTCAAAAAGGGTTTGGAAAGGTAACAAAAACAATGCGGGTGGAAAATTTATAAAAAAAACATCTCTTCCCTGTAAATTCTTTTCTTTAAATTTAAGTTGCTTACTTTTAAATAACGTCATTTCGGTTGCATTAACAAGCACCCCCACCCCCACGTTAACATAGAATAAAAGAAAGAACCCCACTTGTCCATCATGGCTTCCGAAGGTATTACTGAAATCGATGCTGGATTAATTGAATCCAACTACGACAACATTGTCTACTCATTTGATGATTTGAACTTGAAGCCAAGCATTGTCAGAGGTATTTTCGGTTACGGTTACGAAAACCCTTCTGCCATTCAACAGAGAGCCATCATGCCAATCACCCAAGGTAGAGATGTTTTGGCTCAAGCTCAATCTGGTACTGGTAAGACTGCTACTTTCACCATTTCTGCTTTGCAAAGAATCGATGAAAACCTCAAGCAAACCCAAGCTTTGATCTTGGCTCCTACCAGAGAATTGGCTTTGCAAATCCAAAGTGTCATCACTCACATTGGTTTGTACTTGAATGTCACTGTCCATGCTTGTATTGGTGGTACTTCTGTTTCTGATGATATTGCTGCCTTTAAAGCTGGTACCCAAATTGTTGTTGGTACCCCAGGTAGAGTTTTCGATCTTATCGAAAGAGGTATCTTCAAGACCGAATCCGTCAAGATGTTCATTTTGGATGAAGCTGATGAAATGTTGAGTTCTGGTTTCAAGGAACAAATTTACAACATTTTCCGTTTACTCCCTGAAACTTCCCAAGTTGTTTTGCTTTCTGCCACCATGCCTCCAGATGTTTTGGATGTTACCACCAAGTTTATGAATGACCCTGTCAGAATCTTGGTTAAAAAGGAACAATTAACCTTGGAAGGTATTAAACAATTTTACATCAACGTTGAAAAGGAAGAATACAAGTTTGACTGTTTGTGTGATTTGTACGATTCCATTTCTGTTACCCAAGCTGTCATTTTCTGTAACACCAGAGCTAAGGTTGAAATGTTAACCAGTAAATTGAAGGAAGAAAACTTTACTGTTTCTGCTATCCACTCCGAATTGCCTCAATCTGAAAGAGATACCATCATGAATGAATTCAGATCTGGTTCTTCAAGAATCTTGATCTCCACTGATTTGTTAGCTAGAGGTATCGATGTCCAACAAGTTTCTTTGGTCATTAACTACGATTTACCTTCCAACAAGGAAAACTATATCCACAGAATCGGTAGAGGTGGTCGTTTCGGTAGAAAGGGTGTTGCCATCAACTTTGTCACTGACTTGGATGTTGGTATGATGAGAGAAATTGAAAGATTCTACTCCACTCAAATTGAAGAAATGCCTGCTGACATTGGTGCTTTGTTTGCTTAATTTTAATTATCATTAAGAATACATTTGAAAATCGGTCACATGGGTCTAGGCCATCAGTTAGCTTGTTTGCTTGCTTAATAGAGGCAATGGCTAGAAAATTGATTGTTATAATAAAGCGAGCATTTATTATGACACACTATTTTTTGCCATTTTAGAATGGATTTGAAGCCTCTGCATTGTTAATATTAATATTATTATTATTATTGTTGAATTGAATATCTATATAGCAAACGACATTTGTTGTCGTTGAATTTTATTTATGCTTACTGTGTAGCATTTTGTCTACCAATATGCATTAACCTACTGGGTTTTGTCATAATAATTATTATTGTATGTTGAATGAACATAATGTCGTCTAGTATCAAAACTTGAGTACCACACGACCCTCGATTTTTATTTGATCAAGAGCAGATCTAGTGTTCCGCTTTCTAAGATATAACTTAGGCATTGTAGTTGATAGCCATGCCTCTTGTGACAGAACCGTATAGGATGCCCGGATCATTCCCTGAATGTCCGCTTCCGGCTACATCCGAACAAGAACTCCATACGGCGTCACATGCACTTGATTTAGAACAAGAAACCAATTTCGTCATAGGAGAATCTACAAAGTCCAATGCAAGATCCCAGACAGAAATCATCCAACAATTGGGGTCCCTATCTTATATATTAGTATACTATCAACTGATAAAGTACTGTCACTTGGCATGCATGACTCCTGTGATGCTTCATTTAGCAGTGCAGAACATACTACGACCTAACTTTATAAAGTATGGGGTTGACGTAGTGGAGAGAGTACTACAAGATCCCAGTAGTCAAGAGTTAACAGGGCCAAATTTCAATCGACAAGTTTTATTTAATATGGTACGGAAAAGGATAATACAGGCAATCTACTGGAAACTGATATTTACCATATTGTATCATGTGATCTTTGTTGTATATTGGATGATACCATTGATACTGGATGGCCATGCAACTGATTTGGAACATGGAAGTTGGTGGTTCATAAGTTTCATTGGTGAAGCTATTAGTATGAATGTGGATAAGAATGGCTCTAATTGGAATATGGCTCTCCAGCTAGGGTTACCCTATTTGATCCTTACAGATGTGTTGATATTTATGATCCAATTAGTGTCATACCAATGTCTTTACGTTCAATCTACCCTTGTACCTCTGGCATTAAGAGTAGGTGTTGAAGGACCTAGTTTGGTCAAAATGTCAACTGACAATTCCCTACTGCCAAGGGACAATCAAGTGATTTTGGAAGATAGACTTCCTTTAACATTGACAGTCAATCTCTATGAGGCATTTGAGAAAGACAAGTTGTTTTAGCACTGTTGATCAGTGTTGTATAACTCTAAAGTTAAAATAATATTTATGATCAAAAATGATGCACTCGTATGTATTAGTTTTTCCGAATGATAGTGCCACATCTACGAAAGGCATTCTTCCATACATAATTAGGCTTCTATTTTCTTAGCTCGTTGCCACAGCATAAAGACGCGTCCATGTAACTCAAACTCGTAAAGCCCGTTATAAATTCCTACTATTAGTACTGTTCCTTCGCCTGCCGTATAATAGCTCCCTTGATGGCAATAACTACTGGTGTGTGTCTTACATAATCAGCTTTTTTTTTTTTTTGATGTTCCTATTGAAAGGTATCAAGACGCGTTTATCCGTTCCAACATATAAACCTACTGCTCTGCTCCTGCTTCAATCGTATTTCTTTAGGCACTACACTTTTTCACCAACAAATATCAAAATTATGACTATCGAACAAAAGATAAAGATGCAAAAACCAAGCGACACATTGAAAGTGTTTTTACGGTCAGAGAATGCCACTGTCCCCACTAAGGGATCTGCTCTTGCTGCTGGATACGATTTATATGCAAGTGAAGCCGGAGTTATTCCAGCTCAAGGTCAAGGAATCATTGGCACTGATCTTACATTAATTGTTCCATACGGAACCTACGGTAGAGTTGCTCCTAGATCCGGGCTTGCTGTGAAACACGGGATTTCAACTGGTGCTGGAGTGGTGGATGCTGATTACCGTGGAGAGATCAAGATTGTTCTATTCAATCACGCCAAAAAGGATTTTGTTGTGGAGAAGGGTGACAGAATTGCCCAATTAGTATTGGAAAAGATTGTTAATGCTGATGTTGTTACTTTAACTGCTGAACAATTTGAAGAAGAAACCACCACCAGAGGAGAAAACGGGTTTGGATCTACTGGTGTTAAGTCCGAATAAGATAATATGTACATATATATATATAATTGAATTTTAAATTAGTATAGAGTATAATCAGAAATGTGTCAATTATATATTCTTCTACTCGTATTCATGTATCGACACATGCATATCTTCTGTTTGTAAATTACGCAGTATTCTCCCTAAACAGCAACTCACCGCGTATTAAATGTATTCTAATAAATAAGTTTTTAGTATATAATCTCTTTGTAAGTACAACACTGTGTGTAACTGTGAAAGACGACCGCAAATGCATATGCACCTAAATAGCAGGAAAATATAAGGAATTGGCAACTTTAAACCTTTGTTTCTTCGTTCTTCTTTACCACTTCTGGTTCAGCTGGAGGGTCAAGTTCAATTTTCATTCCTCCCGTAGCAGATTCTTCCAATTCATCCAATTTAAGATTATCTCTAACTTGGTTGACAGTGCCCTTCTCACGTTCGTTTTCTTCCTGAATCAACTCTTCTTGTTCCTTCAAAGTCTGCAACTTGAATTTAGAATCAGCACCTTCTAATTCCAACTTCAATACATTATAAACTTCATCAGGAATAGACGACAATACAGCCAACAAAGCATCGTAGTATGATTGGATACCATGATCATTATCACCATAAGTATAAGTTGAAGATAAAATCAACAAAGTCGAGGGGATCTTCTGTCTCAATCTTAAATCTAACCAAGTAGATAAATCATCTCTTAATCTACCAGGAGAAACATCTGAAGTCTTGATCCCTCTTTGTTGACAAGCTAATTGTAATTCAGGAATAGTCAAGGAATCAACACCCTCATAATCAATAGATTTATCATCTCTAATGATGTTCAAAAGTCTATGTCTGATTTGATAACGTAAGATGGTCTCAGTACCAAAAGGTCTAAGGGACATGTATCTTGCCATAGCCACCAATTGAGGTCTAGACAAATTATCCAAAACCTGATCATTCTTGAAGAGTCTGGCCACACGCAACAAGTGTTCATGACTAGGAGTCCTTCCAAGCGAAATGGTATCGAAGAAGGACACAAATGCTTGCTTTTCTTCTTCGGTGATTTTCTTGGATAATTTCAAACCTCCGGATTCTTCCATAGTCTTACGAATGTATCCAGAGACCGAAGTTCTTGTCTTAGACAAAGAAGCTCTCTTTTTAGCTTTATCTTGAGAAGATTCATAAGTCAGAGGTAACAAATTGGGGAATACCTTCAATGCCACAGGTAACAATAATTCTGCAAAGGGAATAATGATAAACATAGCAAACGGTACCAATCTGACCACGTCAACAATAGTACGTTGTAATTGATTGGTTTCTCTTCTAGTAAGACCATATCCCGCAACCATTTTCACCAACAACCGAGTAGATACCTTAATTTCATACCCCAATAATTTGGTACCATTCCAATAATGATTGGCTTCGTGTTTGACCTTCTCCCAAAGACTCTTCTTGGGTTCACCACTAACAGGCACCACTTCTTTAGGAGGTGCCTTTACTATCTCTTTGGTCTTAGTGGTAGTGGTAGTGGTAGTAGTAGCAGGAGCAGTAGTCTTATTGGCTCCCACGTTCTTGGAGTCACTGCTGGACTTTGTGGCATTGTATCTGACGGCCGTTCTATTCATAACCATCATTACTGAAGTCGGACGGACTCTTAGAGCCATTGCCATCCTCCGCAGAATAATACTATTTTTCATCACCATGCTTGCTAGATTTTTGATGTCTAATGCTTCCACTGCTTGTGTTTATCCGTTCGGATTATCTTTCTCGTATATATACTTATGCTTGACAGCTTTACTATTCAGCCTTCACCCACTACCATACAAAAGAAAAGAAATTATTTGTACAAGGTATTGAATGTTTGTAGGTGTGTTGGAGGGAAACAAGTGCAAAATTTCGTCCTTACTTCATCCGGCGTGGTAGCGCACAATATTGTAAATTTCAAAGCTTTGTGACCACTTTCGGTTCTGGTGGCCGTTGCTGTTGGTGCTTGCCATTTGCGCGGATTACACGGTCATATGAACCGGGGATAACAGGGGATAAATGTTTAACCGCACATGTATAAACCGTTTCCATCTAGTTATAGGGATATAAAATCTATTCTATATTATATTATTTTATTTTAATTATTCTTCCAGTCTCTGAAGGAATTGAGGTTGAGCACTCTCACCAGAAACTCCCACAAGAACAACTTGTTTCACTACTGTATGGTAATCTTCGTCTTCACCGTCAAAGAAGATCGATAACCCATAACAAGTCTGGAATCGCACATACTTTAACTTACATTCGTACCATTGACCATCAACAAGTTTGCCTTCAAGCTTTTCATGATGGTGTTTTGTATCCAACACTGCTTCGTCGAACAGAGTAACTCTCCCATTGATTACGTTGATGATATTTGGGAATTGAGTTTCCGCGATGTCTTCTTCATCCAATGCTACACCTTCCACAGCAGTGACCTTCTCTACCTTTAATAACACCGAATATACCTTGCACACACTTGTGAAAGGTACGTAGAAAAGTAATTGCGAGTCAGCATCGGAGTACACTGGAGAATTCTCTTCAAGCTTAAACAACTGGTTAGCACTTGGAGCATCACCGTCTTTGGTTTGGACAGTCAGTAGTGGAGAGGCATTGAATGATACAAATTCACTCATAAGAATCTTTGGGTTTAGAATCTCATACCCTTTAGGTACAAGAGATTTCAACTCGTCATCATCGACTTTCATAAGCACGGCTTTGGCACCCGACCCCTTTCTGACCCCATCGGTAGCTTTCAAGGCCAATTGATCAAAAGCCTGAGTCAACTCACTGACATTGGCGGAAGAAAGACGTTTGGTCAATTCTCCACTTTCAAACACCAAGAACGTTGGAATAGAGGTGACACTATAACGGGAGGCTAATTCTGATTGGGCATCAATGTCAATTCTTACCACCTCTATGTTACCGTATTTGGCCGTGTTTTCGTACATTTGGTCGACCAAGGGCTTAATGGCCTGACAAGGTCCACACCATGTGGCGGTGAAGTTTGCCACCAAGTATTTGTTGTGGACCAAGCAGTCTTCAAACTCGCGGGTCGAAGTTATGAAATCTATAGGCATGATGACACGGAGAGACTGAGCAGACAGTAACGAACAGTAATCAGACAACAGTCAGAGAAAGTGTCTGTTAATTGTAGCAGTAGTTAACGTACTGTATAATTTTCCGTTATCAATTTTTGAGTCGCTCGTGATTCATACATAAGCCATCCACATGGCACAGACAAGAAGACACAAGGTACAAAGGATACAGACAGACATATATACAGATACAGACGTATATACATATACAGACGTATATACAGATAGAACCATCCCACTGCAATGGAAGAAGAGTCTCGACATGGTCTCTCATTGTTAAAGTTATCTTCAGTACGACCCACCCGTCGGAAGCATAGTCGAAGGAAGCTTTCTACAGGGAGAAAACCCACCAGAACCTCGCTGTATAACCATCACCATTCGAATGCAGTTCCCAACGTATTCACTGAGGTAGCACATAATGTATTTGATCCTCATGGTCGACTAGCTAAGCTAGCCAGAGGTAAGGTAGGAAACGATCGTGATGGTGCTGAAGAGGAAGAAGACGATGACGATAAATCGTCTATTGACAGTGTTCAAAGACACTGTCAGGACGACAGTTGTGAAAGCCAAGCGAATTGTGAAGTTGAGATATTTGAATCGTTATACCCAAATAAAGATGATGATGCCGAGAAGCCGACCCAAATAGGTTATGAGAGTCTTAATCTGAATACCATAGCTGAATCAAATGAGAATGGTAATGGACATTCTGCTACCGAGGATACGGAAACGGACAGAGAACGAATGAAAAGAGCCACGTTACTTACAACGTTACTTCTTGATATGAAAACCAATATGAAGGCCGACCATAATATCGTTGACCCTTCAGAAAGTATTCTTAATGATCAAAGAAACAACAGAGAGAATGCCACACAATCTGTGGTGGTCTCCAGAAGTACTTTCTTAAGAGCAGAGAAGGTTAAATCTATGATTGCCATTAAATATTTATATCTTCAAAGAACTTTGGATTGGGCAAATGCTAACGAAGATATTAATCTCCATTGCCATGTGGAGGGGGTTTATAATCCCTTGCAAGTGATCCGAAATCGAAGGGTTCGGGCAAAGTATAAGGAATATCTAAGACCACTTTCATTTAAAGAACTTCCATTGGCTTCAAATGTCTTTAGCAAGCATTCTATTAAAGATTCCAATTATGCTATGCTTTGGTCGATTGATTTGACCGAACTTATTGGAGATCCGATTTGGCGTACTTATCATTGGAATGAACTAAGAAACCCTCATGGCAAGCTCTGGTTCCCTCCAGAAAAAAGCAACAGTAACGCTGCTGTTGATGGAGGACGTATTAAGTTGCATGATAAGTTGTTTGGACTAGAGGATGAAAATGCTCAACAGAATAACCTGAGCCAACCTTCATCATCGCTTTCAGTGGATGAACTCATCAAACCAACAAGATCCAAAAGCACTTCTCCAGTTAGAGAAAGACTCAGAGATAAAATAAATAAAAAAATGTGGATAGGGTCATCTCATGATTCCACAAGTGACATTGAAAGAGTGGAGGAGATGAATGACGAAGAAGCGAATGTGAATGACCACGACCACAACGATGATGAAGAAACTGAAGGACTGAAAGGAGCTCTTAATGATAAAATTTCCCCTCGCAAGGAAAGTAGTAATGCTGAACCAGCTGCTTTGAAGGTACCTCCAGTAGTTGTGATAAACTACGAACTACCAGTAGCCCAAACGGTCGACTCTTCTCGCAGTAATTCTTCTTTGGATATCCATGGTATTTATTTTAAGCCCGTGGAAAAGGACAAAGAAAACGAAGTTGAAAAATCTAAAGATGACAATGAAGATTCCTTGAAAGCGACTTCAAGCGAAGATGATAATAAAGATTTGGATGATGATGAAACACATAATTTACCCGTTGCCATACCAATTGAGAAGAGTATTTCTGGTATACTGCTGGAACCAAAGAAAATTCAAGATTTGGAAGAAATAGCCCAAATAAGATCAATAATGGAGAATTTAGCTCTCATTAGAAAAGTTGCAAACATAAGATTGCATTATTACTACGCTGTATATCCTCATTTGGCAAATTCTGTTATAACCAGGATTTCAAAGATTATTAATAATGAAATGTCAATTGTCCATGAAAAGTCAAACAAGATTGCTACTCAAGATTTACCAGCTCAAGAACGAATGTATATGACTTTTCTGGCTCAAATCCAAGACATGTTGCATATGATAAACGACAAGTATTCAATTCGAGTGGATAGTTTGCTTAGTAGTAGTGACAGATCTATTGGTGAATTGAATACATCTGTTTCCCTTGAAATGAGAAAGGTGAATGAAAGACTTGATAAGCTTCATAACCAATTAATGGGTCGTTCAATTAGGGATAGTTTTGGTGTAGAAACTTTGAAAGGTAATTATGGGGAAAGTGGTGGGTATCAGGTTTTATATACCCTAATAGAGAATTCCATTATAATAGTTCTCAGATTAATTTGGGTATTGGTTAACATTTATAAGATTCTCTTTTATATTGTTACTCTTGTTTATGGTGCCATCCGGTTCATCATTAGTACTTAGAGGGATTCAAGTAAATCAATTAATTTATCTGCATTTGTTAAATTCTCCGACATCACTTTTGAAGTATAGTTATCTCCACTATCAATCATAACTCCGACCACGTTTTTATTAACTTCAGAATTCAAAATTGTCAACAATTTGGAACTGATGTCTTCATAATTGGAATTATTCACCTTGCCTACATCAAGCATAATCTTAGGGCTTGAATGCTGATAATTTGGATGTGAGTACACTTTGGCAATGTACTTTGAAATATCATCTTTGGAAACAAGTGCGTTTAATTGTAGAAGAAGGAAAGTATCGTTATTACCCTGTGTGCTGGTAACGGCAACTTGACCGATTTTGGTCATAGATAAGAACAGATGTGGTTGACTAGCCGTGTACATAGCATCCATTGCAGCTGAAATTTTGTTCTCATAAGTTGTCAAGTCCAATGCAAGTGTTGAGTCTTGAGTACCGAATCCAACTGAATAGGAGCATCCAGAAACCGATTCTCTATGTAATTGGGATTCAACATAAGTTGAGCTAATCAATGCAAGTGAATAAATATCCGAGAAGTACTGTGGTGTAAGAGTATCACTTAATTCACCCACAATAGGACACAACCGTGCCAAATCTCGAAGCAAAGACCGACAATAAGGAAGTCCTTTCAGGATTTCAAAACTCAGATATGAATCGTTCTGTATTATGACTGACATGTTAACTCGAAGCAGAACGAAAGAATCTTTGGATTTGATCCATTCAGCACAGGACTTAATTTCCTCAACATCTGATATGGAAGATGGCCCAGCAATTATCAACAATGGAGTACTTCTCTGTTGTTTGGAAGTCACATCCTGATTCAACATCGATCTGATCAAAGCTCTATGAAGAAGAATTTGATTCTTGAGTTGGTGTCCTAGTGGGTAGAGCACACCTTGGACCAAATCTGGCAGGGGTACAGGAACATTATTAAAACCAGTAGTCGATTGCACCGATGAAGAACTGGAAGATTTGGATAATGCCGGTTTAGTATCTCCACAGCTCATTGTACGTGTCCTGTCAGTAGTATTGCTCTCCTTTGTGGGGTATGTCAACTGAACAGCACTAACAGTAACCTATTATAAATATATAGTATAAGAATGTCGTAAAAGAATGTCGTGCACTACAATAATCCAAATGAACAGCGTGCCTCAGTGGTTCTTATATGATTTTGACTTGTAAAGAAAGAAGGTGTAATGAGTCAGACTGTTTGACTGCAAAATCTTTGTTAGCTTGTATATTTTTTAACACCAATTTTATTGAGTGTCGCACGACCACAATTGCCGTGATGTAAAAGATATTTCGGTTAGCAACGGCTTACAACAAGTCTTCGTAGAGGTTAACATACATTTGTACTATAGCAGCCTGATTTGCCGAGCGTATAAGATAGTACGACGAGCTCTGATATTACGACTAATATAATAGTCTCCATAGTCATTAGCCCTTTATCTCAATGCAACAAAAGTCCATCGCCATATTACAACGCATAGACACCAATGTCGAACAAGTTTTAACCAAGTTCCAACGGATATTTGAACTTGCCGTGGTAGAAGATAAGTCAAAGGAATTGCTAGCAGTGGAATCACTCACTATGGAAGCAGATGCTTTATCTATAATCCGTCTATGTGAAGATTTGCTAAGTATTACCCGGAACTTGAAGGAAACCTGGTGTTTAGGTTCTATAAAGGTATCTGATAATAAAGAGCAGTGGAAACTGAAAAAGGAACTTAGAAAGGTATACGAACAGTTTAATAAACTTACTGATAATATTGCTGAGTTTGAAACCAAGCAAACCGTTTAATATTGTCTATATTTAAGTTAATTACCCTGATAGCAATAATAATATTATTCATCAATTACCGTGACACTAACTTTCGGAGACCCAGCTCTCGAGTTAACTCTGGAATTTGTTCGTGAAGTGTCCGCCAGTTTGGGTTGTTGCTGACCTTGTTCCTCAAAAAGATGAACATATGTTTGCACTTTCCCAACCTTTATAAACCTGAACTTCTTATCTTCCTTAATAAAGGATGGAACATTGGATGATTTGAAAGCAAAATCCATGCCATTCTGGTGCTCAACGCTGAACAATGCAATGGACCCTGCAACCCTTGATGATGAAGATGATGATGGTGCCAGATCAGGTTTGGTAGGTGAGTTATTATAGTACATTCGTTTTCCTGGTGAAGGAATGAATGGCTCATCATCACCCATACTAGACTCGCAATTGTTCAATTGCATGGGAGGAATGGGCACATTATCAAGTCCTTCAATTCTTCCAGGAATTGAATTATCTTCTGACCCATTGCGATTTTCCGATTCATCTGCCAAAGTAGGTGTCCTGGGTTCCGGATCTATCAGTTTAGCTATCACATTTCGCTCAAGTGAGCTGGTGCTATTCTCCAGTTGTAATTGATTTTTCTCCTTAGGTATAAACCCATCTTGGAGTTGAGAAGCGTTTTGTTTAGATTTTAGTCCTTTATCATGCACATCTTCAACTTCAGACTTGCTTGAGTCCCTATTCCTCGCAAAATCCTCATCCTTTGCAATATATCCATAGTCATCCTTTTCCTTGGAATCGTCGTTTACTATTGGTCCATTATACTCAATTGCTTCATTATCTTCCATAAAGTCCTTCAAACTCAGGGTAGATGCGTTTTTACGAAGATGTGTCTCGTGGATAACCAAATTAACGGATTGCAGAGATTCAAAAGGCGTATCTTCTTCAAAAATAGTGGTAGTGTCCAGAGAATCCAAAACATCAACCTCTTTGTCTTCTGGTACCTCAAAGAAATCATCGTAGTTAACAGACTTCAAAATAGTACCAACCTTGGTACTCTCTTCTTCAGAAATACCATTATTTTGATCAACATGTTCATTTTTAATATCGTTAGTCTCCATATAATTTTCTTTATCATTGTGTCTAAGGTTACACATGTCTGTTATGAATGATTTTGTCTGTTGTTCCGTGATAGGACGGGACAGGTTTTTAGTGGCTAAACGCATCACCTCACCAGGAGGAGATACATCCAAGACAAAACTGGCATCTGAATCAAGATAATCACTAAAATCGTCTTCAAACCAAACTCTATTGCTTGATTTCTCTTGTGAACAATTAAGAGTATCTTCAGAAGTCAAAGAACAACTTTCATTACTATCCAGATAGTATTTCTCATCGTAATCTCGTTTCAATATGGATTTCCCGGGACCTGGACCTCGAATTCGCTTTTCAAGTTCATGTGATATTCGATTACTAGCATATGCCTGCAATTGATCCACCAAGGATTGGTCACTTGAGCTAAGTAACTTATAATTAGCGTCATTATCAAATTCTATAATTAAAGGGCACCATCTTTGGATCGTTAATTTGGTGATAGTCAAGGTTAAATTGGCTATAAAGACTTCATTTGGATCAAAGGCAAATGTAGTCCTATGGACATTGCCATCTATGCTGATGATTGGGTGGTGTCTCTTTTGGGGTTCAGGTTTCTTCGTTTGAGTGACTTTAGCTAAAAATATTGAACTTTCTTTGACAAAACTTGAAGGTCGAAGGTCTCGATTTCTTGATAACAAAGTGTTGAGCTCAACATTGATCACAAATGACGTATCATTAAGGATAACCTCTTCACCACCCAGCCAATCTTCCCGCACACATCGTACGGCTATTAGTTTTGCCTTCTGGGGTATATCTGAGGAGAAAACAAAGTTCGGACGATCCCTCTCGTGATCTTGGAAATGGATACCCTGATAGAGTTTTAGATCGTGCATTCAATAACGGATAAGATTTTTATGTGGAAAGAAATTCATTACCAGATCAAAATGTCTCTGGTTAAAATATGGTTAAATAATGTCGTTAACAAGACTTATAGTAGTGCAGTTGTTATAGCTAACAGTATTAGGAGTAAGTCATTCCCCAGTTTGACCCCAAAAATAAACAAACATAAAAAACATGCGACATTATACGACATGTGTTGATGCTGGTCAAATGACGACATTATTCCACCAACTATAAACTGTACCATAAATGAGTGGTTAACAACAGTGGTTTATAATATTAGATTATAACACTGGTTGTTGTCATGGCATCGTATTACTTCACCATAATAGGAACTTTGGACCGGCCACTATACGAGTTAGAGTTTGCTTCTTTTAAAAACCCAACAGCTCAAGGAGTACCGGGCAAATCCCAGTTCTCCGCCAGTGTTAAAGAGATCCTCCCATTTATAGCCAACTCATCCTTAGACGTGGTCGAGGATGCCCAATGGAATAGTAACCAGTTTCATTTAGGGAAAATCGATGCTTTTTTTGGACTCCAGGTCAATGGGTACATTACGCAGGGTAATATCAAATTCTTACTTTGCTACGAGACTCCAACTAATGCCAATTTGGCCCTCCATGCTAAACAAGATGATACTACTTTAAAACAGTTTTTCAACGAAGTCAACGATCTATATGTCAAATGTCTTCTCAACCCCTTTTACTCAGTTAACGATGCAATAACTTCACCTGATTTTGATCTACGAGTGAAACTAATTGTTAGAAAATACCTTTAAAAGGCATCAACATATATTTACAGGGACTATAGACGAACTTTAATATACAACAGCAGCAAAAGTGGAACCTGATCAATTGGAATTGGATATGATCGTAGAATGGTTTCTCATGGTATTAAATCTTCGTATTGGGAGCTGCATGCGATTCGTGTTCCTTCTCTAATCTTTTGGCTTCTTCTTCTTCAGCTGCAAGCATTTCATCAGTAGCGATGGAAAAATCACCATTGTCTTCAAACTTAATGATACCCTTAGACTTCAAGGCCTCAAACATATCTTGTGGAATCCACCCACCAGTTGCAGCAAAGGGGGTAGATACAATTTCCATTTGATAGTCTTCTAAATCAGCTTGATGTTCCTTCAAATACTCAGGAGAATATTTAATTGGGAAGGTTGAATCCGTAGCGTTACACAATTCGTTGGCGACATAAGCATCCCATAAAGCTTGCAATTGAATCATCGACCCTTCAACATACAAATAATCCTTATCATTCTTCAATTCCAAAGCTTGAGCATAAGGACTCTTTAATGCCTTGATATGTGGAGAAGCAATAGAGATTAAATCGTGTCTTCTAGCATTTAATTCCTTTTCCCACATAAACTCATTTCTGGTCTTGTAGTACATAAACTTGAACTGTTCCTTCTCAACATCTGACATCTCATTATAACCAGGTACGTCTTCTTCCAAATTGTGGATCTTTGCACCTTGGTACGCAACAAATGAAGGGTAAGCACTCAAAATAAATGGCTTTATAGAAGAGTATTCCATATCAACAAGATAATATTTTCCATTATTTTCAATGGTGTTCAAGGGATCCAAATCAGGAACATTCAACCGAGGCTTGAACACTTCCTCCACATTCATAATAGAAGTAGAAGCATTATTGAGTAATAAAGGAGCCATGGTCTTGAAATTTTCTAAAGACTTTAGCTTTCTCTTGAGTAATTCCACATCTTCAATGACATTTGAGGCTTCAGCGTGGTGCAAAGCCAATCTGTTCTTAACATTCTCCAATTCAATGTCAGCAATGGCAGAAACCAATGACAATGGCTTGGAGGAATCCCAAGGTCCAGTGTATTTAGCAATGGTCTTCTTATCCAACTTGTCTTTGTTCTTGAAGAATGCCTTTTCAACAGAAGCACCAATTCTCCATCTGTTCTTCAAAGTAGCATCTTCTTCACCATTATAGGGTAAATCAGCCTGTTGTAACGCAGACACATCATCGTGGAAATATAAGGAACCATACTTATTGAATACAATAGACAAGATCTTCTCTTGGAAATCAGCCAATGGCTTAATAACGTCCAAGACCTCTTGTTCATTATCAGACATTGGATTCCACTTTTTCATCAACAAATCTCCAGATATATATTCCATTAGAATGAATGGAGTTTGCAACAGGTTGTCTCTTGAGGCACCATAAGCAACCACCTTGGGAACATTGGCCCCCAATTTCAAATTCAAGAAATCCAAAGTAGCAGCTTCCGATTTAACCTTTTGCGAAATAGCATAATCAGATTCTAACTTATAAGGAATACGAAGCACCAATTCCTTCCCAGTGGTAAGAGTGACTTTATACACCCTATGGTGCTTCCCTTCATGGATACTGGCAATAGATTTGACACCCAATTTATTGCCACCACCAGGCAACAGTCCCAAGAGAGAAAGATTATTGTTCAATAAAACAGTACCATCTTTCAACAGTTTGGGAGCCTTTACAATGTATTTACCGGATTTAGACACGTTTTTAGAGTCTAGAACTTCTGCGGTAATCTCAGACAACAAAGTGGCCACGCCTTCGATGGAGAAACAGGTTTCTCTCTTGGCTCTTTCTGCCTTATCATTCTTCAACCACGAGCCCCATGTGTATTGGAAGAATTCATTTCTTTGAGGGTCCTTGGTGTCCGACAATTTAGTGTACACTTCCTTGGGGGAAGAAGTAGTTTGCGATTGGAATCTTTGCGCGTGGATGAAGCCAGAACCGAGTCTAGCAGTAGTAGTAGAAGTGACACGTAAGACGCCTCTTCTAGGCGCCAATACTCTCTTCAACATTACAGGGTAATAAATATAAATAGAAGGGTGAAGAAGAAAGACCAAGTAAAAGTTTCTCAAACTCAAAATTTTTCACTGCGTAAATTGAAAGAGCACATTACCCCAGATTAATTATACATAGCAATATAGATCCTCCAAGAACCTTCTAATTAAGGTAACACAGAGTAGTGTCAGTCATTTGTAGTGAACCATGGCAGTGTTTACAGTCAATTAACATACGTCACAGTCATTAGATTAATAATAATACTACCAACATAGTAGAGATAATACAACACAAAACATTAAAGTGTGCCCTTCATTTGTCCCGGATGGCATCTGTGTTAATGAGATCTATTTTCTCCGATAGCGATACCTGGGGTATAGAATCAGGATATTCTTCTATTCCAATTGATGTCTTGCCTCCAAGACCACCTTCACCATCAAACTCTGCATTTGTTGTCTTTATGGATGCCAGACTGGGGTTTGGGTCCATTGCATAAAAGTCCGAGGCCGACATACGTAATGGGGGGGGAAGTGATTGCAGTAACGGAGACTTCGTTGGAGGATGATTATTGTTACCACTACTACCCTTTTGGGTTGCAGTCACATTAGTATTAGTGTGGGGTGTATTGGAAGTAGAACCAGTACCAGATGGGTTGTTTTGTGCGTTTTGATGTATCAGCTGCTGTTGCTGCTGTTGCTGCTGTTGTTCTTGATGTTGAATCATACTAGCAATGACACTTGAAGAATAGGGTGTAGGCCCGTGTCTGTGAAGTTTCTTACCTTCTATACCATCTTTAGTAGCAGTCGTAGATAAACACGAAGTTGTTGAAGTTCTCAGCAATGGACGAGATATAGGCTCTGAATTTGGATTTAAGCCATTATCTTCCATCAAGAATGATGGAACAGATGTACCTCCGGCTGCTGCTGTTGGTGGTGCGGAATCGTTACCAGAGAGAAAGTCTGCTGTTGAGGAAATAGTAGAAGAATCATAGTTATCAGAATTATTCTTACCCAAATTTGACAGGGAATCAAACTCAAAACTTGGATTGGATTGATTATCAATATCGTATGTGTGTGGATGTTCTGGTGTATTAAAGTTCACTTTACCACTGTAAATTGACTTTACACTAGCAGAAGTGTGCGACATTGTCTATTATGTTTGATGATGATTCAATTATGGTAGTAATAGTGATTTGATATCCCGTCAACATACAATAAATATGGGTCCAAATTCTCAACAGAGGATTATATAAGCAAAAATTTCAATACTTTTACTTAGGAGGTTAGTCAATGTAATACTTAACCCTGTCACTCAATTTTATATCCCGTCCTCACAGCATAGAATAAACCTTTGTGATTCTGTTCCTCGATTATATTCTGCTACATAAGAGGGAATCGTGTACCGCACACGACTTTATTTTCCGTGTTGGGGAATTTAAGTCGCAAAAGGTGTAAGGGGTAGCTGCAGCCAGGAGAGTCAGCTATAAAGAATCAACTACGGAGCAACCAAATTGAGTAGCTGGAAGCGAGCAGTAAAACAGTAGTGGGCTATTTTGCTTATGCCTTTGGGATAATGATTTTAGAATAGAAAACATCACCCGTAGTTGTAGGAACATACAGCGTATGCCTAATCATAAACGTATACTGATTGCTTTGTATGTCAGTAAGATAGCATTACATTCGTCATTGTATCTCTCATTATATACCGTATTGTATAATGTGTGGGCTATTTTTATTTGGCTTGTCTTCATTGGAATGATTTGGTACCATCAAAGAAATTCAGACTAGCGCATGCGTATAGCCATCACGGATTATTCCTGCTTTTTCTTCATGTCTGTTCAATGCTCTAATTATCTACTCTCATGGTTTAATCTCTTGGTTACTCTTGCTGCATTTATTGGTTGCGAAAAAAAAACTTACCTATCAGTCTTCTTTTGCCACCACAAGTAACTCAATGGCTCACTCAAACAGTAGTAACTCCGATCTTCTCATCGAAGAGCTACTCAGAATCGCTCTTTATTCAATCACCTATCTCAGGTGTATTTTTGATGAGAATTCGTACAAGTGGGCAAAGTATCGTTTCCCCAACGAACTGCTTAACAACAACGATACCTCCTCTCATTCAATAAGATACAAACAGTTGATAAAGGGGTCCAATCAAAATGTAGATAGGTTTTTGAGTTGGATTGATTCGGGAGTATCTGATGCCATTATGAGAAGGGCACTAAAGGGTTTACAGTTGACAATTGCATCTGATTCTGATCATCCAGATGAACCACGAGAATGCTATTTATTTATGATAAGTTACAATCATAAAAGTATTTCTGTAAGTTCACAGAACAGCATTTGTACAATCGACTCAGCACATTCCATGACGACTTCAACAAGAGATAAATTACGCACTCTTTTAAAGAATCTAATTGATATCACTGAAGATTTGAACACGTTACCATCACTTAAGAGAATATCTATAAATCTATTGATAAATGAGACTTCTCCAAAATATTATCAGCCATCAGGATTCAGGAGCACAGGTTCTTCACAATTCCCACTTCTTGGCAATGTCGGAGAAGAAGGTGTAATTAAATTAGATTCAGTTAATACTGGTTACCACACATTCGGTGTGGCTGTTTACACTACCGAAGTAAAAAGTGATAATGTCTTACCATATCTGGCATCTTTGTCCGGGAGTGTGGTAAAGAACACATTTGATGAAGCACAACTATTCACTAAAAATAGACAAACATTGGTAGCATCAAGACCAGACACCGTTAAATTATGTGAATGCAAGTTTTTGTTAGGAAGCAAATATCCACAGAAAAGCTTTGATTGTATTGGGTGTAAAAGACACTGCCACTTAAAGTGTTATGGTTACACGGATACAGATTTATCCTTTAGAAAGAAATGTTTCACCTGCATTTTAGGTAAAGAGAAAGTTGACTTTGACATTCTAATACTAATGCGTTCTCGAATATACTTTGGATTCTTGAAATGTTTTCCATTCCCTAAGAGATTACTGCAAATTGGGGTTGAAATATTTGATTTATCCAAAGAGAACCTGGTGTTGATTATTAACAAGATGTTAAAGCTTTTTTTAATGAATGGTGTTATTGTATTTGTTGAACGTACGGAAGTAACTGAAGTAGGGTGCGGCTCAGTTATTGTTGATATCCAAACAAGTAGTGAAGTTCTACAGCTAACTAATCATTACTTGAAATGGAATTCCATGTGTAATCTAGCATTTTATCCAATAACAAGAAGATACACACACAAGAAACGGAAGAATCCATTATTTGTCCAATCGAAAGTGGTTACTACATTCTGTCGAAAATGGAATACAGGAAAAATCGACCACGCTTCCCAAATACTACAAATTGTTCGGAAAGTTTTACAATGCGGGGGATATTTTAATCTGGCTTCTCAAGTTGGTACTGCCACGATGAATTACTTGTTCCCTTCTTATAAGCCAAGCATATTAAACAATAAGGTCAGAAGGTGTTCATTGGAAGCGGATGCTCATGGTATCTCCGCCACTTCTAGCTTACTGCAACAACGAGAGAAAACTTCTTTCTTGCATATACCCTTGGAAGACCGCCTTACCGGGAATGGCTTTGAAAGATCGAGTAGTTTCAAGAAAGGGAAATCTTATTCGCATGGTAGTGAAGTGACTGATTCATCGATTAGAAGTCCTACATTTAGTGAATTAGGCTTTTTTCAAACGAAGATTCATGTCGGTAGGCCAACAATAATCTCGGATGAATTGAATGATATTTCATTTGAAGATTCATTTGCAATGTTAAGTCAAACTCAGAAATGAAAAGTCGGGGTGATATCCACTAATGTCGGGCATTTTTGCCAAGTTTGGCTGATACGATGCCTGAGGTATATACTTCGGTCTATGTCTTTTAATTTCGGTAATGGAGTTAACAATGTATTTCCATGCGTCAAAACACAAGTGTTTGTGAAATGCGGAGATAGATACAATCTGACGCAATACGACATTTAAATGTGGGTCCTTGGTTTTTGTGAAATATGGAGTAGTTAATACTGCGGATATAAGCTTAGTCATGAGTGATTAACTGAAGAATTGAGATGAGACGCGGAAATTTGATTGGTGGTGGGCGTATGTGTTTATGTTGAAGAAAATATTAGAGTGAGGACGTTTAGTTGTAATAGTGAGGATGATTGTACATTTGCATTGACGGCGGATGCATTGACTCTTTGCGGAGATAAGAGTTTGGCATAAATTCGCTGCGGGAGTTAAGCCGTGGCTATCATGAAGAAAGTTTGATCAAGCGACTTGGCAAAGCGCATTATCATCTTGTTCTTTTAATGGTTAGAAAGGATCAACATTGTTGTCGGAACTCCGCAAGACCTCAGTAGGCTATCGTTCCCAGCGAACAAGTCAAACTATTTCGTTGAAGCTTTTAATCACAATGAATTTTTATTCGTAGTGCATTAGACATAAAAATGTGGTAATTGAAAAGTGGGCAAAGAAAACAATTATAATAGTTCCTGTGGATGCAAAAGGCTTGCGGTTTATGAATAAATGGTCTTTGTTAAACTGTAAATGATTATTCTCAAAGCAATATAAAGATAAAGGTTAATCCGGGGACCTTGCAAAAGCATATACAACAAATTTTCGAACCAAAGATTTATTTTTTACGAGGTACTTCATCACTTGAAATTAAGTTGCACTATACTTCTCGTAAATGTGCAGAGTACGTACTTGAGATTAAGCTTATTTATAATCCCACTGCAAGTACCACCACAATTCCATCCACGGTCATATAATTTCACCATACAAGTTCTGGACCCAATAATTGCAAATTGGTTCATTCCCAAAGTTTGAACCAACAATTGAATAATAAAAACAATCCTTGTTAGATTTTAGTTCAGTTCTGCAGGTTGATTTTCTTGAACAATCTGGGTTTGACTCCTACTTTCCTGTTTTGCATTGTGTTACCTTTTCAGCCACTTGTTGTCCGATTGTGTTGAATTAGAATTTTTCTTTTTAATTATTCAACTGTTCGTGCGGCAGGCGATTTTGGAAACTATATCCTAAGAGTAAGAGTTGATAGAGCTTTGGTGTTCTGCAGAGAAGACGAATAACAAACAAGAGATCACCAAACAGTCTTCAAATTTGGTTTTTGGGAATCTACTCTTATTATAGATTTTGAGCTTGGTTCTAGCCAGAGAAGCTTGGGACTAAATCGTTAGAGCTTGTGTCTGACCTTAGCCTGTCTTCTCCATCAAAGAGCCCATCTGAATCAAGTAGCAGTTTTTTTTTGAAAAACGATGGGGTCTAGGGAAGCTAGGACTCCAAAGACTACCACAAGAAGAAAGCATACAAATTCGAAACTTGGATGTTCGAACTGTAAACGGAAGAAAATAAGGTGTGATGAAACGCTACCTTCGTGCCAAAATTGTTCCAAGACTAATAAAGAACCATGCTCATATTTATCATTGTCTGTTCAAGAGATATACCGAATAAAGTTAACTCATTCATTAAGACAAAACCAAAACAGCAAAATCCAACAGGATTATCGATTACCAACATCTTCATTGAAGAATGAAGTCACAACTCCTACTGCTATGCAAAATATGAACTCCTTCTCTCCCGAAAGTGGTCACGACACAGAGCTTGGAAGTCTGGCACTCCAAATGAATTTCGAACTACAAGATCTCCCCATAAAGATCCCTACATTTAAATATCCTATGATTCACTTTAGAAATGTTACTTTAGAAGAATTTGATGCCGAAGATGGGTTATCACCCGAACCGGGAGCATCTGAATATGAAAACGAACTGCTGGCGACTTTACGAAAGTCAATAAATGCCACAACGGGTTCTACTACTTCCCATGATTCCTACCAATCAGCTCTACAACATCTGTCAAGTGTATCACCCACAACTTCAACAGATTCAAATGCTGATACTTTGACTCATAACTCTAAATTTCTTAGTGATGCTCAGATTGGTCCTGATGTGGTACCCAACTCCGCCACTTATTGCTCGCCTAATAATGAAAAGCATGTATTGCTCGGGGCACATAAGGCAGGTACGGTGTTTAAGAGCAATGATCTTCAGCATATTCCTACAAAGTTCAAGGATGAAAGCATGGATGCAACTATACTCTTAGAGCCCAGTTCACGTTTTCTTCCCGGCCCGGTTTCCTTATTAGATTCGGTCCAAGATGTCATGGCTCATGCAGACTATAGTTATGAATCCTATGAGTGTTTAATGATGTCCGCTATGTTACTTTCAAGAAGTGGTAAAGCTGTGTATTTTGGTAACAAATCCAATTATAATGGGAAGTGTGACTATTCAAGGTTTATATCCGAAACCTATAGCATGTGTGATGAATGGAAGGATAAAGCAATTCAGCGTATAGAGGACTGCGTTAGTAACTTTTACTCATCTAATGAGTTTAACCCGCAAGAGGTTATTGCGTTATCGTATACTTCATGCTTTATATCAGTGTCCATGCTCCTGTTATGGTATGATTATCGAAGCTATATCAAATCGGCATCTGGCGTGTCTTATTTGATGTACAATGTTTGCCCATTATTTGAACAGAAACCAGATATGGTCCCCGCTGAAATCAAATACTTGATGAAGCAATTACAATACATCATTAAAACACTTGCCATCCCATCATATGACCCAGAATTTCTTCATGAATTCCAATCTAATTTCTCGAAGTTGACGAATTATTACAATGAACCTGAGAAGTTCATGAGATGCATCAACGTTCAAGATGTAAGCTATTTAAAAGAGATTCTCGAAACTTATAAACGATTGCAATACTATTACAATTGTTTAAGTGATTTTTTAGCCAATTCTTTGATCCCTATGGTATTTGAGAAACGGGATGTTAATGCAGTTTGTGTTTACTCTCCTGAACTTATTTATGAATTATGGGGAAAATGGTTTAGTATATTCCCCGGTGATACCGAGGTCCAACCTCCCAGCAATCCAAATTATCCGGTGGAATCAGCATATTTGACTGATTTATTCACAACATTATCCATGTATTATTATTCGTTACTGGTAGCAATGGATGCTATTATTCCATCTGTGAAATACCTTTTCAGTGTTAGTTTTTTGGTTCTGAACAATCAGTTCCTCGGGAGGAAGGATATATTTAAAGCCAATGAAGAAACATACTTATCACGAGCATTCAAATCCAGAGATTATCTTTTAAAGAACAATTATTACACAATGAGATTATTTGAATTTTTTAATAGAAGGTTCACCTTTTTTATTGACAACATCCATTATATTACAGAATCTCCTTATACTCCATATGTGCAATTAAATCGGTTACAATCTCGTTGTGTTCCTAATGTTCAAGAGGATTACATCAAAAACTTTAACACCACATTAATTCGTCCAGAGCATTTTCCAACTAGAAAAATCGTTAGTCCTGAAGTATTGGATGCACCTTCAGTTTGCTGTGTTTTAACTCGTAACCAGGAGGAAGAACTGTCCATGTATACCAGAAATATAGAAAAGTTGAATTTTTGTCAAGATCGGATACAATACGATACCGAATCTAAGCTTTTACTTAAAGATTATAAGCCTTTTGAACAACGCATGAATCAACACAAGTTTACTCTTTCTTTGAGAACTATGATGGAATTTTATGAAGACAGAGCGTTACTACTTGCATAAGGGAAATTAAGGGAACATAGGATTGTATTATTATTATTATTATTATTATTATTATTATTCGTATTTACTGAAAAGTTAGTCGATTTGATGTAAGGTATTTAAGAATATGCACGTGATCATATACATCTAAATCACAACTAATACGACTACAATCACGTGACGTTTTCTTCTATACCTTTCTCCATACTCTGTTAACTCTAATGCTTCGTCATTTCTTCACTATGTATCAATCATACATTAGCATCATTTTCTGAGTTATCATACTGTCTCATGATGAAAACGTTGAGCATCACGAACTTGTGTGTCTCAAACTCATCTTAGATAAGTGATGGCATTTTGAGACACAAATTTTCAAGCCTCAAGATTTCAGTTCCAAAATGGAAGTTATAACTTTCTACTACTACTTCTGTATATTACCTTAAACATATATATTGGGAGCGAGATGAGTGTTATATTACCTGGGGATGATTTAGGCATATCCACCGATCAGATAGAAACTTCCATAGGACCAGGAATCTACAAGGTACCAGGCATAAAAGATACTAAGTTGATTCCTATAAATGGTGGTCTTCTCAACATTCAAAGAAATAAACAAGGAACTCGTCAAGCAGCACATTTGGAAAGCAACTCAAGAAGATATATACCTCAGGTAAGTGATATGGTCATAGGAACCATTGTGGGTGTTTACGCTGAGTATTATAAGGTGCTGCTACAGAACTTTCTGTCGAATGTGACATTATCTGTGATGGCTTTCCCCAATGCTACAAAGAAAAACAGACCTAATCTTAGACAGGGTCAATGTGTATATGCTCGTGTGAGTTCATATATTCCTGATTTGGAGACTGAGTTGGAATGCTTTGATCTTTCTACGGGGAAAGATGGAGGTTTCGGTTTGTTGGACGAATCCGGCTACATATTTGATGTTGAGCTTAACTACGCCCGAGAACTTTTGTTCAATCCAGGTTTCTTGGTACTCGAGAAGCTCTCAACCAAATGTATGTTTGAAATAGCCATTGGAATCAATGGGAAAATCTGGTTAAAGTGTGGCGATGGTGTACCAATACCTGGGAAGTCAACTGATGAAGACTCAGATAAAATGGATGTTGATTACGTTAAAGATTTGAAGACTACATTAGCTGCAGCCAATTACATTAAGCAGTGTCAGAAAGTTTCACCAGAACAGTTCGATAAGGTTCTAGCCGCATCGTTCAAAGGGTTATAGTATAGTATGTACAATAGAGTCAAATTTATCAATTATGATGGTGTAGCCAGCTCATCTCAATCAACCGTACCTCATGCATCACGTGACTGAGATTCAAATTCTACTAGAGATAACTTCTAACCTGAATACCAATGAAAAGATGTAGAGGGAACTTTGTAAATAGGTATTGGATTGCAGTAAATATTTGTTTCTAATTAAAACTTTTCCCCTCTCTGCTCTTAGAATCTAGCAAGAGTTTAGTAGCAAAGAAGAAACTGTCAAAATACCACACGGTACAAAGAAATATGTACTGGAAGAAGGTAGATACCGGTTTTGGGTTAAGGAAACAAGTTTTCTGTTTTTAACACTCATTGAGGCTTCAGTATATATCAATAATGCTAACTTTGTATTCATAAATTTAGCACCCAAAAGTATCACCAAACTATTTTGTTGAGTTTATAAATAGATGCTCAATCTGTAAGCGGCAGTTGCACTTTTCTAAATCACGTCATGCTACCATATACTGATTTGTGTGTCATATATCAATCTACTGCTACTATAGGATGCCAATTGTACTAAGTTGAGCCCAAAAGAGCTTATACTACTTTCAAAAGACGTGCACTTACCAAAAGTATGATGTGCACATAGTTACATCAAGTTATGCCCTCATCGCCAAATGTAGTATAGACTTAACCATTTAAACAGCTTAAACTTAACACTTTAATAGGCATAATGGCTCAAGCAAAGCCCCAAATAGACGAGGCCAGCCGCCGACGTCAATTACAGAAACAACTACGGAAAAAAAAGTATCAAGATATCCAAATTCAAGGTACTAACAATTCTTCAATTGCATCCAAAAGAAGTGTGGAGCAAATTTATACCACCAAATTAAACCCAGAACTTGGAGAATGGTTTAAATATTTTGTCCCCAAGCCCAAAAGAAGGTCGCCGGCTATCAACAGAGGTTATTGGCTTCGCATGGAAGCCATTAGGTTATTGGTTCAAAAGATCATTGAACAACTGCCACACCAAGAGGTTGTAGTCATCAATTTAGGATGTGGATTTGATCCCTTACCCTTCCAACTATTAAATATGAAGAAAGAAAAACCTGGCTCAATAAAGCAAAGCTTGGCCTTCTGTGACTTTGACTACCCAGAATTAGTTGATAGAAAGAAGAACATGATTAATGATAGTGATGAGATCAAACAAATCATCGGTGACCAAATACCGTCTCAAGATAAGGACTGTGTTCTACAAACATCCACGTATAAGCTTTTGGGATGTGATCTCAAGGATGCAAATAGATTTTCTGGTCAAATTGATAAGTACTTGGGTCATACAAAGCAAACAAAGATCTTCATAGCTGAAGTATCTTTGGCATATGTCAGAGCCGAGTTTGCCAATCCGGTGATCGAAGTTGCCAGTAAACTTGAGGATTCTCACATGCTTATATTGGAACAACTTTTACCACTGGGACCGTACCATCCGTTTGCTAAGAAGATGCTCTATCATTTTGATCATCTTGGATCTCCTATCCATTGCATTGAGACTTACCCCAAAGAAGAAGACCAAATAGCTCGGTTCCAAGATTATTTTAAACATGTGGAGCTGCGAGACTTATGGAAAGTTTGGAACGAAATCATCAGCGACGAGCTGAAGAAACTTGTTAGTCAGATTGAAGAGTTTGATGAATGGGAAGAGTTTATCATGTTTTGCCAGCATTACTTTGTTCTACATGCCCTGACCGAAACCGTTCCCATATACAGCCATCCGAAGATCCAACTAGTTCATGGTGCTGTAGCTGATAACTCTCATACACTTTGCTGGAACAAATTGAAACTTCTGACAGAACTTCAATTGAAATTCCCTGCTGTGGCTCCGCTTGGAGATAAGCTCTTAGTCCATGGTGGATTAGATCAAACTAGGAACGATAAGACATATTTGGTCGATTTGACCACCGGGAACAGTAAGAACGTACCAGACAACTGTGAGTCCCCTCTTGCAGCAATTTCTTCTAGAATGTGTCACCTGCTTGTGTCTTTATCTACTGACCAGATGTTACTTACAGGAGGCCGGTCTAGACCGGGGTTAAGTTATTGTGATGTTTACAAGCTCACTAAGCAGGAGAATGGAATAATAAAATCAACAAGACTTAAGGATATGACCGCCCCCAGATGGAGACACGCTGCTGTGGCTGTTCTGAACATACGAGTCTTGTTATTTGGGGGATTAGAAGAAGACAACGGAGACGTTTTTCAAATCTATGATGTTGAAAGAGAGCTGTTGGTAAATGTCGCGGTCAAAGGTGACACTATTCCTAATCTTTTCTCGTGTGGAATTTGTTTTAACAGAGAAACAGGTAAAGGTTATATCGTGGGAGGAATAGAGAATAATGTCACTGCCGAAACTAATGGTTCAATGTATGAATTTACTTTAGACAATTCAGACATTAATAATAATAATAATAATATCGCTATAATTGTTACAAAAGTGATTGAGAATGAACCATTATTGGCCCGTGTCGGATGTCAAATGGAGTTTATGGGTCCTAATAATTTAGTTATTATCGGCGGAGTTAACTACCACGGATTATTAACCCGGAACAATACTGTTGTGTGTATCAATACCGATACTTCCCGGATGAATATTAAGCCGATCTCAATGTCCGAAAATATATGGGGGAAGGAATCTCCGACGCCTATTTTCATCGGTTTTAGTTTAGTCAAAGTTCAAACCGATCCAAAAGCCGAACAATTAGTGGTGTTTGGAGGTGGAGCTGTATGTTATGCATTCGGTAGTTGCTGTAACCGTGAGATGCTCTTGATCAAGACAGAAAAGTAAAATACGACAATTATTGTACCAAGTATTTATGCGGTTCTGATCTTCTAATATAGCCAAAGGTTCGTTTGCTGTTTTTGCAATAGTAGCCTCTACATTTCTGACCGACAGTGGCACAAATACGGCAAGGTATCAGGAGATGAAAATAGCTAAGCAAATAGGGGTGGAGAAATGTCTGGGTATACACCCATTCTTTCAAGACAACATGACTGATCTCTATTTATCTCTTAATAATATCAGCAGATTATAATTAGTCAGAGTAATAGTAATGAAGTTATGTGCTTTAATCGTATAATGTTGAATATGTAAGTTGTAGACGACATTAATTTTCTTATTCCTGGATACGATACATTAATAATATTATTTGGTAATGATGTCGGACCCAATTGTACCTTAGTGCCGAACTACAAGTAACCTCGAGCCAGTCGTGTCATCTGTCAGGTTGTCATTCGGGCAGGTTATTGACTCCGAGTCATGTTTTAGCGTCACCTACTACAATCTAGCCCAACCTTTGTTGAGTAGGCTCATCTCTGATGACAACAATCAAAGTTTGCTGTCGTCCCTGCAAGTAATAGGAGGCGGTCACTGGTGGAGGGAACGACTCCAGACAAAACAATAGAATTGTATTTCAATTACTTAAAGTGTCGTCAGTAATACTTGAGTAATGATGATCTGTGCTGGTCTTCCAAATTATACTCTAATAGGTATTGGCTCATTAGTAAAGGTGTACGGTACTTACTCATCCACCACTAATATTACGTGTGCCATAATCCCATTGGATGAGGGGTAGTGGCCAGCAATGGACAACCCATTAATACTGAGGGGTAGGCTTATAATAGATAACAATACAAAGTACAGAAACACTAGTCTTACATTAGTATGGAAGCAATCGCTAAAATGTACTATTGTCTGGAGAAAGAGTTTAACTTGAACTATCCGACATGAATTGACTGACGGCTCAATAAATGACTTATGTCACCCGACGTAACCAATCTGAGCCTTGTTGCATTAGTAACCTGATTTTGTAGTACATTTTATGTCATATTCATAAGCTTGCTGTTATTTTTCAGACACAAATTATTAAATGTCGGGTCCGTCCATCCATATTCGCTCCTTTCCGAATGTCTGAAGAACTTATATACATCGCTTAAAGGGTTGAGGCCAATATTATTAGTATTATATTATTATCAGTATTATTATTATTCTTTAAACCTTTGTAAAACAGTTGACACTTGTTTCTTTCATCATTTGGATATTTTTGTTGTATAACTCACTGACTAGTTGTGTCTGATTGAACTACTGTCGGACGTATAGACAGAGTAATAATACGAGTCATATTGTTATACGTCACATTTGCTAGGTATCCATAAGACGTATCTAATCTATTTTTACAACAGTCCATCGAGACAAACAGACAAACAGACACACAGGAACATTCCATATATAACTGGTCTGTCTGTTGATTGGTCTGCTGAATGGTCTGTTGATTGGTCTCTTGGTTATAACTATTGAACGTATTTGACGGTTTGCATTATAATGGCTGTAGATAAACGGAATCAGACAAGAATATCTGTGGAAGAGGCAAACATCGCCATTTCCCAACTTCACAACGATAAACCAGTTCTGAAGGTGAAAGAACCCCCTCAAAATGATCATGCTGGTTTACTTCAGCGAGAATTGGACAAACTTGCAATTGAACGGAAGCAATGGGAAGATGAAAATAATGTTAATAATGTGACCAGTCATGATATGGTTGGTCATAATGCCTCCATTAACAATGTGTCTAGTCAGAATGTGACTGGCAATAAGGCTACCAGTAATAATGTGACCAGTCATAATGACAGGTTATCTCCTCCAATTACTACACCACCCCCTAAACAGGAATCAGCTGGCTCTAGCCATGACTTACATCCATTTCATCTCTCTTTGTCTCACCCTCCTCCATTCCGTTCTCCTTTCGGCCACGCTCCATTCCATCCACATGAGTCGTCACCTCATAGAAGAGCATCATACAGCTACGAATCATCTTGTACCGCTTCAGATTCAGAGATCCCCTTATCCATGAGATTCATGCATAAACCTTCCAGAGCAAAGGAAATGTTGGAAAAGCAAGATGATCCTACCAGAAGAAACTCCCTTTTGAATGCTCAAATTGGGTATGTTGATAAGGCAAAATTTATCTCCAGTTCCCATTCCTCCCAAATCCCAATGGAAGACTCCGATGGTACCGATAAAGAATCATTATCTTCACCCGGGAGTCCACCAATTACGCATAAGTTGGTCCGAAAGAAATCGGGAGAGATTCTCAAGTCATCATTAAAGGAAAGTTCAGAACCTTCATATTTCGATAAGAAAAAGAGATCTCGTTCTTTACCAACTACTCCAACGTATAAACAAGTACATTTTGGTGGTGATAATGATGTGAAATATTTCGATAGACGTGATCGTCCTTTGGCCATTAGTGCACTGAACTCACCAACTTTGGGCCCATCAGATCATATGGCACCTGATATAAGTGATGAAAGTGATGATGATGATGATGATGATGATGATGATGATGCTTATGAAGAAAGAGATGAAGAAGGTGATGAGTATTTCAAGAATTTAAGAAAGAAATCACCAGTTTTGAGTACAACTTATCCCAATCCACATCATGATCATTTAATTGATTGGAGTTTGGAATTAATCAACTTTCCTCCAATGGTTTATGAACGGAAAATAAATGTAAATTCTCCAGTCTTTTTGGAAAGAATCTTTATTTCTCCAGATAAAAAATATTTACTAGGGCATATTGCAGTTAAAAACTTGAGCTTTCAAAAATATATCACTGTTAGATATACTTTGGATTGTTGGCAAACTATCATCGAAATCCCTACAAAATATAATCCAGATGGACCTCAAGTATTGAAGGCTCATGATTATGATCGGTTTTTATTTACCGTTCCATTGGAGAATTTATTCAATAGTTTCAGAATGAATAATAACAGTTTTGATTCTCCAGATGATGTTTTAAAGCATTCTCAAGTTAAAACTTATCATTTGTGTGTTAAATATAATACCAATAATAAAGAATATTGGGATAACAACGACAAGAGAAATTATGAAATTAAATTGACAAAGATTATCAAATCTCAGGGGCAATCGTACCCAGCAGGAAAAGCAGGAGCATCTGCGTCGACAGCAGCAGCTTCTACAACGTCTCCCAAGTCCCAGTCTCGTGCACCTAAACAACAGAATACGAAACAGATTTCTGCTCACCAGAAGAAACCAAAGTACTCCAATTCATATTTGAAGCGGAAATCTCACTCTGACACCCAATTGTCTTCAATGACCAGAGACTATCTGCCAACCCCAGCAGAGCCAACAGAAGAGTTTGTGCTTAAAACTCCTGCTGATGTCAAGGAAGAAGAAGACAGTAAGAAGAAATTGGCGAAGGAGTTTGGTCTCGATTCAAAAGTCGAACAGAAATCTGCTTCACTTAAGGAAGTGGCCGTTCCAGATTTTTTTAATAACGATAATTCATCATCTGATGTCAATGATTTTGTTAAAAATGATTTCTATCTATCTTCTCCAATGTTATCATCATACAATGATAATGCATTGGATTATAATACTGATCCCCTTGAACCAGGATCGTTATCAACGTTTAAATTGAAGTTCAAAAACCCCAAAGATACAAACATAGACACCAGCTCTAACAATGGGAATACTACTGATGATTATGGTTCTCCTAAGAAAACAGAGTTTAGTCCAATGGAAAGGAGTGACCTGGATAAGGCTCGTTTAACCAATCTAAATAATCCTAATAGTAAGGGAAGAACTCCATCCACAGGTGTCAACAATTACATTCATAATAGGAAACTATACAATACTCAGTCATACAAAGAGTTGATTGATAATTATTGTTTCTATGACCCCTCTAGGAACTCTGGGATCCCTGGAGAGTTTGTTTCCCTCCCTTCTTCAGCAAAGGTTGATTTCAATGAGAACTTACAACCAAAGGATAGCTCCAAGGACTCGGATAAAACCACTACCAAGACTATATCCTCTATTTTGGGGATTAACAAATGAATTAAGTAAGTATCTTTTTACTTAATTCATTTTTTACACTGAATTTTGCACACTATGCTGGTTCATCAAGTGCACTTTTTTTAATGCCATATCCCACCATCCATATTGCATTCATTTTGTTTAATTTATTTGTGCTGCTTCTGACATTTAATTCTTTATTTTATTGTTGATAGATAATGATACATTACTTTTCCTGCAAAGAACATATATACAAGCTCGTAAAACCTTATACATGCTCGTAAACCTTATACATACTCTTAAACCTTATACAATGGTACGGCTAACACCCGTTATAATTAGTTAGCATAATTTTCCATAATTCCCTTTTACCCATTAACATTCTTCATCAAAACAATACATCTTAACATCTCCATTTTCTAACCCAGCGGCAAACCGAGAATCAGATAATCCAACACAACTAATACTGGAATCATTCGAAAATGTATGAAGACATTTCCCATCTTGTAAATCCCATACTTTGATCAATCTATCATGAGCACCACTAATAATACGGAAAGTATCGGCACTGATAGACCAAACACCTTCAATGTGTCCAAATTGAGTACGGATGCATCTACCAGTACGAACATCCCATAATTTGATGGTGTTATCCAAGGAGCAAGTCAACAAATGAGTAGGATATTGAACATCAAGACTCAATTCACATTGGTTTACATCTTCAGAGGATGTATTTTCTTCGGATGTAGTACTTTCTTCTCCTAAATTCGTTACATTTTGACGTGCGTCATCACGATTGTTTCCATGCATATTTCCATTGTTATTGTTGTTATGGTTAATATGGTTAACATTATCTTCTGCACGTTCAAATGCATTGGATTCAGCAGTGTTCGATGCAGATTCAGAGTCGCTGTCATTGTGATCTTCAATCATCTCATCCTTATAGGTGAATGGAATAACGCATTGGACTTGGCCAATGTGTCCTTCTTTATCCATGCCACCAAATACACGAAGGCATCGGTTAGACTTTAAATCCCACATACGAATTGTAGTATCATCTGATGCCAGGAATACAGTGCTTGAAGGTGGATGAATCTTAACGCAGTTAACCCAATCCAGGTGCCCACGCAATGTATAACATGTACGAGAATCCACGTGCCACACTTTAACAGTTTTGTCCGCTGATCCAGACACAATTGTCTTGTTATGGAAATCAACAGAAACCACAGCATCATCGTGTCCACGGTATGTGGAGATACACTGACCTGTATGATAATTCCATACTTTGATTGTCAGATCCAACCCTCCGGTGATCAACTTTTGTGAATCAAAAGCCAATGATCGAACACCTTTTGTATGACCTGTAAGGGTTCGTATACACTCTCCAGTGTCAACTCGCCAAATCTTAATGGATGTATCATAAGAACCCGTAACCAAATATTTACGATTGAATTGGAGACATGTGACACCATCCGAATGGCCCCTGAACATTCTAACTTTAAAGAAACCCTTACGCCAATTTTTCTCCAACATAAATCTTTCGGAGTAAACTTCCTTCCACGGACGTTTCCGACGCACTACTGCAGCAGTAGGTGCGACTACTGTAGCTTCCGCGTCTAGCTTAACACGTTTGATATTGGGCAGATCTTGATCTAACTCTTCTATGCGTGGTCGTGAAGATTCTCCCACATCAGAAGCTGCACGCTTCTTTGGCTCAAGAGTGGTCACATCACGATTACGTTTCATGTGCATCAATGGAAGCCCCCACCCACAATTAGGACATTTCCTATCAATATGTTGCTCACACATATGGTGCCATACCCGGTCATCATCGGCCAAAGACTTCCATTTTTTGGAAACCTGTGCAGCCATACAAAGGGAACGACAGTCAAGATAACAAAGGATCTTCAAGGCAATTTCCACCGGAAGAATGGATATGAAATCAATACGAATTAATACAGATACCTCTTGGGATATGAACAGGAGTTGAGGGAAACAACATTGTGTAAGTAGTCCCTGTAGTATAAGTGTCCGGTGTTGACGGGGAGCTGCACTAAAGATTGACCAAACATGAGATATAGCTTCTTGATCACGAGAGGGAAGTTTTTCCAATTGGTGTTGGAGTTCTTTGAGTTTCTGCTCATCCACCAGTTTATTACAGGTGATGTCAGGATTATGACGGTAACAATATTCATGAAAGTTATCCTTTGGAATTTGGGTTTGGTCTCCAATGTGTTTGACGAGAAAGGGAGTCACCACCAGTATTGCAGTTGTTGGAGTAGTTGCACATGAAGTATGTAATAACGGAGTACCTTCACGTGAGGGGGTCGCTTCTCGAGAATGTTTCAACACAGCAGCACCATTATTCAACACTTTGGTTGAGTTGGTTGCTGTAACAGCGGGGGAAGATAATGCAGTAGAAACGGTAGACATACCACTACTGGAAGATCCAACGTTGTCACCGGGACCAAGAGGAACAAATGTTCCATCTGGACGTGGTATCGTAGTTGCAGCCACCACTGGGATCTTTATACTATCGCTCTCTTCCTTTTTCAAACTAGTAGAAAAGTGTGGCGTTGAGCTCCTTTGTATGTCACTGTGGCTAGCCCTGCTGGAACTTGAACTTGACGCAACAACGGGCATTCTCAGAGTGTCTGATGGCGATGGAGGTGTCACTGGTGGAGGACACAAACACGAAGAGGACGACGTGGTGGTCGTATGAGTTTCTTCTTGAGGATTCAGTAGTAGTTGGCGAGGCAGGGGTACCACCACGATTTCACCGTTTGTTTGGTTCACAAGTCTTGCTCTAGACGAGGAAACTGGCACCGAGGGGAATGCATGATGCGAAGTAGCCAGCTCAAGGATCTGATCATAGTCAGGTGTACCTGTATGACAGTCTCTCAGGTTTAAATCCATTTCTTCATCAAATAGGGTGATGGGGTAGAGGTTCGACTGACTGGGTTCTATCTTCTAAAGTGATAAGAATGTGATACCTCAGAATGTGATACGTCTCTATGGTACAATAACACTAGATAGTAGTTTAAGGATATTCACAGTAACAATAATGAAGGGAGTATTAATTGTGGTTTCTCAGTCTGCTAATAATAATAATAATAATAATAATAGTAATGATAATAGTAATAAACAGACGATGGGCTTTAAAATGATCAACAGAGTTTGCAACTATTTAATTCCAAAGAAACGTATCGTTTTGACACAACAGTTAAAACTAATAAAACTAACACCCTGAGAATCAAAAAGGTTTCTGTAATGATAACTACTAATATGTGGCTCCTTTAATAATTATCATGAACTTCTCGTGCGAAAGTGTCCATTCTTTGGAGCAGACGGTCACGTGATAAAATGACGTTTGACCAGACATTCAGACAATCATGTTACAGTACGGGAAATTACAATAACTAGTGACATTTGTCATCTTTAATCTGATAACATATAACTTGAAGTTTTTTACGTCATACATTTAACTGCGATTCCGTTCAATAACCGATGGCATGTTTGCCCGTGCATCCGCATTTTGACATACACATATTTCTGTATTGCGTCAAAATGTTCGATTATTTAAGTGTGTCAAAAGGCGGTGTCCATCGATGCGTGACTTGCATATGCATGCAGAATGTATCAACCAGCAAGTGAACTTCTACAGAGAATACTTTCATGTAAACAAGATATGATTGTTTGTAAACTATTATCGAACCTATATGACAAATATTAATGAATAGATGTATGAATAAACTATATGAATAATAGGGTTTTATTTTTTCTTCCCGTGGTTTGTATACAACACGCTTTTCATGATTGTCAGATTTTTTAGCCGTGCAATGTCCTGCTGTTTCGTCTATAGATGACGTAAGCAGAAGACACATCGAATCGCATCGCTTTATTACTCAGCTGCCTTTGTGAACTTAATCAGCTCATTGAAAAAAAACCATACTAAGAAACATACCAAATCTTCCCGTGGGTTCTAGAACATCTCCGTACATTAATACAAAGTTTGTTTGTTCATATGAAGAGAACAGATTCACCTTCACCAAACCAACCAGAAGAAAAGAAACCAAAGCTAGAGTCAGCCATCAACACCACCATGTCTCAGGAAAAGAACAAAGAACAGAAAGAGTTGTTTCAAAGTGTTGGTGACATTGTTGAAGAACAAATCAATACCGAAAAACAATCAGTATCTAATGATGCACCCAGACTTACTGGTGCAGCTGATGCCGAGGGCCATCCCGTACAAGAAATCGATTCATTATGTATGAATTGTCACAAGAATGGAGTCACTCGGTTGTTACTTACCAAGATTCCCTATTTCCGAGAAATCATCATCATGTCCTTTGAATGTCCTCATTGTGGCTTGAAGAATAATGAGATCCAACCAGCAGCTCAAATTGCCGAAAAGGGTGCCAGATATGTTTTAAAGATTGAAGAACCTCAAGATTTTAACAGACAAGTGGTTAAGTCCGAAACGGCTACGGTGAAATTTGCTGAATTAGATATTGAAATTCCACCTAAGAGAGGTGAGTTTAATAATGTTGAAGGCTTGTTAACAGACATGATTGAAAACTTGGAATCTGATCAACAAGCAAGAAAGGATCAACAACCTGAAGTTTATGACAAGATCAACCAAGTCATCACCAAGATAAAATCGTATTTAAATGGTGAACCAAACACTTTGCCTTTGACCTTCTCCATTGACGATCCTGCTGGAAACTCTTGGATAGAATATAAACCCAATGAACCTTCTCACAAATGGGCCATGTATGATTATAACAGAACTGCTGAACAAAATGTCTTTTTGGGGTTGATTTCAGCAGATCAAGTGGAACAACAACATCAAAAGGAGCTTGAAAGCAAACGTAAGGCAACCTCCAATAACATTTCATCGACGTTACAAAAATCTGAATCTGAATCTGATAACCCAAAATCAACAGGGTTTGTTTCTGATGCTACTGAGATCGAAAACCTTGATAATGAAGTCCATACCTTCCATGCCACCTGTTCTTCTTGTTACAAGCCTTGTGAAACCCACATGAAGACTGTTAACATTCCTCACTTCAAAGACGTGGTCATCATGTCTACTCTGTGTGATAATTGTGGATACAAATCCAATGAAGTCAAGACTGGAGGTGAGATTCCGGAAAAGGGTAGAAAGATCACTTTAAAGATCACAGATCCAGAAGATATGGCCAGAGATATCTTAAAGAGTGAGACTTGTGGTATGAAGATTCCAGAGTTGAATTTGGATTTGGTACCTGGAACTTTGGGTGGTAGATTCACTACCATTGAAGGACTTTTAACTCAAGTCTATGAAGAATTGCATAGTAGAGTCTTTCAAGAACAATCCGATTCCATGGAACAAGAAACCAAACAAAATTGGACTGTGTTTTTGGCTCGTTTGCAAGATGCCATTGAAGGTAAAATCGGCTTCACCATCATGATGGAAGATCCTTTGGCTTCTTCTTACATTCAAAATGTTTATGCTCCAGATAATGATCCTAATATGACCATTGAGGATTATGAAAGAACTTATGAACAGAATGAAGACTTGGGGTTGAACGATATGAAAACTGATTAAATAAATAATATAGTAAATCATATATAATGTTCTTTCTTTTCGTCTTCCTCTTCTCCATCGCCATCATCTGAAGCTTGGTCTGCAAACACATTTCCCCACGAAGATGAGTGTGTTCCCATGGTAACATGTTCCCAGGACTGCTGTCTGTTGGCAATCAATTCAGTCAATCCTGAGGGGGTATCGTTACCTTTGAATAGGTTTATTGGTGCTCTTGGGACATAATCTCCGGTACTTAAGGACTCAACGTCAGCGTTGGATATGATGATCTTGGGAACAGAAGTACGTTCTTGTGTTTGTGGCTTGCTGGTTGAGGGTAAAAGATGGGTTTGGGAATAAGTATCATCATCATCGATATCGTCATCATTATCATCATCATCATCATTATCATTATCTAATTCCATAGAACTTCTGGGATTAAAGATTGACACTCTCTTTCGAAGTGCTGAACCAAAATCAATATCCACATCTCTTATACCTTTCAGTTTGTTCTGTAAGTATTTCCACCGAATGGCATACCCTGTCATGATGTCTATGACTCTTCTTTTATTAAGGTGTTTCTGTACTCTTTGCATCAAGAACCGTCTCTCCAAATAGTCTATCAAGTTAAGACATTCACCATCATTGAAGGCACTATATAGAGGAATCTGTAAAATGATTCTCTGGAATGATATGCCCACTTCATTATTCAACACCATGGATGTCATGGCCTCTTCCACGAATTGGTCATAAAGTTTCCTTCTTGCTCTAATCTTTTGCACGTCTGTTTGGTTCAAAATCTCTTCTATAACATCATAATGTAGGGTGATATCATAAGGATCGTCGGGGTTATTTCGGGTAATCCATTCCTTACATAAGGAAGGAATTGATAATTGACCACCATAGAAGTGGAACGAAAGGGCTCCGTCAAGAGTTTGTAAAAACTTGGGTAAATCTTCAGGAGAAATGAATCCAGTACCCTCTGGATCAAAGGCTTGCCATGATGTCTTGAACTTCCTGATTTCTTCCCGTTCAATTAAATGGCCATAAACTTTGGAATTCCCAATGAAACTAAAACTATCCAAGATCACGGAAATAAACAAGTTTAAAAAGATATACATGGATAAAATGTTCCATGCAATGAAAAGAATATAAGCATATGCAGCATTACCACAATCGCCATCTTGAGCTGAGGCCCCAGGCGTACAATAAGGCCACTTAATAGTATAATCATCCATGATATAATTCCATCCTTCGCCAAAACTGCACCTGAATAATAAGATTAAAGCCTTGGGTGCTGAACGAACATTCAAGTTCCCCGTACCATTAGGACCGATTTTAGTTAAGCCAAACAGTTGATTTAAAGCTATGGCAAACATAAGAAACATGATCCCCCAAGTATACATTAATGCCAATAAGGAAGGTAACCCGGAAGAAGCAAACCGGAACAACTGACTCAATTTATCACTTCGAGGAATAATAAATGACAACATCCCCACTAGGAATAACTTGTTAAAATTCACAAAGAACGATTGGGAATTGACGAAATTGGCTATAACCGTAGTTATTAAAGCCCCAATGGAAATGATAGTGGAAAATACATTCCATTTGTTGCCAAAGAATTCCCAAAATCCATACCCCAATATAGATATAGCAGAATTAATAGTGAATATCCCGGAAGCACAAATGTAGATAAAAAATCTAAAAATATCCAAGCCATCATTGGTGGGGAAGATTTCCATCATAAGTGCCAACACATGAAGTCCTAATACAATGGAAAGGAAATCCTTCCACCATGAAGATTTCTCCACAGTAATCTTATAGCAAATTCTATTGTACCATTTCATTTTAGTAAGGTTCTTCCGATGAGAAGGGCGTACTTGACCCAAAATACTTTTCACTTGATACCAACCAATTTGTTCTGGAGTAAGATATGCCTTACCGGAGATCTTGGAGTAATTATTCACAATGACAGAAACAAATAACGTCAAGATAAAAACCATACTGGTAAAATTAAACAAGATAATCAAGATCCCATTGATGGGGGAAGCATATTGTTGAGCAGGAGTCCCGACTCCAGTACTGGCCATTACATTGGCCAAAAGATCAACCCAACCTTCTAAAGAAATGATTTCATACAAAGATGATATAGAAGATCCAAACCGATCAAACTGTAAATAAGGTTGTGTGTAGACTGCTGGAGATGTGACATCCCAATTGAATACCGTATTGGCATATTCATTAAAGCATTCTTCTCTTGATAAGTTCCCATCCAGACACACACCAAGTCTACCGTTAAATACGTTCAAACACCAGATAGAAAAAGGAAATAATAAGCACCAAGCAATCATAGCAGCAGCTATAATTTGTTTAAATCCTCTAATTAATGTTTGATGGAACGTTTGAGTGGCAGTTTTACTTATACCCAAAAGTCTTAAAGTTCTTAAAGCTTTGAAACCTGCCACTGTTCTGGAAACAGAAACATCCCTGTTAAGAGAAGCAAAAAACTCAACGTAAATTGTAATCAACACCACCAAATCGATTTTATTCCAAATTTCTCTCATATAAGCATTTGGAGTCATAAGAAACCCATCAGCAAGAACTTTGATAATAAATTCTATACTGAAAATAGCAACAAATGTAGCCAAAAGGATCAATGTCCAGTTATAAATGCCATGCTTCTCAGTTAACTCCTTCTTATAAGATGGAGTCCCCACACAGGCACTAACAACCAAAGCAATTGATGCCAAAATCATCACAACTTGAAATAATTCATAAACAATCCCATAAGGTTCAACCCCATCAATACGAGCACCATAACTTGATTTAACTATTCTTTGACAAAATCTTCTGACTTTATGTCTTGGTGCAATGACCCAAAATACCTTGTTATAAGTTGGGTTTTGTATTAAAAATGCGTTCTGCTTGGCTATAATCTCATTTCTATCTTTGATAACTTCTCTTGCAAAGTCTGCTGCCTGAAACAGTTCAAGATTAAGCTTCTTTCGTTTAGTTTCCATTTTGGAATTGAAGGGGTTGTGATTATCTTCTTTTAACTTACCAAAGTGTTTCCAAAATTTCGCTCTCCAACCTTTGATTTCTAATTTGGGTAAGCTCTCATCATCTGAATCGGAAATATCCAATTCTGTCTCATCAATAAAGTCTTTAATTGCTGTACCACTAAGCAACAAGTTAACCACTGTCTTCTTGGAGTCTTCACTATGAGAGATACTCTTAAAGAACTTCTTCTTGATCTTCCGGAGGAGACTCGTTTCATGGTCTGTATATTGTAATCTGCTTGTCATGTTGCTAATAAATTGTAATAGCTGTTTCTTTCTTTTAGCATCATCAGAAACCTCCAATGTGGTTGCAATAATAGCAATGAAAATTTGGATCACCACAAAGAAGGTGAAGATAAACCATGCAATAAAGAATAACGACCCAAATACTCGGTATTGAACATTAGGGGCCATCTCTTGTAAGAAATACATTGACGCTGTCCAATTCTCAGTACTAGTAACCGTATAAAGAGCCACGATTACCCCCGGAAGAGTTTGCAAGGTAAAATCCGTAGCATACAACTCATCTCGAGGTACAGCACCTTCAAAATATCGAGCAACAATAATACTAACTGAGAATAATAAAAGGAAATAGAATAATGCCAATTGTAAAATCTCATCAATTTGACTAATGATCTTTGACCATAAAGAATTGGTCAAACTAACGGCCATCACCACTCTGTAAAACCTCATCACTTGAAACACCGTCAACCAATAATATGTGTGACCCATGGCTTCTTTTACAGGTTTAAGGATGATAATCCCGGTGATTGTAGCCAAAAATAAGTCGAAAAGATTCCTTTTAGACTTGAAGAATAACTTGAAATCAGGATAATATAAGCAAAATCGAAGTGCTATTTCTCCCACAAATATAGCCGTGAAAACGCTTTCGAATCGATAAAGAAATGTGTGCCAATCGTCACTCATATCTGCTTCTCGAGTACATTGCATAATTAAATCAGCAATAATCAAAAACACAAATAGAAGATCCACTTTGTTATCTTGGTAAAAAGCAAATACCTTGTTCTTGGCTCTTAATTGTTGTAGACGATCTTCATCTTTACTAAATTTCAGAGCCAAACTAAAAGCCGATTTCTTTCCACCATTGCCACCAGAAGCAGCAGCAGTAGCTGCTTTCTTCTTCCGTGATTCTTGACTTGCTGTTCGAAAACAAGTGACAATCACAGCAATGAAAATATTCATTAACCAAACGGTCATAACGAAAATGCAAAAGATAAAGAATAATGCTGCCACCAAATCGTCCGAATCAGTGATATCGTACATTATATCAGTGAATGTATTAGCACTCAACACCACAAAGACCATTTCCATAGACTGGAAAATATTATCAAAGTTAACCGTACCACCGTAGGGGTTTTCACCACTTATACATTGGGAGTTAACTGGACATCTAAACCCTTTACTAACACCAGAGTCAGTTCCATCTCTGTAGATATACGAATGAGTTTCCCCATCCTTGCCCAACCAAGATCCACAATATTGACTAGAATTGATGTAAGTATCGTTAGGATCATTTGGGTTGGTCCATACACAATGTCTAGTTAAGGAAGATTTGAAAGATTGGATTCCAATAATACCAAAGAATACCCAAAATACAACAATAAATAAAACCACATCAAGTAATTTGGGAATGGCAGTTTTAAGCGCAAGTAAGATTGTGGTTGTACCTTTTGTTAAGTTGACGATTCTAATAATTCTTAAACAACTCAATGATCTAAAGATTAGTACTCGATGCTCCACATCAAATCTATTGATGGAAAATAATAATGATATCCAAAAGAATAAGGTGGATAGGAAATCAATTCTGTGCCAACTATTTCTAAGGTATGCTCTTGTTAATCCCAATTCACTAGTTGGTTTGGGAACAGCCATAAAAGTATTCTTTTTCAATCGAAGTCTTTGGTGTTGGGTTGGCAATGCTTCAGTAATCTCATCTAAATCTTCCGAGTTTTCATAACTCAAATAATTAATGTCTTCAGACCCCTTTTTAAATGTTGCTGTTGGAGTTAATGGTGGTATTTGATCATTTAACTCGATCTCCTCTATGAAATCTGGATTTTTGCCATTGGTAGTTGTCTTGTTTCGCTCGGAAAATAATACTGGTTTGGTGGAAGAAGAAACAAGTCTGACTCTTTTCGACTTAATACCTTTCCAACGATTGGCTATTGGTTTCAAGTATTTGGAAACACGCAGTCTTGAAAATATGTTAAGTTCATTCTCGGGATAATCCATATCAAGTTCTTCAAACATACAACGATCGTCAAATAAACCAAAAGCAATGATTTGGATGGCGATTTCAACAGTGTAAACAATGTTGATGGCAATTAAAACATAGTCTTTCCACGACAGGCCCTTTAAAACGTACCCTTTCTCTCCGGGATTCCACTGTTGCATTGATAAGAAAGCAACTTGTAAGATCAAAAGACCCAATAATATCGGAGGATATCGCGAATGGGTTGCTATCTTGTAGCAAAAGATTCGGGTCTTGGAAGTAGAGGAGAATATCTTCAAAGACTTACCAAACATTCTAATGGGTTGTGGTTCTTTGGGGAAATTACTCCCTTCATTATTATGGTCAACTGTTTCAGTAGTAGTAGAAGGTTTACTGACCAAAGACCCTCTATCAGTTGATGTGAATGCCAACATTGGCAGAGTTGGTGTCAACGAATCTCTGTGAGAGTAAACAAGCAAACTATCACCACCATGGGAAGTAGCTGTTGCTGGATCACCATTTATACTGGAAGTAGCAGATGAGGTACTTATACTTGAACCCTTCCTGGTTGAAGATATTGGGGTTGCACTTCGTATTAGTTTATCTTTCTTTGGGGATCCCGCAGCCGGAGTTGTAGGGTCCTTTTTAGTAGGATCTTGATCGCCATCCAATGCCCCGGTACCGGCAATTCTTTCAGAGACTCGGGCCAATGCATCGGAGAACTTGTTGATAGTGCCGGTTGTTGGAGTTGTTGGTGTGGAGATGATGTTCGGTACTTCTAAACCAAGTTCTAGCTTTGGTGATACGTCATATTTGGGTGTAGTACTCATAGAATAAGGACCTGAGACGACATTGGTCTCGATGTGCAAGAGTGGGCCTCTTTTGGGTTGTATATGAGAATGATGATCACCATAGTCATAATCATCGTCATCTTCGTTATCGGATCTAGGAAACCAATTCCCTTCCTTTCCCGGGGTTCCCAATGCAAAATCTAAACCTTCTTTGAGGGCTTTCAAGTCACCAGATACCAACGATGATCTTTGTCGTTGGCTTGTATACGGCGAAGGCTGGAACAAACGGCCAGATGATCTATATGACTCCTCATCGTCTTTTTCTTCATCACTTGAAGACGACGACTCACCACCGTAGCGGTGTCGACGATTAGTATTATCTCGCAGTCTCATTGTGTATGCAAAAGATTGAGGTGATGTTTCATAGGGAAAGTAATGTTGACTCTGGTCTTGACTGCTTCCTTCTTGAGGACTGAAACTGTCTTGTGAATGCCCTTTAGACGACATTATGAGCTGTGACTATTGGGCAGACTAATAACTCACGTACTACGACACTCAACTAAACACTCACTAACTAAAGTACTCACTATGTACTCACTCACTAAGCACTCACTCGCTATCGACTCACTAAGTAACTCACTCAATCACTGTCGCTTCACTACTTCCCGTACTATGTAAAGGGTATTGCAGTGCCAATATAACTATCCCAATGTCTATAGCAATGATGTAATCTTGATCATCCGAAGCCCAGGCTATTTTTTACATTAGAGGGCTGAGGAAGTGGCTAGACTAAGAATCACATCGAGGTACGCTATACAACAGGGGTATTAGATGCGCATTCATGTATACACGTATCAGACACAATGAGAACGGAGGCAAGGTACCTTTAATAGTACCAGAAGATGCCATCAGACAGGGCCAGATAGGGCCAGATAGGGCCGCCGGATAGCGTCAGATAGTAGGCATCAGATGGTAGCATCAGTTAGTATCGTCAGATGGTAGCATCAGATGGTAGCATCAGTTATTACCATCAGGTAGCATGTCTTAAGTATATACAGTATCCATTTAATTATAGTAACGTTCATATCGTGATCTATGGTACAATTTTATATTATCATTAGCATATATTTACTGTAAATTTCATGGCGTACAAGCCTCATTCCTTGGTTCCTTATCGTTGTACGTCACATTTTTATGGAGAAACTGAAACATATTTTTCTGGCTTAATTGAAGTGTATTACATTATGTGCTCCACGGACACGCAATAGTCAATTGGGGTAAAGTTGAACTATAGATCCACTCATGTTTGGCTACGTACACATACTAAGTAAATCCACTTTATGTTGGTGCTACCAAAAGGTATCCACACGATTATGGTGATGAAAAAAAAAATTTCCACTAACAAATTTAATCAAGTAGTAAACTCCAACCCACACCACACTGAAATCTCCTTGCACATAACCCTGGCTCATGTCTTCATTTTTACAGAAGTTACCTGTCAAGGCCAGAATCCAACAATTAAAGGCTCTCAGTGCCTCGATTTTCCAGGAAAATTGGAACCCTGCCAATGCCAGAAACGGCTCCAAGTTTCTCCGTAAAGAATTGAAAGGTCCAGAAGTTGTGAAATATTACGGTGACAATAGTGCTGTTCCAACCTTCAGCGACTTCAAGAAATGGTTCCCTGAGTTGAACTTAACAGATCCAAGAGAAGTATACAGATTGAAGATGGTAGCTGATAGAAAGAGAAGAAATAAGGGTGCGCCAAAGAAGAAGAAGGAGGCCGCAAAGAAGAAGAAATAATAACTTTCAGACTAACTAAAGTAAACCCACATCATGCATTCCTTGTATATAGTCTCCCAATATTACTATTATTATTACTATTATTATTATTATTATTATGATCACAATTTACGTTTTTTTAGCCTTTGCAATGCAAACGTATCTGTGACCTCCTCAGTACCACTAACATTAAATCTTTGTTCAGATATCGCTGGTTCTGATAACGAGATTTTATCCCATTCAAGTGCAGTGATCAAATAGACCGTATCATTATTATAATGAACTCCTTGTAGGAGCATATTTTCATAGACCAAATTAAACTTGTCTTCTTCGCTTTGATAATGATAAACGCAATCTCTGGTGGTAATCATTATATTACCCTTTCCTATAGCAATCACATTCTTCACAGATTCATCAAACATGAATAGGCCCTTAAGCTCAAACGATAACCTCAAGTGATCAACTGATATCACATACAAAAATATGTGCGACTCAAGTTGTACCACCAATAACTTGTTATCAATGACTTGAATATTCCGAACCTCTACCCGTCTTTGGGCCAAGGGAAACTTGGATACTGTTGATTTGCGGTAGTCTGAGCCTCCGTGTAACTTTCTCCATAACGGTATGTTGGGTGTGTGATATAACTCTAAGGTGAATGTTTGTTCTATACGAAAGGTGTTGATACAGAAACAGTATAGAGTGAGTTTATTATCGAGGGAAAGTCCTGCTACTAATGAATATTCATTGGAGGCGTTCGCGGTGGTGGTGCCCAACCATAACTCAAATAACCTCGCCGTAATAGGAGGAACATTTAGGTCGACGTCGTTGTAAAAGTTTTTAGAAATCCTTAGGATTGGTTCGCCTGTTTCGCGGTGGGTACTGGTAAATGCTCCTAAACTGTTGTAAACTGATAACTCGAACCCAGACAATGTTTGGTTAAAGCACCCAAAAAAGTTTCCCAGCGGCGACCAACTAACGCCAAAACGAGGACACCATGCTGAAACATCAAGCTCTATAGTATAAAACAACGTACTAATATCCCCTCCGTTCACAAAGTGGTAAAGTGTGCATTTGTTTGCATCTGAAGATGAAGTCGCAAGAACGGACCAGTAAACTCTTTTTTCTGGCGACTTCTTAGAAGGTCGCACTATAATGTGGTCGACAACTGGTTTGACAATAGTGAAAACGACCCGCGTTCTCGCTAATGAGTATACCTTAAGCAAAATATTATTACGTGTGAAAACACACAATTGTATACAATTAGTGTAGATTTTGTTGTGCTCGTCCCCATTGCTAGGTTCTTTATTTGATTGCTTCTCATTTGGTGGGATCCATTCAAAATGTGAGAGGCCCTCGTGATGTGACTGAGGTATAACTATTGGATCTCGATGGTGTAACCCAAGTTCAAATATCACCAACACAGATAAGTTTTGCACGACAACACCAAACTTTGTTGCCTTTGAATGAAGCAGGTATTCCCATGATATCTGTGTGACTTCAAGATGACCGTAATCGCCGTTAGAAAACAGAACGTGACCTGCGACCGTTTCTAAAGCTGAAACCAAATTGAACGATGAGTGGACTTTGAAATCTTTAGTATCATGCACAATTAAGAGATCATCATTATCGCTACTCCATTGCACCGTGTAGCTACCACAAGGAGATACTGCTTCGAGTCGCATATCAGGAGAACTAAGTATAATTGCTGAATAGTCAGGTTGTCTAACTTTTGTCGTTGTAAACAAAGACATTAATTAATATTATTTACTACGGGAGTGCATATACAGCCATAACAATTATAAACATCAAAACATTAGGAGATTTTGTAAGGCCTCTTCTTCTTCTTCTTTCTCTTATCCCAGCTTAAGACTATTTGTTTTTTTTGTATTAAGGTCCTCTGTTGCACTGGTCATTGCATTGTTTGCAAACTCAAAGACACTTAACTTGTCCTCACATACAACTCCTTGTAAAAGATATTCATTCGCTCCAAGTTATCCCTAACAAAATGCCCCCAAGGAAACAAACACGGAAACGTGGGGCATCGCAGTCGACAAAGACGTCTAAAAGAACAAGGAAAGCATCTACTGAAGACCCAAGTCCTATAGCCATGAGCATTAAGGATCAAGTTGTTGGAAGGAAGAGTAATAAGTTGACTGACTTCTTTGTGTCCACTTCTCAACCCAAGGAAGCTAATCCCATCACAACAACGAAAGTCCCTAAAAAGAGATCTCTGAAGACTAAAAGACCTGCTGCTAAGAGTAAGAAAAGCGCTTCTAGAGATCTATCAGCAACGCCACCTAACACTTTCCAGCAATTGCAAAATGAAATGGATTCTATGACAAGACAGAGCGTTTATTTACACGATGATGATGTTCCTGAATCTACTACTGATAATAACAAGAAGAGTCGTCAAAACAGGAGTAAATTAACCAGAATTCAAGCATCTCCACCAACTTTCACCAATTTTACCAGTGAATCAGAAGATAATTCAGAATATGTTGAACAAGTATCTCACCACACCATTGAACTCCAAGACAATAACAACAACACAAAGTCTAAAACAGATGGTAGGCGTAGAAGATCTTCATATCTCAATAGAGGTCGTCGTATGCTGAGTATTGGTAGTGGGTTTGATATAAACCCTCATGATGAGATTCCTCCTGCGGACTACTATAAAATGTTGAGTCCAGCAATATCATCAACGGAAAAAATGAAAAAACTTCTTGTTTGGTGTATCAGAGCAAGCATGGACCGTAAGGAGAAACAATTGCCTCATTCGTCAGAGGATAAAACTGTATTTAATATAGCAAGAGTTGTTACTGAGGAAATTCTTAAAGGTTTAATAGATGACGAAATATCTGTTGAGTGGCGATCTCAACCGAAACCGGCTCAAACGGGAACAAACGGCGTATTTATTGTTCCTAACCCACACAATGTGGATAACAGAATCAACATAGAAAAATATCGAGCTAAGCTTGCCGAAGTGAAACGAGAGAAGGCTGAATTAATGCGTAGCTATAATCACGCTCTCAAAGCGGTACAAAAAGATTCAAAACTTGTGGAACCTTCTCACTTTAATCTTGCAGATCATCAAAACAGAATACCAATCAGTGCTCTTGATGGCACAGTAGTTAATCTGCTTACCAGTGCTCAGACAGAAGCACACAAAGTGGTTTCCAATTTCCAAAATAATTCAGTTAACCAATTGTCAACTACAACGTACCAAATGAAAAGTGTTTCAGAACTTGTGGGGACACTTGAAGATTCTATCTATGCCCCTAAAGTGTCAGAATTGCTCAAAAATTATATTAATAAAAATTCAGTGGATAACTACAAGAAATTAGAAAGAAACCACAAGAACATCTGGCCAATTCCTGGACGTCTTGTTTCCACCAATGAACTTTTGGTTGCCATGACTAAAACAATCCCTCGACCAAACGAATGATTAACGAACAATGAAAAAGAATTTAATTATTATGAAATGACAATAGGCTCCCCACTTTTCCTTCCTTCGCTCTTCCTCTGGACCTTTTACAACTTCGGTAATCAATTGTCCACCTTATCTAGAACGGTTCCGACTAAGTATGAGTTTTGTTTGTGTACGTGTGACCTCCACTATTAATAGGACAGTACTCACATTCTCCTGGCACAAAAACCATGTCTGTTGTTACCCCAAGTTTGGTAGTTGAACTACCTCGGTAATACGACAGCAAACTTAAAATATACAGAGAAATACCATAACAACAACATGCATACCATAATTCAATGCTTAATGGATGCCGTTTGACATTTGTGGAGTCATTTCTTTGTATTGTTTTTTATGTTCTGTTGAGGGGACTGCGTTGAATCCACCCCCACAAATTAGCACTAGCAGAGAACCACTTTCCCGCATCCCTAAGGGTTTAAATATGGCTTTAAATTGTGGATTATCCTATTGATATATAATGAACTGGAAAGGACATATAACCTGTGTTTGGTCGACCGCTACACGTCGAAGACAACGATTACTATTAATGTCTATTGGACTGCTTTTACTTTTCATTGTTATAATCCATTTGGGGTTCTTATCAAATGAGCAAGGTTTTGGCTTTGTGAAGGCCTACCCTGTAAATTGGAAAGGTCTATGGTCACTGAAGTCTTCAAGCCTGACCACTTTAGATCCTACTAGAAAAGATAGAGATTACTATGTAAATTTGGCGGAGTCGTTGGAGAATCAACTACTCTTTCAAGATATCAAAAACTCCAAAGGTGCCTACTATGATTTGGAGGATAACACGGTGGGGACAGTTCATTTTAATCCTTTCCACCAATATCAATCACAACCATATGTTGCCAATGGTTATATAGGTAGCAGAATCCCCAATGTGGGGCATGGCTTTGCTTATGACACTCTTTCAAATAATTCAGATGCAAATCCAGAGGATATTGTCAATGGATGGCCCTTATTCAACCAGAGATATGCAGGGGCCTTTGTTGCGGGCTTCTTTGATATCGAAAAACGGTTAAACGGTACAAACTTTCCAGAGTTGTTGGAAAATGGTTACGAGAGTTCCTTCTCTGCTGTCCCTCAATGGACAACCTTAGAGGTTTCTGCTCTTTTGGATGGTGAACATTATAGATTATCACCAAATTCTTCTTCACTTGAATTAGGTCCCATTCTGAATTATTCTCAAAAGGCATCCTTAGATAATGGTGTTGTCACTACTGAGTTCATCTGGCTAGATGCTCTAAAGGTGAAGTATTCCGTATTAGCTCATAGAGAAGTTGCTAACTTGGGTATAGTTTCTCTTTATATGGAGAATTTGGGTAATTCACTGTTGGAGCTTAAAGTACTGGATATTTTAGCAATAGAAACTGCTCAAAGATGTCATTTCAAGAGCGTGGATGGTGATAAGGAAAAGGGTATATATATCGCATTTCAACCTCATGAGATTGATTATGTTGATGGCATAATAAGTTCCAAATTGTCTTTAGAAAATATTACTATTGCAAAGACAAACCATTCTGTTTCGCAATCGTCTAAGATATCTTTAAAGGCATATGATGACATTGAAATCTTCAAAACGGTTGGTATTGTTACATCAGATTATGATTCTTCCTTAAACTCAGTCGATAAGTTGGTTTCATATGCTAGAAATATTTCAAATATTATTGAGCCCATAAAGGATTTATACCAAATTCATTTAAACGCATGGGAGTCTTTAATTGGAGAAGCTCCGTTGATAATATTTAAAGATGATCTTCTTTTAAGCATGGCTGCAAGAGCTTCTATTTATCATTTGTTGGCAAATACTCGATCAGATGCTCAAGGAGTAACTGCAGCTTTAGGAGTTGGTGGTTTGAGTTCAGACTCGTATGCTGGAATGGTATTTTGGGATGCTGATTTATGGATGTACCATGCATTATTGCCTTTCAGTCCATCCCATGCTAAAAGTATAGTGAATTATCGGTTGCATACTCGAGAGCAGGCTCAAAAGAATGTCCCAAAGGGTTACAGTGGAGCTGTTTATCCTTGGACTAGTGGACGTTTTGGGAACTGTACCGCAACAGGTCCTTGCTTAGATTATGAATATCACATAAACCATGCCGTCGTTCAAGCAAGTTGGAATCTTTATTTAAGTGGAGCTGCCGATGATAATTTTTTAAGAGATGTTACTATGCCAATGATAAACGATGCAGCCACGTTCCTTAGTACATATGTAACTAAGATCAATGTTACGGATAATTCCTACTGGACATTTAACATGACGGACCCTGATGAGTATGCTAACCATATCAATAATGGAGCTTACACCAATGGAGGGATCAGTGCCATAACTCAATGGGCTAACACTATTCGTAAGCATTTCCAAAATGATACCATTGAGATTTTTGAAGATATTTCAAAGAAGATAGAGATTCCCCAATCAGATAACAAAGACAATATTACTTTAGAATATACTGGGATGAATGGAACTGTTGAAGTTAAACAAGCTGATGTGATTATGTTAACATACCCCTTGGAAAATGTATTAATTGATGATGAACAAGCCCTTCGAAACATGCAATTTTATTCTCAAAAGCAAGTTAGCTATGGACCAGCAATGACATTCCCTATATTTTCCATCGTGTCCTCCAAGCTTTCTCAAGTTGGCTGTTCATCTCAATCGTATCTTCATCGGTCGGTTCAACCTTATTTAAGGGCTCCTTTTGCTCAATTTTCAGAACAAAGTAATGATAATTACTTGACCAATGGAGGGACCCACCCAGCCTTCCCATTTTTAACTGGTCATGGAGGGTTTGTGCAAGCGATAGTACAAGGATTAACAGGGTTTAGATATTCATACGATACAGACTCTTCAGGTAAGATTCTTCGGCATTTGGAAATTGACCCCGTATCACTCCCTTTGTTTGGAGGAGATCTTTCGATCAACGGGTTGGTTTACATGAACTATTCATTAGCATTTGACATTAAAGATAGTATGCTTACAGTGACCAACAACGGACCCATTTCACCCCATGTTTCAGATAAGACTATTACCATCAAAGTATCGGAAAGAAATGAATATAATGGGACATACAAGTTAGCCAAGTCTCACCAGCTTAGTGTCCCGTTATTCACTCCGCAACGGAATGTTAATGACTCCATTTGTGAATGTGAATTAGCGGAGTTCAGGGCTATCACCGAATCTGTTTATGGAGATTCACCTCTACTGATTAATGACGGTGATAACTTTACTCATTGGCAAGCCAAACATAGCGATTCTTCCGCCAAGTTGTTGGTTGACTTAAAGCTGGTGACTGAGGTGAAAGGAGCTTATATCAATTGGGGTGATAAACCTCCTTTAAAATATGAACTCCAATCGTTATCAAGCTCTTATCGTTCCAGTTTCCCGGACTCTACTGCTCTTCAAAGAAACGTTGACTTCGCCAATACGAATAAACAACTATACAATGAATATGAAGTGTTTGACTCCATCACCAAAGCCCACGTTAACATCACCGCTCCTTTTGACCCCAACACGGTTGACGAGGTGGCCATAGTGAAGAGATTCAACACCACTAAGGTGTCTTTCCAGGATCCAGTGTCTTCTCGCTACTTGCTACTAACATTTGATGGTGTACACGAGAAGGACTCTCCTGATAATGGAGGAGCCAAAGTGTTTGAAATGGTACTATTCTAAACGATATATATATATATATATATGATTTTTTATTATTAAGCAAAAGCTTCGCTCATACTAATCAACCGTTTGACACCAATGAACCAGTTACCGGTTTGAGATGGATGTTGATCAGAGATGCGGCTGTTTAACTCCGCCGCGGATTTAAAATCATGGTTCTCCAATGAAGTGACCACTTGGTTCAAAAGATCAACCACTGGAGCAGAAACCTTCTTCTTCTCTAAAGCATCATACAAATACTTTAATCTCTTTGCCATGTCCAGAGCATGGGCCTTAAACTTGTCGGGGACTTGGGGTTGGATCTTAGCGGACGCCGCCTTGAAGTAGTCGTTGATTCTTCTCACTGCAAGTGGATCAAGTTCCGGCTGAGGAGGAGTGGAGATTGTGGCAGAAGAAGTTCTACTGACGGCCTTGAACTTTGGTGGTGGTTGAACTGGTGATGGGTGTTCAACCTTATGAGCTGTTGGAGGTGGAGGAGGTGCCTGCGCTTGTGCATGTGCATGTGCTTGTGCATGTGCTTGTGCTTGTGCTTGTGCTTGTGCTTGTGCTTGTGCTTGAGAATTTTGGGATGAAATGGATGGTGCACGAGGTGGAGGTGGTCCCGGCATCTTCCCGGTGGGTGGATTGGTGGTCTTACCACCATGATGATGTTGTTGTGGAGGTTGAGGAATACCCATGGATGGTTGAGATGGAGGAGCATAGGGGTTCTTTGGGGGTGCAGCAGGAGGATTAAAGTTCACTGCAGTATTAACGTTGGGCATTGACGAAGCAATAGGTTGAGGTTTTGGACGAGGAATATCGGTCTTGGATGGAGGTGGAGGAGCATAAGGGTTCTTTGGTGGTATGGACATGGACATACTTGAAGAAGCTGTCAATGGAGGTGTTGAAAGATTAGATGGAACGGCCGATGGAGTAGCTGAACCTGGAGGTGGGGCATACCGATTAGATCTGGTATTTTCCTTTGGCTTTTGTTGTTGTTGTTGATTGGTTGGTTTATCAGTCAAAGTTGAAGTTGAAGTTGAAGCTGAAGACGCACTTCGAGAAGCAGCCTTAGGTGGTGGTGGAGCAGCTTGTGGTAAAGGAGTTGGTTTCGTTGGTACCATCTTCACTTGAGCTGGTAGTTTGGGTGATGCAACTGCAACTGCAGCAGCACGTTTTGGAGGAGTAGGTTGTTTAAAAGTTTCTGGTAAATCATTCCAACCATCAGTGTTTTCCAACCATGATTTGGTGGAGTTAGGAGTTGGTGAACTCAACAGTCCGGGAGCTCCCACAGCAGGAACAGTTGGCTTATAAACATTAGTATAAGTACTTGCAGGTGTAGGAGACATAGGCTTGATAGGGGGCATAATAGGAGCAATGGTTCCATAACTTTGTCTACTAATACTCCGAGGACCAGCAGAAGCAAGTAATGCTGGGTCGGCCATTGGTGATCTCACTGGAGGGGAAACAATCAGTGGAACTCTTGGGGGTCCACTTATAGATTGAGGTTTCATCATCATCCCTTGAGCTGTTGGTTGAGCATAAGGATTGGTTGGTGGAGCATATTGGTTAGTAGAGGACGCTTGAGGTGGTGGGACGTTCATTGAAGGCAATGGAACTGGACCATTGGCAGGAGCAAAGCCAAAAGTAGCAGCAGGTGCATAACTAGATTGTCTTCTTGGACCACCTCTTTGAACAGCAGCACTAGAGGCAGCAGACATGCTTTGAAGTCTCTTGGATTGAGCAAATGAATTGTTGGTAACATGGGCATCAGTTGTAGCAAGTCCACTAGCCTTGGAGATTCTTTCCTTCTCCTTAACCACGATTTCAGTTGGCAACAAGTCCAAAAACTTAGTTGCCAAACTGAATTGTCCATCACCTGCAACAACAGATGCGTATTCAATAATTATTCTGGAAATGGCCAGAAGGTTTGGACCACTAAATACACCTTCAAAGTTAGCAGCAGATCTGTAAGCAGAAATCTTTTCAACAAAGTTATTCAAAGAAGCAAAGCGGGCGTCAGAAGGAGTTGAAATCGTCTCGTTATTGGATGTTAATAATTCTTCTTCAAATTGAGGTAATTCTTCAATCCAAATCTTTGCAATTCTATCCAATGCTCCACCTGCAAAATAACATTGAAGAGCATTGAATCTAGACCCTGCTGCCAAAACACGGTCACCCAATTCCGTTATCTTGGAATCAAATTCATCACCATCGTTAGTGAATGATGAAATGGTTGCAGCGATTTCCTTCCAATCACTAACATCTGCATTTGATACAATATCAGTGACATTTTTAGAAGCAACATTATAAAGAATTCTTGATAAGGTATTATCAGCATGTTTTTTGAAATAGGCACTTCTAACCTTTTCTTTCACTTCAACTTCAGCATCTAAGGCTAAAATCAATGCTTCAGCCAATTTGTCTTCTTTCAAACATAAATCTGTGGCTTCATTAATTCTATTTTGCAATATTAGCTGGATCAATTTATAATTAGATTCATCGTCAGAAATTGAAAACTTTCCTGATGGAGAGTATGTAAATTCAATATCCTTTGTGACACCATTACTTAAATTGTCAAAGAATGATTCATTCCCACCATTCACAATAGGAGATTCCAATAAGTCACCATCCATTCCTTTAAGAATATCAGATTGGTCTGTAGTGGTACTTTTCTTTCCATACACATTTTCCAAGAACAGGGACTTCCCTAAATCAGAAAACTCCTTAATTATATTCCAATCTTCTTTATCATTTTCATTGACAAACGGTTGATTTGTTTTTTCATCAATTAATTCATGGAAATCGTTTTCATTCAAAGCTTTGGCCAATTTATCTGATTTGGTGGTATCATTTGAGGTAGCAATTTTTTTAATATTAATGATAGATTTACCATTGGATGAAGTAATGGAAACCAATTTGGAGCCAAAACCAAATGAAACGCTGGAAGGACATGCTAACCACGAGGGAGCTTGGATCTTATCAAAAACAGGTTGTTGAGTTTGAGATGAAGAGATTTCACTCCAAAAGGTACTATCATCGACATTAGTACTTGGAGCTTCAGGTGCAGGAGTTGTATCTTGTAAAGTTTGAATTACAATTTTCCCATCAAATGAAGCAGAAGCAAAGACATCAGGAGCCAGAGGGGCAAATTGAACTTTAAAAGCCCAATTGGTTGTTGAAGGATAACTACCCAATTTTTCACCAGTAATTGGATTCCAAATTAAAGTTGCATTATCTTTACCACTTGATAATAATAAATTAGCATCTTTAGAGCACCAATCTAAGCAAAGGACACCCGACATATGACCTTCTAAAATACGTTCTGGGGCATTTGCATTTCTTAAATCCCAAGATAATATTAATGGACAAACTTCTGTATCACTTGCAGTGATTAATTTAGTTGATTGAGATGGATGCCAAGCGACACAAGAGAAGTTGGCTTTACCATTTGTTTTAGGATTAACATAAGATAAATGAAGCACCTCTCTTTTGGCTTTTAAATCCCAAATCGAAGTATAACCTGAATTACCAGTAGAAGCAAAAATATGGGGTACAGAATTATTCCAAGCAATCAGAGTAACTTCATCCATTGGAGAAATCGCTTGACCAGGATTAATTGGATCAGCAAACGTCTTAATATCCCAAATGAAAATTTGTCCATTAGAACCACCCGTGGCCAACACGTGGGGTTGGTTTGGATTAAATTGTAAGCATTTAACTGGACCAGCATGTTTATTTGAAGAGTGGATTAAAGCCTTTTGAACATCTTTGGACTTGATTAATACGTCAGCATCCCAAAATTCAACGTTACCATTTTGCATAGCACCAACTAAAACCCCGCTGGGTCTACCTTCCATGGGCTTGGACCAGGTCAAAGCATGGAATCGTTGTTCCACTGGAGTGGAAAAAATAGGTTGTCCTTTACTTGTAAATACGTCCCAGATCTCCAATTTAGAAGACGCAGAAAAGTTAATGTCCACAGCTCCAGCTACAGATCCAGTAGCCAATAAGGGCAAAGTATCATGGTTCCAAGCAAACGTCGACGTTGTGTCGAGTTGTTCAATCTTGACCATAATAATAATATCGATACACTATGAGAATGTCGCGTTCAACAACAACAGCAACAACTTTGTTATTATTATTATTATTATAGTAGTAATAATCTCCCACTAGTTAATACTATACCGCTCTCGGAAGATCTCGCCAACTAATTGAACCAAGTTAACCAATTGTTGAATAAAGAGAAAATTATAGGAGAACAACGTACCTTGTTGTCCTCAAGTGTTTTCTGTTGATTTGTTCAAATTTTCGCCCTCACTTTTGTGTTTGGTGAAAGCGCGACATTTACCCGACTTAGCGACATGAGACATGGAGACAAGGGACAAGAACATGGTACAGTACAACACAGTGGAGGCTACTCAGTAGTAGTGTTTACTGTAGTAAGATAACTTGTATTAACTATTTGGTGATGGTAAAACTCCAAGGGAATGTTAAATGAACAGTTTTATCATCATCTATAAACTTGGTTACAGCATTATAATTTCCTCTAACCATCATCCCACTTGGTGCTTCAACTTCATCAAAGGCTTTCTCGTAATAAGGTGTAGATGTTGTATTTGGAGCATAAGATCCTAGAGGTTCCTCCACTTTATCGACTCTAACAAATCCTTTTTTAACCAGATGTAAATATTTTAATCCGGTGATAATCTCGTGTTGTACTCTGAATTTAATAACTAATTGATAAATGGATTTTTCTTTAATTTGAAACTTAATCTCCTTGTTGGCTATGGTGTTGCCTTGATCATCTTCCAAATCAATTATAACATCCTCTAAATCTGGTTGATCTGGAAATTGTAATTTCATCAGTACAATAACAACTCTACGATTATCTCCAGCCTTAACAGGGTACGCATTGGCATCTCCACCTAACCCTAAACTGGCCTTCCACTTGGCTAAACTTTCATCTTCCGCATCCAATTTGTTATATTCTTCAATAGTCTTTTTCTCCCCAACAACGTATCCATCAACCGTTTCTGGTTCCAAATCATCATCATGATGTGGAGCCGACATTCTGGATACTAATATAAAACTCTGTTCAGCGTATATAAAACTTTTATGAAATAATAGTTAACTTGATACGTCACAATAATCGTTCGCCTTTTTCGTTCGCAAGCCGGACACGTAGGCACCGGCACTTATATTGATAGTACGTTGGGGTATTTATACCTACCAGACAAAGAAAATGCGAACCGAAAATTTCAATGCCACGATCGTCTTTTACCCTGTTCTGTCCAAGCACTCATAAACGTACAACTAAAATCTACACCCATTCTGTTGATTCAAAATGGTTGGTGATCATTACGTAAGATGCATTTAATTGATGTTGGGTATAAATATATACTGTTTATTATGTAGTTGTAGCCGTTGTGTATCATATACTATATATGACGTCGTATAACCCATATCTACGGCCGTCTTGTGCATGTGATGGACCCCATCTCCTTTCATTCCATTATCTTACCCTATTCGTAAACTATATCAGTTGGCGGTGACGCAAATGGTAATATTTAGGTAAAATTATGTCGTTTCGTGTTTAAAGTACACCTGGAAATCTGAAACATCGTCATATAGTTTACGATCATGTACTATTTGCCTTTAGTCTCGTTAATACCGCCGTTATTATTATTATTAGTGTTATTGTACCGTTTTCGAGTCTTGTTTCTTGTAACATTATTGCCGGAATCAGGGATGATAATGTAGGGATTATTCAAGATTTTCCTTTCGGTTTCCTTGTCGTAACTGGTTCGATTCCCATACTCGCTCATACCAGAATAGATTCCATTGGGTGGTATCCCACTAGGTATTGCTGTTGTTGTAGGAACCAACTGTGGTGGTCCGTGAACTACAGCACTCCCATTACAGGTTGTAGGAACTGCCATTGGAGCTATAAGTACTGGACCAGGATAATATCCAGTAGGAGGAGGAGGAGGAGGGAAGTGGACTCCGAAATAAGCTCCGTGTGACGGTTGTTGTTGTTGAGGATATACAGCTACCATGGGGGTTGAGATCACTCCCGTTCCTGACTGGGCACCACCATTATACTGTAAAGGAATTGACATTCCTGGATAAGCAGGAACAAAGCTAACTCCAGTTCTACCAACCATTGTCTGATTTTGAATTGGCTTTGGTTTCGGATTCAAAGAAGCTTCATTCACGGTCTGACTTTGACTCTGAGACATAATCTTGGTCTTTGTTTGGTTCTGGTTCTGGTTCTGGTTCTGGCTTCTATTTTTCTGGTGTTGGCTCTTCCCATCTTTGCTTTTATTTTGCTTTACATCGGGGTCAAGTCCGTATTGCCTTCCATGTTCATGAGGATTCTTCTCCTTTAGTGGAATAGGTACACTTTTCAGAATATACCGGTATCCCTGCGTAGCTTCTATGTCATCTTCTTGATCAAAGATCTCATCTCGTAGTTTCCTATATAAAGCCTCCTTTGTAGCTCTATCTGACTCGATTTTCGAGTCATGAGATTCTGTAGAAGTTGACGATGAGTCTGAAATCGCCAAATCTTCCATATTCATAGTCATATCCGTCACGGAACTACTACTGGTATCATCACTTTTGGCACTAGCGATGGTGGCTGAATTAAAACTCACTTCGCCTTCACCGTTTACTGTATCCGACACTGAAGATGGTGATGATGGTTTATCTTTTCGTATAAGCTTGATTTGTCTGGCTGCCGGCCTAATTGATGATATAGCAGTGTTCAGCGGTGCACGGGGCTGAGTCTTTTGAGAATGACTTCGTGATAATAACTCATTGGAAAATATCATATGTTGGGTGTTCATCTCCATCTGGATATACACAGATAATTTGGTGAACTTGGGAGACGACGGATTATCAACATGGGTAATAAAATCACCATAATCAAAGTTTTGTCTAGGACTAACAACAATTTCGTTCTGTTGGTTGTTCCAATGTTGCAAGTTGTAGTATTGGCATAATTGGTGGGTCAATAATCTATAGTAGGAATTCTTGAGGTAAATGGAATGAATTACATAAACTGGGCTTTGATTCAGCAGTTGCAATTGCAATATGTTGTTCTTTATGAAATTGACTAGACTCTTTTCCAAATGTAAAAGATACACTCGTTCCTGTTGTTTAATAAGGGCTTTAGTTATAGACGAAGGAACCTCACCTTTAATTGATTCTACTTCAACCATAGTATCATGCATACAAACAAATAGTAGTCAACAGTAACACTAACACTAACACTAGAAGTAACAGCTTCCACAAGACTACTACTATCTAATCCAATCGAGTGATGCTATCTTCTAACAATGGTATCTTTTTGGTATGGTATAATATGCTGTACAACTCTCGACTAATAGCCCTCACCACCGCACTCTATAGTTAACTTTATCGGTATCTAAAGAGACCTACTTGTTCCAGGAAATGTATAGAATACAATTATCACTTCAAATCCCTCTCTTAACCACTTTGGATACCGGTAACCTGATGCTGCTACTCTGGTCCACTTGTAACGAGGTCAAGCGTCGTTTCAAATTTTCGTTCCTCGACTGGAGAAATTCACAAACCGAACTACCGACCCACCAACCGACCGACTAACCGACCGACCAAAGATCAAATCGACTACTCGCTCGACCCAAAGGCAAATCACCCGTTGATCGATCCATCCATCCGTTTGGTGATCGTAAATCTGTTCTTAATTCTTGTTGGTCCTCCTCAATATGTCTGAAGACGATGTATGTATACGTTTATGTGTTTGGTCTGTATTTACGGTTACACATTGAGACTAACTGTTGATCCTTTAGATTAGAGCTAAACGTCTTGCCAAATTGGCCAGTAGTACGCCATCAAAACAATCCAATTCTAGTGATTCCACGGTGCCTTCTTCTACAGAACCTCCTACTAAAAAAGCAACATCTGCTACTAAAGTGCCTTCTGCTACTAAAGTGCCTTCTGCTCCTACTGTGTCTACTCCTTCAAAGAATGTCTCCCCCAGAACCCAACCCAAAGTCGAACTCCATTGGCCCTCAGAAATGGTCAAAATGGTGTTTGGTGCAACATACGAACCTCCTGAAGGTTCAGGCTTGATCGAATTGTCATCTCCGACAAATTCCATTGAATTGACTCTGTTTTCCAAGAACAACATAGAGGAACTCTTTATGGAGATCTTGATGCTGATGCTGATTCCTGAGTCTTATAAATGTACCATTGAATACTTGACTTTTGTCTATGACAACGCCGTCCGTGAACATCACAAGTTGAACAAGAAAGATGTCCACTATCAACTGAAAGCCACGGCCTTGTCAAATGTGCGTGAATTGGCTGTATCCTATGGTCTGTTAGGTATCATGGATGAATCTATGTTTGATCGTAACAATTTGTTAGATACAGTCATGTATTTAACCCGAACTTGCAATGATACCACTGGACCATTTATAATGGAGTCAATTGAGTATGTAATTTCCGAAAACATCCTCTTGGATTATCTCAACAAACTAGTACCACAATTGTCTAAAGCTTTAAGTGTCGTCAACCTTACGATGAAGGAGTACAATCAAATGTTGACGTTTTACGAAATGTTGGTATCGGTGAAAGCAATTGCAGCTATTTACTCTCAAATCGACGGGTTCTTCCCATCTGAATTGGAAGAAGGTTTAGAATATCAGAATGCCTCCTTATTGGGCGCAATATTAAAATTATCTCCAATGGATAGAATAGTGGCTACTAATTACTTTGGTTCGCCTACAATGACAAAGAATGAAATCAAATCAATATCTGAAGGTATTCAAAATGAGTACAATGTTTTGATAGACAGATTATTCTCTCTTGTGAATAAGTTGGTTAGAGGATCCTCCCAAACAAGAAATGATGTCATGAAATGGTTTGCTTCTCTCGTTAATGTATCTCATTTAAGAAAGGGTAGTCATGCCAACCCTAATAAGTTGGCTTCTGATGGTATTATGATGAATATCACAGTTATTTTGGTCAGATTATCAGCCCCATTTCTTGATTTCCCAGGTTATCTGAAAATTGATAAGATTGACCCCAATTATTTTGCTAAAAGTGACCTTTTGGACGTTTCTGAAGAAGCAAGAATTAATTCTTCTTCAAATGAAGCAAACACTTATTATGAAAATCTAGGATTATCTGGAGAACTGGTGAATTTCATTTCTGATTGCTTTTATCTCACCTTAACCTATTTGCATTATGGACTTGGTGGGATTGCAAATTTCTATGATAGAAATTCAAGGCAAATCGATCAAATAAATGAACAAATTATGGCTCTTAATCAACTGCTGCAAAATGCTATTAACCTTAACCCCAGACATGCAGCTGAGATTAAACAACTTACAACATTTTTAGCTATTACGAGTGCAACAAAGCATGTGACAACTGCCTTATTTGATTCCCGCAAGTTACATTTGGAGATCTTTGACTTTGCTGTTGGAGCCACCACATTCTTCACTCGTTTGATCGATCCAGCTCATCAATATCCATCATCTAAAATTTCCATACCCATTTTTAAGATTTCCAAAGTTGCTGAATTAGATGACCATGATTTCCTTATGACCAAATCACCTGAACCATGGAAATATTTACCAGAATACTTTATTGATGGTATAGTTCAATATTGTCGGTTCTTATCTCGTTTTAGAGGTAGTCCAATGATTTTCAATGAAGACCGATTGACTCCGCTTGTTGAGTTTATTGTGATCCTTTTGCGTTGTCCTGAATTAGTAGGCAACCCACATTTAAAGGCTAATTTAATTGATATTTTGTCCTATGGTACTATGCCTATTTATAGTGGACCCAACTCACCTGGGTTTATGATGGAAATCTTCAATCATAATCAATTGGTATCACAGAATTTGCTTTATTCACTTTTGGATCTTTATGTAATGGTTGAAAAGACTGGTACTTCAAGTCAATTTTATGATAAGTTCAATAGCAGATATCGGATATCAGAAGTGATTGAATGTTTGTGGAATGGAGGTACTTATATTTACAGACAACAATTGGTAGCCTATTCCAAAAGTAGCATTGATTTCTTTGTTAGATTTATTGCTCGGATGTTGAATGATACCACTTACTTATTGGACGAAGCATTTGAATCCTTAAACAAGATTCATATGTACCAGCAAGAATTGAAGAGAAGAAACAGCGGTCAGGAGGAGAACACTGAAGAATATGGAACCACTGAAGAATTGACTAAGAAGCTCCATGATTCAGAACGTAACGCAAAATCATTAATGGGTTTGGCCAACAAGACCATGGAATTGTTCAAACTATTCACCAAGGAAGTACCTGAAGGGTTTGTATTGGACGAATTAGTTGACAGATTGGCCGGTATGTTGGATTATAACTTGGGGATAATGATTGGACCCAAATGTTCTACATTGAAGGTTGAAGCACCTGAAAAGTATTATTTTGATCCCAAACGAACCTTGAGTGATCTTTGTCTGATTTATTATAATTTGGCAAAGCAAGACAAGTTTGCGGTTGCGTGTGCGAGAGACGGAAGATCGTTCCATATCGAGCTTTTCAGAAAGGCTGAACGGATCTTATCTACAAAGACATATGTTGATTCCATGGTGATTCAAGGGTTCATTCAATTTGCCGAAAGAGCAGAACAGATTCGACAATCTGAAGAGGATGAAGAAATGGAATTGGGTGAAATTCCAGATGAGTTTCTTGATCCATTAATGTTCACGTTAATGGAGGATCCAGTAATCTTACCTACTTCTAAAGTTAGTATTGATCGGAGTACGATTAAATCTCATTTATTGAGTGACCCTACGGATCCATTCAATCGTTCACCGTTGAAATTGGAAGATGTTATAGAAGATGTTGAGTTGAAGCAACGTATTTTTGAGTTTAAGAAAGGAAAAAAGTCACATCCGAGTGAAGATATTGAAATAAATTAATACGAATTAAAATGACTACACGTGATTACATTAGAACCCCAAGTGTATTAACTAAATCATAAACTATAAAAGATAGGATACGAGCAATCTTAAGCCTTGATGGCGAACTTTCTTTGAGGGAAAGCGATTCTTTGCTTCTTGGCCTTTTCAGTTTCAGCCTTAGATTCAAACTTGGTCAATCTTCTTCTGATGGCTCTGGTCTTCTTGGCTCTCAAGTCCTTTGGTTGGTACTTCTTACCAGCGTACAATTGTCTAACGGCATCTCTTTGGTTTTGGTTGATGACAGTCAAGACTCTAGCAATGTTCTTTCTGGCAGTGTGGATTCTTGGCAAAGAAGGTCTGGTCAACTTTTGAACCTTCAAAGTGGCCAATTCTTGCTTCAATTCAAACAATTGAGTTTCCAATTGTTCCTTGGACTTGGTTCTCAATTCAAAAGTCTTAACACCGGCCTGGAATAAATGTTAGTACTGAGTAAGATTAAAGTAATACTAGATGGACAGGAGAAGACGTGTGAAGACAGCCGTTGTATCTTGTAATTATAAGTTGGACATTAGATGGATAATTCGATATGGGTATCACGACATGGATATGAATTTCTCTTGGACTGGGATACATACTATTAACTGTATAACAGTGATGCATTGATATACGTTCAAGTTCGGATGCCAGTCTTAGATGCTGGAGTAAAGACTAGTTCAACTGATGGATACAATTTCGTTTTCTTCATGTTCCATTTCCATCAACAATATCAATATCAAACTTATATAACGGGACTTTCTTATGTCTTCCACGAGACGTCTATCATCTTTTATCGCTGGTCACACATACCATTTTGATTATTGGGATATACTAGGTACAAGGAGAAACAAGAACCACTAGGTTAAGTTGAGGGAAATATGTTAAAAGTCAGGTCTGTCGCACACCAAGGTGGAAAAATTTTTCAATCATCGTGCTCCCAAAGAGGCAACTATGTCGCACAAAAGATCAGGATGTCACTGATAGTTTCACGTGAGTCATCACGTGGTTACTGGTTTAGGGTGAGTACCATAATTAGTTTTCTGTAGGGAATGTCGCTTCTCGTTAGTATTTTTCTTTGTTCTGTGTTGAATTTTCTCGAGTGTCACAATTGAAGCATCAGTGTTTCACGTGCTTATGTAGGGCTAGATGACCTAAATCAGAAATGATGTCTTTATTCGAATATGTAAGCTTATACTTGTTATTAGCCCCAATTACTACATTAGAGTTTCTATGCTATTGTTTATTGATTAAGAAAGCATGGTTAATTAGAAGATAATTACTATTAAATGTTATTATTATAATGATTAAGCTATTGGCAAACAAAAAGCTTATTCCTTAGCAACATTCTGAGATAACCATTCTAACCCCTCATACAAACCATCACCGGTTGTAGCACATGTAGATTGAATATACCATGGCTTACCTCTCAATTTGGTCAAACCCAACTTTTCAGTGATTTCAGCAGCACTCATAGCATTAGGTAAATCTTGTTTGTTGGCAAAGACTAAAATTGAAGCATTCTTCAATTCATCTTCATTCAACATCTTTTCTAATTCATCTCTTGCCTTGTCAATTCTATCTCTATCATTGGAATCAACCACAAAGATAATACCTTGAGCATTTTGGTAATAATATCTCCATAATGGTCTAATGGTATCTTGTCCACCAATATCCCATACGGTGAATCCAATATTCTTATATTGGACAGTTTCCACATTAAATCCAATGGTTGGAATAGTAGTGATAATCTCACCCAACTTCAACTTATACAAGATAGTCGTCTTACCAGCAGCATCCAAACCAACCATCAAGATTTTCATCTCTTGATTGCCGAATAATTGGCTAACCATTCTACTAATAAAAATACCCATTCTGTACCTGACTTTATGGAATAACAAACGATAATAAAAATCTATAACTAAGGGGAGTTTAAATGCTCCTTTACCGTTGGTTTTAGCTAGCTATGTGTCAGAGCTATTGCCACTGAACAGAATAACTTTGAGGTGTTGTGCTAGACGTGTTACGTTGTTTTACCTGAATTCCGGTATACGTGGAAGGGCACTACACACAGCCCAATTTTTTTTGGCGTCTTCGGTCACGTGACTAGTTCTGAATCTATTTTCGTATAATATGACAACTTTTATACTATACATTGTTTGGTTCGAATAAAATGTACGGTGTATTCCATGACAAACGAGTTCCCTTATCTTCTTCAAGATTAGGACAACTCCTTAGAGTAGATCCAATTATATTGTTACCTAATTTTCCAATATATTTATTACGCTGTAAATCCCTGACCTTGCTACAAGCAAAATTAGTGCTTTTGCTACCTGGTTCGTACTTGTGAGGTGCACCAAATCTATAGTAGCAAGACCACGCGCCAGGCTTTAGACAACCTTGCATGTCTCTGTACTGTGCATCTCCCCATTTGACCTCAGTATGGTACCATACACTGTATCTGTCTCCTGCAGGTATCGCAAGTCAAAGAACCACCTCTGTGAACAGATTTTGTCCAAGAGTCACCTATCAAGCCACCAATAGCTCCCCATCCGATAGGACATGCATTGATCTGCCAATCATACCCGTAGTCCCTATCTATAGCGTACTCAGCTTCGACTGAGCTTTTACTATTGTACGCACAACCACTGATTTTGTATCATGGCAGCCACCATGTACCCAGCGGAGCAATCTCGCATTCACGCTAGCGATTCATACAGGTGGTCCAGCCGTCCTTCTTAACCTGCGTTCGCTGCCAGGTCTAGTACCTGTCTAATACTTCTATTTACACCGTAAATGTTCGTTTCCATTTGCGTATCATTTACAAACGACATAAGGGTGACTTAAAACCCCAGTGCAATTACGACACGCAACACAATGCATAATATTGCAATCCACTAGGCAGATACAGATTTGGCGCTCAGCTTCTGTGGCTTAACTGTTCGGCCATAATAAACTCCACACATGTAGATATCAGATTCTGAATAATCTCCCAAATTGTTAGCGGAGCCGTTATCGCCACAGTCAACATGTAGCCACCTTGATACTCTGTGATATTACCATCTGACATGATAAGTTACCAGAAATGTTTTCCCTTGTTCTGTAACAAACAAACATGAACAACCAGGGCAATTCCTCAGCATTATATACTCGAGACTTTATAGGGCGAACAAAAAGCCAAATAAGTAGCTAGGGGCCCCTTAATTGAGCCATTCCGTATCTCAAGAAGGTGACTGATGTATGATACCACTCCATGGAATATTCTTCAAACATTGAGATGTGGCATTAAAGTATTTACTTTGGCTGGATAATCAGATGCAGCAATGGTTGGTGAAGCTGGGGTGTTTCTCTAATGCTGTGCCAATTAGTTATTGGCTCATGGTTGGATTTCAACGGTGCAAAAACTGTGCTTGTGAGGATATTTGCTTGTATTAAAGTTACCTACTAATCCTTAATATCAAATAGGTGGTTGAATAGCCAGCTTATCGGGCTATCGTAGACCTAGCATGTATTTTTTATATCTTCAGATCTATATATTAATCCCAAGGAGGTAACATTTTACGGCCATCTCATGAACCACGTAAAAAATCACTTTTAATGCAACGAAAATGCTATAATTCTCATCATTATTTACCCACATTCATTTTACATCTGGAGAACTTTTGTAAAGCACGAATAAATACCAAATAACTTACATCAATATTCTCTGGTTCCCAATAAATCTCACTCAATCTAATTTGCCAAGGTGGATAATCTTGTAAATCCAAATTAGGTGCAAATTGAATAAGCAAATCAGGTTCAGGTCCAACCAATTCTACCAACTCCTCGTCAACTAGTGAAATGGTGATATCACTAACCTTTAATTCATTAGATTTGGCCAATTCGTACATTGTTCGAGTAAGTTCTACAATTGTAGGTTTACCATCAACACGAGAAAGTAAAACCACTTGTAAATCGACTGGAGCATCTTCACAATATACAAGGCTTTCATTAGTATGAGCAATTTTTAACAGAAAATTGGGTATAGCATCAGTTCCAAAATAATTGGCTAATGTATGGATCATTTCCTTTTGTAAGAAAGGTAAATATTCGCCTGTAAGTACACCAGTACATTCATAGATAGATAAATATGGGATTCCAGCAGAAAGACACCAACTACTAGTATCAGCAATTTGTGACATAAGTCCTTCGACACCTCCATTTTCCTCATTATCATCTTGTAAATTAATAATTGTGCCTAGTCGTTTAGGAATCTTAGTAAGCTTATTAACATCTTCTCTAATTACTTGTGGTGAACTGTTTGGGGAATAAGTTATAGCAAGTACTCGAAGGGTGCTTCGCCGGTAAAGATAAAGGCAATTTTTGTAAATACTAATAATAAAGAATATGACAAGTAGAATTCCATGATACACATAATACAACACAAACGAATTGGGATGAAGCTTCCGATATCTGCTAGCACTTTTATTTACTCCAGAAACAACATTGACAGTACTAGCTTTTCTTACTGCATTTGGAGGAGCCTTTGGTGTCTTACCTAATCCTACATCATCATCATGTACTTGACGATGTTGTAAGTCACTGCTGTTGTTGGTTTCAAAACCAGAAACAACACTACTCTCAGGAGCAGGACTGGGTATATGATCCTTTTCTTTAATCTTAGTGCTCATAACCGATTAGATCTATAGGTATGATTTCTATGGCTGCAAGAGTGGATCAATAATGTGATCGAATGGCGTATAGGTGGCCTTTAAGGAAAGTCCATCTCATTTACAGTGAAAGTGTCACAAACTTTGTGGCGCTACCATTAATGTCCTTAATTTGGTATACGAGTCATAGTCCTAATAAAACACGGTTAGCTACTAGCAAACTTGATGATATCGTAGTTTGATTGATTCAATGATCAATGCAGTAACGTATTATGTTGTATTAGTATTGATAGTAAAAAAAACTGTGAATCATTTTTTGGAGTAAATGTGGCAAGATCTGAAAGAATATTGTTGGTGCTAATCGATCTAATAGAAGGAAGTCTGGTGATATGGAAAGACAACTCATTCAAAAATATTTAATCGATTGCTTATATTAGACTATAATTTTATACCTTTACTTTTTTTCGTATTATGTATTGTCTTAAAAGAATTAGTTCGGAAATGGCTTTGTTTATACGTCTTTAAATGACCTACTACCATTTTAGCGCATATCATGAACATTCTTATGCTATACTAAAACTAGAAGGTTCTTATTTCTCTGAAGCTCAATAGCTTTAAGTAATTCTTTACGACCCTAATCTATGTACCAAAATATGGTCAAGTATTGGTTGGCAAAACGAACCAAGTAATGGCTGCGAAAAATGTGAACCTTTAGTAGGATTACTATAGATCAGCTTATTTGAGATACCATTGAATGACGTAATAAGGTGTGCAATACAAAAACGGAGGTATACTACTAGTCTAAAGTTTGCATGCCGAAATTAATAGAATACGTAGTTCGTGGCAATTGCGCTGTTAGTTAACTTTAAAAGTGGCTAGTTGATAATTGTACGTGTATTAGTGTTTTTTTATTCTTGTGGACTCAAAACATAACAGTGGTAAAATATGAGCTAAATAATTTACGCTTTATCGTGTCTGCATCAGACTTCCAAATCACTGCTTTTGAAATCGATTTCATGTGATACACCAATTGTGTATTCTTCAACTGTATTTCCACTGCTCTTCTCATTTTTTGGTGTAATCGCAGCATTCAAAATATGCACTTCCAAAGTGGAACGAAAAGCAGGTTTATTCAAGGTCATGAATATGATATCCTACCTATATTTTCATTCTGTGGATAAAGATAATATCAATAGAAAATAAAGGGTGATGATTAATGATACGTCACAATCCCTTAATATCCGCAAGCCTATTAGCCCCAAAGCCGACGGTATCATTTCTGTAGCTCGTGTCGGATTGAAAAAAATAACGAACCGAGCACAAGAGTCTCCTCAAATTGCAGAAATTGGAAGTTCCGCTTCAGTTTAACAGTATTTTGAACCTGCCTCATTCTTTATGAAGCAGCTCATAATATGTTTCAGATGAATGTTCCACAGCAGCAATGTACATAGCTCAACAATTGCGGGTATAACGGCACAATACAGCTCGATTCTAAGAAGTAGACCACTATGAAGTTCTCGTCCGTACTAGACGAATACTCCTAACTAACCTCTTTTCCTTCATTTAACTATAGCATGACTAAAAGTTTCCATGAAGACGTAGTTCACACCAAGATAACAAGTTGTCTACTACTTCTCATATATGAAAAGATTGTGCTGGGAAAGAGCGCCTTAGCAAAGGCGAAGTGGACTCAACAAGAACAGAAGGATGTTTTCGCTTATCTAATGTCACGTTGCCGACGTGTCTACAATTGCCTATATATATCAATATGTTTTGCTTTAGCTATGGTAATACCAAAGACGCATACAAATCGATAATATGCAGAGTGGGCGAATATACCTGTCAAGGGAATAGCTAGCAATACCCCAGTTGGCCTTTACATTTTATTTATTCCCATTCTTATTTAGTCATAATGTGGTCGAAATTTTGGCTCACCCCACACGCGAACTCTTAACACACCACCACTCTGTACCTCACTGCGCCGTTCAATCATAAGTAGGTATCCAATTGCATTCCCGATACAGAACTTTGGTGCGGCAGATATTATACCCCACACTTTCTTTAGCCACATGATTTTATGGTAGCACCGCACTAGAGAACAATGTAACTATGGGAACCTACAAATTTATTCGACTAATTGGTAACAATACTTGCGGGAATATATTTTATACAAGTAATACGTGCTTTTAGCATGGTTTATTACCCAGGCTCAGCTCCGTTCTAATAAATATATTCCGATATCGTGTTGACGAAGGCGACCGACCGACGATGATGGCTGAAAATTAATTGTGGACGTTGACGTGTGGATGGATTGGGGGGAGAAAAAAAAAACCCAAAACTAGTAGCAGTAATTGTATGAGTTAACTTGTCACGATGACTCACCAATGGGTGTGAACAAGAACCTTTAGTATGCTAGTATAATCAACAGAAAGACAATATTAACGAATTTCAGTAAAACTGTCAGAGTTATCATTTATGTAGCAGCCATTCTCTGATAGCACAGTTTTGGAAACTGTAGACTTCCTTTTCGGGACATGTGCATTCATACGATCGTCATCTTGCCCCCTTTCAAAATACTTCACTGGTTCTTGGTACAAAGAACGACCCAAAAAGTTTTACTAAGCCCATGACCTTCAGAAGTGATTCAAATTAATAAGTGGTGTTCACTGCTTACCAATACATATTTATCTGAATAAGTGAACTACTTCACTGCTAAACAGAATCTTTGCCTTTGCTTCATTCTTGGCTATTAGATTTTTGTCTTTTATCTCAAGCTCTCTTATCGCTTACAGAAAAAAGCAGATCTAATATAGTAGTCGTTTGAAACAACCGCTGAACTGTGGAAGTTGAGCTTAATATTGTGACACTCTTCAGATTATATCTGGTGTGGTAGCTTACTGAAAATCGTTACTATCTGCTCCTAAGATAGTCAGTCAGTCTCATATATACTTGCCCATACAGATTTTGAGGAGTTTTAGAACCATACAAATTTAATATATCCTTGCACCACCATCCAAATAACATTCATATAGTCATAGTCTAAAGCAAGAGCTCCAAAATCTCTCTTCCATAATGAAACAGCCTTCCTCACAAGTACCTCCGGGTACTTTGCCTGTGCAACAAGTATCACGATATTGGCCCTTCTCAAAACGTTGGAACCGACAAAGCCGTCTATCTAGATCGTTCACCGATCCAAATAGTATCAATAGCCCTCACATAACAGCACAAGAGCTCATAGAACGAGAAATACGGAGTATGAGAAACCCTACCCCCGCTCTACTCTCGGAAAATGCATCTATATCCTCTGAACATATGGACTCGGAGAAACATCTATCTTCGTCTACAGATACCGCACCAGATCCTTCCAATCCTCCTATTTTGCATGAAGATGTGAACCAACATCTTGATCTGAACTTGCCTATATGCCAAAATGAAAATAAAGACATTATGACCACTCCTCCCCCTATGTATTCACAACAGAAAAACATTGAAGAACAGAAACACCTGAGCTTCCTACAACGACAGTGGGACAAGTTCCTTGGCGGATTAGAGGGCTTACTTTACGATAATAGTAACCACGATGCCCAATATTATAGGAAAATCAAACAGAAATCGTCTTCCACTTCGGCTATCTTGGTGGGTATGATGGCTGCAGTAGGTGGTTTCCTTTATGGCTACGATACAGGTTTGATTAATGATATACTTGAAATGAGTTACGTCAAACGTCATATAGCAACGAATGGAGTTCGATTTTCTGTTCACGAAAGGGCATTAGTCACTGCTATATTATCTTTAGGTACATTCTGTGGGGCCTTAGCAGCTCCACCAATATCCGATACCTATGGAAGGAAGTCCAGTATAATGGTATCCTCAGGTATTATATTTATGATTGGGAATATATTACAGGTTTCATCACAATCCATTACATTTCTATGCATAGGAAGAGCAATACTGGGTGTTGCTGTGGGACTTTTGTCTGCTATTGTACCTTTATATCAAGCTGAAGCATCTCCTAAATGGGTTAGAGGTTCCATTGTTTTCACTTATCAATGGGCAATCACATGGGGTTTATTGATTGCTAGTGCCATTTGTCAAGGTACCAGAAAGTTGAATAACCTGGGATCTTATCGAATACCTGTTGCGCTTCAATTCCTTTGGGGGTTGACTCTTTGTGTGGGGATGTATTTCCTTCCGGAGTCTCCTCGTTTCTACGTGACAAAGAATAAATTGGATTTAGCCTTAGAGAGTTTGTCGATGTTGAGACGACTCCCCAGTGATGATCCTGATTTAATTGAAGAATTGGTTGACATTAAGGCCAATTACGATTATGAAGTATCCTTTGGACGTACTACAATATTAGATTGTTTTAGGAATGGAGGTGGGAGACACAAGCAACGCTTAAGAATGGCTACGGGAATGGGTGTCCAATTTTTTCAACAATGTAGTGGTATCAACTTCATCTTTTATTATGGAACTAATTTTTTCATTAGTGCTGGTATGAAGAATAGTTATCTTATGTCATTTACAACATATTGTGTCAATACCGTGTTCACTGTTCCAGGAATCCTTCTTATTGATATTGTTGGCAGAAGACCACTTTTACTATATGGTGGGGTAGCTATGTCTTGTGCCAACTTTATCATTGCCGTGGTTGGAGTTGCTGTTCTGGATACGTTCATAAGTTCTACAATATGTATATCTTTCCTGTGTGTGTTTATTGCTATTTTTGCAAGTACATGGGGTGGCTGTACTTGGGCACTTTGTTCGGATATCTATGGTATAAGTATTCGTCAAAAGGCAATGTCACTATCTGCTGCCACCAACTGGTTGGTGAATTTTGTGTTGGCTTATGCCACTCCTTATCTTATTGATACTGGACATCACACTGCAGCATTAGGGAATAAGATTTTTTTCATTTGGGGAGGCTTTAATGCCATGGGAGCCGTTTACGTTTATTTCATGGTTTATGAAACAAAAGGTCTTAAATTAGAAGAAGTGGATTTCATGTATTTGAATTGTTCTAATGCAAGACTGTCATCCAAGTTTAAATCTAGAAAGATTGATTATGACCAACTTGATCAACCTTCTTTGGCAATCCCTAATTCACGGAACTCAATATCGTATGACCACAATGATATGAACCATTTGGATGTGAGCTCTACTTCATCGTTTAATAATAGAGATTTGGAGTCTGGTCCTCCATCTTCGTCTGATTCTGGAAGTAATAGCAACACTATATCTCCTTCAAGTTCACCCCCACCTACTTCGAAAGATGCCCAAATTATATGTGAAAGCGCAACTAATGGCAGCACACCTCCAAACAATATTAATAATGACACTGCTACTAGTTACTATATTTCTCAATCAGTGTCTAATCCCAATAGTGCGAATAATGCAACTGGGAATTTTAAACTTAATTCGACAGCAAGAGACCCTAGTTTGATGATTATTCCTTATCAAAACACAGGACTTCCCAATGATGATAGTGATGAAGATGATGACGGAGATGATGACGATGATGAGAATGTTACAGACTATCAATCCTATTTAATGAGCCTTCAATCTTCTAAAGTGAGTAATTCTCAAACCCTGGGTCTGATAGATACTCCAAAATATCCTATTCAAAGTCATCATCAAAGTGTTTTTGATGAATATGAGGACCTAATGAACAGACAAGCAATTGGACATACAGTTCAATTAACTTCTTCTTCAACAAGTTCAAACCCTGGTGGTTTGGAAAAACCCACAATCATTGCTACGCCTTATTTTAATGCCCCTCCGGAATTAGATTCTCTGTCGGAAGAAAGCTCTTTAGAAGAAGAGGAGAACAGGGAATAACTTTGGAATGCTTCCCGGATTACTTTCTTAGGACAAATTCTTGCCATGAATTCATGTTGCAAATTGCATTGTATAATTTAAAATAAACGGTTTAATTAGGAACATAAGCACTCCGTAAAAAATAAAGTTTATGTGCCATACAACTTTCGCATTTGCATTCCTAATCGAGAAGAAACCCGCTAAGCAAATTCCAATATATAAGACGAAGCATAACGACTCTAAAACAACTAATACTTATCATATATCTATTCATTCACCATGCGTTTCTCTATAGGATTACTACTTGCAATAGTCACCAGCGTTACAGCCGAGTCATACTTAGACTCAATCTACGGTGAAGTTACGGGACCTTCAATTCACTTGGAGAATGTTGGAGAGATTGATGAATTCAGTTTGAACCATGAGTTTGGATACAATCGTATCAAGTCTAAGTTGAATCTCCCCTCAGATGATGACACGTCAGATCTCGATGGGCTTCTGTACTTTGGAGGAATTGTTACTTATGGTCACAGACCACACCTTGAGTGCTTTAATCCAGATAACGATACACTTTCGACTTCAGTAGACATTGCAGTTGTTGGAGCACCATTTGACACTGGCGTCAGTTATCGTACTGGTGCTAGGTTTGGTCCTAATTCAATTCGTTCAGCACTGAGAAGAATGGAAGCTGGCGATGGGACTTATGGTCAAGAGCATCGCACTAAGAAGAGTATCATTGATTGCGGAGATGTTCCTATGACTCCGTTCGATAACAGAATTGCTTTAAATCAACTTTATAGAGGTCAAAGGGCGATCCATCGATTCCGTTCAGATACGACAAAAAAGTCAACTAAGATTATTACCTTAGGAGGTGACCATACTGTCTCTCTTATGTGCCTTAAATCTGCTTTCGAAACGTATAAGCAGCCCTTGCACGTGATCCACTTTGACTCTCATCTTGATACTTGGAATCCTAAGGTATTAGGTGGAGGTATCTCTCATTATATGCTGTTGAACCATGGTACTTTCCTTCATTATGCTCTGGAAAAGGGTTATATTGCCACAGAAAACAATATTCATGTTGGATTAAGAGCTCCATTCATCGACTTTGAATACGACCCTGTTCATGATGCTGAATGTGGATTCAAGGCAATTGGTGCCAGAGAAATAGACCGCATTGGTATTCGGGGTATTTTGCACAAGATTCATACTACGATACCAAAGGACGCTCCAGTTTATATCACTGTGGATATAGACGTTTTGGATCCTAGTAGTGCCCCAGGTACTGGTACAATGGAAGTTGGAGGATGGACTACAAGAGAGTTACTTAGTGTGCTTGATGGACTAAAGGGCTTAAATGTTGTGGGTGCGGATGTCGTTGAAGTGTCTCCCCCATTCGATACCAACTCTGAAATTACTAGTTTGGCAGCCACTGCAGTCATTGAGAGTTTTATTCTGATAATGTGATAATGCACTTGGCACCTAGAGTATTTATAATGTAATGAAATGATCAGTCCTTCATAATCTCTAGATGTGTACTTTATGTACAATCAATGCTGATGATATCGAATTTTTACTTCAGTTAAGAATTGGCTTGCATAATCATTATCACTAGTCATAGTGACATGAGACTAGTGTAGTTTAATAATAGTGAATATTGAGCTATTACTTCAGCGAATAGTTAGTGTACATTAGATATTCAACCGCGCTACCATCTCTTATCGATATTTGCGCTACCCAGAGCGTGTTATGGTGGCCAGCCAAATGAGTTCCAACTTACTATTGGATTATAAGTTTACCTTATTCTTTCCACTATTTCAAATTAACCTAAACATAATGTGCATGCAACCACCTAGAAAATTACAGACTGTTCCATTGTCACACACGGCATTACTCTTAGAAGGTCGGGAATCCTCGCAACTTGAATGGGTAGAAGGTGACACTGATGTCTACACAAGTCGTCCCAGTATTAAAAGCACAAGACATATTTGCATCCATCATACATCAAAAACAGATTCAAATGATCAAAGAGTAATCACGAAGTGTTCCACTCATAAGCAACCTGATAAGTTACTGTCAGAAAAGTTGCTACTTGAAACTCAGCATAGGGATCTTGAAAAGAATGAAATTAGGAGTAATCGTTTCCGCTATTTTCTGCGTATATTAATGGCATTGGGAGTAATCTGTTCCTTAATAATGTACACCAGGGTGATCTACTTGTGGCTTACATAGACAAAAAGCTTACTACATTCTACTAGAACTTTGTTATTGACATACAATTCTTTCATTACAATATTATCGAAGGCTCAAAACAAGAATTCCTACACGATGAGATCTAAACCATACTCTCATTGATATCTACGGAAATAGTTTTATAATTATGGCTTATCAACTACATACTTGTAAGTTCATGTAGTTTCCTGTATGTGGATAGAGAAGAATTGACTTAACTGGATGATGTAGTTGTATGCACTCTACAAGCAGAGTTAGAAAAGCGAGCTTCACAAGATGAGATGAGATGATTTGGTGAAGACAATCTGAACACCAATACTCATATAAACAGACAGTATGGGAACAAAGCTAGCAGGAAAGATGGGCTCAGTTGAGCGTTCTGGCACCGATAAATATGAAAGAGGGGGAAGTCGTATGCAACGGAAAGCCAAATTTACCAAAGACAAGAAGTTGAATTCAGGTCTTAAGAAAGTAGATCGTCAATATAAAGAAGCTCTTAGATCAGCAGCAGGAACAGATATGTTGTTAACAGAAGAGGCTGGGTTTCTTGAAGCTGAGACTCCTATGGAAAGAACTTTCAAATACACCCAAGAAGATATTGCACAAGCTGTTGATGTACAAACCTCCAATAAGAAGTTTGAATTACTGTTACCTGAGTATGGCCCTTATCAAATAGATTACTCAAGAAATGGTAGAGGTCTTTTACTTGGAGGAAGAAAAGGTCATGTGGCCAGTATGGATTGGCGTACAGGGAAATTGGATTGTGAGTTACATTTGGGAGAAACTGTTCATGCAGTTAAATATTTGCACAATAATCAATACTTTGCTGTGGCTCAGAAGAAGTATACATTCATATACGATCATGAAGGTACTGAATTGCATCGATTAAAACAACATGTTGAGGCTACTCATTTGGATTTTCTTCCATATCATTTCTTACTTGTTACGGGTGGCCATGCTGGGTTTATTAAGTATCATGATACTTCTACAGGTACTTTAGTTCTGGAACATCGTACCAAGTTAGGTCCTGTTCAGGCCATGAAGCATAATCCTTGGAATGCAGTAATGCACTTGGGTCATTCCAATGGTACTGTATCATTGTGGTCACCTAGTATGCCAACCCCATTGGCAAAGATCCTTTGTGCTAGAGGGCCTATTAGAGATTTGGCTATTGATAGAGAGGGGAAATATATGGCAGTTGCGGGTGCTGATAAACTGTTAAAACTTTGGGATTTGAGAAAATTTAAAGAATTGGATAGCTATTACACTCCTACACCAGCTAGTTCGCTTGATATTTCAGATACCGGTTTGCTATCGGTAGGTTGGGGCCCTCATGTTACTGTTTGGAAAGATATGTTTAAGGCCAAACAATCTGAACCATATATGAATCACAATATAGCTGGATCCAAGACAGAAAAGGTGAAATTTGTACCATTTGAAGATATTTTAGGTGTTGGACATCAAAAGGGATTTAATTCACTTATTATTCCTGGTGCTGGTGAAGCCAACTATGATGCCTTGGAATTGAATCCATATGAAAGTGCGAAACAAAGACAAGAAGGTGAAGTTAGGCTGTTGCTTAACAAGTTGGCACCAGATACTATATCATTGGATCCAAATGTTATCGGTAGTATTGATAAACGTGCATCTAGTATTCGGTTGAAGCCCGGTGAGATCAATGACTTGGCAAAGGAGAAGGATGAGGATGAAAAGTTGAAGCCTAGACCAGATGTACAGAGTAAAAACAGTACCTTACGGAGATACTTGAGAAAGAAGAGAGATAACGTTATAGATCAAAGACGCTTAAGAGTTGAAAGAAACTTAAAGATGGAAAAGGAAGCCAGACACCACATGCACAAGCAAGCCAATGGTGAAGAGGTTGAAGAAGATGTATTAGCACCTGTATTAAATAGATTTAACTAATATTAATGTTACGTAATCTGATAAGAATTCGGATCTATTATTTACCCCGGAGTTACATTTGCAATGTTAGGTGCAAATATATAATTACCTTTATTGAATTCAATACGGTTTGGGATTGCTTAATCGTTTGCATGTGAAAATTTCACTCATATATTTATTATTCATTTCTTATATATCTTCACCCTCCATAACATCACCACCTTCGTGCACTTTGTTAGCATGAAATCAGATATAGTAAGATCGTGTTTAATTCTATTTTATATTGTTTTGCCTCCTAGTCCTGAGCATTTAACTAGCGCGTGATCAGATATTTAATACTGTCCAATGTAGTTGATATTCATGAAAGTGCCGAGCTATTCATCAATAACAGAAAGAAGAAGAGATGATATGACCACCCTATTTCATTTATAGTGTACTCAATCACCAAAGACGTAGCAATTACCAGAAATAGACGTATATATCATATATACAAAAAAAACAAGAAATACAAAGACCAAAAGCGAGGAGTTTAACCAAATGCAATTACCATAAAGAAAATACCGAATAAAAAAATTATATAATATAGAGCTCCTTCTCCTCTAATGAGAGCTTTTGGCTGAGATGGAATAATTAGAATAATCTACCGTAATAAATTCGTTTAATAACCTATTAGGTAAATGCAGAAAGGAAGATGATGACGAAGGCTCAGAATTCAAATGATGCAATAATTGGTCATGGATCTCTTGTTTATGTTTAATAAACTCAGTGATATGTTTAAATTTACCTCGAGAAATTTCATCATGATGCGATAACTTGGATACCAAGTCCAACATTTCAACCACTTCGATAACTTTTTCATTGGATGCAAGGTCTGCGTCTGATGGTGGTGGTAGTCCATCATGAGAAGGACCAGTAGTATTATTAATCAAATCAGTTCCCGTCAAGGGCTCATCTTGTTGAAGCACCACAAGCCAAGTGTTTGCAACCTGCTCATAAGCCATACTTTTGGTGTATTGGAACTCTGAATTTGTAAAGTTGGGTAATGCATGTACTAGTTGAGTTGCTTCATGTAAAAATCTAAGAGATTTCTCCATATTGGTTTCTACCGGAGGTAAGTAAGCTAAAATCAAATCACTAAGACAATTGAAAAACTCCATCAATAACGATTTAACTCTTAAATATGAATAATCACTTTCAGTATCACATTTATAAGGTAAATGGGCCAACATATCATCAAATTTTTCTTGAAGTAATTTAACTGAGTTCTCTAACACCGGCGAAGGAGATAATTTGCTCACAGTTTCTTGGATCTCAGGATGTACAGTTACCAACTCTTTGAGCATTTTCTGAAGAGATTGGTGATCCAAAACTTCTAACATCCTATTGATAGGCAATGATTGACCATGAATGCGAACAGTTTTAGTACGTTTATATCGAGCAGTACTTAGGTTTCTATGTTGATGACGATGCTTGTTTATACCACGAGGTTGATTATGATAAATCAGCAGCACGTTATCATTATCCTCATGATGAAGGTGCTTTCTCTTTCTTGTCAGCAGTTTCAATGAAGTCAGTCTTGGCACAACCATTGAATCTTCTGCGCCATTCTTATTATTCTTATTATTATTAGTATCCATATCTGTCTTGGAACCAGACGCAAATGGAAAGGGTGGACATTGAAGATCAGATGACATTTTGATCAATCTAAAATAACAGTAGTAGGAAATGCAATAATGGTACTAATCTAATTCTATGACCCAGATTAAACTCAAACTAATTAAGAGTGTATGTATGTATGTATGTATGTATGTATGAATGAAGGCTATCGTGCAATATATTAAAGGAAAAAGCAGTAGCCACCTTAAATAATAAGAGTAGCCCTTTTGAAGCTAGAACCTTCGAACAAAAAGTAATTGCTTAAGGGGAGTGAGAATTATTTTTGACGACATTAATTCAAAAGGATGATAAAATTTGCGATGGCAAGGTCGAAATAGTAAGATTAGTGGCGCTACCATAACCAATGAAAACTACAATAGACTAACCCAAAGCTATCAAAACAAAATCTTGATGATAATGGAAAGTTACTATTTATATATAAGGTGACAGTATAGAAGTAAATTATTCACATGTATAGACTGAATAGATTATTCAGTAATAATCATTGGATTCGTACTCCTCATCACTACTAAAACTATCTTCATCATCTTCTTCATCTTCGTTAAAGGAATCTGAATCGTAATCTGCTTCTTTAAAACCTGCAAACCGTTTTCGTTTGGTTTCAATATCATCAAAATCCAGTTGAGCACCTAATTCTCCTTTACGGAAGAAATTCACAGTGGAATTGTTATTGGAAGCTATATTACCAACTGATCCTCCTAATCCACTTGGTCCAGCTTGAAGTACTGGTGTGCCCAGTCCACCTATGCGTATGCTTCTTTCATCATCGTCATCGTCATCATTTTCATCATCATCTTCCATTTCCTCCAACTCAATCTTTAATTCATGAACAATATCATAACACTCTTCGAGTAAAGCATTCAACGTACCTTGACCTTCGGGTACTTGTCCATTAACTTCAAATTTTCCATCAATCCGTTTAACATCTATCAGTGCCAATTTCATCTGGAAAGGATAAAGTTCTCGAAGATTATTCAATCCATTGATTCGACGAATATCTAAAAGACATCTTTTAACAGTCGATAATTGATTGTGAATAGGTTGAAGTGATTCACTAACTGGCTCAGAAGATTCAAGCAACTTATATATGAGTGAATAACACCGTCTTAACAAATACAAAAGAAGTAACTCAATTCTTTTAATCAATGGAGGACTAACAGAAGGAGTATTGGAGGTCAGTTCATTTCCACCTACTTCAGTAACTGACAGAGATGCTAAATCATTGATTAATTGTAAACGTTCCTGATCAATAGATTTCAATGATTGTTGGAATGAATACAAATCGGTTTCCCTCATGGTCCATCTTCTGGTAACCATTAAATTTTCCAACTTCGATTTAAGATCAATCAATTGTTGATACAACTTGTAACTATTTTCCAAAAACGATTTGTACTTTTCATCTTGTATTGAAGCATCTTTAAGAGACATTGCTTGGAATAAATCAGTAACATCATCATTATTGTCACGAATGTACAAATCTTGAATCAAATTCTGACAATCATCAAACAACCCATTCAAAACCACTTGAATCGATTCCAGTTCGTCCGGAGTGGCTACTTGAGAAATGAAACGACCATCGTCAGGATCTCTCTTGGCATTGATTTCTTTCAATTTATGTTTCAACTCATTCAAACTTTGAATGGTTGCAACTTTTGGTCTTGATTGGGACGTCCCAGACGCCGATTCTTCCAGAGTAAAGTAATTGAGTAACAGTTTCCGCAAAAGGATAAGATCATTATAAGTAACTTCTAAATCCGGAGGAATATTTTTGAAATTGGCCTCAAGTTGATTGTATAATTGATAACATTTGTTCAACTTGTTACGAAGCAACATTCTTTCTTCAACATGATAAACAGAAGCAGTATCTCCTTCATTATCATCATCATCTTCTTGCTTTTCTTCACTCTGAGTGATGATTTGTCTGATTTCGTCCAAACGTACACGAATAGGTTTCAAATCGTCCAAAGTATACACTTGACATTCTTGCAAATGATCCAACAATTTGTGAACTGTGGATAATGAACTGTAGGTGGCAGGAGCAAATTTGATTAACCCACAAGTAACAAAGCACAAACTAAGTAATTGCCAGATATCATCAATTTTGACATCATTGCTATTTGGAATTTGTAACTTGATACCTTTCAACTCCTCGTCCTTACGTGTTACTGAAAGCTCATGCAATTGAGAAAGAAATTCATAATAAATTTGATAAACTTGCTTGGAATTAATGTACTTGTTACGATTATTCTTGACTTCAAGGATCTGCTTGTGGATCAGTTGAAATGCTTCATAACATGGTTTCTCGTATGAGGGCACTGACTTCACCATTATGCAAGTACAAGGATACAATTAAAAAGACAGTAATTGAAAAGATATGGTTACCTCTGAGAGATTTATTTCCAATAGGATTTTAGGATTATTTGGAAATTTGTGCTGTAGACGTATTTGGCCACCACCGCTTAAAAATATATGGTTGGTTTGGACGCTTCTCAAAAGGATCGGTTAATATTCCACTCGAGATTCAGTTCAATCTTAAGTATCAAAATCACTTGTGGAAATAGCAATGATGAGCTCGTAACTTCGTGACTGGTGATCCTTTAATTGGTAATAAAAGTGTACTATTGCAACTTAGTGGTAGAAGAACAATATTAATGGGTTACTATAGTTTGGGATTCTCCTTTCGATCCTTATGGTGGGTGGAAAATTTGAGATTTGCACACGTGACCCCGGAGCAATACGGGAGTGAAGAATCGTGCGATAGATGATAGGGTGCTTACTATTGAGATAGAACGGTTGAAGTTGTTAACCAATATTCAAAGTACTCTTGCATGTGACTTGGGCTTGTATCAGTTTGTAGCATGAGCCAACAATATAGTAAACCAATTAAACATATACTGAAGATTGTCATATACACGGAGTAGACAGAAACCGTCCCAAATAAGCTACTGGAATTTCAATTGGGAAGTACTTCTACTTCAATACAAGCTGTAAGCATAAAAAGACATAAAACTGATATAAAACTGATATATAGAAGGAAACTATTCAAACAAAATATAAAAACCCAAATGACCAATACTAAGACACAACCACAAAACATCCACACATGAACTAAAAATAAAATAATAAGAGGATTCAAATCACGCTTATACAAAAAAAGGGTATACTTGTATTCATAATTTCTTTCTACTCTGGATTGGCAACTTGAAGAACTTTTCGAGAATAATCAGTTTCATCAGCTAAACTGCCCTCACTCAATCTCCTTCTACCCAACATTGAAGGGTTTAATCTTGGATCTGAGGCGGTTACAGGAATTTCATTAGCAGATGCCCCATCACTAGGATGTGCAAATGGGTTAGCCAATGGGGTATCAAAAGGTGACGATCTTGACTTCTTGGAAGAACCTCTGATCACCTTTGAGTTTGAATGTGACATCGGAATTGGTAAGCCTGTAGCTCCATTACCGTTTCCAGATCCACCATTATTCTTTTCAAATATATAGTTTTCATCAAGGTAATCATCGTCATCATCTTCATTATGGCGACGCCAGAAAAAGAATGCTACTCCAGCAATTATTCCTAGCCCAACAACCCCTCCGACAACCCCACCAGCTATGGCTCCAACGTTTGTCTTCTTAGATTTGTCAGATGAAGGTGAGGATGATGAAGATGAGGTTGAAGATGAAGATGATTTATCAGTGGCTGAAGAAGTCTCGGTAACCGTGGAAGCAGTAGCCGAGGCAGGAGGGGTGATAGAAGTGGTCACATATATCACTGAGGCAGATCCACCAGCATCCGTTGTAGTAAATGCAACAGTACCTTGAGAAGATGTATCGGAAGATGTCTTTGTTGCCAGCGATTTAGAAGAGGAAGATGTCTTAGAAGACAGGGAGGCACCGCTTGAGGAAGACAGGGAGGAAGATGACGAAGATAAGGAACCAGACAATGCAGCCCCGGAATCGCTTACGCTGTAGACAGTATATGCATTCTTACCACCACAAGTTTGGGACCCATAACCAGCACATGGGACATTACAGCTAGAATCGGAAGTTTCATCCGAAGATGAAGGAGCCGATGACAAACAAACACAGAAGTTACCATTACTAATAGCAAAATACTGAGAATCAGAACACTTTTCCTGACAGTATGATTCCGCTTGATACATATAAGAACCAGGAGTAGATGCAATAGACACTTTGGAGTAACAGCCAAGGGTGGCTCCATTTACTGCCGCAGCACACAACAATAGCACCAGTAACGAACGGATAGTCTTCAACATTATTTTGTATATGAGTGAAATCCAGTCAGCTTGTTAACAACGTCGAAAAGTATGAATGAACGTAAATTTGTACGTACTTTGAGCAAAGTTGTCACGGTGGGAAGCAAATGAAGTTTACCGATGACAAAAGAATGGAAAAGTTGGGTTAAAAAAAGAAAGGAAACGTGGAAAAAGACAGGTATAGGCTTCAAAAACAACGATCGTTAAATCAACACCTTTATTAACTTAAGAAAGAATCAGGACTAAAGACTAAAGAAACTCGATTTCAATACTTGTTGGTTTATCTAGATGTTCTTCCAGAAAATCTACGTGAAAGGATTTAAGACTCGCCTGCAGAGTAATGTACCATTCAAAATTACTCCCAGACAGGACTCTTACACAAACCAATATAAAAGAAAAAAAAACATACCCCAATACGGTCAAATATCTTACAGGAGTTGTCACGAATTGCCTGGTTCTAGACCATCTCAAACTTGGTACGGTCTTCCATTGCAGTAAAGAGGGCATCGCACATCTACAGTTTCCATTTTGCTAATGAGATAATGAATAGGATGGTAAACCTTTAATATTCCTTTTGCTTGTATTTATTCATCCAATGTATATTTTCTTTCTATCATGTTTCAGGGGGAATAAGCTAAAGAGTGGTTGGTTTGCTCGGTAATAACTACGTGAAAAAGAAACTCGTTAAGAAATTGCAACCCAAACCCAAATTAATGGCATTGTATTGTATTTTTTTGTATGTTATTGTATTGAGGCTGGGGTAGAGGTTAAGACTATACATTGGTATTTGTGAACGTTTTCTTTATTATTTGAGTTGGAGACGGTGTACAAGCGAGAGCAAACCACGAATTAATCTCATATAGAAGAGTACGCGTATCTTTTGTCCCCCTTTTTCAACAACTTTGCTCGTTCAGTATTTTGACACCATTTTTGCATAAAGTTTATTGTTCTCCAACTGGGTGTGCGAATCTGAAACATCAAACTTGAATCTGAAACAAAGTCTCACAATGTTGGCCATCGTGCTTTGCGAGATCCAATATCTGAAACATGGATCTGACTTTTAAACTACTAATATAAGTGAAAAATACATTGTTTCCATCACAAGTAAAATCTACAAGCTTATCATTATCCATAGTTATGATTATACCATGAGGAAATAAAGTTCCATACATATTTTGGTCAAAATTTTGATTAATGTCGACCATTTGCTCCATCCATTTTGATGATCTCAGATATTCAAACATTCGTACCTATTCTTGGCCTTACATAGTGAATATTCTTTTTCTCGCAACCCCAGATTTCAAAGATGATTGTGAGTTCATCGATTTCATTCATGGGGTCAAACCATTTACTATTCATTCAAAATATTAATACTGCTCCGACTTTGTCATTTTCCACCCAAATAAAGTGGTCAACATAGCATAATAAATCCCTCTACTCTTTGTTAGATATCAAGGTTGTACCATCAAATTTCCTTTAAACTCGATTTCCTATATGCAGTCCAACGCTTCATCTGATGATTTTTTACCTCATCAAGCGTATTAATCAATTATTCACTTACAGTAACCCAATTTGGTCAAAGCCATTGCCTTGACGTAAGAGCATATAAACTACTGCTAATCTTTTCCTTTTAGGTGCCTATTAACGTAGGAGGTCGTCAGACTCTGATTTAGAACTGGACATTAAACATGCCAAGGATTCCTATCTTATCCCAACTTACCAGACTTCCTCGTCCAATTCTTTTAGGTGCTGGTACAGTAGGTGCAATTGGTGGTTACTACTATTTCCGAGATGCCAGATCTGCAGTATATGAATATGTTGCTTGTCCTGTTATTCGTGCATTCACAGATGGTGAAACAGGCCATCAAATTGGAATACTTTCAATGAAGTATGGGCTTAGTCCTAAATTGTATGATGAAGCAGAAGTTGATTCCAAGAATGGTGCATTGCTTCATACCTCTGTATTTGGAACCCAGTTGAAGACTCCAATTGGGTGTGCCGCTGGCCTTGACAAGGATGGGGAAGCTATAGATGCTCTTTTTGACAGTGGTTTCTCATACGTTGAAATTGGCCTGATTACTCCAGAGCCTCAACCTGGTAACCCTAAGCCTCGGTTTTTTAGGTTATCCAAGGACGAAGCTGTCATTAATAGATATGGATTCAATCTGTCTGGTCATTTTGCTGTTGTTGCTACTTTAAAACAACGTTTCAATAAATTGTGGTCTAAACTTTCTGGGTCTGACGAAGTTGAAACTTCCAATTCATTCCGTAAGGGCAAATTGCTTGCTATTAACTTGGGTAAAAACAAACTTGGTGATGAAGTTCAAGATTACGTTAAAGGTGTCGAACGCTTAGGTCCTTATGCCGATGTTTTAGTTGTCAATGTTTCATCTCCCAATACTCCAGGTCTTCGTGATTTACAATCTGAAGCCAAATTGACTAATTTACTTTCAGAAGTTGTTGAGGCTAGAAACATACTCGACAAGAATATTCTTGGCCGCAAACCTCCAGTTCTTGTTAAAATTGCACCTGATTTGACCGAACCAGAAATCGAATCTATTGCTAATTCTGCCACCAACTCAAAGGTGGATGGTATTATTGTTTCCAATACCACCATCCAAAGACCAAGTGATAAAATGTACACCAAGGACTCTCAACTTTTAGGCCAAACAGGAGGTTTATCCGGTAAGCCATTGAAGCCTATTGCCCTCCAAGCCTTGAGAACATTACGTAAATATACCAAGAACTCTGGTCTTGTGATTGTTGGTTGTGGTGGTATTAGTTCAGGTCGTGATGCCCTTGAATTTGGTAAGGCTGGTGCTGATTTTGTCCAATTATACACAGCATTCGCTTATCGTGGGCCCGGTTTAATCGCTAAAATCAGAGATGAATTAGTTGATGAATTAAAGCGCGAGGGAAAGACATGGCAACAAATTGTCGGATCTGATGATCCATAAACTCAGTACAATGATAATGAAAACAAACTAAATTGCCCCAGCGTACTTTTATAAAAGTACACTGTGTAAAATATTTATATTGATAATGAATAAAGAGCCCAGAAAGAGTAAAAAGAATACTTAAACTTATAGAATGTCCGTACACATAGATTACCGTGCAACAACCATTGAATGGAAGCTTACAGGGAGTATGTATTTATTTTCACTCACTGTAATTATGTATGAGTCCTTTGCTACTTGCTTGTAGATGAACTCAAAACCTATATCGTGCGCGGACCAATATCATTGGATTAGGTAATACAACATCAATGAAAACAAATACAAGTATAGCGAGATATAGTATATACATTTATAAATATTATTGATTCCATATATATATCAATGAGCGACGAGGCTCTAAGTTCATACACCGTGGCGTCGTCGCCTCTGGCTACAGATACAGACCAACAAGTCGTGTTTAATATACGAAAACCAACCACCCGTTCGTCAGAAGCATATTTACTTCCCAAATCACCAAAGATGGTTCACTATCCTAATAACGAAGACACACTTCCCTTTGAATCGCCAGACAATATGTACCGATTAGAGCAATTAGCAGATGGAATGGATCAATTGGAAACAACCATTGGCCAGTTGGCAAAAGTACACACCCTGATTAATGATCATCTTAATGAGAGTATTGCAAGTTTAATACATGGACTTACAATCTCCATGTGGTGTGTGGATTATCCCGGAGTACCCAATAAACTGCAGATCGAAGCTATGCGTAATCATCAGAAAGCAATTAGCGAAACCAGAAAAATAGAATCCCAAATAACGTTGGCTCAAAAGGAAAATCAATTACTACGAGAAAAGTTGCAGCAGTTGAAACAACGTCAGAATGGATTACGAAATCTGCGAAGGGGAAATAGAATATCAGGACAAAATTCAAGAGTTCCTGCCGTTGTAGAAAGGCTCACGAGAATGGCTCCACCTATTCGGAAGCCAATCCTGATTAAACAAATCAAAACTCATAAACCTACCTCGGAAGCCATTAAATCAAAAACTCTTCAAGAACGGAATACCCCTAATAATAAATCAAGGATACCGAAACCAACACTGACTAAGAATAGAGAATGGGGAAATAATCCTAATCTTAACCAGCCTCCACGGTATTTAAAAGGTTTGTTTGACAGTTCGGATGAGTCCAAATAGAAAGAAAGGATCAATTTTCACATTTCAGAATTATATTGTATTATTATTATTATTACCATTATCAAATCAGACTTCAAACGTTATCTGTAGTTTCTAGAACGAGGTTTAATTTGTTGATTTCTTTGATCGACCCAGTAGTCTCAACAAGAGTTGATATTTTACTTCTTCTATCAGTACACCTTCTTGTTTTGCTTTGGATAAAAGCCAATCGTGACTGTTCATTGAATTGATTATGTTTCGACGTTCCATTTCTTTATCATAAGATAAATCATATTCAAACGGCAAGTATTTATCTTTTATTGTTGGAAACTGACTCAGGACATCTGATTGCAGGCTTTCTACAACCTCGGGGGGTTGGAGGAAATTACTCATAAAAAGTAAAGGCAGATTATGAAAGCAGATTGGATAATAATTTTAGGTTGTATTTAGGAAGACTACGTATTGCCATTCAAAGTATTGGAGTACCACAATATCCAAACAGAGAATTGATCACGTGGCTTTTATTAATATGCTTGATATTTCCCAACCGCTATTCAATAAGGCATTAAAAAAATGATTGTAGGGTGCTGTAAAAATGCTTCCAAAGAAGATTAATCTTCAACCAAAGGCCAGTTGTTAACGTAAATACTTGCAAGTCCTTCTATAACGGTGTTATATTCCTTGGTGGGTAGCCTCATGAACAATAAAAATCATAGTATGTAAATTCCACTATATAGCTCATATACAGCTCATACTAAAGCTCATACTAAAGCTCAGCCTGTAGCATATGTTTCGGATTGATACTTATACTTGTACACATATTCAAACAAACAAACAAACAAACAAACATCTATGTAAACTTGTTTAACAGGTTTTAAGAAAGTTCCCATCCTTTGAGTAATTTATGTCCTGTTGATTGTACAACAAAGTCTCATTTTCATGGCAGGAAAATTTTGGTTAAACGTATTTGTAAACTAATAGTCTTACAACTGGCTAGAATCTAACTACAAAGATGGCATCTATCACCGAGGATGAACGGAAGCGTATCCTTCGGGAACGTAGACAAGCCAAAATGGCTAAAGGGAAAGCTTCAGATAGATTGAATACCATCCTTAATCAAGGATCTTCAGTTAATGCTAATACTGCTGTCTCTGTGTTGGACGTTCCAGAACAAGCTACTTCAACTATTAAAGAAACAAAGCCAACTTCTATTGATGATAATACTGTCCATGAAGACCCGGAAATTCAAGATATTGATACAGTTATTCAAAAAATTGCAAGAACAGATTCTCTCAATGAGAACCCTGCTCAACCTCCAGACATGGATGCCTTGTTTAATCAAATATTTGGAGGTGCCAGTGGTGCTGGATTCCCATCAGATAGTACAGCTCCTGGAGCTGATGGAAATGATAATGCCGACCCTTTCACACAAATGATGATGCAAATGATGGGTGGGAAAGGTGGCGACATTAACAATCCATTTGCTGGTTCTTCTCTTCCACAGGGTATGCCTGAAATATCGACTTACGATTCAGAAATGGCCAAGTATACAGAATATCAGCATCAGCTTTATGAATGGAGATTCTTGATAGTACGGTATGGACTTATGATGTTCAATTTTATATACCATTTCATCAATGAGCCATTCTTCAGATCAAGTAGTCTGATCTCAGTGAGAAGCAATACGTTCCATACCTCTTCTTTTATGACTTGGTTTGTTAGTTGCGAAGTTGCCATTCTTTCCGCATACTATGTTCTTTGTTTCAATCGTTTTAATCACCATGTTAGTGGGAACAGTTGGGTTATCAAGTTACTCGACATGGGTCTGATGGTATTACCTCAACTAGCTCGGTATAAGCAGTTAGTTATTACTTTATTTGGCTATTACGACTTGTTGAGTATTATATTGAATGACGTTTCATTCATGGTGATATTATTTGGTCTTACCAGTTATATTACTTGATTATACAACAAAATATGTGCATATACTAATTCTAATAGAATGATTTTTAAACGTATACTACATTGGTAATGAATTGTATTTTAAGTTGCATTTATTGAAGGTGTGTTTCTATATAGCTAGAGTGTGAATATGAAATTTACACTATATATCAAAAGAACAAGTTACACCCTCCATTGGCAAACAGATGGATTTAAATCTGTTCAATGGATTTAAGCAATAACACAACATCCGCAACCACATGGTGGGGGGATGAAGCAGTTGTCTTTCTTTTCTCCGTTCTTCTTAGCGGAAGCGTTGTTGATTTGTTGAGCAGCCATTGTAATAATTAGTTATTTGTTTGATTGATAATGATTGAAACAAATCAATTCGGAGAAGTGAAGAATAGATGGCCTTTTATACTTTTGTCTAACAGTATATCAGCAGTAACTTTATATCTGTTGTTTCATGATTGGAATGTACCAAATTGGGTATAGCTATAGGGTATCCCCCATTTAAGTCAACTATACCCTTTTTGAAGAACACAAACGGGTTTATGCTGACGGAGAATGAAAAATATATCCGTTAAGTCGGGTTATTTAGAGAATAGGACACTGTGTGACGACAGGTTGTTTGTTGGCAAGAGTCTGCATATGGCCCTTTCGTCAAAGAGGTCGAGTACCTCTTTTTGACTGCGAAACTCCTGTCTAAAGCTAATTTGCACCCAGTACACAGTCGTAGTTACGAACAAAAGCGGGAAAAAACCTAAATTTGGATTAAATTGCAAGTGGTTTAAGAAACCAGATGAAATCTGACATTACAGAACCAAGAAATCTTTTAGAAGAGTCTTCAACGTTTTGATAGAGAACATAGGTCGAGATTTGCATTCTTATTTACGGAGTATTGGAAGTCTTAAATTTGAAACTAGTCATTTTATATTAACGGGAAAGGGAGTATAGTCCGAAAGAGATGGTACTATTAAATGTAAAAACATTTCTAGTCATTCGGAAACTGTTGTTACCGAGAAGTAAGGTTAGTACTTGCCTGTATCTAAGGATGCAAGGGACCGTGTAATTAAGACTATTTCTGGACTAGTTGATCTCAAAAGGGTAATTCTATTTATGGCATTTCTGAATACGAGCTCATTAGTACGTTTTGGGTAGAGAGAAATTGGTAGTCGGAGGGGCACAACAGCTAATCTGAGATTTCAATTTGACGATAGGATTGACAGTGCCAGTTTGTTGACAGGTGTCAATTACAAGGCGTTGCACTGCTAACCAACAGAGGTAAGAGAGTCGTGTAGTACAGTAGTAAATCTTGTAAGCCATGAGCCAAAGGACTCGAAATCAGTACAATGAAAACCGTCCTGGAGCATCTGTAGTTAATTTTTACTCTTGCCTGAACAACTAATTACAATATAATATTTGTTGGATATCCTTTATTTCTTATAAACTATGAACGATTATACAATAAGTTAAATTCACATTTAGCTATGCACCTTCAAACAATTTTCCAGTATATTAACTAACAATATACCAACAAGAAGTTATTAAAAAAAAGCATGTTTAAGCAATAACACAACATCCGCAACCACATGGTGGGGGGATGAAGCAGTTGTCTTTCTTTTCTCCGTTCTTCTTAGCGGAAGCGTTGTTGATTTGTTGAGCAGCCATTGTAATAATTAAATATTTAATTGATTGATAATAATTAAAAATAATTGAAGGAAGCGATAGTCATGATTTCCACTTCCTTTTATACTTCGAGCTCTAATAATCAAGCTTGAATATAAAAGATGGAATACCTACTTTCAGCGATAGCATCCGTTTCCAGTAATATCAGCTAGTTTAGGAAACGGTAATACAAATTTGGATATAATTTGAATGGGAAAAAGTATCTTACTGTGTGCTCGTCAGAGTTGCTGGTCAAAACAGTATACCTTTAATTAGCGTTAACCTCGAGCCCAAATAGGTTTTGACTCAGCTGATGTTGCACCCTAATTTATCCGTTTATGACGAAGGTATGCATATTCTTAAATAGGTAATGGTATGTAAGGATTGCTTTCCACGGTAATAACATGGATAACTTTATTTATTTCCGTACGTTCTCATCAATAGACGAACTACATAGAAAATTCAGTATGTTATCAAAATTGAGTGGTATCAACGTGGTGCCGAAAATAGAGTAGTCACATCTTACCAGTAGTTCATAGATTAAGTTAGTATGTACAGATAATTTTATATACAAGGAAAGACATTGTACACCTCCAACTACCATTTCTTGCCCATATCTTTACGCTTTGCAGCAATGATTTTTTCAGCACTATTGTATCTTCTTCTGCTGATTATGTTGTACGCTAACAACCCTGCAGAACAGAAGGCAAGTCCAAACCAGGTAACCAAGTATTGTAAATGGTTATTTGTGAATTTAACCTTTGGAGTTGCAGCAATAGGCACACCCTGTTCAATGAACTCGAATTCTTGATATCTTAATGTCTGATCCTTTGCAGCTTCATGTGCTACAAATAAGGCGTCCTCAACATTTTCTGAGCGTTTGCCTTCCTTGCCATGGAAAAGTAACCCCATCAACAGTTTACTTTTATCCGATTCCTTTTGAACATCCTTACGCCATTCAACGTGATCACTCAAATCATAGATCATCTGTGAGTACACTGGTAAAGCCCCTGATTGCTTCGACATGGCTTCAACATCTGGTACATGGAAGAGCCTATCACCATTAACATGGTCATATTGTAATGACGATTTAGCAGGCATGTTACGGAATAATGCCACAATTTCGATTTCCCCTTCTGGTAAAGCCAAATGCTCCAAATATCCACCCTTACGTGTAGAAGGAACCACTTTATCTTTACTTATCCAACCTCTCTCTACAAGAATAGGTTTCCCCCCATCAGCTCTAATAAATGGAACAATAACCAAATATCCGAGCATTCCATCCTTCATCCGAGGACCCAAGAACATTTCTTGACTATAATCAAAATGACCGCGACACTTGAAACGACGATACTCAAAGTCTTTCACTGCATTTGGATCTAAATTAGGAGGAAGTCTTTCCAATGGCTCTAACGCCAATTCTCTTTCAGCATTAGCAATTAACGTAGTCTTCCATTGTAATCTTTTCACTTGCCAACACCCCAATCCAAAAGATACTATTGGCATAGCCACCATAAGCCCAAAGAAGATTTTCCTAGCAAAAGGAGACTTGGAATCGCTTTCTGTCTTCTTTAAGGATGTATTACCTGATTTAATAGGCTTCCAATCAATAGTTGGAGTTTTCACTCCTCTCTTAATACTAACCATTTGATTGCCGCCTTTCATCTGAGAAAAGCGCTTCCCCCACACCCGGGTAAAAGCGTCTTTAGCAAGCATATTCATAATGATAAGCCCCAGTTACGTTTATTGGCAAACCCTTTAAGTCGATATAGTATTAGATGATGGTGATTTGTATAACCGAACCCTTACCTTTTGACCTCTTTACACTACCTTCGTGCTCGCGTTACAAAAAATACCTTAATGAAGTTTAATACTATATGATATAAACTATATACAAGAGAACAGGAGGTTCTCTTTTATGCTCTATGGATGGGAATAATAAATATGGCATTGAGTTTTAGTTAAAACTCAGATCTTGGGGAGACATTTTTTCGCGAGTACCAGCTAATGAAATCCTTCAAACTTGAACGGACTCTTCGGTTATCTTTATTAGGCAATGCAACTGAAATAGTAGAACCCAATTTGTTCACTTCCTTTTCACTAACATTAGGTAACGACATAACCACTTGCACAAGCCATTCAATTGCAAGTTGAGAGTCGGGAATAACAACCAAAACCTTCAAAAGTAGATCATTTGCATCATGTTGAGCATCATTTGGTAAAAGGAAAATCAAACCTTCAATGAGGCACTTAATTAATTCAACTCCACTTGTCATAAGCAATGCTTTAATTTGTTCTTGAACTTGGTGTGGGTTCTCATCAAAGAAAGAAATAGGCGGATTTGGTAAACCCCAAGATATTAAGTCAATCATGAAATGTAAACAAGCAATTAATGTTTCAAATTCACGAATACTCGAGATTGTGACAACAGCAGCATCCTTAAGAGATGATAACAATTCACTATTACCAATTAACTTGAATGGGAAAAACATTAACAAGTCGTCCATCATACGGAAAAAGTCTTCAACAACATCATTGATTTCAGTGATTCTACCTTCTTGCTTGTAAGCATTGAAGATTTCAAAGAATGTTTGCGCCTGACTGAGACCAAAATTGTAAACATTTTCCTTAACATCTTCAGAAGAGTATTCATCCCCAAATTCACGAACCAACGCACCAGTAACCCAAAGGAAACATCCGTATCGTGATTTCTTAAATCCTTCATGTAATAACGAGGCAAGACTACTTAGTATAGGAGACAAGTAAGTACTGAAAGATTGAATTGCTGTTCTGATTGATTTTAATACTCTTTCACTAACCTTCAATGACAGACCAAACTTTTCAAGTAATTTTTCAAGTAATGGCCAAATCTTTTCCATAAAGAAAGTTGCAGGTGGATAATCTGGATCCTCAAACTTGGCACTTCTCAAAACAGAGTCAAAAATGGTAATGACTTCAATCTTGTCGGCAACTTCAACACAAAGTTCTTCAGTTTGAGGGGCCGATAATAATGCTGTGAAATAATTCAAGTGAGGACTTAAAAACATTTCCAAGGTTTGGTAAACGTTTTCTCTTGGGACTTGCTTTATTACGTGTCCCAAACCATCAGCCAATTCATATGATGAACTAAGATCGATTTTATCTTGTACTCGACCGTACAAAACATATAACTGTTCCAAGTAGTTTACTAAGTACTTGGAGCAATCTTGACAGAAATACATTAGAGTTTGAGAAGTTGCCATTATAATCTCTTTGGAACTATCCATTTCAAACCCCTTTGTAATGTACTGTAACTGAGGTTCCAAAAATGAGGGGTTTTTGGAAGTCCATTCGGTGTATCTTCCAAGTACTAAGGTTGCTGCATATCTGATTTTAGGATGTTCTGGTAATTGAACTAAGAACTCCATAATGGTTGGTAAAATAGTTTGTTCTGTCAATGGAACCTCCTTAGCCATTGTTCTCATGGAAAATAATGGGGCTTCAATATATTGCCACTTTTGAGAATTAGGATCTCTTAAGCAACTTTGAACTTGTTGGAAGGGAATGTTAAGTGCTCTTGTTGGTCCCACAACAGCACAACAATCTTTAAGAAGATCACCCATTTCGTATCTGAATTCTTTGAATTTATCTTCTTGTTCCTTATCACCATCAAATAAATCATGATCTTCCGCATCTGTTGGATATGTTAAATGTTTTATAATTACAGTGATTAAGCTTGAATAAGTATCCACGAGTTCTGCCTTGGATTTTTCAAATTTTGGCAATGTAACTAATTGCTTTAATAAGTGCCAGAAATAGAATGTATACTTAACCACATCCAAATCCTCTTCATATGAGCAACATTGTAGTATTAAGTCAATTAAAGGTTTAAAATGATTAGGGTCTTTGGCTATCAAAACATGCCATGATTCACCAGCTTCTGAATATAAACGAGTTAATCCATCCACGACTTCTGGATCCTCTGTCATTTCCTTTGGCATAAAGGTGTTAATCTTGATGACTTGTTGGAATAGAGCATCAATTAGTTGAAGGTCATTGATATCACGAGTTTCTCTTAAAATAGTTACCAAACATTCAATTGCTTTATCAAAACTGTTGGGACTTAATAATGATTGAAAGACCAAATTTGTTAAGGAATCGATCGATAACAAATCAGAGATAGGAAATTCTTTAATCCAACTATTGAGACAATCCAAAATAGAGGATTTCATCAGGGAATCCGAAGTTGATTCACTTAAAGTTTTGAGAATCAAAAGGACCTTCTCCACTTTGGATTCAATCAATTCAGCAGTTCTATCATTGAATTCCTCATCAGTTAAACTTGTTCTCTTGACATCACTTAATTCTTCAGGTAGGATCTTAAGGAAATCTAACAAACAAAGCACTAGGTTTGGATTCGATAAATGGTCAATGATATCTTCTGTAGCGTTGGTCCAAGATAAATCTTGCAACATCAATAAAGATAACGCAATACTAAGTTGTGTACGGATCAACTTATCTTGACGTCTGTTGTAGATTATAAATACTTGTAGGAGGGAAGACCGTAAAGATGGGAAACTTGATTCTGGGAGCAGAGTTACATCATAAGTAACCTTTGAACGTAATGTTTGAGCAGCGAAAAGCTTCATTCGAGTATCATCAATGGAAGCATCGCTTAAAATTTGATGGCACACTTCCCAAGCTACTTCTGATTTTTGAAACGATTCCAAATATACTGTGGATTCCTTTTTAGCTGCTTGCGGAGCATTGGAGTACATTGTCTTTAGGGCCTGGGCCAACTCACCCAATATCACTGGAGTCAGCATTGTGTCGGTGATAAATGATTATATAATTTAGAAAACTTGGTTTAGAGTGAATCAATAGGAAAAAGTAAAAGTGAATGCGCCAGGAGTACTTGTTAAATTGTTTTCAACACTTCAATTGGAATAATAAGTGCTACCAATACGGCCGCTATATTTCAAGATATTAGGGGCTTAATAAACTAATATAATGAATGATTAAACTAGAATCACCTAGTTACAGGGTGAAAAAACATCCACCTCTCAGTATGAGGTTGAAAAAATTTGGAACGGTAGCGCATATCTTTACTATTCTGGTATTATGTGTCCGGGTAATGTTTGATGTGCCCATATTATAAGTGTAATATCAGAAATTGAATACATGGTGTCTTTGTTGAAACGCTTAGCTATGACTGTTAACTTGGTAGATAGCTACCAACCATAAGATCTATAGAATTAATATCTGGCAAGTAGTTGGGTGATACGGATTCAATGTATTATAGTAATTATACTTGTAGGCGTAGCAGGAAAAAGATATGCTGTGGTACTCAGAGCATATACCCACGTTCACTCTATGAGCTCACTCCCGAGTTTTCAAGTCAATGTTTACACGTCCTGAATCCAGTTATGTGTGTTTTTATGAAGTGCTTATATTGGTTTGGTATATACATGTGTTTGTTGATGTTGGTATTTTTGTATCTTTCCTTTACATAGTAGCATTATTATTGTTTATTCTTTTTACCAGCTCAAAGAATATTTATGTGCGCTACCATCTCTGTTATTAGCCGTTTATTATTGACTCTTCCCCAAAGAAGATACATGTGCATTTTACAATAAAATCAACCCCATAAAATTTCCTGGCTCTGTGCGTTAAGTTAAATACCTACTAATAAACGCCTACCAGTATATACAGAAATTCTACGAAATTTTATTTCCTGTGTTTGATTCCTCTAAGTATATTGTATTTTACCATACTGAATGGCCTTTTTTTTGTGTTACGTGACCGAGACGTTCTGTCTAGTCTCATCGCGTCGTGTCTCATTCCTTTAGTTATGAAAAATATAAATAACAGCCATAACACGCCAGATCCAATTGGAACCTGTAATTCCTCTTGAGAACCTCTCGGAGATTCTCCCTTTATTCATATTGAAACCCCCTAGGCTATTACTACAAGCACATAGATTTCCATCCACGAAAATGGCTAGACCTATTGTTATATCTGGACCTTCAGGAACTGGTAAATCCACCTTATTGAAGAAGTTGTTTGCTGAATACCCTGGTAAGTTTGGATTTTCTGTTTCCAACACCACCAGAAGTCCTCGTGAGGGAGAAGTTGATGGTGTTGACTACAACTTCTTGTCTGTGGAAGAATTTAAACATAATATAGAAGCCAACAAGATGATTGAATGGGCACAATTCTCAGGTAACTACTATGGTACTGCCTTTGAAGGAGTGGAAAGGGTGTTACAACTGGGTCAAACTTGTTTGTTAGACATTGATATGCAAGGTGTCAAATCAGTTAAGGCTTCTGATATGGATGCTCGTTACTTATTTATTGCACCTCCATCTATACAAGACTTGAGAAAGAGATTAGAAGGAAGAGGTACAGAAACCGCTGAATCCCTTGAAAAAAGATTGGCTGCCGCCACTGCAGAATTGGAATATGCTGAAACTGGTGCTCATGACTTGATTATTGTCAATGATGACTTGGAAAAGTGTTATGCTCAATTTAAAGAGTTCATAATGGCCGAACAAAACTAAGTTAAAAACAATTACTCCATCAGACGAACAAACAAACAAATTAGTTTCCCTTGCCACCAACGTAGTGGCTTTTAGTGGAATCTGTGTACTAATAGAAGATTTCTTTAAAATTCCATGTAAGAACTCTTGACTGTATGGAAGTAGTAAGAATCGACGTGCTTATGTTGGAAATGATATCCAAGGGTATTTTCGGGCATTAATCCAAACGTGGTATATGAATCTTCTTAACTAAATCATTAATGACCTCCCAACCTAAGACGAGACTCTAGGAAGCTATTGAGACACGCACTACTTTGGACACAAACCATTTCACTTTATCTGGTGGATTTCATGCTATTCTTTCTTACCTCAGTAGTTAAGTTCTGCTCATGAAGTATAAAAGGCTGTCGATATATACCATTCAACCCATTTATAACTATTATGAATTTAAAAAAAAGACCGAAAAGTAATTGATGAATAGCGAAATGTCCACTCAAGTGGTGTCTGAAAGAGGCAGAACTGCCAGAAACAGTGCAATGAAACGTATAATAATGGCATCGCATGTTCAAGTGCTCTAACTATCGATTTCAGCATTATGATTCAGTCAGTAAGTGTGGTAATTATTGCGGATATAATACGAGTGGTGGCACCTTGTCTTCTGTCAGTTTCTGATTTGGCTGCAATACTCTTTGAGCCCCAAAAAGCGTTTCCTACATAAAATCAAACCCATGGTTATCATATTAACTTGCGAATTTGTTCTTTTAAATCTCTGAGTATTTTGCTCTCTATGGGGTCTGGAAATACATTAGATTGTTCTTGGGACCGTTAAGATGATATTTGTTCACGGTGTAGTGTCTCTGGTTGCAGATGGTCTTGTATTATTTTGTATACTGACTGGAATAGGCTTTGGCTCCAAAAGGGCCCTTTCCACATATAGAGTTACACCCACGGTATTCAGCTTAGATTATGAGCTATATCCTTGGTCTCGCTATCCGCTTCATTGTCTATGTTGTGGGGTCATCCGTTCTTGCATTTCTCAAGCTGTCACCGGGGCGTGTAACTGATCTTGAATGTGGTCTTCTGTTGGTTGCAATAGGCAATAAAAAAGCCCCTGTCTTTATATAGGACGCAGGCCGTTACGTATGGTTTGTTACTTGGTGTGTCATTATGTGTTTCGAGTGGAGCCCAGTAAAGGAAAAGTTAACCAAAAATTCAGAAATATCCTATCCGAAAGTCTATCACACATGCAACAAGTCACTGGGTGATCATGGGGTTTTACTTTAGCTTGTGAATGTATTAGTAGAGACCTGGGTTTGCTATTCCAAAGAGTATATTTATTGTTTGAGTAAAAAAATTATCCAATGTCAAAGAAAGCTTCTTAACTTGCTGCTTTTTGATAGAGGGATTATATTACACATATATACTAACAAATTTGCTGGACTGGAATATAATTGTGTCTTAGCCAATGAATAGTAAGGAAGAAATCGGGAATTGAAACTGAGCAGATTATCCGTATGTTAAGGCTCACGTGATATATTATTCATAGTACGGGAAATACCACCAATCGGGGTTGTGGAGCAACTAAAATATTTAACATAAGTTCTACTTTTTATATCGAATACTTTTGCTTTTTGATATATAACCAATTAATACTACAACCATGGCATCTAGACTTCCAGGGAAGATGCCTTCATCGTTTGAAGGTGATGACGAGACCGAGTAAGTCCAATTTTATCTAGTAATTAACCCATAATTAGAGTCAAGCAACTAACAAAGACACTAGGGAGGAGAACATCTTGCAAAAGATGTGGTTTAAAAGTAAACAACAACCATTGGTGCCATTTGGAACTCTTGCCACCACTGTAGCTATTATCTTGGCTACCAAATCTATTAGACAAAAGGATCGTATCAATACACAGAAGTATTTCAGATATAGAGTTGGATTCCAAGCATTCACATTGGCTGCATTAGTCATTGGTGGATGGTACTACCAATCCGAAACAGAACAGCAAAAGATCACAAGAGAAGAAGCAATGAAGGTTAAGGCTAAAGCCAGAGAAAAGTTATGGATCGAAGAACTAGAAAGAAGAGATGCCATCATTCAAGAAAGAAAGAAACGTCTTGAGAGCTCTAAATCTGAATTGAAACGGGTGGCTGAAGAAGGCTTCAAGAGTGAAGAGTCCAAATAAGCTTGTATAGTTTGAACTTGTATATAGATATATGGTAGTATGAATAAATACGTTATTAAGAATAAAATTGTAATTATTGAATATTCTAAACCATTTATTTTCAATCTATTTATACCAAAGCATTGGTACATTAATTCTAACCTAACTCTAAAATAAAGTTTTCACTCATGCAATAGCTTTCAATGATGCTACAATGGCTTCAATCACTGCTTTAAGATCAGCTCCATCATTTTCAGTCACAGAAATACCCATATGACCGATTCTAATATATCTGGTGCTGATTTGAGGATGAATCCCACCAGCTAAGTTGATCTTATATACACTGGAAATGTGACTCAACAAAGATGGAACATTAGTACCTTCAGGAACATATAAGGCTGTCATACCTGAACAAGCATCTTCAGGAGCAACAACCACATTCTTCAAACCAGTTTCTTTAGTGACCAACTTTTCTCTTAACAATTTGGCATGGCTTTCGTGTTTGACAAACCGTTCCACCAAAGCTTTGGGTAATCCAGAAACTGTGTCTATTTCAGTTATATCACCTAAAATCTCCGTCAACGAAGTATTCAATGCCATAATCAATTGTGACAGGGGTGTGGCAAAATACGAAGGCTTGCGGTTTTCATAGTTAACCATGATAGGTAACCATTTGTCTAAGGAAGAATAAAAGGGTTTCTTCTTCTTATACTTGGAGTTCAAATCAATAGCACGTTGACTTAAAAAGGAAACCAGTAATCCAGCGGGAGAGCTGAGAGCCTTCTGAGATGCCGTAAGTACATAGTCTAATTTCCAATTATCAAATTGAATCTCTTCAACTCCAACTGAACAAACACCATCTATGGCGATCATTGTAGAGGGACTCACTTGGTGGACCAACTCACTAATAGCCTTAACATCGGTTAAGACACCAGTAGAAGTATCGGTTTGGGTTAATGTAATCCAGTCATATTTCTTTGAAGCTAAAGCCTTTTTAATGCTATTCAATGGAACTTGTGCTCCAATAGTATCCGGTCTCAAGATGTCTACTTGAGTGGATTCATTATCCACATAATTGGATAAACATTGGACCATAGAATCAGAGAAAAACCCAGTAGAAATACACAAGATGTTACTAGTTGAACTATTGATCAAATTAGATCCCAAAATGTCCCAGCCCAAGGTACCAGACCCACTGAGAACCAACGCTTGTCCACCATTAGTTTCTTTATTGTTACCTATGAGAATACGCAATTTCTTCAACACTTGATGGAATATTTCAACAAACTCAGGCGAAGTGTGTACCAATGGGCTCAGAGACATGCTCTGTCTCACAGCTTCACTAATTTCCACTGGGCCAGGCACCATAGAAACCTTTCTAGTAGCCGTAATAACATTTTGATCACGAAATACTGGACCTTGGTTACTATTCAAACTATTCAAAGATAACAATCTTGGAGTAGAAGAAGAAACAGAATCTCTGTAAAACACACTGTTAATGTATTTTTCTCTTTCAGCAGCTGGTAGTAAAGGAAACTCCGAAACTTTCCGCTGTTCATTACTTTGATGAAGATGACCACCAATGAGGTTCAATCTACATCTTGCTGAACTCATTGTCTTACCCCCCAAAAAGTTTTGTTGTTGGATTTGTTTAAGAAGTGGTTGAACACAGTTAGATCTTACGCTGAACCTGTTACTATTGACTCTGGTACTATAATTTTTCACTTTTATCCATCGTCATACGGTATAGTCCATCTTCCATAAGTCATCATGTCACATGACCAGACGTAGTTGATCTCAAAAAAGTAATTAAATCCGGAGCTTAGATCAATTGTTATCATATGGAACAATAGAGGATCTTGACCTCAAGTACTAAAAGATTAATTGGCTATATCTTACTTATTACTTTTGTTGTTAAAAAATAGCAGTCCCTTTTGTAACCTTGTTAACTATAAAGTTTATAACTAGTGAGCTCTTTGATCATTCAATGAAGGGTTACTCGTATTGATGGTTGATTGTTCAATGTTCTCACCATTGATTTCTCCGAGGAAATCATAAAATTGATCCATCAAGTTGATTATACCATGATTGCTTGAGTTTGAAGTTGATGATGAAGAAGAAGAATTGTGATTGGAAGGTGCATCGGAATATTGAGCTTGAACAGAAGTCTTGACCCGAAGTAATCCCTCTTTTTCTACCAAATCACTTAACGTATCAAGTAAGTTGTATGAAAAGTCACAATACCAACGGTGATTCCAAACAAGAAGTTTAACACAACATTCTAGGATTTTGTCGTTAAGCAGGTTAAGAGCCTTGTTGTAGTTAGCAACAATATTTGTGCTGGTACTGTTACGAGCCAATATACGTGATCTCTCTTTAATATAGCAAGTCAACATTTCCTTTTGGGAACGGGCTGAAAACCTTCCCTTCAAGGCATTGGAAAATGCCACTGAACCTTCCTTGAAATGCTTCAATCTAAATGCAAGTTGACCCAACAATTCCCATTCTAAAGTAGTCTTCTTAAATTCCATTTGCTGTGCCTTGAAATGAACATACTCAGCTTGCCAAACAGTATAAGCCCTCAAATCTTCGTACAATAACATAAACAAATTGTCCAACCATCTTTCACATAAACGTTTCGCTTTAAAATCACCATTGGCTTGGGTGAGGTTCACTTCTGTCTCTCCATCAGATAATACCTCTACAGTTTCAGATTCATTTGCAACATCAGTGGGAACAGTTTCACCAGGATTCATGTTGGAAGTTTCACCATTCTCGGTACCTTCTCCATTTATTTCAGTGTTTTGATTGTCTCTCAGTGGTGATTTCACTGCAATAGTGGATGCATTATCTTCGCCTCCATTTTGTACGGAGTTTATTGAATCCTTTCTTGCCTTAGAAAGATTTTGCTTGCTATTGTTGATCTTATCCTTTCTGTACTCTTCCTCCATCACAAATACTTTTGCTCTGTATTTTAATAATGTTTCCCAACCTGTTTTGTTGACTATATCTGTCAATAATTCATAGGCCATGGCAAAAGTAGACTTCAAATTTGATGCTGGTAAACTGGCCAATTGAGGGTCCAAGTTACGTTGTTCGTAAGCTAGCTCATCATTCTGCAAACTGGAAACTTCTTCCATCGTCACATCAATAGGAGAGGGCAAATGTAAATCTTCTCCACCTCCTCTCAAAGGAACAACCCTCTTAAGTGCAAAATTTTCCTTATGAGAGTTCATAGGGCATGAGTTCAATGTAAGCAACGCGTTTTCGTAATCACGAAGATTAGTATAAACTTTAACGAGCATGGCCCACGAAACAAAATCTGACGGTGAGGACTTCACTGCTTGCTTGGCCAATTCAAGTGCCAAGTCATTTCTTCCCTTGTCAACACAGAATTGAGCTTGTATCAATAAAAGATTGGCGTCTCTTTTATCTTTTTGAACTGCATCGTATACAAGGTCAATAGCCTTGATTTCTTCATCTTTCATAAGATATACTTTGGCCATTATTGAAACCACTGTTGGTTCCTTTTCTCTTAATCTTTCAAGGACTTCGAGTGCTTCATCATAGTTTTTAACTAATTTAACCAATTTCAAGAACGCATCAACCAAGTAGTTATTAACGTATGTGGGTTGGGGAATTTCAACACAACATCCAAGTTTAGGGCCATCAAAAAATAACTTTTCAAAACCAGTGACAAAAGAATCAATAACTGTATGTGGACTAATGGAAAAAGGGTTCAATTTTCTTACTTCCACAAGACCACCTAAACGAGAAACGTCATCATCTTCAGTATCCAAAAGACTTCGTACCAAACCACTGACATAAGTTTCTTGCCAGAACGCTTCTAATTCATCTTTACTCAATTTATCCAGGACTAGTTTCCCATCAGCACTTACAACTGAGCTTTCAATTTTACCAGGGATATGAACCGTGACTCTCATATCAACTTTGGAAAACGCATTATAACTGCAATAGCTTATCTGAGGAACTTTCCAGTGTTTTTTTTCACCAAACCAATATTGAGCTTTTGCTGTTATCAACGTGGCCAAACTCTGTAAATGAGCAGCAATAGATGCAGCATTGGAAGTATCAACACCAGTGAAATACAAAAAAGTTCCAATTTCTGCATTCTTCTTCGATGTTACTGATTCCTTATAAATATTACATAAATCTGCTGCACCTAAATCATTGAAAGATTGTAATCTGCTTGTACGCTCTATCAATGAGGAGCCCAAGTACTCTTCACGAGCTCTGATATTTGTTTGTTAGTACAACGAATCCTGTTATTCCAATCCTTTTTGTTAACATACTCTGGGATAGAAGCCATTGATGGTTGAAGCATTGTTTAACTAGTTAAAGATGTTGTGCTTATAGTTTGTTGTTACATTACGTACCGTGCTGTTAAATCAAAAAACACTAAAAAAATGAGCCTCAATTGGTGCTACCATAATATCCGCTTGTGACAACAACCAAAGGGCTAATAATGAACCGTTAATAGTTGTATTATATCATTAAACATTCTATTATTTTACATCAGGGCTACATAGAAACCACATATTATACAGAGAAATGAACTTGATGTCATATATCATGATTGGATGACATTTATCAGCAAAAATAAAAATCACACTGTTTGCTGATACTATGCTTTTACTCAAGATCATATTCGAACTTTAACTTTGAGTTTGACTTCAAAGACGAACCCCTCTTTTAACTTGAGTACTTGTTCTTATTCTTATTCTTATTCTTATTCTTGCTCATGATGAAATTGATTACTATTGGCACTAGTGGTGGCCAAGCACCAGCTAACGCGATTGTTGTCGTTATTATTGCTTCTGCTTCTTCTTCTTTGATTCATCTTCTGGTTCATCGTAAATATCGTCCCAATCTCTGGCAGTCAAGCAGTATTTTTCTGGAGGTAAATTTAAACCCCATTTGGGAATTATTGCTGGCAACGATTTAGCATTACGTTCATGAGCAAGCTCTAACATTAGCTCTTTGGGTGGGGCTGGCTTAAATTGATAATTGGCAGCAGCAGCTATGGCAAGACGTATATCATCAGTAGTAACTGTAGTGTTTGCATTAGAGTTCAAATTGGTATTTGTATTGAGTGGTTTAGCATGATCATTGTATACCAAAGCATCCTTCAATATAGAGCGGGTGTATCTGTGGGCAAAATCCATTAGTTGTAGCGGCACATGGTCTTGATAATGATGTATATTCTGTGTAGCAAAGATTAGGTTCAACAACCGTACATCTCTTGGAGTGACATTGGTTGATGACCCGTTAGAAGTAGCGCTAGCCCCTTCATTGGTTCCACTAGCTGCCGTACTGGGTGCACCACCTGCTGTAGTAGATATATCTGAGTTGATGACTTGATTATCACTGGTCATCTTCTAGTTCCACTAGTAAAGAGAAGGTTGGTTTTAAGGTTGTAATGTTTTTCCACTTGAATTAGTTTGGTGCGAACCATATCGAGTTCGACACTATCATGTTTGACCAACTACAAGGCAAAATTATACATATATGTAGACAGTTACAATGAACAATTATACTCCATAGGGGTTCTTGATGTAGCTGTTGTTATCTTCTTGATAGTAGTTTCAAATCTTTTCCGTTTCTTACTTTCAGCTATTCAATTGACTACATGGTTTCAACACAAACAACTCACGTTTTGTATACTATTTATCTTAGTCTTTGATGTATAGCGTGGAAAAGATCCTTGTCTTAAATAACTTATATAAATATTAATTGTAGGTATTAAAATTCATTCATTTCTGTTGAATTTGTTCTAATCATGCCATGATAATAAAATTGGAGGAAAAGTATTTCTCTCAATTCCTTATCTTTCTTTGTGCACTATAAAGCCATGTCGGTAACAGTCCAAGATGATGATATGGATATAAAGATCCCAAACGATGTCAATGTAATCTCTCCGTTCTCAGTGTTTTCGCCATCTGTCGAAGACCCCACCGCCAGGGCCCTTATAGTGCTAAACCAATCCCTCAAGAATGTTCCCAGGTTTCTCACTGTCTGGCAAGGTTGTCTGATTCATGTGTGTGCTGACGGTGGAGCCAATAGACTTTACGATTACTTCGATTCTGAAGAAGAACGTAAGCAGTACATTCCTTTATATATTGTGGGAGATTTAGATTCACTCCATAAATCAGTTCGTGAGTACTACGAAAGACATGGCACTAGGGTAATAGAGCAAGCGACACAATTTGCGACTGACTACATGAAAGCATTGATGTTAGTTCAACTCCAGTTGTATAATCCTACTATTATAAAGGGTCCCATCGATACCCATGATGAAATTGAAGTATTGTATCAGAAACATATTGTTAAAAACCTGACAGTTGCACCAAAACTTAATCTCTATGTGTTTGGCGGTATAGGGGGTCGTTTTGATCAAACAGTTCATTCCATAAGTCAATTGTACAAGACTCATGAAATTCACCCGTCAATTCAGCAATTCCACATCACCAAATCTGAAATGATTTTCCTTTTACCAGAAGGTTCTAATGCTGTAATTTATTCCAACAAAACAGCATTTAATTCTCGAGACAGAGTTCCAATTTGTGGTTTACTTCCACTAGGATCAGGTGAAGTTGAGCTCACGACATTTGGTCTCAAATATGATGTCACAGATTGGCCCAGTTCAATGCTTGGAAATGTTAGTTCAAGTAATGGTGTTTCGGGAACCAACGGATTTTTAGTACGGTGCAGAAAGGGTCCCATCACCATTAATATAGAATTGGCCTTTGATCCATAGCTAAGCTTAACAGTTATAGAATATTATAGACTTCCCAATTAAGAAGTCTGTGTCCAAGAATTCGCGTTTTGCTTGTAGATTCTGCAATTCAACCTGCAACGAAAAAAAATTTTCGAACTAACAAAACCTGCCTTAGTTAACCGGAGTGTAACAGTCGGTCAACCAAACTATAAAAGACGATGTTCAGATCGATTATAACCAGGAGGGCCATGCCTATTCTGTGGATGTCAGTAAGAACGTTTGTTGTCCAAAGAAACCCTATTGCTGTCATTAACACATTACCAGTCTGGGGATTGAAATCACCCATTGACAAAAGATTCCAAATTAATGATTCAAATACAAGATCTGGATTGAGTGACGTTGAACTCCCAAGTAATAGCATTCTTGATAAGATATCGAATGAAAATTGGGCTTCTAACGGTGCAGAGGACATGTCTTTCAGTGACAGTACAATGTACGCTGATTCTGTGTTACGGAAAAGGAGAAAGAAGATGAAGAAGCACAAGTTGAGAAAGAGAAGAAGGTCCGAACGATCATTGAAGAAGAGATTGGGTAAGATCTAAGTTTTATTCCAAAGGCAGGTACGTAAGCGTACTCATCAAACATTGTAATCATAGAATCTCTCTATGGCAATATATAAATTATATGGGGAACACATTTTCTGGTCCACTTATCTGTACATAATATAGAACTTCAAATAAATATAATCAGGATTACTTAAGTAATAGATAATTATACCCACTGGTGGTGGCTTGTTGGTTGACTCATATTTCGCACTGTAAGATTCGATGAATATTTTAACCATCAAAATCACGAGATGACTCTTCAAACTTTCCTTCCACAATTCGATTTGTTGCAAACATGTCCACTATAACTTTTGTTACAGGGAATGCTAACAAGCTAAGGGAAGTGTTATACATTCTTGCTGGTGAAAATCAAGAAGATCCCAAGGTGGGTCGTTTCACAATTACCAACAAGTCGTTAGATTTAGATGAAGTACAAGGTTCAATTGAAGAAGTGGCCATTCATAAAGCTAAGCAAGCAGCTGAAATTATTGGAGGACCAGTTCTTGTTGAAGACACATGTTTGGGATTCAACGCTTTCAATAACTTACCTGGTCCCTACATCAAATGGTTTGTGAAGGCTGTTGGATTAGATGGCCTTAATGATATGTTGTACAAATTCGAAGACAAATCTGCCAATGCTATTTGCACATTTGGGTATTGTGCTGGACCTGGTGAAGAAGTAAGGTTATTTCAAGGAATCACAGAAGGGAATATTGTTGCCAGTAGAGGACATAAGAACTTTGGTTGGGATTCTATATTTGAACCTAGGGGCTTTAAACAAACTTATGCAGAAATGGATAAAGAAGTTAAGAATACCATTTCCCATAGATACCGGGCCTTAGATAAATTGAGATCTTTCCTAATGGAACAATAGAGAGAATAGATTTAAGGCAATAGCGTTATGATGTAAAAATTAATATTGTATAAAACTATATGAAACAATGAGCGACACGAACCAGTGCATGAAAGACTGTTCAATAGATGTCACGATTAATAAAATGTAGAATAGAAAGGGAAAAGAAGAGAAGTAAAGAAAAAAATACTCTAAGTGGAAGATTTATAGCAGGCTTTCTAATGGAATAAATTCTTCAATTTGCCTACAAAATTCTTTTGATTTTGCTTCTTGAGTCTAGATTCTCTGGATTCTCCATTACTTGTAACGGCATACAAGTTAGGCACTTCCTCAGTCAGATGGGCACTTCCATGTGATCTTGTCTTTGAAACAACGTTACCTAATCCTCCTCTACCGACAGTAAATGATCTATTACTTGTAACAGATGTCAACTCTTCACCAGGAGCAGCTCCGTCAACGTCTTGTAACTTTCGAATTAATTCGGGGTTGTCATTCTTAACCATGTTTCCAAAACCGCCTCTACCAGTAGTAATGATATTGGAAGTCAACTGTGGAGTATTAGAACCTTGAGGAATTAACTTTGGTGATGGGATTTCACTAGATGATTTGATATTACCAGCACCACCTCTACCAGTAGAGTAATATATTCTCTTATCATCACTGCCAGCAGAAGTCACTTTCTTGACGGAATTGGTGGATACAGTCGGACGTAACCCATCAGTCAATTCGGTGGGATTGGAATGAATATTACCAGCTCCTCCTCTTCCGGTAGCAAATGAACCCATGACTATTTACCTTACAAACGTCAACGAAATAAATCAGTAATGCTTCAAGTACTACTCGATTTTATGTAATAAAGAAAGCAACGAAAACTTTTATAAATTGTAATCTTCTCAATGTTGAAGCTAACTTTCTCCAAATCTCAGATCACACCTATATCCCTAGGGCAAGAAAAATTAACATCTTTGTACAGTAATTTTAGTTGTACTTCCCCATAAAATACGTACAATGGGTACAAAAAGCCAACACGGCATTGGGCATTATTGGTGGCACCGCCGTACTTTTACCAATTATTTCGAGTCATACCGAAGAAAATCCATACCGAGAAAATGTGAGGATCGTTCACGTGAGAAACTTGAAGAAGGGGCAGAGACGATCATGTGACTCCCGCTATTGGCTGATACAATAATCTTGGTAGTGTGTGCAGTCTCTGATAAGGCAAGTGAAGTAAGATAACGATAAAAGATGTTTAATCAGATAATGCTTCTCGTTCGCTACTATGTGTTATCGAGGTAAGATAAGCTCATGTGTGTTTTTTTTCAGTCGCAAGCATAAATAACTTTCAGTAGAGCTTGCAATAGATGGTATGAGCAGCTGGAACCATCAAATAAAGTAATGGTACCTCATTAATTAATTAATTAAAAATGCCCATGTGGCTAAACAATTTTGATCTATCCACAGGTGATATCTTTTATTTAAATAGGATGTATCTCTATCATAGGTATGTTTTAGCCTCATACATTAATTTCAAATTAAGTTTTATTAGACTCATTTGGACCATCATTTTGAAGAACATAATAAAGTGCAGCTTCTAATTGGTGTAAGTCAAGCAACAGCAGCTCATCAATGGCATTAGAATCGTCATGTTTGGTATCAGTAGAGAGTTCAGCTTTGACTACTGCACTTTTTGAAGGATTCTCTGGCTCAATAATGGTAATCGGTTTTTCTTCTATAGTTGCTTTTTGTTTTTGTTTCCGCTTACTATAGGCAACAACTTTTTTAGTCGTATTTTTCACTTTGACCCATTTCAGCATTAACGAACTAACGGCATTTACTGTAGTAGTAACTGGCATGATTTTAGGAAGCAGCTCAAACAGAGTTGGCGGAGGGCAAGGAGGTGGATGACGAGGTTGAAACGCGGAAACACTCAGTATACGAGGTGATGTAGAATGTGATAATATTGGTTTACTAATATAGGCAATTTTATTTATCTCTAAACTTGTGATATCACCTTTTAATCGTTTGGTTCTAATTTCACCAGGACCAAATGTTTTTGGTAATATTCTCTTTGATTTCTTCGTATCAACCATAGATACAGTAAAGAAAATCTGTGATAGAAAGAGTTAGCTGAATCTTCTTGAATGCTATTCGACTTAAGGGATAGGGAGTTAATTGCAAAACATTAATGGGTTAAATTTGAGGTGATATGACCACTCACATCTTCGAGTAGGGGATGGGGGATTTAACTACACAGTTATTTGATAAATCAGAACAAAACGACACAGCACTGAAACACATATATATCAATAACAAACACTTATGATAAGATGCTCCCAATACATTTTGCAATTACTAACGAACATGGAGATAATGATTTATAACGAATTACATATTCAAACGAATGATACCTCTGTTCTATTAATTCAGCTAAAATACGATTAAACTACTCTGTTTAAGATTCAAGTTGAACACCATCAATGGAACAATAGAAGCGATTCTTTGTTCCTGAATACTATTGTTAAAACTTTAGTACACCTTAACGTGGCTGAGAACAAACTTGGACCTTAGGAAATATAATTAGGCTATAAGGTGTTTTGTTAGCCGTGAATTCCTTTTCCTGCTACACAGCCTCAAGGGCCATCTTGTGTTGTATTGGTTCTTGATGCATGGTTGATTTCTTTTCATGTAACGAATTCGAGCCATTCGCAAAGTTTCGTTGAATTGGTCCCGTGAAAAAAAAGTAACCACTAAAGCCGTTTTGCCCAAACGAATTTTAATCAAGTCGTTTAACACGTTTGGCTCAAAACCAATCTTGGACCTTTAATACCAACTGGGAACACTACACAGTCCTTACTTAGTTGCTGACAGAGATTTTGACTGCAGAATAGACTAATAACAACAGCCACAATAACTCCAAAAGATTTCGGCACTGCCTCGATTCTTTATTTGCAAATTACGCCGTCAATTCATACCGTATAATCAAAACCTAAACTAAACCGTTCGTTAAGTTGAAGCTACGAAACGAATATATTCTTCAATAATTTAATCAAACTTATGCTACTATCCGAGATAAAAGACGTTTAGAATTGAGTTTTTTTCCGGAAGAGAATGCTATATAGTTTGCAAAATGAGAATAGATGCTTCGACATCAAAAAGGATTCGTGAGATTCCAATCTGCTGTTGTGATTAATGAAATTGCTTTCTAAACCAGCTTATTATACAGGTTCAAAAGCAACTTTAAGTGGAGGAATTCTCGGTAGCAATCATAAAGTACCTGGTGGGTTCCACATACACACCTCTCTTTGAAAAATTTCTTTATGATTGACTGGTTGCGAATATCGCGAATAGTCCTACTGCAGAAATCGAAATGGACACAAGTCGGGAATCCGGTGTTAAAATTGAGGTGGTGGGGGTTAAAAGGCAAAAACGACATAGAAGAAACTAAATCCACATGGTTTCAATTATGAATTTCTTTTATGGGACAAAACCCATACAATTTATGCTCCTATCGAGTACCTATTTTTGGATAACACACGCGAATCCAAACTTCTGTCAAAATACGTTTTCGGTCTAACATATTTAAGGGACCGTTCCCCTGAGTCAAACTGACAAATGTAAATTATCTGTTTCTTTCTTATTTAATTACAGTTTTTGAATTATTCAATCTTAATAAATCCTTTTAGAATGCAATTCAAATACGTTTTCGCCGCTGCTGCCGCCGTTGCAACTGTCCAAGCTGCTAACAATTCTTCTTCTTCAACTGCTTCAGGTGCTGCTGCTGCTGTCGACGTGAAGGTTGGTGCTGTTGCCGGTATCGCTGCTGCTGGTTTCGCTGCTTTGATTATGTGAATCAACATTTCAACCTAAATGGTTGTGTCCTATTCGCCTATGCTTATATAGAGGTTTGCTTTACAAAAAATGTTTAATACACCTTAATAATTTAATTGAATTTTTTACACTAGCTCAAAACTATGTAGAATTTAACATGAACCCTCCTCTGTTGGGGCTCAAAAATTATTTCTCAAACATTTATTAATCGATACTTGGTTATTTCGGGACCCTCAATATCCCCTTAAGTGGAGGAATTATAGGGGTAAGACCTAAAGATTCTTTAGCCAAGTTATTTTCCTTGTGGTTGGTTCTCCACTTGAGGGGGTTATTCTCTTGGTCAGAGTCATAGCTCCCTGTTTGTTCTCGAGAAATATAACCCCTATCTTGATAATCAATTCCATCACTAGGTGGTATTGTTTGAGAACTCTCTAAAATTAAGGCTTCTAATTTATCCACCAAAATCGTTTTACGGAATTCATAAAGGTCCAACTGATGGTTGAACCTCATAACATCAAGTAAAAGCCGGGAAATACTATCCTCATCTGTGTCTTGTTCATATTCGTGCTTTAGTTGTTCTTCCTCGTACCTACTCCTCCTACAATCATCGGAAGGGCCCGCACTACCCCCAAGTTCACTGAACTGTGGAACTTTCAAGTTTCGTAATAAGCGCAAAATCTCTCCTGGGTCTGATGGAGCCCTACATAATTTATAACTATAACTAGGTGAAACGATCATCCGAAGCGGGTTACAGGTTGTACCTCCATTGAATGGATTCTTTTTTCTACGGATTCCTGGTGATGGTGATGGTATAGGTGTTGATCTAAATTGGGGGGTTCCAAGCAACCGTTCCTGTATGGGGGATTCTAAGTCCTCGGTGCAGATCTTCCTTATTTCTCTGGAAATAGGATTTTCTACTGAAGAATTGGATTCAAAGTCGCTTTCCAGTGGCATCGATTCTGGTTATATGAATTCTAATCGGTATACTAGTAAAGAGGTTACAGCGGCTGTAGATAAGAAAACCTTTTGTATTGAAGGTTCGAATTTAAGGCTTGAACTTTTGATTTTGGTGCACGTCCTTTTTGGGGCATCGCAATAAAATTTGGTAATGAGATGACTTAACATACTAAGAATGCTGATACTAAATTAACCTTAGAAACTCAGTAAGACATTGATATAAGAATTACCATAACGTGTACATATAATCCTCTTCCACTACTACTTCTAGTTCAAGTTATAATATGGGAAAGGTAAAGAAAACAAGAAAGTTTGCGTTAGTCAAACGTACTTTGAACAATAAAGACAATCGCATAAAGAAGAATCAAGAAGAATTCAAGAAGAAGACCGCAGTTGCTAAAGATGACCCTGAACTTACAAGATCCGTACCTCAAGTATCATCAGCCTTATTTTTCCAATATAATGAAAGTATTAAACCCCCATATCAAATCCTCATAGATACCAATTTCTTTAACTTTTCCATCCAAAAGAAAATCGATATTGTTAGAGGCTTCATGGATACCCTCTATGCCAAATGTATCCCTATGGTGACAGATTGTGTTATGGCAGAATTAGAAAAATTAGGTCCAAAGTATCGAATAGCTTTGAAACTCGCTAAAGATCCTCGTATAAAGCGTTTAAGCTGTTCCCACAAGGGTACATATGCCGATGACTGTTTGGTTCACAGAGTTTTACAACATAAATGTTATATCGTTGCCACCAATGATGCTGATTTGAAAAGAAGAATCAGAAAGGTCCCTGGTATTCCTATCATGAGTGTTGGTGGTCACTCATATGTCATTGAAAGATTACCTGATGTTTTCTAAGGTTCGCATTTATCAATCATATCAATTATATTCCAGATTAGTATCGTTAATGCAATTATATTATAGTATATATATTATCGTATGCATGTAGTGTTTCCTTACGCTTTACCGGTCAATGGTCGCCGGAAACGGAGAACCAAATCACCCTACTTACGGATGACAAAAGTAATAAACATAGTCGGTTAAACCCTCGGAACTGTTCCGGTTCTTGAGTGTTTTCTGAAAATTTTTAAGACACACTTAGTCAAGGTAATCGATTTTGAATTCTACTTTACATTGAGTCTTTAACGGCTGCAACTCCAGAGATCATGTCGTCCAAACTCAAGATTTTAGTCCCTGTCAAGAGAGTAATTGATTTTGCTATCAAACCCAGAATAAACAAAGCCCAAACAGGTGTTGAAACTAAAGGGGTTAAGTTTTCCATGAACCCTTTCTGTGACATTGCATTAGAAGAGTCTTTAAGAATAAAAGAAGCCAACAAGGGATTGGTTGAAAAGATTCACGCAGTTTCTATTGGACCTACCAAGGCTCAAGATATTTTGCGGACCGCACTAGCTAAGGGTGTTGACACTACAACTTTAGTTGATGTAGGTGAAGAAGAAGTGGAACCATTACAAGTAGCTAAGATCTTGAAGAAGGTTGTTGAGAAGGAAGACAGTAACATTGTTATTTTGGGTAAACAAGCCATTGATGACGACGCTAACCAAACAGGTCAGATGCTTGCTGGTTTGTTGAATTGGCCACAAGCAACCAATGCTTCTAAAGTTGAATTTTCAGGTGATGATGTCATTATAACAAGAGAAGTTGATGGTGGTGCTGACACATTAAAAGCCAAGTTACCAGTTGTGATCACCACTGACTTAAGATTGAATGAACCCAGATATGCTTCCTTACCTAACATCATGAAGGCCAAGAAGAAGCCATTGGAGAAATTAAAGCCTGCCGACTTGGGCATAGAATTGGCAAAGAAATTGGAAACCTTAAAGGTGGAAGAACCACCAGTTAGAGAGCCTGGTGTAGTCGTAGCAAGTGTTGATGAGTTGGTTAGTAAATTGAAGGAATTCAAGGCCATATAAACTTCACCTTCCTCTTTTTTATGGTTCTGCGTATTGCTACCATACAATATGGTTAAGTATATCGTTATAATAAAATGGTAACAAAAAAGTCGCACCAGCTTTCTTCCCAGTAAACTCCTCTCTTAAATAGCATGGATACCTTAGGCGTAACCATCGAGTTTCTCGATGAATACATTAAGAAGCATGACTTTACGACCAAACCTTTAGTAGTAGGTGTTTCTGGTCCTCAAGGGTCAGGGAAGCTGTATTTGAGTGTTCATTTACAAAAGGTTCTCACGGAGAAGTACCCTCAATATCAAACTATCCAATTCCTGATGGACGATTTGTATCTTACCCATGAAGATCAGAATCAATTGAACTTGACTAATGAGAATTCACTTTTACATGGTAGAGGGTTACCAGGTACGCATGATTTGGTGCTTGGTGAATGTTTATTTAGCAGTATCCGAAATGAACATTGTCCAATACAATTTCCCATCTATGATAAACTGAGATTCAATGGCAAAGGTGATCGTTCTGAATCGACTGTAAAAATAGATAAACCTGTCAATATTGTTATTTTTGAAGGTTGGTTCAATGGATATACAGCATTGGATGATACTCAACTAAAGCTTGCGTATTTTGGAAACCCCAATCTATGGGATTATAAATTGTATGAAGTGGAAGAAGTGAATAGATATTTAAGGCTATACCACAACATTTGGGATCAATTTGATGTATTTGTCAATATAAATGCAGCTAACATTGTTGAAAATGTCCTACATTGGAGAACTCAACAAGAGCATATGCTAATCTCACAAACGGGTGTTGGTATGTCTGACGAACAAATTAAGGTGTTTCTCAAGCGTTATATGCCTATTTATGCGCTCTATTATAATGATTTATGTGGTGGTGGTAATAATAATTCTCCTACTATACAACTTCATATTAATTCAGATCGTGTATTAATTTCCCATACCATAGCTAATTGAATTGGCCCACTCCTTCTCAACACCAGAATTTATAAACTCTATAAATGAAGGATCTGCTGCTAAGAGCTTGCTTCTCTTCTACAGCTTCTTGTCTGATTAAATCAGTATCGATATTAACTCTGCCGGTATCAACATCAATGAATTCAGCCTTAATCCATAGTCTGAGACTTTTCTTCCATATCTTGTATCCTACCCAAGATGCTAATAACACTGGGAATCCCAAATATGAGATGAAGAACCCATATGCACTTGGCTTTCCACCTAATGGGAATAAGGCAATCCAAAATTGAGCTATGAGTACTAAGATATTGATTGCAAGTCCATAATATGAACCCCAGATTCCTGCCTGTGAACGATATGGTAACTCCGATAAATCTCTACCTTGGGATCTCATTGCTGCTCTAAATCTAATGTGAGAAACATTGATAGAAATCCATGTAAATATGGAAGATAACCCAGACAATGCCAATAACCAGTTGAAAATCTCTTCTTGTTTGTTACTTGCGGAGATCAATGCCAACAATCCAAAGATATCGGTAGCCAAAATAGCTACAAGCGGTCTACCAGCTCTATCGATGTATCCAGCCCATTTAGGTGCCATTCCTTGTTCTGCCAAAGAGTTCAAAGATCTAGAAGTGGCATAGACGGACGCATTTCCAACTGACAAGACAGATATGAGAATTACAGCATTAATGACTGAAGGTAAGCCTTTCACCCCACCATTAACAATGGCAATCACAAATGGAGAAGCTGTAGCATCAACAGATGATGAAGCATTCATCAATCTAGAATCGTTATAAGGGACAAGTGTGGAAATCATAACCAAGGTACCCATATAGAAAATACTAATTCTCCAGAATACTTGTTTTATTGCCTTTGGAAGAGTCTTTCGAGGGTTGGGTGTTTCAGCAGCAGTAAGACCGATCATTTCAGTACCACCAAATGAAAACCCAGCAGTAACAAATACCGAGCAGACTCCCTTGAACCCGTTGGCAAAGGGACCAGGATTCTGCCAGTATTTTCCACCTACAAATTCATTTGAGGGACCCCCACCACATATCAATACGATTGATAAGATAATAAAGCCCACTACCGTAACAACTTTGATCATAGAAAAAATAAACTCGGCTTCTCCATACCATCGAACTCCAAGCAAAGTAATGAGCACAATAACTAACCAAAAAATAATGACAAACACATTTGAATTGATATCTTTGTTCCAGTATTTGATAGTGATGGCACCAGCAACAAGTTCCAATGGAAGCAAGACGAAAAATTGCATAAAATAATTCCACCCTACTGCAAATCCAGCACTTGGTTCTATGAAACGAGATGCATAAACATTAAAGGACCCGGACACTGGAAATGTTGTAGAAAGTTCACCTAATCCTTGAATGGTTGTATAGACTGCTGTTGCCATAATAAACCATGCAATCATAATACCACCAGGACCACCTGTATTTAATGCAGATCCAGATCCAACAAAAAGGCCGGTACCGATTGAAGATCCTATACTTATCATTTGCAAATGTCTATTTTGTAACTTTCTGTTCAATTTGGAGTTTGCTGAGTTGATATTAATACGTTCAAGATCGCTAAGGGAATCAGCATTCTCGCTATTCACATGTGCATTGGTAAGAGTTTCTGTTTGAAGGGCTGGTTTGAAGGAATCTTTAAATTTATCCCAAACTCCAACAGAAGTTATGGCTTCTGTTGTAGGAGCAGATAATGTGGTTTCTTGTGCATAGGAAATTTCACTCTTTAACTCTTTAGTAGCCATTATTATTATATATATGATTAATTAATACCCCATTTGGTGCACTTTAATACATCTCTACGACTTTTACTGTATATTTATAGAATTCTACTTGCATGGTACGTTAACTCATCGTTCCAGACATCGTAAACGGAAGCTGCAAAATTATAGTCAAGCTAGAATAAAAATTGCGTTTTGGATGTGTCTTATACAAAAAACACCGTACCAATTCTGTAGGTATGACTCAGTTTACACCAGAGCCTTGAGAAACTTTGTAATGGCATCCGATGCCCTGCCTTGTATTTGTATAGTAGTAAGCTTATAGCATTGATCGAATCCTACATACAGCGTAAATGGAAACTCACCGCGGACTTAGGATAGATTGTTTGATCCAGAAACGGCAGGTGTATAGAACAATTCAACCCTTGCACTTCAACTCTCGCCGTGAAACGGAAGTTGTACCACTAGTTGACTCACGTAGATGAATAAACTTAAAGCACCATCTGATGACAGACCATCTTATTTAGTAAAGTTATGTCTTGAAAAAGAAGATGGGGGGTTATTGTAGCTTCCTGTTTTCTTCATGGTACTTGCTAAAGTACGTAGAACATTACACACTTCATCCTGGCCAGCAGCAATAGATCTATTTGCTCTTTCCACCTCCACCACTCTGGGAACAAGGATCAGAAGAAACTCTTTAATGTCACGGGTTGACTCTGTAGCGGCCATGTCACATATTGCTGATAGTTTCTCCCAGGGGAAGAATTTATCCAAATCCAGAGCCGTGGATTTGGAGGACGACTTGGACTTGGGTTCCAAGGAGTTGATTCTTTTCTCCAATACAGCTATTTTGTTGTATAATGAGGAGGTTAGCTTATCGGAGACATCCATTTGTTTTTTAATTGATTGTAACTGACCAGACATATCAGTTATTAAAGCTTGTAACAGGTTCAATTGGTCACTAACATTGTTTATTAGCTCAGCTACCTTGTGATCAGAAAGATGAACTTTCTTATTTTTTTCCTTATTGAGTTCAATAAGACTTAGACACTCCACTTCCAAGCGTGCTGCCCATTCGAGTAGTTGTTGTTGTTCAGATGTAAAGGACCCTTCAACAGACATGGAGTGGCTTATAGTGGAAGAATTCGATAGCATTTATATTCTGTAAATTTGAGGAAATATATGTGTGTGTGTATGTGTGGATGTATAAGGTTCACCGGAAGTACTGGTGTTTACTTTATTGGTGATTCCTAAAGAATATAAATGACTGCAAAAATAATGAAACCATACAAACTCCGTCTACAGATTCGATTCGCGTGCGCACCTGAAAAATCCGATGATGGGAAACATTCATTTCCCAAAAGCGCCATTGTAGACGCCAATAACATCGTTTAAACCCAACTCGGTGGTAAACCTGTGGTGTTGTATTGTTACTTTACAATTGAAACAGCATCTAGTTGCTGATATACGTGGAAGCAAAGAGAATTCTGTTATGTCTGATCTTAAACCATTTGTTGATAGTATGTTCTAAGTTCACCGATAGTTATTGGCATTGATAATTTTGTAACTACAAGTTATAATCTGAAATACTAACCATTATTCAGAACAAGTGAGAATTCTCACTACAGATGCTCGACTTTTAGAAGGGGTCCTTGCTGGATATGATAAGTCCACCAATGTAATCTTACTTGAGTGTTCGGAGTGGATCATGGGTGGTGGAGAAGATGCCCAAGAGATTGAACTTGGGGTGTACGTGATTCGTGGAGATTCGGTTGTTTGTGTGGGAGAAATTGAATCTAAAGTCGACTGGACAACTATCAATACAGCATGTGAACTCAAAGGTACAAAAAATCCATTATGAAAAAAGTACAGTTTGTTTATTATTATTTATTAAAAGGGGGGAGTTATTCAGATGTTCCACGAACTAAAGGAATACCTGCTAACTTCATTTTAACAGCCAACTCTAAAAGGTAATCCAATGCCTCATTATAAACTTTGGCCTTCCAAACATCCTCACCCCACACATAGATCCCATGTCTTCTTACAAGAACAGCAGTGGTACCAGGATAGTTTTTTATGGCCTCTTGCAAAGAATCTGTCAAATCTTCTTCGTAAGGAGTGTTCTCAATGATTGGAATCACTAATGTGTCATGATAATCCATACTTCCAACTTTCTCAACTACTTTAGTCTCGGGGTTAATTGCCAATCGAGGAAGTGCCTTAATTTGTTCAATGTGTGACATAGAGAATTCAACCTTGTCTTCATAAAGAAGAGTTGTCATGACGGCATTCTGTGAATGTGTGTGGATACAAGCTCCAGCATCACGTAAAGTATAACATGACATAAATAATGGTGTACAGGCAGATGGTTTGTACTTGTACTTTTTCGTCAATTCTTCAGGACATTCATTAGGAGTTCTTAACAATTGCTCATTTCTACGATCAACGACAAACATTTCCCATGGTTGTAACCGTTCCTTTTGAATACCCGATGGTGCAATGTATACAACATTAGGGTTGGCACCTTTGACATCTCTGATTGAAATACCACCACCAGTACCTGTTACCCAGTTATTATCATAAAATAACCGACATAATTCACAGATTAGGTTTGCAGGATGGTTTGGATCTTCCAAATTTAAGTATTTGTCGTCCAACTTGACCTTTTGTGCTTCACTTTTACAGAAACAGGAACTCATATTGAAAAGTAACGCAATTAGTATTCAAACTCGAGTATTATCACTCTTTTGTGTTTTAATTGTACCCTGAAGTATCAAGATCGATTGTGGATGCAGAAAAGTCGATTGTGTGCAATGGTTAAAATGGCCCATGTGCATCAACAACGATGGGATACAAGTTCAGTTTGCCGTGCTACCATGTTATTGCGCTACCATATTATATGTTGGATGTGGATTTTTCAAGCATGACTTTTTTCGACCAACTGATAAAGAAGTAGGAGGGGCAATAGCCCAAAGACCCTAAAGAAACTAACGGAGAGAACGTTGTCCTATCCGAGAATTTATTGTTTCTGGTTATATTAAATTTGGTATAATGTCGCTTGAAAACTCTCTTTTTCAATTAAAGTTTACAGCCAAGCAGTTGAACAGACAGGCTGTAAAAGCGGCTAAGGAAGAAACTAATGAGAAAGCCAAGGTTAAAAAAGCCATGATGCAAGGAAATAATGATATCGCCCTGTTGTATGCTCAGAATGCTATTCGTAAGGCTAACGAGAGAGTTAACCTTCTCCGTTTAGCTTCAAGAATTGATGCAGTTGCATCACGAGTACAAACAGCTGTTACCATGAGAAGTGTAACAGGAAACATGACCCAGGTCATTCGTGGTATGGACAAAGCATTGCAAACTATGAATTTGGAACGGATTTCAATGGTTATGGACAAATTTGAGAATCAGTTTGAAGATTTGGATAGTTCAACTTCATATTATGAACTGGCAACCAACAATGTCAATGCCTTGACCACTCCACAAGAACAGGTTGATGAATTAATGAACCAATTGGCTGATGAAGCAGGTATTGAATTGAAACAAGGTCTTAATGAAACAAAGGTTGACATTATATCACCCCCTACAAAGACCCAAGTTTCAGAAGAGAAGGAAGATTTATTAGCTGAGAGATTGAGAGCATTACGGAACTGATCTACATCTAATTCGAAGGTTTGAAATTAGTTGATCTGCATTATAGAGATGTGCATTTTAGACCAAGTTGGGTCTAAAGATTTTGTTTTTGTATTATTGACTTTTTTGGGTTGTACAGAGAAGAGAATATAGGTAAAAAATTGATATTATTAGAGCATTTAATGGTGAAGTTGTAACGTAGAGAGTGAACAGGGATCCTTCATTCCCTGAATTAGTGAAAGTTGTTAATGCAGACTTCTCAATTTTGCAGAATAAATAGAGGTTTTCAATGAAATGTAAATACTATACAAAGATGCCTTTTAAGGGACAACCTAAATCGTAATACTATATTAGTACTATCTATAATGAAAGTAATTGTAAAAGTTTACTTGATATGGTATTTATCTATTTATTTAAACGTAATGGAAGGTTTACATGGTTAAGTCACGTGATCACAGAGTAACTTAGACTTACACAAAACATCCTTGTGAAAAAGAACTCATCTTCAAAAGCCTATACTGACAAATTATCAACAGTTAGATATACAAAGTAGACATCAAGATGGAGCTCAAGCAAACTCCCATTCCTCTTCCAGTGCTTGGTCGGGTTCAACCAAGACTTGCCTTAAGTCGTCATCTTGAACTCGGAGTTCGTCCAAATCTCAAGACACCTACTGAGTTCACCAATATTTCAGTTGATGTTCTAGAGCCCTCAGGTGAAAGTATAGGTGGTAGCATACTTAGGTATGGGTCCCACACACGTATTATTACAACACTTGCGTTAGGAATACGTGAGGATGGTGGCCATCTCGATAATGATGCTAGTGGAACCATATATCCAATATTAGAGATCAGTAGAGGGCGAGTAGGAGCACCTACCGATGAGGAGATGAGCCTTGCACAGAAGTTGTTCGAGTTGATAAAGATAAATAAAGTGATAGACAGTAATAATCTACGGGTAGGACCTTTAGGAACACAAATAGAGTCGACAATTGAATATCCAGAAGAAGAAGATGAACTTCAAACTAAAAGGTATAGATATGTGATCACTGCTAACATTCAGGTTTTTGGCCGTTCAGGACCATTATTTGATCTTATTTGGAGACTGATGATGATAGCACTTGAACAGTGCCAGCTTCCTCGAGTGTACCAAGAAGCCAACGACTTCAAAGGAAGTCAAATGAGAGTTGCAGTACGTATGCGTGGTCGTCAATTGGTCAAAGAAGATGTTGGTATAGAATCGCTTAAGTTTGACATGAGTAATAAGATACCATTGGTTACTCCTGGCTCCCCACGGCCCTCACTGCTTCTTTGCTTCAAGTTTGGGGTTTTTGAAGGTCAAGTATTATCTGACATTGAAGGTGAAGTTGAAGAACTGAGTGTGGATTCAGTATTCTATCTTATACGAGAGGAGAACAGTAGCGTCATTAGACATATCAGTGTGCAAGGTAAGGCAGTTGACTATTCACATTTGGTAGCAGCACTTGCGATGAGTGGAGCGGCAGGTACTTCCTGATTGGGAACTTGGTTCCGTTGTAGCCAAAGGTTAAATTTGATACAAAGTATGACATATTTGAGAGCATATCATTAGCCAATAAGATTTTGCGACGTATTGATTCTTGCGACTTTGTGTACCGCCGAACAAAACAAGTTAACGGGCCGAGTTCGCTTGTAAGACAACTACTTAATTTGGCATACTCCACTGGAAGGAAGGAAGGAAGGAAGTTCACCCTGCCGTGGTCATGAACTTTTTCTAGAATACGGTACAGTGAAAATTTTTCTTACGTATGGGTAAGGATTATTATGTTCTGAATTTAATGCTACTGTAACAATGTGAGTAATGCAACCCAAATAGAGCAATTTCAAATTTATAGAAAAGTTACTCCGGTAATTCAAAAGAATTTTTCAAGTGTATGCCTTGAAGTTTTGGTAACCACAGCATTTAAAATTGAAACAAGACTCACCCAGAATTCCCCACTACTTCAGCCTCATATGTGAGGCGACACAGAGCCAACTGTATGGCGATAGAGTGGCCCTCGTGCACAGTAGTATGAACTTTGTAGCGGAGTTCTCCTATGCCCCAGAGATAGTACGGCGATAGTCCTCATATATGTAGGCCCAAATAAATCGGTGTTAGTAAGAGTGGGGAATATGATCGTGCAAGGAACAATTAATGGCTGACGGTGTGGGTCTCATCCATTTGATGGAGATAACAAAATAAAAACCATGTCTTATATACAAGATTTTAATAGTCAAACAAAGGACGTGTACAGGTGATTAGCATCCAAAAGGATTCTATTGGATCTGATCGTTGAGTCATCATGTCTCTGTAGTCAATAGTAGCATGCGGAAACTTAAAACAGCGGAAGCCAACAAATCGTTTTAGATGATAGTAAAGGTTATAGCAATTGATCTAATAACTGTTAGTATTACCTGGTACAAACTAACTGCTATGCAACACAATCAGTTTATTGTGATCTAAAGAAGAATTAAACATAGACAACATGTTCAGATCGGGTTACTATTTTTCAACTAATCATACCAGTAATTACTGTAATAATACTCTCTTACTACAGGCAGCAGTCTATGACTGTTATGGACTTAATTATATGCTCTAACATTTTCTGTAATAGCTCCAATCATACTTTTTCTTTTTGACAGGCACCTTATTGTCTTAGCTGAGATAACAAACTTTTCACCCTTCACCCGCATTTTTCGCCCACTATTTATACCGATCCAAATCTCCCCTGGGCAAATAAAATATTTGCAATTTCTCTCCATCTCTTCCACACACTTTCTGCAACTTCGGCTCTGGATCAGGATCCTACCGCTGTAACAGACATATATACATAGCACACACACACACACACACACACGCATATATATATATCTGGAACCTCGGCATATCCGATATTTGTACTTTACTTTATTCTATTTTACTAAACTACTACTACTACTACTACAACTACTGATCCAATAAACGTAAAATGGCCTCCTACGTGGAAGAAGAACAATTTAAAGAGACCAAAGTGTACTCGTACGATGAAGTGCCAGAAAACAAATCTTGGGCTCACTCCATGCCTGTGGCCAAAGGGTTATACAACCCTGATTACGAGAAGGATGCCTGTGGTGTCGGTTTCACCTGTCACATCAAGGGTAAATCTTCCCACAAGATTGTTCTGGATGCTAAGAGTCTTCTTTGTAATATGACACACAGAGGTGGTGAATTGAACCCTAAGGATGGTGATGGTGCTGGTCTTTTGAGTGCCATGCCTCACAAGTTCTTGCAAAAGGAATTCAAGTACCATTGCAACATTGATTTACCTCCAAATGGTCAATACGGTACTGGTAACATCTTTTTCAAGAAGGATGATGCAGTCTTTGAAAAATCCCAGAAAACTTTTGAACAAATCGCTGCTTCTTTGGGCCTTAAGGTCATGGGATGGAGAAGAGTCCCTCATGATAGTACTATCTTAGGTCCTGCCTCTTTATCAAGAGAACCCTACATTTTACAACCATTGGTTGTTTTGGCTGAAACAATAGGCTCTGAAATTGACACCAAGACTTGGGAATCCAAATACCAAGCTGATTTTGAAAAGAAGTTATTCCTTTTGCGTAAATCTTCTTCTCACTCCATTGGATTGCACAACTGGTTCTATGTTTGTTCACTTTCTAACAGAACTATTGTATACAAGGGTCAATTGGCCCCAAACCAAGTGTATAGTTACTATCACGATTTGATGAATGTCGATTATGAAGCTCATTTTGCTTTGGTCCACTCTCGTTTTTCCACCAACACTTTCCCCTCTTGGGACAGAGCCCAACCAATGAGATGGGCAGCTCACAATGGTGAAATTAACACTTTGAGAGGTAACAAGAACTGGATGCGTGCTAGAGAAGGTGTTATGTCTTCCAACTTGTTTGGTGAAGAATTAGAAAAGTTGTACCCCATTATTGAAGAAGGTGGTTCTGATTCTGCTGCTTTTGATAACGTGTTGGAATTACTTGTCATTAACGGTGTTCTTTCTTTACCAGAAGCTGTCATGATTATGATTCCTGAAGCTTGGCAAAACGACAAGTTGATTGACCCCAAGAAGAAGGCTTTTTACGAATGGGCTGCTTGTTTGATGGAACCATGGGATGGTCCAGCTTTGTTCACTTTTGCAGATGGTAGATACTGTGGTGCTAACTTGGACAGAAACGGTTTGAGACCATGTCGTTACTATGTTACTGATGACGACCATATCATTTGTGCTTCTGAAGTTGGTGTCATTGATGTTGCTCCAGAAACCGTGTTGACCAAAGGTAGATTGCAACCAGGTAGAATGCTTTTAGTCGACACTAAGGAAGGAAGAATTGTTGACGACAGAGAATTGAAGCAAAATGTTGCATCCAGATTTGACTTTAAGAGTTGGGTCTTGGCCAACATGATCTCTATGGAAGATTTGACTTCCAAGTTGGTTGCTCGTCAAGAATTGGATTTGAGTGCTATTTCCGAGGAATTGACTTTGACCGATACTACTGTTCAAACAGACTCTAGATTGGTTGCATTTGGTTACTCTCATGAACAAATCCTGACCATCTTGGGTCCAATGGCCGAAGCTAAAGAAGCTTTGGGTTCAATGGGTAACGACAATGCTTTGGCTTGCATTTCTCAACAACCCAAATTGTTATATGAATACTTCAAGCAATTGTTTGCTCAAGTTACCAACCCTCCAATTGATCCTATCAGAGAGGAAATTGTTATGAGTTTGGAATGCTATGTTGGTCCTCAAGGTAACCTTTTGGAAATGAAGCCTGACCAATGTAATCGTTTGCTCTTAAAGTCCCCAGTTTTGTCTAGTGCTGAATTGGTTGCTATTAAGAACATTGAAAAGGTTTACCCTAAATGGTCTGTTGCTAACATTGATATCACTTTCCCTAAATCTGCTGGTATTCAAGGTTACATTGATACTATTGACAGAATTTGCGAAGGTGCTTCTAAGGCCATTGCCGATGACCATCAAGTTATCATTCTTTCTGATCGTTTGACCTCCGCTGACAGAGTCCCAATCAGTGCCTTGTTGGCTACTGGTGCTGTCCACCACCACTTGGTTAGACAAAAGCAAAGAGCCAAGGTTGCAATTATTGTTGAAACCGCTGAAGCTAGAGAAGTCCACCATGCTTGTTGTTTGGTTGGATATGGTGCTGATGGTTTTAACCCTTACTTGGCCCTTGAAACTTTGTTGCGTATGAAGCGTGAAAACCTTTTGAAGAAGGAAGAATTGACTGACGAAAAGATAATCAAGAACTATAAAATTGCAGTTGATGCAGGTATCTTAAAGGTTATGTCTAAGATGGGTATTTCTACTTTGGCTTCCTACAAGGGTGCTCAAATTTTTGAAGCTTTAGGTATTGATAACTCTGTTATTGACAAGTGTTTTGCTGGTACTGCCTCTAGAATTAAGGGTGTAACATTTGAATACATTGCTCAAGATGCTTTCTCATTTCATGAAAGAGGTTACCCATCAAGAGACACCATCAAGCCTGTTGCATTGCCAGAAACTGGTGAATATCACTGGAGAGATGGTGGTGATGCTCATGTTAATGAACCTGCTGCAATTGCTTCTATGCAAGATGCAGTTAGAAACAAGAATGAAAAGGCTTATGAAGCTTACTCCAAGAAGGAATATGATGCGATTAAGAACTGTACTTTGCGGGGTTTATTGGACTTTGACTATTCAGATTGTACTCCTGTTCCATTGGATCAAGTCGAACCATGGACCGAAATTGTCCGTCGTTTCTTCACTGGTGCCATGTCTTATGGTTCCATTTCTATGGAAGCTCACTCAACTATTGCTGTTGCTATGAACCGTATTGGTGGTAAGTCTAACACTGGTGAAGGTGGTGAAGATTCTGCCAGATCACTTATTAGTGAAAACGGTGATACCATGAGATCTGCCATCAAGCAAATTGCCTCTGGTAGATTCGGTGTGACCTCTTACTACCTTGCTGATGCCGATGAGTTGCAAATTAAGATGGCTCAAGGTGCTAAGCCTGGTGAAGGTGGTGAATTGCCAGGTCACAAGGTTTCTGAACAAATTGGTAAGACTAGACACTCCACACCAGGTGTTGGTTTGATTTCCCCACCTCCTCATCATGATATTTATTCCATTGAAGATTTGAAGCAATTGCTTTACGATTTGAAGTGTGCTAACCCTAGAGCTAGAACTTCCGTTAAGTTGGTCTCTGAAGTTGGTGTTGGTATTGTTGCTGCCGGTGTTGCCAAGGCCGGTTCCGAAAATATCTTGGTTTCTGGTGGTGACGGTGGTACTGGTGCTGCTAAGTGGACTTCCATTAAGCACGCTGGTTTGCCATGGGAATTGGGTCTTGCTGAATCTCATCAAACCTTGGTTTTGAACGATTTGAGAGGCCGTGTTATTTTGCAAACTGATGGTCAAATCAAGACCGGTAGAGATGTTGCTATTGCATGTTTACTTGGTGCTGAAGAGTGGGGTTTTGCTACCACTCCTTTAATCGCCATGGGTTGTATTATGATGAGAAAGTGTCATTTGAACACTTGCCCTGTTGGTATTGCAACTCAAGACCCAGAATTGAGAAAGAAATTCTTGGGTACTCCTGAACACGTTATTAACTTCTTCTACTATGTTTCCAATGAATTGAGAACTTTTATGGCCAAGTTAGGTTTCAGAACTATCAACGAAATGGTGGGTAAGACTGAAAGATTGAAGGTTCGTGAAGATTTGAGAAACACCAAGAATGCTAACATTGACTTATCTCCAATTTTGACTCCTGCCCACACCATTAGACCTGGTGTTGCTACTCACTGTGTCAGAAAGCAAGATCACAAATTGCATGTTAGATTAGATAACAAGTTGATTGATGAAGCCGAATTAACTTTATCAAAAGGTTTGCCAGTTACCATTGACTGTCACGTTGTTAACACTGATCGTTCTCTTGGTACTACTTTGTCTTACAGAGTTTCTAAGACTTTTGGTGAAGCTGGTTTGCCTCATGACACTATCCATGTGAATGCTAAGGGTTCTGCTGGTCAATCCTTCGGTGCCTTCCTTGCCCCAGGTATTACATTGGAATTAGAAGGTGATGCCAATGATTACATTGGTAAGGGTTTATCTGGTGGTAGAATTGTTGTCTACCCTCCAAAGGAATCCAAATTCAACGCTGAAGACCAAATCATTGCTGGTAACACTGCGTTCTTTGGTGCTACTTCTGGTACGGCCTTCATTAGAGGTGTTGCTGCCGAAAGATTCTCAGTCAGAAACTCTGGTGCCACCATTGTCGTTGAAGGTACTGGTGACCACGGGTGTGAATACATGTCTGGTGGTCGTGTGGTTGTTTTGGGTTCAACTGGTAGAAACTTTGCTGCTGGTATGTGTGGTGGTATTGCCTATGTTTTGGACATTGCTCAAGACTTTACTGAGAAGTGTAACACTCAAACTGTTGAATTATCTCAAGTTACTGAACCTACAGAAATTGCTTTCTTGAGAAACTTGATTGAAGATCACAGACACTACACCGGTTCCGTTGTTGCTGATACCGTCTTGAATGATTTCAACAGAATCTTACCAAGATTTGTTAAGGTCTTGCCTCATGACTATAAGAAGGTGTTGGAGAAGGAAAAGCAAAAGTTGGCTGAAGCTAAGAAGAACGAATTGAATCTCTTTTTGAAATCCATCAAGGAAGACCCTGAAGCTGATGTCACCAACGGTGAAGTTGCTAAGATCAAGAAGGGACATGTTCACAAGGCTGCTGCCCAAGAACCAAAGGTTTTGGATTTGGAAGACACTATCAAGGACACTGAAACTGAAACAAAGGCTGTTGTCAAGTTGGACAAACTTAAGGGTTTCATGAAGTACAAGAGAAGAAATGAAAAGTACAGATCTGCCAAGGAAAGAACCAAGGACTGGAAGGAAATGACTTCTAGATTAACCAAGGAGGAATTGAAATATGAAACTGCTAGATGTATGGATTGTGGTGTTCCATTCTGTACCTCAGATACCGGTTGTCCTATTTCTAACGTTATTCCAAAATGGAATGAATTGGTTTTCCAAGACAGATGGTATGATGCCTTGCAAAGATTAATGATGACCAACAATTTCCCAGAATTCACTGGTAGAATTTGTCCTGCTCCATGTAATGGAGCTTGTGTTTTGGGTATCAATGAAGACCCAGTTAACATCAAATCTGTTGAATGTGCTATTATTGATCATGGTTTCGAAATGGGTTGGATTAAGCCTACCCCACCAACCCACAGAACTGGTAAGAAGGTTGTTGTTATTGGTTCTGGTCCATCCGGGTTGGCAGCTGCTGATCAATTGAACAGAGCTGGTCACTCTGTGACTGTTTACGAAAGATCTGACAGACCCGGTGGTTTGTTAATGTACGGTATTCCTAACATGAAGTTGGACAAGGGTATCGTTAAGAGAAGAACTGATTTGTTGGCAGCTGAAGGTATTGAATTCATCGTCAACACTACTATTGGTGAAGATATTACCGTTGATGAATTAGAAGCTGAAAACGATGCTGTTGTTTTTGCTGTTGGTTCTACTATTCCAAGAGATTTGAAGATTCCTGGTCGTTCATTAAAGAATGTTCACTATGCTATGGAATTGTTACATTCCAACACCAAGGCTTTGTTGGATGATCAATTGGAAAACATTAGAAAGACTTTGGAAGGTAAACATGTTGTTGTTATTGGTGGTGGTGACACCGGTAACGATTGTTTGGGTACTTCTACCAGACATGGAGCCAAGTCTGTTACAAATTTCGAATTATTACCTCACCCACCAGCATCTAGACCTAAGGATAACCCATGGCCACAGTGGCCAAGAGTCTTTAGAGTTGATTATGGTCATACTGAAGTTGCTGCGCACTATGGTAATGACCCTAGAGAATATTCTATTTTGTCTAAGGAGTTTGTTGATGACGGTGAAGGTAACGTTAAAGGTATTAAGACTGTTAGAGTTGAATGGAAACGTTCTGACTCTGGAGCTTGGCAAATGGCTGAAGTTCCAAACTCTGAAGAATTCTTCCCTGCCGATGTTGTTCTTTTATCTATGGGTTTCATTGGACCAGATTCAGACAACTTGGGTATTGAAAAGACCAAGAGAGGTACCATAGCAACCACTGATCCTGCTTCATACAGAATCAACGACAAATTCTTTGCTGCTGGTGACTGTAGAAGAGGTCAATCATTGGTTGTCTGGGGTATTCAAGAAGGTAGACAATGTGCTCGTGTTGTTGATGAGTACTTGATGGGTGGTTCCAGATTACCTGGTAACGGTTCTATTGAACAAAGAAACTTCAACTTGTTGGAAGAATTAGCTGACAAGGTTTAAACTAGATTGAAAAAAATATTGTTAGTAAACTTGGTGTGTGCAAGTTTAGTCTTATATAGTTATTTTCTTTCATTGTGTATTGTTTAATATAGTGTGTGTTTATAAGAGTGAGTGTCTGTAATAGCCATAAAATAGTGTAGTAGTTTACTATACAATTTAACGCGAACTACTCTCTGTTGTTGCCATGAGTAATGTACGGGTACTATGTGTGGCGGAGAAGCCTACAATAGCACGTCAGGTATCCGGAGTGCTTAGTGGAGGCAGTTTCCGTACACGGAATGGGAAATCAAAGTATAATAAGAACTTTGAATTCACCTATAACTTTGGTCAATGGGGTTATGCGCAAGTGGTGATGACCTCAGTTTCAGGTCATTTGTTACTGATAGACTTCCCTAGTAACTATGGATGGGATAAGGTAACTCCGGGAAGACTATTTGAAGCTCCTATCACCGAGGTTGTCCCCAATGATAAGAAGGACATATACAATAACATCAAACAAGAAGCGCGTTTCGCCACCATACTCATGATCTGGACAGATTGTGATAGAGAAGGTGAATACATTGGGTGGGAGATAGTTAAAGCTGCTCAAGAGGGTAACCCCCGGATCCAAATCGAGACGTCAGTTTTCCGAAGTCAATTTAGTCATTTGGAACGGAACCATGTCATTCATGCGGCTAATAACCCCATCAGTTTGAATATGAAAGCTGTTGATGCTGTTGCATGTAGACAAGAAATTGACCTTCGAGTAGGTCTGAGTTTCACAAGACTACTTTCACGGTCATTGGGAAGCTCTCGAGTCATTGAACCCAAAACGTTGATATCTTATGGTACATGTCAATTTCCTACATTGGGGTTTATAGTCGATAGGTATAAACGTGTCAAGAGTTTTGTTCCTGAGCAGTTTTGGTATATCAAAGTTACTTTGAAGAAAAATGATCAAATGGCCGATTTTCATTGGACAAGAGGTAATATATTTGACCGATTGTTCCCGACTTTGGTGTATAGTGACCTTTTAGCTCGATTTCCCCAAGGTGGTAAGGTCCAAATGTCTCATCCCCGACCAACTTCCAAATGGAAACCTTTGCCATTGACAACTGTCATATTGCAAAAGGACTGTTCCGTCTACTTTAAGATGAGTGCAAAGGCAACGTTAGATGCTGCAGAAAAGTTATACCAAAGTGGTTGGCTACTGTATCCTAGAACGGAAACAGATGTATTCCCTGATGCCATGGATTTGCACAGCTTAATTCAAAATCAAACTCAATCACCTATTTGGGGTTCTTATGCTCTGGAGTTATTGAATGATGGTAAGTTTGACCGCCCTAGAGCAGGTAAAAACAATGATCAAGCTCATCCTCCTATTCATCCAGTGGTGTTTGTTTCCACTGATGTTCTACGAGATTCTAACCAAAGGAATGTTTACGAATACGTGGTTAGAAGGTTCCTTGCTTCGTGTTCTCGAGATGCTAAAGGTGAACAAACAAAGGCTACTTTTGAATGGGGTCATGAGAAGTTTGTGGCAGAGGGGGTCATGGTGAAGGAACTCAATTATTTGGAGGTTTACAAGTATCAAAAATGGGAGTCTTCCAAACAATTACCCCAATTTGAGAATGGAGAATTGATCAAACCTTTCAAACATGGAATCTTTGAAGGCAAAACATCCCCGCCTCAGTACATGACTGAAGCCGAGTTGATTCTATTAATGGATGCTAATGGGATTGGAACGGACGCTACTATTGCAGAGCACATTACAAAAATAATTGACCGACAGTACGTCTCAAAGACAAAAGTTGGAAGAGGTGGACCTGAAGTACTTGTACCTTCATGGCTAGGAATGGGACTAATTGATGGATTTGATAGCATGGAATTTGATGATATTTCACTTAGTAAGCCATTCCTTCGAAAAGATCTAGAGGTCAACCTATCCATGATTGTTTCTGGTTCTAAGACTAAACAGGATGTTCTAACAGAATTCGTCACCCTCTACAAAAGAGCCTACGCTACTACAAATTCGAAACTCCCTTTACTAAATGATTCGTGTCGTCGTTGTCGAGATCTTACCACCACACAAGCTAGCACTACAACTCCAGCCATGTAAACGTCAACCCTCAAACCTTTACTGTGCAACCATGATACTGTTTGTATTGATGTGCACACGACTAATTTGATATTCATTGAAGCAGAAAAAAAAATACATTGGCAGTGGAGAGTTGAGCACTTAAAGGATCTGGAAGGACACTTTCTTGATTGCGTGTGCTTGACATGTATCGTCTGTACGGGTCAAATAATCAGTATCAGTCACAACAGCAACAGACACAACAGAAAGTATGTAAGTTCTTTCAGCAAGGGAATTGCAAGTTTGGAAACTCGTGTAAGTTTGCTCATGTCAAGGATAATGGCTTTGGGAATAATAATAATAGTAATAATGGATACTCCAATAATTATAGGAGTAATAACTTCCTGAATGGGTATTCATCAAATGGAAGTTCTACTCAATCCGGAATCAACTCCGTCCAAGATTTTGCATCTATGAGGAACAGGGAAGTACTAGAGAAACAACTTCAAGAAGAAATTGCATTATATAAAAGTGGAGGAATCCAAAGTGCACCTGTTCTTTCATCATTTGGTTTAGGATTATTTGCTACCAATAATTTGATTACTGGACGAGATCTTTCATATGAAGAACAACGATTAGAGTATGAACAAGCCAAAGCTAACAATACATTGGAGAACTATTTGAAGGTGTTGGAAGCCAGGAAACGAGACATGGATTTTTGCATTAACCAGCTTAGCAACAAAGTACCCACAGCCGTTCATTATCAACAGAAGGCAGCCACTTCTAATATTGTACCGAGACCATTTATTAACCAAACACTAGAAGAAGGAATAAATAAGAATATGAATAATTCAGGATTTGGAACCAGTGGATTTGGAAACACTGGAGGAGGAGGAGGTTCAGCTTTTGGATCTTCAGGGTTTGGCTCATCGGCATTTGGAAGTTCTGGATTTGGATCCTCAGGATTCGGTACAACATCGAAATCATCTGCGTTTGGGGCTTCTGCTTTTGGTGCTAATAACTCTACACATTCAAATAGTGGGTTTGGTGGTGCAACAACTTCTGGTTTTGGAAACTCTGGATTTGGATCTTCCACCGCTTCTTCAAATCCATTTGGAGGAGGTTCAGGAGGCGCGTTTGGTTCTCAAATAAAACAACCCAATGGGGCATCTAATGCATCACCATTTGGTAGTTTGAATAGCAAGCCAGATCAAGGGAATCCTTTTGGTAACTCAGCGTTTGGATCAACTACAACCGGTAATGCTACGACTACTACTAATTCAGCATTCGGCAATTCTGCTGCCACCGCTATCGCTTCGCCATTTGGCAATTCTGCTTCCACTACGACTAATGCTTCACCATTCGGTGCTTTTGCAAATGCCCCATCTGGATTTGGATCATCTGGGTTTGGATCTACTTCGACTTTTTCACCATTTGGATCATCAACTGGAGGTGGTGGGTCAGCTTTTGGTACTTCCACCACCACGAATGCGAACCCCTTTGGAACTACAGCTACATTAACATCAAATCCCTTTGGAAAATCCCAATCAAATAGTTCTCCCTTTGGCACGACAAGCAATACTAATAATGATACTAAAGGCTCATCATTTGGAGGATTTGGTGCTACAACCACCAGCAATGCTTCACCTTTTGGAACTGCATCACAGAACCCTCAATCCGGAGGCATATTTGGAAGTACGACGACATCCTTTGGTAGTAGCAATAACAATAATAATGCTAATAATAGTATTAGTGGGAACAGTGTGCCTTCTGTGGATACAGACGAATATAAACACTATGCACCTGAAGCTATTAAGGCATTTGAAGCCAACAGATTTGAACTTGGGCATATTCCAGATTTGGCACCTCCATCAGCACTTTGCTAGACGAACGGGTTTATTATAAATAGGTTATATTTGGGTTTACGACTAATAGAATGGTTAAAAGTAGTTTGATGGCGCACACCATCAATGTAATTTGATTTTGATAATAGTACACTAAAATATTGAGATCAAACTTAAGTAATGAAAATAGCTGTTCCTATGATAGTTTTCTTCTCTGATCAATGATATGCATTGAATGCACCAATTGTGATGTGGACAGCACGTATTCCAAATTAAAGAGTGACTTTATTAAGCTAACGCTATGTTCCCAATGCGGCAGTGTGGTGGATAAATACATTGAATACGACAATGTGCTTATCTTTCTTGATATCATGCTTTTGAAGGCTCAGGCGTATCGTCATGTGACATACAACGCTGTGGAATCAGCGTTGTTCTACGATAAGGGCCAATCAAAGATCAGCTGGTGGAAGCGATATAAGCAGATCATCAGAATAGTGTTGATGGTGATCCTTTTTGAAGTATATTTGACATGGGCCTATGAAGAGAAAAAGAGCCACCACTCATTGTTGATGAAATATTTGTTGGAGGAACGGCCACACTTCCAGTACGCGACATTTATCTTCAAACAAGTGTGTCAACAGTTTCTGTTCCATTTCATCATTCAGTTGGTGCTTCGTGGGGGTCTTGGGTGGGGGGCAGACGGCAACAAAAGCTTACCTAAGCAACACCAATTTGGTTATAATACATGTGTATTGCTTACGATAGTGCTTATCTCCAGTAGTATACGATTACTCCCCATCTTGATGTTAATCTGGCCCTATGATCAAACAAGTGTTTCGAATACCGTTATTACTTTTGTGGGATTGTTGAACACGGTAGACGCAATAAGAATATCTACTAGATCTTCTACTTCCAGAAAGCCCTATTCGTATATAACCATTGGGTTGATCATCTTGTTCGCTGTTAGTGTAAGCTTTGTTGTCAGCAAGTTGGCGATGATCTTATGTATCTCTATTTTTTCTCATAATCATCATCTTTCAATTGCAGACTTTGTCTCCGATGAAATGGCTGACTGGCTTACTCAATCGAGATACTTGTTGAGTATGCTCACTTGATGAGTCTCGTTATCCCACACAAGGATCTCGCTTTCGTCCGGTCCAGTAAACCCAATAACAGGTCCATCCAATGGTGCGACCAAACAGGGGTATTGATAGGTAGTGTTTCTTTCCCGCAGTTCATCAACTGTAACCGGTGCACTCATCTGCGGCTCAATGACCTCTTCATTGCTGATGGATCTAAGTGCAATGTAACTGACCAAAGGGATGTATTTCTGCTCATAATTGTGCCAAACCATGAATACTATCAATGGCAACGGTGCTATGAAACAAGCAGTTTTGTATGCAGAAAGAAGTACCAACACTCCAACCATAGTCAATTGGAAAATGCATAACCCTAAAATGATTCTTCTAAAGATTATAGACCATACTTTCCCCGTGGAATGAGGAGGATGAACACACGCATACATGAGCTGATACTTGTACACAAGATACCCCATGATGAAGTAAAGGAGTCCTGCTGTTAGGATCCGTGTAGACATGATGGAATAGGTGATGGTTATAATCAAAATCAAGATTGGTTGTGGTAGTTGTAACCCAAAATTGAACACTGGAGTTTCATAGAGATTAATATAATCTCTTGGAGTTTTGCAATAGAATAATTGTCTTACTTGAAATTGCATTAGGTTCCCTAATAATAACAACTTATAGGGGAACATTCCAAGACCTTGCAAAACAATCAAATCCACATAAAACAACGACAAGTCCTTTAACAGCTTAGCCAAATCATAGGCAATTTTCGTGGTGGTGGTATCTTCCAATGTACCGAAAACCGTAAACACCAAGAATAAGTTGACAAAGATATAAAAGAAGTTCTTGGAAACAGAAGCCAATTCTTCACCTCCATGTGAAGTAAACCCTTGTTTTGACGATATCCAAACGTAAAAGAAGGGTACTATGATGTTTAAAAGAGTGAACAAATAAGTTGGTAAAAGCCCGACCACGACATTGGCAGCCCATTTATGTGATTTAAGGAAATGACCTAATTGAGGCCATAACTTGGAAATGGTCTTCAAATTTAACATGCTAGCAATGTATCTGACCGGATAAATCATGACTACACTGATAAATCCAATGAAGGCAGTTACGGCAATTGACCGGTATCTCCGTTCCTTTCTGGTGAGACATAAATTCTCCCAAATGATATCATGAGGTGCTGGGGCCAAAGTAGTTATCAAATGGTCTACTTTGGGATCGAGAACCGTTTGTCCAAGCATCTGAGCTTGTGCCACTGTTGCCATAGTTATGAAAGCAGTTGAAGTTGGATTGTACGTTCTGGTTCTGGCTTTTAAGATTTCTTTGTCCACCACACTCAATTGATCTGAATAATAGTTTATAGCATCAACTGGGGGTCCAAATAAACCGAATAGTCCTTTATGTATTTTAGGACGATATTGATGGCCACCATCGTTTGGGCTCAGTTCCGCTGCTGTTGCTTCTGCCACTGTGGCCAACGACGCTGTGGTGGAAGCCGTATCGGAATTTGGATCGTCCCAAACATGACTTGAATCTTCCAAACGGATCAATTCATCAGTCGACATCATTGTTGATTCGGTCGAGATATTTCGTTGAAGCAAATCTTGAATATCTAGATCATTTTTATCAAAATACATGACCCAATAAGATTCTAACTTCTTTTTTATTTTCTCTCTTAATCTGTACAAGTTGTTGAGGTCGTTCCATTCTCTAACGATCACCACACTTTCAAGTTCACCAATGTTCAAATTATCGATATTCCGTTTAAGATTGATCTCGTCTCGAAGAACAGGAGGGATCCCCGTTAGCTTTACGGTTCTATCAGTGATAGAGTTTTGGTTTCCCAAATAATCTTGACGCACTCGTATTATATCTTGGGTGAAATTCATCAACCATTTAAGAATCACAAATGTGAATATGTATGTGAATCCAGTGTACAAGGCCAAGATCAAGGGATCATCGAAATTAGAATCATTATTGTTGTTATCATCATCGCCACCGTCTCCATCGAATCTACCGGTTAGTTTATATCTTAAGGGCGAGATAATGGTTACGGCAAACATCAAACACGTGAGTAGCATGTAGATTGCCATCTTGAAAAACCGTAGAAAGACATATGAGTCGAGACCCGAGTGTTGCAACACCTGGTCATCACGTATTCGAAGCACGCTGGTGATCCATCCTAATATGCTCTTCTGGTTCCCAATTGAGACGCTCTGGTTCTGATTGTTGTATAGTTTGGGATATGTCTTTCTGAGTATGGAGAAACACACAATAGCAAACAGCCCAAGAAGTAACGAGATGGCTATTTGGTATCTGGCCACTCGAGTGTTTGTTGGAGGTTTATATCCGCCAAAGGGAGACGTTGGAGAACTGTGGGGCAATTCCGTCGACGTAGCTGACATAGTGAGCGGAGTTACTTTCACGTCTAACACGGCCTTAACTTATTAGGACTGATTCACTAACCGTTATCAAAAACAAAATCGCGACTACAAAGTGGCCTTCTTTTTCTGGTACAGGGAGATCGAACCAGAATCAAGAAATGACGTGCTAACCTTTACTTCGTCATATGAAGCTTCGTGATATAGAAACTATATACCCGTAGACAAGATAGTGGCAGAGGCCGTACGAAACTGAGCGTATTATCAATGAGTGCGAATCATCATGATCATGTTTCAACGGGACACATGTTATGTTAGTTCAAGTGGACAATGAATCAAAGGATGATGGCTAAGTGTTATGCCAGGAGAGATTCTGTTGATGACAATGAACTGGGATATGAATACGGTTATAAATAACGAAAATTGCGAATGATCAACTTAAGCGAGTGAAGCCCATGAGAGAACATCATACAGAAATATTTTAGGTAAAGTTCCAGTTTTATGTTACTCCTTCTAGCATTTTATCGTAGGTATGATTGACCAATTATGTAGTACGTTCCTGTTTTATCTAATTTCAGATCGTAGTCCCTTTTAACTTTTTGTCTTCTATGAAATGCGGAAATGGCTTACAAGATTCTAATGCGTAGACCATTGTAAGTGTTTCACTACCTTAGGCTTGTCACATTAGATCGTGCCTTGACACCTACCCCAAAAAATGTGCTAATACCTGTAAAGGAAATCTTTGCTCTGTGAGCTCGTCCAAAGAGATGGTTTTTTGAGACTTATTGTATAAGTATGCGATTACAATCGGTTGAACCTTGTAGGAACGTTAAACCGAATGAGTTGTAACTGAGCTTAGCCAATGGAAACCTGTACATTAGTTATTGGAGTCTATGGGTTCATCGTTGTAGTATGAGGGATCGGGTATGCTAGTGTAAAAGGGATCAAATAGATCTTCACAAGCAACCCTAAGGTAGAATATCTAATGCGCACTAGCGATTATTTATAGAAATACAGCGATTAATGACTTCTAGTTATGAGAGATATGATTCTAAAATGAATTAATTCACAGTGTTCTTAGTAACGTTGCAGTTCTCATCCACTTGAAACGAGGAAACCTGTATCTTTGAATAGTTTGATTCGATAATAAATGTTTTAATTGTAAGCGCAATTAAACGTCACCTTTAAATAATAGCTGCACTGACCTTAATAGTAGTCCATGGAACTTAGAAAACGCTGAGGACCCCCGGAATTAGTTACATTTTCTCCGCGACTCTTATGTAAATGAATTTCGGGTATCACTTTCCAATTCGGTACTATTAACTCCGACTTTGTTACCTACAAAATAAGCCGTAAAGCTCTAGGTAATACGCCACTAAGTAATGGTTAAAGCCTCACATGCGAATACATGTATTCAGTAGTATGGATGTTTAAACGCAGATAACAGCCCAAATCTGCAAGTGATTGAGTGCAAGTGTTCTTTGACATTCTCCTTCGCCGTATTACGAATAGCCCTTTTTTGAAGTAGGCAATGATTAATAAGAAAATACATAAAACGGAGGCCAATTCGGCATTAAGTCCTAAAAAGGCAATATAAAAGATTACACATATTACATTGCGAAAGTGTATTTGTAATGAAGCCGCACCTTAGTTGCATACAAGAGATGGCGTAAGACAATACAATGTGAGTCAAAGCCTTCGGCTTACCAATGCATACGCGTTACAAAAAACATATACGGAGATGATGGCATCGCAAAAGACTACAAATGATAATTATATATATAGTCGTCAAGTCTTCCTTCCAATTCAGCTCAATCCAATTCTCTTCAATTCACTTCACTTAAGTTCAACATAGCCTATCTTAACCATACACTTCTTGACACAATCACTTAAGGCTAATACCACCACTAATACTTTTTAACATCGATTGCTGCAAGACTATTTTTTTTATTTTTTCAACAAGCATTATCAAGAATGTATAGATTTGTTAGAGATTCATTTTTCGGTAACTCTGTCTACCATATATCTGGCAGGAAGTTTTTTAGACAACCTGAGGAATTGGAGTCGTATGTAGTTGATGAAAAATACTTGGGTGCTGGTCCAGAAGCTAACCCTATAGCTACAGAAAGCTCCAAAGAAGGTGATGGTGAGGATCGTTATTCAGAGAAAAATGAAGACATAGAGAAGTCTCAAGATGATAGTTCCTCAGGTATAGAGAAGGAAGACCTCATTATAGTTGATTGGGATGGTGAAGATGATCCAGAAAACCCTCAGAATTGGCCAACATACCAAAAGGTTATCTTTGCATCTCTTGTTGGATTCTTAACATTCTCAGTATATGTTGCTTCTGCTATCTACACCCCAGGTCTTGAGGAGATTATGTCACAATTTAATGTTTCAGAAACGGTGGCTATCGTCCCATTAACTATGTTTGTTGTTGGTTACGGTATTGGACCAATGTTCTTATCTCCCATTACTGAGAATGCAGCTGTGGGTAGAAATTATGTTTACATTTTAACATTATTTATTTTCTTCATCTTACAAATACCAACTGCGTTATCTAAAAATATTGCCAGTTTGTCTGTTTTAAGACTTATATCCGGGTTTTTTGCTTCTCCTGCTTTGGCTACCGGCGGTGCTTCTATGGCTGATGTTATTCAATTCCCTTATCTTCCGGTTGGTTTATGTGCTTGGGCTTTGGGTGCTGTTTGTGGTCCATCATTTGGTCCATTGATTGGTGGTGTTTTAACCGTTAAGCATGATTGGAGATGGACCTTTTGGTTCATGGCAATGCTTTCTGGTTCTGCCTTGTTTATTTTGACCTTCTTTCTCCCTGAAAGTTATGGTAAAGCTTTGCTTTACAGAAAGGCGTTAAGATTGAGAAAGTTAACTGGTAACCCCAAAATTACTTCAGAAGGCGAATTGGAAATTAAATCAATGAATAGAAATCAACTTATTGGTGATATTTTATGGAGACCTTTTGAAATTACGTTAATTGAACCAGTGGTTATGTTGATTAACATTTACATTTCCCTTGTCTATTCTGTAATGTACTTGTGGTTTGAGGGTTTTCCAATTGTTTTCCAACAAACTTATGGTTTCCCATTGGTTACCCTTGGTGCATCATATATCTCTCTTGTCATCGGTATTCTCATTGGCGGTTTAATCTACATGGTTTATATCTATCAAAAATTCACTGTCAAAATCTTAAAGGGTGAAGGGTTTGTTCCTGAGGTTTTCATTCCCATGACCATCATTGGTTCGATCTTATTGCCTACAGGTATATTTATTTTTGGTTGGTCTGCTGCAAAGGACTTGCATTGGATTGGCCCAATGATTGGTGCAGGTATTTTTGGAGCTGGTGCATTGATTATTTTCCAGACTTTATTCAACTATTTGAGTTCTTCGTTTTACAGATATTTGGCTTCTACTTTTGCTTCCAATGCATTATTTAGAAGTGTCATTGCTGGCTGTTTCCCATTATTCGGTAGACCATTGTTTGATAACTTGAAGACCAATAGATTCCCTGTTGGGTGGGGTTCTAGTATTTTGGGTTTTATTTCCGTGGCCATGATTGCGATTCCTGTTTTCTTCTACATTTATGGTCCTCAATTGCGTGCCAGATCAAGATATGCCAATTGAGTTTAACTATTTATTGTGAGTTTTCTCTCCATACTTAACACAATCTAAAGAGTCATTACTTTGTGTGCAATCGGACATTGGTGACCACCAAAAGAACTTCATTGATAATCTGAAATTATTAGAACTTACTTATTTAGTAGAGTAATACATTATAGAATTATGGTTTTCGTATTTGTCTCGTATTCATATCTCGTATAAATTATGCTCATTACATACTACATCACTTACATACAGTCTAGGGTCTTGGTAACGTATATTTCAGATCTACCATGTAAAACCACCGTGCATGTCATTTTGCGAATATGAAAGTTAAAAGGACCAAGACTAAAGAAATGACTCATTCCTCACAATGTAATACGCTGCATTGAGCTATGGCGCATGAGAGGCAGGTATTGGAGCAGTGGAAGTACGATAGTGAATTAAACGCCGCTGAGAGTTGAATCGTGGACTGATGGTATATTTGGCAGAAAGCAAACGACACCCGCTATAGTTACCTACTTCCTAGTCATCACCAAACAACTCCGGACTATATACGTGGGTTTTCTGTCCAATAATTGTAGAAAGAAAATCAGTCCAAAGTACCATAAACACAGGGGCACATTACCCCATACTATCGGGTCACGCACTACTTTAGATAATAAGCACAAACTATAGTACTCCAGCAATACTATATTAAGTGCTGGGTTACGATCAACCACAGTTCAATCATGAGTAGAGGCATTCTGATTGCAATTGATAGAGGAGGAACCTTCTGTGATGTCATAGCTGAGATCCCTGGACAGGAAGATTACATCTTCAAGCTTTTATCTGTTGATCCACTCAACTATAAGGATGCTCCAAGAGAAGGAATTCGGAGGGTCCTTGAACGAGCACATGGCAGGTCAATTCCCAAGGAGGAGAAATTGAAATTAGATTCAATTGAAAGTATTCGTATGGGTACGACTGTTGCCACCAATGCGCTTTTGGAACGGAAGGGTTCACCAGTACTTTTGGTTACCACCAAGGGGTTTGGTGACGTTTTAAAAATTGGTAATCAAACCAGACCTCATATTTTTGATCTTACTGCCCGGAAATTGGGACATCTTTATGAGCAAGTTCTTGAAGTTGACGAGCGGATCACCCTTGAAGGGTTCTCGGAAGGAGGTGGTAGTAAGTTAGAACTTTGCAAAGAGAACGAGGATGACAATGTGGTTAAAGCTCAATCTGGAGATGTAATTAGAATAATTAGGAAGCCAGATTTGAATGATGTGAAGGCGAAGCTTCAACAGATTTGGGATCAAGACAAAATCAAAACAATTGCCTTATCCTTTTTGCATTCGTATATTTATCCTGATCATGAACTACAAGTAGCTAAAGTGGCACGGGAAATTGGGTTCCAGGTGTCTGTATCTTCAGAGTTACAACCTATGATTGGAATGGTCAGTAGAACATCTTCCACTGTGGCTGATGCTTATCTTTCTCCCATCATCAACGAATACATTAGGTCATTCAGTTCTGGGTTTGAAGGAGGAATCGAAGCCTTTGGTAATAAGCTTCTTTTCATGCAATCGAATGGTGGGTTATGTCCCTGGTACAAGTTCACGGGGTTAAAGGCAATCTTATCAGGACCAGCTGGTGGTATGGTTGGTTATGGTGAGACTTGTTATGACTTGGTATCTCAAAAGGCTACCATTGGATTTGATGCTGGTGGTACTTCAACAGATGTTTCAAGATATGCTGGGACTCTTGATCATATCTTTGAGACTGTTGTTAGCGAAGTCAGTTTACAAACTCCGCAATTGGACATATCCACTGTTGCCGCTGGTGGTGGGTCTATTCTTTTCTGGAGGAATGGGTTATTTGTAGTTGGACCTGATTCTGCTGGATCTGATCCTGGTCCTGCTTGTTATCGTAAGGGTGGTCCACTTACAGTTACTGATGCCAACCTTTTCCTTGGAAGACTTTGCCCTGAAGAGTTTCCTAATATCTTTGGACCTAATCATGATCAACCTCTTGATATTGACACCACTAAGCGTAAGTTTCAAGAATTAACAGATCAGATTAACAAAGACCAGAAAAATACTACCATCGAATTGACTCCTGAAGAAGTAGCAATGGGGTATCTTAAAGTAGCTGTTGAATCGATGGCTAGACCAATTAGAAACTTGACTGAGGCTAAAGGATTAAGTACTGGTGATAATAATTTGGCTTGTTTTGGAGGTTCAGGCTCTCAATTTGCAGTATCATTAGCATCTAATTTGGGTATTAATCATGTTTCTATTCATAAATATGCTTCTGTGCTCTCTGCTTATGGTATACTATTGGCTGACATTGTCATAGAAAAGCAAGCTCCAACATCGTTAGTGTATGCTAAAGAAAGTTTGGAAACAATTGAAGATAGAGTTAATCGACTTACTGAAGAAGCATTTGAAGAATACAAGAGTCAGAACCTTACGCAGTTTACTACTCGTGTTGAGGCTTTCTTGAATATGAGATATGTGGGATCAGATACCCATTTGTTGATTCCCTATACGTTGGGAGTTGAAAAGTTGGATAAAAAGTTCATTCAACGACATCAAAATGAGTTTGGGTTTGTTCTTGATAGATCAGTGTTAGTTGATGATATTCAGGTCTTACTTGTTGTTCAAAACAGTGAGGATACCAAGGAAAATCCATTTGAGGAGTTTAGATCATTGCAAGTAACAACAAGTGAAATTGTTGATCCATTATATGTTAAGAAGATTTACTTTGAAGGTAAGGACTGGATGGATGCCCGGGTTTATGATTTAGATAAATTAAACGAAGGAAATGTGATCCCAGGTCCTGCTATTATTATCAATTCAACTTTAACTATACTAGTGGAACCTCACTCTAACGCTAACATATTGAAAAATCATGTTCTAATTGAGGTAGAGAATGAAAAGAAGCCAGATTTGTCTGACAAGGTTGTCGATCCTATTCAATTGTCGGTGTTTGGTCATAGATTTATGTCTATTGCAGAACAAATGGGTAGAACATTACAACAAACGGCTATATCCACAAACATAAAAGAGAGATTAGATTTCTCTTGTGCTTTGTTTGATGGGAATGGAGATTTAGTAGCCAATGCTCCTCATGTTCCTATTCATTTGGGTGCTATGTCCTTTGCAGTTAAAGCTCAAAAGGAGATGTGGGAAGGGAAGTTAGAACAGGGGGATGTTTTGGTTACAAATCATCCAAGTGCTGGAGGTTCTCATTTACCGGATATCACTGTCATTACTCCTGTATTGGATGAGAAGAATATCCCTATATTCTGGGTGGCATCTAGAGGACATCATGCCGACATTGGCTCTATTGCTGCTGGGTCTATGCCACCAAACTCCAAAACCATTTATGATGAAGGTGCTGCTATAGTCACTTTCAAATTATGTTCCAATGGAGGGGTCTTTGACGAAGCTGGAATCACCAGATTGCTTTACGATGAACCTGCAAAGCATCCAGGTGGGAGTGGAACCAGAGCCTTAAGTGACAATATTTCTGATTTAAAGGCACAAGTTTCTGCTAACTACAAGGGTATTGGATTATTACAGAATTTAGTGGATTCGTTTGGACTCTCGGTCATTAATTTGTATATGAGTGCCATTCAATCCACTGCAGAAGTTGCCGTACGTAACCTTTTGAAGATCACATTTGAAAGATTTGAAGGGAAGAAGTTGAAAGCCATTGATTATTTGGATAATGGCTGTGCTATATCATTGGAAATAAATATTGATAAGAGGACTGGTGATGCAATATTTGATTTCACTGGCTCTGGTGATGAAATGTATGGGAATTTGAATGCACCAAGAGCCATTTTATATTCAGCGGTTCTTTATGTATTACGAGCATTGATTTCAATGGATATTCCCTTGAATAATGGATGTTTGCGTCCTATTAAGTTCAAGACAAGGCCCGGATCAGTTGTTGACCCTTCCACAGAAGCAGCAGTAGTAGGAGGGAATGTTGAAACCACCCAAAGAATTGTTGATGTTATGTTAAAGGCATTCGAAGCAGCAGCTGCTTCTCAAGGAACTTGTAACAACTTTACCTTTGGAATTACCGATAAAGCTAATGGTGTTTCATTTGGGTATTATGAGACTATCTGTGGTGGATCAGGTGCTGGACCCACTTGGGATGGACAATCTGTGGTTCAATGCCATACAACAAACACTAGAATTACCGATACTGAACTCTTTGAAAAGAGGTATCCAGTCATAGTACATGAATATTCCGTTAGAACTGGCTCTGGAGGTAAAGGTTATCATAGAGGAGGTGATGGAGTAATCAGAGACATTGAATTCAAGTACACGGGACTTGAAGTGTCTTGCTTGATGGAAAGAAGATCTATGGCACCATTTGGACTTTTAGGAGGTCAAGATGGGTTAAGAGGCAAGAATTATTGGTTAAGAAAGACAGAAGATGGTGGTGAATATAGAAGAATAGCTCTTGATGGCAAATGTACTGTTAAGGTGTCCAGTGGAGATCGAATAATCATTCAAACTCCTGGTGGTGGTGGATTTGGTAACACTGGGGGGACAAGTTCAAAGTATGATATAGTTGAGCCTCAACCCAGTATTTTAACCGGATCTGTTGGCAATAAGAATCTTATTGAAACCACCAACTAATAGCAGCGATCTACTTGTGAAGTACGTTAAACCTAATTTACATTCTATTCACAATAATTAAAGGAAAGATCAAAGAGCGGCGTTATAGAACTCCCTACAGTTATTATTTGTTATGGTTGATGATAACAAATGGTTATTCAGGTGCAATCTCGCACAATTCATATAAAAGTATTTTGGTGTCCTCAAACTTAAGGCTAATAGGGGTTAGTTAGGCTCCCTTCTGGTTTTGTGAGGATCTCATTTAAGACCTATCCACTCTCAGTCTGGCAAGTCCCTAATTACAGCGGTATTATATGGCTGGTAGATTGGATCTCAACTACGATGTATTTTCATTGTTTTTCTCCACTTTCCGTAAGTACTATATACATTATTTTACAGATTTACGTGCTTTTCCCAGCATATATAGTGGAAAGAAGGCATACGACATAACCTAAAGTCTTTTAAAATTGAATAGCACCAGCATATCCTGGATGAATAGCTTTAACAAATTTATTGGTCTCTCGATTCTTGAACAATATCCTTCGAGACTCTCGCATAGCATGACACTGCATCTAGTGAGATTTCGCAGCCACCAGCTTTCCTCTATCACAGCTATAATACTTATCTATAGCATGTCTTTCTTATTACTTAGTTTAAGCAATTACCATGATACTGTGAGAAGAATCCTATAATACCTTGGCCAATACTTAAACGTCAGCTGCAGCTCTTTTAGAAAGTGCCTCTGCAACAAGACATCTTGAGAAAGATTTCGCAGCCACATAAGCTATAGCAAATTCATCATATTTATTTATTCTGCCATACAATTAATGGATAATCAGTTATTTGATTGATTATTCCGTTTTAAGTAGCGCCTATAAACCCGTTGGTATCTTTTTTTATAACGCTCCAATCTATATAGATCTTTTCTAGTGCTTTAGATCACTATACCCAGATTCAAAGATATCTTCTAAAACAGATAAATATTATTTACAATGATGTCAAGTAAATCAATCATAATACGCTGTGCTGATATAAATCCGTTTACTCAATCTTTATTATAAGAAGAGGATGATAAATTATCAGCATCAACTCGTTTAGCTGAGTTGTAGTAAGATCAGCCGGTGATATTACTCAAACCTATATACACACTTGAATCGAAAAGCTTTCTTTTTTGTTGCACTATATAATACCAGCTACAAACTCAGACAGATTTTTGATTTATGATTTCAGTTTACTATAAAGTCAGAGTAGTGGTTCATATAATACTTGGATGGGGTAAAACAGCCAATTGTGGTTCATTTGGTTTTAAGTATTCAGACGATCAAACACGATGGAAGTAGAATATTTGATTGTAGATTACTTGATTGGTCCATTCGATATCAAGAGGTGAGAATTAAACATAAACGTAAATAGAGTACGCAGTGTAGTAGAGCACAGTCATGGAGTCCACTACAGTGCAGTTCAGACTATAGAGATGTTTGATTAGTTAGCTAGCAGTGGTAGAAGTATAACCCTCTTGCCATTTTATCTAAGCCGACCAACATTATCATCTGAATCTGTACACTATAGGAGCATGGCCTATGTCAACAGCTTATGTATTGTTTGGAAAAGATGAAGAGACAAAACACCATTCCTCATAAAGTTTTCGCGCAACGAAGGAAAGAAAAATATAAACAGACCCCTAACAAGTGCCTTAATCGTTGTCAAATGATAGGCAATATATGATGAGTAACCGATCGTCATCTTACAGATACGTCCAACTGTTCGTGGAGAAACAAATCAAGCATCTAAAGGAAGATGTTGTGTCGCTGGAGCAACTACAAGCGTTGGTGAACGAAGGGGTTATCACTGAGAAAGTCGCTATAAAGATCCAACGCAAACTAAATGAATATATACGACGAGAAGTAACCGCAAGGTATAGAGCACAGGAGAAGCATTTGGTGGTTGAACAAGTATGCAAATTAGAACATGAGCATGCCCTTTTGGCATCTACTCAACTCGCTGAGGCTGAGAACGCGTTGGGTCCACTTAGTTTACCTGATTTCGATCGGGTTGCAGTTGACGCCGATATCATTCAGGAATTTGCAAACATTGTGGATGAGCTACCGAAGCGAGAGTATTTGCAAACGGCATCGACGATTGAATATACAGATGTGCTTAATCGATATGAACAACTACGAGATGATTTGGTGGCATTGAGAGATCTGTGGCTGTATAAAACAGAAAAATTGGAATATCTAAGAAACCTTCGTCGAGCCATACGGGCTTCGTTGGACTATGGAGATGATTTAGGAGGCTCGGAAGGTGCTTCCAACTATTTATATGATAGCAATGAAGACATGAGTGATAATGAACCAGCGGAGGTTCGAACTAGGGAGGAAATTCAAAGTGAAATCCACCAGTTTGAATCATTAATACAATCAAAAATATATCAGAGGAAATAGTTACAATATTAGTATATTTCTAGTGTTGATTAAACTATTTGAAGACAAACTAATATACAGATAATTTTGTTTATATTATTCATAATATAGTTCAGCACGCTTAATCGAACAAACCGAAACCCATGTCATCGTCAGATTCTTCCTTTTCTTCGACGGCTTCTTCTTCAGCAGCAGCTTCAGCAGCAGCACCAGAAGAGGCAGCAGCACCAGAGGAAGCAGCAGCACCACCGGTAGGAACGGAAGCCAACTTGGTGTTACCTTCAGCAACCAACTCAGCGACGGACTTACCTTCCAATTCAGTCAATAAGGTGGAGATTCTGGATTCTTCAGCTTCAACACCAACAGACTCCAAAAGAGAAGAGATATCAGAAGCAGAAGGAGAGGCGTTACCACCTTGGACCAACAACAAGTAAGCAGCTAAGTATTTCATGGTTGTAGTGATAGAAGGTTAGAATAATCACGTTTAAGCAATCCCAAAAGTATGCAGACTATTCTTTGGTTACTTCGTAAAAGAAGATTCACCTACAAAAAACCTTTGGTTTCGGTTAACCTAGTGCCAAAAATTTTTCAGATTGGTGATGACAGGAATGTCGCATATCAATAGTACCAAATGTCGCATGTATTTGCGTCTTCATATTGTGTGCGTTGGGCCATTTCCTTTATGTGACTGTTGGATATTCACGTGATAAGATTTGGTTAAGATGCGGGTTCCCAGCCCTCGTTCGCAGTACTGAAAACAGTACCATATTGTGTCTGCGTATGCAGGTCCCTATATGCCTGTGCAAAACCTACAGCGAAAATTTTTCAATCCTTGCAAAATCCCAAGTCGTGGCCACTGAGAGCCTGCAAACAGTATAGTGAAATATTTTACTACTAGCTTTCAAGTTATTTTCAGATTTCTTTTCTGATACTTTGTTTGAACTAGCACCGTCATAATAAGTAGACATCAACATGGCTGAAACTAGTATGTGCAATCGCATTAGAGATTAGAGATGAGGAGGATGAATACTGTTGAAGGGAAAGGATCCAAGAACTGTGACTACAGATGCAATGATACAATTATCAAAGGTTGTTCAATGTGGATTGAATGGACCCAGTGTATAAGAATTAGAAGTCGAATAAGAGTCGAATAAATTGTTGTTCTGACATGAATATCATATGAGTCCCTATTAGTTAAGTCGTTGTACTAGGGATGAATACTTCCAAATGATGACTTTATTATCCCCTTCCCGTCAGTCTCATAAACTTTAGTTGAACCAAATACTAACAGATTTTTAGCTGGAAGAAAGAGAACTTTCAAGTCCTTTTCCTACAAGGGTGTTGACTTGAAGGACTTATTGGAATTAGAAACCGAAGAGTTCATCAAGTTGACTCCTGCTAGAGTTAGAAGAAGATTCTCCAGAGGTTTGGGTACCAAGCCTCAAGGTTTGATCTTGAAGTTGAGAGCTGCCAAGTTGGCCACTCAACCTAACGAAAAGCCTGCTGCTGTCAAGACTCACTTGAGAAACATGATTATTGTTCCAGAAATGATTGGTTCTGTCGTTGCTATTTACAACGGTAAGGTTTTCAACCCTATTGAAATCAGACCTGAAATGGTTGGTCACTACTTGGGTGAATTCTCCATCTCTTACACCCCTGTTAGACACGGTAGAGCTGGTAACGCTTCTGCTAGATTCTTCCCAATCCGTTAATCTAGTTTAGTCACAATAATATTAACAACATCTGTATATTTTAATATAAAGGTTAAAAAGTAATATCTTTGTAATGTCACGGATTGTCACAGGCGTATAGTTGGTAGTAATTGAGCTTTAATTTTTGACTTCTCCATGCTCATCTCGTAAAGAGTCATCTCAATAAAGCATCACGATAAAAATTTAATCCCACACCTTTTCTTCTTCATGATATGACAGAAGTTAACCCTGTTAAAGAAGTGGCCTATGGTGCCATTAGTGGGATCTGTGGGAAGTTCATAGAGTACCCTTTGGATACAGTCAAAGTTAGAATCCAACTGTCAAAACAGTCGCACATTGGAGCTTGGAAAACCATCAATTCCATATTCCATAATGAAGGAATCTACAATGGATTTTATAAGGGAATTAAAGCTCCTTTAGCTGGGGCATGCTTTGAAACAGCAGTGCTTTTCACATCTTATAATTATGCCCTTCTGTTTCTTCATCCTAAAAGTGAACAACTGGACAGTGCTTCACTATTGGTGAAATGTGCAAGTGGTGGGTTGAGTGGTGTGGCTGGCACCATCGTATTGACTCCAGTAGAATTGGTGAAATGCCAAATGCAAGTGTCTAATTTGGTGAAAAAGACTCAACCTCAAAACATAACTTATGGTGCTGTTATTAAAGATATTCTTCGTACCGATGGGGTTACGGGACTATTTAAAGGGTTTCAATCAACTCTAATACGTGAAGTGGTGGGGACTGCAATTTGGTTTGGTACGTTTGAATCAGTCAACCAGTACTTGGAACAAAAGTACCCCAATAAAGATTGGACAGTTTTGCTCAGTGGTGCAGCTGCCGGGATAACGTTCAACACTAGCATCTTCCCTATTGATACCATCAAATCAAATATCCAAACTTATGACATCTATCATCCTCACCAAAAGGGTAAGGAGTTAAGTACTTGGAAAATGTCATCTCAATTGGTCAAAGAGCTTGGAATCCCCAGGCTTTATAATGGTTTGGGAATCACTTTAATCAGAGCAGTGCCAGCTAATGCCATAATCTTTTATACTTACGAATTCCTAAAGAAGAACTTTTAGATTTGGCCAAAATTCAAAAGATCTTACCGGCGTATTCAACATCATCAACGTTGAGTAGATCAACTCCCAATCTAAGTAATTCTTGCCAGTGTCCAGTGGCTACATATTTTGGCCAACTAATATCACCCCAGATTCTTGTCTTCAAACCTTTGGAGTGGGCTGCCTTTATAACACCCGAAATCTTTGATTTTTGGTTAGGGGTGAACTTTGGACTCAATTTAGCCCCATCAAAGTCTTCGTTCCCAAGAATACCTTGCATTGATCCACTGGCAACATAAGAATATTGAGTCCAATTTGTTTTCAGACCCTCTAAATCTATAAGAGGAGCATCGAGAAATAAGTATCGCTTAGATCCCAAAGCATTTACTTCTTCGAACGACGGTAAATTGCCTGTCCATGTAAGTATCAAGGGTCCTGGGATGATTTTATCTTGTTCAACATCATAATACGTTAGGTACCCTTTATCAAAGAACCGTTTCAAATACAGTTGCATATACTTGAAAGTAGACGAAGCATTAGTCTTGCAATCAAACCAAAGAAACATGGGTAATTCAGGAGCATCATAGAATACACTATTTAAATGTCCATCCGAAGCCTCAGTGACGGCAATTTCATCATTGATTTTGGGATTAGTATATTCAAGAATTTGCCAAAGATAACTCAAATATTGGGAATCAAGGGTATTATTGGGCTTCAAATATACTTGATTATGACCCACATAAACTTCATTGGTACTGAACTTATGGGTTACACCACCATTACGGGTTAACAAATATGGCTCTTCAAAATACCAGATATCACTTTCAATACTAACAGCTCCATTGCTTAACGCGGTCAACATGGGTACAGTACGCCAATAGTCGTTATGAGAGTGTAATGGTTTAGGCTCAACATCTCGAGTGAGCCATTCGATCTGACTACTGGAGAGTACGGGGCCCACTCCATCACCGTCTTTGGTGGTCAATACTTTTGCTAATTCAGTTGGATATGCTTCTTTGATCAGTATTACCAATAGTATAAGGACAAACGCCGCCGTAAACGGCATCCAAGCCACAAGCCACATGTTTTATCAGTGTTTGGTGGCCTTTTTGCAGCTATGCACAACTCTACCTTGTAGGTTGCAAATGTCGAGTATAAGATGAAAAGAGATTGTTCTAGAATCTTCCTGAACCTCCCAGAACCTGTACCAACAATCTATATTTATATACTTTATTTATATACTTTATATGTGTCCATATATTTTAATGTGTGCAAGTACCTTTGGACTGGAAAAGAAACAGTTGACGTAAATCAAACAAATTGCAACGTGATCCAATTATTCCGGGTAGAAGAAAAAAAGCATTCACGTGACATAAATTGCCGTTTGAGTAATATAGTGATACTATTTACCATTTCAAGTAACTTTGTGATACGGTTTACCATTTTGATATTTGGTGCTCTCAGTTACCTTTTTAAGTAATTGGTGGCATTCTTAACTTATGGATATGCAGTAAATATATAATAAAATATAAGTAATTCTAACTAAAAGTATTAAAATAATGCTAATCCGGCCCAAGACTGTAGACACCTTATTGTCCACTAGATAATGCATAAAAAATTCCTTATTTCTAAGAATCTCTTGCACTAATTGAATTCACCATCTCAACCACATAATGTTCAAGTTTGCACATATAAGTTGTCATCATCCGACGGCTTCGTTCCTGAGACACAAACTGGAGCTTTGATTTGACGTAGTGTTTTAGTTGTTCAATTCTTATATCCAACTTTTCACTTTTAAACTCTTGTCTAACACCTTCTCTCAAATCAAAGGATTCAGGAAGGGTATAAGTATTCCCTCCAAAATGACTTAACACTATGGTTCGGTCATCAATAAAACTAATGAATGATGAATAAAACTTTTGGCTACATGCCATGCCAAATAAAAGTGCGGCCACATATAACCCATCGTCTGGAATTCCAGGCTCGTCTTTCAGATTCTCTAACAATTCATAAAGTTCCAAAGAAACATCAAATAACTGGAAATACGTAGCCCATTTCTCACCACTGATAGCCTTTATACTGATAACCAACTCATCGTAGTTACGAAGCAAGTGTGCACTAACTTCATCTATATGATTCAGTTCACATTTTTGGTTGAAAAATGGAAAGATCCAAATATCTCTTAATGTTAAGAACAGTTGCGTAACAAATGCCGTAAGACTAACAAAGTTTGCTCTATCTCCTATCGATGTTTTTGGTCCCTTGTAAGAAATGATTGGCAATTTATTAATGGAATTTTCTTCTTCTTCTTCTTCTTCTTCTTCTTCTTCAATGCTTTCCAGCTTATCGGCCCCCTTCAATTCCACATCAAGAATGCTTTCCAACCGTTTGGTGGCATATATCAATACCTCAAAGTCAGAAATAGAATCTCCCTTCTTAGCCAAATCCTTCCAATGGCCAACATGCTGGAAATGCAGATCATCAATGGCAAAGTTTTCTAGTTTGCAACTGTCTTCAAATCCAACATAGGATATTTTTTTAAATGGTTCTTTAAGTAATAACCTCTTGAAAACTATATGATTAATATAGAAATCCCATAAAAGATTTGTTAACAAACTTCGCTCAAACAATTGACGTTTGTTCAACTCAACCTTTGGAAGGTGATTGACTTTATCTATGAACCCATTCTCATGGATTAAATCTGCCATCTTAAGATTGATCTCGAGACTTTTAGGATGACTGGATCTGATGGTTCTTGTTAACGAAATCAACGAATACGATAATAGCATTCCAATATCATTAAGATTATCCCAATATTCAAACACAAGAGTCAACCAGTGACTTTCATCGTGTATTGGATGCTTGAACGTTTCTTCCTTGCAAATCACTTTGGTCAACTCGCATACACAAGAAATCAAAGCATGTAATGAAGCACTATCAAATCTAACAGCAATCTGACTGAGAAATGAGTTCACATCCATTAAAATGCGTGATTGCGAATTGATGCACTTGTAAAATACCTTCAAATACTTCTTCAAGTCTTCAAAAGGTGGTAAATCATAATTGGCCAATTCTTTATCTGATAATACAACATTGATTTCAAATTCCTCCAGCTCGAATCTAGATGATACTGAAGTAGTAGTTGATTTCAAGGAATCATTATTATACTTGTTGTTGTTGTTGTTGTTGTTGTTGATCTTTTCAGCTAAAACTTCCTCCGGTTTAGACCTCTGCAAAAGGACAGTGCCATTGGTTAATGAAGTGTTTTCCTTAGGAGGGAATGCTGAAGAATTCAAATTGTCGTAATTCATCGACAATGAATCCGAAGATGAAGTTGAAATTAAAGTGTTAGAGGCAGCCTTATCGCTTTCAGTAACCTTACCATTATCCTGTAACACTCCAGTCTTGACCGCTTTGGGGCTGCTTGTATTGTTGTTGATAAATCCAATACTGGACTTAACCTTTGCTTCAGTATCAGATTGTCTTGCTTTTTCAACAATATTATCATGTTCTTCTAAAGCTTTTGATTGTTCTGAAGCTACCATGTTAACGATGGACATCCCACTACCGTTCCCATTACTTTCCAATGATTGCTTGGTTAATGGCTCTGTAGACGATGAGGTATCTTCATTCGTAACGGGGAGTGGTTGAGGAAATGGATAAGATGGAGGCCAGAGTTCAGGTCGAGTGGAATAATATTCGTAATCTTCTCTTTGAGAGGCATTGCCTCGAGACATATAATAATGGTGATGCTGATTTGGGGAAGGTGGACCCAATGATTGAGGATAAAATCCATAATACATTGAAGGTGGAGGACCATGTGGGCCAAAGAGGCCGGGAGGAGCTGGTGGACCATGTGAGCCAAAGGGACCTGCTGGAGCTGGTGGACCACCAGGTTGCATCTGATGATGATGATGAAAATGATTATGACGATGATGATGACGACTCCAACACCCTGCATAAGGTTGTGGAGTAGGGCCATGGAAGTGGGGTTGATTTTGGTGAGATTGTGGAGGAATTGCACCTTGTAATTGCTGCTGATGTTGTTGCTGATGTTGTCCTGGATATCCATAGCCCGAAACCAGATCTGAGGGAGGTATTTCACTTTCTGGTGGGTTTTTAAACCCGTCAACTTCTGAAGGTTGACTTTCAAGTTCAATTGCAGGAGTTTTAGATGGGTCCCGAGGCCAGCCGTTCAACTTTGAATCTGGGGAAGATGATGATTTTGCTTTTTCGTGATCATTAGTGGCAGTTTTAGGACCCATATCGCTCTGAGGAGCAGAACTGAGTTTGAAATTGTAGTTGAGAACTGGATATGGATTATAATGAGAAGGAGGAGGACCAGGTGGAAATTGAGGAGGAATTGTGGTAGAAGAATAGGGACTCAGTATTGAAGATGCTGGATGGTCATGGCCTTGGCCTTGACCCATAACCAGAGGGCCAGGATGCTGTAAATGATAGGCTGCAGAATATTCTTGCCGTATAGGAGGAGCACCTCCTGGAAGCAGTTGATTCTGCTGTGATGGTGGTGGTGGTTGCAGAGGTGGGGTACCAAACCCAGGAGGACGTTTCCCAGGTATGGGATAGAATGGAGGAGGGAATTGATGTGGAGGTTGGGAATTTGGAGAGGAATGGACGATTCCGAAGGAAGGACCAGGGTAGCTTGAGGAACTTTCCAAGAAGAAAGAGTTTGTTAAAGTTGGAGAACTGAGTTTCTGCCTATGTCTTTCCTCGATAGTTTTATCTAGAATGAAGGAGCTTAGGTCATTTTTGGAATTTGTTGTATTAATGGCATGAGACTTGGACGACAGAACTGTAGTATTAGTAGTAGATGAAGTTGCAGTAACTGATGCAGGAGGATGAATGATATTATTATTATTAGTAGTAGTGATGTTAGTAGTAGGATTATTATGATGATGAGTATTACTATGACTGGTATTATTATGACTGGTATTATTATGACTGGTATTATTATCATGAGTATTATTATGACTGGTATTATTATGACTGGTATTATTATGACTGGTATTATTATCATGAGGTGATTGAGCTTTAGGTGTTTTCACAGGTGGTTCATCACCCTTTGGAAGACTTCTCTTTCTCCTTCGTCCACCTCGAAGACTTTGCACAAATACACATTCTATTCCCAAAAACTTGCAATTTGAGCATATTCTGACCTTCTCAGTGACAATCTTATTCTGACGACCATCAGATAATGTACTTATAGGTTCGCCATCACATTTGATCTTTTTATCTCGACATGAGAGACATGCTCTCCTGGCGACTGGTCTTTTATTGGTGACAATGGACAGCTTTACCTGGGCCAAAGGTGGGATATCTGACATGTTCTTCTCGGATGACTCTCCTTAACTACTTTATTATAATGTATGGGCCCAAATAAATAATGGTGAGCGGTGGAACCCTCGATAACTTTAAAGTCAAAACAATTATATCCATAGAGGAAAGTCGTTTGCCGTTTGACTCGGCACCAATGACGACAGCACTTTTTTGTTCAATGAAAAGGGTTTGTATGGAGTTATAGATCGTGTATATATTTATCTATATATATAATTTACACTTTTGTCGTTCGCACTAAAAAAGCCGTATACTACTAATAGAATATAATAGTGTTTGTACTGGACGCTGACGTACTACGACTGCTAATTATGGCGGGGCACCAAGGAAGGTGATACTGCTGTACGCTGACATATCATTACAGCTGTAATACGGTGTGGTCGGTCCGTCGGTGGGTTCGTCCATCGGTCGGTAATTCTTGTTCCTCATACAGTCGTCCTATAGTTTGTAAAATATTACTACGATGATTCAGATAAAATATTACTGTATATGGAGGACAATACAGTACGGTGCATTCGAGATATTAGTAATACTAAGCAAGATATACCATAGCCAAAAGTATTTGGGGGTCCCTTACCTCTGTTGTTCGTTGATGGTGGAATTTTTGTAATGTACTCGGGATGGTGGCTTACTCTACTGGTACACACGCTGGTACTGCTACAATTTATATGCATACAGAGCTTACTTTAAACTAGTTAAAGCCTTTAGTGCGGTGATCTCAAACACCAACCATGTACACAATCCCTGCAGAAGGTGGAGATAGTTTTAGATTCCATATGATGCCGCACTCGTCTCGGCATAAAACAGAACAGCTCGTATAAACAATTAAAAAGTACCGAAAAAAAAAGTGCATTTACGGGTTGCAAGGGGAGGGCGCCTTTAGACAGTAATTAGCCTTGTCGTATCTAACAATTACTATTATTATTATTTTTATGATATTCCTTTTCTCGGGATCGGATGGCTGAAAAGCTATTTTATTTCCATACACGGGAACTTGTTACTTCGGCGCCTGTAAGGTGTTATTGTCTGTGATCTGTGCTCTCTCGGCACAAAGGGACTATTGTTCTCGTGAACTGTATCTCGCCAACACTCCCCATAGTACTGATTTTCAACCTTAGTTTTCTTACAAACTTCTGCCGGTGTCGCTGTCGGGGGAGGATCGGCAACCAAGAAAAATCGGGGTTTGAGTTATAAACACCTGCAACGCTTGTCACTATTCTCTTGTTTACGTCACTGATGCGTCTCGCATCCACTTACTGGAAACAGGAATCGCTCTGAAAAGGAAGACGTCCGGATTATAACAACATGGACTACATAAACAATAAGGGGGCATTAGCCATAGCCCAATTGAGCTGTTATTTTTTCACAATTGAACAAAAATTTCAAGTGTTATATCAGAGAAAGAACCTAAAGTCTAAAATGGTATTGTATTAAGCCTTGTTGGGCAAGTTCAGAGCGAACCAATAAATAAGTAAAATATTCCTCTCTAGCTATCTCATAGCCTTTTTAGCCTTCATCAATCTTAACATTTGTACGGCTCGTACGCTTGAAGAAAGTAATTCTTCCTTGAAATAGAAAAGAAATGCAGCAGTAGTAATTGATTGGATTAATTTCACACTTAGTCCTCCATATAACCCATCCACACCTTCCTCACGTAAAATCTTTCTAATCTCTTGATACATGGTTAACTCCGGCACTCCGCCTTCTTCCTTTACCTTCTTAGCCTGCAAGTGCATTCTAGATTTCAAAGTGATATATGGATATGTCAAAGCTGTGGCTATTAATTTACCAAAAGCTCCAATGAAAAACGCTTTACCGGGTGTGAAGGCCTTACGTCCTTTATTGGCAATAATAGAATTTTTGATCTGTTCAAATATGGTGTATTGAATAATAGGATTGACAACCAATACCAATGCTGGGAAAACTCCATTAAATAATGCACCAATTCCTTCTGTTTCGGCAATATGAATCATCATCCGAATAGCGGATTTGGATTGTCCAGGATCAGCTTTTTTTGCAGTCATAGTACGTGTATTTGCAACCCATAAAGGATTCGATCCAACACATGTAAGTGCACCAGCAACAGCTCCTGCTAACATACTTTCTAGCGTAGTAAGACCCCTAGCGCGTTTAGCTGGTGATTTACGACCCAACAAAAACTTGGTGGCAAACTCATAGAAATAGTAGTATACAAAGTTAGCCCAGGTAATCCCATAGAGAGCACTTTCAAGTCCAGAATAAAGTCCTAGAACTCCCTTCTCCTTGATGATTTTTTGAGCAGCACGATAACTGGAATTGTTCCTAAGACTTTTGATAATCTTGTAATGAAGCTGAGTGGGTTCGCCGGAGCAGGTCTTTGAATCTTCAGTATCCTTGTGAGTACCTGTTTGGGCCACGGTAGAAAGTGTAACCATTGGATACGTGATGATCATACTCAATGCTCCACCACCAGCTCCTGCAAGAGCGTGTGCTATTGCATCAGCTTCAGCCATCTTTAAAGTGTAATAGTGAGTTAATATCAAGCCTTATTAACGCGTGTTTTGGGCCAGTATAAATACAAGTTTGGGTATTGTTTCAATGAAAACAAGCACGCTTTCCTCATTGGACAGAGACCTTGTTAATGACCTCTGAATTGGGTCGCCTCGGATTCGAGTTCTCACATGATTGTGGGGAACACAGTTATTGTAAACAAAAGGTGACAATGTGATATGCCGAGGAAAAAGGTACACTAATGTCCCAAAATAGTAAAGTTGAAAGTTGTGTCCAATGCTTATGTAATAAATGATCACGTGATTGTTGTTTCATTTTATTCATCCAATGATCAATTTCACGTATAATCAGTTCATACATGTAACGGGTGCTTAAATTACATTGACTGCTTTTATATCATCATGGAAACAAGTAGAGGGTTATTCACCAAGATCGGGTTTCTATGTGTAGTCGCGATTGCCATTGGGGTGACCGGAAAGAAGCACATTGCCTACCAAAAGAACCAAAGACATATCCACGAAAGTGATTCGAGTATTCTTCAAGAAGGAAGAGATGAATTTGCAACGTTTGCACCCAGACCGGGGTTTCCTGAGAATAATCCTACGTTAAACTATGAGACCGAGGGAAGAGCACTGGCGTATGTGGGAAGAGGACTGCTGTATTCCACTAGAACACAGGTTGGTGAGCATTTGGGGTTGTTTGCCTTTTTAAAGAGAAGATTCAGCACCAGAGATAAAGAATAAAGTCCACCACCAAATTGTTTAACTTGTAAATAGAAAGAATATTTAAATTAATATTACATACAAAATACAGTAATGGCCCTCTGCCCTTATTAATGTCATCATATTATAATTATCATTATGATGATTACTTGTTGATCAATTCGTTGAATGCCATTTCATAGATGACATTATTCTTGATGAAATTATCAAGACACCATCCACACAAATAATTGTCTTGTAACTCCTGAAGAATCATTATAACGTTTGATTTGATTTGGTCATCCCGATTGAACAAGTTCAAAAGGAGTAACTCTATACCTTTATTCTTGTCAAATATGGTAAGATTCCCTCCATGAATGCTTGAACTTTGTAAACTGGTTGAGCTATTGGGAGGAATCAAATACGTTACCAAGAGAAAAATTTCCAATGATTTTCCACTGATTAAGTATTTTAAGATGTTAAACCATATTTCCCGTTCGTTGGGTTTGGAAGAATTCTGTAACCCTTGAAGATGGTACTGCAAGTCGATCATCAAGTTCAACTCGTTTCTCAAATTGGGTAGCATTAGCGAGTAACTCAATTTCCCTTCTCCTAGCAAGTTCTGAAACTTCTTTTGGATGGATTGATAGCAACTCACTTCCAAGAGTTTGTTCATGTCCGAGGTCCATTGGTAGCCCACTCCTTCGAGAAGCAATACCTGTTGCTGCTGCGGAGATTGGTGTTGAGTCAAGCCTAGTTGATTAAGAGGGTGGTGGTTGAGATGGCCGTGACCTAAGGGTGGTGACGAGGGCATGGTAAAGCTAAAGTTCTTTGAAGAAAGTAAAATCCGGATAATCTCATTGATATGTCTTCGGAAAATCAATTGAATGGTGGTTAGATCATCGTTATAGTTGAATAAACTCAATTGTAAGTTGGAAAGAAATTTCGCATCTTCACTAATGATGGAATTACGGAATCCTGAGGCTGAAGCGGCATTATTCGGATTATTAGGTGATAACTCCGGTTGATCTAAATGGGAAGCAAATAAGATTTCATTTGAATCCAAATCATAAAGCAAATCCCAAAGTTTATCGTTGTTCTTGAAAAATGGGTTAATCGTCCCCGCAATATAACTTTCGCATTTTTCAAGGATTTCAATCTTAGACACATCGATCATGGGGAACAAGTTATAATTAGTTAAGAACCCAGTTAAGATCCCGCCTCCAGTGATAATTTTAAGTACTAAAAGTATATGGTCAATGATATACCCTGAGGAGTTCTCATAACTGAGAAACAAGATCCTTTTCCCCGTAAGTAACGCGTTAATGAGAATGATTATAGGTGGGGTTTGCATTCCGTAGATCGTTAACTCGTTGTTGTAAACCATTTTTGTGGGGGATATTTTGGCATTTAAGATATTAATAAGATTAGGTTTAAAATTAATATCTGTAGGGTTATAATAATCCCCTATATTGTCTGGTAATTGGATCATAGGGATTCTTATGGGGATCTTCATGTTTTGGAACTTGATAATGGAATTGAAACTTAAATCTTTTCGGATAAATAAGTCCGTGTTGATGATATATTTTAGCCCCAAAATTTTATTTCTAAATTTTTCATCATAATATATTTTATCATGGATGGGCAAGTCTAAGATGGAAGTAACCAATAGTTTGCGTACCATTGAGAGTTTATTTATACCCAATGATAAGTTCTTGACATTTATCAGTTCATATAGTTCCTTAATTATCAGTAGATTGTTATCCTTGAAATATTTATCCAAGCAGATAAGCATCAAGGGTTTAAAGTTCTTGAAGAAAGATAGCTTGGTAATGATGCTTAGTGATTTGATCAGTGACCCTCGTTTGTACAACGTATCGTCCTTCATATTTGTCACGAGTGTGTAAAGGAAATAAGGGCTTTCTTCACAATATTTGCGGTCATAAAGATATTGAAACTCACCAGTAGTTTCATTTCTATAGAGCAAGAAAAGTGTAAAGTCGTCTTCCCTTTTATGGACCTGATCCGGTATCATAAGTTCCGGTAAGAATGGGAGATCTCCTGGCATGGAATGGGGGTATTGGTGAACCAAAATAGGACCTTGGTCCACATGGAACTCTGCCGTAAGAATATACTCGCAGTTTCTAGTCATTATGGAACAATACACCTGTAGTAGAAGTACGCAGTAGTACTAGTACTGGTGGCAATAGTGGTAATAGTACACACTAGCAGTAATCGTAATAGTACGCGCAAGCAGTAGTGGTAATAACGGTATGCACTGGGAGAAGTAGTTATAATAATAGTTGCTCTATAATGCAACCACCTTAGCACTCACTTGCTTACCATTCACTCACACAATGACTTGCTCACTCTTATTCTCTATAATGTCAAGTCTATTCTAAATATAAGCCGTCCAATTGTCAACTTGACAAGACTGAAAAATGCCTATTGGAATGCTCCAATTTCCCTTTTCCTATGCTTGCTAGGCGACTTCTTCTTTAGGCGTTTTGTTTTACTGCAATTTATTTGGTGATGGGACGCATTTTTCTCGTTGCTTTTGTGTCGCTTTATACGCCCTACAATAGACGGTCTACAAGGGTCTGGAGACTTTTCAATTTACCTTACGTTGCTACCATTGAATGCTATATGTAAGTGTATCAAGATTGTACTAGTGAACATGCATATGCACAGGCTTCTTCCTTATATCCGATCATATGGTTTGGCATGGTAATCTTTATACTAGTATTTATCAATCATGTTAAGATTGAACCAATTGAAGTGTATTGCATATAGTGTCATTTCCGTCACGTGACCGTATTCTATCTACTTCATATTAAAACAAGATTTCATACATAAACTAATAACAGTTACTTAAAATAATACATAATCAACTACAATTAATTAAGGCTTAGTTTCAAAGTAATCAGCCATCTCTTGGTCCAACTGTTCTACAGTCTTCTTGGCTTTGTTGGCCTTCAAACCCTTCTTCTTTTTATCAGCAGCCTTAGCTTGCTTGTTAGCAACTGGCTTCTTGGTGTTGGCACCAGCAGGTGCCTTCTTGTTGGCGTTACCCTTGACAGAAGCACCACCCTTGTTAGCCTTAGCTGCAGGCTTGCTGCTGATACTGTTGGCAACAATTCTGGTGGCCAATGGCTTTTTGGTAGGGTCAATGATCAATTCCAAGGTCAACTTGGATGATCCGCCATCAATTGGTGCACCATTGTACTTTTGTACAGCCAATGCGGCTGATTTATGATTACGGAAAATAATGGTAGCAATACCCTTAAATTGGCCCTTCTCGTTGTAAGTCAAAGACAAGCTTTGCACACCTCCAACTTGAGAATTAAAAAAATCCTAAACTTGTTAATAAAACTTATTCCAATAATACACCCCAAAAAATAATACATCTAGCAAATAAAGGCATCATAAAAGGTGGCATTTGGATCCTACTGAGAATAAATCAGGTACTTGTCGTGTTATTATCATGGTTGAGACTTTGAATGTAGCATTATTCCTCTTGTTCAGTGGTGGTCTTTGGCCCAAGTAAAAAAAATCCAGTGTTTGATGGAACTTAATCCATCTTTGAACACACACATATAAGCATATCCATCCATTAGAAGCTTGAATTAGCTTCGGTAAATGGATATCATATCCTTGGATAAGGTAGTCAAAAAGCAATTAAGAATTCAACAACCTACGTGTTTGCAGCTTTGGATAAGAGAAGACTTTGATCCAAAACAATAATAAATTAGCAAAACACAATTAATTACTGGGAGCTCGGTAGAAATAGCCGAAAACACCAGTCAAACTTCTATTCAGAAGCTGCTACTGAAAAAATGTCATTTATAAAATGACATTTTACCAATAGAGAAACAAAGGATTTTTTATACCATAAAAGAACCAAAAGGGAAAAAAATGAACAAAAGTCAAACAACCATCAGGCATTTAAAGCTGGTTATAACTCAAAAATGCATCAGATTAAAACAGAAACTCAACAGAGAGAAGTAACATAGTAGTAGTAGCAGTAGTAATAATAATAAACCCCTCAGTAAGATACCAGATTGCACAACCCTCCAAAACGTAAACGAAAATACTCTAAGTAAAACATACCCTAATTCCGTCAATCTTGATGTCACGGGGTAACCCGGAAACAACAACCTTAGTTGCATAAGTCAAGTCAAAGCCTGGCTTGTTATCAGCAACCTTAGCCTTCTTCAAAACAACAGGAGCCTTCTTTGGTGCCTTTGAGCCGACAATTTTGGCCTTCTTAGTGACACCTGCACCAACTTTTTTGGTTGGAGCAGTTTTCTTTGGTCCTCCTACTTTTCTAGCCTTTCTGGAAGACTTAATGATTTCATCCAAGGATTTGTCTAATGCGGACATTTTGTGTGTGTGTTTAAATGTTAATATGTGTGTAATATATGTGTAAAGAAAAGAGAGGAGATTGTTGGTGCCAGCGGGCGAATTTTTTTTTATTCTTGTAAAGTTTTGACCATTTTCCGTTCTTGTATATACGCATTTGGTCTTCAAATTACGCTTGCGTCACGTGCTCGCGGTTCTTAATTCAGGAAACTTGTTAGGATACGTATTTTTGTATGGTGTTGGTGTTTAGTTAAGCGATCACTATTGCATCATATTCCTTAGTGTTCACTTCCTTAAAGAATGGTTCAACAGGGTTCACGTGCACCATTTACTTGAAATTGAATAAGCACATTGATGGATTAATTACAAGCTATTTTACATTTGTTTACTTCTTAAAGGTTCTCGGGCCCGTTGATGTCCCCGAAAAATTGGATGTTGCGACCAGGCCCGAAAAAAAATTATGTGGAAGGAGGCTCAGGACCAGTGGAACATAATTACATATAACTACTATTATAATAACGGTTGTACCCATAGTTATGCTATTGTGTAGTCGGTACGTTCGGTTCCGTTGCATCATAAGGCGCCAAAAAAATACAAAACCGTAATTGTGATGCCAGAATACAAGGGCGTAACTTTTGACCATGGGTGAATTTTGCAGCCGTTACCGGACGGCTCTAAAATTCAAACAAAGTCCGCTCATACAAATATGTATATATATTAGAACATTGGCATCTATAAATAAGCTGGTAAATATTCACCAGAGAAAAATATATTAACACGATGTCAAATCCATGACAATAATAATGATAAAGAAACGAAATGAAATGAAAGCTCCATAGACGGTTCGACTGACCGAATAACCAAAAAAAAAAGAACAAAAACATTTAACAAATACCCACCCCTAGAAAAATAGCCTGTAATGATACAATTAACACGTGTGATGTGTGTGATTGTCTATAATTGAACATAATGAAGTTGATCATGAGAATGCTCATTCTTTATAACTTCATTGGAACCATTGAAGCTACGGACACTCCCTTGACACTCGCCTCGTTCAATATGAGTTTCCAACCATTCGGCGTTATTTTTAAAGTGTTGAAAGCAACCCGCACAACGACCCTCAATCATATTACGCTCGCTCAGTTTCGTACCGGGTGGGTAAATGAAATGAAGAGCCTTAAGATGAGTCTTAAAAGTATCTCTACGGGTAAATCCTCCTGTGGGATGGCATTTGGTACCAACTATTCCACCGGGTAATGATGGGTTCCGTGGAGCAAAACTAGCCATGTTGCTATTGTTGGGTTTAGTCTCAGGCGAATACTCTCCTTCCACCGCATCGTCTTGATAGAAAGGACAAGTGAATGCCTTTGCAGAATTATGTTTTTTGATATGTCTTGTCAAATATCCTTTGACTTTGAATTTGGCATCACAATGTGGACAATCGTAGGAGTCTGGTTTTTGTTTCCGTGATTTACGTCTCTTGGGAGCCGAAGTAGTTTGGTATTTCATAAGATGTTTCGAGTCTTCGTCATCATCTTCTCTTTCCCGTTTCACGGGACGGGAATCAAGTGAATTGCTTCCGTGAGCCAATGTGAACGGAGGTTCAACTGTAGAATCAAGAGGGAATTGAGGAGTACCCTCAAAATGTTCTATAGAACCTACACTCGATTCACTAACAACGCTATCGCGTTGTTCCAAGTTAGTGTTATTGCTTTGAGAACTACCAAACGAAGCTGTGGGAATAAATTGGTAATCAGAATCATTCTTCGCTAAATAATTATGGAACAACTGATCCACCAGTTCCATCATGATGTTAGCTGTAGCAGTATCTTTCTTGCTATTGTTAATTTTCTTGAAGAATTCATCGTCAAGAGGAGAAATATCAGACGACTGTAAAGATGAAGTATTGGTCGACAACAGTGCTGCATAATTGGGATTATTACTATTATTATTGTTGATGTTGGTGATATTCATGTTATTGTAGTTTGCCTTTTGAAAGTCGTTGAAATGGTACTCCAACCCAGCATTACTCATGTTCCATTGAAAATGGCTCTCAATTTTAGAGGGGTGTACTTGAGTAGCCAGAGGATATGGCTGCGAATGGTATGAAAAATCAAGAGCGGAGTCGTAGCCAAAATCGTACCCCATTGTCATGCCACCATTCGCACTATTAACATTGGATGGCCCCACATTGGAATGAGCAGAAGTAATGGCATTTATGTTGACCACATTAGGGTTTCTGTTTGTTTGATCGGAGTACTCTGCTGGTTGGGGGTAATTGTCGAATGAATTATTAACATTATTATTAGTAATGCTATTGTTATATGCGCATTCGTTGGTTTGGGATGCGGGTTGTTGGGCGTATCGGTTGTAGAATAAGTCGATTTGTTCGGATTCGTAGGAGAATTCCAAATCGTCGGCCGCACACAACCGTGGACCACGAAGCGAGTTAGAAATGTTCGCAATGCGCGAAGTACGTGGGAACAAGCTTTTAGAGGACGACCATTTGGTATAAAGCAAGCTGATGATATGGGAGAACACACCACCTAAAGTAGTAGTTGTGGTGGTGGTGGTACCAGTGGCCTTAGTGGTTGTGGTAGTAGCAATAGCAGGTTGTGGAAACTTACGGCTATGGAAAAATAGCAGATTATAGGTATTGTTTAAACCTGGGAACAACAACATGATAGAAGGGAGTTCATCTAAATATTATAGTTGGTCGTGATGGGAATGTAATAGTGATACAGAAAATGTATATAAATATGAATAGAATATATATAACTGTCTATATCTAAAATGGTTATATATTTGATAATATTTGCTTGGTGATAAACTTGATAAAAGTCAAAGAGCAAAATCCAAAGCAAAAAGGAAGCAAACTTGACGGTTTTTGTTATTTTCAGGTATGTATTTTCAGCTTGATGTTATTAATGATTATGAATGTCATTGTGTTTATCTTGACTGGAGCAGAGACTCAAGCGGAGAAACAGACATTCGGGAGCTAAAACGCAGACAATCCTGTACCGCGACAAAAAATAAAATTAATATTATAATAATAAAAAAAAACAAAAAAGAACAAAGTTCTGCAAGATGTCAGACAGTGGAAGGGACAAGAAGTACCGCGGCCCCTACCTACATTATACCGTGAGGGTTAAAGGATTGCTTCCATGCATTATACTCTTGACATTTTTCTGATCTGGTCTTCAAATTTCTTATCTTTCCTTCTTGCACACGGCTGCTTGTAATTATTAAGTATGTGCTTGGGGGTTTACGTTGTTCTCTACTGACTAAGAACTAAAACCGTAACACTACTGTAAACAGAAAAAATGCGCTAAAGATGTCATACAATGGAGGGGAATAGAGCGCAACGGTTACGTCAGAAAGCCCCAAGCGATTGTCATGTAAAACACGACGGCTAAATCTAGTACTCTTACCTATTATTAGCTATTAATAACCAGGCAAACATCTTCTTTTGTCCTGGCCTATTAATTTTACTATTTAGGGAACACTGGTCGGATGCATAAGCGCTGATCACCAGACATCCTCACCTGCCATAGGCGACGGAAAACATGACTTGAACCCCTTCAGACAAAAAATTAACAGATAACAGACCCCACTAGCCAATGAATGTACATAGTTCCTACACCCCTTCTGTTTTAGGACGGAAGAAGTCAAACGGCGATTTGAAAGGACTGTGCAGAAGAGACAGGAAAATAAAGGAGATGTTGCGGTTGTGTATACCTATCTGGGACAAGCTCGCGCGTATATACTTTGGTGGAAAATTGTGTCCAAAGAAATTACGAACAAAAGGTTGCAACATGCAACAGAAAAATCATACATGTCAAATATCTATTGGCATGTCACAATTGTAGGTATGTATTAAGTATATTGCAAACTACTGCTGGAATAGTATTTCAATCTACAGTGACAACACTGCTTTCGTTTGGCAGAATGATAACGAGTTTTTTTTGTAGAGAATGAAACGTACGGCACCGTTTTTTGAAGCTGCTCATTTTAGTTTGTCTGACAATTTGGGGGATGTCAAAACTCGAGCAGACAAAACTTTACATGTCGGACACACGTTTATGTGTAGGATAGTGTACTTATGCATTTCTTTCATCTTTCATCGGACTGTTTCCCGATTCCACTACACAAAAAGTATTAAGCATGAGGAGGAGCGCATCTATTTAATATGCTGTAATAGGGTTGTGGGGAAAGCACTAAGATGCGGACACTTTCTTTAATCAAAATAATCAAGGGTGGGGGTGACAGTGGAAACGACCCTAGCGCCAAGAGTTGACAGCTCTTTCCAAAGCCCACTGCAGCCATTTACGAATTAATCCTTCTTCGCTATTATACCCTTTCATTCATCCTACATGTGTGCTTATCTATAGACTTAACCCCCAAAAATTCCACGCCCATCTTGCTGTTTGATTATGGGTGTAACGTAAAGCCTCTGCACGTAAACTCCGATCCGATTTGAATCCTACATCCGAAGGTACTTCAATGAAATAAAATTGGTACTGTCTGCAGTTTAAAGTCGTCCACATTAATTTAAACCTCGCAAAACTTGCATATACCACTTTTTATCAGTTTCGTTTTAGTCATGTTTACTCAAAACAATACAAACGTACTTACTGACATACACCAATTTCACCTTTAACGTCATCCTGCATATATGGTATTAATCCATAGAGAGATAGCTAGTTTTTCCGTATCTCCTTCTTTGTCCGAGCCTTTGACTACCATCCACTAATTAACCAAAAGTGACTCCTAATCACAGGATGATTCAACTTTTTTGCATAAATATGAATGATTAGACTGTCATATGAATTTGACATGTTTGTCAGCTGACAGCGGGTCATTTATGTAGTCATTCAACTTTATGGTCTGCCCAATTAGTCCTGTATTTCCAACTGTGTCTTCAACTCAATTAACTTTAACTTACGCTGACGACTCTCTTGGGCCCGACGTTGCCATCTAACAGTAGCTAGCACAAACTTAGCTACAGTTGCAAATGTAAGTGGCTTCTTAACCTGTACCAGAAGACTATTGTTCAACCCAAACTTAATTGTCCGTTTCTTGAACCAACTGTCAAATGTCTCAAACTCTTGGGAGATAAAATTGTACATTGTTAAGCAATCAGCATAATGTATGAGAGCATCACGGTACTGGGCCTTATAATAAATAGCTTCAGTATTATTCTTATTATTATTAGTGTCAAGGAATGATGATGTGGTCACAAGCTCTGTTACATGTGCACGCAAATCCAGTTCACGTTGCTTTAATTCAATTACCTTCTGCTTCAACTTTTCAATGTATTGCAAATCTTTGGTCTGATTTAAAGTTAATTGGGATATCTTGGACTCTCCAGTAACGATTTTAGTCTCTAGTTCTTGAGTTTTAGTCTCCATTCGTCTCAATTTACTCTTCAAAGAAGCCGTTGTCTCGCCAGATTCTTTCTGTTCCCTCTTTAATCTTTCGTACTTCTCTTTAGCTGTCTCTGCTTGTTCCTTTAATTCTTCCAACTCTATTTTTTGCAGAGTAATCTTGGATTTATCTCCTTCACGTTCACGTTCAATTTTTTGAAGTTGACCTTCTAACTCAATTCTCTCAGATGCCATTTTCTTTAATCGTTGACGTAAATCTTCCTTTTCCCAATTTTCACTACTGAGTGTTTGCTTAAACTTTCGCTGCAAATCTTCCAAATCAAGCTCAAGTTGTCGCTTATCACGTTCAGAAGAATCTAACTTTGTTTTCGCCAATTCTTGCTCAAGCAGCACACTAAGTGGGATCCCAGTCCCAGTTAAACGACTGGCTTCAACATTAGATTGTTGAAATCGATTAACATCCCTTACCAAATCATCAATTTCAGCTTGTTTCTGTCTCTTCTCGCGTTGAAGCTGTTCTACGGTAAATTCAGCTTCCTCTAACTTAAGACGAATATTCCTTATTTGATCTTGCATACGGGCTTTTTCGGTCTCGTGGTTGGCTCTCAATTGAGCCTCCAGTTCACGATGTCTCCTCAAATCTTCCTCTATTGATACGTGAGTGTCCCTAGTAAATTGCGACTGTCTGGAGTGATCCATTGTTTCTTTAAGCTTATCATACTCCGTCTCATAGAATTCACACCGTGATTCTAATTCGTTGATAATATCCTGTAAATTTGCCTTCTCAGATTGTAAACTCAAAAGTTTGCTTTCCGAGTCCAATAATTTGGATTCCACCTCATTTGTCTTTTCGTTCCACCGTTGATTGTGTTGAGCAAGTTCGAGATTCCTTTGTAAATCCCTGTTTCTGGATTCCAACAGCTCAATCTGATTGAGCAATTCGTGTTGATGTTCAATATTAGTACTTGATTTATCATTGACCTCTCGATGTAAACGGCTACATTCATCAGAAAGTCGCTTGTTCTCTTGTTGTAACAACAAGAGTTTGCCTTTTTGGTTATCTGAATCTCTTTCAAAAGATTGAGCATTTTTAGTTAATTGTTGAATTTCATGTTCTCCAGCTTTTAATCGAATCTTCAAATCGTTAATCTCATCGTGCAAGCAATTTATTTCATTAACAAGAGGGAGACTACTGTTCTCCTGTAATGTTTGTTGGTTTAATTGACTGCGCAACCGTTCAATCTCGCTGTTCTTTCCCTGTAACCGAGCTTCATGTTCCTTGTTCATTTTAGTCTCTAGATCCAACTTCAGTTTGAAGGTATCAAGATCATTTCTCATTGATGAAACTCTTGAGGAAAGCTTATCATTTTCCTTTCTGGCTGCTTCCAATGCCGTAGTGAGATGTCTTTGCTCTGACTTTAATGAATTATTCTGCGTTTCAAGATGCCGTATTTTCTCCTGTAGTTGACTAGTATTTGAATCTAGAGTCTTATTCAAAGAACCGTTGTGTCGCCTAGATGATTCTAACTCCGATTCAAGCTGCCGTATCTTCTCCTGTAATTGGGATTCGGTTGTATCTAGCTTAGAACTTAACTTGCTATTATTATGTCTGGATGACTCTAGTTCTGCAGTGAGGGCACTTATTTCCCGTTCACTATCGCTAAGCTTGGATCGTAGCTCATTGATCTCATAATGTGCTTTTTGATCTGATTCCCCTCTTTGAGTGTCCAATTGACTTTTAAGACGGTCAGCCTCCAATTTAGATTGAAGAACTTCAGATTCAAGACGGTTTATCTCCGTTTCAAGCCGTTCATTCTGGGCTCCTTGGGCATTAGCCGATTCTAATAGTGATTCTAACCGAGTAATCTCCAGTTGGTACCGCATCATTTCTTGTTCATATATATCAGAAGCACTAGTGTTTTCCTTATTAGAAAGCAGTTGTAATTCCCGAACAGTAGCCTTTAAACGAGCATTCTCACTAGACATTTGAGCTTCGGATTCTTGTAATCGTATCAACTCATGATGAAGTTGTTCTGGAGTGCCGGCGGCAGCCTTCTTATACGTGGCCACTGCTACTTTCAAGCTGATGTTCTCCTTCTTCAACAGGGCCACAAGCGCTTCCACGCCTCGTGCTGAGGAGAAGTCTTCTATGAACCCTTCATGCTGCTTCTGTTGCTGTTGCTTGGACTTGCCTTGGCTGTTGATGTTAACGCTGTTAGAGGGCTTTAAAGGAGAAAACAGGAGATTCGTCTCGTCAAACATCGACGAGTCACCATGACCTCTCCCTACCTCTATTTCCGCCTCATGAGATCCTGTTATTGTTGTTGATCCTACTTCTGTTCTTCGACTTCCAATTGGCGTGAACTCTAGGCCGCCCTGGGGCTGAATGCTTGGATATCTCCTGGACCCCGGCGTTCGTATAAGTCTATTGAAATCCATATATAGTAGTAGAAGAAGAGTCGTTGTTGTTAATGGTATTTTATATGTTTGTATTCATTATTAGTGTTTATATTTCTTGTTGTATATCCTGTATACGAATTTCGCGTTTTTCTAAACTTGTATGCAGTATTTCCAAAGTAGTATACCAAGGTGTCTATTTTCTATTAAAGTCCATTAATGGCAGATTTAAAAGCTTCTACTTGTTCCAAGGCAGCTCCACTGGTAATAGCTTCTCTGGCTAATTCTACACCGTGAGCGAAATTGTTAGCGACGCCGGCGACATACGCCAACGCAGCAGAGTTCAACAAAATGTAATCGACAAGCGGATTGTTAAACTTGATGTCATACAAAGGCAAGTCTTGACGTAAAATGTGCAACAATTTTTCAGCATTCTCCTCAGGAGTCCCTGACTTAACTTGACTTAAATCATGCAACGGTAAGCCGAAGTCCTTAGGAGAAATCGTGGTTCGGGTAATGGTGCCGTTTTGGACAATCCAGCATTTGGTAGGACCGCATGGGGAAATCTCATCTAAGCCAACTTCACCCCAAACCACCATGGTATTTCTGAACGGTCTTCCCAGTTTTTGCAACTGCAACACAGCCTGGGCATACAGTTCGCCTAACGCTTCGCTGTAGACCCCCAAGATCTGCGCTCTAATGGGCATAGGGTTGATCAATGGACCCAAAATGTTGAAGATTGTGGGCACCCCCAATTGACCACGCACGTACGAGACTGCCCCCATACCTGGATGGAAAGCAGGAGCAAATAAGTAACAAAAGTTGGACTTTTCAACGATCTTAGGCGCAGTAGTCAGATTCACCTTCATCAAATCAACTCCCAAACACTTCAACAAGTCTCCAGAGCCCGAAGTCGACGTCAGAGCTTTTCCCCCGTGCTTACAAACAGGTAATCCCATACCGGCAGCCACAATGGCAGAAGATGTCAGAACGTTGAAGGTGTTTTGTCCGTCTCCTCCAGTTCCTACTATGTCAATGTATCCATCAGGATGTACATCGGCTGCGGCTATGGTGTCGGAGAACTCTAAGATGGTGGTAACAGCCGCCGCAATGTACTCCGGACGTTGGTCTAATCCTTTGAGTCTTAATGCGGTTAAGAATGCACTCACTTGAATATCGGATGCAAGACCTCGGAAGATCACCGCCAACACTGTCAGTAAGTCATGCGGAGTTAAGTTGGGTGGGTCTAAAAGAAGTGATTTGATGTACGGCGTTAGCAAGTTCTTTCCACTTGACATTGTGATAATGAGTAATCGTAAGTGATAATTATGTACTGTGGTTTTTGATCTCTTCATTTATCAGTCATATAGTCGTGCGGTAACCGGTTATGGATGACGGCATAAATTGCAAAAGCTTTTAACATACTTATACAAATATAAATATCAATATATACGAGTGAATATGTTCGTATGCATGAGTATAGACAAGTGAATATGTTCGTACGTATAAGTCTAATTGATTGTGTATTATAATGTCTCTGTATATACGACATTTACCTGATTGCGACATTTGGTGATGTTCTGATGAACGTGCCATCTAATCATCAGCACTCTCAACTTCAACCTCAAAAGTAACTTCCTTATCGGAATCAACATAAGAGTCACAAACACACCAAAGACTAAGTTTATGGGTTCCTGCATTGGGAAGTGTAAACTCCATATTAATCAGTTGTGTTTCCTTTGCAATGGCTATCTTCTTGATTCCATACAATTGCTTTGTCTTTTGATCACCAACCACAAGCCACCAGCTTTCAGACTTGGAGTGGGGGAACCTTTGAGTAACCACCGTCAAATCTTCCATATCTTCATCTCTTTCGATATTCACCGTAATCTTCTTGGGTTCATTAGCACGAATAGTGTCTTTAGACATTTGATAGCTAATCTCAATGTTTGGGTATTTATTAACGAAATCGGCCACATCATTTAGTTTATCGTCGTCCAATGTTAAGATCTCGTCTCTCTCTTCATCCTCCAATGCCATTATATCGTACACCGTCTCGACATTCAGCTTCTCACATCGCCGTAAGATGTCCTGGTTGAAGTGGGGGATCTGTTTGAGAGGTGAATCTTTGATCCACACGCCCTGCACTATCATCTGTGAGATGTCCATTAGTCTCATGGCCCCAAGATAACCTTCACTGGCCATAAGATCAACACCAGCATTTACCAAAGCTAGTACTCGGCGTAAGATTTGGTTCAAGTCCAACTGCATGTCGACCGGCAAGTGGTGATTGAGAGTAGTTGTCCGAAGAAAGTGACACTGTAACAAAATGAATATCTTGGTAGATACAAGACTAAAGTCTGTTTGCTGAGGATTTGCTTTGAATGGTATAGACCCATTTAGTTTTTCCAACACCAGAGGCTCTCCCATACGGACGGGGATAAATGCTAGTTCCAGACAGTTAGAGAGGATCTCGAGAACGGTTCTCCATTTAGTGGTGTTATTTAACTTGAAGAGTTCAATCATCGTACCGTAAGAAACATTATGGTACGACGCAATAATTGATCCCGTCATTGGTTCAATGGATTCCTCGTCCTCGTCTTCGTCTTCAACTTCTATCAAGTTGTGTTTCTTCAAGCCTTCGAGTGTGTCCTCCACTAACTCAGACAAATATTCAGATATCCCCATATGAGAAGTGTCCTTCAACTCATAGAAACTGGGGTTGACCAATAGTCTCCGATAGAAGTAGGTATATGTTAGCCAATCAATGCAATCTTGCTTGGAGGTGAAGATACCAGAGCTTATTTCATTCATAAAGACATCATGAATGTATTCAGTGGCAAAGCTTTCCACAGGTAAACCTTGCTTCAAGAACTCGCTATAGAACTCTGATTGGCCTGTCTCAGCAACAATAAGTACCCTGGAATCAAGACACAGCTTGGGGTTCTGTTTATCACTTCCACAAGTGCCTATCATCTCAAACATATCGTTAATGGAATAATTAACCCATCTGTTCTCCTTTTCATCGTACTCTTTGGCGGTCAAGATCACAACATTAGTAGCCAAGGGACAATAGTATGAAGTCTCCTTGGTAGCAATAACCACAGAAATCACCCCATTGGTGAATAACTTCTCCACTATAAGTTTATCTGTGGTCTCCATGCCCTCATAGTATATCCCTACCCCCTCAGATAAGGACTGTTTAACCGTGGCATCAATGACCTTCTCTAAATAAGGAGCCAAGTCTTCTGGTGCTACAGTTAATAAGTTCCAACTGCAATCAATGGCACTCTCTACCACCTGAGAACACACTTCAAGACAGTTCTTCCGAGTTGGCACATAGATGATGTTTGTTGAACCGTTGTAGTTCTCCAGAAATTTCTTGATGAAATCAAATGCCGTAACCATCAAAGAAGTATTCAATGATAGATCCTCTGAATTGTACAATTGGATCTCCTTGATGGTTCTAAACCTTTTTAAAGGGTTGAAGTTGAATACGAACTTCTTCAGACATCCCAACCATTCGCCAAAGTCTCTTCCGTAAACCAAAGGACTGGATAACCCAATGATACGCAACTTCAAGTTCTTCACTTGTGTGGACATAAATCTCATTCTGGTGATGAGAGATTCGTAAGCAAACGACATCATCCCATTGCCAACTCCATGAACATCATCAACTATGAGTAGCTCTATTTTTTGAATACTCTTTCTATGTCTCCAACGACGGGAAATGGTGTCAAATTGCTCAGGTGTAGCAAGAATTAAATGACTAGAATTAATCAACCCCAAATCTATTGCTACATCGCCACCGCCACTCAACTTGTTGATAGTCTTCCCTGGAAGATGACTATACTTTTTAGACCATTCTTTGGTCAAAGAATCAACCTTCTGTTGACAAGGATTAATGTAGACAATTCTTCCCCTATTGGCCTTCCAATGTCTCAATATAGCAAGTTCAGCACAAACGGTTTTCCCATTACCTTTAGCCATGCCAATAAACACATTCTCATCGCATTTGTACAAAGATCTAAACGCTTGAGACTGGAACTTATTGAAGCTGGAAAAGTTGAACGTCTTAACAAAGTCTTCAACTTGCAAAGATGAAACAGGAATATTGGAAACGTCCAATAAATCAGTGTATGACGAAGGTTTCTTGGGTACATGTAAATTGTTCAAACTAAGAGGAATTCTCCATTCGGAATGAAGCCAGCTTTCATTCAAGAAAGTGACATAATAAACTGGATCAATGGGGTCTCTTATGGGCAAGGAGAATTCAATTATGGTCTCTTTATTACCAAATTTCCTCATAGCAATATATTTTTCTGAATGAATGACGGTCTCTCCAGTACAATCTTCCACTATAACAAGGAATCGTTGTTGGTTGCCATGAAGTTTGGCATTCCACACAAAATCAGAAACAACTTCCACTTGAACTTTGAGCATGGACGGCGTTAAAGGTTGTAGCAAGTAACTCAAAGATAACTTGGGAAACTGTTGTAATGCTTCAGTTATGAGCATACTGTTCCCCTTCAAGGAAATGGCTTCAGCTAATTCTTCTGCCGTCAAGTCAAAGTAACTCACAAAAGGTAAATGTGATCTTTGTGTGGCCCTAATAAGTGCAGAGTTAGCATTATTAAATTGCTTGAATGGAGAGTCAGTCAACCACATTCTTCTTTCAACCATCTTACAGAGAGTCAAGGTGCATCTTACCACCGAAGCCCAGTTTTTCTTCAAGGCTATCTCATGAATGGCTCGTAAGAGTCGTCCTGCTGATTGAGATATGTAAATCATATCTGCTGTCAATGCAAACCCTTCCAAACGAAGCTTGGATATATATGTTTGAAGAAGAACATTCATTTTGGCCAATGGATCACTGGCATTCTCTCGAATGGGGATTGGACATCGCTCCTTGAGCTTAGCTATTTCAAGTCGTTCTTCTTGTCTAACAGGAATGAACTTGAACTCTCCTGACATCGAAAAGATCTTGAGTATATCAATTTCCGTAGACCAAATGTTCAACTTAGAATTGAATATATTCATGGACTCATAATTGATATAAAAATGTGAAGCAATCCTTCCTAATTCGGTGTACTTGATTTCCCCGGTAGTCGGATCGTATTCCACCAATTTATTATCATTCAATATGGTCAACGCTGAATGAACCAAGTCTAGTCTTTTCAAAAGTAGCAAATCATCGCTTTCTTCCCTGCCAACGAAATAAACCAAAGGACTATGCAACATCCGGATGTATAAATAAGTTGATCCCAACCATTCAATGGCATCGTTTCTGTTCTTGACCGTTCCCAACACAATTTCAGCGTTTAAAGTATCAGCAAGTCTGCTGATCATCTGAGATTCAATGGGCAACTGTTGATTCAAGATTGCCATGTAATATTGTAATTCTTCATGAGATGTGATGATAATACCTTCACCATGAGTATCATATCTGGGTCTACCTGCTCTTCCTAGCATTTGCAAAATGTCCTGTGGTGATAACTGAACCCATTCACCTTTCTCAGGTGAATAAGTATCGGTTCCTTTGATGATAACAGTATGGGCTGGTAAATTCACACCCCATGCCAATGTTGCAGTGGATACTAAAACTCGTATGTGGCCTTGTGCAAATAAATCTTCCACAATAGATCTTTCATTCTTATTTAAACCAGCATGATGGATTCCAAACCCATCTATTAACACTTCCTTTATGTTCTGGTGCTCCATTTGATCAGCCTCTTGTTTCAAGATCTCTTTGACCCCATCACTTAAGTGTTTCCTGTCCTTATTATTCTCCTTTAATTTCTCACTCAATAATTTGGCTGTCTTGAACGTTTCCTTTCTGGAGTGAACAAAAATAATTATCTGATGTGAATTGTCAAGAGAAGATACCATTTTCTCGTAGCATGCTTCATTCATGGCTGATAACTTCTTGATGGCCTTCTTCTCTTTAATACCAATAAACTCTTGAGCTAAAGGACATGGTCTATATGAAGCATCGAAATAAAATAGTCCTTTATCCAAGTCTACTCGCAAGAATTGCGCAACATCCTTATAGTTAGGTAGGGTTGCTGATAGCCCAATCAACCTCACTGAATTCCCACTGCTATCTTGTTGTCTTAATGTCCGGCTAACAATACTCTCTAATACGGGCCCTCTTTCGTCATGAAGTAAATGAATTTCATCAATGATAATCAACTTCACTAATCCAACAAAGGCATTCTCCTTTCTGGTGATAACATCCCATTTTTCAGGGGTGGTAACCAAAATTTGGGTCTCATTGATTTGCTTTTTGGATAAGGAAGCATCACCAGTTAATTCATTGACCACAAGACCAAAATTGGTCGTCAAACGACGTTGGAATTCACGCATCTGTTCTTGAACAAGAGCTTTCAAGGGTGCAATGTAAACTATTTTAAACTTGTGAATATTGAACTTATTATCCTTCTCTGTTCGAAAGTTATCCATGGCTCGAAGCATAGTAAGCATCGCAACATTGGTTTTACCAGCACCAGTGGGAGCACATAGCAACATATTCTCATCTGTTTGGAATGCAGAAGGATACACTTTCGATTGGATTCTGTTCAATGACAGGGTTTCGTTGGCCGGAAACACACATTGGGCCCATTGAGGGAGCATTGAGATCTTTACTAGTTCTTCATCTTCGGACTGAGGTGGAGGAGTAGGTGGAGGAATGGATATTATATCGTATAGTTTCTTATTCTTTTGAAATGAACCTGGAGGTAATTTCAACTTGCTTTGAGTCATAAGATGAGACCCTTGATCGAATACCAAATTGTTTAAGTCCACAATACGTGGTTCTCTAGTATGGTGAGTTTTCCTTTTCTTAAAAGAGCCTTCAGCTTCCGCTTCGGCCCCGGCTTGTCCTTGGACATCGGCTTCGGCTTTGGCTTCGGCTTCGGCTTCGGCTTCCGGTAGTTTTCTCTTTGGTTGAGTTGCTCTATGTTTGCTCTTACCCTTTAATTCGTCCACCAAATCATATTCCTTCAATTCACCCAATTCCTTATATATTTGGTCTAGTTCACTGTCATTATCTTGACACTCTTGTAGTCTAACTTGATATATCAATCTCCATCTGTTATCAAGACATGTCTTAATGAAATCAAAGTTATCATAATTGTAAAAGTCCATTAACTCATTCTCCAAGTTCCTGGTATCTAGAGCTTTATTCTTTAGCAAATCAAGAGTCCCCTTAGTTAAATATTCAATTTGTTCATTACTTTCTTCAGGAAACAATCTCTTGATCTCTCGTTGGAGGTAAAAGCTATCTATTTCAGATAACGGTATAAAAGTATTGTTAGAAACATCGTTATCATCATCATTAGCCTTCTCCTCTTCTTTTAATACAATTGTTTTCTGAACAGAAAGATAATCATTAGCATCATTCCTTTGTTCAGTTTCAGGTTCATCGTTGTCTGCTTCTTGAATCTCAAGTTCGTATTCATCAATCCCTTCACGGTCATTTTCATCATCTTCCCCTTCGAAAATGATCTGCGCTTCGTCACCATCAATACCGTCGTTCTCACTATCGCCACTCTCTTCTTTAACCTCATAGTCTGTAATTTTGTTTACTAAACTGACAAACTTATTAAACGCAATGTCATCGATCTTAAGTCCGATCAACAGGTCTATCTCCGATCTTTTCTTCGTGTTGGTCCACTCTTCATTCTTGAGAATCTCTACCAACGAATCAGCAGCCGATATCACAACCAGATGGCTCTGGTCCCCTAAGAACCCACTCATAACATAAACAATCGTATCCCATAATTCTTGTGTCACTTCGGACTTGGGTCGATACGCAGTACTTTCTAACGTAGCACCTAGGACTAGCTTAGCTCTCTTCTGATTGGCGCTCTTCTCTTCGGCCTCCTTTCTCCTTCTCTCTAACTCATGAATATGACTCGTATTATTCTTGTCGCTTAGGCTCCCTCCCATTTCTTTAGCAGAGATTCTTCCTACCATTGACGTGGGGTTGGAGCTGGGTTCACCTTCCATATTCGGTAGCCGCTCGCTCCGAATCACCTTATTGGACATCTGCTCATAATTGTACTCTGATGACATCCTTACAGTTGAAGAAGAGATGATGATAATTGCAACCAACCAAGTTCGATTCGTAGATGGAAAATATACTTATATCATTTTATATGCAGGATAAAGATGGGAATATAAGATGAGCCTGCATGTCTAATGAGCTGTGATAGTAGTAATGAATATATATACGTTTTAATACCTTCAATTGATGCTATAAAAGGATTGAGATGTATGTATCTATAAGTGTGGACTTAGTAAACTTTATTTAAGAAGGTCTTGTTCTTGAAGTCCCAAGAGTCATCGGAGATTCTTCCTCTCAATACAGGAATTTCAGAACCAGGAACATAGACATCTTCAAACAAAATGTCCATCTTAGCTTCTGGAGCAGGGTCTTGTTCAGCCAAAGCGACTTCTTCGTCAACGTACTTTCTAGCAGCCTTGTCGTAAGCCTTGATTTCTTCTTCAGTGGCAATTTCAAGTTCTAACAACTTAGCCTTCAAACCAGCAATTGGATCATTTCTAGATCTCATGTGTTGAACTTCTTCTCTGGTTCTGTAAGTGGTACCAGGATCAGACATAGAGTGACCACCGTATCTGTAGGTTTCGTATTCCAAGACCAAAGGACCCTTACCTTGAGCACACCAATCCTTAGCCCATTTGGAGGCTTGATAAGCTGCCAAAATATCCATACCATTAACCTTCAAACCAGGAATGTATTGACCTCTCTTGTAATATTCGGTCATAGCAGAAGATCTGGAGGCAGAAGTACCCATACCATATTTGTTATTTTCACAAGCAAAAATACATGGTAAATTCCATAATTTGGCCATGTTGAAAGCTTCAAATACTTGACCTTGGTTAGCAGCACCATCACCGTATAAGGTATAGGTACAGTTATTTTCACCTCTGTACTTATGGGAGAAAGCTAACCCAGCACCCAATGGAACTTGAGCACCCACAATACCGTTACCACCATAAAAGTTAGGAGCAAACATGTGCATTGAACCACCTTTACCATAAGAAACACCAGATCTTCTACCCATCAATTCAGCCAAAATAGCTCTAACAGATGCTCCTCTCATATAAGTGAAACCGTGACATCTGTAAGAAGTGATAATGGTATCCTTCTTATCACAAGCATGTTCAATACCAACAGCAATAGCTTCTTGACCAACAGATAAATGGCAAAACCCTCTAATCTTCTTAGCCTTGTACAATGCATCGGAAGCCATTTCCATTCTTCTGATAATAATCATATCCTTATACATTTGTAAGAGGTTTTCCTTATCAGTTTCAAAAGTCAATTCTGGTCCATTCTCCAATTCAAAGGTTTCAAATGAACTTTCAGGTAAGGTGATACTCACCAAGTCGCTACTTGAAGATGAAGCCATGGTTCTTCTGGCCATCTTAAGTGACGACCGGAGTCTCAATGGGAGTGCCAATCTGCTTGTGTTCAACATTGTCACTAAGATATGTTACGTAACGTCAGCAAACCTGTTGGAGAAGAGGATAACGTTAATGGTAGGGTTCCTTCTTCACTATATGTGTGTTTTTTCGTTGGGGAGCGGATATCTTTCTCCCGTGGTCACGTGATTAAGAGAAACGGATATTAATCTCCGGCTCCGGGTAACAACGGACCTTTGCTTATCAGTCACGTTGATTATCACGTGGTTTAAATGCCATTCTTTTGCACCCATTATAGCACTGTAATAGACTACTTATTTCATTACAGTCAGAGAGTTAAATGCATACGACAACATAGAAACCCAGAGCCATTTGCTTATATATATACTAATTTCAGTGGTATTTGTAAGCGAATGTATATTCTTCACCCAAATCGATCAATTTCTCCTTGAATCCTTGAAACCCAAATATCCTTCTCTTGTCTCGACCGGGCCTTCATATATATACAGTTACCCGAAACTCCTAATTTCGAAACAAGCTTTAAATAGTTTGGGTTCTGAGTGCCCTGTTTGAATTGCTCCTTTTGTAGTTGATAATTCCTCTGAAGCTTCTGAGACCCAAAGATCTCTCGTTTTTTCCCAAACCAAATACTGAAACACCGTTCTTCTTCTTCATCTTGAGATTTCCATCCATCTTCGTAGATCCGGGGGATGGTGAAATGACCATCGTGAAGCTCCAGTGCCTTCTGATTATCAAGTAAGTCCAACGACGATAATTGGCCCAGATAAATGTAGCAATCAGCGATTGGGATGGTAAAATAGTGCTTGAAAAAGGGTGCCCTCTTCCAAGTATGAGTAAGTAGTGACCGAGGATGAAGATGGTAAATGATAAGAAACCCCGGTATAAGCACTAAGAAGAACTGTGTGTAACTGGAATGTTTCTTCCGTTTCAAATAAATGGTTCCACTCTCAAGGGTAACATGGCTTAGGGCCAATGAATCAATTGAGTGTGAAATCTCGTCAACTTGGGAAAGTAAATTCACTTTATCTTTGGATATGGCAATCTCATGATCCATGTTTGAATCGGCATATTCATTAATATTGAATATGTGCATGTTTTTGTGTCTTATCTTCATTCTATGTTGAATTTGATGTCTCCTGTTGGCAACCCAATAATCTCTAATCATTTGTAAATGTGAACACCAAGCATCCCTACATTCCTTGTTGGCAGCTTGAAGCCAAATCTCTTCTCCAGATTCTAATTCAAGAACAAAAATTGCTTTCTTTCCTGCATTAGTGAAACCAGGTTTAGCATACCATGTAATAAATTGGAGAGCATCATAGATAATATCATACTTGTCCTCTAATTTCCGGATTTTAGTAATACAACATAAATCTAATACTCCACTTGCCTTGGCAATATGTTTAGCTCTTCTTTCGATTTCTTCAATTCCTCTTTTATCATCCTCCCATGTATCTTTCTCTTTGTCAAAGTGTAAAAAGTGGTTTCTTTCATCTGTTGGTAATGATGTTAAGACCGTGGTAACATGACCAAAATTGGCTTTATTTTCCACTATTTCGGGAGGAGGAACAGCATTATAATGTCTGCAATAATAAAGTAATGGACCACTGGTATAAAAATACAGCATACGATAAAATGGCCTGCCAAATGATCGTCTGTGGCCATTATTATTTGTCAATCTGGATAAAAACCCTTCACATGGAATGGGTTCTTTCTCTAAATGATGATTTTCCTTTCTTCTGAATTCTAACTGCAACTGATCACCAAGGAAAAGATTCAGCAAGTAAAGACTTTCACTAGAGTTTTCAATCCAGTATAAGGCATCATATGATTTAAAACAAAACCACCAATTCTCCGGGTCAGTGATGTGAAGATTCTCGCATACTTTTTGCTTTAGAAATTCTATTAATTTAGTGTGGAATACTTTGTAACCAACTGGTAATTCCTTGATTATCATAGCTTTATCCGTTTGAAACATCTTGGTAAAGCGATCATTAGGTAGAGTTATTAGGAGGGAACGCTTGAGTGTTGGAACATGAATATGAAAATCATTCCCATCTTCGAGGCTTTGTTTCAATGCAAGGTTCATTAAATATAGCCATTTCAAAGTACTTGTATTATCTGAACACTTCATAATGAGAAGATAGACTTTGTTTTTTGGTTTATTTTTCATCTTCTTTTCCAGTGCCTTAACAGATAAGCAAATAGTTTTATCAATGGCATTGTAGAGACTGACTTTGGGAGATTGTGGATTTTTAGAATTCAATTCATAAGAAATCACTGGAAAATTTTTGGATAAACTGGTAAATGAATGCATTTCATAAAATTCTATTCGAACAGAAACCTCGGATACTCTTCTTAATATAACTTGGTATTCACGCCATCGATCAACAACTTGGTATTGATGACTAGTACTAGCATCATAGTATCTTGTGGTGGTATCATTAGTTGTCTCAATTAAAACAAGCATTTTCCCCGATCTAATAACCTCTCCATTCTTATAATCATTCAAAAGAGTGCTGTAGATTCGTCTATGCAATTGGTGATGTAATTCCTTGGATTCATCTTTTGAGTTTCTATGCAATTTCCTCATGAGCCGTTGTTTAAGTACTCTTCTTTTGTAGCCACTCAACCATGCCAGAGTCTCCAGATCTGTGATTCCCCTAATTAAATGATACTGTTTCAGAGGTGATGAATAATCCTCGGCAACACAGACTTCTTCATCAATGATTTCCGTTTGAGGTTGCGGTTCTTGGAATGTCATTTTCAGTTTCTTTGAACCTAAAGTTTGCTTCGTAGAAAACCGTACAAGTCTCTCATTGTTTCTTTGTTGAAGACATGGTGAATCTGGAGCCTCAAGGATTCCAACTTGGGTTGATATTGGTTCGTATTCATTTATGATCAGAGATGGTACCAGAGAACCATCATTATCTTCTTCTTGTTGTTCTTCATCTACAGCCACGAAGGACCCTAAAGGTGACTCTTCCATTGCTAAAGGAGTCAAGCTATGTTTCAGCGGTGGAGAGGCAGTATCGGAATTAAATGCTGTAGTTTGTTCTGAATTCAAATTTGAACTTATTTCCAGGGGATCTTCGTTTCTTCTTAGGCCAAATGATTGGTCAAACCTCGATTCATCCTCTGAAGACGGATCATCAACAGTTGGACAGTTGTCTTCATCCTCGGCAGCAATCCAATTGTGTAGGATATGTTCAACTTGATGGTTATTGCTTAGATAGATATTAAATCCGTGGGTATTCAACGGGGTTGCTATACTGGTATCATTATTAGTAGTAGCAACTTTATTATCATTAGCACTGTTGTTATCAATATTAGCTTCTGGGTTTGTGGATTGCCACTTCTCAAGGACGGTTTGCAATTTACTCTTAACTATTCGACGTCGGTACCTTTGCTTCCCGGCATGTCTTAACGAGTCCACGTGCCATATGTTCGGGATCGGGCCATAGAATTGACTTGATGATATCCGAGATATGAGGTTTGGGTTCTCACCTAAATACGCGAGTCGGAACGCAGTTAACGATGCTAAAGGAATATGTCGTAACCCATCACCAACATCGTTAGAGCTCATTTGAGTAAGGAATGGTCTACGTATAGAAAGAATGAACAACGATAAAAATAAACTTCAAAGTAAAAAATATCTACTATAAACAGAGACGGAAAAACATCAACTCACAACACACTGTGTGAGAGAGTAAGTAGTACATACGTAGAAAACCAAGCGATCGATCGATTTATATAACATCGTCATCATTGGCACCCACAGCCAATCCTTCTGTAGTCATGTTATCCGGAGGAGATATGCTAGGAACAAATTCTAACGCAATATAACCAATACCAACTATAAACACTAATGTGCTAGCTACTATACGGAACACACCTGAGCCATTGATAAGAAGGGCAACTACGGTGTAGAAAACACCTCTGCCAGCAAAGGAGAAGAGAAAGGATCCATATGTTTGAGTCTCTGGTGGTACTCTGAATTCAAGGCCTCCAATTATTGCCCCAAATACAATCACATATAAAGCAGCAATAAATCCATGGAAACTGCTGAAAAGTTGTAAAAGTCCTGCTAAACACTGTATAATGGAGCCATAGTTAGTATAACCATTCGTGAAGTATATATGTATACCAGTTGACACTTGGTGCACCTCCTAGTGCAATGTAGTCTTGGGTACATACCGAAAGTCCGGCAACAAGTAGGTTCACTATCTTGAACACTCCCGTGTAGTCTTCCAGACCTGCTAGAGAATCCAATTGAACCATTATTGTTAGTCTTCTTTGATGTTAAAGGGTCACGCTACTATTGTTATCGTTCTTTTGTTCGGTTCATTCACTTTGCATCAACTGGTACACGTCAACTCATGGTAGCCCCACCCTAACTGAACTGAACTGACTACACTGTTGGCATAGCGATACCAATGAACGTAAAGCCAATGAGTATGCCCAACAATTGACCTATTGAACTTGCGTCAGCTGATCCAATAGAATGAAAATTGCTATATTTATCCTATGGCGGTCATTTATGAAGTAGATAACAGGCTTCGGTGTAGCACACTTGTTTTGTCTTAGGGGGTTTTGGTGCACGGGGCTAAGAGTTCATTGTTTCACCATTGAATATGATGAGACTAGCAATAAACTATGAGCTCTTATATAGCTGAAGTAGCTTAGCCAGGCAGTACTTTTGAATTGCTACAGTACGGGAGAGAATTATAAGTGACAAATAATACTGAAAGAAGTGCAAATATTTTTCTATAAAAGTGGAGTATTATGAATAAACTAAGTCAAGAATTTTCAGATATAAATTCCATTTATTCTTTCAATTGCAACTCATCAAACAATAATAGCATTTATAAGTAAGAAGAAAGTACAATATGTGAAATAAACTATTAACCAAGGTCTATACCTGATGCTTGATGTAATTTTTTTTGAAAGATACCATATATTCGTGAGAGAACCACTAGGGACTGTATAACTAGTACTAAAGAGTGCTCTAAAAGTAGCAACCCAAATATACTCTTAGTTGATATCCAGCCTGCCAACCGTCTATTACACACTGCATACCACTGTTTTTCACTCACAGTGTTAAGCACATAGGATCCATATAATGTCTTTAGCCTGTAATTAATGGATCACCATACCCAGAGACGAAGTCCTTGTGGGAGCTTCTCAAACCCGCAGTTTTGTAGTAGTCGTCGCCTGCACGTGCATTTCGTTTTCCAGTAGCAACATGACGAAATATTGTTTTCGTTCTTCCACGAAAGCGGATTTAGCTCAGTTGGGAGAGCGTCAGACTGAAGTCAAAACTCCAGTCACAGTTAATCTGAAGGTCCTGTGTTCGATCCACAGAATTCGCATTCCAAATCTTTTTGGGTTTTTTGCTGATCAACACCCTTCGCCATAAGTCGTAAGTGAGTTAACTTTTGACTACTCCTTGAAGTATTGTCTGATACACCAGTTGCCATATAATCGCTTGCAAATGTACGTAAGCGGATTTAGCTCAGTTGGGAGAGCGTCAGACTGAAGTTTAAACTCCAGTCACAGTTAATCTGAAGGTCCTGTGTTCGATCCACAGAATTCGCATACATGTATTTTTTTTAAAGCAATAAATTGTAGATTTTCTGCTTAGTTAAGATATCTTGTACTACTGTTGCATGCTTGGATAACTATGCCGCGGATGCCATCTAGCACCTTATGTGGATGGTAATAAGAATGATGACTACTTGAGCATTACATTTTACTATGTTACACAAAGGCGCGAAGAGCTGGAAATATTATGCTAATCTTAAACCGTAAATAACATCAAATAACAAGCTAAGGTTCTATAATTGACTAAAGCTAACAATGATGCATTAGGCATTGATTTAGAATAAGTCTTTTTTATATTTATGAGCAAAAAATACTACGTAAACATGATTTCTACCTATTTCCACTCCTACTACTAATTATTAATTCCACAATAGATTAAAGAACATAACATTTTTAATACAAGAAAGCGGATTTAGCTCAGTTGGGAGAGCGTCAGACTGAAGTCAAAACTCCAGTCACAGTTAATCTGAAGGTCCTGTGTTCGATCCACAGAATTCGCAATCTTTTTCTCCAGCTGTCACCTTGATATTTTTTACTCTGCTGAGCACATGCCTGGGCGGAAGTTCGCTGAAACAACGACTTATTGCAAAGGAATAATCCAAAGACTCATACATCAACTTTATATATATATACCAATCCGTAATCTATGTAACATGTCATAGAATGATCAGTAATCTATCTTGACAGTTTCCCATAATGATCATCACCATCACCCATCATTGATCACGTGACCACGAGACCGAAATTTGTTCGAGCAAAAGTATTCAGTCAAATTAATGCGATATGCAATAACATTACATAACACCCAAGTACACTCCTCCCAGCCACGCGTACTTAAGAGCAACAAAACCGAGCTGCTGCTATCTGAAAGGCTTAATTATCCCCTGCCACGCGTCTTCCAGGATGAAACAGCCAGATATGGAGGGGATTACGGGGCAAAGGCTCCAATACTTGAAGGAGTTATTCAGTTTGCTTCTGAACCCTTTTTTAATCCAAGGACAAGGAACAGAGACTTCACAGTCGGAAATAAAGCGGTTATTTCCCATAGAAGGTTTCACTTCTAGTGAACTAATAGACACGTCAAAGGTTCCCAACTTTCCAGATAATGAAACAAACATCAAGAAGATTCAAGAATTAGTTACTAGAGAAGTTTTCCATCCTCCCAAAGCTTTACTTAAACGAAAAACTGATACAGAACTTTCTGGAGTTAAAAGCAAGTCACAGAAGTCATCATCATCTGATGTTAATAACATTTCAACTATAGGTGTTACCATAGAATCTTTAAAGAGTCAAGATCAAGTTAGAAGGGAGCACTTGGAACAATTTTTAAGTTTGGACATTCGAGATTTAGAGATTGTTGCAATGCCTGAAATATACCCTATCAAACCACACAATGTATCGTCTTTGACCGAGCTTTATTATCTTACCCAAACTTTACCTTTGACTAAGTTAATCCCTGCATGCCATAAGACGTTAATGACGGAGAACTTTGAGTTGGCTTTACTCGAAGGTAAAATAGCAGTGCTATATTCAAGAATAGAAGAACTAAAACGTCAGAAGAAGTGGTCATTACGTCAACCTATGCGTTATTACGATCCAATGAGGTATTCATATCCAAAAGCAGCCATAACTGATCATATTGAAGATATGGAAGCAAATAAGCGATCTACACCACAAGCAAAGAAATCTCATTGGGACTTCTTACTTGAAGAAGGGAAGTGGATGGCTGTAGACTTCAAGGAGTCCTTCAAATTCAAGAAAGCTTGTGCTGTGATGTTGGCCCATGCAGTTCAAGAGTATTGGAAATATGGTAAAGTAGTCTGTATCAAGAGGAAACGTATAAAACATTTATCGGATAAAGAAATCGCAGCTATTAATAATAATAGCGTTACACAGAAGGGAGAAAGTGAATTAGATTCGATTGAAGTGGAGGAAGAAGAAGAAGAAAAATTAGTTGAAATTGATATAGATATGGAGCCAAATGATGAAGGTAATAATGATGAAGATGATGAAGAAATGGGTAGTGCAAATGATGAAGAATTACCCTCAACTAGAGAAGATTCAATAATTAAGAACGAAGAAAAAATAATGACAGTTGATGTTCCTGAACTTCTAAAGCCTTCCTCTCAGGATATAATCTCATTCATTCCCAAACCACCAACATTCACTGCAGAGGAGGTTGAAAGACTTCGAGGAGAAGAGCAAAAAAATCAATTCCCATTCAAAACCCATATCAATTTGAACGATTTGAAGAAGATAGACCAATCTATTATACGCAACATACCAAAGTTTACGGCTTTTGATGAAGTTCCAAATCCAGTTCTTTCAAATCCAATAGATCAACCAATGATTCCTATATCCCGTTTATTACATCCCATGGAAGAGAATGATAATTGGTATAAGATTATTCTTCGTAAGGAGCACCAAGATAAGGGCACAGGAACAGCAAAATCCACCAATACTTTACCAGAGTATCAAAAGGGTTTATTTGGGTTTCAATCCCATCGTCGTTTTAATTTCTTGAAACCACCAAAGCCTCCGCTTGTTAAAAATATTGAATTCAGATCTCCAACTATTTGGTTACCAAGTGACGATAGAAAATTAATTCATTATGTTGCTGAGTTTTGTTTCAATTGGGAATTAATATCTGAGCATTTGCTGGCCTCAGCTACCTCATTAAAGCGTTATGAATCTAATATAGAAAGAAGGACCCCTTGGCAATGTTTTGAAAGGTATATTCAATTAAATGAGAAATTCCAATTCAGCGATATGAAGGGTCCATACTCTTACCAAGCACAAATGTGGTTAGAACATGCCCATAAGGCACAACTGACAACAAAGCGGAGAATTTCACCTCTTGGTGTTGGAGATGAATCTATACAAAGAGGTCACCGAAGATTAAGATGGGCAAGTATGTTTGATGCTATGAGGAAATGTATGAAAAAGAGAGAACTCAAAATTGTCCAGAGAAAGGTTATAGCCTCTTCTGCTCAATCGAACGTTTCTTCTAGATCGAGTGCTTCCACCAATGGGCTAAGGAATGGAAATAACACAGGTACTAATAGTAATAGCAGCAGCAGCAGCAATAATGGCAACGATAATAATGGTAATGACAACAGCAGCAATAACAATAACAATAACAATAACAACAACAACAACAACAACAACAACAATAATAATAATAATAATAATAATAAGAATAGCAGCAACAATAGCTCTGCATCTGCAGAGGACAGCTCTACTGAAAATGTCGTCAAGCGGTCTTCAGATAGAGTTCCAACCCCATCGGAGCTTTCGAAGCTAAAATTCGAGAGGGATAAATCAATTCAAGAGGCATTTATGAACCAACAAGCAACAAGATCAAGAATGATGGCTTCTTTGGTTCAACAGAAGCAACAGCAATCGAAACAACCCCAATCTAGTGGTGGCTCATCAGCATCTCAATCTATTGGACCATCACTCACAGATTCTCAAACAATAGGTAAGATTTCAACTGCCCAATCTGGATCTCAATCATCGCAATCCAGTGATATCTCCAACAGCCGTACTGCTGTTCCTCCTGGGAGCTCTGGAGTTCAATCTAAAGGTCAGATTAAGTCTCAGGTGAAACCCATTCAAGGACTTGGCAATGGTGCACAACTTCCATTTCAAACAGGCTCTGCTAGTAGCTCACCTCAGCTTCAGCAATCAATAACCAATACTAATGGACTAGATAATTCAGTCGCAAGAGCCCAATTCACACAGGGATCATCTGTGACCAACAACAGTGGTATAACTCAGAAGGTTCAACTTCTGCAACAGCAACTCCAACAACGACAACAACAGCAACAGCAACAGCAACAACAACAAATCTTGACATCACTGCAGCAACAGCTTTTGTCAAATGGAAACGGTGCTCAATATAGTCCTCAACAAATCCAACAAATATTGCAAATGCAAAAACAGAGAAGACTTGCTCAGCAACAACAGCAGTTGGCCAAAGCAAAGGCGCAAGGTCAAGTGCAAGCACAGATTCCTATTTCTTCTAGTGGAAACCTTGGATTTGGGTCCAATAATATTGCAAGTAACACTACTTCTGGTGGTGCTAGTGCTCAACAGCAAGTTCCCATGAATAAGGTACAGCAGCAATTAGCGATGCAGCAGCAGAATGGAGTAACTTCATCACAGACCCTGATGTCCCCCAAAAGTGGAACGACAGCTGGGAATAAGATGTCTGGAGGTACCGGGATGAATGCTGGACAGGCTGTTCAGAAGCTGCGTATGCATTTTGCGCCTGCTCAGATCTCTGCCATTATCAACACGATCCAAAGCAAGAACCCTAACTTTACCAAGGAACAAGTGACGAAGTTAGCTGCGACGTACCTTGCGAATTTACAACAACAACAACAGAATAGACACACCCAACAAGTACAACAGCAACAGCAACAGCAACAGCAACAACATGGCATTTCCAGTCAAGGTAACTTGAAATCGAATATTGCAGTGTTGACACCGCAGGAACGAACACAATTGCAGATGTTGAAAGGTGGAAAGATCCAACAACAACAGAAGCAGCAACAGCAACAACTTCAACAACTTCAACAGCAACAGCAACTACAGCAGATGCAACAGGCCATGAATCAGAAACAGCAGGCACAAGCGAGACAACAACAACAACAGCCACAGCAACAGATGCAAAGAGCACAAGCACAAGCACAAGCTCAAATGAATACTTCTGGAGTAAATCTTGATCCCAATACGTTGGCCAAACTTGACTATGAGCAACGGAAACGATTACTATTCCAAAGACATAACCAGCAGCAGCAACAGCAGCAGAGACAACAACAACAACAACAACAACAACAACAACTTGGAAACCCTGTACTGCCTCAATTGAGCCAAACACTGGCTTCTGTGCCTACACCGGGACAAATACTTGCACAGAGCATCAGTCCCTCGCACTCACCTCTACAAAGCAAGATCATACAAGGGTTTTCGCCCGGAACTGAGAACATGGAGTCACCAGGCAACTCGTCTATTGGGAGCATCCCGCCCGGTAACGGTACCCCCCAGTAACGGTACCCAGTACAGTGTATAGAGTATATATGTGCACCAGTAAGGTACAATTACGTAAGCAGCATATAGTAAATCTTTATTGCTTTTGTGGCACTTAAATTGTATACCATTTGATTTTGCAACTTATTATTTGTGCATCATTATCATCATCTTCTTTTTGTTAACCACAGTTCCAATATCACCAGCAACAACCCTCCATGAGTCGACCTATCTTATCGGACATTCTAAGCGGTGCTCCGTTTGTCCATCTCGTTCCGAAACAGGACATGGCCCCGTTGTTGGTGCACACCAACGTGAGCTCCAATACCGATGACCTTGAATTACGAAGCGGTAGAACCAAGGCAGCGGCAATACAAAGAATAGAAAGTACCGAGGACCATAAAGATCTATGGAAGACTATAGTTGAAGACATATCCACTTTTGATATGGATACGTTAGCGGATTTGGAGTTTCTACGTGGTACCCGCCACCACAAGTCCAAATCAACGTCTAAACCAAAGACAACTAGCGGCAAGGTCCCTACTCTCAGTGTTATTAACGACGTAGAAGCTCATATGGATGATGATGTGGGTGCCATATCGCCTGCTCAGCGTGAGCTTCTAAGGGCACGCAAACTGGTGCTGGGACTGGTGCTGACTGGGTCTCATTCACGGTTATCAGTAAGGAAAACATTCCCCAGGGAGGAAATGAAAGCTCATCATCAACGATACACGCGTAAGTTTGAGTTAGAATTAGACAAGTCGAATTACAGACTACAGGCATATAAAGATGATGAATGTGATAATGATGAACGCCCCACAACAAAGAAGAGACGCGTTGCAACGTCGAGAAACAGCAACAATATCAACAACATCTCAATAGAAGAAGAACTTATAGATCTTATTGAGGTTATAGACTCACTGGAGAACATCACAGATCACACCTCCACAGTTTCTCTGTGCCTCCAACAATTATTCACCAAACTCAATACTATTCGTAACACCGAGTTCAACAAGATTGACGTACACGTGTTACTACGAATAGAAGAGCAGACATTCAGTTTGCTCTGTCAATCATCAGATACTAATTGGAAAAGTCTAGAACATCTACGAGATCCTCGGGCGGTGAAATCTCTATTGAGTTTATCTAAAGATTTGTTCACGGCTTGTAAGATCCTTACGCTTATTCTTAATAGTGACAGACAGGAGAAACAACTTTATCTTTACGACTACCTTGCATTGGTGATCAACTTTATTGCCACGTTCTGTAGAGAAGGGCTTATGCCCTTAGCTAAAGTGACTGTTCTGAATTCAATCATTGTCAATTCCTTTAGAGGGGCCTTTTCTGCCGTGTGCAGTGAGATCGAGCACACCATTGAGCTCTTGAAATGCCATGTGAACAAAAGAGAAGTTAACGAAGATCTCCTAACAAAATTGGAATATACAATCATGAGTTTTATATTTTCAGAGTCAAATTCAAGAGACAAATCGTCAGTGATTGGTGTGCATCAAGTGGAACTCTTAAAGATGTCATTATCCAATTTGTGTGCCACGATCTTTAAGAAGAATCCCAATCAAAGAAGTTTCATTCTAAGCGAGTTGCTCTCCAACGCATACAAGATTCCTCTTCTGAAATCAGCAGCTCGTCAATTCAAAACTTCAAGAGGAACAAGCATACATTTATTGACGTCAACATTGCTTAATTTGCTTCAAACATTTTACTTTGAAATTGATCATAATTATGAGCATCATCATGGTGATAATGAAACGAAGCTGATCTTGGAGTTGGCTCAGATCTCATATGAAGATGGTGAAAGATTTGCAACAGAGATATCCCAATATATTGTTTCGTTTGTTGCAACAAATCCTTCTCAAGCCAATAAGCAAAGTCTCGAAGTATTTATCACCGATTTGTTGAATATACTTCTTTTCCCCGAATGGCCGGGCGCTGAAAGTTTACTTCTTGGAATATTAACTTCACTATTGACAACCATTAGAGCTGAAAACGGACAGGATAACTTCTTCTTGGATATGGCAGGCTTAATAGGTGTCCGCCTTTTGACAATCAGAAACAATAACCCCAGTGCTTTAGTATGGAATTTCGTCCAAGATGATGATAACGATGAAGATAATACAACTGGAAGTGAATTAGCTCAAACTATAAGAACCGTATTGGATTTTGTTCTGCAACAGGGAAAGAAATCTCATTTCTATTTTAATGCTCTTCAATATTTGATTGTCAAATATCTTCATTATTTATTGCCAGAGTTTGACTCCAACAATTCTGAATTGAATGCTCTTCAATCACTGAGAAGTGGTGGTGTTTTTCGTAAGCAAGAAAGAGAGATTTTCAGTTTATTACTTGAGGCAAAGTTTGGCTTAGATTCAAAGACTGGTGCCTCCAATGCGTTCGATAAAGTCATGATACCTTATTATCGGTCAATCGCCACAATGTCCATTCATTTTGGAATTGAAGGGTTTCTTTCAACGCTTGTAAAGTGTCTTGATAGCAATAAAGCAACAGTGAAGTCAAGGGCTTTAAAGGTACTTGCAAACGTTGTGAATAAGGATTCAAAAGTGATGCTTGTTCCAAGTGTTCGGGATTGTATTTCCAGAAGGTTGTTAGATAATTCTTCTTCAGTTAGAGAAGCTGTTATCGAGTTGATTTCAAAGTATATACATTCCAGAGCTGGAGTTATTGATCAATACTATCGACCAATCTGCTGTCTTTTATTCGATAAAAGTATTCAAGTTCGTCGGAAGGTGCTAAAATTATGCAAAGGTCTATACAGTGGTTCCGAAAATCGTTCCGTACGATCTTACATGGCCATCGAGGTACTCAAACTATGCAAAGACGAAGACGAAAGCGTAAGGCAACTTGCAAAAGACACACTTGTGGAGTTATGGTTCCCTACTAACGATAAGATAACATCTTCTGAAAGTTTAAGGATAGCTGAAGTGATGATGGATGTTGTCTATAAGTCCGAAGATTGCTTTGAACAGCTTATCATAGACAGCATGACGAACCAGGATCGTCAAGATTCATTTGAGAACTTGATGAAACTTCATGTCATTAACATTCTAGATTTCGTGGTAGAGTGTCAAGATACCCAGTTTCAACTGCAAGTAGAAAAAGCCATGAAGTTAGTAGCATGTTTTACAAAGTGCAAACACGATTTGATATCTCAAGACATGCTTTCTTCCATCAAGCCATACATAATGGATGAATCATTGGCCAAGGGCACTGTGGGATACTACTCCATAGTAATCTTAAAAATCTCACTTGGGGAAATGAGATCGGTGCGTCCTGAGCTTCTTGAGTCGATTCAAATGCATTTGATGAAGAACCTCTCCAAGTATTCTTATACAGAATTGGTTCAAGTGGTCCCATGTCTTTGGAGACTTTGTGAAGAGAGCGACAGCACGGAGAAGTTGGCCAATGCCACGTTATCGTGTATTCAAATATCAAGAGAATGCATTGCCGAGTTCAAGAACAAGGGCCATCTAGAAAGGACAAGGAACCTACAAAAAGTGCTTACACTAATGAGTTTTCTTGGGACAGAATGTGATTTAGATAGACATCGGGATTTATTTGCTAAAGCACATCAAATGGGTTTACAGGAAAACGAAACTGTAACCAGTTTGCTAACCCGAATAGTGATGATGTTTTGCAGTTCAAAAGTGGATGAACAAATTTATACTGTTTCCATTTCAGCGTTGATGAGATTCTGTATTCACAATCCCAAGATGTTCAATCTTCCAATAGTTGTCAAAACTTTGGATAAAGTATTTCAGAAAAGAGTCCCTAGGGCCATCTTGTCTATCACTGATGCAATGCAATGGTTGATTGGAGGAAAAGAGTCGCAAAGCAGCGGACTTAATGCTCAAGTAAGAGAAAATATTTGTGCACGGTTTGTTCAACGTCATTTGCAAGATGTGCTTGATACCTGCGTAGGCTGTGAAACCAAATATCAAGCTGGGTTTTTCAATTTCTTGGAAAGCATGTTGAAAGGTGGGTTCAGTAACCCCAAGCTTTGTATTCCAACTGTGCTAGCCTTTGGAAGTAGTACGTCCAAGAGAATACGTGAACGAGCCATTGAATTGAGCAAAGACTTATTTGCAAAGCATGAGTCACTCGTGGAATCAAGTTATGTTGAAGGTATAAAATTGGCCGCTTCCATGGCAGCAGCAGCAGCAGCAGACCATGCAATGGTAGTAACTGTGGACTATCTTGCAATCTTATATAACATCGCAAGTCAGAGTATAACTGCACGTAAGAAGCTTCTCAGCAGCATAGTGAAGGTGATGTCTGCTAATTTCAAAAGTACGACCAATGCAAAGGAGCAAGTGACTCAAATAAAGTTTGTCACCCCAAGATTAAGTCAAATTAAATTTGCAACTATTGAAGAGGTATGCTTTGTCATCTACAACTTGGACCAAACGATATCAATTGGTGGAATGAATTTTGTTGAACGGTTAGATGGTGTGGATGAAGTTGATGACGAGCCAATGGTAGAGTTGGAACATCTACTTTATCATTGCCAATCGTTGATGTTGGTAATATTAATGCGGGACCATTTGGCTTCCTGTTACTCCATTACTCCTGGCCATTTGGATGACTATAGACCTGGTCGGTCCAATCAATCACTTCGACAAGCTCCTAGAATTGTCACCCAATTGCCCTTTGATGCCGGCAACGCCCAACTCTCGCTACAAGAGCCACTTCTGGCTACAGAAATCATGCGGGTGATTAAGACCACCAGAAAGATCATGCACAAGTACGCGTAAGTATTAATTGCCACTGATTATGGACCCGTATACTCCTGGGAATCAGGAATGAGTCGATCCAATTGCTCTCTTAAACTCATTCTTTGGTTCAAAAAGTCATATGCCTTTACTAGCCATCCACGATAAAGCTGAAAGTCTTGATATCCAGTCAGTGGAAGGTCTAGACCTAGGGTGATATTATGCAGTTTATCGTTGGCAAAGTTTAGCTTTTGAACCAACTTTGGTTCCATTGATTCCAAATCAACGGGGTCTACTTGCTGTGTTTGTTGTATTCGATAACCTTGGTACTCTGTGGGGGTTGATATAGCTGAAGAATATTCATCGTCCTTACGCTTTCTGCGAGAAGAAGTTGATGAAGTTATTTGGTGTTTCTTCTTAACATTTGATGATTTCGATGCAGATTTCGATGCAGAAGTTGATCGTGGAGAACACGCTGAGATAGCTTTTTGGTTTGAACACAGCTCATCCTCCTTTACTGAAACAGAGGGCTTCTCAGGATCATAGATTATCACATGACCATTGTTGAGTCTCAACTTAATGATAGGACCCAAGAGCTTACGTTTCTGCATGAGACGACGTTGTCGCAATTGTGCTACTGGTATGGAATATTCATCTTGTTCGTATGAATCGTTGGGATGTGGGTTTTGGTTAAACGTACGGATGTCATTAGTGAGTTTATCGTACCTTCGTTTCCAATTGTCGTATTTGCGGAGGATCTTGTTGATTTCAATGATGGTGAGGTTCTTCTTTGACTCCAACTCGTCGTAGTCGTTTGGATCATCGATACGCGTGATACTGGGAAGATGCCTCATCCAATCATATTGTTGCAAGAGCTGCAAGTTGTGGTTTAAGGTATCGACTTCACTCAACACGTCATTCCGTTCCAACGTCAACATCAGCTTCTCTTCACGACGCATTTTCCGATGGAAGTTGCCATAAATGGCGTCTTCCAATGGATCTATTTCTGATCGAAGTCGGGTAGTTGTACCACCACTGCCATCAGTCACGTATTCGTCGTCTCGGACCATCTTTATATTGAGACCTCCCTTCGTCGATGTTGTCGTTATCGAATTGTGTGACATATCGCCATAGAATCGAAAGATATCTTGATTACACCGGTCATTGGTTACTTGAAGCCAATAGTCCGGGTCTATGAGTATCCGTTGTTTCGAGTCAAAATGAAAGAGAGATCCAGAACTGCTGCTAGATGTTTGTTTCGGCTCACGGGATCTGAGTACTCTCTTATCCTTTTGCGACGTTTCCATTGTGAATCCTACAATCCGTCAGTTCATGTCTGGACCGAGATGTGGGGGTCTCTCGTAGTGAACAAGACGATTATGGTGAACTCAATTTTTCACATTTTGGGAGCGCGGAATCGACCAGCATGGTTTACCGTGCACTATAGTACAGTATACACGAGTACTACAGTATACAGCAGTACTACAGTACACATCAGTACTACAGTATACACGAGCACTATAGTATACACGAGCACTATAGTATAAGCTGGAAGTTACTACCTTATGATACGGTGCCCTACTGTTGCTCATTAATTGTTCACTCATATTACGTTCTTGCGCTACCATATGGACGTGGTATGCAATATCAAGCGGTGGTCAAAATCTCAACATCATTCAAACTGCGCTTGTTCCTCCAGCAACATTATTACTATGGGATCTCAGGAAGTGAACAGACGTGGAGTACGTTCGGGAAGCTTGCCGTTGTACGACGAAGAGAAAACCACAAAAGGATATCACCGCAGCAATATCAATTCTAATAGTCATGACTCAACCCGTGGCTCTTCTTTCGGTTCTGGGTTCTTTCGGTCGTGTCATCTTAAGACAATACTTGTGATTGTGGGACTCATACTTTCGGTCGTAAACTATTGTGAACGGGTCTATCCTCGGAAAGTCATAGAAAAGTGCCAATGGAACCGATGGGAGACCTGGGACCAAAAGAATGATGATGATGTTACAGCTGCTCCGTCCAGGGTATTGCTTATAGCCGATCCTCAGATTTTAGATCACTATTCATACCCTGGAAGACCATCGTGGATTCGGTACTGGACCACTAAATTGGGCGACAATTATCTTCATCGGAACTATGTGTATCTACAAGACGTTTTGGATGCGGGTACTACGATCTTCTTGGGGGATAATTTTGATGGTGGAAGAGAACAGCCGTCTGACACTGATTGGCTCACTGAGTACCGTAGATTTATGGATCTTTATCCTCAAAAAGTTAACCGAAGATATTACACCAATGTTCCCGGGAACCATGACATTGGGTTCCAGACCATCAACAAGGCATATGCTCAACGATTCGATACGTTTTTCGGCGATGCAAACCAATTTGTTGAAATCGGTAACCATTCGTTCGTTTGGCTAGACACCATTTCGCTTCTTCATGAAGATCCAGACATCAATGGTCGAGCAAAAGAGTTTCTTAATGAGGTCAACAATCTTCTAAATCCTCAATTCCCTCGCATCTTGTTATCTCATGTTCCCTTGTTCCGAAACAACCAGAACCAATTGTGTGGTCCCTTGAGAGAGTCGTCCAAAAAATTCCCACTACAAAAAGGTTTACAATATCAAACGGTTATTGACTACGAAGTTTCCCAGTTGGTTCTAGGCAAGCTACACCCCACTTTGGTGTTTGCTGGAGATGATCATGATTACTGTGAGATTGAGCAAACGTTCAAGTACAATGGGAAATCGATTTCAGCTAAAGAAATCACCGTCAAGTCGGCGTCAATGAATATGGGAATTAAACGACCTGCAGTGCAGTTACTTTCATTGAACAACCCATATAATCCTAATCCTAAGACTACAACTGATGATTTACTTTCCGAAACTTATCAAACAGAAATGTGTTATTTGCCAGATCCATTCCATACTATTCAATACGGGCTATTGACAGTTTCCATGATAATACTTGTGTTGTATGCAATTTGTCTTCAACCTAGAAAGACCAGGACCTTTTTGATTCGGATGCGGTTACGGAATAATGTCGTTGACGACTTTGATGACGATAATAAATGGAGACCCAAATATGGTGGTTCATCTGAAAGTAACTTGAGAGCATTCCTTGTATATACCTTTGTTACCATTTCAAGTTTCCTTTTGATATTTGCGTTGTATATTATTTGAAGTTGAACACTTTATCCAAATAACTGGTATTGAAATCTGTCCGCTTGATAATATATTGTCTTAGGGTAAAAGGCTTTAGATTCACCAATTGACCTTCTGCAATCAACGAGTTGATCAAATTAGGGTGAACAGTGAATAAATTGACGATCTCTCTTAATAGCTGGAAACTTTCACTAAGTTCAGGAATATTCCAATGATCGATGATTGATTGATATTTGATAACATCTTTAGTTAGAATAATCCCACCAGTGGAATTGACAGGGAATTTCTTATAATGTTCCAATAGTTGATTTAAAAGACTCATTCCCACTTTGACCAAGGTATTAGTCAAACTTATGTCATCAAGTGATAAGTTCATGGACTCGTACATTGTGGTAAGGAATTGGGATATCAACTCACAGCATTCGGTATCATCTTCTTCACCAAGCACATCACTCACAAAATCCTTTTTCTTTTGTTTGGTCAATAAAAACGTCAATCTCTGACAACAGAGCACAATGGTATCTGCCAATATGATGTTGATGGATATTTCACATCGTTGAATATAATTATTTGTAGAATTGACCATTCTGTTTTTGATGTTGGGAGAATTGATAGCACAGGGTAAAAAGAGTTTCCGAATGCACGAAGATTCGAGATATAAAGCATCACTGACTTGAGGAATGATTTCCAAGTATGAAAAGTCTATTTCCGTCAAAGTCGAAGCTTTAGGGAACTGCAACTTTAACGAATCATAAGAGACTTCCATGGTTGATTCCACATAAAGTTTCCCGAAATCAAATAGTAATAATTCCAATATTTCCAAGGCGTATTCCGGACTTCTATTTGGTTCCAATTCAAGTATTCTTGATAAGGCTTCGAAGCAGCCGGTTAGAACCCGTTCTATCAAATGCAGTTCAAGTTCATTCTTGACCTTGGGATGGTGTTGGCCTCTTATTGATATACTTCTATCAATTATAGGTCTAGACTCATCCATAGTATTAGTATTATGCATATTATTTTCAGACGACGTTGTCGTTGTATTTCCATTGATTGTCCCACTTGTTGTAGTAGTTGCAGTTGTACCACTTGAACTTGCAGACGTTGGAATCCTGTTCTTTATATCATTCAAGTGCGACTTCATAAATGTCTTCAACTGGTTTAATCTTTTCCTCTCGGAGAAATGGAAACTGAAACGTTCATTCATCCCCTTAGTGGTACCATTCCCATTATTATCACCATCTTCGTACTCCAAATTGTCCATGTTCTCCAACTTGATGGATAACAACCGATTGGTCAAACTGGTTTCGTGGTTCAGCGTGTAGTCCTGGACAATCTCATAAATGAGGTTCTCCAAGTGTTTCTTCTCCCGAGGGAAGTACGCACTGTCGGACAAGTAGTCCATAAACACATCGTAGAACGCTTGGTCGATAATAAGATTAAGTTCGTTATCAGTCGAGTCAAATTCATTGGTCACAAGGAAATCTTTCACGTCTTTACTAAAGTCCCCCACCAATACATACAACACATTGAGGAGTCTTAAATGAGCCAAAAGACTCGTGTCCAAGGAGAATTGAAGGAGTTCTTCCACCTTGTTCTTTATCATCAGTGCGTAAACCCGTTGGATAATTTTCTTCATCACGGGGATCGGATTGGTGAACACTTGTTGCACCATTCGCGCGTGACCTTTGATTGCTACTTTTAGTTTATCCAAAAGCATAATTGTTGATTGTTCTTTGATTTCTCCTTGGAAATGAGGATCGCCTAATTTGATCCAAAACAGTTCATCATCAAAAATATTATTATTATCATTATTATTACTGGTAGTATTGTGATCTGTCATCATATGATCATCCAATAAATCATTCTTATTAACAAATGTCTGCACAACACTTGTACCACCATTGAACTCGAACAAGATATTGACAATATCTCTCATGGTCTCGAAATCTGGTTCTTCCAGAGCCGTTTCAAACCGGGTTAAAAGATTCTGTTCCATAGTCTCACTGTATTTATCAAGTAACTTGACACAATTGGTAGTTTTGGGTAAATCTGGAGTCTCTATCTTTTTCGTTAAAACAAGTAAGTTACTAACAATCTTAGCTCCTTTCAACCGATCTTCATAACTTTTACTATTGATCAAATTATCTAGTGGTTCATATTTCTCCTTGGTGAAAAACCCATGATATGCTCTAATTAAAAATATCGTCTCTCGTGATCGATCTCTGGAATTGGTGATCTTATCCAATGCTTGTCCTAATGGATCCACCTGTTCAGAAACATGTGATATCTTACCATCTAAATTTTTAAATTGACTGGTCAATTCATTAATCTCTTGAGATAATTCCAATACATGACGAGAATGTTTAACTTCGTATTGTTCAACTTCTCGCTCAGCTTCCACTTTCCTTTTGGCTGCCAATTGTCCCAATTGCTTCAATTCCTTAAGCGTCGCTTCAAATGTCCGAATATATGGCTTGGGATCCAAATACTCTAAATTCTTAACCTCCGCTCCCTTAAGTATATGATCCTTACTTAACTCCTCAACAAAGTCATTGACTGACATTCCCTCGAGAAAATTCTCAAGGTTCAATAGCTTACGGATATCATCGTTCAAATCATAAATAGAGAAGTTCATGATGGGTTGGCTAACTCCATTCAGGGTTCACGTTGTTGGATGTGATATTTATTTATGTTTCCATACCAAAATATGTTAAAACACACCGGGGTATCACGTGACATAATACCGAGGGCGATCTTTTTTGAGACCTACTCAGTTCTTATTTATGCTTAGAAACCATTTAGTTTGCATTAATACATACTTAAATATATAGTCAATAATATAAAAGTATAAATACCACCCATATCATGACATATAAATACTAACTAATCTAGTTCAACTTGAAGGTGGTGTGACACTTACCACAGTATTGTCTGTCCTTCATGGAGGCCATGAAGATACCAGAACCACAAGTAGCAGAAGGACATTCTCTTCTCAATCTTTCAACCTTACCATCGGAGTCAACCTTGTAGTAAGTCAAAACAGCCAACTTGTTCTTTCTGTGCTTGTGCTTGATCTTCTTTGGGGTGGTGTATTGCTTCTTCTTCTTCTTCTTACCACCACCTCTCAATCTCAAAACCAAGTGCAAGGTGGATTCCTTTTGGATGTTGTAGTCAGACAAAGTTCTACCATCTTCCAATTGCTTACCAGCAAAGATCAAACGTTGTTGATCTGGAGGAATTCCTTCCTTGTCTTGAATCTTGGACTTAACATTGTCAATGGTGTCGGAAGACTCCACTTCCAAAGTGATGGTCTTACCGGTTAAGGTCTTGACGAAAATTTGCATCTTTGGCTTGTCGGCAATATATAGACAAAATGCTTCTTTCTTACCAAGAACACACTTTTAGGTGAAGAAAAAAAAAACGAAGAGTAGGAATCCTTGCCTTGCCAATTGCATTCCATTTTCCAGTTAAACAAGCTGAAAATTTTTTTCTGGCCTGCGAGTGAGGGTTACCCGCAAGTAATATAAAATTTGAAACAAGGAGAAAAAAGAAATCATAGCACGTGCTAATATTACAACAAGTTTATGATATCACGTGATTAGGGTTCAAGCGTGGCCAGCCCTTGAGTATCATTTTCGGCGACCTTCCCTGTGGCCCAATTGGGATGGCTATATTCGGATAGACCAGCCCAAATACAAATTTGGGGGTGGTAGGGTGATTTATTGATAGTATTAAAATAAAGAGATTCAATCATATAGAATGGTAATTACTTTATTAGTATTAAGATAGCGATGATTGGTGATGCAATTATCAAAAATAGAGAAGAACTATACCCTAATATGTTTGATCGTAGAGTGCGACATGAGAAGGATGATGAAAGTATTGAAGTACCGCCTAGTGCATTAGCAACAGTATGGAAGTGGAAACTGCCATTTGACAAAGATCTTAAGGATAGAGCGGCGTGGGTTCGATTTAAGAGATTCTTTCAAGAACTTTGGAAACTTCTCACTTGTCAATGGGTTGAAGATTGACAACTATTAGTATTATGATTTTAGATATCGAAATCTTCAGAGTCTGAATCATGAACCCCCCTTTGTAATGCACGAGAATGATTTATGGTTTCATGTTTGATTAAATTAGCTCTAAGGAGATGATTTTCAAGTACTTGAATTGGGAAATCATTTGGATTGTTACCCAATTGTTCGAATCCAAGAAGTTTAAGTACCAGTTTACCATAGATATACCCCACAACAAACGGGAGCTGCTTAATATGGAGCTTATTAGCAAGGAAAGGTGCGTTTTCAGCCTTTATAACTACCACCATCAACTCCAAATGCTTTTCTGCAATTAATTCAAGCTTTTCATTCATGGTTTTGCATCTGACAAAATCTGGTTGATAGAAATGAACCAAAACTTTATCTTCTTTGGTAACAAGAGCCATAAGATCACTTTCCTTCTCAATAGTACGAACTTGTCCTAATTCATCTGAGTCTTGGGCTTGACGATGTCGTATTTCTTTTATATGAGAGCTTAATTGTTGGATTCTTTGAGCTCTATATTGAGCCATGACGGAATCATCTTCATCTAAAAGTTCAACTAAGTCGTCAGAATCCACTTCTTCTTCTTCATGTGGTCTTAGAATCGACTGCTGGAACTGCTCGACGATTTCGGATTGTTTTGAGTCCATCTTAGTAGCCACAGGAAAAGGATAGAGCTTTATTTTAGACGTGGTTCGGTTCTTGTACATAATAAAGATAATAATATTTGGAAAAGTAAGGCATATAATAGAGAACAGCCAAATAAATGATACACTATAATCTATTAAAATACTGTGCTAAATGACACTATTATTGCTATGCTGCTATGTCCTAATAGTAGAGCACCATGACCATACACTGTACTGATTGAGCAATGGTAGATAAATGTAATTATACGCTATAACAAAGTACTATACTAGTGGATATAGTCACGTGACAAAAGGAAGTCTCATGAGAAACTCTAAATCATCTATTGACTAATACTAAAGCTTTACTATATACAAGTATCAACAATAATAAATAATAAATAATAAATGCAATGCAATGGGAAGGGAAATGACAAAACAATAAATAAATAAGGAAACAAAAATACCAATAATAATGATAATAATATTGATAAAAATGATGGCACCATTAACGGTTTGACAGGGTAAATGCGGAGGTACCCAACTTTTTAACTTCTTCAATAACTGTTTGAGTTTTACGTTCAACATCATCAATTTCTTTCAAAATGGTTGATCCAACTTCACTAACAAACATTTCACTTTCATCCCATTTATCTGATAAAACTTGTAATACCCCTTCGAAAGCTGTCTTACCCTTATTGGCATTTTGACCAAATCTTTCAACAGACCATTCCTCGATCTTGTTACAGATTCTTTGCCAGGTACCAAATGCTGTGATTTCTGCTTGTTGTTTGAAAGCAGTACGTGATTCACCATCTGGACGATAAATCACAGTTTCCATAACACTCAAGAGATGACTCATGGTTAAATTGTGCGACTTCATTACCAATGTCCGACTGGGTAAATCAACCTCACTAACTTCTCTTACATAACTGTATTCTTGACCACCAACAATAACACTAAGCCATTTGGGGATGGATTGCTTACAAGTGATCAACCGCTCGGTCCGTAACACTTGTCTTTCTTCATCAATCTCTCGGGCTAATACGTCAACTGCCACCACATGAGTAGAAATAGGGTTGGGGTATTTTTGCCAATTGGCTGCGGTAACTTGTTCCCATTTGTATTGGAAGAAATGTTGACTCTCAAATAACTTCATGATTTAATGATAAGGGTATAATGCTAATGATATGTGAATAATGCTAATGATACGTCAACTGTAACGGTATTATGCTGATTTAGAAATTAGTTGCGCAAATGCTGGGGTTATAAAAATTCTATGATATTCGATCACTATAGTTAAGTCACACAAGATTTAATAACAGGGGAATGGTTCCATCTTATAGCTGATATACCCGGTATACCAGAACTATCTAGATCGCGCGCTACCACACAATCTGAAAAATTTTAAAAAGCAATGAATGGCTTCGGATGATAACGGGAATCAAAGTGTCACGAGACCATCGCGGCATGTGAAATACAACATTGGACATACAATTACATAAGTCATCGACATAGCAATAATAATACTCTACTACTACTACTACTAATAGTAATAATTATCTGACATCATTTTTCATAACTTAACATCTAAAACAGGAGAGAAAAGATTTTTGAAAGCCTTTTTGGCATCTATCTCAATCGTATTTCCATGGCATGGAACAATTGTTTCAAAATCCCAGTTGAGGACTTGTTGCAATCCTTTGGCGCTCATAGCACCATTATTAAGTCTTTCTCTAACAATATAATTCCCAATAATGGAATAAGGTTGGAGATAACGACCAAGGAATGACCAACCACTGAAAGGATAGAATCCCTCGGGATATCCCGTAGCAGGAGAATATTGCTCCAATTCTGGTTCCATGTTAAAAAGGACATCAGCTTCACACAAAATCTTTGATGTCTTGTCATAAAGAACAATCTCTTTATTTTTATGATTGTTCAAATACACAAATTCAAAGTGGTTTAAGATAGTTGGATCGGTGATACCCATCTTTTCTAATACAGGTCTATCAATCAATGTTTCTCCATGTTCAGCAGATGTAAATACGTAATCTGCTTGATTTTTTTCTGCATTTCCCATAGCAAGAATCTTCAAGTTAGGAAACTTCTCCTTACATGACTTTACTGCCATTGTATGCTGAACGTTGGGAACAATTAACCAAGTAACATTAGAGTTGCCAATCTTTTCTAATGCTTCCTTTACTACATCACAATAGGGGATTCCTGACCAAATAACAACACCTCCTTCATAATTGAATATGGTCATCCGGGCCCCAATGTTAACTCTGTTCATAATAGAAAATGGTGTACTGGTAGTCAAAACATTTTCGGTCAATTTCCGATGAGCAGCAACTAATGGTGAAGGATAACCCATAATGATTTTCGTAATATTTATAACCGATATAACTAATAATTCACTATATGGTGGCGGACGTACCTGGTGGGTACTTATACTTTCGTTGAAAATGTTAGTTCCACAAAAGCTCCAAACCACTTCTGAGAACAATACTTCCCCGTATTTATTCGCAGGGCTTGAAAAATCACAAGGCTGCAATCTTCCGTAGACCCTACAGCCGTGTGTTCTCCTCTATGTCCATAATAGTGACTCTGTTAGATATAAATATAGCTCAGAGGAAGCTAAAGGTTACACAACCTATGGGGCGTTTCTGGATCCTCTGACCAAATACTATTCGTCGGTTGTTGCTTAACTCCGTGTCAAATCAGGCTTATAAGATGGCCTGCTTACTGCTCTTATCACAAACAAGAATACTGTCTTTATACGATACATTCCTGTTTGCCACTGTCATTTGGTGGACGTAAAGAATTGCAGTCCAAACAATAACTTCCAAATCAAGTGTATTTCTGGTACCCGGAATGCTAAAGTTCACATATATTCCGTATCTTTAATTACCATCAGCATTCACCATCTCCAAAGAGTAATCGACATCTTTACGGTTAATAATTCCGGCTTTCATAATCAACCGTAACTAAATCAATTATTCATGAAAATTGAAGAGGGGCTTATTAACAATCGGTTCAGGTTAAGGATGTTAGTTGATATTGAATACATGAGCTTATTTCAATGAGAATATTCATTTTGTTTTAACTATTACGCGAAGGCGTGTGGTAGATAAGACCTTCAAATCAAAGAAAAAGTTATTTGGATGCATTGGCTGCAATTTTCTCCTTCAACATCTTGTTTTCATGTCTTAACAAACCCAACTCGACCAATAAACTGGATTTGCTACCAAAATTCATCATTTTGATCAAGCTCTCATTCTCGTCAGTTAAGATTTGCAACTTTGAAACAATTCTATGAGCCACTTCCTGTTCATCGTATTGACCAGTACAGGTGATCGATGCATTTTGTGGAGACATCGTTACTCCGACTACAAGCAGTTCAAGTCTTTGTTTTGTATCTTCCAATTCTTTCTTGCAATCCCGGAGTTGTTGAGTAAGCTCCTTGAACAATGAAGTGTATTCCGCTGGAATCGTAACAGGTCTCCCCAAATGAGAAAACTCTTGTGGTGCATTAGGTCCATTGAAATCCAGCAGAGTAACGGAATTAGATGTTTTCTTAACTTGATTAAGTTTCTCACTTAAATTATTAATCATTTGATTTTTCAAAGCCAATTCCATTTTTAACTTTTCAATTTCCTTCAGAGGAACATTATGAGGACTCTTTTCTTGTGATTGCCTATGCCCACTACCTTCATTTGCCATCTTCCCGTAACCAGTATTTGTAGTATTGGTGGTTGCTGTGGAATCTGGTGGAATCAAAGTCAGATTAGAAACTGCTGTATCGGCTCGTGGAGCATACTCATAATTCGAAAAATAACCAGTAGAAACCTGTGTGGGGCTAAATATGTTATTCTCAAAAGAATAAGGACCAATGGAGCTTTCGCTAGAACTATGATGCATGAATTTCGAGCCAATGATACCTGATGTGGAACCAAATGAAAGCCTATTCCCATAATTTACAGGATTTGTTGAGCTACCCACTGAGTTAACGGAGCTTAAATTTGAATCACGCATCCCTTCAACGGATGACAGAGAAGATGTTGAATGATGACGATTCAAAGAACCACCGACATAACCTCCGTTACCATTATTAGTATTTGAAGATGTCACTCCCATATTATTGGGTACATAATTTTGAGCGTTAGTATTCATCCTATGGAAAAGTTGTTGTTGTTGCTGCTGCTGCTGCTGATGTTGCAGCAGCTGAGACTCCTGATTAACCGATCCCAGTTCGTAGGTACTTCCTAAAATGCTTTGGTTTCCAGATTGTTGACTTGCAGCTGTAACATAAGACATTTGTGGTGGATTGTTACTGGTCACATTTGGTTGTTGTTGGTTCCAATAGTTGTAGTTGCGACTGCTCCACGCTTTACTGTCGTTCATAGCTTGAATGTCTGAAACTGTCACTGAGCGTCTACGTATATATTATTTTAAGTATGTAATTAAAAGTTTTGGTATTTTGTAGAAAAGAAGTATTCATTATGAAACAACTTTTGGTAAGGATCAAATCCTTCCTTAAATACTTTTTCCAGGAGGAATTTTTTTGCAGCAAAAAAAAAGTAACATAATCTACTATTAATTGAATTATAGGGAGTCTTATACTCTTGGATGTATGTATATGATATATATAAACATATATAAACATATATATATATATGTATATATAGTTAAAAAATATATAGTACAGCTATATCGAACCAGACTTCGACTTATATCTTTGCATTAAGCAATGGGTTGGGAACCAATCATTTGCTTCAAAAGAAGCCCATTAGGAGAGTTTAAAACCTGCTTAGGTAAGTCAAGAATCCGAGATTCTAGATTCTTACCTACAAGAAACTCTAACATATGATCAGTAAAATGGTTGCAATTATTTTCAAATAGATCATATTTATGAGCTTGATACTTTTCATCTACCCGCAACTCATCCAAATACTCCTGAAAGATTTCTGGACTTATATAGGTTGATCCAACATCTATAACTTCTATTGGGGTCCCGTATTTGGTGTTACCGGGGTAGTTCTCTTTAACTCCTTGGTCTATATAATGCTCCTTATCATATACTACCACTCCAGTATGGTAGATGGCATCAAGATTTATCCCAAGAAGCATGGGGGCATATACTCTTGCAAGTCCTTGAGAAAGGTCATATACATGAACCTTTACGTTATATTGTGGATCTGTATCATCACTCATTCTTTATTGGGTCGGTGCACTGAACGTTGTATGAAAAATAAGATTGATTGTATTGTTTTGCTGAAACGATTCTATAAGTACCTCCTATATCATCAGCGTTATATATATATATATAATTGTTTAGGTTACTTTTTTTTTGGAGGCAAATGATGTCCATTCGCCACTTCCTAAGCTGGGATTTGCCCTTCCTCATTACCTTAATTACAGTACGCACCGCGATAGACAGGGCAAGACGAACTCCATCAAACCCGACTACACAGATGCACCAAGTCACATGACCTATGAATCATTGTTTTGACTCCGGCATACCAAGCCTGGATCGACTATCACAATTCATTGTGCGAGCCTCTAAGCAAAAGAAAATTTTCAATAGTGCTAGGGTTACAACTGTGGAGGAGAGTAAGGTTATCAAGTCAGAATAATTTCCAAAGCTAACCCCGGAACCATTAGAAAGTTTCTGTTTGATTGTACAGAAATATATCAATAGATATTAGGAATATCTATAAGTTCCAGGAAGCTTTGAAGAAGCAACGCAATTTTAAATATAGAATGGTCATTAGTTGGCGTAACTTAATATAGCTAAGGACAATTACAAACACACAAGGTGCTTTGAGGCTGATATTATTACTATTATTATTGTTATTATAGCCATGAGTATGGTGACACATGCGGTGATGGGGAATGAAATGGACGAGTTTCAATTGTACAAGTTCCAGTTGGATGAGATGTTGGTAGAGAAGTACGTGGATCAGTCTTTACTTTTGGGATTTCACAGTGTGGTACTTTCTAAATTCCAAACAGCAATTACAGACGATTTCCAAAATTATTTGGTCCAAGTTCTCTCTGAGGGTAAAAGCGCAGATGAAGTCGAGTTTACAACAAGAGAATATTTTGTTAGACTATGGACAGACTTCCATTACCCCATCATAAAGTTTTTTCAACATCAACATTGTATTTTGTATAATTCAAATGTTCAACTATTTGAACAATCAAGGAAAGATCCTCAGGTTAAATTTAAGGTAAAGCCTGTGGAAATGAGGAAACTCAATGATAACTTCAAAAAGTTTATCAAACAAATTTACCAGTTCTATTTTCAATTTTTGAAACATTGGACAACTCTGTACAAGCACCGTCTTGTACAAGCCAAATTATTGAGGCAATTTGATTTCACAATGCTGGAATCACCTATCATCATCAAAGATAGAACTTTGGAAGCATATATTGCGATTTTGATGCATCGTTGCTTACTTACGTTGGGTGATATATCGCGCCATCGGGCGTTCATCGACTTAAATTATACTAACCCTTCGATGACGAATCGTGACTTTTTTAAATATAAAGAGTTACCTTCTCAGAAGAAGTTGAAGTTAATGAAACCCAGTTATGATCCGGCCTTACAATTCTACGACATGTCGATCTTGTTATTGCCGGCTATCAACGAACCTTATAATCATAAGGCGGTCATTTGTAATGCCATGGATTGCAAGTTTCAAGCTTGCTATTGGTTCCTTAGATCACAGTTTACCAGGGCCATGGATTACACTTTAGGCCGAAACAACTTGAATTCCATTCTTAAAAAGAAATGGTTTGTATCTCGTTTGTATGGTATTTTTGAAGAAGATAGTACTTCTTCTGATACCATTGACGATTTAAACGTCATTCTTATATGTTTAGTTGGGTACTTTTATATGCCCAAGGTGTATAAGCATGGTCCCAACATTGTTAAGAACCTCAAGTTTAGTAAAGTTGAAGTTGAGTTCTTTAAATCAATCCAATCAAACTTCAGTAAATTGATTGCTGACAGAGATTTCTTTTTGGATCAGTTTTCATGTTTAATTATGTTTGAAAGACTTATGAAAACTGACTGTAATGGAACTATGGATGGTTCCGATCAAGAACATTTTGACGGTGGAGATCGTGAGAAAATAGTCAAATTTATCTTGCGGTATACTGAGTGTATTCTTGATTTGTTTGGGAAAGAGCAAGTTACTGTGGATATGAAGGCCAATCCTCTAATGACAGTGAGACTTGTTTTGAGCTGGTTGAAAGTCAATCGTTACTTGGAAGAGTTTATCCAACAACGTCCTAAGGCATTGGATAGTGTGGTGACTACTTTGAACAGAATGATAGGTTCATACAAAGATATTACCCTTAATGTTGATGAGCCTCCCAAGAGAGATTACTTTTTCTACGAAGATGTTAAGTTTAGGGAGTTTAAAATCATCAATGATCGCTTCCGTGATTTTGATGACAAGCATTTGTTTTTATTGGAATCCCAAGATTGTCTTGCTGGGGAGAAGATTGCTAACACTGATGAAACGTATGAGAATCGTCTTCGTGTCCAAGCTATCATTTCGTTTTCCAAAAAGGTATTGGAACCATTCAACGTTGTGTTTGCACAATCTAAGTTTTCAGTGGTGAAGAAAGCCAAGCCCTCAAAGGCAGACCGTAAAAAGTCAATGACAGGTCAACTAGCAAAGACAAGGGAAATTAAAGAGAAAACATCTAAGAAGAAATCAAATCGGTCAGGCACACCTATTTCTATTTCTGAAATTAGTGAAAAACTGGTTCCAATGTCATCTGAAACATCTGTAGCCTCAGTTACCGCACCTCCATCTTCATCCATTCCCTATACGAATCCAAATGAAGAGGGCAATGGTAGAGTTCCTTCATCTCTTGCGGAGATTGAATCGATGATTCTTAGTCATGCATCGCACGCTCAAACGATAATGAACATTCAAAAGGGAACTGGAGCTCCCTATGCCCAAGCCGAAGTTGACTTGCTGCGTGATACTGGTCTTAACAGTATGGTGAATGCTTTAGTTGATGAAGGGCCTTCTGCTTATGTACCCCCTGCTACTCGAGCCAGTATCTGGGGTAGCAACATGTATGGTGGAAAACCTGTACAAACACCCATGGCATTTGGGACTGCTTCAAATCAAACTGAAGTACAAACCCAACAACAACTTCAACAATTACTGTTGCACCAACAACAGCAAGAGATTCAACGCCAACAGCAGCAATTACAGTTGCAACTTCAACAACTCCAGCAGCAGCAGCAGCAGCAGCAGCAGCAGCAGCAACAACAACCACAACTACAAGTACTGGCATCTCAATTTCCCCATTATCCCATCTTACTCCACTCTGATGCTCCTCTTTATGCGCCATACGCTGGAGTCAACCCTAGAGGAAACCAGTAAAGCAGTTCCTTTAGTATCATGTGGTAATCCTTTGATGGTAGATGAGGTGAGGAATGCGGTGGTGCAAAGCTTGGCTTAACTCAAGTTCAGCTCTACAAAGGTGGGCATAGGTACAGACAATAATATATAATGCTGAATTGTCATATTATATTAGTAACTTTGGATCAATATATCATGTTTGCGTTACACAGTAGTATTGACATATTCCGTTTGCAATCTATATTTCATATGGGAGATACTTTCAAATACTTTCAAATACTTTCTGAGGAGCTCTACCACTTTGAATGTTAGATAAATTTTTTATCTCTAAACCGTTAAACTGGCACATTTGCACACATCAATACAATAGATAAAGATGCAAATGACCGTTGACCTTTCAATAATAGTAATTTTCATCGTAATTAAAATAATGATATGACGCAAAACAGATCGTTATTGTTGTGCTACTATTTCACAGCCATTTAAAAAATATGAACAATGCTACACGAGTAAGCATTCCACCTTATAAGTCTCCACCTAAGTTCAAATACAAGGTTGACAGGTTGCTGCTTGTCTGTACGGAATTTTTGTAATGGTAGATTTAGATTCAAGTCATTAGGAATCGAAAATGCTTAAGCCTACGACTAGTCCTACAATAAAACAGACGACAACAATGACGAAAAGACTGCTAAAACTGAAGAATGTATGGATACCTTGTGTGAAGGTCGACAGATAGTGGGTAACCATGATGAAGGGACAAAAGCTCCGAGTTGAGTATTATAATTCACCAGTCACTCATGATGTAACGATAGTTTTGCCAGCTTCTGAGAATGCCGTATCAATATAACCAATTCGAGTTAACGTTGAAACTGTTGAAGCGAGGGGATGTGCCCAAAAAGGCACACCTCAAATCATTGAGGATCTCACAACCGAAAGAGTTGTTAGCGTTACGGAAAGTGGCAATTCCCAGGTAATAGACAGCCAAGGCTTCGTGTCTGAAGAAAATGTCGATACTATCTTTTTATAGCGTCCGAGATGGCGAAAGCAACAATAATATCAAACAAGAAATTGCTTGATAATATTTTCCCGAGAATAGTAGTGACCGCGATGCTACGTCAAGTGTTTTGGGAACTTCTTATTACTAATTAGCAAATAAGATTAGAATTATATTAGAGCATGTACTCCAGATGGATAATAATGCTTCCAATAACTCCAATTGAAAGGAACATTATTTGAGATAAGTTACCACCATAACACAATTGTAAATGCACATTGCCCGACAGCTGTATTGGTCTAATCGACTAGGTACTAGCTATATATTATCCTGCATACTGCGCTCTTCCTCCTGATTTACATCCGTATTGACATTGAGTTGCATCGAACACACTTGGGACAACAGTGACACCTTACACTAGCACAGCCATCAGGCAATGTGGACTCTGACAGAGAGGAACGAGATATTGTGCAATATGCCGGAGCGAAAAGTTCGTTTCTCCTTTTTCTATTTACCGTGGTGCGATTTCCTTAAACGTCAGAGATTCGATTCAACAGTACGCTTCGATTTAAAGAGCAACAGATCGGAGACATCATGACTTCGTCCATCAAACATAGGGGTAATAACAAGACCTACGAGTTTGAGTTTCCACCTTCAGATGCTCCTATTGAAGAGCTCAATGAGTTTTATTGGTCTCATGATGCTGAGCCCCATGTGCTTCGTCGTAAGCAAATCTTACAAAAGTATCCTGAAGTGCGCAAGTTAACAGGTTGGGAACCTTCAACGAAATGGTACGTATTGGGTATAGTTGCTCTTCAGTTCAGTGCAGCTTGGTATTTGAGAAACACCTATCCCTTATCATGGAAGTTCTTTGGTGTTGCTTATGTTGTTGGAGCTACTGCCAACCAAGCTGTTTTCCTTGCTATCCATGAGTTGAGCCATAATTTACTCTTCAAGAAACCAATTCACAATAAGTTGTTTGCCATATTTACGAATTTACCCATTGGTATTCCTTATTCAGCTTCATTCCAACCTTATCACCAGTTACACCATAAGTTTATGGGAGATGAATACTTGGATACCGATTTACCCACTCGGCTTGAAGCAATAATTCTCTCCAATATTTTGGGGAAACTGTTCTTTGCTGTGTTCCAAATCTTCTTTTACGCTTTAAGACCAATGTTCGTCACCCAAATTAAGTTTACTTATATTCATTTGGTTAACATCGTGATACAATTGGCAGTTGATTATTGGATGATTACTTCTTGGGGATGGAAGCTGTATTGCTATTTTCTCATGTCTTCGTTTCTTGCTGGTTCCTTACATCCTTGTGCTGGACATTTTATTGCTGAACATTATGTTCTTAATGAGAACAACAAACCTAAAAAGGCCCTTGAGTCTAAATCGGAAGGTAACATCGATATCGTGCCTGCTGAAACATATTCCTATTATGGTCCTTTAAATGCTTTAACATGGAATGTTGGATATCATAATGAACACCATGATTTCCCTTACATTGCCTGGACAAAGTTGCCTGAATTAAGACGCATAGCCTCTGAATTCTACGATCCTTTACCCCAGATTGACTCGTGGGTTGGTGTTCTATGGTGGTTTGTGTTTAGTGACTGCAACAAGCTCTGGAACAGAGTTAAGAGAACAGGCAAGGAAAAGAATGGGGCTAAAATTAAGAATGTTGATAGAAACCAGGAATAAAAAAAAGATGGATATAAATGTATAGAGAAAATAAAAAGCTGGTCGATATAACTATTAGGTATGGCATTAGTTCATATGTAATTAATTGTTATTGCTATATTATTTACAAGCCTCTGATTAATCTAGTAACTTGGTTTAACCCATCAGTGTCAAGTTCAGCCAATTTCTTTTCAATTGCTGCAGTCAAACCCTCTTCACTAACTAATTCACCATCATCACCATCATCCCCTTGACCCAAGACCTTGATTCTTAACTTACCTTCGGAGTATTCTTGCTTACCTAAGATAACTGCCAATTTCGCACCGGCCTTTTCAGCAGCATCAAATTGCTTTCTAATGTTGGCTTTGGTCTTATACAAGTATTCGGCATTGATACCCTGCTTCCATAATTTATTGGTGACAGCCATTCTTTCCTTCAAGTAACCATCCCAGCCTTCTCCACCACCGAAAGCCATGACGTAGACATCGGTATGAGAAGAAGAAACAGAGTCCAATTCCTTAGCAGCTCTGGCTTTAATGATAGAAAAAATTCTTTCCACTCCAAAGGAAATACCCACACAAGGAATGGATTTACCATTAGAAAACATACCCACCAAGTTATCGTATCTACCACCAGCAGCAATCGAACCCACACCGACGAATTCGGAAGCATCTTCAACTTCGTCACCTTCCTTGACAGATTTCTTTGCCTTCTCCTTCAACTCAGATGCGTTCTCTGGAGGAGCAGAGGCACTGGTGACGGCTTCATAGATCAACCCAGTGTAATAGTCTAACCCTCTGGCTAATGATAAATCAAATGAAAGGAACTCATCAACACCAAAAGCATCAACATAATCAGCCAAAATCAGCATTTCTTGAATACCCTTTTGAGCAGATTCATTTGTCTTTAATAAATCATTGGTTTCTAACATAGACAAAACTTCTCTAATAGAGCCCTTTAACTTAACAAAATCTCCAATTTTATCAGCAACTTCTTCAGGTTGGTTCTTATCGACACACATCTCCTTCTTTACGGCTGCCCAGGGCAGTTTATCCAACTTATCAACCGCACTAGAAACCTTTCTCACGTCTTCTTCCTTAACTCCACAGGCTTGGAATATACCGTCCAAAATCTTTCTGTGGTTCAACTTCACTTTGAAGTCCGTGATTCCCAAACCAGTCAAACCTTCACATAAAACTGTCAAGATCTCAGCATCAGGAACCATCATGTCGTAGTTACCCGCAACATCAAAGTCACATTGATAGAACTCTCTCATTCTACCTTTGGTCATGGCTGGTTGATCTCTTCTATACACCTTGGCAATATGATATCTCTTGATAGAACTAATAGAGTTACAGGCAACAAAACGTGCAAATGGAACAGTCAAATCGTATCTCAAACTTGTCAATTCACCCCCTTGATCTTCTAAGTTGTAGATTAACTTGGAGTCTTCACCATATTTCCCAGTTAAGATTTCTCTCAATTCAAACACTGGGGTATCAATAGTCATCCCACCGTGTTTCTTGAAAAGTGCAGTAAGAGACCCGAAAATAGCATCTCTAATAATCATATCCTTATCGGCCCAATCCTTGGTACCCTTAGGAGTTTTTAAAAGGAAATCATTGGCTCCCTTGCTCTTCTTATTGTTCTTCTTTCCTTGCTTAGCAGCAGGGGCTTTGGCTGGTGGTGCTGGTTCTCCAGCAACTGGTGTAGTTGTAGACATGCTTCTGTACGTGTTTCTCAAGTAAGTTCTGTAACAAACAAGCTTGCGTATCATCAGTTCAGGTGAACCGATATATAGTCATAATTTGTGTGGGAAAATTTTTCAGACCGTATACTACTTTTAACGAAGGCTTTGTGTAACTTAGATAAACACTAGTAACTATTTATATTAAGACTAAGACTACTTGGTATATATTACCACTATCTTTTTATCAATCCTCATTAATACCATTCTTTTGCGAATATTTTAATTGCATTACACCATCTGTGAGAATACGCTTACCCCATGTACCTACTGCTGGATCACCAGTTTCATCTCTGCATTGCTTTAAGAAAGGTAACAAACTTGTACCTCCTGTGCCTCTTTCTTCCTTCTTTCTTCTTGCCAAGCCTGACCGTAAAGTTGTCGACGAACCCAATTTATTGGACTGTTTGGCTTGAAGAACAATATATCTGGTCACAATTTGAATGTGTTTGTCTCTAAACAGTTTCATCATCGCTAATGCACCATCATAACTGATAATTAAACCAGGATGCTTTTCACTGTTTGCTTTAACATATTCATGAATAGGTGACGTAGCCTCGAGAACTTGAAGGAATTCACGATGTTTCCGGGGCATATAATTCTGCATATCATTCATAAATGATGATTGAGGAGCAGCACTGGAACTTTGTTCATTCCGTCTCAATTCCTTTTGTAATGGTCTTTCTCCAGTAGAATAATGCTTAATTCCCAATAATGAATCTATGAATTGAACCAAAGAACTTTGAGCATTGGACCCGCCTGCTAACTTAAAACGCATATTGGTTTGACCTTCATAAAAAACACCATCCTTGTGCAATCCAGCATCTGCCATGTTCAGCCATCCTGCTAAATAGGGTCTAATTCGGAAATAAAATGTATGAGGATCACACATCTCTTCCATCTTGAGAACAACGGATCCCAAAACATCTATTAACTCCGCCAATTTTTGGAGGTTAAGAGCTAGTTTCTCTGGTTCATCATGTACACAGTTGGCAAACAGTTCTATCCCCGTATTTATAACATTTGCTCCAAACTTTTCAAAGTACACACTCACAATATAAAACCAACTTTCATCAAATGATCCTGTGTATGTGTTGATAGTGGATAAGTTATCTAAATTATCCCACCAAGGATTAGTTTCAGATTCCTTTAAAGGCATAATTGTTTTGAAATTCCACATACATAACCCAGCATAAGTAGCTAATGGAGGTAAACCCAAGTAGTTACTTACTTTAACCAAAGGATCAGCAATTTGAGCACATAAACGATCTAATGGCTCACTTGAAGTACCCCAGATATATGCGTGAGCAAGAAATGAGAGACATTGATATGCTCTACGATATTCTCTAACATTACTCAATTGGTCGGTGGTTAAATTAGGAAGCTTTTGTATATGCTTTCTGACAGTTTGAGTCATAAGAAGATGTGGCAAATTGTCGAGTAAAACTTCCCAGGGTTGGTAATACTCTTGAGGGAGTCTTATAAGAGGTAACTCTTGAGGCAAAAACCCTGTTTCAGGGCTGATATCATAGTCCTCGAGTCTGGGAACTGTAGTCATTTCCACTGATGACAAAACTAAAAAGATGAGAAGATCGACCTCAGCAAAGAGTGAATGAAAAATTAGTTTGAATAATTTTTATGACCACTACGTTCTCAACTTTGGAAGTAGCCGAAACCCTTTTAAGCGCAAGTCTTTTGGTATTTATATGATTTTGAATGTAGGAACATAAAATCAACCCATTAAAGGTAATTGTGTGAAAAATTCGGAGAGAATCACATCGAGTTTGTGGTGGTATTGCATGATGTCAGATGGTTTTCCTCATCATCGTTTTTCGGTGTTAGCGCATGCTATTAGTAAACCTGAGACGTGCGCTCCCATAGGTGCATATTTGAGGGGTGTTTCCGTATTAGGAAAGACTCGGGTTGAACAGCTCTGAATGAATGCCCAAGACGGACGGAGGTAGATTTAGTTTCTTATTTTGTTCCCTTTGATGGAGTTAGGATCATTAGTGCTTAGTAATTTCTGGGTTTAGTTTATCAGCCCTGTCCTAGTAGCAAAATACAACTTTGATGAACGCGTTTCTTTTTTCAATTTACGTCAACCCTTAGCCGTGATCAAGTCAACTGGAATGAATTATTTCTAACGTTATAGGGTCTCTTTCAATACCCAACTCTAACAATTTGCTGAATGCAATTGAAAACATTTGGAAGAATAATTTCTCATCATTTGCGTACTTCTCTACCCAGAATCTAAGTTCCGAATCCATTGTTAACTCAATATCTGTATTAAGCATCATTAACAGTTTATCGGAGTTATAATATTGTTGCCTTCCTGTCTCTGGAACAATACCACTGATCCATTCCTCGTTTATTAGAGCACGGAAGAACTCGTTTGTAAACAATACGGGGTTATGGGTCCATTTCCCCTCCCAGCCACTAAACCGTTTGTGACATCTACCAATGCAATGGGCTCCACAAAGTGCAACGGTTTGAGGCACATCAAATCCCATACGATGAAATGTGGATCTTACATGATTGGCATCTTTGTAAGCAAAAGGTAAACGACCATTAGGTGGTACTTTTGAGTTATCAATACAATCGGTTCGGCCGGGCATCCAATTAATATTCAATTGTGCCACTTTCACTGGGTCGCACATACTCTCAAGTGCAAGGACCCCAGCTAAGGTCCACAAATCTGAATATGTAATTAATGGAAACTTTTGTTTTACTGGTTCAAGGGCAGCCCGGGCAATATCAAGTCCAGTATTACCTTCATCTGTAATTTCAGGAACATATCTCATAGTGGACCCGTTTGAACCACCGGTCTTGCTATTTGAATCAAATGTTGCGCAACAGTGCCATGAGAGTCTAAGTATTATAGGTGCTAAAGATCCATCATCATATTCTGGAGCAGAATGGAATATTTTTTTGATTTCTTCTTTAACATGCTCAATATAACTAGGGTCTGTTGTTGACTGAATAAAAGAAGGGCGATATTCAGCTTGTTGAACTTTCAGATCTTGAAAACTTATGCCCTTTTTCTTCAGTTTATGCTTTTTCAAAACAACTCTAATTTGTTGTTGCTTTGTATATGTATTGGGGAGATTTACCACGATTTTCTTTGTTTTTTTTGTCTGGGGTTGGCCTTTAAGATTTGCTTCTTTTATTTTGTTCACTTTTTGGCTTGTCCCTTGACCTTTAAATTTTGTAGCTCTGATGATTTGCTCGTCATCTGAGTCGGCTTCAACGCCAGTAAACATTACATCATCAACATCAGATATAGCTTCAAATGATGGAATTTTTCTAGTATTTTCCACAAGTTCCAACTCACCTGTGCTGCTATAAAACGTTGTTAATGTTTTTGGACTTGAATTTTTACCTTCAGCAAGTGCTTCATTAGCGACTTTATAAGCCAAATAATCGTTGAAACCTTCATATTTGCTAAGCTTTATACCATTGAAGACGTAACCTGGCTCAAGTTGTTTTCCATTATAAAGCTTTTGTAGTATACATGGTGACGCGTGAATAGCATACCGGTCCCATAAATATGCTGTCTTTTCAGGAATCAAACTGAACCGGGTCAAATTTAAGGGATACCTCACAGACCACATAGAAAACACCATTGGATAAACAACGAATGAAAACCATAGACGAATGATTCTCTCCAATATTAACCAAAGAGACTTATGAAAGGGATGTATTATCCTTTTGGGATTCAATAAATTGAAGTAATTAGGTGGCATTTGTTATTGGTTGCAAAAAATACTACTATATAATTCAACAAAAAATTGGTACTCCTTTTGGATATAAGATCTTGAACTCAATATCAAGTTTCTATATAATTGCTCAAACTTAGTACTTTATATGAGTTTTGGATTACCAAATGATTATGTAGAGAAATTTGGAATATGTATAATTACTCTTTTTATTTGGTAAAGTTTGTATGTATTTATTATGACATTCAATATATGAAGTTACCCGGACAACCTTAAAGATATCTTGTCCATGGTAGCGCGGATCCGCTCGAGTCCGTGAATGACGGAAGCGAAACTGAGCTGGTGTTAGCGAGAAAAGGGTGTGGTTATTAAGCATACTAAATATTGTTTAGCATAACAGTGGATATTTCCGAAGTTGTTGAGTCAATATGTCGTTCAAAGGTTTCAAGAAAACAATTGTGCGGGCACCGCAATCGATTCGTCAAAAAATGAATATGGGGGAGATTACCCAAGATGCCGTGTACATGGATGCCGAACGTCGGTTCAAAGAATTAGAAGTTGAAACCAAAAAGCTCAGCGATGAATCCAAACGGTACTTTTCAGCTGTAAATGGGATGCTTGATTTTCAAATTGACTTTTCTAAAGCCATTGAGGAAATTTACAAGCCAATCAGTGGACGGTTGAGTGATCCCAATAGTACTGTTCAAGAGGACAATCCGGAAGGGATTAAGGCAAGTGAAGGATATCGTGAAGTTGTCAAGGCATTAAAGGAAGAATTAAAACCAGATTTGGAATTGATTGAAAAGCGTATTGTTCATCCTGCTCAAGAATTATTGGATGTTATCTCAAGTATTCGGAAGATGGCCACCAAAAGAGATCACAAACAAGTTGACTTGGACAGACATAAGCGTAATTACAAAAAGTATGCGGACAAGAAGGAACGTACAGCCAAAGATGAAGAAAAAATGTACAATGCTGAAGCAGAAGTTCAAATTGCAACTCAGGAATATGATTATTATAATGATATGATGAAGCAAGAGCTACCAATATTGTTTCAAATGCAAAATGATTTCATTCGACCTTTATTTGTTAGTTTCTACTACATGCAATTGAATATTTTCTATACTTTGTATACTCGGATGGAAGAGTTAAAGATTCCATACTTTGAGTTGAACCTGGATATTGTGGAAGCTTATACTTTGAAAAAGGGGAACATTGAAGAACAAACAGATGCCATTGGGATCACTCATTTTAAAGTGGGCCATGCCAAACTGAAGTTGGAAATGACAAAGAGACGGTATGCAGCACAGGGGGTAGCTGTAGGTGGCGCAGAAGGAGGAGAAGCAGCTCCAGCTTATGGTCAATACGGCCAATATGGCCAAGCTGGAGGGGTTCCTCCTGCTAAACCTGGAGCACCAGCTTATGGTCAATATGGCCAATATGGTGCGGCCGGTGGAGAGGCTGCTGCTGCTCCTCCGCCATACTCTAGTGGTACTGTTGTTTCACCTGTATCTGCTACCCCAACATATGGTAGTTATGGGTCTCAGCCTAGCACTGCCACCGCTTATGGTGCCCCCGTCCCTGCTGCGGTAGCCCTGCCAACAGTAGCTAGTCCTGCCGTTCCTGGTGCTGAAATTTGTACTGCTTTGTACGACTATACAGCTCAGGCTCAAGGGGATTTGACATTCCCTGCTGGAGCCAAAATTGAGATTGTGCAACGGACAGCAGATGCGAATGGCTGGTGGACAGGTCGTTATAACGGACAGACTGGAGTCTTTCCCGGTAACTATGTGCAGTTGGGCTGATCAGAGGCCGACATGTTTTCAGTTTTACAAACCATTTCTATACTTTAATTTTGTGAGTATCATTTGTATGTTCTACATCTAGTCATTAAAAAAGCCATATTGAATCGTCAATTCATGGTATGGGTCTTGATTGTATAGCTTGATATTCCTGTGTAGGCCAAGTTGGGAATGTCCAGCCTCAAGCGTACGCTTTGGGTTAAACCGAATTCCGAAGTGAGTTGAAGAAAAGAATGTGCTATAGAGACAGATATGATTATGCACTTACAAGTTATTTTTTTAAATATTGCATAATAATTGTACGAAATTGATTATCAAGAGGTCAATTAAGACCGAGAAATTATAAGATAGACTATGTTCAAGTAGAATACACGTAATGCTTTCCTTCTAGTGAGGGAATAGGCGAAGCTGATGCTATTACTTCACGTGATTATTGGTTAGTCACGTGACTGTGTTCTTTTTTTATTTTTTTGAAGAGGTCTAGAACTATTCCTAAAATAGGTACGCGTGCTATTATTAGATTTTGGATCAAGATACGAACAGAGATCAAATCCAACCGCAAGCCACGGGCAAAATAAAGGAGTGTCAGTGTACAGCGTACGGCGTAACATAGCTTACTTAGTTTGGCCAAAGAGTGGGTTGTGTGTTAGAGAAAAGATATTGTTTTAATGGAACAGAATAATTTAGTCTTTTTTTTTAAAGGAAACTAGTAAGAAAAAATAGTTCAATAGTTGTGAAATACTATCAAGGAATTCCACTAGACATAATTGGCCCTAAATGTTAATTCATATATTAGACAATTTCATGATTACCAAGTATGAACCCCGATCCTTATAGAAAAGTAAGGGCGCGCAGACGGTTATGGAAATGGGAGTCATGAGTTGTTTGTTGTCCAAAATAACATCAAACAGTCACAAACTAAATCATGCTAAGTTGATCGTAGTTTTCAGTGTATTAGTGATCATAATTTGTAATATTGGGCATAGATTTGGTAATAAAATTGAGTAGAATTTTTACCATCAATAAATTGGTTCGGGTTATTTGTTCTCTCAACATAACTCCCTAAACCTTATTATTATATTTCACATTACATCACATTTCGCGGGTAAAAGCCACTGCACTTGAAAGTACTGGTCTGACGGGTTTTGCGGCCCAGGCGCACGACTAATGGTTTTGGATTGCTCCTCACGTTAAAATACTAATTTATATAATTCTACTATTTTCTGCTGCATTGGTTGCTGTATATACTTTAATCAAACCAAAACCTTTGAAGCAACTGAAAGCCTTTGAAGCGGAGATAAAAGATTATTATTTGTCAAACATCCTGAACCGTAAACCATTAATAGGCTCTCTCCTATCACCATTAGTTGTGTCTTTTTATCTTCAAAATTGGTACCATTATAGTCGCATAGGATTTTCATACTACTAGTGTTGTTGTTATTGCCACCAGTTTACGCGATCTTATAGAAGGGTTCAATTCCACTACATCCTTAGATTTAATCAAGTTTAATTGTGTGTTTATTAATTTGTTCGTATTAGAAAACTATTTGTTAATTTCATTTCACCATGAGCCATAGCACTTCCCCCACAAAGAGTTCACTCTTTGGTTGGGTCAATAAATTGAAGCGCAACAGCACATCGGTCGACGAATTATTACTTGATGATCAACTCCGTCAACTGCTGCCTCATAGGTCTCAGCCCATACCAATAACTTCATCCCCTCGTGGTTCCAATCCAGACCTTCATCCTCAAATGAGTCCCTTGTCATACATCAATGCTCTGCGCTCAGGTCCACAACCAATCCCCATTTCATCTTCAGGTCATCATCAACAAAATCATACTGCTGGATCTCCCGTGCCACTCCAAAGCCCCACAAACCAAAATATAAATTCTAGTACAAGTAATTTGAGTGTCGCTTCTTCTCCTAATCAATTGGCAGCTGGTTCTACGCCTATGGTGGTATCTTCTCCGTCTCATCTGACGCTGTCACATCACTCTGATTTCCTCAGACCTTTGCTACACCATAAATCAAGGTCTTCCAATAATGTTCACCCAAGTCACGCTCCTCATGGTTCAACTCTTCTTGGGGCACGAGACCGGGCTCGTTCCAATTCTAATGTTTCCCTTAAACAAAGTATTGATTCATTTGTTGCTCTGAACTATCATGACGAAAATAGCAAGTACTTTGGTGTTCCGTTGGAAGATGCGATCAACCAAGCCGCTGCCAAAATTTCTATTCTAGCAGGTGCTGGCTCTGGAGCTGATACTGATTCTAATGGTATTCAATATGGTAAGATCCCCATTGTCGTGGCAAAATGTGGTGTCTTTCTTAAAAAGAAGGGATTGACTGTTGAAGGTATTTTTAGAGTTGGAGGTTCTTCCAAACGTATCAAGGAACTTCAATCTATTTTTAACAGCCCTCCTGATTTCGGTAAAAAGTTAAGTTGGGAAGGTTATAATGTTCATGATGCTGCTAGTATACTCAGAAGGTACTTGAATGCTTTACCAGAACCTTTAATTCCTTTAGCCTTCTACCAGGAATTTAGAATGCCTTTATTAAACAGACCTCGTGTCATCAATTATCTTAAATTCAAAGCAGAAAACCCAAAGAGAACTCCGTCGACCTCAAGTCCTACTAAAGGTGGTACTTCTAAACCTTCAGGAGTTTCTGGTTCTTCTGATTTCTCTCATGGCCACAATACAACACAACACTCTCCGAACTCTCTTCCATCCAACAATGCGGCAGGATCGTCGCTGCCTTCTGAAACGTTGTCTGATCGGGATTATAGATTAGAAAAGGCATTAGAGAACGAAGTCATAGAGTCTATGATACCCAAATCCCCTCATTTGACATCTATTACTTCTAAAGAGGCTCCAATTTTACCTAACTTGGATCAAATTGCTGGCTCAAGTACACAAGCACACTCGAATTCCAAAGCTATGGACAGGTCCATGACAACAACACCCGATTCTGCAAATTCAAAAGACTCTACTCCTAAACCTACTGAAGGTGGCTCCAAACATAGTCGATCGTTACTGCATCAGAAGCGCAAATACAAAAAGCTTACAAAGGACGTCCATGATGCAATTGATGATTATACACATTTGGTTGAGCAATTACCAATTCTTTCCAAACAATTGCTCTTTTATATTTTAGATCTTTTAGCTATGGTTCAGAATCATTCTTCAGAGAACAGAATGCCCTCGAGAAACCTTGCAGCAATCTTCCAACCTTCAATCCTTTCGCATCCTAATCACGATATGGACCCTGAGGAATATGCCTTGAGTCAATATGTTGTGGAGTTCCTTATACAATATGCATATCGTTTGTTACCAAATGAAGAGCATAAAAAGGTGCCTCCTAAAGAGTCAATTCCACTTGAAGCCCCCGATCCAATTGTTCCCACTTCATCTGCTCAAACAGCAGAAACTTTTGTTCCTCTGATAACATTTGGGGGAGCTGAAGATCCTGGTACCACGACTGAAGTAACAACACCTAACCGAAAGCCAAAAGCTCCTACTTCAGTTATTCCCAAAACGCCATCAGATGATCAATCCGTTGACTCATTAACTCCCGAAAAGGTTATATTAAGTGATACTACTAAAGCAGACGCCCCATCTACATTGGCAGTGTCGAAAACTCCTGCATCATACCGTCCGCATTCAAAGTCGCTCCCTGTCAATAGCAATGATGAGGATTTGGTTGTTTATCAAACCCCATCAGCCTTGCCCTCGGAACGTAATGTCATAGATTCAGATATTGGAATGACAGATGATTCAAGTGACGATGAAGGAGAAGGTAATCCTTCGTCACCACATGATGTTGCACAAAAACTCTCGGATATGAAGTTATCTAAGTCTGAACCATTGGCAGATAAAGATCAAGATCAAGAACTTCTTGAAAATGAATTTGACTTCGGTGAGCCTACCGATGATATTGTTGGTAACGATGATACTAAGCCAACAAGAGATGTGACTAAGGAAGTAGTTGATACTTCAGTACATCCCTCTCCGACTTTGGATGACAATCAAGAGCCTGAGTGTGAAATATTAGAGTCAACCACACCTCCAATAAAAAATGGTGGAGATGCTGGAATCAATAATTCGCCTCAGATTATTGTATCCGAATTTTCTAAGGATTAATTCAAATGAAATGATATGAATTTGATTATGTCAGAATTTTCTTTTATTACAGCATTCACTCATTCACTCACCGCTGCTTCAAAGTTATTAATGTCCAATTATTTAAACCTACTCGCTCGCTCGTTTGATCTGTGATTTACGACCTTTTTTTGTCTTTTCGTTTCTCGATGTACTATTGGGATGATTATCTAGTGTATGATAATTAGGTAGAATTAACTAAACTTATAGTAAATATATATATATTTATATTACAATTAAGGTGTAACATAATGCCTTTGTTTCAACCTTTTATGATAGTATGTTATATTAGTACAATATTATGTTACTGGTCTACTCATCGTCTTCGTCATCTTCGATAATTCTTCTCTTTTTCTTCCTTGTATCGTTATCTTCAGCTTCTACAGAGGAAGAACTCCTTTTACTTTCTTTAGAGTATTTTGCAACACCTTCACTTTTAACTTGACGTAATCTTTCAGCCGCACGTCTTTCCTCTTCTTCTTCATTTTCGTCATCCTCCTCTTCAGGTAGGTCTTCTTCTTCTTCGTCGTACATGCCCTCTTCATCTTCATCGTTGGCAATAAAGTCATCGTCTTCGTCATATTCATCATAAGTACGGGCAAATCTCTCATATGTGGGCACAGCTCCAGATGAAGAAGAGGAGCCTGGTCTGGGACTATTTTGTCGAGCATTTTTCTCCTGTTGTAATCTTCTCTTCATGTCTAGTTGTCTCTTCAACTTCATGGATTTCCTTTCGTTTTCATCGGCCAATCTCTGCTTCAACATGGGGTCATCGTTCGTCATTGTTGACAATATCCGCAGTTTTTGTTGTCTGGATTTTATAGCATTCGTTAAGTTACGATGAGTAGTGGTAAATGTAGAAGATGGTAACAAATTTACCATCTTTGTAAAAGGCAGATCCATTTGTAAGATCTCAAGGTCATCGTATGTCTTTACCAAAAAGTGATCTGAAACAGGTAATGTCTTATAGTCAAAGAACTCATCACCCAATTTTAATGATATCAGTCCGTCGTCCCATTGAACAAAATGACAATTACTTTGCTTGACAATTTCTTCACCTACATTACTGTATCTCCATCTTATAGTGTTCTCATTCTGCAACTTGGTCACCAAGATCTCATTGGCTGCATCTTTGGCATTGGCCGCTCCAGTGCGCGAACGGATTAGGTCCACGTCTGATTGAATCTTATCTCTAAGCTCTGCTGGGTCAAACGGATGGTTCTCCACTTGAAGAAAAATTGGAAGTTTAAGTAAATATGTGTCGTTCTCGGGTACATCAGGAATTGCGTGTCTTGGTAACGAGATGTCTAGTGTTGTCAATGGCCTTGAATCTTCTTCTTCTTCTTCTTCTTCTTCGCCATCTTCGTCGTTTTCCTCTCCTTCATCATCAGAAACTCCAATTTTGACACTTCTTCTTAGTTGCAGCTCTCCGTCATCTTCTTCTTCTTCTCCGCCATTATTTATATTTGTAGATGGTTCCAACTCGTCCTGAGAGTTTTGGTTGAATTCTTCTTCTTCGTCCCCAAATAAATCATCAAGTTCTTCTTCTGACATTGTTCTTTAATTGATCCCTTTGAAGAATTGTTGCCTTATAAACTATAATTCAATTATAGACAATTTTAATAGAATTATATACTAAGGCACCCAGTGAATGACTTCTCTCCTTATCACTGATTGTACGCAATCACTACTCAAAGCTTTAGTATTATATTTGTTGACTCTCAAATTTTCACAAACTTTTGTGTAATGTGACGCTATCATGTTCATCACGTGACAAACGGTCGGTATTATTCTTTAGTGTGCATACCGATATTTTCTTCCCGCAACCCAATACATGCCCGTCTTTAACAATAGACTTTCATCTTAGCAGCTCTCCATCTCTGTTTAACTAAATAACGATTATTCTCCAGGGCTATTCAAGTATATTGTCATATCATTAACAGAGCAAATTTGCTTATTGATATAATTAGATATGTACAGGTGTCTTGTTCTATGGACTTAGGATCTTCGTTCCAATTCCTCTTGACCGGACCGGTTTTTCCTTTCCCCCGCAATTTATTACCGAATTTTCACGAGCAAAACTTGGTATATATAGTTCTGACTCGGAGTCTATTGATTGTTGATTATTTATATCCAATCAACAAGTTTAACTATTCCTGATATTATTATTATTAATGAGTTCATTTGCAAGACCTCTTCGACTCTTGTTGTTGGGAGCCCCAGGCAGTGGGAAAGGTACTCAGACATCCAAATTGTTGAAGAAATATTCTGACGTCTTAGCTATAAGTTCTGGTGATTTATTACGTCAAGAAATCGCACGTAAGTCTACATTGGGACAGTTAAGCTCCAAGTATATTGCAGAGGGTAAGCTAATACCTGATGAACATATTACCAAATTAATCTCCAACTATTTGGCCGCTGAATTGACTCCTACGTCTTCATATTTATTGGATGGATTTCCACGTACCATTAACCAAGGACGTACTTTACATGAAAGTTTGAAGCAAGGCCCCAATTTGAACTTGGTGGTCGAGTTAGATGTGGATCAAAATGTCATCTTAGATAGAATAGAAAAGAGATGGGTTCATACAGGTAGTGGTAGAGTCTATAATTTGGACTACAATCCTCCCAAAGTCCCTTTCACAGATGATGTTACTGGTGAACCATTAAGCAAGCGTGTGGATGATACAAGAGAAGTCTTCTCAAAGAGATTGGAGAGTTATAACGCAGAATTGGGTCCATTGAAGGACTTTTATAATGATTTGGGCATTTTGGAAACTATTTCGGGTGATTCTTCTGATATTATATTTCCAAAGCTTGCAAAGTTTATTGAGGACAATTATGTTAGCTGAAAATATACTTTGCTTGAGAGATAATACTACGACGTCGATTGCGTGTTGATTTTAGAGAGAGAAATGAAGTAGAAGTATGGCCTATAAAAAATATGGAAGACAGAAGGCTGCTTACAAATATGTAAGCAACCAATTAAATGACAATGATTAAATCATTTAGTCTTGTAAGTATAAGCGTCAGGGAAACGTATTATCTTGTTTGGACCAGAAGCCTTTATCTTTGTTTTTGCGGTATAGTAGTCACGTTTGTTGATATAAGAGTCACCTCTTACAAAGTCTCGGTCTAAGTTCCCTGTTCTTTCAAGTGTCTCGATCACACCATAGAACCATTCTAAGCAACAGTAGGAGTAATCTAACAATTCAAGGGTATAGTCCTTTTTATCACTAGGAATATGGCATTCGTACCAACGATCCAGGAGTTCTTTTGTGAAATCCTCGAGCCTATAGAAAACTTCTCTATGAAGTTCAGGAAGGTCAGAAGGCAACAATACAAGGTACTGCTCGATAGACTTGACTTCTCCTAATCTTCTGTACAGATGGGCGTCTTTGATCTGTTCGTGCAACAAATACATCAAAGTCAGAAGAGTCTTTTTCTCGTGCTTCCTGATAACTGGGGGGGTTATCAATTGAGCTTCTTTCTCTTGAGCACTGCAGATTGCTTCCCATTTAAAGTAATCTTGAAGTGTGGATATCATTTCGTTAGTAATAGAGTTTTGCTTCTTGATTCGAACGATCGTTTCAAATATGCGTTCTTCTTCCAACCGACGATCCTCAAGGATTTTATCAAGGGAATCAGAGCTTTCACTTTTCAAAGTTGCACTCGAAACTCTCTTATCTTTCTTTTCAGTGGCCTTCTTCCAGGACCTTCCAATGGTAGCGGTTGGGGTCATCATATCCTTACCAATAGTAGTATCCTTCAAGAGTGCCGAGTTGCTGCTTACGGATTCAATATCAATAGCAGCCTTGGCAGCAGAAAGCTTCCTGGAGTGAGCAACAGAAGAGGAAGAGTCTGAATTGCTAATGAACTTCTTAGTAGTGTTTGACTTTTTCAGTTCTTTAGATTTACTTGAGCAACCACTGATTGAGGAATTCAGCATCACCTTCAGGGAATCTTTCACTGGTGCTAAACAAAAGTCAATATGAGACTCTATGTCTGAGAGAGACCCTATGTCTGAAGGAGACTCTATGTCTGAAACTAAGGTCAGTACATCAGACTTAGGTGTAAACACAGTACTTTGAAGACTTGGTTTATTACTAGTATTCAATGTCGAGGTACTGACTTCAAGGGTCTTTAAATCACAAGGTGAACCAACATCATCAAACAAGTGGCCAGTTTGTTTGATGTTGTCACAAACTACTCCTTTAAACTCATCAGCACTTGAACTGAAATCAACACTAGAACGTGAGGACTTAGTGATTGAGCGAAATACCACATCTTTGATAGTTTCACTGGTGCTCAAGTAACAGATGGGCGACCATTTATCCTGGGATACAGATACTCCAACCCTCTTGGAGCTATTAATCATTGGCTCAAGGAAAGTCCCCTTAAGAAAAGTCGCTTCATACTGATTTTCAGCGGCTTCAACAATACCAGAGCTAGAGTTACTATCATTAAATTGACAAGCTAGTTTGATGCTTCCATCTGTAGTACTGTTGTTAAAGCTACTATCAGCTAAGTGACTAGACGATGGGTTGACTTTCTTAGTAATCAATAGGCGTTTAATCTTTTTAAGAACTGTTCTCAACGTTTTGAGTTTCTTCTCATGAAGCTCGTTGCTTTCAAGGTGGTTGGAAACACGGGATTTCATTAATCTAAGCTTTGGACTTAAACTAGTTAAATGCATGTTGTTAAATTCTGAGCTCTAAAAGTTTGTAAAGAAAAAGAGTATACACATTAATTTATTACGGTCGGAACTGAGATACATTTATAGGTATACTTTTTGCACCTAAGCCCATGTTCACAAACAAAAATCTTTTGCACCCAATTGGGCCCTGTATGACTAAACGTTTGCATTTACAGAATATGCAAGGGGCAATTTTTAATGACATAAAGACATCTGCATACATCTATATCATAAATTCAAAGAATAAATATTATATCTTAGAGATTAATTTCTCTACTGAACAATTTTTAAGCATTGAATTGTATTTGATTCATAGTATAAATCTTAATGCCTTGGGTTTTTCTGTCCAGTAATCAAAGTAACATTTTCATTGTCGCATTCTTTAAGTATAATTCAGTCCTATAGTTATGCACTTAACTTAAACTTTGATTAAGTAAGGAAGAACGTCGAATAACTAGGTAGAAAGTTTGAAGTCCTTTTAAATGTCTTCAACTTGAAATTATACAAACAGAGCAAATAGTACCAGGACTGCGCTATTCTATGATCAGATTACTTATTTAATGGGTTTCTGCACGACTGCTGTTTTGGCTGCGAAAATAGTCCGTTAAGTTTAATATGAAGCATAAAGAATCAGATTGCATACCAAAAGTATATATATAACATACTATGGTCTGCCTAAAAGTTTCAAATACTATAGATTTCTCAACGGAACATAAAATAGGTAGGCTTATATAGAAAAGAGCTGGTGGTGGTATAGTGATGGGGGCTAGTGGTATAAATAGGAACTATTTGTACTCCTTATTTGTCACTGAGCCAACTATTTGTCACTACAATTGACTCAATGAAAAATAATGAGATTAGCAATAATTGTTTTTGCAATCATAGGTTTGATCCAAGCACTTCCATCTTCTGATTTTATTTCAGGTGAGTCAAATAAAGAGGAAGTGCCAAAAGTGGTAGAAGTCCCAAAAAGGAACGATTTTTTAAAGTATTATTCCAGTGCCCCACCAAATTCTACCTTCTATATCCAAGAAACTGATACCTTCATTTCTCCTAAATTGAAGTCCAACAGTGATGTTAAGATTCTAGATACAAGTTCGGAAGAGGACGAGTTTGTCGAGTTCTACTACACTGACAAAAAGAAATACAGCTATAAGGGAATGATTCCAATTTCAAGCTGCTTGTACCAGGACTATGGAGGTTCGGTTGCAATGGGGTATACGTTGTTGGGTGGGGTATATTCGGAATTTGATGCTGGTACAGGTATAAGTATAGGTGCCTTAGGAGTTCTGGTGTCTTTGTCGTTCTCTTTCGCCATAGAAGTGAGACATAAAGCAGAACTTACTGGCACCGTCTCATGTAATGTCAATGAGGGAACATGGGGTCAGGTAATGCTTGTTCCTGGATATTTATCAGCTACTCCGTACACCAGAACTCTTAAGCTTGGAAAAAAAAAAATTATAAATAAAGGTAAGTGGGTAAAGGAAAAGGTTGTATGGGAAGTTCTCAAGAAGGAGATTCATTGTGTTACCAGTAGCAAAGTAGAACTTCAATGTTATGGTTTCCAAAAAGACATGAGCCTACTTGTCGAAGATGAAGATTAATGGTAATGACTGTTTTAATATGTTTAGTTAGTATCAAATTTGTCTCAGAAATGATAGTATATACTTAATATGTATTATAATTATCCCATGTATCCATATATTGTTTGTGCGTTGGTTGATACTTATTGTTATTGATAGAGCAGATTTCATGTGTATTTCTTTTACTAGTTACTACTTTAATTTTCCAAGTGGAGTATTGATTCTTGGGTACTGTTTAGACTAAGTGTGTCAATTGATTACGTCAGTTTCAAACGATTGATGTATACAAATTTTCTGTGCTACCAAATATATTTTGGTGATATCGAGAAGAGAGTTGATCCTGGTAACCAAATCAGTTTATTTTAGCAGTGGTATCCCGTTGGGTAATTGACGTAATGAAGTTTTATATTGATGATCTTCCTGTTCTCTTTCCGTATCCCCGGATATACCCCGAGCAATATGCCTATATGTGTGACATTAAAAAAACCTTGGACTTGGGAGGAGCATCTATCTTAGAAATGCCTTCAGGAACAGGTAAAACCGTATCATTGCTTTCGCTATGTGTTGCATATCAGATGCATTATCCGGAGCATAGAAAGATTGTATACTGCTCGCGTACGATGTCAGAGATTGAAAAAGCATTAATTGAGTTACAAAAGTTAATGGAATTCAGAACACAAGAATTGGGGTATGAGGAAGAGTTCAGAGGTTTAGGTTTAACTTCCAGAAAGAACTTATGTTTACACCCAACTATTTCAAAAGAACGTAAGGGTGTTGTTGTTGATGAAAGATGTAGACGTATTACTAATGGTCAATTGAAAGAGAAGATGGAAAAGGAAGGATCTACTGACCAACTGTCTCTATGTTCCTTTCATGAAAAATTGTATGATTATGAACAGCACAACTTGATACCACCAGGGGTATACTCCTTTGATTCATTAATCAAATTTTGTCAGAACGAAGGTACATGTCCATATTTCACAGTCAGAAGAATGATCCCCTTCTGTAACATTGTTATATACTCCTATCATTATCTTTTGGACCCCAAGATCGCTGATAGAGTTTCCAAAGAATTACTGAAAGATAGCATTATTATCTTCGATGAGGCACACAATATAGATAATGTCTGCATTGAATCCCTTCTGTTGGACTTGACAGACGATACGTTAAAGAGAGCAACGAGAGGTGCCCATCAATTATCTGAAGCTGTTCTGGATATGAAGAAACAAGACTCGGAAAAGCTTCAAAGTGAGTATAATAAATTAGTGGAAGGGTTACGACAATCTGAAATCGCCAATACTGAAGAAGATTTTTTTATGAACTCACCTGTACTTTCTAAAGACTTGCTTGATGAAGCTATACCGGGTAATATAAGAAGAGCAGACCATTTTGTTGCGTTTTTGAAAAGATTCATTGAGTACTTGAAGACGAGAATGAAGGTTCTTCATGTCATTAGTGAAACCCCCATGAGTTTTTTACAGCATTTAAAAGAGTTAACATTCATCGACAAGAAGCCGTTACAGTTTTGTTCTGAAAGATTGCTGTTGTTAGTACGGACTTTGGAGCTTGATAATATTGAGGACTTCACGGCTTTGAAGGATATAGCAACATTTGCCACCCTTGTGTCGACATATGAGGTTGGTTTCCAATTAATTTTAGAACCTTTTGAAACCGAAGGATCTACAGTGCCTAATCCCATTTTACACATTACCTGCTTAGATGCCTCTATAGCGATCAAGCCAGTTCTTGAGAAGTTCCATGCCATAATAATCACCTCAGGAACTATATCTCCATTGGACATGTATCCCAAAATGTTAAACTTCTCCACAGTTGTACAAGAGCTGTACTCAATGACTTTGGCGCGTCGATCTTTCTTGCCAATGGTTGTCACCAAGGGATCTGATCAAGTATCTATTCTGTCTCGTTTTGAAATCAGAAATGACCCAAGTGTTGTCAGAAACTACGGGTCCTTATTAATAGAATTTTCAAAGATAACTCCCGATGGGTTGGTTGTATTCTTCCCCTCGTACCTTTACATGGAATCAATTATTTCCATGTGGCAAAACATGGGAGTATTAGATGAGGTATGGAAATACAAGTTAATTTTAGTTGAGACCCCTGATGCTCAAGAAACAGCACTTGCGTTGGAGACTTATAGAAAGGCATGTTCAAACGGTAGGGGGGCTGTTCTTCTTTCTGTTGCCAGAGGGAAAGTTAGTGAAGGGATTGATTTTGATCATCATTATGGAAGAACTGTGTTGATGATAGGTATACCCTTCCAATATACGGAGTCACGTATATTAAAAGCTAGACTTGAGTTTCTAAGAGATCAGTATCAAATTCTTGAGAAGGATTTCTTACTGTTCGATGCTATGAGACACGCAGCACAATGTTTAGGACGTGTTTTGAGAGGGAAAGATGACTATGGTATTATGGTTTTGGCAGATCGTCGTTTCTTGCGGAAAAAGAACCAACTTCCTAAATGGATTGCACAGGCATTATTAGACTCTGATACCAACTTATCTACAGATATGGCACTTTCCAATGCCAAAAAGTTTCTTCGGAGTTTGGCTCAGCCCAGTAATCCCAAGGATCAGGAAGGTGTTAGTGTATGGAGTTTGGAGCAATTGGAAGAATTCCAGAAACAAGAAAGGGGTTTGGGAATGTCTACCGGTGAGAAACAAAGAATACAAGAGATTTCTAACAACAATGATTACGATGGAAGGGGTGATGATGGAAACTTTATGGACATTGATGATGACGATTTGGATTTGTTATAGTATGAATTAGTATGTAATAGATGCATTCATGTAGTAAACCACGACGACTTGTACTGTACTCTATCACTAATAAAAATTCGCGTATTGAAACAAACAAACAAATTAACAGAACTCAACTCAACTTAAGCGATAAGATGTACCACTATGGCCAAAAGTGAGTACTACCCAGTGATTGTAGATGTTGGTAGCAGGTTTATTAGGGTAGGTTTAGCTGGTGCCTCGTCGCCTATAACTTGTGAAGTTAAACTGGAGACAAAGTCCTCCCCACAATTGCGCAGTCCACAGTCCAGTACTGGCCCACTTGTGCTTCCACCATGGTTTGAACTTTCAGATATAGAGATAGAAACACGAGAGTCTCAGATTAAGCTTCGCCAGCAGATGGAGTCAAACTATCCAGTATGGCCATTGGTGTCTCGTCAATATCAGACAGACTTGAGAAAATGGAATGTGCTTGATGTAGACACTCAGAATAAACAGGCAATGGTACTGTGTCTTCGACATGCACTTTCAAAGTTGGCATTACCTCTAAAATGGATGAAGGTAATTATGGTAGCCAGCTGCGGTCAGTCAAATGCTCGAACGCTCTGGTTGGCAGAGATTATGCTCCACAGCGTGTTGGTCAAGTCAATTGTACTCTACCCTGAGCCATTGCTTCAGTGTATCCTGGCAAATACCAATAATGGACTTATCATTGACTTGCGATGGCTGGAGACTTCGATTGTAGGGGCTGTAGATCTTCGTGAAGTGAGTTCAGAGGTTTTAGAACGCAGGTTTTCTGGAGCCGCATTACATTATGTGTTCTTAGAGGAGTTACTATTGTTGAAGATTCCACAACTAGACGACATTCTTATTAGTGATAAGTCATTTCCATTTATAGAGGAGTTCGTTATCAACTCTTGCTATGTCAGGAGTAGAGAGGAGATAGAGTCAGCAGATACCGAAATGTACCTTATAACAGACACCGTATCAGTACCTAACCGATTACGGTATGAAATCATAGAAAAGGTATACTTTGATGGAACACTACAAAAAGCTGTGGAAAATTTGGTTAAAAATTGCCCAATAGATATACGGAAACTATTACAGAATAATATCATTATCACTGGAGGAGTCTCCCAAATCCCGGGTTTCAAGAAAAGGCTTATACAAGAGCTAAGTCTAGTATGTCCTAAACTCGATACCAGGGTCTGTTTGGGAAGTTGGACTGGGGTTTCGTTGTATCTTTCAATGTTATTAACTCGCAATTCATGGGACGTACTAAAACCAAGGGAAATCAATAGAGAAGAGCTCGGAACTCTTGTACTGGCAAAAGGATACAAATTTTCTAAGTTAGATGAATATCTAATCAATTGAAAATATTAAGAATAGCTTCGGCAAGTCACCACCGGTAAATATAATCAATGAAATCATCAACATCATATTCTATCTTGGTATCCGGTTGAGGCTCACAGGAAGGTTTTTTATAAACAAACTGGCTCCAAGGATATCTCTTATAATACGTTTCTTCACTCTCACCAAAGAGATACTTGATAGAAGGAAGCGTATCGGATGTCTGTACCTCCTTTTGCTTTTGATGTTCAAATTCATACTGCCATATACTAAGAATAACAGACCTATCGTCCCCTTGTACATTGAGATCAACCAAATTATCATAGAAGGGAAAGTACCCCTTTCTCTTGGGATATTTTTCTAATGGAGAAAGGTCTAAGGGGTCACAGTTCTGAGGTAATGGACCTTTCATGTGGCTCACACTAGTATTCTTGAATTTAGGTATAGGTCTTTCTACAGCAAGTCTTGAGTCAGCATCAATATCCTGGAAATAGATGGCATTGATAGCATCAAGTGGTACTAAGGGCGACGCTTCGTAATAAACATCTTCATCGTCATTGATCTCATCCTCATCCTTACTGAACTCATCATCAGCAACTCTAACATCTTCACTTTTTATGCTCTTACTTCCTTGTTGCAGCAGTTCACAATTAAGCATTAGACTGTTGGGTCTGTTTTCTATTTGGAATAGGCGCTCATCATTGTGACTTCTCACATTGTGATTGAATGATCGATGCAAAACAGATAGACTCGATCTATCATCTCTTGTTTCATCTGCATGATTGGATACATTCTCTCCAAAGTCAGATAGCATCCATTTCTCTTTGGCTGATATGTGGTGTTGAACTTGTGATCCATGAACGTTTCGATGTAAATCGGGATCAATTTCCTTTAATGCTATCACATTTGCAGACTTCATATGATCCGAGCTTGCTCCCGCGGCAGCTCTAGGAAATCTTTTCAAATTATTGCTATATGACATTTGGATATATGTTGCTGCAAGAATAAAGTGATATAGCTCCTTGGTCTTGGTCCGTTCTATGTGGTTGCACTAAACAACAATTTCATGAAAAAACTCGATTTGAATAGTAAGCCAGAAACTGCAAAAAAAATCAGTTATATTTATGCTTATTGTTTTGTATCTTTTTGAAGGACACTTCCTATGTACTCCTTTAAGTAATTGATCTCATGCTGATACTTCTCAGTTGTAAGCTTTGACTCTCGTACATTGCTTAAGAGTTGATTGATCTTACTTTTCAACTCAATGATTTGTTCAACCTTTTGCTCTTTAGTTTCCACCATGATGATATAATGAACCCTTATGTGACTATTTCTGGCTTCCTAATGGATCCAATTCCTATACGGTTGACTCTAAACCTAGAGGTTAAGGGTGTCAACAGCTAGACCAAAAGGATACGCCATATCAATGAAATAATGTTCTCTTGGTCACGTGATGAAGACAAGCATAACATTCCACAAACACTTTGCACTTCCGGTTTTACCACCTAGTTCCGGGGTAGTCAGTCATCTTCGGAACTGCTGACGAATGCGAAACTCTCAAGCCTCAATTTCGGATATCAAATGCCAAAGTGATAAGTTCAAAATCATTCATTCGTAATAGATTGTGTATCAATTGATCTTTAAAAGAGCTCATTAACACTATAACATAAATAAACAATGTCGTGGGATGGTTTTAAGAAAGCTGTTACCAGGGCCGGAGGCTCTGTTATGGTTAAGGATGTTGATAAGACTATGGACAAGGATTTCGATGTCGAGGAGAGAAGGTACAAGACTTTACAGGCAGCAGGGAACAATTTGCAAAAGGCATCAAAGGGATATTTGGATAGTTTGAGACAAGTCACATCTTCACAGGTGAATATTGCTGAGATTGTTTCTAATTTATATGAAGACTCAAAGGGTGGTGGATCATTGTACAGTAACGTCGGAGGCATATATTTACAAACTGTACGAGAATTTGATGAAGAAACCGTGAAACAAATGGATGGACCTTTCCGTGAAACAATCCTAGACCCTATCACCAAATTTTCTAATTATTTCTCTGAAATTGATGAAGCGATAAAGAAGAGAGCACACAAGAAAACAGACTATGACCAATGTAAGGCTAAAGTAAGAAGATTGATTGACAAACCAGCAAAGGATGCTGGTAAGTTGCCACGTGCAGAAAAGGAATTGCAGGTTTCAAAGGAGATATACGAGCAATTGAATGAACAATTGAAGGTAGAATTACCTCAATTGATATCACTCAGAGTTCCATACTTTGATCCTTCTTTTGAAGCTTTAGTCAAGATACAACTGCGTTTCTGTACCGAGGGTTATTCTCGGTTGGCACAAGTACAACAATACTTGGATCAGGATTCCAGAGACCATTATGCTAACGGGTTGTTGGACCAAAAAATTGATGATCTTTTGGTTCAAATGCATAGCTTAAACATAACTAGTTTGGCTAAGTAGATAACTGCGTATTATTGATATGGTAAAGTTTTAGATGCTTACATTGTAAATTTAGTGAATAGTATGGTACAAGAATAATTCTACTCCTATATTCTTTGTATGAGTTCCTTGATCGTTATTCATTGAACAATTGTACAGTATTATTGTAGCTTGATATTGGACACTGTTCGTACCCTTTGAAATCGATTTCTTTTGAGGGGTAAAGTTCGGAATCATGGTACTACGAATTTACGTATATGGCATAATTTACGAAGTCATACATATTTATATAGCGTGTACTCTTTTTTGCATATTCAGCTGCTTCATGATGATATTCTTGTTTTCTCAGTCATCCCCGGCTATTTCTTCGTTGATAAGTTTACGGTTTTTTGATACGATGAAGCCCTCCATTTGTGCTGGAAACTCTAAAGAAGCACACAAATTGACACAAAAACAATTGTGTTTTCCCAAGTCAAAATTTTTACCAAGAGGCCCTTCTATAGCGGAGACTACGTGAGCTCGTTAGGACCAGTTAAATTGAAGCTAACTTACTTGGAACCGCATAGGGGGTAGTTAAACTATTATTGTTTAGAAGGGGTGATCAAGGCAGCGGCTTTCGTGGTCATTAGTTGTTTTTTATTTCCTTCAACCTCAAAAAGCTACACTTAAGTGGGATCCCTACTTCGGGGATTGCTATACTACTACTTCTACCATCATACAGCGTTTATACTGAAATATTAACTTTACATTCATAATGATTGTCACCAGCATACGAAATCACATGTATCAATTCTACTCCAATTGCGTTATTGGCTACGTTATGCTTGTGCTAAAACATCCACAGTTAATTATATTAGTGCCATCCCTCACTGCTTTTTCTTTCGCCTATCCAATAATATATGATTGGATGGTACGACAGCTTCAATTGTTTTTTGATAGTGGACGCTCGTCTTACAAGACCCAATATGAACCACAAAGCTTAAGAGACTCTTATGCCCTACTTGAATTGCTTCGTCAGGGCAGACATTTGGAACATGGAATGACTTTAACTGAAATCAAAGTTACAAGTGACATCAGCGCATTGACTTTAGGGTTTTTCAATCTAGTGGAAGGGGCAACTCAAAGTTTGTTGGAAAGCTTAAATAGCCAGATACTGAGTTCCTCCAACACTTCTGTCGTATCAACATCAATCTTGATATCACCTTTGAGTTGGCTACTGTCTAGCTTCTCTCCTACATCAAAAGTTAACTCCAATGATATTAATGAAATAAAAGCATTCAATAATTATTTGGTCAAATACCTCAACTACAATAATGAATATATGTTCATCGATAATGTCATTGAGAATAACCACCTCATTAAATTTGTGCGAACCATTCGCATATTCTTGATCCATTCAAGAGATCGTGTTTGTGAATTTTCAAACGTACCTTCAAAACTAAGAGATTATGAAATAACAACTTATACTGATAACAATGTCGTGAAGGATTTTGTTCGATATTTTTTGGTCAAAAACTCTTCACTATTTTACTCCAATATATTTTTAAGTTTCACCAATATCTTTGGAATACTTGTATTAATTGGTTACATGTTTTTCGTTTATTTGGCCATTTCCAATGATGGAAAAATCAGATCTAGTTTGGGCTTACTAGTAGGTTGGCTTGTTGAGGTATTGGTAAGTGTCTTTGGTGCAATTAATTTAATGGGCTCAAGTAGAATAATCTTGGACCCCATAATTTCACCTTTTAGTGCTGGTTCGCTTGCGGTGCTTGTAATGGTATTCTCTTCAAGAAACCTATTTGCCATCATTAATGAATTATCGTTAGGAAACTCAAGGAAGCCAAGGAATACGGTATATCGGGGAATAGATAATTCAAATCAAGCTACAATAACCCCACCAAGGAAAATTCACAAACAATTGCTTCGATTTTACTACGGGTTACCAGAAATTACTAAAAGCTTCTTTTTATTTGTTATTGGTATTTTTGTGTTGAATTATCTACCAGTAATAGCTATATTGAAGTTGTGCAATTACAATGAGTTATGCAAAAGAGTAAACACATTTGTGAAAACTCTTATTTTGGCTATGTGCATCGACCACTGTTTGCAGTTAACTTACTTGGTTGGCGTAGTAACCATTGATTTAAATCGGTTTGAATTACTGGATATACTTGCACATCAACAACGGAATACCTCTTCAACATCCGATCACAACACAGATACTGGTTATTATGGTGAGGGAATGAATTTCATATCATCGTATTTTCTCAAAGCCAATGCTCCATTCCAATTGAGACCATCGCGTCTGTCAACTAGATATAAGCTAGGTGAGCTTTTCCTTAACATAAGAATATCTCTTCTGCCCAAGGTTTGGCTTTTCCTTTTTCCCTCATTGGCTTTCTTTGAATTCATGGTCTTATTACTGACATGGGCTCTTGTATTTCCGACATCTACTAATGAACTGAACGGTTTGTTTGACTGGCTGTATTCTTTGAACATCAGTAACAAAAATGACCTTCTCTACTATTTGGAATTTTCTAGTATGATTTCATTCATACTTGCAGTTAGCTCCTTAGTGTTTAGATTAACACCTAGCAAAATCACAGACATTTCCAAAAGTCGAAATATTGAGGAAGCATTCCAAGAGCTAAAGAATATAGATTTAATTGAAGAGGCAAAACAAAAGAAAACAGATGGGATGGGTAGTGATATCGCAAGGAAGAACCAGTTCAATATTATTGATCTACCAGAACGCCACCAATTGGATATCATTCAACTTGTTTGTGGAAGAACGTCACCATTCGTTGTTTCAATAGGTTTGGATCACCGTGTGTTGATATGGTCCCCTCTTATTAAACCTACTATCCCAGAACCTATAAATATTAGCTCCAAGGCGTTGTTGCTCTCGAATAATAGCGAGTTTTGGCCCATAAATTATATTGACATGAGTGAGGAAGGTGATTACATTGTGTTGTTAAATTATCGGTATAGATTGATGAAGTTATTCTCAAGGAAAAGCTTACAATTCCTTTGGGAAATTCAATTGTCGCCTACCAAGGATGGTTCAAAGTTCAAAGTCTTGGAATCCTTTTTCCGAAAGAGAACAGTCCCAGGATTTTTAGCTCGAAAGATTCTTGAAAAGAACAAGAGTTCTACTTCTAAATCCAAAACTTTCCAACAAGATGATTTTGTCATGGTTCTACAAACAGGTGAGTTGATCAGTGTGTCATGCAGTGATGGAACAGTTAAGGTGATGAATATTATTGATGATGTGTACAAGAAAAAGGCACAAGGTGCCATCAAGAAGAAGTATGACATGGGGCCAACAGAACTAGATGATTTAAATTCTACAGTGCGTCTCAATAATGCAAAAGCTTTATTCACTCCTCGTGTTAACGACAGAATCGTATGCAATGCTACTAATTCTGATATATTCGTGGGTGTAACTGTGAACAACAGCTGGAAATTCCGGAAATTGACTCTTCGAGAGGGGGAATTCAATAAGGGTATTACTGATCACATGTACATACCTCCACCTCTACAACCAATGCGTTCGAGACAGAACTCCATTGATGTTGATTTTGCTAGTATAGCTAGAGAAGAACAGAGAATCAAACAACAAACTAAGCAGTATTTCATTGAGCTGCATCAGAAATCAATTACTTATGACGATTCATCGGTAGTGCAGATAAATATGCCGGCAATTGTTGTCGTGGAATTTGTGGGTATGGTAGTCAGATTAAAAAACATGGTTGCAGAGTTGATTGATATACAGAGTGGTATTATTATTAGGACATTTGCATTGGGTAATATAAAATCAAATCTGTTGCGTGTGACTCATTCTGAGCCTACTCATTGCAGATTCTGTGGATGTGCATCTGTTCAATCGTTCCTGATAATTTATCAGGAAGAGGGTACTAAAAGATTGATCGTTCACACGTTTAGGATAGACGAGAAGAGAGCAAAGAGCAATATCTGTTTGAGAGTTGAAAGAGATCCTCGAGAAATCAGATGTCTTGGGTTCAATGCAGCTGTTGAACATCAGTTTTGGTTCAATAATGTCGAAGCATGGGAGTCTACCGATGTAAACATGATTATTGGTTTACGCAGAGAGACAAGTTGTGATGACGATGATATCAATAGTGACGTTGATCATTATGATAATTCTAAGCAAAGTTTTCTGACAGGAATGGTAGCTACAAACTCCAGAAATATCATTGACTCTACAAATGGTCTTCTGCTGGTTAGAAACAGACGTGCTTTGATTTCTGAAGCTCTACAAACGCCGGAAAATGGTTCATCAAATAATAGCAAAGTTACTTCTCCTGTAACTGGAAAACGATCTGGAAAAATGGAAGGTTTTATCATTACAAACATTGATGGTAAACTCATTCCCTATGAAATACCTCCAAGCAGTACACCTGATTATAATAACATACAGTTGATCACATGCATACATCAGTTTGGATACAAGAGTGTTGCTTTTAACATCAACAACAAGTTAAGGATCTTGTACCTTGGAAGCGACAAGTTGATTGAAAGAAACTTGTATTATTGTGGAACACAGGCAACAATGGGTCTGGTTCTTAAAGGTTTACCTGGTACAGATTCTGCCAATGTTGGACCCTCTTCACCAACTGGAGGAAAAACCAGTGATTTGTTGTTTATCAATAAGAGAAGAAGGATGCAGGAAAGGAAATTGAATGTTTAATATATGTATTTAGTTAAATCAAATATTTATTTATTGGCAACCGAACAGAATTATATGTGGTACAATCTTCGCATATATTATCCTTGAAAAATTCAAATCATTAACTGTACTACCAGTCTAAGGACTACCTAAGAAGAAAGATTTAACTTTATGAATAGTTTCTGGTTCTTTCTATTGGGTGCTTCAATAATCTCGGTGGAACATCGTAATTAATTTTAGAATCTGAGTTTAATTGATTTTAAGGTACTTACGATAAAATTTTTCACAAATCTGGTTTTAACCTTTTGTAAATTGCAAGTTACTTGATAATATTTTCAAAACTTTGCTACGACGAATATTTTCAAAGGTTAGTATTATATCGAGCATAATGAGCATCATACAATGCGGAGCTTAAAGAACATGACGCACTAGCCAAGTACACGCCTCCATCAAACTGATCTGTCAATTAAACGTCATATACCGAAGAAGGCGGGATTGAAAACATTTTTTACACTAGAATAATTGACGAGGAAAAGTAGAGATATTCAGTGTTGAAATTAAGATATCAATTATGGAGAATTCAGCTTAAACTAGAAGAAAACTCAATTAGAAGATCTTCAGTATATATGGAAATATAATCTAAATATACATTGTATACCAAACCAATGCGATTCAGTCGGAATAAAACAACTACCATTAGATTAGAGGTACACAAGTAAGATTCAACACCAATTATTTATCATTGCACTACCCAGGTACTCCCAGAATAAACATGACTTTTCTGTGGGATCAAGTGACGATTATTCTTTTAAGTTGCTGATTTTAGAGAAACTAGTGTGTTTTGGTCTTTGTAGTGGATCTCTTTAAAAACAGTTATTTATTCATTGGGAAAACTATACAACTACTATATAGAAAAGAAAAGATAAATACTTTGCAGCCAATGTCCTAAGGTAGGCTAGGCACGAGGGCTTAGTCATCTAAGATAAATTTGAATGTCATTAAGGGATTCACTTGAACTTAGAGCGACTGTGGTCCAAGCATTCACTGAAGGGGGCAATTAATTTCCCCACTATCTTGAAACTGTTGCGTGAACTTATTTCTTAAATGTTGCTTTTTTGACAGAACATATTCCATTGAACGATAAGAAAAATTACAAAATCAAGATATTTTTCACCATTTACATTTTAAAATCCTGTGAGTAAACTGCAACAACAAAACTAATATTCTACTATAGGTGAACTCTCTTAAGAATGGTAAAAACATCAATTAATATTGAAAATTGATAAGGACGCACCAGTGGCCATATTATTTCTTCCAGTGGAAATTAATATGACGTTTTAGATGACTCCTTCAAGTATACTATGAATAGTTGCGCGAACTTTTGGGCCTTCCAATAGACCTAAGTTGCAATGAAGAATTTGCGAAAACCTCAATACATGATAATAACTACTTCATAAACGATAAGGTTGCATATGCCTCAACAATGATGATAATACTCCTGCATTGTGGATGCAAAATAATACTCAAAACCGTAACTTTGTTTGACGGTTGCATAGTGTCTAATTTACTGATAATATTGATATCAGTACTTTGTTTGTGGTTAACTTCTGTGTTAAAATATCAAATGAAACGAGTGAAATACTATTGGATAGTATGATTGGTTATTAATGGTCATACGTTATAAAAATTTGTCCTCACGTGCTACACAGGGGCCATCACATAAAAATATGAGGAATCCTATATCTAATAATGGAGATTTCGTATGAATCTGAAATGCTGCAACCTTATATATGTGGCCCAATATTATCTACTGGATATTAATGTTTCTTCCATATTGGTTGTCGAGAATTCTTATCTGATTCTACACCAATAATTTGGTATTGTCCTTTATGGATATGACGGATATGAAAAGGGTGGCCAGACCAAGCCGGTCGAGCTTTGAAGAAATAGAGAAACATAGTCCCCTATTTTGAAAAACGAAGTCTTTAAGAATACCCTAGGGTCATACACTCCCAGTCACCTTCATTTAGTGATAGTGGTCCCGAAAAGTAGTGAGTACTGAGCGCAAACTTTGAGTATAGCTCAAATTTTTCAATTGAAACTATAAATTAGTTCTCTTTTAAAATCTTTCTTCAGGGATTCTCAGTCACTTTTACAAAGTGATTTGTCCCAACAAAGTTGGTAGCTGGAGCAACTTTTGAGTACAACTAAAAGGATTCAATGGAAAGTATTATTTCTTTTTTACGATCTTCGTTCAGAGAGATATCTTAAGGGGTTGACAATATCTAATTTCGTATTTTATGTATTATCCAAGTCAATGATACCATCATTAAAGTTGTTTTGTAAAGAGTTTTCTGCTTTGTAAACAACGTCAGCAAATTCTATCACTTGTAGGCGTGAACTCATGAAATTAAAGTGATTCTTTGCATCTCAGCAAGTACAATTTCAAAAAATTTATTTATGGACTATATCAAGGATTTAAACGGTAGCTTATTCCGTCAGATCAAAAATTTTGAGTCTTTAGTTCCCTTAATCCACGTATATTTATTTCTGTTGATTTTCCTTTTGTAATCAATAGATCGCACTAGAAGGGGATGTGCCTTTGCAGCCATTAGACTGATTTTATGTGTTTTTGCGATTTGGCAACTTTTAAAAGTACATTGTAATAGGATATTGTTACAGGTCGTAGAAAGTCAAGATGTAAAATCTGTCAAACAACCCAATTTGGAAGATGCATTCGACTGGAAGTAGAGAGCACTATGAAGAAGGAAAATTAAAAATTTATGGCAAAGGACTTGGTGCGGGAGTAATATATAAATGTGAGTGAATGATCAGGATTCAAGGAGATAGAGCTGAGGCTTTACCTAAGAAAGGGGATATTTATTAAGAGCAATTCAATCCATATGTACAGAAAGTCGGAATAAAGACAAGAGTTCTCAGGTATTAAAGTGAAGATAAGGTTATTAGCGCACTTACATCGTATGTAATTCTACATTGCGCTGGTTCCAGTGACGTTGTAAAGTTATTGCAGACATTTTCTACCAGACGAACATAATTGTTATGAAAAACTCTGATACTAATTCCGCGACATCAAGTACTCAGTGTCTAGGAAGCTGAAACCTTATAAGGTGGAGATTCATTATCTAGATATCATATCTTCACTTTTTACCCTTAATTTATCCAATTCCTATGATGGCAGATATCAGTGGTAGTCCTGATTGCTTACGCAGATACCAAAACAAGCTCACAATAGTCCTGGGTTGTATTGGCTAAGCTCTCTGCAAATCCAGTAAATGTAGAATGTCCTTATTAACCCAATTAGGTAACACCTGACAAATTATTACGTCACTCCCTCCCCACACACAGCGATAAATCAACACAGAGCAGTTTTGAATTCTTTGAAGATATGGAATACGAATAATTTTATTATCTTTCAGATAGATGGAGTTGGGACAGTTAAAAGTGAAACCTTTTGTTAAAAAATGTACTTTGAATGTTTCTGGTTCGAGAACAAAAATAATGATGTTTAATATATTTACTGTACCTACTCAAAACGAAATTTCCAAATTGGGATTTCAAGGTTATTGGCTTTGATGATTACCTAGGATTTACTTCAACTTGGAACGTCTTTTTCTAGCAGTTGATCACTGCACTTGGGGTTAAAGTGACCTAAAATTATCTGAAGTAAACCACAGCTGCCAATTTTCCCACTTTAGCATCTCTTCTGGGTAAATAGTGGAGCTTTACATGTGCTACGTTATTTTTTGTAAATTTTTGAAATATGCCTCAAGCTCTGATTTCGGACGCAACAGATTGATACATAGTTTTGAAGATGATGCAGAATTTAATGTCATATGTGATGTCCAATATGTCAATTAAAGATGATACCTGAAATACTTGAAAATTTTGAAAATTTTCCAGGATTAACTCAGAAAAACAATCCAAATAGTATAATTTATTATCAACCAATTCAGCTTCAAAAACGTTCTTTGGATCTATAATATCAGTTTCTTTTAAATTTATTTCAATATATAATCTAAAAATACATCATTCCAAGGAACAAAAAAGAGGTTTTCATAAATTTTTTGAGGGTCATAGAGTAGATAATTGTATAAGATCGGTAATAAACATAAAGCAGAGCCCCCTGAACCTATTTCTTTATACCAATCTTCAGTATATTGTATATCGGAATCATGCATCCAAGCAACCCATTCTTTACCATCATTATAAACACCATAAAAACATTTTGAAGTTGAATTAAAACCAGTTTCACTGAAAGATAATTCATGGGCCACCAAATGACAGAAGTTAATTCTGACACAGAAGCAAACGATGTAGATAATAGAGAATCGCTAAAGCAACCTATCAGTATCGACTTGATGAATGAGTATGAATGCCTCGTTGGAACCAGATGTAGATGTTATTTAACCATTTTTTTTAAGATCCAATGATAGTACTTTTCAACATCCCATGTTCTATGAATCGTGCAAGGATTGATAATACTTAATGCGAAGTCCATCATTTGAAGGAAATTGGTTTCGGTGTTTTCTAGTTTAGCTTAATTAATTGAGGATAACCTTTTGAAAACGTTGAACCAAAGTGCATATGTGCAGAAAGTAAATTCCTGCACAAGAAAACCATATGTGAATATTCGAGTTACCAATACTGAGATAGAGTGCTTGAGGTTCGTCAAGATGTACTCAAGAATTCGTGAAATAATGAAAAACCAATAGATGAGTAGTTGTATCGGAAGATTGGTGTCAAGTGTTAAAATACAAGAGGCGGTCGGTATCGGAACCAGTTCTACAATATACAGGAAATTATATGTAAGCTCAGATACCTTTTTTAAGCGAATACCCAACTAGTGTTAGGGAGTAGCACTTTTACACCATTGGAAACATATTAGTAGAACCTACCATATTTGATATCGGGTGCTATGTTAGAAGCACTAAGATTCTTGTAAATGTACATGAGTATTCGGTAAGCCATCTTTCGAACCTTGTAATATGTCATAAGAAGTG